GTTGTCTGAGCTTGAGTGGTGGTGGTGGTTTTTGGAGCCGCAGGAGAAGTGGAGGTGGTCCAGTCCTGCCAGGTTGTCTGAGCTTGAGTGGTGGTCTTTGGGGCCGCAGGAGAAGTGGTGGTGGTCCAATCCTGCCAGGTTGTTTGAGCCTGAGTTGTAGTCGTCTTAACGGGTGCTGGGGTGGTGGTACTAATAGTGGACCAAGCGACAAACGCGTCCGTAGTAGAAGACCCAGAGTCACCACGGATGGCGAGGGCAGCGGCAGAGCCGGCCGAGGCCAGGAGAAGGGCAGATGACTTGACCATGTTGGCTATTATATAATGTTGGAGCGAATGTATGAGAGCCTTAGCGAAGGAGCTCTTGAACGAGGGCGAGGAATTGAGTGATGGAAGCCTGAATACGAATCCAAGAGAGCGACGGGGAGGAGAATTATTATGTACCTGTATTCCAGATGTGGGTGGGCCATGGAAGAGCTTCCACCCCGAGTCGAAAACTGCAAAGGCTTGCAAGAACTATCGGGCAAAATGCAATATTCCGCAGAACGTTGCCTGTTCCTGAAAATATGCACAGAAGGATGTTGTCATAGTGGGGTAAAATGGGGCTTGTTCGGCGGGCTGTCTTGGTCAGGCAGGGTTGCAACCGGATTACCCTTTCTCAGACCACGAGGACCAAGCCCAGTGGAGAAATCCGGGAGAGGTTCGAGGAGCATGGATGAATAGAGTTGGCGCTCATGCAGAATAGATACCCAACCCAAGGGCCTCAAGTAAAGGAATTCCGTTCGCTGGTGGAGGGCAAACGACAGCGATGAGCTATTGGCCACATGTTGAATTCGTATTGAATGGTCGTGCGCGAAGATCAATCGATAACGGTGATAAGTTTTGATAGTAGTCGGATTATTGAGTGCTTCCAGACTTGGTGCCCGGGCTTCCCGCTCCTAAGCCTACCACCCACCACCTCGCAGTCCATGCGCCAATAAATGGCAACAAGAATAGTAATACTAGTGATAGTGTCTCTGGTCCACTCCCCCACCAAAGTTCTTTTGACGCCCTCGGAACAACTGAGGGACATGGTACTCGGTACGGAATGCGGATATCTGGTAGGAGGGAGTTCGGCATGGACAGCTTAGAAGTTTAGCCTGGCGTCATCCTAGACGATCTGGCACCATCTTTCAATAGTTTGAACAATGTGACCCATAGCAAAAGCTGAGCTTCGTCGTGCGATCGACCAATGGAAACGGCGCAAAAGCGGGCAAGGTGTTATTAGGCTAGTTGGAGCTCTGGTGGAATCGAAGCAAAAAGCTGTCCGTGGAAGCGCTCCGAAAAGGTTCAAGCAGCTTTTGGGCGAGGTTGGGAATCCTTGACGAAATAAGACCGGTTGGACTTTGGGTGTGAGTGGAGCTCCATGAGAGAAAATTCACCGAGCCATCAAGACATCTCCACCTTTGGCGTTGAAGCTTGACTGAGTCGTCACCCAATGATAGTCTGGTGCCTGGTGAGACCTTTGCGCTAGGTGTGAGACATGCAGAAATCCTGCTTTTCAGCCTAGCCAGTGGGAGGATTATCGCAAACTTCCTCCCATCCCCCAAATGTGCATCATCTGGGCCCTAGCAATTGCACCCGCATTCTTGCGGCACAACTTTCTGCTGGGAGCAAGTCAAACAAAATAATGGACAAATCTTCAAGTCGCATTGAAAAGCACGGCGTGCCCGTTGTAAGCTATTGAAGAAGTCGCAATGGTGTAGGAGCTATTGACTGTGGCGACGATATACGAAGTTTTAGTCGGTTCTTCTGGCAGGAAATGGTCGGTTGACCGAACCATTGAAGGTTAGCCAGGAATCCCAGGATGTCAGCAGGCTCTCGGTGGCGTTGGTTCCACCGGCGCGAGCCAGAGTCGCTCGCTCCTGACTGATTGTGGCGATAGGCGCAAGCCCCCGACGCATCGACGATTGAGCATTCCCTTGCTCTTTGCCAATGTCCCCACCATTGGAGTGCTTCGAGCCATCATCGCCCCGTAAATCGTCTAGAGGCCAATGGTAGGTATCTGTGGAGGCCTGACTCTTGGAATGTGTGTTTTCTCGCGTAACATTATCAGTCGTGTTGCAATGCCTACTGTACACACCCATTCAGAGCATTGCAACCCCGCTGGTACTGTTGCTGAACTTCGGCCTCTGGCCCGTAACTCGGCAAGTCTTCTCGAGGTCTCGCTTCGAATCGATCGGCCATAGGAACAAACTTCACCCTCACAAACAAAACAGGGAAGCGAGTTTGATTCATAGCATCATACCCAAAATATCTTCGTGGTCGCGTCACATTTGACAAGGACTTGTTTGTGGGTATTCTGTTCACTAGGTAACCACAATCAATCATCGTCATTGCCAGTATCCGATCCGCTTTCCCAACCAATGCTGTAATTTTGAGCCACTTCGGTAAGGTCGTTGTAAAGGCTTTCACGTTCATCGATCTGCACCAATCGAAAGGTTGCATCCCTAAGATCGATGACTTTGTTCTTGGTGGCAGAAGTGCACACGAGGGCGGCTGTAATGTCCAGTGCACCCTGGTCTTGTCTTTGGGTCTGGAAGAGTCTCTCCGGGAATGTGTCCAGTATGGGATATTGGAGGTCGGTTTGAAATCTACGCACAGATTAGTCATGAGGTGTCAACCTGGGGCACCCTGGGATCGCAGTTGCCCAGCCATCGTTCACTAATGGCAATTAGTAACCATGGATGGGTGGCTTACATTTCAACAACACTCTCTTTATTCAGTCTTCTGCGGAGACGGTCTTCTGGGGCGAGGCTTGACGTTCTAAGGTTCGATTCTAACCTGTCACGCTCACTTTCCACCTGACCAAAGACATGGAAAGACCTGCTCGCCAAGATGGCATTCGAACTCGGAGAATAATCAATGTCTAGTGGAGATGGCATTGGATCCGTATGAACCCCAGGATTACCTCCTCCATTCAGTATTCGATCATTCCCATTGGGTTGGCCACCGGAGCCTTTGCTGAAGTTGTTGACGCTAGCATGAAGCTCGAAGAGTTTCTGGTTGCCATTGGTATTCAGAATATCTTCGAACAGCGTTAGGGATCCCCTCTTTCGAGTGGTAGCGTTAAATCTTGTTGGTAGGGTGCTGGACTCCAGGCCTGCAGACAGCAATGCAGTGGTTGCCCAGTCAGAGTTATCCAGGAGGTTGACATAGTTTGGTAGATTTGCTGGAGGGGCTGCCAGTCGAATGAAAGCTGATGCTTGCTGGCCCAAGGAGCGCAAAGACCTCGCAGAGTTGCAAGATCGCAATTGTTGCTTTTGCTTTCTGTGGTTCAGTACTCAGACAAGTCCATTTCAGTGACAGAACGACATACCCTCACGACTCTTGACTGGTCCTCAAGTCCCCATACCCAGATACTTGTTTTGCCATACTCGTCGCGAAGATTATCAAGATATTTTGCGGCAAAGCCTCCCCAAGCATCATCAACCCCAGTAAGCAGTTGAAATCCTTGCATTTGATCGCATTCTTCGACGAAGGGCCGTATGTCGCGGTCGATAAGGTCAAACTCTCGGTCCAGATTTTGGAACAAATCTTCCCCATTGGACCAGTTTTCGAAAGGCATGAGTTCTGAGTTCAGCTCATAATCGTTCAGCTGAACGATCGACCTAGGATGAAAATATACTCGATTAAAGTCGGACCAGTATCTCACATCGGAAGCCCGTAGTTGAGGAGTAGGAAGGCCACCTTCAAGTTTCTTTTGGTACTCGGAAAGCTCGATCGTTGGTTCATTCTGGATCAATGTCGCCCCTTCCCTATCATTGTCACCTCATCGTCAATTGAACTTTTGTGGGCGGCTTACCAGAGTCCTTGGGCAGGGTTGGACTCATCTTGAATGCCATAAAGAGCATTGTACTTCCGCAGTGTACCAAACCCACCTTTCAAATCATATATGACAGCTCTGGGGGTAAATGTCTCCGAGTTGTCGTTGCCGAGACCTGGGCGAAAGTGGACGTCGTGGTCAATGATAGACCGCTCATGCTCGGAATAGGTGAAATATGACTCCTTCTATGATATCAGCTTGAGCTTTTACACATGTTAATCGTCACTTCACACTTGGATATTCCAGAAATGAGTCCCAAGGTAGTTACTTCGTTGACCTAATTGAATGGTGACGATTTCATGCATTTTTTTCAAGAATCAAACACCGCCTTCTGCGGGACACATATGCATCTCTCGGTGGGATAACACAACACAGCACGCTCTCACGAGACCTGAAAGAATATTATAATGGCGAATTGGCCTTCTTACGGCTGAGTTTAATAGATGAAGCCTGGATTTGACGTTTTCACTTCAGTCTCATATGCGGGATAGATGCCTTTATGCTGCGAAGTATATCATGCGGGGCTGGGGGAAGTGCTCGACCGTATAATGACGTCATATCCATAACTTCATCTCATCATGCTGATTGGGATTGCCTCAAACAACCATTTAGGATAAGTCAAGATCTTGCTCTGCTAACAACCGAAATCTCGGTAGAATTTCATGCCAAATGGCTCGCTCATTTGATGAAGGGCTGACATTCTATAGGGCGAAAAGTTGACGTACAACTTGGCTTCGCGGCAGGTTCATATCAGTAAGAAAAGCCTTCCTTCTACCTCATCATTGGTAGAAGTCGCTCGAATGAGAGCCTGCCGCTCACGGACGAATGCCAACGAAATGGTACAAAGCACGGCCGCATCGGTGAGACTATACGAGAGCCTGCTGTTAGTTTGCTGTGTCCCTCAACAAGTAGGTCGATCGCAAGATACTCACGTCGCCAGAAAAGCGAGCAGGGAAGTGACCCCGAAGCCGCCGAAATATTGGGCTCCGCCGCCCCAAAGGAAGCCCAGATATCCAGAAGCCGCAACAAACACGAGCGTTGTTATCACACTAAGGACAAAAGCATTCCAGACTCTATTATATCGACTATGCTGCTCGCCCGATTCGACAGGGCTTTCCACGAGCTTGTAGAAGACTTTCGAGACCCCAGCTATGACAATGATGCTGAATGCTGCCTAGAGAGGGCAAGTCATCAGCAAAAATTGGCCACGATAACCGACAACAGGTAGTCTCTACAATGGCATAGTGCAAAGGCACGCCTGATAATTATCAGGAATACGAATGGAGTATGGACCTACGGTGCCAAAGCTACAAAAGTATAACAGTCCATAGTACGGGCTGTCGTCCTCGGCTGGGGTCTTGGACTTTTGCACAGTTGAAGCGAAGAATGCAACAGGGCTCGCAGCGAGGAAAAGGATGTTTGCGCACACGCAGAGGAAAATGGCCAGTCTGTTTGGATAGAAAGCCGGAATGGCGGCCCTGGGACTTTCAATCATGCTGTCATATGCAACCTTCCATCACGACACGAAAAGATGAAACGGAAGAAACAGAGGTTTGTTAAATGGCAATGTTAAGTTGGCTGTGCATGTACTCATGGAGGCTACGCTCACTCGGCCAGAGGTCTCCTGATCTATGTAAGAAAATGCGCCTCGGCCGCCTGGGCCTCACCTGGTTGGGGGGCGAGGGGCCGAAGACTTAAGCTAGTGAGCCATGCGGAGGACTTATCAGGGGATGAGGCTGTTGGGGCTTGACCCTCAGGAAGCGCGGCCCCCGTTCTTAAGCAGACGATTTTGACCAAAACAACATTGATTATGAGATTAACTACTGGGTACAAGTAGTACTTACCACACTATAAGAACAGGCTATGGTACACTGCTATCATGCTGCAATTTGAACCATCACCCATCACCCATCACCATTCGCAAGCAATCAGCGCTGGGGTTTCACAGGCCAAACCGGAGCAAAAGGCAACGTCTTTCTCGACACCTGCGGAACCCAATGGTTGGCGTCGGGAAGGCCATATCTCTCGGCCGTCGACTTGCTCATCTTCTCGGTGCTTCGTGACCAATTGCCTCACCAGGCTCTGGAAGAACAACGGTGCACTCTCCAATTCAGGATGGAATTCTCCACTCACAAAGACCCCAGCATTCAAATTTGTCTGTGTGGCATTGCATAATTGTTTGTCTTCCCCCAACACGCGCTTGAAGAACGAGTCGATGTATTCGAAGTCGTGATCTGAGGAATCGACATGACGATAGACCTCATATTCTAAAGAGACGGTGGTTGACGACGTCGGTACGCATCGCATCATGTAGAAAAAGTGCGGCCTGTAAGAGTGGCTTAGCTATTGTTGATGTAAAGTTAAGTTGTGCAGGCTTACGAAACAGTCATACAGGCATTCGGGAAATAGTAAGTGCTTGCATTCTTGATGTCCTCCTCTTCCTTTCCCTTTCGAGGTCGTGAGAAATGCTGGATGTGACCGGCTTTGGTGACGGTATAGTAGTACGACAAGTCAGCCAGCCGGACCACATCCGGATGGGCCACGGTGCAATGATAGCATTCATTATAGTTGTCGGCGAGAGTCTTCCAGTTAAAATCTCCTTTCATGCCCCAGACGTGATCAAATTTGTACTGAGAGAAATCGAAGGACTTGAAGCGTTCCTGGGTATCGACACCTTCGAAGTCATCTTCCCATGCCACCGAAGGGGTGGCCGAACTGTCAAGGTTTACCCAGACGAATCCTAGGGCATCAATATGGACATGGACAGGGAACAGACTTTGGCTTTCCTTCTGGAACCCAGGCACGGTGTCAAACCGGGGTGCTTTAGCCAACTTCCCATTGAGACCATACGACCAGCCATGATATTTACAAGAAAATATGCGAGCATTGCCCTCGTCTTCCGTCACCACTGGGAAGGCCCGGTGTCGACAGATATTGTGAAAGCCATTGATATTGTCGTCCTTGTCAAGACAGAGCACAAATGGATATCCGGCCTGCTCGAAACGGAAGAAGTCTCCCGGGTTTGTGAATCTGAGTTTGTGGGTGATGAGTAACCACTTTTTCGAGAATATGGACCGTCGTTCTAGCTGGTACATTTCTGGTAAGCAGTACCATGACGCTGGTAGTGGCTTTGGTGTCTGTGGTTCTTGATCATTCGGTTTGACCTGCACTTCGTGGGCTTTGGGCCCAAGGAACTGGGTGAGGGTGGAAAGCATAATGAACGCAACAGATTTTATGCTACAGGGCTATTGTTCTGCGATAAACTGACGACAACGGTGAGAATGGTTACAATGAGCTTGAAATGCTCTCTGATAAACGATCTTATGCAAACGGTTTCATTCTCCCAGCAGGCCCGTAACTCCATTGAGCAAATTCACGCGATGGTGTTCGCCCGGTCACGAGGGCAGCCTTCCTGGCAGCAAGAACATCACAACGGCTTTGATTCCCATTGATTCATACTGAGACTGGGAATTATTCAACTTTCAGTGATAAGGATACTTGAACCTGATAGAGAATGGATTTTCAAACAGGAGCCGGGAGAAGCCGACGGCGCTACCGATCACGTGGAAATACTACTCATCAGCACCACTCGTGAGGGCTATCACAACCATTTGGATGGAATTCAGGGATAAGGACTATGATACAAGGAGCGAATAAATTTCATCCTGCACTTATGTAGTGGAAAATCTAGCATTATGGCCCGGGTTTATGATATGCTCCCGAATAGACCAATATGGTAAAAGACACGTCCATGTACGAACCAGTTGACGCATGTGAGCGCCACTAAAGTTTGGCTTGCTCAAATGGCGTCAACAACCTCTTCTCGGGGCCCCTTCGGCTACCGTCATTGCATACCAACGGGCCTCGAACGCCAGGATCCTTTCTCAGCTTCCATCTATCCCTGACTTGAGTCGATGCCTTCCCTTCAAAGCAGTCTGCAATATATCGTCCAAGAACTGGAAGGAACTTGAATCCACTATTCACAGCTATCGTTAGTCACTTCTTGGGAGGGAAACATGAGATATCTGGATTGTAGGCTTGTTAGATATGTGGCAAAACTTACTGTCCAGCCCCACCAGTGGCAAGGAATAACCCTCTGATGGATGGGTGATGGTCTACAACAAAGTTACCTTCCGGTGTATCCGTATACCAGCAGAGTCGTCGTTGGACCCAAGGCTTTTTGGCAAATCCCGGTAAGATCCGTTCAAGAAATTGTCGAAAGGCAGCATCAGCAGACTCGGGGATAAATTGTGAAGCTGCATTGTTGGAGTCGCGCTTCGGTGCCGAAATGGTTCGGTCTGTACCTTGAACGGGGACTGTGGACTCGAATCCGTGGCTGTGGCGAGCAACCTTGAGGATATTGGTTCCAGGGAAGGGAGGGAAGACGAAAAATCCTGTTGTCATGTTGATCAAGGTGGGCATTGAGGCGACACTTTGTGCTTCCTCCGGTGTGAGTTGAATAAAACCCACTGGCTGAGCAGAGGACGACATGGCGTATGTCAGGTCCAGAAAGCCATTTGTCCATGCACCCGTTGCGAGAATGACACTACGGCCTCGGACAGGGGGTCCCAAAGCGACGGTGACTCCTTCAACTCTCGAATTTGTGATGAGCAATGACAGTACAGTTCCTCTGGGGCCTGTGACGATAGATACGCCCTCTGCAGTGCACATGGAAGCCAATAGCCCAATGGAACCCGCTGCGTCAGCCCAACCCCCATTGCCATTTATATAGCCACTCAGATTATCCTGTATCTCCCTCAGGGCTGGAAAATTCTGCTGCAACTCGGCTGTGCTGTGAAAATCCTGTAGAGTTTCTCCCTGACCTCGCAGAAGAACCTTCAGCTTCTCCAAATAGACATCGGGCTGCGATTCGGTTGTTAAGACGAAGCTGGAGTTGTGATAGAAACGGGCAAAAGGACCATCCCGCCATGCTTGTATGGCCTCCCTTCCGAGTGTGGCGTAGAACGGATCTGCGTAATCACTGCGAACGATTCGTGAAATATCGCAGCTGCTTCCATCTGGCACTGGGGGCGCCATTCGATCAAGGACGGTGACATCTTCATATCCTCTGCGTCGCAGGCTCAATGCTGTCGTAAGTCCAAAGACGCCAGCGCCCACTATGACGATCGCATCCTTCTTGTTAAGAGACGTCATCACTGTTTTTTTGGTTGGACCCGATTGATATGTCAAACTTGTCGGTGTTTTACTGCTGTGCAAACGATAAAGAACCGTCACCCCAGAAAATTATCATAAAACTCCGTGAATGGGGCTTTCGCTTTTTGGTTCGTATAGGCTATCTATCGGGCCACCCGGCGAGACTGCCGTGAGCGCCATCCATGGGGGTCAAGACGCACTCTTAGCGCGTTCTAAATATCAACACGTGACCGGTCTAACGACAACCCAATACTAAAACGTCCATCAGCCGCAGGAATGCCTCCTTCATGGCAGATGAGTGCGCAACGCTTGAGCATTGAAGAATTTGCATTCATGGGAAATGGATTCCTTAGGATCATCTGGCTAGTAAAATTCTATATAAGCTTGAACGGCACCTATAGAGCGGAGCAGAACAGTGATCTCATTCATTAATTCATGGCCGCTTAGAGGTGCCAAGGCTAAGGCCAACAACAACGTCTTACATACTCGTGCAAGGCTACCTCGAGTGCATATCTCGATAATCTCAATGCCTATCTCTTGGTGGGATCTTGCCGACACGTGACCGGCCTCTACCCGCTTTCTATTAAGGCTGGTGTGACCTCAAATAGGACGCCGTTTCCCAATTGAAGTAACTTGAATGAGAGTTCTTGGCCGTGATTTTCAATCTATCATAATGAAAAAAAAACCGCGGATGACAAAGAGGGATCTGTGTGTTCTCAGGAAATCCTTGATCTGTCCACAGCTATTCCCTCCAATCGAAGAGTATTCCTGATAACCACGCATGGTTGTACGAAGACAAGCTGTAGAATCAGGCCACCTGAGATCCAGAGTCGTAGCCTATGTGCTTTTCATGGCAAAGACTTTAGCCACTGTGGGATCGTGCATCCGTTCGATTATAGGCACATTTGGAAACTGGTCGGCGTTGAGTAGCTAGACGAAGTGACTAGCTTTTACCAACCCTTCTGGGCGATTGTGTCTGGAACTCCGGTACACCTGCCTCGAGTATTTAGTTGCTCACCGATCCCTGTCTTATCAACAACTAGTGTGATATCTCGTATGCATTTATGCTTCAACAAGCATTTCTAGATGGACTTTCCCGACGCTCGCTCACTCTCTACAGCCACGGCATTTGACGTTAGGCCTGTTGAACATTTCTTGACTATGACCACGTGAGCCCTCCAGACCTTCGTTCCAGACATCCAGCCTGTCATTATTTTCGCTTAGTCATAATCTCCGTCCGACTTTACCAGTCGATGGACTTTTCCCCTTCTCCTTACTCCATGATGATAGCACAGCCTATGTGGTTCTCATTTGATACCGATCGTGGCACAAGATGTCCGAATCTCGGTATCGGGTCAACAAACGTGCGATACAGGCCTGTATAAACTGCCGGTGAGTTCTCGCCACGCGCTTCTCCGCATCGAGTACTCGTGGTTTTGAGACTTGCTAAACTTATCCTGCTGGATAAGGAGGAAAAAGTCGCGGTGCCCTGGAGAGAGGCCGTCTTGCTCATCCTGCTCTCGTCTGCGACAGAGTTGCAAGTATGCAGATGATCCTATCGGTAGCATCACAACGGACGCGGCACAAGGCAGTGCCAGAGATCTGGTAGGGTGTCCCTTCTCTACGGACGCAGTCGCTCTGCTTATTGATGACAAGGAAGGCCGACTTGCGCAGTTGGAAGAAAAGATGGATTTGATGCTGGAGAGAACACCGTATGATCTACCCGGATTCTCTGCAAGACCATCAGAGAATATGAATCAGCTCCAACGACTAATGCTTCTGCAGAACAGCAGGGGAGGCATTTCGAGCAGGGGGGACATGCTCGACTGAGACTCCAAGGTCGGCTTCGGGCAGACTATGGTCTCAGTCAATGACAGCCGCCTCAAACGACATGCCCCCGAAGGACGCTATTCTCGAAGTCATCGAGGTCTACTTCCAATCCTGTCATATGCAACCCCTGTGGCTATTTGATCGTATTGATCTCGCAAATCCAGAGGAGTGTTCTGAAGAAGTCATTCTATCTTTGTTGGCGCTATCATTGCGCTACTCCACCCACGCCTACTTCGAGGGCCGATCGGAAAAGCTGACACGGAAATATACGCAACTTGCCCACGAGCATATCATGTTCAGAATCGCCCGGGGCAATGTGAAACTCTCGACCATACAAAGTCTCTGCATGCTCGCTCTGGCCAATTTCCTCAGTGAGTCCAGTCAAAGCCTTTACCTTCTTGGTAGTGCTGATATTCATGGAAGTAGCCAAAGACATGCACCTTACCTCGCTTTATCTCGGGATAGCAACCACATTCGTCCAGAGCACCTCTCTCGATATTGAAGCCTATAGGGGCGAGCGATCTACAAGCGCAGAGTGCCGAAGGAGAGTTTTCTGGAGCCTGTATTTCCTAACCCAGATCTACGGCCATCAAAGCCCCATGCTCAACTTTCTGAAAGACATCGACCATCCCAAATATGTTGGGTCACGCATGAATCCTCAGAAGGAACTACTCGACTTATTGCCTCCTTCGACGCCACAGGAGGCGATGCAGATCAACGAAAGCCCCAACGCTGGAATCTGGGCATACATGGTCCAGCTGTCAACGCTCTGGCGAGAAGTGCGGACATACATGATGCAATGTGCACACTCGCACAGCGAGCCACCTTGGTCGGTCAACTCTGGCTACGCAGTGATTGGTGCGCACTTGATGGATCTGGAAACAAAGCTGCCGACCTTCCACAGATACGACTCAGCCAGATTCGCGGACCGCTCGCGCGAGGAACTGCAGCGGAATCGAACATACTGGAGCCCATGGCTCTATCTCCAGTTCACATACCATTCTATTCATGCCATGCTCAATCACCCTTTTATCAACTCATTCAGCCCACGGCGATCAGCTCACCTCGGAGTACCAAACACTTTTTGGAAAACCTCATCGGAACAGGCCCTCATCCACACCACGTGGATCGTGCGGTTCATCGACATGCTGTCCGGGAAAGCCTATCGTGTTTCTGACCCTTTCATCGGCCACTGCGTCGCTCTTGCAGGCACAATTCAGATCTACTTCTGCGGAGCACCCACTAGACGAGCCAGAGACGCGGCTCAGGTCAAACTGGCGACATGTCTGAGATTCCTGGCTGAGATGGCCCAACTGTGGCCGGCATGTCAGATCATGGTAAGTTCGTTTTTCAATTTCGCGCTCTCTTATGAACTAGAAATACCTAATCTATCGAACCTCTCCCTTGAAATTGCCGAGACACGCTCAACTGACCGTCCTCTAAACAACAGCACGAAAAGCTCCAAGCCTTGATCCAATCAGCGGTGACATCGGCACGCTCCAACAACGAAGACCGCGAACCGACACGGCGGACGGTGTCGATCAACACAAGCCTGATGTGGGAGCTCCTTGACTACACCGACGTAGGACGCAACCACCGACCCACGACACACCCTTTATCATCATCATCAACTTCAGCCTCTGGTTCTGGCTCCGTTTCATCGCCCAAACTTTTCCACCCCTCTCTCTTCCCCAACACCGGCGCGACCACCAACCAAGGCCACACGGTGCTCGAAACGCAGATCTTCCACGTCCCGGCCGGCGAACCCGACACCTCGGATGGCGGACAAGCCATGCCGCCGTACGCTGGGCATGCCATTGACGACGACGGTGACGACAACACAGAGGACGACGAGGACCGCTCCGATCCCATCCAAAACCGACACCAGGATCATGACGGAGCGGTCGAAGACGACACGGCCCTGACCCCAATGGCGACAAACACATACACACCTTCATCCTCCGCCGCCACCGCAGCCGCACAGCGCGCACAAATGCAGTACCCACCGCTCGTCGAGCTGGCCAACTCGCCCTGGGCCTTCTCCGGCAACTTGTCCGTGCTGGACGGCGGCGGCGGTACATCGTCGCGTGATCCGTTTCTTCAGTTCCAGGATATCGGGAGTCCTTTTTTGGGGTTGTGGGAGGTTGGGAGTTTGTGAAATGAATTTATGGTCTACTGCCTTGAATGTTTTAGGTTGCTTTCTGGTGTTGACTACGTCGCTCTACTGGGATTTGAACTCAACATAGAGCGTTCGCACTTCGTATGAGACGGCGCAGGCCAAGGGGCGCGGGTAGGGACGAAGAGTGTAACCGGCATTGATTACTGGAACATAAAGTCATGAATATCGTCAATGTCATTCAAAGCCAGAAAAGGCTCTCGCAATATAATGATACATGGTAGTAAAAAAATTTTCTCCATTTTCCAATTCAGCCAATATAATCATCAAACGCCAGATACCTGGTTCTCCCATAGGTCATCCTACAGCTGATCGCTGACAGGGTACTTGCTATATAAATACGCCGAAAGAGACTCGCCGCCTACATTGCCAAATTCATCGACTTCCATATCCCAGTTTCCCCCGCCCAGGAATTCATGGAATGGGACATTCAAAGCGTCGAAGTTGATGGCAGATTCGTGGACAGGACTTGGTGCTCGGATTATTTGTTGAGGTGGTGGTAGTTGTGGGGTTGGTGGGGTTGGCGGTGTCTTGCTCTTCAACTTGTCCCTTGCCGGCCGCTGTGTAGCTGATCTTGATTTTGAGTTCGACACAGATTGTGGCCGAGACGAGGCGGAGGATGAACGATGACTGAAGCTTCCATATCCAGAGTCCACCGAGGATGTTGTAGAGTGTTTGGGTTTCAGTTGAGCAATGGGTTTAGGAGCTCGAGGCTGACTGCTGCTTGAGACCATGTTTGGTTGAGCACCTTGGAAGTCGAAAGAATTCTCAGAAGGAGCAACTGCAGTAGCGGACACTTGATTCGCTCCTTCAGTGGCTATCGAAAGGCTTGGGTTGAAGTCGAAAGTGAAAGCTGAGATTGCGAGTCCGTGTTCGTCCCCGTGGCTCCAACTATTGCACTCATCGTCGTACCGATCATTCTCGACATCTGTGACTATTGGAGTAGGAAACACCACACCCGGTCGCGCAAAATCTTGTTGAACAGGGGGCTCCGGTGATGCTACCGCTGGTGCCGCTGGTGCATGCTGTTGCATGGATCGGGATGGAAAGGGCCTGCTGAAACTCTGGCGATGAGCAGGCAACAGGAATTGCGAGTCCGAGCCTGATCTGTACGTTGAGCCTGGTCCGTTCACTGGCGAGGGTGGGATTGATGAGTTTGGTGTCAGTGAAATTGAGCTCCGTCGTGTTGATCCCGGCGCTCTTGCTGAGATTGGTGAGATGTCAAGGGAAGGGTTTCCGTTTGACGGGCTATTTGCATTACCAAGTCGTAGAAGAACATCTGTCATCGATGCTCTCAACTGTTCTCGAATGAACTCTCGTGCCCCTGGCAGACGAAGCCAAGCCTGCTCTTGGGCGTCCCCATGTCGATTCAATCGTGACTCAAAGACCTCACCAAGAACATCCATAGCATCTTGTGGTGGAGCCGCCCCAGGGCTAGCCACCGAGGGAGTTTGTGCCTTGACATTGTCGGCATATGGGCTAAGTGGATGCGGTTGCCCTGGGAATAAGATTCCAAAGATGGTATACCAGACTTGTTCAGGACTGCTTGCAGGTCTCTTGCGTCGAATGTCATTGTACTGTACTTCGTCAAACTTTTCTGGACAAGGGCATTCGGCAAGGGAACAGCCATTGAGCTCACGCATGTGATGCTCCAGCTGCTCCTTGGTCTCGAACTTGTTCCAACACCGTAGACAGTGTAGCCTACGACAATGGACTCGGTACAGATGTTGCTTCAGGCGAGAGATATCGGGCCAGTATCCACTTGAACAGCCACGATACTGTTTCTCTTGCATGTTGAGCTCCGAGTACCTCGATTTGTCAAATTTGCAGTATGGACAAGCGTACAGCTTTTCCGGTGAAGCAAGTGCGTCTGGATCTTGCTTCACTTTCTTTGGTGTGCCAGCTCCAGCTTCATCCTCCTCATCTTCGTGAGGTCCGCCAGATGGCGATCGTTTCGGTGAAGGTTTTTGATTCGAGCCTATTGAGTTCGAAGGCGAGATGGATGCTTGTGCACCCGCTGCTTTGCGTTTGTTTGCATGCGACCGAACGTGATCCGTACTTGCCAGATCTGGAAACTGAGCACCTACACCTGTCGCAGCTTCTTGCATTTGTTTGAGAAGTGCAGTTTGCAATTGGAGTGCGAAAACTTGTTGCTTGACTTCAAGTGCGGATTCTCGTTCTCGTAACGAGGCACGTTGTTCCTTAAGTGATACCTCTCTTTCCCGCCAGATGAGGTCTTTCTCACGAGAAGCTATATCCTGCTCGCGTCGGCGGATTTCTGCATCTTCTCTTTGCTTAAGAGCAGCTGGAGTTCTGCCATAAGCAACATGCTTCGGATTTCTTGCCTCAAGAATGTCATTGTATGCCCACGGGCTCACAGCAGACATTGTTGCTTGAGGAGACTCTGTGAACCGAGCTTCCTCGATCACAGAATCTGGCACGCTTAATCCCCACATCCCCGAAGCATATTGTTGAGCGTTGTGTCGATTTCCCTCACGATATGGTCGTGTCGTCGGCAGAGTTGTATCTGCTTCACGTGCCTTTGAAACGCTTCTTACTCTTTCAACAATTTCGTGCCTACAACTCCAGCCAGCTTGGTCACATGATGAACACACTATCCGATCACCATTCTCACAGATCGCACACTGATAATAGACCTGGCTCAATCGGATGGGGCTCTGGCAAGAATCGCATCTCATAGACCTAGGCGAGGTCTTCGCTGAAGCTGCTACAGGTGACTCGTCCTTTACAGTTACCTCAGAGGTCTTTGGATCGAGCTTGGGGGCATCTTCGGCCACGCTAAGAGGTTCGTTATCCTGAGTCCGGGTGGAGTTTTGAAAGGGTGTATACTGCGGGAGTTCGGCAGGAAGCTCCGCAATCGGAGGATTGAGGTACTGATGTATCTCCTCCTTGGTTTTGAAGTCATCTAGCGTAGGAGGGATTGACTTCTCTTTCTTGACTTGTCGACCTAATTTACTCAAGGGACGTTTTAGACTGAGCCTTCGGTTTAGGCTCAGCTTCTGAATGACCTCGGATGCAATGGTCTTTGTACTCTTATCGCGAAGTGGGATGGCTTCACCCCGAGCAATGGCGTTCTTCCTTCGCGCAGCAGCCACCTCTGCCGCCAGAAACGCCCGTCGTAGTTGCTCATCCTCCTTCTGTGCCTTGATCTGCTCCTGTTCCCTCTTCTTCAGAGACTTCTTGAGGAGCTTTTGGTACTTTCTCTGTTGGCTGAGGGTCTCTACGCGCAAGGGTGGGCATGGGTCCTGCGGCTCATACACGATGTCGGGCTGGCAGGCGAGGGCTGCAGAGGGTGGACTGATTGCCGAGATTGGGGAGTCTCTGTAGCGGCTCAATGAGGCAGCTTCTGCATGTCTGTGCAGAGTCGACAAAGAGTCGAAGCTTGTAGACCGGTTCAGTGGGTTGGGTAGAGGGTCCGAGATAGGCAGATCTTGGAGATGGCCTATGCGATAAGGATAAGGCAGAGTGCGGGTCTTGCGTATGATGGTACGGTGCAAAGAGTTGGGAGTATCGAGCGGATGCCATGACTGTTGTGAACGCAGTTTGTTCTGAGTTTGATCAGCGATGAGGAGCTCTTTGAGCTCATTGGGAGACTCGTCATCGTGGATGCTGATCCTGGCACGAATGTCGGGCTGGTCCCTGGTGCGGAGAGGGAGAGCGGCCATGGTTTACGGATTTCTGCCCAAGCTGGCGGGTGGTGATATCGCGGAAAGCAGATTTCAATCAGGATTGCGTGGCCGTGGCGAGTCGATGGCAAAGATCAGATCAATACAGCTTGGAAAGAAAGCAAGAGTGGAAGGACTGAGGCAGCCATGTTTGCTTGGGCCATGAGGATAGGCTGTGTTTTTTGATCAGCTTGAGATCGTGGTTTTGAACCACACAGGTGTTCAATGCACGGCCGCAAGCCAACCGGGGCGGTGGAGCGTTTTGACGGCATGGCTGCACAGGCTGCATAGGAATGAACCGTTGGCAGCACCCAGTGGTCTCTCACCGAGCCCTCAGCCTGTAGAAGTACGGAGTAGTGGGACTGGCTTCGGTTAGGCGAACAGACCCTGGAGGTTTCCAGGCATGACGAGGACTCCCAAGCACCCAAAAGTCCGCCTGAAGATAATACGGATGGCACCGAAGAGAGCGGGGACGATGGGGGTTGGATGGACACCTGTAGGTTTTACCAGGGGGCGGCACGGGGACGGGTATGGGTACGCCCACTCAGCCACAGGGCCGCAAAAGATCCGAGTAAACTATTTGGTCTTACGAGCAATTAAGGGTGGCAGTAATACTGTGCCTGCCCAGGTAGGGACTGAAGGACAGCAGGTGTCAGCCACAAATAGTAATGTACGATCAGACTAAATCCACTCGAATCTCTCAGCCACACGAGTCTGCCTCGCCTGCTTCGGTCCTTCCCTCATCGAGAAATGGAGTCTTGGGGCGATGACTCGACGTGACGATTGGTTGAGATCCAACGCGGTCGTAACTGCCTCTGACGTGCTCGTGTCCGCTGAGCGTTTTATTCTCGATTATTAACCGATTTGCACCAAGCACAGTCTCTCGGCACTGCAGGACAAGAAGGATCTCGAGAGCGCGTGTGAACGAAGGACGGCGGTTTTACTCATCAACGACAATACGAGCACTCTGGCTTGCAGCTGCTCATGAGTCGATTGTTGTCTACAAAATAAGTTCCCCCCTCCATTGTCACCTTTTGCTTTGTAACAAAAATCGTACGTTCACGGATCCTTACACACGCAAAAGATACCCTCCGCCATCATGGCCATGGATGCAGCAGCCAAGCGATTCTTCACCTCGCCATACTTTGCAGTCGTGGGGGCGAGTCAGGATGAATCCAAGTTTGGATACAGAAGTAAGTCTGTTTTGAGCTTCGAGTTTCGTGTCTCGACCCCCAAGTTCCCAGCCTGGTCATGTCATGTCATGCCATGTCATATCCCCCGGAGAAGGACAAAAACTCCCCCGAGATGGAAGAGAAGCTCCGGATTCCACAATTATCGCAATTATTGCCTGTTGCCTGTCTCTTGTCTCATCTCCTCTGATCTCTCCCAAACAGTCTTCGCATGGTACCACACACACAGCCTGCCGGTGGTGCCCATTAACCCGACGCGGCCCAGCATCTCAGTCCCTTCGAAGCGCTACGACACCGTGCCTTTGGTAACGATGCTGCCACACGCATCAGAGACAGCAGTGTCTTTCCTGACGCCGCCTGCTGTTACGCGCAAGGTGCTGCAGGAGGCACAAGCCGCTGGTGTCAAGGCCGTTTGGCTTCAGCCGGGCAGCTTCGAAGCCCAGGATCTGGAGTTTGCGAAGAAGAACTTTGAGTCCGCGGTCGGTGGGTATGAGGATGGCACGGTTGGTGGTGAGGGTTGGTGTGTGCTTGTCGATGGTGAGAATGCTTTGAGCGATGCGGGCAGGAGCTGGGGGAGACAGAAGCTGTAACTGGACCATTGGTGTAGTTCCTCGAGTCGGAGGATTGAGGGTAAGCTCAATGAATAGGCCGAAGGCGTCCCTCTTAATCCTATGAGAGACTATGTATATCATTAACTCCTTAGATCAGATCACAGACTGGCGGACCCTGGCCGCAGCATCGACATCAATCTTTGTTGCATCCCTAACTAAGCTCCTGGCTAAATGAATTAGACAACCTTAGAATCTCGTTAAATCTTGCACATTCCATCGTTCCACTCCTCAGCTCATTTCCGGTTCCTTTGCCTTACTCGTGGACGCTCTTTCGATGTCCAAATCGGATATTCTCTAGTGCATCACCCTCCTCCACAGTAGCAACACCGCCCTCGACCTTGCTATTCAGCAACTCCTGCTCTGTAATTGTCTTGACCGGCCCCTTAAACCAATGCATGGCACCCCACCTGGGGAAGAACCAGCCAACCAGACTGACGGTACTGATAATGCCGATGCAGATGGGTGCGTAGTTCAGCGTTTGACTATCAACAGGATATAGCTGGGGCAGCACCAAGGCGGCGAACAAGAAAAGGATCCAAGCGGTGGCGATTCCGGCGAGCGGAGCCGAGAATTTCCCCAGGTTCCATTTCGCAGGTACGAAGCTCTTGCGCCCGACAGTTTGTCGCGCCACGATCGGGATCAGGTAAGAGAAATTGGTGGTGATGGTCGCAGTTGCGGTGATAGCAGAAAACGCGACAGTCGAGCCTATCACTGCCGTCGTGATGGCGATGCCGAGCACGCACACCAGAAAGGCTGCGTTGACGGCCATTTTCCGAGAGGAGAGCTTGCGAAAGAAATCGCCAAAGGGAAGCACGTGGTCGCGTGCGATGGCGTACGTGACCCGCTGCGCAGAGAGGAAACAACTCGCTGTTGCGCAAGTGCTATCGACCCAGAGTAAGACGAGAATAGCCACTGCTCCGTCTTCGCCAATCAGTTGGACCAGATACTCAGCCCAGTTGTTGGTGTACGTGGCCGCGATGATGCCGTCGAAGTCCTGGATGCAGAAAAAGATGATGATGAGTGTTGGCACTGAGAGGATCCAGGCTGAGAAGGTCGACACCCAGATGCCTTTGGCCACCACGGTCGAGGCTTGTTTGGTTTCTTCCGCTAGATGGGCAGACTAGATCGATCATTCCATTAACATCCTGACCTTGATTCAAGTGAGTACTGATTGGATGTTCATTGTCATAGACAAGGCTTTTGGAATGCTGGTAGGGAAAAGCAAGTCGGGGGATAGTTTCAAAATCTCTATACATCACCCTTTATCCAAGCCTTCATGGTTTTGTGGACGAAACAATCTCGAGAAAAGGGACGGTATTGGAATTTATTCAAAGCAACTTACCGCATCATAGCCATAAAAGATCCAAGCCCCAAAAAGGACCGAGACAACCCTGTCAGAGAAGAGCAAGCGTTAAAACAACGTTTCTTGGGGGTGGGCGGGTGGCTCCGAAGTAGAAACCTCACCCCGACGTACCAACAATAAGCATCTGAAGCCTGCTTTTCCTCTCCCAAATTGATACCATTATAAAACAAGCCAAAGACACCATAACTAGTGTTGAAATGCTTCTGGGATGCCTTGACAGGAAACCACAGCCAATAGAGGAAAAACAGGGCGAAGAAGATGAAGATGGCGAAGCGGAAGTACAGCTGCAACAATCTTGGACTGTAAACGTTGGGGATCATGGCAATCACCAGGCCAATGCTGGTCAAAAGCCACAGAAACCAGCCTTTGTGCAGTACTTCTTCGTCGGGATACTTGATCTGCAGAGCAGAGATGAGGAAATTCGTCGCGCCTTGCTGTACACCGGGCACGACCGTAATCCACCCGCCCCAGTTCCACCACGCAGTCATCCAGGACAGGAAGGGGCCATACTTCTCGCCGCCCAGGCGGTAGCTCCAGAAGTATATCCCTCCAGTTGTAGGGAGCGCGGACGCAATTTCGGCAAGAACAAGGCTGACGATACATGAAAAGCCACCGACCATCGTCCAGTTGGCAAACGCCGCTTTGGGCCCGCCTGTATACATGACCCAACCAAAGAGAACGGGGATTCCCGAGATGAAATTCATCGTCGAGAACGTTGCCGCCCATGATTCGAAGAAACCGAAGGCCCGGTGGAATTCTTGCTTGTAGCCTAATGTCGCGAGGTGATATTCATCGTGTGTTAAGACGACGCCCAACGAGACTTCTTCTTTGGCATTTGTAGAGTCGGCTGTGTCCGAGGATGTGTTCTTGACATCGGTGCTTGAGGCTCCTTTCTCCACCGCTGGATCCATCTCTGCAAAAGCTACTCGGTACGAAGTACCAAATATCACCGGTAGATAAAACGGATACAACAAGTCGTCGGGCCAGAGGCTGGAGATATTAGGTAGACTTATGTATATGGATTTATTAGTGGCAAGATAAAAGGGCCTCGAGATTTGAGGTCGGAGATCTGCACGATGTCGACAGCATCCATCATCACAGATAATATGTGCCTGCCCCTCTTATGTGCCTGGTCTGGCCTGGTCGATTGCAGCAAACACAAAGTACCCTGGCACGACTCGCAACCTGTAGCTATCGTCCGACACGGAGTACTCCATAGTCAACCTTGTGCAGCAGATCGAGCTACAAAAGCACCTGGCTGGTTTAAGTTTAATTTCGCTGGATTTATGAACCTTGATGGGGCTCGGCTGTAGCTTAGTTCAAGGCAGTCACTCCTGCAATCCACTGTTTGGCGATTTCTTGTTATCACAGGTGGTCTTTTCGAGTAGTAACCTCCAATGAACAGTTGGCAACCTGAGAGCTTACCACCGAATTGACACCGGCATCTGCCCAGTCGGCACTACGTTTTGGGCGCCCGGCCCGCCCGGGGAAGTCTAAAGCGGGCCCGATGGAGGCAGCTTGTCATCTCTTAGATTGGTGCTTGTTCTTTGATCAAAGTGGGGTTGCATGAAAGACAGGTTCCTCTGGCTCTGATAAGGCCTGGGCACTTCCAGTACCATCCCCAAGATACGAGGAACCGAGGACTCCCTAGAAGAGGACATTATCGCTGCGTTGCCCGAGGCGTCGGTTATCTCCAGGGGTTTGTGCACTGATATGTCACAGCATCACAGGTTCTGCTAGAGTTTGCCTATGCCAGATCCATGGAATCGGGTTGCCCACGTGGCGCTGTGTGACGAGAAATCTTATAGAGGGAACAAGCTCGTTTCCCCCAGCACTGGGAGGAGGGCGACAATGGACGGGGTTGAATCCCACAGGAGATGCGCAGTAGAGTCAGCCCAATTGCCCAGAGTTCGTATCCCATGCAATCGCGTACAGAGGTCTCGACACTTGTTTGCCGGAGAGTGGCGGATGCTCGTTTTACCTGACTAGCTAGTCGCGGGCGTCCAGGTGTCAGTTTTCCAGACCCAGAAATTCAGGACAATAGTTGTCAATTATGATATGAATTTCAATATGGAGGATTTTTATGAAAGAGTTGCTGGCACCAAGGGAAATATTCCAGTAGGCACACGTGTCCGAATGCGGAAGATGGATTGGCGAAGGGTCTCGCGTAGGAATATGGTACACATACACACTAGGGAGGCAGTTACCCTTGTTCCTGAATGGACTTCTATCGTCAAGTGCTATAGCCTCTATCTTCCAGTCATCTTCCTTTCGTACCATCTCAGTGGTGGATAAACAAGCAAGGTGATGGCACCAGACATGTAAACACCGACATCACCACCATAAGGTCCAAACTTGGCGGCTATTGGTCCAACATACTACAACCGAGTTAGCAACCATGTGGCAGTTCATTAAGGTGATGGTGACTTACCCAGACCTGAGCCATGCCCGGCAAACCGCCAGCGAGATAGCCAGCTAGAAGAGAGGTGACTGCTGCAAGACCCCAAGGAAGCTTTTTGGGATTATCCCAGGCTTCTAGATCATAGCCCTCTCCGGATCGCTTCCGGAACCACTGGTCTTCAACGAGAAGGATCAGGGTCCAAGAAATTGTCCAGTAGCCCAACAAGGACACGAAGTTCGATACAATGGTGGATAGGTGGTCTTTGCCGACAATGGCTAGAATCGCAACCACCAGTGCGACAAGGAACGACCAGACGAAACGAGGCACGGCATGGAAGTAATGACCTAGCAGTTGCAGTGAGAGCCCTGATGAGTAGTTGATCGCAATATTGTTGCCTAGAACGCTGAATGTTAAGATGACAAGACAAAATTTCGACCATCCCAAGGGGTGATAGATCTCCCTCAGCAATCCTCCCAGACCATGCTCCTCATAGGCGGTACTGTACGGCGGATAGGCGCGGGTTATAGCCGCATTACCCATACATGCTCCGACAACGATGGCAAAGGTGGTTGGGATCGTGACTCCAGCTAGTGTCAGACTGTAGACTTTCCATGATTTTGTCTTTGCAGGATAATTGCAATAATAGTCAGCAGCCATAGAGCACCAGCCACTAGCGTTGGAGAAACTGATGGCCATGAAACTGAGCCAGGAGCCTGCATACCCAAGGCCAGAGCCGAATCCTGGAGCTGATGGTTCAACATGTGGCGCTGCTTGGCCGACCAAGACTAGCAGGAGGATGAATGATGCAACCCAGCTGTACTTCTCGAATGTATGGATAATGGAGAAGCCGAAGACAGAGACAACGTAGGATATAACGGCCACGATCACACAGCCAACAGTCACCGTCATCGTGAAATCTGACACTGCACTGAGCATCTGTCCGGTAATGACGACGTTGACGACCGCGAAACCGCCACCGATCACAACATTCAAGACACTGCACAGCTTCGCTCCCCAGAAGCCAAATGAGTATCGACATGTTGCGATTGCTCGAAGCCCAGTCTTCGGCCCGAGGGTCCCTGTGTATGCAGTACAAAGTGCCCCTAGAAAAGTGCCAACGACAATAGCGGCACACGAGTCTGGAAGAGTCAATCCAAGCTCTGGTCCAAGGAAACCCAGAGGAAGTGCGCCTATGGAAGTCAGAAATTCGTACTTTAGGGAAGATGCCGTTGATGGGCTACTGTTAAAAGAGGCTGCAACTACTTACCAACATGGCAAGTCATCGACCACCACATGAGGAATGTATTGATCAAATGCGGCGGCCGCTTTTCTTCCTCTGGTATGCGATCGATGCCCTGAGTCTCGATCCCCAACTTTTTGTCCAACCAGATCTCTCCTCTGCCCAAGAAGCGGAGAGGTGCAAGGGCATTCTGTATGTGTCTTGCTCTGGCAACCTCGAAAGCGGGAGTGACGCTGCCATGTCGAATCTCTGGCTCTGGGCGAGCTTCGCCGGTGCTCGGGTTTTTCTCCAAGTCGACGTGTTTGGACTCGGACGACGCTGTTGACGAGTCGGTAGTTGCCATGTTAGTTGCTTGAAAAGTCGCACATGTATCTGTAGAGGGCAGTTCACGGAGTTGTGAAAGAAGACAAAAGAATCGCTTTTAATTGTCGACGGTCAGATGAGGGTCACAGAGTTTATAAAGCAAGGTGGCCTACCCCGGCCATGGCCGATGTATCCCGTAAAGATGAAGCGATCAGCCATTACCTCCATTGTACCCTCAACGAGGATCGGCTAGTTAGCAGCATATCTGGATGTAGGTAGCATCCAGACGATCGAGCTGTCTTTAGCGACGAAGGCAAATGAGTGCGACCATGGAGCTTGCCACATGGACGACCCCATGTCTGCCAGCCAGTCAGCAGAGCGAAACCGTTACAAGGTTTGCGTCTAGGGGCCCATCGAGGGTGTGAGAACAAGATCCCAGCCCACAGACAGATAAGGATTGTCCAGTGAAACAACTCGCCCTCACGCGGCCCTGTCAATACCGGAAAGCACCGAAACATTAACGTGCAAATTAGATCGCGAGTTAAGTCATTCAATGAGATATGAGTTTGAATCCTAGAGGAAAGGCAGGCTGTCGTTGCCATTGAAATCTTTCTTGAGCATAAGAAGCGTTGTAGTCGCAGCTTGGAAAACCTTCTTTATCGTGTTTCTCAAGCACGAGTGCTTGGCATTGCAGATAAGCCTCACTAAGCTCTCTGGGTCGGTGCTTGTTTTCCCACCGGAGAGAATTGGGCACCATGCCCCCATCATGCCGGCACATCCTTCCTCCATTTCTCCGGCTGTTGAGTGCAATGAACACAACGAAATTGGAGCGGAGATCTGAGAGTCTCAGCCATACCGAGGGTGCCGACGATCGTTGAGGTGTTGTGCGGTATCAAGGTTGCACGATAGCTTCAGTTTCCAAGGTTTCTTACCTCCGCCCACTCATTGACTGATAGAGGAGCTGTGGAGTTCACCCATGGAGCTGATATTCAGCAAGCCACATAATGGATGTGTTCTCTTTGTTGAGTTTGTATGCCGCAGTCTGGGTCTGGCGTTAGAATTTGTGGCTGGTGCTGTAGTTGTTCACTAAAGTATGTGCCAGAGACCAACGGTAGGTTTGATGCAAAATCTCCAAATGAATGGCAGGTCATCACCAGGTGTTTCCGATATACAATCTATGCTGCAGGCATCTGACAATCAAAATTCCTCGACTTGTGCAGACCACATGTATAGGTCTCCTAGAGATAAGATCCAAGGCTGTGGCGGCGATTCGGGCTCTCTCCTGACGAACCCGTCCTACGAGATCCGAAATATACATGATCTCACTAGAGAAATCATCCGGTTGCTCGTTCTAAAAGATAGTACATGTCTTCTCTAGATAGCACGCTAGAACACCTCGCTATAATGATACACCCTTTTCAACAAACAATATGGAATGCCAGTAGTAGTCGTATTGAACTCATTAACCATTGAGTCCAAGAATGGGATCGATTCTGACAACAAGGCGCGCCGTTCTTTGCTGCTGGAACCGCTCCTGGGGGCATGCTAGCAGCTCGATGATAGACTTTTCAAGACTACAAAGCGAATTTGAAGACGGTGGTGACGCGGCACGAATGCTCAACCACGGGTCCTCCGCAGTATAGATGTGATTTTATTGAGATGAACATGCGGCCGGCGGGATTTCATGCTCCGTTCTGATTCGGGTTGGGCTTTGGACTCCTCTGCTGACTCACGAAATAAGTCGAGTTGCTTCGACTGCCACGCTGCCCAACGGTCTTGCTGCGACCTCATCTGTTTGGTAATTTTGTCGTGCATCTCAGACGCAGTGCTAGCACACGATTTGCTGGACGAGACCGATGATGAATGTGGTCTCTGGATGGATGGTCTCGAATCAGTTGTAGAGGAGGAAGACATGATAGGATGGATTTTTGTTGATATTCTGGCAAAGGAAATGAAGATGATTGTTTGCAAGTAAAAAGTTTGGAAGATCTGTAGATAGGCTGGTATGGATCTAACTTTCAGTGGGCGAGATAGGATCTATAGGAAGAATGAATCAGGGGCCATGGAAGTCAACATGCACGGCAATAACGGGACAATCAATCGAGTGATGGGCTGCATACTACATTCTACCAGAAGTAGTCGTACCCTAGCGGGGCGCAATGTTGGTACAAGCAAGGGGCGTAGACTTTAGCCACAATGCTTGACGACGCAACTGTTTCTGACAAATCGTTCCAGAAGGCAGACAAGACGCGGAGGGAGATGATTCGGGGCGAAGCAGAATCGCATCGCAAGTTGCAACAGGAGAAGAGAAGCTTGGGCGAGGGAGGGTTGATTAGCAGGAAGGGCATTTACGAGTACATAGTTTATCAGCGGGAATCTCGCCGAACGGGAGGTGAGGGAATAAGTGGCGGGGTGGTGCTTTCCGCGGAGTTCTGGGTTGAATAGTCGGCAGGAGCACCTCGCCAGGACCAGGAAGTCCGTACTGCCAGGCACCCACCAGGACGGCGATAGGCGATGAGTCAGGACTGGATATCAATTAATTGTCTGGTTTGATTTCAATGCTTTGTCGTTCTGTTTCTGTATTATAGAAGTGATCGAACAACGGAGAACGTGAGCTAGAGAAGTTCACACTGTCGCCAAACATGAAAGCGGTTGCAGCAGCATTTGCGGGTTGGAGACATGGAAGTGCTTGTGCGAGTGATGCCCAAGAGGCAGAAGAGGTTACTCAGGTTTTGCCTGGCAATTGCCAATGTTATCTTTATGTTGGGCACACGACATCGGGATTATGAACATGAACCAGATGTGAAACCAAGCTGAAGAAAAGTGAGAGAGCCTGGGACCCTGGGGCCCTGGGCGTGGTACGGAGTACTACTTGTACGAGCAGTAAGGACATGGTAGGATGGGGCATTGTTAGTATCACTGTTGCTTGGGCGACGGGGGTCGCCTAAACAGAAAACCGGACTAGGCCCTGCAGAGGAGCTGGTAGGGGGAGTCCACCGTTGCCCACCGCCCACCGCCCACCGCCCAACGCCCAGTGTCAACACCGTCGCCAATTTCTGTGTCTCATTCAGGAGCCTCAGCAATTGTTCGTTCTTTCTGCAACTCCAAGTCTCACACCACACGCTGCCGGTCACGTCAAGTACAATTGATCTGCAAAGGAGAAGAACAATTACTCCTAGTCTTGGGTATTAGCAACCATGGTGAGTGTCTTTCTCTCCTCATTCGCCCATCCATCGGCCCGCCGAGAACAGGAGAGGAGGTGCCGGAGAGGCAGGTGCAGTCAACAGGCAAGGGACAGGCAAGGAAGGGATGGCCCGACAACCACACAGACTGCATCAACCGCCTGAACCTCAGCCCTCGTGAATCTCACCCGCGCAGCAACCACAACAAACATCACCACCTCTCTTATCTTCTCAGCCACCTCTTCTCAACCCCCTCCCCTCAGCCCGCACGGCCTCGATTCACACAATGGCTAACATGCAAACCTCCCAGACTTCCACCAACTACAAAGAAGCCTTTTCTCTGTACGACAAGCGCGGTAATGGCCGTGTCGCCCTCGAATCACTCGGTGACCTTCTCCGTGCCTGCGGACAAAATCCCACCCTGGCCGAGATCAGAGATTTAGAGAAGAATGTGGGCGGAGATTGTAAGACTGGGATTGAGCTCACGCAAAACACAATCCCCGACTAACACGATCCTAGTTGACTTCGATTCCTTCAGCAAAGTCCTCAATCGACCCGGTGGTTTCAGAGACCCTGGCGAGCCTGAGGAATATTGTCGTGGCTTCCAAGTGTTCGACAAAGACATGACTGGTTTCATTGGGGTCGGCCAATTGCGCTACATTCTGACCAATTTGGGCGAGAAGATGAGCGACGAAGAAGTCGATGAGCTCCTGAAGGCCGTCGATACCAGCAGTGGTGAGATCAACTACATGGAACTTGTGCGGACCATTCTTGCAAACTAGATTGCTCCGGCAACAATTCGTTTGCAGGTTTTGGCGTTGGATCACGACTACACGGTTTTATGGAATTACACAGCATTGCCTCTCAATGGTTGATTAGGGCTGGTGGCTTTGGCGCACCAACGGAGGTCGAAGGTCGGACGTCTGCGATGCATTCAAAGCGAAGCATCACTCCGAGCCACCGGTCTACGGGTTTGGGGGTATCTCAGATATAAATACAGAAACCTTCGCATGCCCAGTTTTGTCCACTCTTGTCCGCTGCTCATCCCATCTGTTCAGCCCAAGCAGGCACTTCAGGCCGGGTCCCTTTCACCATTTCTGCCGTTTCAACCAATCCTCCAGGCAAGAGATAAATCGAGCTAGACGTCTGCAGTGCGTCCATAACATACCCTAGCACCAATTTGCATCTTCCGCATCTTAATAATATCCTCTTCTCAAATCCATCCTCGCGCTGTACAATGATCGGTCGGCGATCTGGGAGAACATTCAACAAAGCTGAAGTAATGGATTGCGTAGACGCGTCATCTGTGCCAATGTCGCTAGATGTGGAGATGGTGGTGGAGGAAGGAATAATCAAAGCACGGTCTTGGACAGGTTCGCTTCTTCGAGGCAAAGACTCTAGACTGTGGATGGTGGCAACGACGAGGTTGCTGCAGAGACAATGATATGTCTTAAATGGAGAACTCGTAGGTAAGAGCTCTGGGTCGCCCATTTCGCAAGGTATTGAGACTGGGGTTCAGTATTTGTTATTTTTGACCGCGTGGTCAGGTCGTACCTTGATAGTGGGACAAATGTTTGATCTATACCGCACCGTTAATAAATCCTTTTTGGCGGTGATTTGCAGGCACTCAGCGAGGGCCTACCAGGCTCAGTGCATTTAGAGCCCCGCAGACCGGTGCCTGGATGCCTGGGTGGGCGCTGGGGCTGCTCCCGACGTCACCACTTCACGCTGACTTTGTTCAAAGACTCACTTCACTTCTGAAACCGCGTCGCATTGCTTCCGTTCGTAAATCTAGCCGGTGGACCATTTCATCAGCCCCATGAATAGCTTTTAACCTATGCCCCGAACGAAGGAGGCCTTGATAAAAGGCCTATAATGCCACCATTTCTCCCTCGCAAGAGGCTGAATTCCACGCCACCCGCCTCTGCTCGATCGTCTCCGATCAAAAAGGCAAAACTAGCAGATGTGTTGGACGCCGAGTCAAGGAATACCCCTGGCAAATATCAGATAACAACCTTCTCTCTTGGGAGCGACGAATCCGACTCCTCATTGAGTGACATCGACAATGACAAGTTTGAAGACGTCCTCGAACCCGAGAAAGCCAAGATCTTCGCAGCCGATGCGCAAGATGACCAGGATGACGATGAAGAAGATGTTGAATGGGAGGATGCGGGTACAAAACCACAAGAGACTGCATCTTCGCGGGCACATCTTGCAGATGGGCCAATTGAGTTGATTTTTCGCAAAGATGATAATGAGGTTGATTATGGGGCGGCCGCTGCTGCTACCTCTGGAAAGAAAGGCCCAACAAAGCGAGAGAAGGAGGCTCGAGTTCGGACACATCAACTGCACGTCCAGTTCCTCCTGTGGCATAATTCAATCCGCAATAGATGGATCTCAGACCAGCATGTTCAACAGACACTGGTCCAGCAACTACCTCCACAAATCAGCAAGGAAATAGATAAGTGGAAGAGAGCAAGTGGCTTGCCACCGGCCGATACACCTACAAAAACGTCTCAGACCAAGGACAAAAAGCGTGGAAAGCAGAAGAAGCCAGATCCTAGGATTGAGCGTGACTGGGGAAGACCAAGCCAACGAATGGAAGTTGGGAGAGCAGACATGAGCCATGGTGATCCTATCATACCTCTGATGAAAGTTCTCGCGGCTTACTGGAAGAAGAGGTTCGCCATTATTGCTCCAGGCCTCCGAAAACGGGGTTACGGCACAAAGCAGGCTCTGAAGCAGGCCATCTATTCCTTTAGAAATGACGAACATGACCCGGAAGAGCATGGTGAGAGGATCAGAAACATCATCGAATTTCGAGAAGCCGCCAAAAAGTGTGAAGGGTCTAGGGATGTTGGAGCACAGCTTTTCACCGCTCTCCTCAGGGCCATTGGGATTGAGTCAAGACTCGTGGCAAGCCTACAGCCCAGTGGATTTGGTTGGACGAAAGCCGAGCAGATGTCGCCACGAAAGCCAGCCCAACCCATTGACTCTGACACGTCTTCTGACGATTCTGACGAAGAAGAATCGAAATCCATATCCGAGATTGCCAATTCAAGGCCTGCTTCAAGATCAAGACCTGTCCCAAAATCCAGGAAGAATACTGGATCAGCTATCGATCCTGTCAAGTTGGACTTGGATACCGAGGACGATAAAGATGATGCCTCGCTTATCGACATAACACCCTCGATGCCGAGGAGGCGCTCGCAAAAATATGACCGAGACAACCCATTCCCAATCTATTGGACTGAAGCGATTTCTCCAGTCACGAATAAGGTCCTACCAGTATCACCACTGATACTCACCTCACCAGTGGCGGCGACCCCGGATGTCCTGTATGCATTCGAACCTCGTGGAGCCAAAGCTGAAAAGACGAAGACAGTCATCGCTTACGTTGTTGCTTACTCTTCGGATGGTACAGCGAAGGATGTTACGGTCAGATACCTCAAGAATAGGATTTGGCCCGGCAAGACCAAAGGATTTCGTTTCCCTGTGGAGAAAATCCCAATTTACACTAAACATGGCAAGATCAAGCGCTATGAAGACTACGATTGGTTTAAACGAGTAATGAGTGGCTACAGAAGACCAGACCTTTTGCGAACAGCTGTAGACGACGTGGAGGATGCATCTGACCTGGTTCCCCAACTGCCTCCAAAGAAAGAGGTGAAGGATGAGGTTGACACCTTGCAGAGTTTGAAGGCTTCGGCTGACTACGTTTTGGAGCGTTTCCTAAGACGCGAGGAAGCTCTGCGACCTGGTGTCAAACCTGTCAGGACCTTTGTTTCAGGCAAAGGAGACAATATGAAGGAAGAGCCTGTGTTCCGTCGTAGTGACGTTGAGAGATGTCTGACTGCCGAATCCTGGCACAAGGAAGGCCGTCGGCCAAAATCTGGCGAAGCTCCGTTGAAGCTGGTACCTGTTCGTGCAGTTACATTAACTAGAAAACGAGAGGCCGAAGAACATGAGAGACAGACAGGACAAAAGCAGATGCAAGGTTTGTATTCCTGGGATCAGACCGAGTACATCATACCCCCTCCAATTAAGAATGGCATCATCCCAAAGAACAGCTATGGCAATATTGACTGTTTCGTGCCGAGCATGGTGCCAAAGGGAGCCGTTCACGTCCCTTTGCGGGCAAGTGTCCGAATCTGCAAAAAGCTGGATATCGATTTCGCCGAGGCTGTCACCGGGTTTGAATTCGGCAACAAAAGAGCTGTACCGATCTGTACAGGTGTGGTAGTCGCCAAAGAGAACGAGAGGCTGCTCATAGACGCGTGGACAAAGTTCAACGAAGAACAGAGGAAGAAAGAAGAGACTAAAATGGAGAAACTCGTGCTGGACCTGTGGCGCAAATTCATCATGGGTCTAAGAATTCGAGAGCAGGTCCATGATGCTTATGGTGATGGAACCGAACTGCCGGCTCTCACCCAAGGCATGAGTAGAGATCTGCCGATTGCTCTCGATGACGATGATAAAGTCAACAATATGAGAGGCGTAAATCGACCTTTCGCGGAGGAGGACAGTTTCGGCGGAGGCTTTCTCCTCGATGATGAAGATCAGCCAATTCCTGAAGACCTCGAAATGTTTTATCACGATGCACCGCCCGACGTGACGGCGAAGTCCAAAGACAAAGAACGAGCGCTTGATAAATACGAGTATCCCACTCCATCCTCTGTATCGCCGCTAAAGCCAGGTATGCGTCGGCAGAGGAAGTCTTTACTTAGAGAATCATGCGAAAGCGAGGGTGAAACCTCAGAGCTGTCTTCTGTGCCCAGTGCTTCTGAGATGGAAGAAGACATGGCAGAGCTCGCTGAAGACGGCTCAAATGGTGTTGAAGGTCTCCGTCCCCAATTAACCGCTACAAAGCACCCGAGGAGTAGAATCGAAGTGGTGATACCTAGTGCAAAGCGTCGAAGCAATAGATTTCAACCTACCATCGCGACTCAATCCAGAGATGAATCTAATGAGCAACAGAAAACTGAGTCCGAGCCCGAGCTGTCTTCCGATAATGACCCAGGCAGTGAAGACGACTACCAACCCCCCACCAACGCATCTTTGCGAAAAATATCCAAGAAAGCTCCTGCCAGAGGGAGCGCGAGAAGCGTGAGAAAGGATACTAGCACAGGTGGTGCCAAGTCCGAGGTAGTCGACTCACTAGACGGGGACATGGACGACAATAACGAGCATGAGATCGTTACCTCCCAGCGCACGCGCACGCCTCGCCGCGGCTTAAGGCGAGATAGCATAATTGTGACAAGTCCCTATTTCAAAGTGAGATGAGGATCCCAGATTCAGAAAAGTTGCATTTGTCCTCAACCTGGGGGGGACTCGATTTCTGGTATGCAGGCATTGTACGAGGTATAGCATTGCAATAAAAAAGCTTGCTGAATTTGCCGTCTGGTATCTTGTAGACGTGGAATAGCCAATCACAGGAGGAAAGCCTTCGCTGGCTGGCACCTTCCCACCTTCAACGAGCAGTAGTCAAGCTGCATCGAGAATCCCTACGTATCCCTCTCATTTCCGAAAGCCATCTAAAACGATACATCTACCGGTTCATGTGCTAGCATCAGCTACTAATAAAGTCAACCATCAACGCGCCCTATCCACCACCGCCTGTTATGACGTGACCCTCAGCCTTCGGCAATCTCAAGCCCATCCTTTTCACTTTCCTCACTACTGCCCTCATCCCCGTCGCCATCCAAAACCTCCTGGCCCGCGAAAACCAGCCACTGCCCGCCAAGGACACTCTTGCGCCAGATCTTCGTGACGCCGTCCGCGCCGTTCGTCAGCAGCACCTGGCCCTGGGCGTCGAAGCTCAGCGACCAGGCGTCCGGGTGGGCGTGCGCCAGCGTGGTCGTTGACGCGATGGATGTGATGAAGGGGAACGTATACCCTGTGCGTGCTATGGGCGACGCGTGCGATGACGTTATGTGTGGCTCGGTATTGGCGGTGTCGGCGCCAGGGTGTGAGTGGGGGTTGCCGGACATTGATGCAGATGTTGAGGGGTTGGTGCCGCTCGTCGTGTTGGTGGTTGTGTTCGTGTTCGTTGTGGATGATGCTGGGGAGGATTGTGATTGGGACTGAGAAGGGGAATGTGTATATGATGAGTGTGCGGCGGTGCGCCCGGCGATAGCGGACGTCAGCGACGATTGCGGCTGCTGGCGTTGCTGGGATGCATAGCTGCGTGTGGATGCTGTTTGGGTCGAGAATGTTGACGCGTTTGATGCTGCGATACCTGGCGCGGCACTGCTCGTGCTTCCAACTCCTCCTCCTGCGCCATTTGATAGACCCGTTGAAGGACCCTCTAACACAGCGAGCTCAAAAATCCTCACCGAGCCGTCTTTGCATGCAGTTGCGACGCGATCTGTGCCTCGTACACTGAACGGCGCCCACGCGACGTCGCGCACCAGCGCTGGGTGTCGAGGTAGTTTCGCCGCTTCGTAGAACATCAGCCTGTGACTGGAGCCGTCGCCACCACCGAAATTCGTGGGAATAACTGAGCGGTAAACCTTGACATCGTTTAAAGCGCTCACCACAAGACTCAATTGACTCCGATCATCACTGACTGAGTTGATGTACGCCAAGGGCGTCGCATTCTGATCGAAGCGAACTTTAAAGCTCGTTTCGTCGCCCCTGCTTGGCGGGTGTGCGCCGCAGACATTGAATTGGTCGACGAGGATCCAGTCCTTCAGATCATCGGGGCTACTGGGTTCGTACACACTCAGCAGGCCCTGTCGATCGATCAGTGCCAGGTACGTGTACACGTTGTCGACCGTCTTGAGGTCCATCGACACAAAAGGCACGCGCGGCGTGCTAGGAATCGTGGCGATGCGTCGGAATCGGTGCCCGTTGTTCGGTGCTTGACTCGGTTCTTCCATCCACACGTGACATTTCAAGTCGTTGCCGATGCTGGCGATATACGACCCTAGTGTTGGATGCAGGAATTTGGCCTAACGGAAAAGCAGTCAGTTCGGGAAATGGGAATACCATTTAATGACCTGAGATTGGAACATGGAGCTCGCGAAGATGCCCCCAAATCAACAGCTTTGGGAATTTCTTACATCACGAATGTCAGAATCATGCGCTGTGAAAGTGTCGAGTAACGTCCTCTCCCCGGTTTTAGGATCCCGATTCCAAACTTTGATGCGATGATCGATCGAGCCAGTCAGGATTCTGCTGGCGTCAAAGTTTGTGTGTAGGACCGTCACTCGGTCATGATGCCCGGTTGCAAATTCTGAAGCTTTCGCCATCACTGTAACGCGAGTTTGACGGTCTCAAAACACGCTCCGTCGGCTAGGGTTTCGATAATGGAGTACCTCATGTGCTAAGAACCATCCTTATGCCCTTGTTCGACCTAAAGATGGTCTCACTCGCATGCGATATGCTGGCGCGTCACTGAATTGTTAAGTACCATATCATACATGAAATTGAATAAGTTTGTTGGACAAATAGCTCGATCGTTGTGAACGCTTCAGGTCAAGGAGGAGGTGCTTGCTGAGGCTAATCAGGTGTAGCATGATTGGTGGAAGTGGGAAGGCTGAGATTATCATGGAAAATCGATGTTCCGTGACCGACTCCTGCCAAGACTTATGTCTGATTAAGGACAGGCTGTCTTTCATCGACAGCATTACGATTATCATACACGTGGCGAAATATGGACTCAGCCTAAGCCGCCAAATCAAATCGGAGAGAAGAAGTCTTCACAAGACTCGAAGGCCTCTCCCATCTGCACGAAGCACAACTACAATGGCATCCCGGTGACGACAACTCCATTTCCACGAGACCTTTACAGGATGGCATCAAGCCTGAGCCATTCAGAACGATGGACGCTTTTACTTGTCGCCGGAGCTTCAATAGCAGTCATCTCAAATACGTTCCAGGGTGATGGTGCGCCACTGGTGGCATCCATTGCGTTCTCAACATTGGCATTTTCAATGACGTATGCTTTTATTCGATGGTCAGGTCCAGCCTTCGCCAAAGCCGGGTTGAAAGGGAAAGACATGAGCAAATTGAGGCCAGGTGAAATGTATGTTCAAATTTGAAACTCCTTGTAAAGCAACCGCTGATTTCCTGGTAGCCCGGAAGGCCTGGGAGCTGTTGCGGCTTCAGTCTACATCCTTGCGCTGATGGTTTTCATTCCCTTTGCGTTTTACAAAGATATTGTAGCCGCGACTTCAGGAGGCGGTAATCGAGATGTCGTTCTTTCCATCACGGAAGTCGAAACAGGTCGCTTTTTACACCGGTTCCCTCACTCGAAGCTATCGTCGTATCAATCAGCTCTCAACACTCTGCAAGCAACAACTATTTTGGGTATGGCTGACGACATTCTTGATCTTCGATGGCGGCATAAATTCTTCATCCCAGCAGTCGCATCCCTACCACTTCTAATCGTGTATTACGTTGATTTCGGAGTCACCTCAGTCGTGGTTCCGAACTTTCTGGTTCCATACATGCCCAACCAAGCCAGATTGGTTCACCTATCCTTCTTCTACTATCTATATATGTCTGCTCTGTCGATCTTCGCACCAAACTCAATCAATATTCTAGCAGGGATCAACGGAATTGAGGTTGGGCAATCGATAGTTATTGCAGGACTTCTCATCTTAAATTCCTCGCTTTACCTCGTCCCATTCCCTGGAAATCCAGTTTTGAGCAATGGATATGCAGCCAACCCACATCCTGCGACAGACTCGCATCTCCTAACGCTCTACCTCCTTCTGCCATTTCTTGCCGTGTCCACAGCCCTTTATATCCACAACCGATATCCTGCCAGAGTCTTTGTGGGCGACACATACTGCTACGTTGCAGGCATGACATTCGCAGTGGTGGCCATCATGGCGCATTTCAGCAAAACTCTCCTCCTTCTTTTGATCCCACAGATCATCAACTTCATCTACAGCTGCCCACAGCTCTTCAAACTGATTCCCTGTCCACGCCACCGACTTCCAAAGTTCAATGCACGAACTGGGCTTCTCGAACCTAGCGTCACCCCATGGACACCTGAGAAACCGCCCAGCAAGCCCCTTACCGCAGTGTTCATCGGACTGGAAAGGCTTCACCTGATCCAGGTAACCGTCGATCCGAAGACAAACAGGATATCGGCGACGAGCAACCTCACCATTATCAATCTCTGGCTGGTTTGGAGAGGCCCAATGCGAGAAGATCAATTGACCAGAGAATTATTGATAATGCAGACCGCTTGTGGATTTTTAGGGCTCCTTGTACGACATACCATGGCGCTTTTGATCTTCAGTGTCGATAACAGAGGAAAATATGGAAATTCGTTCCCGGTCTAGAGTCTCCGAAGTGGCATAATTTAATTAGCACTAGACGCAATAATACATACATACATACAGAACCCAAATTACACATCAGACAGTGCTACAAAAGCCCAATACCGAGGACGTGCCATAATGTACTCAGCAAGACAGGGAAAGAATACATAGTATAAGTGTGAATACTACGTAGTAATTTTGTAGATGCCAACATGCAAAACCCACTAGCCATAAATGGAACTCATCGTGCCTTCCTCGAATGAGTTAAGGCCGGTGTAAGTACTTTAGTTACTCTTCACGGTCGCTCCTGTCCAATAGCCTAGGTTAGATGTAACTAACCCAGGCTAGCACTCAGCTCAGGACTGAGGTTAAGCTGGCTCGGTCTTGACACTGAGAGAGCTTGAATACCGCTACTCCAAGTGTATATACAAAAGCCTAAGTAGTATATAGAAGACAGTACTTTGCAAAGTAACTACCTATAGGATACAGAGGAGTAACGATTAGATACTGGTAATCTCAGTTTGTGAACGCTTTGGTACTCCTCGATAGAACTTCAATACTACATAGTACTATGAAGAGAGTAAATAATATATATCTAAGTAGTTCTAGTCTATTTCTTAGTTTCCATATATATACATAAAAGTGGTTGTTGGAAGTGGGATTTTCAGAATGGGAGGTTGTTCGCTTTCCTCGCTTCCATCGCTTTGCACATTAAACTGGTGCAGCTCCTTACGGCACCTGCAAATTAAGCGTCATTTTCCTATCCATGGTTTTTGGTTCATCCTCAAAGTCCACTCCAGAACTCATCATTCTGAATTTCGAATGTTTCTTGCAGTGCCTCCTCACCAACAACTACACTCACTCGATAAAGCCCTCGTTCACAGCACCAAGAGTTTCTTCTCTCATCCCAAACCGCTGTGCTATATTTACTGATAGGCATCACCACCACCTTAGTCTCACTCGGTTGTAGTGAGACCTTCTTGTAACCCTTCAATTCACGTTTAGGGCGTAGGAATCGGGACTTGGAAGTCGAGGTTGCACAAAATGAGATATAGAGACGGACGACTTCGGCACCGGCGCGACCACCAGTGTTCTTGATATCAATGGAGATTTGTGTCGGCTTCGCCAAGGGAGTGAGGGTGAGCGAGGACGCGGCAAATATCGTGTAGCCAAGTCCATGGCCAAACGGAAATGCCACCTCTGTGTTTCTCGCTTCGTAGCCGCGGTAACCGACAAACACATCCTCTGCATACAGAATTTTGCCGTTATCGGTTCCAAAGCTGAGGTAACTAGGCGTGTCTTCTAACTTCGCAGGAAATGTGACGGGAAGCTTACCGGAGGGATTGGCACGACCGAAAAGGACATCGGCGACCGCATTACCAGCTTCGCTGCCGCCGTACCAGGAGTGTAAGATGGATGATGCCGATTTCCGCCACGGCATGGCAACGGGAGAACCTGACTGTGTGATGACAACAGCCGCGGGATTGGCAGCCAGGACCGAGTCAATGAGGTCGTCGACGAAAGGAGGCAGGTCCATCGTGGGTCGATCGCGACCTTCCTTTTCGATATCCGACTACGAACAAACAATACATCCCTGGTCAGTACAGTAGAATACAACGGTGAGGAGTAACGCATCATGAGTGTTTCAGAGACACGATGAGGATGAGGATGGCTCTTACATTCAACCCAGCAACGACAAACGTCGTCTTGCACCTCCGTGCCAACTTGACAGCTTCTTGTATGCTCTCTTTGGGATCAATCTTCACACAGCCTCCTAAGCGACATGCGCCTCCTGGGATTGGAAGCCCATGACCTCCAGTTAGTCGATTCGTTGACGCACCGCCCGCCTCAACCCTCAGAGTGTACTGTTTGCCAGCCACCATTTCGAATACTCCCCGCTTCTCGACTGAGCCTTTACCGAAGAACATCCCGCCAAACACCTGATCAGCCGAGTTATTGATCACGAGGACGTCATCGATATACAGGTCGCTAATTCCATAGCTTGCGAGGCCGAATTCATAGACCCCATCCTGTTCAGGGATGAAGCTCGCATGCATGGAAATATAGAATGGGTCACATGCCTCTGGATGAGAATAATCCATTAATTGGTATGTCGTATCGGGGATTGTGCAGGTGTCAAATGATGTACGCCCTTGACAAGTCGATGGCTCGTTGAACATTGCGATCGAAACCCCCGGCTGGCCAATGTCGTTGGTGACGTTTGCCTCGGAGAAGATGGGCAGGAGGATGTGCCCGTAAACGCCAGGTTCATAGCGGATAGTTGTGGTCGGCGGAAGAGACCCCTTGATACCCTGGAAGATCGAAGTGGTGTAGTACGGACGTAAATCGGCGCTTCCACCACCACAGGCGCCTGGGAGTTTGGCATTGGGTCCGATAATGGCTACCTCATTACACTCTTGTGGATTGATAGGAAGAGTTCCAGCAGAGTTTTTCAGCAGGACGATGCTCTCTGTTGCGAGGAGCCGGTTGAAAACCCGGTCATTGGGAACGTCACGTATTGCTTCAACCTCTGCGACAGGAGTGGATGCTGCTTGATTGATAAACTCAAGAATCTTCCTCACGCGCACGTCAATCACATAGGCGTTCAGTTTTCCCGTTGCTATTGCTTGGACGATTCCTCTGGTACGGTGGCGCGGTGGTCCAGGCATTTCGATATCCAGCCCTGCAATTAGAGCAGCTTCGCAAGAGTAGGTACCGTACCTATTATGCCCAATCGAATTAGCAATGTTACTAGAGAGCAGCTAGATCAGATCCGTGTGCTTTAAGTACCAATCACTCATGACCAGCCCGCCAAAACCCCATTCCTTTCTCAAAATTTGATCCAAAAGCTTCGGACTCTCTGAAGCATGCGTTCCTTGAACCTTATTGTAAGAGGACATGACTACTCCAGGGTTGCTGTCTCGCAAAGCAATCTGAAATGGCATCAAATAGATTTCACGCAGTGCTCTGTCGGACACGGAGACGTCAATGGAGATCTTCTCAGTTTCCTGATCGTTTGCCACAAAGTGCTTCAACGCAGCTAATGTGCCTCCAGATTGAACACCTCTGATGATAGCGGCAGCGAGCATGCCGCTTAGGTGGGGATCCTCAGAGAAGCATTCGAAGGCCCTGCCATTCAGAGGCGAGCGCGGGATGTTGACGTTGGGACCAAGCCAGACATGGGCACCCTTCGCCGCACACTCCTTGGACAGGAGCTCACCCGCTTGCTGAATAAGTTCATCATTCCATGTCGCACCAAGCGCGCCACCAGAAGGGATGCAGGCTGCCGGAACCGGGTTAAAATATTTGCATCCCCTTGCACCGTTGGGGCCATCCGTGGTCTTGATGGCTGGCACTCCAAACCTCGGGATCGGGGTGGTATGCCACAGGTCAGCTCCTAGAATTTAAGATCGTTAGGAAATCTTTCTGGACGCTTTTGCGATATGTCGGCGCGCACCCACCGGCTAAAAGCGATATTTTTTCAAGAAGGCTTGCTTCTTGGAGGAACAAGTCAATATTGACGTTTGAATACAAGAGCGGCATGGCAATGAATATGACCTATAAACGCAAGAGCTGCGGCAGGGCAGTGAATCCTAATATGGCAACGCATGAAAGTTATACTTGCAGGTTATCTTGACCGTAGCTAGTCTGTATAGTACATCCTCGGAGCCCTTACTTCGGCGTCGAAGACATTCCGCCCGACATCCGAAGGAGGGAGGCTGGAATCGTAGCCCCACAGTATCTCATTTTACCCTTTTGTGGTCTCCCCTCTTACCGAGGAGTCTGTTCGTCAAATGATGTCTCTCGACCAGGGGATATCTCCAGCATCAGTCATGGGGTTGGTTTCCATCAGACAGGTTCAAGGGATTGGTTGCCCGTGTCCTTAAGGGATCGGCGGAGATAGGTGCCTATACCTTTAGATTCATAGCCCTGGAATGCCTATATCAGAATACCTAGACTAGACATTTTCTGGTGGGAAGAACGCGTCCAAGAAAATGTCAGGTTGTGCCAGGCCCCGATCTAGATCCAACCCCAACATCATCGACAATCCATCATCCTCCGTCCCATACCAAGCACCAAATCTAGGTGAAAATGTAGGACATTGAGTATCTGGGATGGGTAAGGTGGACTCTACACGAGAACTAAGTCCTAGAGACATATTGTCTTCGTCTGGTTGAGTCATGGTCCCCAGAAAATGCTCGCTATCATTCCTATCATTCCGATCGAGTCCTTGAAGCCGTTCGGATTCGACGACGAAACTAGGTAACAGGCCGTATTCTTCGGCTGGGAACTTCAGACTCCGAATTTCTTCAGCAATACTATACTTCGAGCAAATATCATGGGACTCGGAGCTCTTTCCTGCCTGTAATCGTGACGACTCTCTCTCATCACTCGATTGTTTTGCCTCCCACGATGAGCGCAGCGGGCTAGATCTGCCCGAATTAGGCCGTGGATCGTGGATTAAGTCCTGAATGCCACTCTGGAGGAGTTTAGTGGTTGGATAAATCCCTGCTTGAAGATCAAGGATCTTCGAGCACGTTGTCAGATTGGCAAGGAGCTCCGATGCTGGTAAATTTTCGAGCTCTGGTTGTCCTAAGTGGAACAAAATCCGTGCGGAGTGAAATGAGCATATAGCAATGCTAGGATCAGTGATGAATATGTCTTCCCCTAACTCAATCACACAGGAGATAACCTTGGAAACCCCAAGAGCATGTTCTAGACATTTCTTTCGGCAATATGACGAAAATACCTTAGGAAGAGCTTCAAGTTCATCTGCCGGGAGGGCTTCTCTGAATCCGGGGATGGTGAACCGGTAAAGATCGCAATGACATTGATGCCACCAGACATGAAACATGACAAACATGGTGCGCTCAGGTGTGTAGGCACGAAGAAACACGTTCTTTGTGGTGAAAATAGAACCAAGAGGAAGAGAAAGCCGCAGGGCTTCAAGTTCATGTTCCAGAGTTTGAAGCTTTGGAAGGTAGTCTGAGAGATGTTTATGGTGGCGTATGATCTTCTGTATCAACCTATCGATCGTGTTACCACTCTGATGCACCTCCTCGAATAGGAAAGCATACCTTGAGATCCGATCCCGGATGTCTAACAAGCGAACGCAAAGCGCCAAGAAACCCAACTTAGAGGTACCCTGGGCCTCATGCCCACAAGAGAGCCTCAAAGGTTCGGTTGACACTGGCATATCCAGAAGGAATGACTGTTCTGGCCATGGGAGCTGCAGATGAATAGTGTCCTTAGGACATAGTGTAAACTCAGCTTTGCCACTAGAAAAAAATTTGTCGAAAACAAAGATACACCACATGAGTCGGGTGCGGCGCTCTTGAGTGAGAGGTGCTATCCTTCTGTCTTCGTGATTCAGCCTCATCATGTACGCCAGCCTGACTGTCAGAGCTGTGGATATCATGGCTTTTGTAAACCGACGGGATATGACATGATCCAGACAGACCAACATGAGGGCCTCCACGTCAGAAATTGTAGGCTCGCTGGCCCGTGAAAGAAGGAGATTTTCCGCTTCGTTAATCCATGTGATCGCTGTTTGCTGACGTTGTATGTCATTAGGTAAGAGGTACCTGGCGGTTACGCCACAGATTGACTGGAGGAGCCGAGGATTATGCTTGTTCTGTGAGAAGCTATGGAGAAAAGAAGGCTTGTGGATGAAGCCAAAACATGGGATTGGGTAGACAAAATCGAAGAATGCTGCAACATGTTGATCAATAACTATTCTGTTCGCATTGAAACCACTGATTAGAGTCAGTCAAGGCAACCTCGATCGATCGGAGTACTCACCTTCCCAGTGCCGGTGCGGGTGAGGGAAGCGAGTAATGCGACCAGATGCGGGTCGTGGGCTCGGTACTGTGCTCTCGTGAACTTGCTTTATCTGGAGCCCTTTTGTCCACGAGTGGCTTTGCTGCACTTGAGCTCAACGCAACCGGCTTGAGGGAGTCAGGGTATTGACATTGGATAAGTCGGCTTAAGCATCTTTCACAAGATGGTAGATGGCCAGAGCACTTGGCCTTCTTACGACGGCACTGACAGCAAGCTCGGGCAACACGTGTCCTCTCCAGTCTAGATTGGTTTTCAAAAACTCTACTGCCCCTTCCACTGGTCGTAGGTTCTTGCTGCTGCTGTCCCTGAATCCAACTAGAGCTCGACAGCGAGCATTCGAAATCCAGTCGTAGACAGTTTTCACACCCCCCAGTCTCGCCACCACACCGCACCTAGCCCCAATGCATGATCATCAACATGGGCACAGAGTTGGCCAACAAGAACACAGACTCACTTTACGATTACGGCACTGGAAGCAGATCTCCGCAGCCTTGCGAGCTTGACGAACCACACCAGGACGCTCCCAACGTTTCGGCATCGAGAACAAACCCAACAAGCGATAGTATGAACTGGATCTCGGGGGGACCTGGGAGCGGATTGCCCTTTTACGTGCAATCGTGGAAGGTAAGGTCCCACAGATACCATCCCCCCGACTCCCGCTCCCCGGAGAAACAGGGGTAGTCTTGGCAGTGTCCCGCCATATTTTGCCCAATCGCAACACTGATTGAAGAGGGGCTTCGTAGCTGGGCTTGTCTCGCTTTCGCCAGCCAGAATTATGCGGGGCTCCGCATATTTGTCTATGGGCTCACCATCCACCAAGAAATGTGTGCAGGGATATATTCGAAGTTATATATATCATACGGTCGATTATTTCTACTTTGCTGGGATGGCTAGTAACTTGATTCTGGAGTTCTTTCTTGACGACTCCTTGCAAACGCCCTCCACAATGTCATCCAACCGAATCCTGAAATATTTCAACAAAAACCTCGCCCTAGCTTTCGGTGTGATCGCCATCTCGACATTGAACTATGGATTTGACAACGCAGGGTACGCCACAGCACAGGCGATGGAAGCATTCCAACACCAGTTCGGAGAGCTTGACCTCAAGACCGGCCGATATCGCTTACCTACCGTCTGGCTTTCGCTCTTTAACAGCTTAAATTTTATTGGGTTCGCAGCTGGCGTTGCTATTGGCAGCATGGTGAGCCATCAGTGGGGCCGACGATGGTGTATGTTCAGTATGAGTGCCTGGGCTTTGATACCAGCAACCATAGCCATCACCTCATCAAGGCGGGAACAAATTATGGCAGCTCGAGTTCTTAATTGTAAATGATACCACCTCACGCCACGCGGCTTCCGACTGCTTACATATTTTCAGATATATATACCGGGATGGAGCTGGCGGTGGTACCAGTTTATCAGTCCGAGATCATGCCATCAGCCATTCGAGGGTTTTCTGTTGGATCGTACCAACTGAGTTTAATGGTACGTCAAGTCTCGAAGTTTCTGGCATTCGCTTTCGTTCTCAGAGTTACTAGTCTGGCACTCTCATCATAAATTGTATATGCAGAGGTACGAGCGAGCTGAGTGGGAATGCGTCTTGGAAAATTCCTCTCGGCTTATACTACGTCGTTCCGACCATAGTCATGGTCATGATCTTCAAGATTCCCGAGGTAAGCAGCAGTATTCGATATCATAGCCTCCACAACAGTCCATCGCCTAATCGTACTCCAGTCACCTCGCTGGCTTTTAACAAAGGGTCGAGTTGAACAAGCTCGAGAGTCGCTGAGCAAGCTTGGAGGGGAGAAACTGGGTGCCAATGAGATCGAAACACATCTGTCTGCTCTCCAGTATGCTTTGACACTAGAAAGTGAGAAGGGAAATTACATGGAGCTATTCAAGGGTGTCAACATTAAGAGAACCGCAATCGTACTGGGAATGAACTTTTTCCAGATGGCTACTGGTCAAGCATTTATTTCAACGTACGGTGCTATCTTCATTCGCGGCCTTGGAGGCGTCAATCCTTTCAACATGACGGTCATAATTTCAATCTGCAACATTGTTGTCGTTTGCGTGGCTCTATATTTCAACGATCGCGTTGGACGACGGTGAGCTCCGTCATAAATATCCCAATTCGGACTCGAGAGGCTAACTTCTGGGCTATAGACCACTCCTAATGATCGGAACCGTGTGGCAGTTTGTCGCCATCATCATTCTAGGCTCGCTTGGAACAATTTCGGAACCCTCTTCCCAGGCTGTGAAGATCGCGGTGGTCTCCATGATGACAATCTTTTCAACGGGCTACGTCTTTGCTTGGGCACCGCTTACATTCGTTGTAACAACCGAAGTCCCCGCCCTCCGCCTTCGCGATGCATCTCAACGGACGGGGTCGATTGTTAACGTCATCACAAAGTAAGTCACCAATTAAATTCCCTCTTTCTGATATATCTTTCACATGTTGATTCACGCTCACCCAGCTTCGTCGTTTCGTTTACCATTCCATACCTCCTTTACGAGCCATACGCTGCCTTGGGTTCCAAAGTTGGCTTCATTTTTGGTGGTAATCTGGTGTTAGCCTTCATTTTCACATACTATTGTGTTCCGGAATGCAAGGGCAAGTCCTTGGAACAGATCGACCTCTTGTTCAATCAGTGCGTGCCACTGAGAAGCTTTGGGAAAAGCCCAAACTTTGACCAGGTGGAGGAGAGCTTGGACGAACAAAAAGAAAATACTGGAAAAGGGGGGGTAGCAAAACACGAGGAAGGGGTCTAGGTGTGAGGGCCTTCTCAATGGCCGCTTCAAGGCTGCAAAAGCTGATTTCATAACAATGGTCCAGCAATTGGCAAAATGTACGCATCCTTGGTACATAGCTCCGCGCTGCCTGATTGCGACACGGGTCGCAGCCTCGTTGAATGGCTATAATTTTGATAACGATCAGCAAAGGCTGTGCTTGATTGATTCACAGTCTAAATGTATTTATAATTTGTCGAATCTGAAGACTGAGGATTCAACCGGTTGTGTGATAGGAGTCTCCTTAGCATGCTAAACTCTTCGACCCGGCAACGTCGACTTTCTCAGCACGATGTCTGCATATCCTGAAGGTCGGATACCATGTTCTTCCCCGTGGCTCTATATAAAGTTCAACTTACACAGGGTTATGCGCCCAATATGCTACACTAACACTATTTCGCCCGCTAGACGTTTGTATTCCTATCGTTGACGACAATAGGCGATGTGGGGCAACTCGGCCCAACAGGCTATATTGCGACTGCTCAATCGACGTGTCTTGGGGGGAAATGGAAAGCGAGCTCGGCTCCCGCTGACACACAAACTTGACACTTTGGTCTGCGGGAGGATTCGGACAAGACCTTTGCCGGCGCTTGTGGACAAGGGACAAGGCTCCAAGGGAAGTCTCAATACTTTCTAAATAGTCTGTGCTTTGGGAGATATACATTGCTATTTTCTTGATAAACCTAACTCCTTTTCAATTTCTCCTTGAGAGTTCGTTCTATCCTTTTCAGGATGGAACTATAGTCCCAGCTAAAACAGTATATGATTCTGCAACACTGACTCATATCAAGGTGTATCGTCCAGAATCTTCTTGATCTGTGTCGGCAGAGCTTCTGTGATCTACCTGCAAACTAGCTTGAGAGCAGCACCAGTGATCGCAGGATTGAGCGAGTGGCAGCTGGTACCTGATAGCGGACCAAACTCAATTGGATTGACATCGCAATCTTCTGAAAGTTGTAGAATAGCGGATTCACCAGACGGGCAAGCAGTCGTAACAGTTATTGAGATCCCTGCTGCAGGGAAGTTTGCCAGATTCACGCAAAATCCCTCCACAACATTGGCATTTGTGATAGCGTTGACTTTGCAGGTCGAATCGTCCAAGTATGTTGTGATGCTCACTGCAGCAAGCGCAACTGCCGAAGAGGATAGATAGGCAATAGCCGCTACTACAGATAACTGTACTTACTGTAAGAAACATCCGTTCGACATTGGAACCCGAAAAAGGCAGACTTACCTTGAATGATACCATTTTGGGAGGGAGATTTATTTGGAACTTGGATGAATTACTGTAGTCTGATCCGTTTGAGAGTTGATGTCTTCCCTGAAGGAACTTGAAGTTCTGATACTTTGGCACAAGCTTGTTTTATACCTTGAGCGCACCCAAGAGCATACATTGCACCAAAGGGCGCAGTCTAACCTGTTGGCTAGTTAGTTTCAGCTAGTATATTTTGGTTACCAAATCACCACTCGCCGCTATGGCTTGAACCCATTATCTCTAACTTACATCGAACACTTTCGATACAAGGCTCTCATGATTTTGCATTTACCCCTCAATCCTTCATATCGATGGCTCTCATGATCACACATTACTCCACCATATGCCCCACAAGTGGAATACTATGGTGCTTACTGCGGATCATGATGCCAGCTCCTCTCAAGCCATCCGCCCGGATGGAGCTTAGCTCGTTGATCCATCGGGCGAACGCTAGATCCTTACCACGATACCTACCTACATCTACTATTGAGATCGAGGGACAAGTTTAGTATAAGACACCCGTTGTGGCCTGTGAAGCAAGCGACACTGCATTGCTCTAGAACAAGAACGGTGCATTCAATTTGCGTCTTTCTTTATTATTTGGTTAACCGAGTTGAACAGTTCCTTCTGCTCAAATTAAAGGGAAAGGTTAGCTTAGCGGCATAAGTACTTAATGAGGGACAAAGTGACATACGTCAAAGACCGACGCGAAGGATCAACACGAAAAAGATTGCGGCAGGTGCGGTAGTGACTGCGACCAATAGCTGAGCTCATTGCTCCTATTCGTATTTCCCGTTTATGGCACAAACCTGCGTATATCTCTCAAGTTCATCATGCTCAACCGAAACGAGATGCACCAAACCTGGGGAAACACCGATAGGAGGAAGCGATTTCAAAATTATCCTGTTTACAGACGAGGAATATTGTATTTGTTCCCCAACAAGTGAACCCCGTAAACAGCGGGCCGAGCTTAGCCCTGACAGCTATCTCCATACAAAGGGCCGCAAACTTTCACCTGCGTCAGTGCGCCTCGATAATCTCCATTGGTCCTTGAACCAAATGTATTTAAGCAGGCTATTGATGCATAGGTCAGACCGAGCCAGGATCTGGGACAACTTACACCTTGCTATCGACGTACAGGTTAGTCTAAACCGTCACCGCCGTTAGCAATTTGAGCCAGGATCTGGGGTCGACAGGATTTTCCTCTTCACAACAAAGATTACAGATGGTCTATTGACGTATAGGTTAGAGGTCAGGACCACTCTCTTTGCCAATTCTTGGAGCGAAAGTCGGGATCATTTACCCCCAATTTGGCATCACTACAAATATAACATGAACAACGAAAGCAGACGTTGTTACCATCACAATCGCCGGGGAATGACATTCCCGCAAGACATGCTGCGGGTGCCAATGATGCCAAGATAGGTAGGAATTAGCTAGGCCGAATTCAGTTAACCAGTAGGCAAGTGGACGCCCATGTACGAGTATCCCACTGTCGCCGGCACATCAAGTTACCTCGCAGCTGATCCGCCAAATCGACAAGGTTGTGATTGCTGTCGTACCGGTCAATATCCTTAGGAATTGGTAAAAGCTTGGTCCGCATGCCCCCCCCCCCCCCCCCCCAGCAAATAATGGTTCCATAGTGTAGTCTTCCTGAAAAGCAGGTTGTCCCGTTGTAGCTGCTATTTGACTTCAGCCCCATCCTCCCATGCCCAACCCGTACGCGGCCTTTTTCTATGGCTGCGCATATGATAGCCTAGAAGGCGACTCCAAGTAACGCCTTCATGGCCAGTGTAGTCAGGTGATGAGGAACGACCTACGGTCACTCCTCTGCCGGTAATAGATGGATTGTGGTCGGCGGGGGCTTCAAGGTCGCTATGATCGGTAGGAGGAGCAATAGAAAGTACCGTTGAGGCGATATGCTAGTGCTTGACAATTCGGGCCTTTCTCTCTATTTTGTAAAAAAAAAGGAAACCTTTGGTCGAGATAACACTACTGTTGGCGATAGCGCGATCTCGGTAAATGCTAATGATGGATCCCGTGATACAGAAATTTCTAGATGAGAAGAGATGTTTCCGCTGGAGGCTACGTACAGTACGCCACAAGCGGCTTTCCCACCCGATCCAATTCATCGTTAGATGTATCTGCGTCAGTCAAAATTGGCCAGGACTTGCGAAAAAGAAGTTTCTGAAGGTGTAGGATATTTATTCCTTGCAAAGGATCGAAATTCTAGGCACATTGGATATGCCACCGTTGACTTGTCAAGGTATTGCGCTATTTACTGGAAATGGGTCTTCGGGTCAGGTAGGCCATGTCCGTGTTTGAGGTGTGTGGGGAAAAGGAGATGCTGAGAGTGGCATTGCGCCGCGTCTCTGCCACCAGACAGCAGTGGGGCCGGTGCAATGCGAGCAGTAATGTGGCGGTGATATTGAACGGCAGTCACTGGAGTTATGCCGGCGGGCGAAAAGTTCGAGGTGACCGTTAAATTATTCACATTCTTTGGTGTGATAGGGTTGCAGCAGACGTATGGCGGGCGTCGATGACTTGACCGTACCTCGAAACATGATATCTAGCACTTTTGGCCTTGTGGTAAGACATCGTACCTCCTTGCAAAGAGTTGTATCGTACGTAGTCTCGGTGGTTATAAGAACATTGAATACTAGAGCTTTCGATGCCTCCATTTACTTTCCTACCTCGGGATTAATTTGGAAATGATATTACGGATACAAATCCAGACGGAAATATGTAATGCTGTGCTCGGATCGATTAGAAGACTGGGCTGGCAGCAGTTCTGGCGAAATTTTACTTTGTTGTGTTTCTCTTCTTAGGCTTTGTCGCTTTGTCGCAATCTTTTAGCCCCTTCGTATCCCCTATCCGCTAGCGTCGCTTCATGCATAAACGTGCAAGACAACACAAGTCTTGAGGGTGGTGAGGTGGTATAGCTTCATTTCCTGAACCTCGGCACAGCATGTACGAGGTCTCAACGGGGGCTGTCCTGCTCCACTGTCATTAAAAGGCTAAGTCAACACAAGCTTGTTCTTTCTGTCGATTCAAATAATGTTGACGGTGTAGCTGTATGGGCTGGTGTTGTACTATGTATTTGTCCTTCTAGAAATAGGAAGCAAGCAGGCGAGTAACCAGTGCAATTGATGTTGACTGAATAAAATGTGGGGATGTCATATTCAGTAGTGTGGCTTGCAGTATTTTTACTTTTATACGATTTTTCCTGCCTATTCTGGATAAAAATGTGAACCTCGCGTCTTAAATTCAGGCCCCAACACTCGGACACACTACTCATACGTCGCCGTTGTGTGGCGGCCGTACTTAGTGTTAATATCAAGTGGAGGTGGAAAAGTCGTATCAAATTTGCAATCATGGAAGGGGGATGGCTCCCTTAAATGTACAGCCCAGAAAACCGGGCACCAGTAGGCACAGCCTCGGTAACTTCGACGGCCAAGGTACGCACCAGCTAACAATTCAAGATACAGGAACCATCCGTCTATATAACCCCGCTCTTCCAGTTATGGTACTTCCCCCTATCCTTTAATCCTGACCAAGACGACAAAAGTTCCATTTGTCTGCTTCCTTCAAGAGTTTTGTTCAGCTGCCTGTTCACCGACAACATGTCACCAAGCGTTACAACATCAACATCGACACATTCTCCCAATGATATTCACACGACTCTAAATTACTATCTTGACCCAGAACTTGGCGGTCATTCCTTCTTCGAGGCAGGAACTGTAGGCTACTACCGTCGGAAGTTCGACGAGCGTCCGGTCCAGATCCGTGATATCAGAGAGAATGCTGATGAATTTAACATCAGCAAACAAGGGTTCGAACTTGCCAAGTATCCCAGCGCTGAGAGAGCTTATGTGGATGACGAACAGGTGAAGCGCATAGTCTACCCAGAGGTTGAGGAGCTGTTGAAAACGATGTAAGTACCAGACGGCCCGCCACTTTTTCATATCCGTTTCTCGTCATCGAAGACGTTGATCCTTGCGTTTTACACTCTTCAGCACTGGTGCAACCCGAGTCCACGTCTTCTCGCACATCACCCGGCGCGACTCACGCGACAAGCTCGACGTCACTTTACAGGCAGAGACTTCGATTCGAAGTGATGCCAAAGTGACCCAAGTCACCCCAGCACGCTATATCCACATCGACCAATCCACCGAGGGCGCATTGGAAGTCCTGACCGACAACATGTCACCCTCTGAGGTAGAGACTCTCGTTAAGACCCGCTGGTCCATCATCAACGTCTGGCGACCTATCAACGGAACGGTCATCAAAGATCCGCTCGCGGTCTGCGACTCCCGCACCATCCGCGATGAAGAGCTCATCCCCGTCACGGTGAACTTGCCAGCCAAGGACACTGGGATGAAGTACTCTACAATTACTGCCGGAAGGAGGTTTGAATTGTTCTATGCGAAGTACAATCCAGAGCACAAGTGGTATTATGCGAGTGGGATGACGCCAGAGGAGGTTTTGCTGATTAAGTGCTTTGATTCCGTCAAGGACGGGAAGACGGCGAGACGTGTGCCACACTCGGCATTTGTAGATCCAGCGACGAAGGACCTGGACTTTGTGAGAGAGAGCGTGGAGGTTAGGTGTTTGGTATTCTATGAGGATCAGCCGAATAAGTGAACGGTTACTAGGAAGGTAAGAAGGTCACGGAGATCTCAATGTGCTCTGCAGCCCCAAGTTTGTTTATTTGCTTGATCACTTGATCGTAAAGTTCTCTCCTTCCAGTCTCGAGCTCGTACTGCGAACAATCTGGCGCTATGTACGACCGAAAGCCAGCTTCATTCTGTTATATAATGACATGAATTCTTGAGAAAGGGCTTTGCAGCAGAGATCTGACCCACGCAGTGGAACTAGATATTGGATTGCTTTGTAGATGAAGACTCTCGAGATCAAGCTCGCCCTCATCAGCAACAAGTGTAAGCAGGGGCACCAGGGCCATCCTACTACACACCTCGGAAATGGGTGACCTGTTTGTCGCACGGGGCACTGAAGCATTTCCCCAGTACGGAGACCGCACTTCAGCACACCCATATGTTGATTGAAACGTTTTGAAACAGGCATCCAGCCATGCCATTCGGGCAGACAGACTTTCGACATGTGGGGTTTGCGACAATGTCACGGCAGCTCACAAGTATCAATGTATTTATCATGGAGCAAAAAAGAATAGGGATTCGTAATGGCCAGCAGTTGTCAGTTGACCTGAGCGTTGTGGAACATGCTTCACGTTAGAGAAGACTGAACAACAAACCCGAGAAGCAAACGAGAAACGTACGACAGAGTATCTCAGTCGAGTTTCTCAACCAAAATATTTGGCAGATAACTCAAGCCTTGAGGCCGACCTTCAAAAGCTAGAAAGCATCATAAGGCTAAGAGATTCTTTGTTCGCTTGATGGCTGAGGAAAGCCTGAAACAATCGGCCACTACTTTGCAAGACTCAGCGGAATATTGTAGAACGCCGATCACCCTTGTCACATCTGACACGGTACCCTTCTCCACGTTGTATCTGCCTCCACCTAGCTGGCCTCCACACTGCGGGCAGATCAACTGGCAGAGATCAGAGTCTATAATGTCCTCAACCTCTTATTCCTTCAGACCCTCCACCTTATTTAGGGGGAGGAAAAGGCTAGTATTGACTAAGCATAGAATTATCAGAGGTATAGTAGAGTAGCCTGACGACGTTGCCTTTTTCATGCAATATCCTAGTGCCCAGAAAAGAACGCGATCAAATTTCTCAACTTGGAACCAGTCTTTGCGTCTAAGCACTTCTGCCTCAACTAGGAGGCATGTATTTCTCCGCCATTACCACAGTCTGACTTACTTCTCAACCAAGAAAACGAGAAATAATCAAGGCCCGTAAGTTTTGCTATAATTTAGAAGCAGGCTTGAACAAGCACCATAAATACAATCCGGTAAATCTATCCGATGCATTTGGAAAGTGCGCTGCACTCGCCGCCGTCGTGGCGTCTAAGAAGGAAGTCAAGATGGCGAATTTTCAGTTATTATTCGGCTTTCACGAATCACATCTAAGTAACTTTCTATATAGGGTTGCACGATAAGCAGCTAATATGCCCCCGAACTAACCTACACCGATTACTACATTCGTTTAGGAAAGGGAGCGTGGCCGCTTTAATCGGGCATATGAGGGAGCACGTGAGAGCATCGGGAGAGCATAATGCGGGTGGACGGTGTGGTCCGTATGAGAGAACAGAGTATTAGAGAGCTTGTGCAGGGAGCTGACTAGCACGCTTGGCGCCAAGGCCCAACAACAGGGAGCACGGGGGCGCGTCAGGAGAGTGCGAGGGAGTTGCTCGTACAGGGGAGTAGTAGGTACTCGTAAGTATGCTAAAGCATACAGCCGGGGAACGCCGTTCGGTTCCTTAAAGCTAGTAATAGTTTAATAGTTTCTCTTTACTACGAGTAGTAATCAAACCCTACCTAAAACGCTACTTATCTAAAATTAAAGCTAAGATTGTATCCTTCGCCCAAGACTAACGGGCGAGGCCGGCGCTAAGAAAATTGTCCGTACTCGTAGCCATTCGGGAAGGGATGTTCCATACGGACGGATTACAAGTACTTCTAAGCCCTTATTACCCACCATTCTCTTCCTTCCCTAGAAGTTCCACATAATATTGGGGGGCCAGAAATCAGCCCTACGATAACTAAAATAACCTAAAGTAGACACAACCGCCATCTTTTCATCTTTCGATTCATTCCTCTTGCCTCCAGTTCGTTTATTCATGGCAGTCACACACTGGGGCATTTTCTAGATCATTACCTAGCAGCAGTATCACTGTCATCGTTCGTGTTGACATGGAAATACGAGCAAACCAAAAACGCGTGTATCCCAAGAATAAAGAAGGGAAAACCCAACCTGGCCAAGACGAAAACGGAATGATCCTATTCTCATGGTCAAATCGGCCGAGTCCCAAGTATCATCAGCACTAGCCGCATCAAGTCAATGCTATGGTTCAAAGCGAACAGGGAATGGCGAATGCCAAGCGAAGTCTACTCCTGTCATCCAGATCATCTGCATCGTTGAGTAATCGCCCCTACGGTGGCTTGTGAGGTGTCAGAGTATCATTGGTATTTACACTTACAAAAGTCTTGTTCGATCCCATTCCTGGGTACCTATGTCAGCCGGTGGGGGTCAGCGCTTGCATGCGGAACTTGTTATAGGTAGTAATGGCCCTCTTGGGAGCACCAGCCCCGCCCCGTGTTACGGTAAGAAGTTAGAACTATCAGACCTATATATAATCGCATTATCTTGAGCCATAATTGGTAGTTATCCAAAATCATACGTGAGGTACTCACGTCAGTAAAGCATGGACTATGCTGGTCATAGGGAGCACACACATTCAGTTGGGATAGCTAGAAGCGGCATCTCATTGTCTAGGAGTGCCTATTTCTGGCAGGGGGGCAAGAAGTCCTTGATATGTCTGTCACGTGCAGCCGCTTCGGTCAATGGGCCGCTGGTCCTATATGAACTGTTCTGGATGATGTGAGCGAAATGCTCCTTGGGTCAAGGTACTTTACAGTCTCTGCTCTTTTAATTCCTTCCCTCCCATTGCCTTGAACGCCGCGTGTTGCCCGTTCAAACAGGATATCTCAATATGTCTAACCCTCCTTTCCCTCCTCAGCCCACTTCAGCAGCAATGGCCTCCCCACCAATAGCCCCGCCAACTGGTCTCCCGCCAAATAGGGGAGGGCTCGCCCCTGGTCCTGGTCCTGGTCCTGGTCCTGTTCCGAGACAGCAACCTGGGGGAGGAAGACCGATCGCTCCGCTCCCAGACCCCTCGGGACAAGTGAACCCGACAGTTACCCCGGTTCGTATTGAGCAAAATGCAGGATGGGAGTAAGTCGAGCCAAACTGACCCTTACTAGTATATTCTCCACTCATGCATTCTAGGGTTTATGCAATACACGGACTGAACAGTGATATCAAGACTTGGGAAGGACCAGGTGGCTTCAACTGGCTAAACGAACTCTCGGCTCACCTCACCCGGAGTGGCGGAGAAGCAGTTTCCACCTTCCGAGTGGGCTGGTCCACCAAACCTCTATCAACCACAAATTTCTCTACTTCTATTATGTCCAGTGCCAGGCCACTTGCAAACACCATTATCGGTCGAAGAGGAGAGAGCGCAGTACGTAGGCACTGTTCCTTTGATACCCGGCACGATTTTTATATGCTAACCTTTTTTTACAGGCCTTGGCTGGCAAAAACATTGGCCGAACGCCAGCCAAAGTAATCCTGATTGGACATAGCATGGGCGGCATCCTCGCTCGAGCTGTAAGTGCCACCGGGATACCGATGCCACTGACATGGTTGCTTCATCGGTGATTGGGCTGACACAAAGTTATTGCAAAGTTAGTGGGATTCATGCACAAAGAAGGTGCCCCTGTTTATCAGAGCTTTTTGAGATCCATCGCGGGGGTAATTCTCCTTGCATCGCCATCTCAAGGTTCGAGTCTAGGAAACATCGCATCTCCCTTGATTGAGGGGTTGGCTGCGTTGACTGGGGGCATGGCCTCAGCGATGAACTGGCACCATCTTGCAGCCCTGAAGCCCAGTTCCCCAGAGTTGCTCACGATTACCCAGGATTTTAACGAGTACTGTCGATGGTTCCAGAGCTCCTTTAGTCGATCGCTCCCAGTACATGCACTCCGCGAGACTGTGGGGATTGGACTCCCAAGGATTAGACTTACTGTCATGGTACGTCACGATTGGCCCGCAGGATGCTGGTGCGAAGCTAACCCATTTGATTCTGCAGGTTGTGTCACTTCAATCGGCGGACATTCCATCATCAACTGCCGCGTTGGTCCAAGGGAAGGTTGCAAATCTTCAAGGCCTGAATCACTTGCAGGTGACTGGCTATTCAAGTATGGAAGATCCAAATCTGCGGATCATCCTTTCTTCCTTTTTGGAGATGCAAAGTACAGACAGGAGACTGGGTCGTCCCCCGCCTCCCGGAGCTGGGGGAGGTCATCCACCCATAACCGGAGGGCCTCCGTTTAGTGGTATTCCACCTCCACCTGGAGCGCCTGTGGGCCGCGGTATCCCGCCTCTCGGTGGGCTAAGCGGTCTACCACGAGGGGGAGGTACTCCAGCAGGGCGTGGTCGCGGAGCAGCAGTAATGCCTGCCCCTGATCAACTGCGAGGGTTGGCGAGCGGGCTTCAGCAAGGTGGTCCATCGGCTGCACAGTTCTAACCTTGATGAGGGCAGTCCTTTTGGTGTTGTTTGCAGCTTTTGTGTATATGGTCCGGAAAGGCTTGATTTCGACTTCGAGAGCAGTCCTAACTTGATGTTGCTGCAGAGGTTGCATACAGTGTCGGGTCTCAGATTTCGTGTAATACTGTGATATCTGACTCATCCCGCTGGAGGCACAATGGAATTAACTGAGGCTTGTCTTTCCTACTACAAGAAGTACTTGTTCAATAGATCGCCATTTCCGCGTCCTAGAGTAGTCAATTAAAAGAAGGCTATGGGTTTCAAACTTTCGACTCTATATAAAATCGACTCTATATAAAATCAACTCTATAATTTCCGACTCTAGTATCTTACTAAGCGTCGCTAGAATTGAGATCGGTCTCTAAGCTTTAGTAAGGATATAAAATCTCTTCACCGGGCTTTTTTGGCGGTGTAATCTTTATATACTTTTACTAACTAGGTAGTATTTCCACGGTAAATAGTTGTCGTTCTAGGTCTTCCATGGTGATGGCAGGCATCGGTAAGGGGAACCTTCGTGGTCTAAAGCCTTCGTTAGTTATTTGGCCACCTTTGAGGTCCTCTGAATTTCAGATTCATTGTGTACGATTGATCTCTGATTGAATGCTCGATAGGCATCTCTCGTATTGGCTGCACCGTCAGATTTAAGGCAATTATCCAGCAGTGGCGTGACCTCGTGTTCGCTTCGATGTCCAGGGCGAAACGGCTCCAGACAAAAAGGGCTCGATGTTATGGGGTCTTACTGCGTTAGGAAATGCCATGCAAAAAGCAAGATTCTAAAGATTGCGGCTGCTCTTTTCCCTCGCAATTGCGACTACTTCCCATTGAAGTATAATGCACAGCCTGAAGGCGCTGACCAACCACAAGATAATGCATTCCTTCCATTTCAGTAAATCTCCACTAAGAGCCGCGCTGAGGGTCACCTGGGAAAGAAAGAATTTGCGGCCTTCGTAGTGCGAAGGGTTTTAAACTCCAAACCAGTGTTGTTCAAACAATTCCAAAATGGCTTCTCTGGATTGGAACTCACAATAGGCCCACCAGAGCTGTCATGAGACGCCTCCTTGTCCCCTACGAGGCGTCTCTCGACAGCACTAGGCTGCATATTTGCGAACCGATTCTCCGTCTCTCTTCTAGCGGCGGAGCAAATCCGAGAAGTCATGAGCGCTCCCAAGTCGCGAGTTGACACGCCCTGGTAACGTGCAGAGAAAGGCGCTCGCCTGGTGTATCTAGAATTGCGCCTCGCATAACGTTTCCCTACCGTCCCATCGCCAATGAAATGTTTGTTTGGTCCTTTTGGCTCTGAGAATGCCAAATACATCAGGGCGGAACTTGACGGTGACAGTTCCGGACACGTGCTGACCCCACTGAGCCAATAACGTCGCCCTGTGATTTTAGGGCTTGTGCAAACTTATTGCCACGCACTGATGTAGAGGTGACTTAAGGCGCTGTTTTCCATGGTTCCATGTCCTCGAGCAATTGTAGGAGTCATTATTTGTCAATTGACAACACAACCGCCTTTCGCGGAGTTTTCCGGACGGGCCATCTAATTATCTCGGGACTGACTAGAGAGTGGCGGGACCTGGTGGGTGGTGGCGATTGGAGGAGCATGGATTGGGTGCGCTGAGGAGAGTTCTGCCTGCCGCTGACAGGAGAGTGGGTAGATTCATTCGTTGACAGCTCGACCTTGCTGCAGCCATCGGCGCCATCAGGAAGCAAACAAAGCTGGAAAAGCTGACTGGAGCAGGATATGTTGTTTACCTACGCATCTTTCTGAAATGAAGCCTTTGTGGGCATCAGAAGTACAAAAGCGCGATGATGGGCCTTCATTTCCGCCGTTTACTTGGATTGTGTTAACTATAATCTTCCCCCCCTTGATCCTTCTTCCCACCAATTACTTTAACCGGGAATTGATAGCCCTCATTCATTTCTCAACGACCAAACGTCAAGCATGAGCGGACAAGTCGACTTAGACAGACAGCTTGCTTTGTGGATGTGGAAGGAAAAGATGAAGTGCGGACATATTCGTAATACCGTGGAATAAGGGGAATTCATTCTGACACACGTTAATCTAGTTCCCGCGGCTATTCGCAATCCTCCTCATCTTCTCAATACTCCTTCCTCAGCAGAACCTCGACTCAAAGCAGAACCGATGGAGTATTAGATCAAGGGGCCACGGCTGCAAAAGGAGCAATGGTGACTGGAACTGCCATTGCCCTTGGAAGCCTAGCAGATCCAACTTTGATTTGTCAGACTACGGGAACCATTATGGCTGGAGGTGGCGCAATTGCTGCAGTTTCGATTTGGGTGTGCCAGAAGTGCAAGAAGCAATTCCGCTGTTGGAAGGATAAGCTGCACGCAATGAAATGCGATAAGGATGATTGCCTTCGATGTTTGCTCCTGTGAGCAACGCGTACGTCATGCACGGAGGATGTCTACTGAACCGCGGCGACGATATGTCCTTTGAGCCAGGAGTCTGTTTCATGCCTGGGCACATGATTATATGTTGTTACCTGAGTGCTCATGGCCGTAACCATGCATATTTGTGCGCGATCAGGCTGAAGGGCGTCTCATAGGCAAAAAGTTAGCCAGAATGCAGGCGGCATGCACAGCTGTCACTCGGAGCTGGCTAGAGCAAGATCAATCTACACCCATTTGATCTTGTCGACAATATTGTACAATCTGTTGACTGCTACAACATGGTGAGTTTCTGGAAGTTCAGCTTTCTGAATTCTTGTATACGGTATTACTGCTATTGCACGTTCACACCTTCAATGCGAACTCTCTCCAGCGTGAAGGAAGTGCTTACGGGTGAAGATTTTAGTATTGACAATATAACGGTAACTTATTCTTCGGTAATTCATAAAGGACAGTGCAACTTAGTCAGCGAGTTCTTAGCAATTTTTCTGATGAGTTGTTGGCAAATATGACTCTGTTGTAGGTCTGTTTTAAGGGTCTGGGCAGGGACCCCTAGACCCCCCTATTTAGGGGCATATAGAGGGCATATTCTGCCTATTTTCTACAATTTCTACACCAGTTTTCACCATCAAAATGGCTATGTTGGTTTCGCCACCATGAGTCCACTCTCCGCCTTCATCCCCATGGTTAGGTATCGGTTGCGCCGATTCGAAACTCGCAGCACTCCATGCAACTTGCATCCATCTTGAGCGGGAAAGTAGTAGGTTCTTATTACAATATAGTTAGTTTTCTACAGTATTTATTCTAGCGCTTTACCTTAGGGAATTCGTTGATTTATTATTGATAGGGATTCCGAGTCCTTACCTACTTCTTCTCTTCTTAGGGTGATAGAGGGTGCTTAAACTCACCAGGAGGATTTCTCAATCTTTGAACTTGTCAAGGAGATGTCATAAATGTCCACTGGACACATACTCACAGCGTGGTTGATGGCAACGATCGCATCCATCAACGGAGATGTTGAGCCCTTGGCAGTTCGTCTGTGACCTGGTTGGGAGAAGTCGGACCAGGTCGTCTATGATCGTCATCCTGACCTCGTCACGGAGACTCCCTTCCTTGAATAGGTCCTCTGCCAGCCGGTCACGCTAGGGCATTGGCTTCCTGGTATATATAGAGTCCGATTCGTATTGAGAAGGCCGTAGCTGAGAAATATGTCAAATGCAGCCATCGGCCTTATGATAAGGCGGACTCAAGTCTCATTGGCATCCCGATTCAGCTGCAATCATTTGGCCAGAACAGTCTGATCTATATTTCCTGTTGGTCGCATGTAAGATATAGCCTCAGTGTTAGAGCCCGACCTTGGTCTCGACCTTCCAGGGTGAATACTAATTGCGCCACTCAATTATCCGCCAAGGGTCTTTGCGCAGAAGGCTGAATGTATTCCACTACTTCATTATTCCACAATCTGATAAAGGGCGGGGTCATCTCTTTGTGAACTTCATTTGAAGGGACCAACAGCCATCGTGCTTAGGTGTTCAAGTTCTGTCAGATGGAGAGCCCGATTCCTTCGTGAAAACACACCTGTCCTTAGTGCGCGAAGCCACCATTTGGTTACTTCTTCGCTGGCCTCACCCACACCTTTCGCTTCGTTGTCTTTGAGCATGGAGCCCTTCGCCCATCCATTCCACCTTCCTCCCCACCATCTTCCAACCAACGCCGGGATCTTAAAATTTGCCTCCTTCGCTACCCTCACCTGGGACACTCAGCGCGAAATTATAAAGGGAAGATGTAAGAATGCTAGCGTTCGTGATGAGGCTGGCTGTTGAAACCCAAAGGTTAGATGAGTCTAGATCTATCATCCGAAGTCAAGAAACAACCTCGCATAAAATTTGCTAATCGTTCAATTTAAGTTTGGAAGCCGCCGGCCCTTCTTCGGGATGTGATTGGCGATGCCAAGCGATTGTAAAGACTGCGGTCTACTATATCGCTTCGACGCATCCGAACTAGCTCCGAGAGCTATTCAAACGCTATCCGAAGCGGGCCCGAGAGCGTCCAGGCGCTAGTATAGTACGTACTTAGGATACTATATAGTCTGACGAGTCCCTCGGACCGTCTTAGGAATGATCATGTCCCCTTCCCATCACAGGGACGACCCCAGACACTCAAGCTCAAGCTCAAACTCAGCGCGCTAGTCCTTTTTCAGATCTGAATCAAGGCAAAACTCCCGCCGTTCATCTGGAACTTCTCGCTGAGGCTTTTCGCTCTACCGCAAGCGGCAGTGTCGCGGGATTCTTGGAGGTCCCATGCGAGATGAGAAGTGAGACTGGTGGAATGCGGCTCGCCTTCACTGACGCTGAAGATAATGCGGTGGCTACTGAGATACGGTGGGCGGAGGCAGTGGTCGAAATCCCTGGCGGCTGTACATTCGCTCTTGCATCGGGGGACGAGGACGCGGACCATTCTATCATTGCCCAAATGTTCTTGCAGTCAACATACTTGCCTGTAAATTTGGAGGATGAAACTACGGGACTCGACCAGGCCAATTGGGATTGAAAGGGTGGACCCCTCTCAAACGACCTGAGTCGTTGACGGCAATGCAGGGAACGCTCACTGGCTACCAATCATAATTTATAGAAATGATAATCAGCCGGAAATTGACCGTCTGGGACATAAGTGTTAACACGCTGACCCAGAGATTGAAAATACGCTTGCGGAGGACGTGGGAGGCGTCGATGGCCCCGGATGCCAAGACTGAGGTGGTACGCCCTCCGCCAGTGTTGACCAGACAGGCGTATACATTAACAATCAAGAGCTACACCTGGAATTTTCAATACTCGAACGTCCAATGCAATCTCCTAGGCAAAAATAGTCCAAAACCAATACGTTCTAATCTCCTGAATTTTGGATTTCACTTTCTCTATAACACGCTACCACCTCTCACGCAAGTCTAAAGTCTTGTCGTCACAGTGCCTGCTCGCTCCAGCGTATGAACGGAAGCATTTTGGTACTGTGGACATAAAAACTATCATAATAGCATGTCTGCGGCGTCCGAACTCTCGCTCGAGGGCGGCTGTGCTTGCAGAAATGTCCGTTACCAGGCCTCCGGGGAGCCTCTTATAGTGCACTGCTGCCACTGCCACTGGTGCCAGCGCGAGTCTGGGTCGGCGTTCGTAATCAACGCTCTCTATTCTGCCGAGCGCGTGACGTATCTAGGCGCCGATCCGAACCTAGTCGTCACTCCCTCACAAAGCGGCAAGGGACAAACCATCGCACGATGTCCGAAGTGCCATGTGGCGGTGTGGTCGAACTACTCCGGCGGAGGACCGCTTGTAAGGTTCGTCCGCGTGGGAACCCTGGATGGCCCGCACAGACTTGCACCCGATGTCCATATCTACACTGGGTCTAAGGCGCCGTGGGTTGGGCTGCCGGAAGAGGTGCCTACTTTCACCGAGTTTTACGATGTGACGAAGATTTGGGCTCGGGAGGTCGATGAGAGGAGATATGCCGTATGGTTGAAAATCCAGGCTGCTCGAGCTTCTCGGGATGCTGGTTCTAATGCTTAGAACCAGCCACTGCGATCGGTCGTAGAGGGTGTGCGCGTTGGCGAATTCGTGAATTCGTGGATCTGAGTGTGAGCATAGTTAAGCCATGATGGCCTGATGAAAATGAGCACCGGAATTTTCTTTCGATGAAGGTGGCTGCGCGAAACGGCACTTCCTTTGGCTGCTTTAAAGGCCATTGAGGAAGCAACGTTTGAATTTCGTGGATCTGCTGGGACGCGCCTGAGCCCTCCCGTGTCCAGTCCCACCCGAATCCTACAATAAAGGAGAATCGAAATAACTCCGTACGGTAGCGGGAAAAAAAAACAGATGAGAAGTTTCTTCTGTCGCTTTTTGCAGCTTGAATGTGGATTTTGTATTGAATTACCTTGATTATCTATAATGTCAGGTGGTGCACCATCTTCTGATGCCATTTTTTGGTCTCAAGCCCGGTTCCATCGCCATGCGGCTGACTTGCTCAGTGCTCAATTCAATACAGTCAGAACCACTCCAAGAGTCGTAAAAAGATGCCAAGCATCGGTGCCAGAGGCCATGTTCTCGTCTTAATGGTCAAATCACTACCCTCAGCATCTTGCGTCTTCTCAGCAGAACCAGCTTCGTCGCTGTCACCGATCTCTGAATCTTCGCCGTGGGCAGTTTCTTCATCACAATTCAGTTCATCAGTGAGGTCAAAAACTTCGACACACGGCTTCACCATTTGCGCGCCCCGAAGGTTTGGCTAGACATTCCATCGAAGGCCAAAACTATGGTCATTCCGTCATGGACCAATTCGCGGAGACAGCAGATTATTCGGATGTGATGGATGGTGGTGACAGGAATGCGCACGAAAGGGATCTGACGGCCTGGGACTAGCGGCGCGCACCCGTGTAATTGTGGTTTGCCCTGCAATTCCATCTATTTGTATGTTGCGTATTAGTTAAAGGTACGGAGCGTACTACCTCTTGAGCGGCTTCTTTGGTCACGGAATCCATTTTGAGTTGTACAGAATGCAGATATGGACGAATCTGGAAAGGCTTTTGGGTTTTTGGTTTGTGTTTTGTGTCTGGGATGGAATGGAAACACAAAGAGAGAGCGCGGTAAGTTGAGATCGACTGTACACGCGCAAATGGATATAGAGATTTCTTTCAGTGCAGAGAGTAGTTGTCTTTGCATTAGATGCATCTTTTGGGGGCGGTTGCGACTGTCGTGACCATTCGGTGGACAAGGAAGCCCTGTGAGACTGGTGTCCACAGATCGTCTGTGCTAAAGCATAATACAAAGGCTATTGTCCAAACCTGCATTTATTTGTCCATCTCCTCCTGGCACTAATGCTCGATATTCTGAAATCTCTGAAAGTGTCCGTGGTGCTTCTCAATCCTTCAGTTTGTTGGTGAACTCAGCTGCAGCTCTCCGCTGGGCTTCCACTTCCTCCAACTTTAGCTTCTTGGTACTCGTACTGGATCAATTTTCGGGATAATCCCCACCCTTCAGTTCAGTGGCATTTTCCAAGATATCGATCAAGGCGTTGCTGCGCAGACACATGTTTTTCTCCTCATCTTGTTTCGTATCGACCCGTCATGACCGATTCTCCCCTCTTCAAACTCATGAAATGTGAATTGATGCTTATCCAAACTATATTCCTCTATCTTTCCGACGGTGGCGCTGAAAGTCGACAGATTATCCGTCCAAGGGTGACGATCGGACTTGAAAGCAGCGAATAGTTCTCCCCGATGATGAGACAAGCCGGCAGGGGCCTTCGGAGCCGCTTTCGGCATCAGCCTGGGGTGACTAGTTACGAAAATAGTTACAAAATTACCTGTCGAACGTTATCTGACACGCAGACTGTAAATTGTCGTAACATTGAAAAGGAAAAATGAATAGTCCAGGAAGGAATACGTCTAAGTAGTCCACGGGCGAAGCCACTTGCGTGGGACTGTGTTCCACGCAGCCTTGTCGTTGCCTTCACCCTCAGTTATTCCAAAGCAAATGCTCTCAGATCATTCTATCATCTCAGCAACACCTCATCTCACCCATACCAATCGTGGCAAAGAAAACTAAGCAAGACCCATCACCTGGTCCTCCACCTACGCCGCCAACTCAAAGCGGACGCAAACACCCATTACTCCTCGAGGAATACCTAGCGATGATCGATCCATCGTGCATGCATCATAGACAATTTGTATTTGAATCGTCATCCTCACGAGTGGACCAAAGACTGAGGTCGGGTCTCCCCTCGATTTCTAATACCGCTGAGTGTGAAAAGATGGTGAGGTGGACGTCGAGTTAGGATTTCCAGGCCGTGTGGGGTTAGCAATGCAAGGCTGCGAGGACACGTGGGTCCGGGGTTTGTAAAAGGGGGTTTCTGGCCTCGGGATACTTTCCCCATGATTTCTGCGACATGAAATATTCGTACAGCCTCAGTTATAATTATGTTAAATTCTCATGCTATGCATATATCGAGTACTAAGTAAGACGGCGATGCAATCGACACCCTGAACTCCAAGGGCATTCCGTGTCATGTATATCGTCCCCCGCTCAAAACCCAAACTATTCAACTCTGATTCTTGCTAGGCGACTGGGCATCACCAACTCCGCCACAACTTGGGTGGCTAGAAGAATCTAGATAAACTCAAGAACGGGCATGCTCCGTATCCTGCCCTCTCTCCTTGCCCTTTCCTTGCGCAAGTGCAACTTGCTCTGCAACACCCTGGGATTTCCTGTGGCCCTGGCTGGTTATCATTTCATCGACACTTTCACCCAGCCCGAGCCCCAGTCTGCCTGTGCCCACACTAAATGCAATGAGCGACCCAGGGTTCAAATCTTCTCCTGACTTTTGTAGTGGCTTCGGTCTACTATCCCCTGCAGAATGAGATGTGGGTTCCAACTCAGCAGGCTCGGCGGTAAGAGACATCGAGTTCTGACCACCCAAGAGGGGGTCGATTTGAGCACTCGTGCCGGTTTTGGCCGAAACCAGTTTTGTAGAACTAGGACTAGCTGTCAGAACATCTGCGATTCTTGCACTCAAGGCCGTCACATCACTGCTGTTGCTGTCGGATCGATCCGCCTCACCACGCGATCTGGCTTTTTCAATTTCTGCCATGAGTGAGGGATCTTCCTCTTCAAACTCCTCATCGTCACTGCCCTCGAAGAATCGATCACTCCAGCGAGCACTGTCCATTCTAGCAAGCCTGGCTAACGCGGCTCGACTGGAACTCATATTGGAGTAGTCGGTTGCGTTTGAGGGTTTGGAGAAGGTGCTGGTAGTCTCGCCTGATGCGCTGACCTTACTGACAAGCTCAGAGATGTCATCACGAGACTCACGGATCTCGGAGTCAGTGCGGCCAGGACGTCGCTTGGTCTCTTCTCGGATCTTCCAGTGCGCGTGCAGCTTTTGCAGGTCCTCATGCACGCCATCAACCGTAGATGGCAAGGCCGCTGTTGCGGGCACGTCAGTAGTGCTGTGCGACCGCTCCAGCTCATTGGCGTCTGCCTTCCCGTCTGTAGACTCTTCCTTGGGAGGCTCGGTCTGGCCTCTAACCTCCTCGCCAGTCGGTAAAACCGCTTGCTCTGCTGCATTGGCGCGCTCGACGGGGGCTTCATCATCGTCGCGAGTTTGTGCGGCAGCAGTGTATGCAAAATGGGTGTCACACAAGTGCTTGACGACTGGCCAACCGTATGCATTAGCAAACATACGACGGACGATCATGTTATTGTGAGCGTCTGGTTCTAGGCGAACGAGCACCTTTCGCCACGAAAGATCCTTGTGGTAAGCTCTGGCTATCTTCTCTTCGATTTTCATGGGTCCTACGCTTGGCTGTGGGGTGAGTGTTGACTGGCTTGATTCGGATGGATGGGAGTCAGTCGGGCTCTTAGGCACAACAGATGATTGTGAGCCATCTCGTGAGGCTGTTCGCCTCATGATCAGTGTTCGCTGTCGTTTGGTTGGGGGTGGTGGAATGTCTTGTGGATGGTAAACACGGTCGTGATGGATTGTTCTGGGTCTTGCGCTCGGGTCGAGGATAAACTCCTCTGACGGTAGAGGTGGATTTAGAAGGTCTCCAGCAGATTCAAAAAAAGTTGTTCTCGGAGGTGCTTGAACATCTTCATTCTCGGAGTTGTTAGTGTACAGCGATGAGCCGCGAACGACACCTCTTGACCTACCGCTTTGGTCATCACTGACACCACTGTCTTGGGAAGTGCCACGAGAATGCTCGGGTTCGGACTCGTGGTGGTTATTGTGATGCATTGTCTGGCCGCGGCGATAAATTTTCTGAGTCTTTCGTGGGCTTTTGGGTGGCTGCTGGCCGGCTTGTGGCTTGAAAAGACTCAATAGCCCAGACCACAGATTGGCGCCTGAGGTGACTGATGAATCGTCAGCTTCCCCAACGGGTGATGAAGGCTTGTCTAGGAACTGGGTCTCGTCAGGTTCAGCCTGTTGATCGAAATCGAAAGCCTGACTTGCATCTGCTTGCGGAACAGCTGACTCGGGATCTGGTGAGTTTTTGCCTGATCGATTGCTTTCGTCACCACTGTCGCCGAATAGGTCGTTCCAAGTGAGTGCCTTTCTTGAAGCACTCGCATTTTGGCCCGTCATCTCGGCCCAGCCCCAGCCGACCATAGTACCAACAAGACCATTCTCTCTGCGTGCCTTGTCCACACGTCCGAGCCCTCTCCAATCGAGAAATAGCAGACATGATGTCCGCAATGGAACGATTCCATCATTCACGACGTTAGAATACACTGTGCGATTGCGGAACTTCTTGAGAGCAACGTGTGCCGGACCCGTAGGGAGAATTCGGAGAAGAGGCTTTGCACCTGGGTCAGGTTCCTTCTCAGCCTTTTGTGACTCGTTGGTGAGGCCGCTGATGACGGCTCCCCATCCACTCTTTGCAATCGTCGGTGCACGCCATGTCAATCCAAGATCCTGACCAGTTCTTCCAACAAGCCCAAAATCCAAAGCAAATTTGACATACATTGGATTTTCGTTGCTGAGACCAAGAAAGGGAGAAGCCAAGGCCACAAAGTTGACGGGTTTGATTATATCAAAAAACTCAGGAGAATGCTTCTGGATGTAGGCAATAGCATATGTCTGAATTAACCCACCAAGAGAGTGGCTGATGAAGGAGATACTGGTAATTCTGTACGGCAGATTGTGCTCTTTGTGGTGTTCATCTTTGACAATGCTGCTGTGTTTATGTATTGGCTGAGTTCCATCCGAAGAAGAGGATTTGGATCCTGTTAAGGTCTTGGTAATTGTCTTGGATATTGAACTCTTGACTGGCAGGTATGGTTGATCTGGATATGTGAGGGAAAGCACGTACTTAGCGAAGCGTTTCCCCAGATATTGGATGCCACGTTCTGTCTTGACCGCGTTGCCATTAAACCCTCGCACGATGACTTGCTCTTCGTCATCATCTGTGTCGTCATGGTCGGACCTTGTGACGGATACCTCGGGTGTTGATCTGGTCCTTTGATCGATGGCATCCCGACCGAACTGGTTGGATTCTGCCATCCGTCGCATACGTATCTCAGCCCTCCTCTTCTTGGAGGCCTCTCGTGCCTCTTTGGCCGTTGTGTCGATGCTTTCTTTCAAATACAACATATCAGCTCCCAAGTTGCTGTGGAGGCCATGAGTGAGAAGAACGAGATGTATCTTTCTCTGTTTGCGCTGTTCCTTGTGGTCTTTCTCCTCAGCGTCTCTCTTGTCTCCGTGTCGAGGCCCTTCTTGTACCTTGACATGGCCATGTTCCTCCCATTCTGGAAACGCTGGAGTATTCCACAGAGACTCTGTATCGTCGATGAACAGTCGAATCGCCTTGGAGAATACGCCTCTTGGTTGACCTGTAGCCTTCGCGCGGCTGTGTTGATGATCTTCCAACCTGGCCGGCGCTCCGTGACCCGAGCCGATTACTCCGTGGAAGCCCAAGTCCACCGATTTCTCATCTCGGCCGACGAGTAGCTCGTAGTGCACAGCAGCACTAGTGGAGAAAAGGACTTGAGATGCGATCTCGATGACCCAGGTAAAAGACTTCCGCTCACTGCTTCCAGGGTCATGTGCCCTCGTGTTAGTGTGGTGGGCATCCGCGCGTACTTCCTCCGGAACCGTCAGTTTTGCAGACCAGGAACCTCCGGCTTTCAGTTGAGGCTCGAACTCCGGGGCGCCTTCTTCCTTCACTCTTTCATGCTTCTGGTAAGGATTGAACGTGAAAGGGTAGCAGGCAACATAGAGGGTGTAAGGACCATGGAGGTAAGCGGCTCTCAGCGGGATGGCCGCAGTGTTTTTGATCTTGACATAGAGATGGGAAGGAGGCGGGAGGATGCGATCGATGCTGGGTGTATATGTCAAGGTATATCTGAATCTGGCTCAGCGACGGCAACGGAATATATACTCTGGAAAAAGGAGGAACCTACCTCACAACCTCACCAACTTTGACAGAGCCTGTCTGATGTATCAAGAGCATATTGGCAAGACAGGAGTGGATGCGACTCGAGGAGCTAAGGGGTCTCGCTCGTTACCTTTGATTGAAACTGGAGCTTTTATCTCCAGAAATGCAGAGACATGCCATATCGAAGTTGATCCTGCCTGCGCCTTCAAGTCATGAAGTAGAGACTAGAGAGGGGCGCGAGCGCGAGAGGACATAAATCGGGAACGGAATGTATTCTGGTGATTTATGACATAACTCGAAATCCTAAAGCACGACCACCAGAGCACCCCCACACCTGTCAGCCCGATGGAGGCACGCGCACCGCGCCTTCCGCCTCACCGCCTCACCGCCTCACGTGACAGATTTATACAGCCACGTGATGCGTGCCCGTATCACTTCTCTTCCCATCTAAACTCTATTTCAGCCCTGCACAGCTCACGGCCCCGAGTCGGCGATTGATCTCCCCGAACATTTGACTAGGTTGCTGGTCAGCCTTAGGGAGTACTACACAATGTTTGGCGTACCAGTACTCAGGACTCGGTCTATATTGCTACTGCGGCAGACTTCGCCGTAGCAGTACCAGATCAATATTCATGTTTCCACTTTCTTCTTGCAACAGGGAATCGGTCTCTAGAAGGCCACGCACGAGATTACGGTGGGTAGGTACAGTAGACTCGGTAGACAAGCTGGATGACTTCGGCTAGTGTTTTCAACGGTACGCTTGTCTGCAAACACCATATTCAATACTATGTATACAATTGCTCCGCTTCAGATTCCAGGAATCTTGCCAAAAACGTGCGCTCCAGGGCGATCAGTTTGCCGCATGTGTATATATCTATATATTTATAGCTTGGACTTGAGCATCTCGTTAGGCGTGATAAGGGGGTCGTAGGCACGCATACCCAGTGTATCACCGGGGACCGTTGCTGTATGGTATCTCAGTCCAGTCGTGTCGACCATATCCGGCGTCAACTCCTCTACCTTTGAAGCACCGATCAAGCGCATGTTCATGACCATCTCGTCCTTCAAAAGCTGCATGGCGCGGTCTACACCAGGGAGACCGTAGGCAGACATTGCGAACAGGAAGGGGCGGCCGATACCCACGCCGTTGGCTCCGAGACACAGGGCTTTGATGATATCGGTGGCTCGGCGCACGCCGCCGTCGATGAAGATCTCGATCTTGTCTTGTAGGCCGCGTTCGCGCAGAACAGGCATGACTTCTGAGAGGACCTCGATGCCGGAGCGTGCAAAGTCGAGTTGTCGGCCGCCGTGGTTGGAAAGGACGACGCCTTGAACACCGGCTTCGATTGCCTTGAGCACATCTTCGACCCGCTGGACTCCCTTCAAGATGATGGGCATCTTGGTCACGCTCTGGAACCAGGGGATGTCCTTCCAGCTCAGACTGGGATCGATGAAGCTGGATATGGCTCTCGCAGCACCCTGTGACCTGTCCACGTTCTCGCCACTAGTGTTCTGGACGTTGGAGCCCGTGTCGTCAAACTTGCTGCGCATGTCCTTTTCTCGTCTGCCTAGCTGGGGAGCATCAACTGTGATGAACAGGCCTTTGCAGCCTCGGGCTTCGGCATGTTTGATGATCTTTTCTGTGATTTTTCGGTCTTTGTTGACGTACAATTGCAGCCACTGGCATTGGTCGCCTTCTCTGGCGTCGCAGATTTCGTCGAAGCTGCATGATGCTAGAGTGGGAATCATCTGGATAACATTGTGCTTCTTGGCGCCTCTGGTCAGAACGACTTCACCTTCTGGATTGCCGAGTTTGCCCAGGGCAGTGGCGGTGACGTAGAAGGGGATGTCGCATTTGGTGCCGAGCATTGTGGTGCTGATATCTACGTTTTCCACATCGACGAGGACCTTGGGGCGAAACCAAATCTTGTGGAAGGCGTTGTGATTCTCTCGCATGGTGATTTCATCGTCGGCACCCGAACTGTAGTATGCCCAGGCGGGCTTCTTCATGACCTCGCGAGCGACGCTCTCGAAGTCCATGAGATTATAACATGCCTCGAGCGGGGGCATCTTCTTGATGCGCTCTTGCCGGGCCTTTTCGTCTGGGCTCTCCTCCTTTTCTTCCTTCTGGACAGTCTCCATATTGACGGGCCCCAGGTGCTTGTCTTTGGGCAGGAACTTGTCCAGAGTGTCGGGTGGGTGGATGGGTTCATATTCTTCGGTGGCGTCTTTACCCGCATACTTCAGGATGATCTTGGGACCTCCAGGATGCTCTAGACAGGGAGGTTAGTTGAATGGGCGTAACTTGGCTAAGGTATGGGGCAGTAGGTACCGGGTAAGAATTCCGTCACATCGTATGCTTTGCCATGGACAATCACCCAGCAAGACTCTCTCGAATTGTGCTTTGCCACTTCATCACCAGTGAGGGTGCCGACGTCTGGCCGCTCTCCCTTGTCGCGATTCATGATTTCGTTAGTTGCGGACCAGCAGCGGATCGATCTCGGGATCTCGGACAGGTACTCGATTGCGAGAGTGGGAGGGACCAAAGAAGACGATGCAGAAGGCCAGGACAACTAGAGCAGCGAAGAGGATTAAAAGGAAACGGCCAATGCTATGGATCTGAGATTGAGATCGGATTAAATTCATGGGGAAAGAGTGGTAATGGAGATCCATGTTGCCGCGATTGGTGGAACAGGTGGGTAATGCTGATGTCGGTGGTGGTGGATGATGATGAAGCTCGGGCTCGTCGAGTGGATTTCCCATTTCTGTCTGGAGGCGGGGACAAGATCGAGGGACGGTGAGGGCGGTCTTCGCTCCGCCCACGAGGTAAAGTTCTTCAAGGGCTGGATCCGTACATACAGGCTACGGGGAGGGTAGGGGTTCAGATAACAGCAATATAGTTAGGTTCTAACTAAGCCAGGCGTGAAGTCTAGGCATGGCCACTCGGGCACACAGGTGCTACCAGGTGTTCTCTTACATGGTGCTGGTGCTGGTGCTAGGCGCTATTGCCCCGGGCCGAGGGTTCCACACTCAGTCACTGGCTCGGCAGCTGTTCTGCCGACGGGCACCATCAGGGGAAGTCGCCTTCTTGACGGCATTCTTGCCTTGGAACTGGGCGAGACCCGTAGGCAATGGTCAACGGGCAGGTATGTACCGCAGCCTGTACACAGGCGGTCTTAGGCGCAACCGAGGGGGCCACTTGCGTCCCCGATGTACCTGTCCCTGGTTCATGCCCGTCATATTCCCCTCGGAGTCAATCAGTCTTCATTCTTCAAGTGCAGTCTGCAGATTACATAAACTTCGAACCGAGTAGGGATGGATGGATCAACCATGCACCCGGAGATGGCGGACTTGTGTTAGTTAGCGAGTCGTGTCTGCATCTCTGTGTGGCTGGCCGACCACTTGGGCGCCGACCGACAAAGCACAACAAGCATCCGAACGAGAAACACCAAGTATTTGATCAACAGATAGAAAAACAACCATATAAAACAGGATACCCGTCTTCTAATTTCTCCTTTTGATGTGATTGCTGGGCAAATTATTGTTCCGTGCCTCGTAATTACTCCTTTCACCAGCCACCGGTTTGAAAGGTGCATCCGGTGCCTCATGTGCCTCATGTGCCACGGCTCACGAGGCATTCGTGTCTGGACTGGCCACCCAGATGCCCGTGCTCGTACTTCCGGGGTCACTTGAGGCCTCAGAGGCTCAGACGGTACTCCGCATGCAGGAGTAGATCTGGGGAAGAGCACGAGGGCCTTGACGAACAGGCAGTAACAGGCACAAGCACAAGCACAAGCACAGGCACAGGCACAGGCACCTCTGGAAATTGCGAGATTGCACCAGCAGGCACTTTCGGGGGCGGGGTTGGTTCGAAGATTGATGTCTTATCAACACCAACACCAACACCAATATGCCTGGAAGGCTCCTGCCCGCCGCCACCACCACCACCTTCACTGATAAAAACATCAAACCTTCCTCGCCGGTTCTACCATTAACATCCTCGGTGCTACTCATTTAATCCACCTGCTCTTCTCCCTCTTCCTCCACCTCTTCTCTCACCATTCAGTTCCTCTCCGTTTCCTTTCTACTCTTTCCTCATTGTCTGTCCTTTTCCTTTGCTGTGATGAAAGAGCTGACCACACTTGACCTCACTGACCTCCCTGAGCACATCAGGCGCCTTTTCAAGCCGGCACCACATGACTCTTTTCTGACCACCACAAGTGACTCACGGGAACGCAACGTCTAGATAACTTTGCACTGCCCGCTTCATGTTCCAGAAATGAAATAGAAAACCAAAAGCCTGAAAACTTCCGCTGAATACACCTCTCCATCAGCATACTCCTACTCCTTCTCCTTCTCATTCCCTTCTATTCCGCGTCACAATGAATATGAACTCTGCGCCGCCTCTAGTTACCACGACCTCTGCTCCTCAGCCTATACCAGCCACTTCCATCGAGGCCAAACTTGTCGTCCTCGGCGCTCAGGGCGTGGGCAAGACCTCTCTCGTCTCTCGATACGTCAATCCCACCTCTCAACTGTCTAGCAATGTCCAATCCACCATTGGCGCTTCTTTTGTCACCAAACGCATCACAGACCCTGACTCCTCAACCACCATCCGATTGCAGATATGGGACACAGCTGGACAGGAACGCTTCAGAAGCATATCTCGACTCTACTACCGCGGCGCCAATGCCGGCCTCTTGTGCTACGACATCACCAATGAAAACAGCTGGGAGGAAATGAAAACATGGCTGGCCGAGATGAAGGAGAATTGCGCCGATGGTGACATTATGCCCATAATACATGTTGTCGGCACTAAAAGCGACATGGTTGCTGATGACCCCGCTCGTCGCGAGGTTGTCTTCGAGAGAACCATTGCCTATGTTGCCGAGCAATTGGGTGGTATCACTGCACAGAGCACAGCTTCTACCCCTCCTCTGTCCATGCGACCAGGGGGCGTCAACCACAACAATGCCAATGTCATCCATAGCCCTGATTCCAAACGAAGCTCCGGTTTCTGGAACCAAGACATTGGCTGGGACAGCTGCCACGAGATCAGCGCAAAGGACGGGGAAGGCATCGAGGAGGTTTTCCGAGTAATTGCCCGAAAATTAATTGATCAAAAGCAACAAAAGGATGCGGCGGATTTCGCTCGTCTCCAACAAATCCCAGGCTATCGAAGTGAAAATGGCGACGACTATTTCGCCGGCCACCACGGCCATTCCGGCAGTTTTCGTGTGGGTTATGGTGACAAGAGACGAAGTTGGCTCGGTCTCCCCAGCGTCGGCCTAGGAGGTGGAGGAGAGGCGGATGGAGGAGCTGCATTTGGCACGCGTGATCCTGACGAGGCTCGACGCAGAGGAAGATGTTGTTGATTGGCCTATGAATTTGCTAGGCTGAGTATAGACGACCAAAGACCATGGGCGGCCATCTTCTTTTTTCAACTTGGCGGTTGTCTCATCCCCATGGTTGGCATTGAGACACTTGATTAGCGAGGCGTTTTCAGGCTGGGACGGGCGGCATTGCTCTCAATTGGGCGGTTTCAGGGTCAGGCGTACAGACCATACACGTACCCTTCTATTTTACGCCTCGCTTATGAGGAAAGGGAAAGACAGGGAAAGGGAGATCTAGACGGAATGATTGGTATTCACAGATTTAATGTCGGGTCAGTAGTTCACGCCCTGAATGAGAGTGGGGGAACATGCCCGGGGAAAACAACGCGGAGGGGTGGCAAACAGAACGAAATGGACAGACAAGGGCGGGAGATCGAGAGAGCCTGACGAACTGATTGATCGTTGAGTTGGGTACTCTATACCGGGAGCTACCTATGTCTACAGTATCAGCGAGAAATGATGACCTTTTTAGAGCAGATCATCCGAAGACGACGTAGACGGGAGAATTGACAATTGGCCATGGACGGATGGATGCACGGATGTCGTAAACCACCGCCTTCATGCTCTCGACACGACTTCATATATATATATATATCCATATGACGCTTATCGCGTCTCAATTTGATCTATTTGATCTATTTGATACATGACTCTGTATGACGTGGTACATTGAACGACCACGCATTTCCATCTCATCTCTCTCCACGCCTTTCCGCTTCGCTGTGTCATTCGCACGGGATCGAAACAGTCCGGTTCTTAATAGCATCATACATTCATTAGACAGGACAGCATTGAAGGAACCTCCGCGCGGGAGAAGGGGGGGGGGGGGGGGGGAAACAGAGACAGAGAACCAGTCCAGTTAGAAAAAGCCATGAATTAGATATAAATATACAAAACAAGTATGTTGGTGTTTGGTGTTGGATGGAATCCTTTCCCCCCTCCCTTCTTCGGAATACAAAATATTAGGTAGAGTGTGAGTCGTCTCGTCCTTTGGTGATCCAGCGCATGTAAGAAAAGAAGGGCACTCGGGGTGCTGTTGTAGATGAGGCATGCACCCTCCGTCCAAGTCCCAGTCCCTAGTCGCTTCCCTTCCTTCTTGGGGTCCCCTCTGTCTATCTGTCTGGTCTTGCCTAGTCCTTGTCCTGAAGGTCCTTTTGACATGACATATAGTTGTGTCTGTGTGTCTGTGTGTATGTGCGTGTGTATCGAAAGGGATTTCTTCTTGTAATACAGCAGCCACGCGTATCTGGTGATTGGAGAAGGAGAAAGTGAAAATTGCAAACACAAACATCAGAACGTGAATCAATAGTGTGAGACCATCCCTACCGTCCCTTCCTCCTCCAAGCCCCCCTTGCCCACTCAACAAACTTTTTTCTGGTCATTGATCGCTCTCCATTTCATACAAGGAGAGCTCATGCTGCGTTATCTATTGTTCATCTTGCCTTCGCCCTTTGCCTCATCGGTATGCACCATGGTTGCGAGCGGTTGAACTGCCAAGTGGGCATAACCAGGTCGACAGCGCAGTATAGCACAGCCATGACGGTTTGGACATTTTCCGTTCAGAATGCCTCCCCATTTGCAACATTCACATCGTTTAGAAAGAATCCTCAACAGGGCAGTCGACACTGTCGTGCCCATCTCTCTCGCAAAGAGCACACCACTTCTCTGGATCGATCACACCCGAGGTCTTGCCTGCCATCATACCAGCCTGGTCACCAATACCTTCTATCGGTCCTGCATTTACCGCTGGTGGAGCTGCCGGCCCCCTGAGCGAGGCGTTATCCATCAGCGGTGGACTGGGGTCTGACTTCGGCGGTGGAGGTGGAGCCGGTGATTCGACGTCTTTGGCCGTCGAGGAACTAGCAGCACTTGTACTCGATACAGGTGGTGGGGGAAGCGACGTGCTGGGTGCTGAGCTCGGTGAAAGTGAGCTCGTCGTGGGGACGGAGTTGTTGCTTTTCCGGCTCATCAACGGCGCTGGTCGATCCGTATCAGCAGGTGCGCTGTCAGCTGAATGCCTTTGGATACCCTTCAACACGTCCTTGCCAGCATTGCGTCCCAGACTACTTGTCTTGGATTTCGGCTTGCCAGGCCCGAACATGTTCGAGCAAGTGAGGATGTCATGCCCACCTTCCTCACAAATCTCGCACCACAGTGCAGCGCTGGATGCTGATATGTCCGTCACACCGTCCTCAGATCGAGCCCGTTCGAGGTTGCTGTCCAGGGAGTATTCGTGGTGTGCTGTGAGTGGTTTGACAGGACTGGCACCACGCGACTGAGCATCGTGCCAGGTATCCTGATGACTTGACCTTTGACCCTTGGCCTTGGGAGAACCAAGGACAACCGTTCTTTGGCTTCCAGCGCTGAGATGCTTCCGTGCCAGATCTTCGCTACTCTCCCTTGAGTGACCACCAGGAGACATGGCGGTTCGGATCCCAAAGGCTGCACCGGGGAGTGGGAAGCGAGACATGGCCACACTATTGCGAAGCTGTTTCACCTCATTGGCAAGTTCTTCCTCATGCAGAGATTTCTGTTGGAGGAGTGCTTCCAGATCACGGATCTGCTCTTGCATGCTGAATCGATTTCCATCGGTGCTATTCGTGTTTGATGCGGTTGTGGAGCTGTCGTTATTCTTGAAGGAGTTTCCGTTCATCTTGGGTGACGTGTTATGCGTCTCATTGAGGGATTGTATGATGGCTTTGAGGCCTCGGATTTCATCATCTTTGGCACTCAGCTGGGACTCCCTTTCCGGGTTCCCGAACCCACTTGATGGATATCCATTCAATTGTTCTTCTGTCTTGATGCGTTCTCGTTCTCTTCGAAGCTCCGAGCGCGATCGTTCGACTTCACCGCGAAGAAACTCGACTTCGCCTCTGGCTTCAGCCTCGCCCCTTCTTGCGTCTTCCAGACCCTCCTCTAGTTCTTGCACCAGTTCTTCCAGCTGCTTAAGCTGCTGGGCGACGGTCTCGACGTCTTCACTCCGATCCTGTAGATTTCTAACTTCTTCAAGTAACTCATCCACCCGTTTCTCGTAGACTCGTTCCGTTTCGGTGCTTGCCATCTCGAGCGTATCAATCGTAGATCTAAAGTCAGCTCGGTTGGCGTCAAATTCGGCGGTGAGGAGCTTGATCCGGTCATTCTTTTCCCGAAGGACGTCCCGGAGAGAGGCTACATCTCGAGGTAGGTCTATATCGTCCACCGAGCTGCCTCTTCTACTGGCGCCCTCTTCCAAACCTGCGATCAACTTCTGTAATTCGTTGAAGTTGTGCTCCATTTCTGTAAAGTTTGCATGCTGATCTCTCAATTGGCGCTTGGCCTCGTTGAGCTCGTCGGTCAGATTTCGGATCTTGCCTTCATATTGGGCAGCATCGGCGTCTCCGACCCTGGATGCGAAGGGTGTAGGCGTAGGCGTGGAATCAGCATCTTGTTCTGGGATTTCATCGAAGCTCGACTCGGGACCTAACGACGGGCTGGTGCCGGGGTAATTGGGGGTGGATGTGCTTTGCCTTAGACTCTGGCTGAAATTGTTTGTTGTTCGTGGGCCGGGACGGCTGAACTGACCTACTGCACCGTTTGTGCTTTTTCCTAGGCCGATGCCACTAGGCCGTGTCTTGGGGGTGGCTAATGTTTTCGGGGTGGGAGTGTTGACTTTGCGTAAAGGACTTGCCGGTCGAGGTAAGGACTCCCGTCGGGCGGGAGGCTTGAGCGCAGGACTAGCTGCACCTGCTCTCATTCCGGGGCCAACGGACTGACTGAAATTGGGTTTGGCAAGGCCTGGTGTTCTCCCTCCCTGATTGAAACTACTCAATCGGGTAGGAGTGCCAGGTCCAGGACTGGCTCTAAGTCCCAGGCCAGATCCAGAACTGCCAGGTTTCTTGATAGCCTTTTCCAAGGGCAGGAATATGCCAGCACCGGGGATTGTGGTCTTGAAGTAGTATTTTCCATCAACATCGCCAGAGTTCTTTCCTCGTGGTGCATATTCTGTTGCAAGTTGTACACCTGCAAATGTCCCCCTTTTTCCCGCCACCGGGCCGATGAATTTCACAGTGCCGTGCATGTCGCCAGGCACCATGACGGTGTCTCCGACACGGATTGACGACATGATGGGGAAGAGTTCGATGGTTGCAGATGAGTACTCGCGATCAAGGAGGACAATTCGAGGTGGAGGATGGACACCGGGGTGACGGTACGGTTGTGGATAGGGTTGTGATAATTTATTTGTCCTTTAATAAAGCAACTGATGAGGCGGCGCGATGGCTCTGATGGAAAGGGATTGCTGTTGCTGCATGAAGGGCGACGTGCGGGTTTGACGATCTGGAGAAATGCGCAAAGACGGCGCAGGGTGGTTAATTTAGATAGATAGGGCGTATGCGAAGTGCCGGACTCCTATTGTCAGATGCAGGTTTGTCAACGAACAACCATCAGCGTGGAATTTTCGGTCCATCAACATAACCGACAACAGGTTGATTGAACAGTACCTGCAGGCAGGAGTTGCTGTAGGAGAAGTGGCAGACACACCACAAGCAGATGTCAGGTAAACAAAAGACGTAAGGGTGTGAACAATGGACACGTTTAGCAGATAGTTTTGGGTCGACCCGAGAATGAGGATGGTGGTTCGCTGGCGTCTGGCGGGCAGAGCGGGCAGAGCGGGTGTTGCAGGCAGGGATGGTCCAGTATCGGCTTCTCGTTGGTGAACAATAACGGACTAGGTGGAGTGGGTGTGGGTTGTGGACGTGGTCGAGGGCGGCAAACAACAGCGGACGGGTCCCAAGAGCATCCGTCGACTGACCCTGTGGAGTGCATCCATGGGCCTGCAAGAACAACAATTCATTTTTTAATTAATGATGAACAAGGATCCTCGATCCAGACAGGAATGGGAATCGCAAAAGAAGGCCGGACGGTGTTGTTCGCCTAGTCAGAGGCTCAGAGCCGAACCTCTTAGGGGCCTGTTTTACCCACGAGGCGAAATCATTTCATCGTCCATCCTCATTTCCTCACCAGCACTCGGTAGATCGGAATATGCCATTAATTAATATTGCCAGCGTGCCTTATTCGCTCCGCTAGGCCATCAACCCATGGATGCCCAGCACCAATGCCGAGCAGCGCACCAGCTCGCGAAAGCTCGTGAAATTGCACAGCACTACCCGACTGACGGTGGCTTTCTCCTACTCGTGCTACAGCCTCGCCGTCCATGCGCGCCACAGGAGTTCTGACTCTTGACAGGCCACGGGAATAATATGCATATTACTACGCCTGTTTTCTGCCTTTTTCCTGGCTAGCCGACTCGGTACATAGGTCTGGATACTCCGCACAGCAGAACAGGGTTGCGGGTCCGTCGCACACACTTCATGCATCCCACAATCTTGATGCACCGGGCGATCCTCCTTGGAAACGGACATTGTGTATCTCCCACCAGTTGCTTGTCCTTGTTGACCATGCTCGTTCAGAGCTGCAATCGGAAGGTTGCCACCTCGAAGGCACGCAACTCAATGTTAATGCTGAGCTTGTTCTTTCCTGAAATCTCCACCTCCTCCAGGTCGTCCTCCAGCACGTTGGTTCTGAATACCTTCTTGACCGGCAGGGTCGTCTCGATCGTGCCTCTGGTCTTTCCACCCAAGCTTTCGTAAATGCGAAGAATCACACTTTGCCCAGACCGTTGGCTAAGTTCTCCACGTGAGACATCCTCATCATCTTCGCCACGTTTGATCGCGTCCAGCACAAGAGACTTGCCTCCACTGAGCGTGATGGTACTGAATATCTCCTTTGGTGGCGTTTTATCCACCAACGATACAAGTCTCAGTGGGTGATTGAAGTTGTATGCTGCACGAACAGTCTCACTGCTCAATGATCCTTGATGGGGCATAATAGCCCACTTGATATGATGGCGGCCCATGTCGGCATGGGCGTCTGGCGCTTTCGGTGAACGAAGCAGCGACAGTCGCTGCAGATTGCCGACCGTGGCGAAGCCATACTTGGAATCGTTCAGGATCGACACCCCATACTCGGCTTCTGACAAGTCGGCAAACTTGTGGCAACACACTTCAAATTTGGCCATGTCCCAACTGTTCACTGTTAGCCATCTCCATCCCCAAATCAAATGAGATCATGCTTACCTGGTGTTGTAGTGAGTCGGTCGACGGATGAGGCCATATTGACTTTCGTAGCTGGCTTCCGTGTTGCTCACATCCACTGGAAACTCGACTTTCAAAAACTTCATTGTCTCGTGCCACTCAACTTCCGCTTCAACCGACACATATCCGCCATCGGCTTCGCCATTGGTTGCATCGAGACTGATGGTTGTCTTCACCCAACTGTCGTCACTGACTTGCGTCTTGGTAGCCACACTTACACTGTACGGTCCTGTCTCGACAATCTCTGTAGCCTCAGACTTAAGCTCTTTCCTTGATTCCAGGTGAAAGACCTCAACATCCCACGCTTGCCAGTAAAGGGGCTTGTCATCAAAGATGACCAGCTGATTGGCCTTTCCACCCTGAGCGACAACTTCTCGGTCGGCCTTCAAGTCAAACAGAGAGGTAATGACACCTGCTTCCACTTGAACTCGGAAACGGCTATTCTTCAGGACAAAAACGCCTTTCTTGACTTCTTCAACGGATGCTGTGGATTGGCACGCCGAAGCAGGCGACGTCTTGATGATTCCCGGGCCACCAGAGACCAATGTGTAATGGTGCTCCTGAGAAGAACTCTCTACATCAGGGATGCGCAATAGCTCCGTTCGATTCCATGGCGCAGTGTTGACTGCAGCCAGCTCGACATTAGCCTTGATATGATGCGAGAGCCCGAGAACTGTTAAGGCATCTTCCTTGAGCTTGCCTCCCAACTTGGCGTTGTGCGCGTATAGGGCGTTGGAATCATCGTAGCACATCTCAATAGAGCTTCCTGGGAGACAATCGTGGAACTGACACAAGAGCACGTTCTCCCACATCTCGTCAATCTCCTTTTTGGGGTATTTGTAACTCTTGCTCTTCAACGATGCTAGCGTTGCCAGATACTCAATGTCGTGTAAAAGCACCTCCTGCTGTCGATTGTTCCTCTTGTTATTTGCTTGCGTAGTATACGTGCCTCGGTGAAGCTCAAAGTAAAGCTCCCCATACCACGTGGTGAGCTTGGTGCCGTTCGCGATCTTCTTCTCTAGGTTGGCGAAGAAATCATCCACAGATTTCCCCATATGCACTCGCGGCAAGAGCCCTGTAGTGTCGCTCATTCCACGACACCGTCGCAATTTTTCCAGCATATCTCTGGTGGGGCCACCGCCACCATCACCCTTTCCAAAGACAAGTAGAGACGTATTGTCTTGGTTCAGGCTCTTGTGTTGGGAGACACTTCTTTTGACATCGCCGAAGTTAGCATCAGCAGTATAGGTCTCGCTGGGAGCCATATGACAGATGACCTGACTGCCATCCAGACTGACCCAGTTGAAAGTGGTGTGAGGGAAGTTGTTGATATTGTTCCAGCTCAACTTTTGCGTGAAAAACCTGGTCATGCCTGCCAGCCGACAGATCTGAGGTAGCTGACCAGAGTAGCCGAAAGTGTCGGGAAGCCAGAACGTCTGGCACCTTTCACCAAAGTTGCTCTCGAAAAATCTCTGTCCATACATAAATTGGCGAACTAGCGATTCACCACTGGGCATATTGGTGTCATGCTCAACCCAACTTCCACCAATGGGGTGGAATCTTCCCTCTTTAACCTTTGTCTTAACTCGGTCAAAGACATATGGATAGTTTTGCTTCAGCCACTTGTATTGTTGAGCTTGACTGACGGCAAAACGGTGCTCCGGGTACCGATCCATCAGGTCACACTGGTTGGACCAACTCCTCGCCACCTTGCGCTTCGTTTCAGCCCATGGCCAGAGCCAGCATGTGTCAATGTGGCAATGCCCAATGCCGTAGACCAGAGAAGTCTCGTCCGAGTCATATACCTTGGGCGAGTCGACCAATTTGCCAATGTACTTCTGAGCAATCTTACGTCCCTTCTCGATAGAATCCTGGGATCCATCGCCAGCAATGAATGTGTCAATGATCTGGTTGGCAATTTGCAAGGCTTCATGCTTTTCCCAACTGTCACCAGGAAATTCTCTCGCCGCATCTCCAATAATCCAGAAATCCACATAGAGTTGGCGGACGGTGAGGTTCACGTCGACAATCTGGGCCTTCCACAATTGATAATATTTGTTAGGGTCCGGTGGCTGGATGCTGTCGCCACCTGGAGCATTGCCAAACATTCCATTGCAGGCCATCTCGATGTAGAACACATGCTCTTTTCCATCCCGCCAGCTCTTAGGGAGGATCCATTCTGTGCGATCGCCACCACCAGTCAGACCTTGTAAAGGATCTCCGTCTTCGGTCCATACCATTCCCTCATTGTTAGCATCCCAATGAAATTCCAGGTGTTCTCCATCTCGCATCTTCTTAGGGACAGTGAGTTGGATCCTGAACCAATGAGTTGACCACGCAGGACCGAAGGACTCCCCACGGTGGGTAGGTTGAAATTTGTGAGAAGTAGCATCCTTGAAGGTCGGGCGTGCTAGATCGGGTGGGGAGTAGACCGAGAGCTTCACGTGGTCAGAATCATCGACGATGTCGTGGTAAAGCTTACTGTAGGAGGTGCGTCAGCGAGCGGCAGCCAAAAGGTGTCAGGTAGAGAAGACTTACGACCGTAGATTCTGTTTCTCATACTGGCCATCCGAGGTAAATTGGCGCAGGCGGTCTGTATAAATACTCTCAATCTGTTGTCCAACAGGACCTGAGGATAGTTGCGGATAGGACGATTGAATGCGATGGGCTGTTTCTCCACCCATGATTGTTGTTGAAGCGAGAGGAAACGCAATCAGACAGGCTTCTTCACAGGTACAAGGAGATTTTAAAGAGCGTATTACTGGGGACTGAGGACAACGATGAGGATCAGGAGCTAATTGAAAGAGAGGTGTGCGTGGTAGTATTGCTGTGGCTAGTAGGAGGTCAGATGGACATGGCATTGGCACTGGCACTGGCACACGGCATGCAGGGCAACTTGGTGTTTCATTGACGAAGACTCCGTACTCCGTGCAGCACAGCCAGGCAGGTGCGGGGTAGCCGCCCAATTTGGAGAAGGATCTCTCGTTCCTGCATCATGGAATCATCACCGCCAAATAACAAAATAACGTGATCGCTTTCTTGGCGAGCATCCGTGAGCTGAAGTCGAGTTACGAGGCTGAGCATTCCATATATCCGTCCGCAATAAGATGCTATATATGATCTATCATTTGGAATTAAATCCACGGTCTATCGTCTTCTGATTTATCAAAACGCCCTTGCCCATGCCCATATTTACCATTCGCCGTCGTCGCCGTCTGAGCTAGTCCTACCACCGTGATACTCTGCTTCAGTTTTCTTCGCCGCCGTTGTGATGTCCTCCTGGTCAATCTCTGCTTGGCCCCCTCGAGCACATTGACGAATTGGCTCTGTCCACTCTGATAAGCTGTGACGAGATCCATCGACTTACCCCGCTTATGGCTCGCTTTGTCATCTCGACTCTTCTTCTTGGTCTTTTTGGTCGACCAGATCTGATCGCTGTACATCTGGTATGGTGTTGCTTGGATCGCAAGTTGCCTTTCTTGAGGTCTAGACCAGCGACCTCGACCTCTCCCGCTGTCTCGTCGGCTTGATATAGAGAGTGACCGCAACAGACCATTGACTCCCTTCTGTAGACTAGAGCGTTTATTGTTCCTTTGCGACTTCTTCCGCTCGATGGAGTTTGGATCTATGCATGGGCACGGATATTCCTCAGCTGACTTGATACGTGCTTGCTCCTTCTCCAATGAGTTGTCTCGAGCCTGCAATTGTGACGAGTCTGAGACAGGACTGTCGACTCTCAAATCATCATCTAGCCAATTCTCAGACCAATGCCTACTTCTGTATTCCCGGCGTGAACCACTGGAAGAGAATGGGGTCTCGCCTCGTTCTTGCAGCGCAGAAAGTTGGCCTGGGGTGTCAAAAATCGGACTTGGTGGGCACATGCTTTTCAAATCAGGTGGCGATGGGAGAAGTGCGGACTCAGCTCCATCAGAAATCGTCACCGACATGGCATCAGGTAATGGCAGGGTTTGTGCAACAGTAATTGATAGCTCGACTGACGATACTTGAGCCGAAGGTGAAAAGGGTTGATCATAGGCTGCTTGACGGGGATGGTCTGATGCTGAAGACAGTGGCGAGACAAGCTCGTTCCGACGGTCTTGTAGATTGCGCGAGAATTCGGCGAAGCTTGGTGCATTCTTCTTGCTAGTGGACCTCAGAGAGATGCTAGATACTGATGCTCTTGGTCGTGGCCGAGGAGGAGTTGGAGGGCGAGGCGATGGCGATCTACTTAGACTCAAGCGGTTGACCAGAAGCGGTGCAACCGTATCTCTGCAAGCTTGAGGCTGATGTATTTTTGGCATAGGTGACAAATCCGGTAAGTCTTCAAGATCGCGATAACCCCCATACATGCGTATTATATTCGTGATTGTCGTATCAGTGCTGTATACACTGGAGGAGCGCCTTTGTCGTCCGAATGGTGACAGCGGCAAAGGCTTATCTAGATCGGAGGGAGTCGATCTTGCAGATGCATGTTTGGGAGAAAGCAGAGACCCCGGTGATGGAGATGCTGGCAGCTCAAGTCCTTGGTTTTGCAGGCTCAGGAGCGCTTTCGACGGTGGAGGCGAGGAGACCAGCACACGCTGAGAAAACCCTGGTCGTGAGTCCATCTTCAGCATCCGTTTGATCTGACAGCCGAAAACAACATCTCTTCACAGCTCATTCGGTACTCAACATGCTGTACCTCATTTTTCTCACAAAATGCGGATTTGTTGTGTGAGAGCATGTAAATACAACTAGCCCATCCACTGCGCACCGGCTTCAGCCACTCAACCACAGGCAATATATTGGCAGCGCGGACAAAGATGGCTGCTTGCAGCCACGGCCATCTCAGCAGCCACGACAACCATCTTCTTTGTCCGTAGAATCCTCCGGGAACATATATGTACGCCTAAGACAGTCAGATTATTGTATGTGGTGGAATCTAGTTTAGTGATGTATAGGTGAGTTTAGTATTCGTGGTGATGGCGGCCACATTCCCCGGACATTCCCACCTTGTCCGGACATGGCAAATTCGTTGCGGAAGTTTTCATAGATTAGCGGCTTTGGCCAGGTCTTCTTTTGTCAATTCATCGCCCGGTCTTCTAATGTCTCCCAGCCGACCCACTCGTCTAAGCCTTGCTATCATGTCTTCGTCTCCAAAATGGCTGTTATGCTCGAATGTCGGTTCTTGGTTGTAAGCATAGCGAGAAGCATCAGTTAAGATTCTCGCAGTCATGCCAAAGACTCGATATCTTGCTAGCTTGTCTAGATGGCTTGCTGCAGCTTTCTGATCTTCATTCTTCTTCGGTTTTGACACGGTTTGGTTGGTGACTGGAACAAAGAAATTATGCATCCTCCACCGACTTTGGTGCCAATCAGTCCACGTCCCTTTGTACCAATCGCTCGGTTTCCCAGGCAGGTTTTGCTGGTTAGGTAGGTCTTCCGTATACAAGAAGTTTTTGAAAGGGGCTGAGAAAACAGCGGCTACCTCTCTGGCATCCAGTCTAGGCAGCAGCCTTTCCGCCACGCTGGCATCCAACCCAGTCTCAGGGTCATGGGAATGTAGAAAAGCCACGCAGGGTCGCACGACAAGCTCGGTCTTGGCAAGATTTGTGGGCATTTCACATAGATGCTCGACACGAAACGGCGATGGCAAGGATTCCGATCGTCGAGGAAGGCCAATTTCTTCAGAAGCCTCTCTTCTCGCAGCTTCGAATGCCGTTTCTCCAGGTTCAGCTTTACCACCGGGCAAGGCTGCTTGTCCAGAGTATGAACTGAGAGTACTGGCACGCATTGTGATAACGACCTTCAGGTCGCCTTTCTCATCAGCGAAAAGCAGAATGAGGACCGCCGCCTTCCTCGAGATTGGCATCGTAGGCCATGCCGTAGGTGGCGAGGCATACGATCTCAGCCGGGCAAGTGCTTTCTATAAATCATCAATCACATAAACTTTTGATGCATAGAGTGGTTTCAAACCTTGGATTCCTCAGAGAGAGGTGCCATCTTGTCGTAGTGGTTCTGTGAGACAAATGTCCGGTAAAACAGTACCGTTGGCTGGGAGAGTCTTTTCAGTCTCACGGGATATGTCCTCAGCATACTCTGAAACGCTGAGAGTGAATAAATGAGGTTCCTTTAAGGCCCTTAATACTGACTGGTCCTAACTTATGCTACGGAAAAGAAAATCAAAGCCGAGGTAAGTCGTGCTCGATCTGGACGGTTGGCGGAAAGATGTTTGCGTCAGGCCGAAAGTCACAGCAATCAAGTTTAATTGATGATTAATTCTGGGGAGCGCTTCACGCTCCAGTATGAACCCACGCTGCTAAGGTATTGGCTACGAATAGAAGTGAGATTGAGCAGGACAGGATTCCATCTGGTTTTCCCATCTACAGTAGCTTTCCCTACGGACAAGGGTTTGGGGCTGTGGTACGTAGCTCTGCTTCGCAGTCGAGATATTTTCTAGGTATTGCCAGTTTTACATCTCTTGTCTTCTATGCGTGTAGAGCCACCGCAATAGCATGAGCAAGAATTTTGGTGCAATTTCCGGGCAAGGAAATCCCTACCAACGACATTTGCTGTCCGAAGCGTTTCATCCATCAAGACGTGCCTGTGTATCTGCCAGTCACCGTACGGATATGTAGTCCGTAGTCATCGTGGAGGGCAATCTGCTATGGCACAGAGCTTCTGCCGGAGACCGGAATCTCGCATTCCTCCGGTAAGATGTTCTTCGAATTCCTCAGCATACACAAATTGGCCTGTTCGAATCCGAGTAGCTATGCTTGCTATTGAGTTGCAGTCATGCACTCACATATGCATGTCTCATAGAGGCCATTGTGCAGCAGTTCTGAAAAGATGGTAGTCCCAGTATTCTAATCAGAACTCTCAAGGGCAGTGCTCGTTGGTGTATGGATGCTCCGATACAATTAACCGGTTGTAGCGGACGCTGTCCTTCCTTTGGGGACAGACGAGCGGGTTATTGAGAATAAGCGCTTGATGCATGTATTCCAGGTTCTAGTTTTCAATCGTCATGGCCCTTTCGTGATCCTCCGAAAGTAATCTTCTGGCGTTTGTTTGATCTTGCATCGGTGTCATCGTCGTTAGCGGAGGCACTCTTTTTCTTCTTCTTATCCGCCTTCTCGGTGGTAAAGCTCGCTGTCGGGGTGCCGGCATGTGGCGTACTCGTAGCGCTGCTAGGCGAATCTGAATCCCGCATGTATGATACTGAGCTTCTCGTGAACACGCGATCAGTCTCGTTAATCACGGCTTTCCGACGTCCTGCGCCGAGTCCACCACCAACTGCGCTCCCAGAAACGGTACCTCCTGCCGAACTTGCAGCGGCTGATACCGCAGATGCCTTGATGTAGTTGTCAAATCCTTTCACAATATTGCCTGCGACGGATGTCTCCTCGAGGTAGGTCGACTCTTGTCGATAAATCTGGTCTTCGATAGCCGCCTATCACTATTAGATGAATGTCTCGACATGGGCAGATTAGATGAAACGGACTAGGTTACGGTCTAGAAGCCTCTTCTTCTGGAGAGTGTCCCGCAAGTCACGGCGCAGTTTCTCGTAATATGGGAGGCCGGGGCGATCAGCACTGGCCGACGCGGGCTTGCTCGCAGTGGCAGGCGGTACATTCTCGGCCATGATGGGAACGGCCCCACATTCAGACGCTAAGTAATGGTTCTGAAATATGGACGAACGGGATGGGAGTTGAATCAATTGATGGTTGTGTCGAGTTTCGGAAGAGGGAAAGGGCATATAGTCGCTCTCACCCACTTGGATTGGGGGCAGTCGTCAAGGCAGGGAAAAGCTGGACGCAATTCGAACCGGATTGGAACGAGGGTGTTGCCGCCCTACGCTCTCCTCTAGCTCGTGCGAGTCAGGGGCGAGTGTACAGTGATTAGTAAAAGCGGCCGCTGACGCCTTCAGCCGGGACTCGTGAAGATTGCGAGTACATGCGTAGCAGCTCACATTGACCTTTTAAGCAAGACTACGGAATTCTAGGCAACGACTGGCACAGGTGCCTGCCTACACTCACGATCACAATTAAGACCACAACTTTCGACGCAGACATTGTTTTGAATGAAATGGAGCTCGTGTTAGGATCTTCTACGCCGCAAAAGCACCGGAAAATTTACTCGCAAGTCACTAGGGGGATTACCCAGGCCGTGCCGCCTTCCACAGCGACCTATGTGACTTATCCACGAGATGGTTTCAGTTTGCTTACAATGAGCATTGCACCCTCCGATACAGCAAGCTGGTTGAAGACTCAACTTCCAGTCGAGCTAGGACATACATCTACCTGGCTACGCTACTTGTTCAAGGTGGAAACTGGGCGCACTTGAAGCTAAGGCTTTAGAAGCCGGCAAGTTGCCTGGATGGTACGGTCACCACCGAGGACTGATGCTCCTTTCTGCCATGATCCTTGCAGGTGCATGCATTCGTACCCAGCTAGACACAGAGAGATGCAGACAAGCCCAGAGGCGCCGAACATCCAGGAATGGTTAGTTCTACATTATTGTCTCAAGCTCTTTGCATTGAGATCCTTTGAGCATCTGGTCTCACGCTAGAGCCATGGTTGGGCGCTTAATTGCAAATCCTGAGTTCGCCTTGTTAGAAAGAACTGTCAACTGTCCGCTAGTTTAAACGACGGGCACTTTAAATATTCTGCGTGTCCGGCGAGGACTCCGCAATTTCCTCTCCTTGCTTTTCTGGAACAACTTCACGCGTACACATCGACCCTGTTTCTCTGCCTCAATACCAAAGAGACGAGGCATTCTAACCAATTGAGTGGGGTCAGAATATAATGACTACAGGTATGTTTCTGCCATTGTGCTCAGACCGCTACGATCCCGTTACGGCTGATCTCCACTAGACGAAACAGAGACTCCCTCTCCAGACAACGACATATATCCCGTCCAAACAGACCCAATGGATCGTAAAGTTGATCATGCAAGTGTGTCGCAGCAATCTCTTGAAGGTGGTCAACGTCCGCGAAGTCCCCAGAGCATACCGGACATAGCGTCCTTGCGAATCACGGAGCGTTCCCAGGAAAACTTACCGACAACTCACCAGAAGCCCGTAGACTCGGACGCTATAGACTCACTATCTTCGACCATGCTGTTGGCCCGAGATTTTTCATGCTCTTTTGATGAAGTGTTCCGTTCTTTATCAGCAGGTGATGACCTTCCTGACTCATCGAAAAATGCACATACGGACCAATGCTTTGAACGAGCCTTGGTCTGGGGTGTTCATTTAGCACAAAAGACAAAGACCTTATGCGAGACCATCGGGGAACATGACACATATCATGACAAAACGGTCGAGGTACTGGTGAAGGAGGCTAAGCAATTATGCACCTTCCAACCGAAGAGTGAAAAAATCGTCGGCCTACTTGGACGTTCTGGAGAAGGTGGGATCTTGTCAACATTGGCAGTTTTCGTATTCTTACGTGTACCAGGAAAAAGCAGTCTGATCAACTCGCTCCTAGGATTCACCGACCTAGCGCCGGCAGTAAGTGATTCTTACCAAGCGTTCGTGTGCAACACACGTCTCATGCATATTGTAAGGGAGACATAGGTTCGGCATGTACCTCTGTTGTGACTGAATTCCGACAAAAAGACAGCCGTCATACTGCTCAAATCACTCTTGAGGTTGAGTATTACACAGCGGCAGAAACTGAAGAGCTTTTAGCAGACATGGTGGGGAACTTCAGGAAAGTGCAATTGCTCCCCAAAGCACAGGGTACAGAAGAGCGAGAAGCCCTCCCACGAGATAAACAGCACTCCGAGAATCAATCAGAAGAGGCCTGGTCCGCTCTCGAGGCCGCATTTGGACACCATGAAGCATTTGGGAGATCTTTCCTCCTTGATCAATCTGAAAGGGCACATGACCGAATTGTGTCACAATTGAACCAATGGACCAAACTTCTTCACTGGCCAGAGGAAGCAAAAGATGGAAGATATTCAGTAATGGCAGACAGCGAAGAAAATTGTACCGCGAAAATACATCACTTCATGCAGAATGAGTTCTGGCCCTTCACGAAGATTATGCGGTAAGCACGATTCTCCTGATTCTCCTCTTGGTCAGCCCGATCCCTACTTCAGTAGTGTGCGCCATCACGGCTGGAGTTTTCGAGGTACTGACTTTGGCGTGTTCTATAGCATTTTCGTAGACTCAGATATACTCAAGTCCGGTATTGTGCTTACGGATCTACCTGGTTAGTATGGCATTACATGAAAGTCATAACGTTAATATTATTCTCAAAGGTCGAAGCGATACCAATACTGCGAGGATTAAAACCGGTCAGATGTACCTCCAAAGATGTGATTGCGTTTTTATCCTTGCGAATATCTCGCGTGCGGTAACTGATGACTCACTGAAATCCTCGGTATACTCAATGCTGGCCCAAGAGATGCCTCTTGAATGGGAGATGAATCGCGCCAGAAGGCTTCAGGCTATTGTCATATGCACCAAGACTGATGTGAGCACTCGAAACTTGTACTTCTACTCTTCACTGATGTACTTCAGGAGATCAATATCTCGGCAAATAAGCGAGCGCTCATTCCAGACAATGGCCCAGAGTTCGAGTCTTGCATCCAAAAGCTAGAGAAAGACACAAAGCAAGCCAACAATGAGAAAAGCAAAAAGTTCTTCAAGACACAGTAGGTTGATTTGCATGATACAAAGACAGGTAATACTGAAATATGGTCTTCAGGATGAAGAGCCTGCTCATAAAGGCGCGAAATAACAGTGTGAGGTCGAAGCTCCGGCGGAACTACCAGTTGCAGAACCCAAAAGACGAGCTCAACGTATTCTGCGTGTCCAGCAGAATGTATGAAAAGTGGGCCGACACAGACAGGGCCGACAGGGATGGCGCAGACAGGATGCTTGAATTGAGTGGCATACCCTTGTTGCGCCTATTCTGTCGCTCACTGAATCGTTCAGACAGGCAAGGGGAGATTGAGAACTTCATTCGAGCAAGGCTCCTCGGGTTTCTGAGCACAATTGACCTTCTATCAAACAAGATCATGAGCGGGATGGATGCCGAGACTGCTGCAGAACTGTGGAAAGACGTGCAAGCAAAGGTCGGAATCACACTTGGTGCCGAATATGATGACATCGTCCATTAACCTGAACGGCAGGTCGACTATCAGGTCATTGAAGCGGAAGAAAAAACAAAAGGAGCTTCCCTCGAAACTATGAAGAATTATTTTGGTTTGTTGTCCGCAAGCCCTTATTCGAACTGACATAATGACTATTGGCAGAGTACCGTACTACCCACTGGAAGACAGCGGCTTTACAACAATTTGAAAACTGGCTGCCATGGCATTGGAGTAAGTCGCCTAGTCAACTTGAAAACGCAGCTTACATAGGAATGAGCAGAACAGTTCGATGCTTTCTGCCTAAATTATGGGGAACACGAGACTGTGAAGATTAAACGAACCAACTGGAATGGAGCTATAATATGGAAGATGGCGCTAGAACTATTTAAGGCTTGGGAGGCTATTGAAGAGGAGGTAGTGGAAGTCTTCCAGGAGTTATTGAAAGGTGTCCAAGAGGAGATAGGCCATCTGGAGAAGCAATACGAAGGTCAGCGTCCACAAAGACCGTTCAGGCAGAGACTAACCGCTTTGTATTTTTGTTTTTTTAGGAGCGGGACTGCCACCAGCGGTATTGGTTACTTTGCGCTTGATCACCACAAGCTTGGATTTTGATATTCAAGAAGCAGAGAAGAATCTCAAGAACCAGCTCATGTAAGCATCGGCTTATATTCCGTCAATGGAGATTATCCTGCTAAGATCACCCAGCATACTACGTAGATCAGCATTGGAAGCAAATAGAGCAAGCTATGTGGTACGGCAAATGGCACCTGCATATCTCTCTGCGAGCCAGGAAGACGGTAAGCTTTCCCTGACACACAGTCCCTCCCATTAACATTACTGAATATTCTAATTTACAATCGTCTGCTGAAAATCCAGGTCATGGAATGATGAAAAGACAACAAGGCACTGTGCGTTACAGGATAGAGAATGAGTTGTTCCCAGCTATACAGGAAAAGATCGAGAGTAGCTTGTCCGAGATTTTCATGTCTACGTTCGGTGATCTGCGAAACAAGCTAAAGCACGTCTTGCATCTCGTTTGGCATGCTGTTGCTGTCGGGCTTGTGGTTCCTAGTGATTACCAACGCCTAGGAACTCACACCGACATGTTTACTTTTCGGGCGAAACAGCTTCTTGCGGAATATGAGCATATCGCAGAGCAAATTAGCGCTGCTAAATAGATATTTCACTGTCCGGTTCTACTCTGGCTTCTATATGTCAATGATTTAGTAAGGGTAGTAGTCTTAGACTAAGCCTTGAGAATTCGATATATTTGACGCCCGGTGGGGGAACGGCTGGCAAATTGAGACCTGTGGTCCGGTCACGTCCTTTGCATTGAAAAAGACATCAATACGAAATGTGCTCGTTTCTTGCTCTGGTCAAATTACTGCTGTGTCGAGGATGCAGTCTTGCACCGGATGAGATATCCTACTGGCACGTCTGCATCGTAAGCTCCTAATGTAAGGATGATGTAAACATGGATATATTTACTAGCGCCTTCCGCTTCCTATGTTTGTAGCCTCAATGCGACCGTTGACTCCTAGTGGAACTACCACTCTCCAAAGGCAAAGGCAAAGATGAAATATTGGAAATCGGTATATCCGTTAACGTTTGTCTCCTCGGCCTCCGGAAAGCCCTACCGCCCGAGCTCACTTTACTGGCTCTGAGGAAAACTTCATGTGCAACCCCCATGGGGCCCCGTGGCTCAGTTTCACTGGCATTCTTTCGTTGAAACGTATTATTGATTGAGGCAAAAGGAGACACTGGATGCGATATCGGTGCCAGGACCATGATCTTTGGGCCATTCTCCTCCTTGTCCACGGAGTAATAGCGTCCGGATTCATTGATCTCAATGAAACCCGAGGTTGGCAAGCTTGTGTTTGATCCCAGATGTGTATGCAAGACTGTGAAGACATCGTCCTCATGACACTTCGCAGTATTGTGGTTGTACGTGTAGGCTTCGAGGCACTTTTCACTGATAACGGCATAGACAGCACTGTGTTGTGTATCTTTGAGAACTTTGGCCCAATCATTGAGTCGACATTGAAAGGTAAGATAACGCTCTTGGTGGCTGTTGAAGAATGCCACAATGAGCACGTTGCCGTCGCTGCCCGTTTGCGCCAGGATTTCCAAGACAGGCGCGATCATCTTGACTATATCTCTTCTCTTTTTCTCATAATCGCACAAGACTTTGTGCATATCATCCGGGTTCTGGCTGGATAATGCCTGAAGGAACTGAGAACCCCACTCTTTTTGTCTCCAACGGGGACTGAGTCGTTCCAACAGAGTTTGAACTGGAGCCATTAAGAAGAGATGTCTCAACTGGGTCCGCTGGGCATTTCCAGTGCAGTGGCTAACTTGGACGTCCAGATACTGATGAAGAATATTAATTGGAGCATATTGCGGTTCAGCTTTCAATTTTGCTAGTTGGTATTCTTTCAGGGGAATGCCGGGAAACTTCTTTGCGGTGGCTTGTCCCGAAAGTGAAACAACATTTGAAATGCCCAGACCTGCGCTGAGAGTGTCAAGCTTCCATTCAGCGCGTCTAGGACCCAGTGGGAGCATTTCATACCCATAGACATCTTCGAAATCATCCAGCGTATATTGACAATTTTGGTTCTCCCGAAATCTCGCACCTATGAATAGAAGGGCATCGGTTGCAAGTGTACCTAAGGATTCTCTTTGAAGCAGACTCTGCTCACGCCTTGTCTGGAAGTCCGATGAACTGGTCCAATGGCTTCGGACAGAGCCTTCGTACTGCGGTCCCCTGACCGGGTTATCCGGGTAGATAACTCCTCTTGCCAGCTGGTAGTACTGGATCCTGTTCGGGACATTTTGATCCAAGCCGACGGCCCAAAACGGGGCCCCAGATGTCTACGAAATCCTCAATAGTTGTCAAGATCGCCAAGCGCTCTGTGTTTTGCATTTGCTGGTGGCAAGCTACCTGCCCATTCATGCTGCATGACAACATCCAAACCCCTGTTTCGTCAACATATTTGTCCAAACAAGCCGAACGACTCCTCATTGCCAGGAAAGACAGTTATCTCGGAGAGTTCTTTCTCCAGGTGATCGAGATCGAACCGTCCACCGTGGGAGCCTACATAAGAGACCAGGCCGAGATCCGCAAATATAGAAGCCAATCTGCATAGTTCCAGGATCGAATCGCCGGACCTCACTATATCAGAATTTTGGCTGTGCCCCAAAATCTCCAGAAACCGTGTTAATGGCGGTTCCATCTGCGCAAGTAACTTTCGATACACCTCGTCCGGCAGAAGGTCATCCTTTGAGACTTGTACTAGCAATTTTTCAGCACCCTGTTGCATCTCAACAAGAAGGCTCCCTAGAACTGGAACGATCTTCGCTGTGTCATTATTTGGTTGTAGGAGTAAAATATTGAAAGCAGAAGGCGGCTCTGTAGAGGTGTCTGAAATTGGCCAGAACACGAGATATGATAACGTAAGTCTTGCGCAACGACACAAAGACATGCCAAATCTTTCGAATGTTGTCAACTTCAGAGATTGAATCCAGATACTCGAGCGTAAGTAGTGGCTTCATGAAGTCGGGAGCCTCCTGGTATGGCAAGGAGCTCGAGCTGTGCACTGGGATGCTGTGGTCGCTAAGATCATAATTACCACGGCAATGAAAGAATTCAGAGTTCTCGACAATGTCTTTTTCCGGAAATTCAAGCCAGGCGTGGTGGGTTCCAGGGTCGAGTATGTGCATATCGGCATCGAAATTTCCCTTCTTGCTGTGTCTTGCCATGTCTTGATCTGTTGATCTACCTCTTCTCTCTGGGGGAAAAAGCAAGGACTCGGCACAACCTGACCAAGGGTATCTTCTGGGACAGCATGTAAGGTGGCCCCTTCACGAATGTTAAGAGATGAAACAACATCCGCTTCATACAATTGCTTCCCACCATACGTCAGAAAATAGGATCCACTCTCCGCACCCGAAGCATCCTCATACTTTGCATAGACTGTCGAACCAGGATCTAACTCATCAACTTCAAGAGGAAGGGTGCTGCCATCGACTGATGTCCAGTCAACATTTCCTCTGACAGGGTTCTCATAGTCGCAGCTTTCTATACTAACATTTGGCCACGAGTATCTGCATCTTCGTGGAATGGACTCCGATGTGGACGATTGAGAGAGCAGGATTCGAAATATTCCGTTCAATAGGAGGCACTCTGTTCTGTGAGTGCAAACCAGCTAATTCTCGAGCGAACTTTGATTCCTAAGAGAGATGTGGATATCTCGTTCTCTCACTGAGTCCAGAGCGTTGCGTTGGTGGGACGAAGTTCCCTAACCCAGTCGAGCAGGAGAGCCACCAGCTTGGCGAATTATTGAGGCAGTCAGGGCCTCCCGGTCGTGGAACGAGCGTTGATTTAGGCAGAAGCTCGATGGTGAAAGAGACTTCAGCGAAGCAAGGAGTAGTTCACGCTCATGCGGAGCCAACGCGCATTGAACGGTTGTCGCAAGCAAGAAGCGCCATTAGCTGACTTGGCGCATCTTTCCGCAGGCGGGGCTCAGCTCTGTTCCTGCAACTTAACAAATGCAGAACATGTGTCGTGGGATAAGCTGTGGCTATATTCATTTGATGGTGGAAGAGAGCGAATTCAGATTGTTGCCGTTCCTGTGCTTTGCTGGGGGCGACTTGGTCTTGGGCATAGCGAAAGCTTGCTTGTTGCAAGGGCTATATTGATACCAGGGAACACCGGGTAAGACGATGTATAAGTAATTGAACGACCAGGAGGGTGGTTGCAGAGAAGGCGCAATCGCAGGCGGCCGAATTTGCAGCAGGGTTGTATAACGCGATTCAACTTAGGTGCGTTTATCTTGCTAGGGCACCAGGTCGCAAGTGGATCTTGGATGAAAGTGGTGTGAGGCCACGACATCCACATGCAGGCCAGTGTGAAGCTGTGTGTTTTAATAGGCGGTTGTCCTCCGTACACCTCCATCATCTAGCTCGGAGGAGACCTGAAAGGAAGACAGCTTGCGGCCGGCTTTGTCCTTTCGTTACAGGAGACGTTCGTCGGCAAAGTGAAGTCCTCAGCGCCAAACAGGCCAAATCACACCATGCTAGGCTCGCCGACAAGTTCGTTACGCATTTCAGGATTTCAGTGACCAAACAGAGATTATGCGCAGATTCCAGGACCTTTGATCTTCGAGCATTCCAGAAATATTCCACGAACTGAATGTTGATGCTAGGAAGCTCCCGTGCCGCCGGGGCAAGCGGAAGCAACTTTAGCACATCGGGAACAATTGCGCAAGACTCCCGAATCTCCACACGGCAATACTAAGACAAAGGCAATTACGTACAGAGTCGTCTCCAAGATATCCATTTTACCCACTGATATATGTCCCTCTTAACACTTTCAAGGGGGCCTTGTCTATAACGGGGACGATGTAAATGGATGACCCCCCTTTTTCAGATGCTCGTCCTGCATGTACTCCGTAACTTCAAATAACTCTAAAGCTACGACAGGGGTGGCTAGTGCGTTGGGGCAAGAGAGGGCCAGCATGCGCTCACCATTGCGACAGTTCGAGGTTGACCTCCATACGAACCTGCCCACGGCCCAGGGAGGGCAGAGATTAATACGAGTACGCACGGCCTATTATTATCCACGTCTCGAACAGACATCTTTGGAGGAAACCTCCCTCGCTGCTTTCGCAAGCTCCGGCTAGTCCACATTACTCATGAAGCAGAATTTGGCGTCGGCGTCGGCGTCCTACCACAGCACGCTCCCTGTGCATCCCTGCGGCTTCGGCAGAATACCCTGGAGTTCTCTATGTCCAGGGACAACGGTTCCAGGACAGCCCCAGGCCTGCGAACACTACCTGGCACCTTTCGTAGCTCCAAGCCGTCCCAGCACTGGATTGTGTCACACCCTGCTGACATCACATGCCAATCGAAGACTCCATCTCTTCCCGCCGACGTGTGATGTGCTCCGTACTGCTGCCAGCTTGCGATCGTTGACACGGCCACCACAGCAACCAGCCAAGGGACAGAACTAGGCGCGACGTACTTTACGTACTCGCGCATGTATAAATCCCCGTGTTATTGCTCCAGTCTCCTAGCAGCCATCATCTAAATCGAGCTCAGCAGGCGTGGCTTGAACTCTTGAATTTTGGAGAACTTTGTTGCCCACGTCAATTGAGGATCTGAGGAAAGCCTTTGACCACCATTAAATAGATAAGTAGATATGAGAGGGATAAAGCGGAAGTGTATGACCAGGACCAGCGCCGAGGTCGAAAGGGTCCCGTCACCGACTTCCATAAAACTGTCACTAGGGTCAACGGTCTTGTTGAAATTTATGGCAAGCAGCATACGAAGGCGTCTTGGAAAATGAGATTAACCCTTAGAAGGAGCATGTGCAAGGAAAAGCTCTGCAAGAATGTTCGACCTTCGCTCATGTTGTTATCTAGCGCAGTAGGCCTTCCCAGGACTAGTCGGAGAGGACAAGCGCGCCTTTTTCTAAATGAATATGGGACGAAACGGGATCAACTTGAACAAAGTGTTTAACGAGGAGTAGTTAACGCACTGGAAGCTGAGGAGGTCCACGATCAGAGTACTAGTACGTACACTCGTAAACGGTAAGAGAAGATTGAGTCGCAGAGTCCTGATCTTGAAAGTGGCGCAGTGAAGGTGCGTACTACAGTGAGCTCCGAGAAGTTATTAGTAATTACATTGCTGAAGCCGCACCCAGTAGGTGTCAGAAGTCGATATCTCAGTATATTTTAATTGATATATAATAAATCCTTAAGGCTATAGCTATTAGTATATACCACTTTTATTGTATTCGCTGACCATCCTATGTCGTGTGATGTGTGAGTACGGCGGGCCATAGGGCAAAATCAGGCCCCAGGTCGGTGGTCCACGAATTCTGACACCTGCGGGTGAGCCGCCAATCGCCGTTGCGGGATCGAAACCTCGCCGAGCACGCGTCAAACCCCCGAAACTTGCTCATCTCACAATGTGAATCACGTCAAACCACCAGCTCAACTCATCCCAAGTGCACCCCCTTATTAGCACTATATATTCTGGGCCTCCAGTCAAGGAGCATACTCTTCTTACTACTAACGCCATTCCCCCCCGCCTCCTCTTCCTCACTATCTTCTCTAATCTGCACATTGACGCAAGAATCATGGATCATTCACATATGGACCATGGAGATATGGGCGGTGGCCACGGGGACATGGATATGGGCGGCCAGTGCTCGATGAATGTAAGTAAACCGCGGTGGTGTGACTGGAATACTGGCTAACCAGAGTAGATGCTCTTTACCTGGTCGTCCAAGGACCTATGTATCGTGTTCAGGCAATGGCGGATCACTGGCACTTTCTCCCTCATCCTCTCGTTGATCGCTATTGTTCTGCTTGCCGCGGGTTATGAATGCATTCGAGAGGTCAGCAGAAGATATGAGCAGGGCTATAATGCCCGCATGAGTGCCTACAGTACCGGTGCTTCGAGTATGTTATACCCTCACACCTGGTTGCAACACTCACTGAGATATCCAAGGTGAAAGCCAGTCGTTGAACGCATCAAGCTCATTACTCGTCGTAGGAAGAGATTCCAAATCCGCCGAGGAGAGAAAAGGAACCCTCATCAAAGGGGCTCTCTATGCCGTGCAGGTCTTCTATAGCTTTTTTATCATGTATGTGTGAACCACCCATCGTCCTACTCTACTAATCATCTACAACAGGCTTTTGTTCATGACCTACAACGGCTGGGTTATGATAGCAGTTGCTGTTGGTGCCTTTGTAGGCTACATCCTATTTGGCCGGAACTCCTCATCGGCCAAAAGTGTGGCGTGTCACTAGATGTCGATCACCTCGCATGCTATACAGGCTCACGCATCCTCATCCTCATCCTCATCCTTATCCTCAATATCATCGCCAAACCCGAAGCTGAAGCCTCCTCTCTGGTTGTCAGCATCATCTGCTTCTACCACATCTTGCCACTTCCTTTTCCTCTCGGTTGAGACATCGAGCGGCGCTGCCAGTTCTGGGCGCGCTTCTCTCAAACCTTCCAGAAATAGGGAGCATGGATCACTGATGTTCTCCTTGAACCCTGATACCTGGTTCGCTTTGTATTTCAGAAACTTGTATGCTGCCCTCACGTGCGACCGAGGCACAAAGTTTTGTGTTATCGCTATAGCAGGCTCCAGGTTCACTACCAGATGCCACCACCCAGATGGAACATGCAATACTTCGCCTTCATGGCAGACCCCTTCTATACAGCCGGGGGTGTCTCTGGCCTCTGCGTGGAAAGACAGCAACCATTCTGCAATACTTAGAGGTGATGTAACCTCACTTTGGTCCGCGCTCATGTAAACTCCCGGTGGCAGAATAGAACTGGGAAACATGATCCAGTACTTAGAACCACGAATGACTGCGTTCCATGCGCTTGTCGCATTGGGGTCCTTGTGAAAAGTGCTTCCGCTTCGTTCTGGGCCTATGATCAGCCACCGATGATCGGGTCTCTGCTCCTTCAACAAAGTGAAGAGGTCTTCTTCGAAGCAGGCTGGTGGCTGGTATGAGGCTTCCCCGACGGTGAGGCCCATCGTCTCCACGAAGCCTCTGTCAAATAGGTAGAGGGGGCTTTCATCGCGTGTCGAGTTCATGTACTCAACGTACGTCTTCAAGGGCCAGTCCACTGCCTCAGCACGAAATATCGTATCCCCATATCGAGCCACCAAATCATCTTGACACCAGTCCTTGTAGACTTGCCATTGTTTCATAGGACTGGTCAGAACAAACGGCTTGTCCGACCATGTAGCATTGAATTCTTCTATTGAGAGCTCGGCTATTCGTGGGATTTGGTTTTGTGCTGGTATCTTGGAGGCATACGGAGACAACGGAATTTGTGAGCATAAGAACGGGCGATACAAGGCATCAGAAAAGACATGCCTGCAATCCACCGAAGCCGGTTTTGCAGAAGCTAATCGTCTCCGCGAGGCCCGCCAACTTCCGCGCCAGGAGAATCCAGGAGTCATATCGATGACAGCAATGTCACGCCACAACTGGTCGTAGGTTGTGTATGCATAAAACCCACGACATGTGCCGCCCAGGCTGACAAGGCTGTCTTGGTCCAGAAACTCCAACAACAATAGTATCAGAGAATCTGGCAGCGCCCCGAAGGCACCCATGTACTTTTGGGCATTGTCCTCCGAAGTGAGTGCATTGCCGCTAGGTCGCACGCCGAGCGGATGCTGGTCTGCGGTGTCCTCAGCTATATCTTGTTCGACATACACAGCCTGCGCAGTTGAAGATGATCCATTCGCAAACTGATGCTCAGGGACCAGACCAAGGCCAGTCTCAGGCTGTAGAATGGTAGTGGTTGATAGCATGTTGGCCAACCAACATTATTGGGTGCACGAAAGATGCTTGGAAGCCCAGCGAAAGTGATAGCCTGGCGCACGTGACTTTGATAGAACGTGTCTGGACTTGAGGGTGGCGATGCAGCTAGGTGCGCGTAGAGTCACAACGAATAATTTCTAGGGCTGACCAGAGTATGAGTCAACGTTTGTAAATGACTGGTATGGCACTCTTGGACCAAGATGCAACGCGACAAGGCTGGATGGCTGGAGAAGCAGCCTGAAATCCGATCGACCAGTTTTCGAGTCTGCAAAGTCACTTTTTCAAAACTTTCTTTAGCGCGGGCGCCAAGACTTTGAAAGTGATCAAAGCCGCCGCCTCTTCCAAAAATTTTAATCTCTTCTCTTCTCTACAACTACAAACACACCACAATATCAACAACGATTCTGCTAGACACTTGGATTCTCATTCTCTGAGGATCTCTTGACTAGCGCCTTTCCCACAAAACTTCGCCCAGACGAACTTGGTCGCTTCTTGAGCGTCTGAGTTATCCTCACGCCACTTCACCCCTCTGCGCCCAGACCACCGGCCAGGTCGCCTGTGATCCAACAACCCTTTCTCGCAATCATGGCGGACAAAGGTCTCGAGGAGGTCCCAGAAGGTACGTCTCAACTCGCACGATCTTGTCTATCGCGGGTCAAATCGCCCCTGGAGACAAATTCTGCGCAGCCTCCTGCGTGAAAGATTTTTTCTCTCTCTAACACTTGTGTGCCCACAGGCCAAATCGAGTCGAACTACGATGAAGTCACCGATTCTTTCGATGCGATGAACCTCAAAGCAGAGCTTCTACGAGGTATGTTGAAAATTGGAAGAGTTTGCACGATGGACAATTTCTGACGAGTTTTGCCTTCTAGGTGTCTACGCCTACGGTTTCGAACGACCATCTGCCATTCAGCAGCGCGCTATCATGCCAGTCATCAAAGGTAATGATTCACTCCAATATCCTCAAATCTTCGTGACACTCAACTAACCTCTCAAAATAGGATCTGATGTCATTGCACAGGCACAGTCTGGTACTGGAAAGACCGCCACTTTCTCTATCTCCTGTCTGCAAAAGATCGATCCCAACCTCAAGGCCTGCCAGGCTCTTATCCTTGCCCCAACCCGTGAGTTGGCACAGCAAATCCAGAAAGTTGTCGTCGCCATTGGTGACTTCATGAGCGTTGAGTGCCATGCTTGCATTGGTGGTACCAATGTCCGTGAGGACATGAAGGCTCTCCAGGATGGCCCACAGGTCGTTGTCGGTACGCCTGGTCGCGTACAAGACATGATCCAACGCCGCGTTCTCAAGACTGATAACATGAAAATGTTTATTCTCGATGAGGCTGATGAAATGCTTTCTGTATGTACCTCTTGATTTCTGATCGTTCCAACGCAGCACTAATTTGAGAATAGCGAGGTTTCACCGAACAAATCTACGACATCTTCCAGCTTCTTCCTCAATCCACCCAAGTCGTTCTTCTATCCGCCACCATGCCACAAGATGTGCTCGAGGTCACCACCAAATTCATGCGTGACCCCGTTCGTATCCTTGTCAAGAAGGCTGAGTTGACCCTTGAAGGTATCAAGCAATTCTATATTGCTGTTGAGAAGGAAGAATGGAAGCTTGATACCCTATCTGATCTCTACGAAACCGTCACCATCACCCAGGCCGTCATCTTCTGCAACACCAGAAGAAAGGTTGACTGGCTTACCGACAAGCTTACCGCTCGTGATTTCACTGTCTCTGCAATGCACGGCGACATGGAACAGGCTCAGCGTGACGTCATCATGAAGGAGTTCCGATCCGGATCTTCTCGTGTTCTGATCGCCACCGATCTGCTTGCTCGTGGCATCGACGTCCAACAGGTCTCCCTGGTCATCAACTATGATCTGCCTGCCAATCGTGAGAACTACATCCATCGTATCGGACGAGGTGGTCGTTTCGGCCGAAAGGGTGTCGCTATCAACTTCGTCACTGCTGATGATGTCCGCATGATGAGAGAAATCGAGCAGTTCTATTCTACCCAAATCGAGGAGATGCCAATGAACGTTGCTGGTGAGTTGCTTTTCAACCTCCCCCCTTCTAACAGCATCACATATTGACATGTATATCCAGATCTCATCTAGAGAAATTCCCACATGTTTCATTACATGCGACAACCCGATCATTTCCATTTCGATTCCGGCATGGGGGCGGCGTTAGTTGCTGCAACTTGTTGTATGGGGCTACATGAGAAAAGTGGGATGACTCGTTATCGACTGCTTGGCTCAGGATTGCTGCCGTACAAAAAGTCTATGTATTTTCCTATTCAGCTTCAGGGAAACTTTCACTTTCGAGAGCATACGAGCGCGGTGATACTACATGGACGGCCTCGCGCCGTTTTTCATGTGGCAGAGTTCGCGGGCGTTTCTGCTTTCTAATGCTAGCTCACAAGTGTTGGCTATCATTCTTCAGACTGCACAAAAGAATTCCACCACTAGTTCTCACGTGTTACGAAAGAATGAGAGTCAGATACTTCTTCCCATAGACAGGTAGAATTAAATTGTTTCCAATTCGAAATTCATTTCCCTGATTGTCGAACACGCAACGGGTGGTATTTTAGGTGCATCGGTCCTTCCTTCACATGGCGTTCTAGTTACTCACGCGTGGCTTCCTTCCCTTGGACTCACTGCACCGTGTCCGCTTTTTCGCCAGAGCGTTTGTCCGCGCACTCTCCTTGCTTGCTCTCGTCTCGTCTTTGAAGTCACGAACCCTGCTGGTAACAAAGCATGCAATATGATGTTGAACTATGCGACCGATCTCCTGCATGCTCATCAGATCCGCCGAGAAAACGTGTTTTTATACAGTGAGCTAGAGTCATGCCGTAACGAAGTTGCTGATCTCCGGAATGAGATGAAGCAAATTCAAATGGCCCGCAACTCTAGCGATGCCGCTGCCAGGAAAGGACACGACTTGGCGACGGCCCAAAAAACAAAGCTGCAAGCTCAAGACCAGGTGATAAGCCACCTCCAAGAGACAACCGACGTGCTCCAGAATGATCTCATGGCGCTTACCAAGGCTTACGACCAGCTTCGCTACAATGAAGAACACCAGCGGGTAGAGTTAGAACGGAAGATCGAAGGACTCGAGAAGGACGCACAAGAGGCTTCAGAAGCACATAGCCGAAGTAATGTGACATTTATGGAGACAGTATGTACCCTCCGGACCTCAATTGAAAACAAGGCCGACGTTGCTCTTGTCAATCTTTTGGTTGATCGACTGAAGCACCTAAGCCCAGACTCACGTTCTTCGTCACCTTCGACGAGTATTGTATATGAGAGTATCGAGCAACAAGAGCCAATTTCTCCCAAGACTTATCGAAAGCACGGCAGGCCGGCTCACCAAGCCTCAACCCATAATGCAGAGCCGCCCGACATCCAGGTTGAAGATTCCCAAAAATTGGAAATGAGCAAGACTATGAGAAGGGAAGCAGTGAACAATTTCAGCCTAGATCAACATGACAGTCAACGTGGAACAACAGAGACAGAAGATATCGACCTTGATGCAAATGCGCCAACAATCAGCTATGCGGGTCACTATCGTCCAGCACTGAACGATCTAAATAAAGGAGACTCACTGTCTATGTTGCCTGAACTCAATGTACAAGCTTCGAGACTCGCTCAGATCAAAACTCTAAAGCAAGGGCGATATGAGGGTTGGGATGCTTACTACGCAAAAGGGAAAGATCTTATAGACTCTTTGCCGCAGGAATTCGAGACGACCATCATGCAACAATTTGTGAATGGTATGTCGGAGGGAGTTCGGAGAGCACAGTGTCATCAATGGCTCGAAAATGCAGGCTGGAAGTGGGAGAATATGGCCACCTTTGGAATCCTTTGCTCGCAGATCGATGATGGATCTGGACGGCACAAGGGCTCGGAGAGAACAAATGGGTCGCAACCAATCATCTTCAACGATATTGACCAGGGCGAATCTAGACCATCAACAGTGAAATTGGATAATGGAGCACCTTCAAAGCCAACCCAACCAGCACGTCACTCGAAGTGGCCTGTCGTGACGTTGCGCCGAAGTCAGCGGTTGATCGAGAGAGCTCGAAGGCAAGCGAACAATAATATCAGTGGTAGGCCTGAGCCAGCACATTCGAGAAGACGACTTGGAAGCAAGGAAACAATCCCGTGCAACGGAAAGCAGACCGTGGCTCCCGAGCGGACGTCAGGAAGTGAGGAAATCGACATCTCACCACCTGCAGAGGGCCCTCCCTCGTCAGGTCAAACTCCGCATCCTGTTCTTCTGGGGAAGCAACCTGATCGTGAGAATAGCAATGATCAAGGATGTTTGTACACAGCAAGGCTTCCTCTAGTCGTCGATTCAGAATATGTTAGTGCAAGGCATACTGGGGCGAAGAAGCGGCGTTTGTCTTCATCCACCTCCGGAGATACCTATGCTGCCAACTTCGAGTGATGGATTAATAGTGATCAAGCCTCGTGCAGAGCTCCTCCTCGTCACTGCCATGGGAAACATCGGCAATAGATACATTAGTTAAAGGAAGTTCTGCTATGACTGAGTTGCCGGGGGTGCCCAAAACGATTGTGGAGGTTTCCAGCCGAATCCCTTGACGATCAGTTTGCATGCCAATTTGAAGCATTGTGACTAGGACGTCATGTTTCCTTGAAAACATAGGCATCAGGACTATCATCATCCACCACTTCCACTTCCATTCTTGCCTCGACTACTTCTCTGCCATCTGCTTCGAGACCACACTTTACCCGATCGCCGCCTTTTAATGGCCCTACACCCTTTGGAGTGCCGGTGAGGATAATGTCGCCTTCCTCTAGGGACATAACTTTGCTTATATCGCTAAGCATCCGGGGAATATTGAACAGCATCAAGTTTGAATTGTCCTTTTGTTTCGTTTCACCGTTAACGCTTAACCAGAGGAGGACGTTGTGAGGATCTTGTATGCGATCGCGAGGGATTTCATGGCTTATTGGGCAGAAGGTGTCGAAACCCTTTGCTATTGACCACGGCAGGCCTTTCTTTTTTGCCTCATTCTGCACGTTTCGAGCAGTGACATCAATGCTCAGGAAAAAACATCGAATATGGTCTAGAATAGAGGAGTCGGACTCGGATAGATTCTTCAATGGTTTGGCCGTTTCCCCAATTACCAAACCAAGCTCGACCTCATGGTGTAATTCCACTCCGCGAGGACGGACAATTGGTCCTTGACCTGGGAGGAGGATAGATGATGTGGGCTTGAGAAAGAAGAAAGGCTGCGCAGGGCGAGCAGAATTGAGCTCAGCTATGTGGTCACTGGATGATAGTTAGTTCGTGAGCTTTGGGCGTGGTGGGCTTCAGAGAGGAGAAACACACGCATAATTCCTGCCTATGCAGACAATTTTACGACACTTTGCTTTGATGGTAGCCATATTGAAGTTAGAGGACTGACAGGACGAGATGTCGAGAGGCACACTCAAGCTATGTGATCGAACGACGTGAAATCAGGACAAAACGAAAGACTTTGTCCCAGATCCATCTCGGAGCGGGCACTTTTCCGTCTCCAACTTCAGGGACCTCGCACCGAGTCCCGTTTTCTGAGTTCTAACTAATTGATAGTAGCCGTAGATTCCCACGTTTATGTCATGACTACCCCACCGTTGGAATAGATAGTGTCACGTGTACAGATCTCGGGCGTTTAAATAATGCCAATAGATGCTAAAAGCGGCGTTGCTCAACTACTACTTTACCCGCCAGAATTATCCCCTTTTGATGCCTAAAGGCCGAGGGAAGATCCAAAGTGTTTGTAAACCGGTGCACCCTACTCAGTACAGCCTATGTAAACCTCGGCCGAGGAGACCTTGTCCCATCGCAATTGTAGGCGGGCGGATAGGGCCTTTGGGGGTCAACCTTTTTCTCTCCCTACTGACCTCAGGTAAATAAACGTGGGTAGGCCCCCGAGTATCGATATCAAAGCACAGAGTATCAACAAGCACAGAGTATCAACAAGCACAGAGTATCAACAAGCACAGAGTATCAACAAGCACAGAGTATCAACAAGCACAGAGTATCAACAATTATCTGGCAATCTCTTCTTCTGCCTCCCTATTTACAATGGATGTCCTTGATTCGGATGGGATGATCGAATCTGACCCTGATTGAAGGAGCAGCACCTCCCTGTTACATGGGTGCGCCATATGTTGAATCTCCCTCGTTCTTTGGGACGCTGCATCGTTGCCAGACTTGTCATGCTCATTGATCTGTTGATAGCAGAACATCCTAACCTTGGCTGACAGCGAGAAATGCTTTGAATCAAAGTCTGCATTTTTACCGGACGGCTTGTTATGAGTTCTAAAATTCATCAGAGACACTTTGAAGCGGCACCTTCAAATCCACTCGCGACCTGCACGTGCCCGCCACTCGCACAAACGTACTTGCAACAATTGCATCAGGCAATTCTCCCAAGAAGGCTCCTTCCATCTCTACAGAACTGACCCAGACCAGGTCGAAAGTCCAATGTAGAGGAGAGAAGCCTTTCTGCTCGTCATGCATGAGACGTGCTGTTGAATGCATCTATGAATTGTTGGTTTCAGACGTTCATCTTTCAAATACCGTGTCGACCTCTTCAGATAGGTTGCCGTACTATGAGGATGACTTTACCCACTGCACATCTCAAACGACTTCCCTGGCGTCGATAATTACTTGTGGAACAACGAAAATGCTTTCGATCTGAATCTTGACTGGATTTTCAACACTGACCTCGATCCAAGATCTACTCTAGGTAGTCAAGGGACATTTTATTCTTCTACACTGATGGTACAGCAACCTGGAGTAGATCAGGCTAGTCATGACAAGTATCCGTTACACACTTCAAATATGCTCAGCCTTTCAGTCCCGGGCATAGTGGAACGACATGATCCAGAGGGATGCTCTGTTCGGTCACGCAGCACTCCTTGCTGCGTTCAGCCTTCCACAACTGGTGACATGTTGGTGAGATAGAAAACTACTCGCCGTTCTATTCGATGAAACCTTTTGCCACATCTACAAGAGCCTTGGCGGAAAATTGGCTGCGAATGCTATGCAGCAAAATATGTGGGACGCCGTGTCCTTGCAAGCTTTTCCTTGCAAAGAATGACTGGACCATTGTGTGTACCTATATTTTGCTCAGTTTGACCGACACTGCCCAGTGGTGCATCGTCCAACATTTGATCCTGCTCGAGAGCCCATGTGACTCTCGCGATGGTTACCCTAGGAGCTTGCTTCACCATTTTTGAAGGGGCCCATGCTTTCTAAAATGCTCTCTCAGAGCTTGTCAGACGATTGCTGTTTTTCATGCCAGAGAACGATCCCAGGTTTGTACGCACAGAATTCTATGTCACAGCCAGTTGCTACAGACGGCCCATGGGGGTTTCTGCTGTAATTGACGCCTCTTCGAGCTCGCTAAATCTAGCCGGCCCCCCTCTCCTCAACCCTAGGAGACGTATAGGACTCTTCAACCAATAAGAATCTTCGTGTTCATCTGAATCCTCTCTTGAAGAGAGATTGCATGCGTGGATACAAGACGACCGCTTTCGATTGCTCGGTTGGGCTATTTACGTTAGGTTGTTTCCATTTGCCACCAATAATTTAAACCAATGGTATCTTCCTAGGGAACGTGACGCTACAACTGGCTATATGCTCAATTTCAAACCTCAGATCTCCCTATCCGAGACAGACATGGATCTTCATGTTTCCAGTAGACCCTGAGGGGCTCCTTCTGCACATGCATGGGCCGCCTTACATTCATGGATGCAAACTCCGAAAAACGTACTATTTCAACCACTTTTGCATTCACTGTTCCAGAATCCTGAAACTGTGCTCACCACACTCAAATATGAGCACCATGTGATTCCGGTCATCTTGACGATTATGAGAACTTTGTGGGCCATAGCGGAGCTCGAGACCAATCCGATCAGAGATTTCTTCTTGCGAGAGAACCAGGATGGCCAGAACCGAACTATTCTGATGAATATTCTGGACCAATTAGCACTATCTCCATATTCACAGCCGGCTTCGAGTGTGAATAGCTCAATGACACGAGTCGCCCATCGTCTTCAGACCGTGCACATGGCGCATATCGTGAGTGTAGGAGCTGTTCCCGACTGACTGTACCCATATATACGTGGAGGCTCGGATTCCGAGGCAGCTGTCGAGAAAATGAAGGAATGGGCTACCGAAGGCCATCCGAGACCAGGCTTTTCGATGCACCCAGATCCTGGGGTTGGTTCGCGGATACCCTTTCAATGCCCCATAAAAGGCATTCAATCTTTATAATGCCGCCACATTTCTATGGTGCCTTTCCAGTATTTTGAGTCAAGGTGAACTGTGGCATAGCTGCACTGAAGCTGCACCTTGCTGGCTGGATTGTCTGGGCCAAGGGGATAGCGCACAGCTAGCCAATATAGGAGAATGGATCAGATTTGGACATGCACGCCGTATCTCATTGCATGAAGTGCCTGATCTACTGTCGCAAAATGATCGACTACAGCTTCTCCATCAGACGACTGAAATCCTCCACATGATGCGTGTATGGAGTATTGCACAGAATTTCCTGCGAATAGTGTTGAGGCTTGTTAGGCAGGATTCACAAGAACCAACCTAGTGACTTGTGCGATACAAGCAGGCGAGTCCGTTAGCCCCTGCATACCTACAGCAAGTCAGCCGGTTCTCCCGAGGCAATGCTCACAATCCTCGGAGACCTCAGAAGCTGGGGAAGGTTTATCGACGCTGAACGATGTAAGTGCCTCCCTTGTAAGGAAGTTTCAAGAGTACGCACCCCCTCGGACGTGCTGCCCTTTCACCGATCGGCACTACGGTGCTTCCACTAGATCATACCCTTCTCATCAGCTCAAGGTCATTATCGCGGAGAAGCAACATTCCCATCATTGGAGGACTGTTTGAAGCTCGAATTTGAATAAGTCAGGGCTCGGAGCAAACTTGGGATACCTTTATACTACACTAACGCGTCGGCTCCTCCGAATCCTAGCCCAGCTTTTCAACAAGTTTGCCAAGTGCTTCAGACCGGAGTTGCTATATCTTCTACGAAGATACATCTCACATATCAGTGTTGTTATAAGACTCCACTTCGGTATGCTTCAAAAGGTCCACCCACATTCCATCAGTCTCGAAAATTGCTCGAAACTTGCTCAACGAAGTCGACATGGCGCCCGCGGTGACAAGAACTATTCTCGTAGCAACTGGACTACTTTCAAGTACTGCTTCGTTGTTGGTATAGGCGCAATCTCTTTGGCGTCGATGCAGGTTTCATGGTCGGGTTCTTCGCCAAAGGAAGGTAGGCCAATGAATAATCAGGCTTCACCACTGCTCTTTTCACTGTTCATATTGCTGACGCACCCCAGATTTCTTCATGACTTCGGCCATTATGACGCCAAGCTTGGTGACTATAACATGAGAGCTGGGACGCAGACGCTCTTGATGGGTTGGTCTAGCCCTGTGCGCCACTATTCCCATTATTGACCTCATAATTCAAGTGGTGGCCCTAAATGTTGCTATCGCACTTGGTCGTGCCCTCAGTGGTGCAGGGATTGGATTCACAGCGGACTTCTGCATCATGTAAGTTGCAAAATGGAGAGCGAAACCTGTGACCCACTTCCGCGGCTAATAGTCATCAGGTGCTGGGCTAGAGTGACACCTGCACAGCAGAGGAGAATGGTCGTCATGATGTATCAGGGTTTTGCCGATCTTGAGACATTCGTCGGACCTTGCACTGTCTATGGGACACGCGATGTTACTACCAAATCGTCCTGGAGAGGACCATTGTTGACAATGCTCATGGCTCCACTTATTCTAGCCGTCAGTGTTGTATTCTTACCAGATACTCCAAGATGGTTCGTCCATTGAGGTCGTTCGGAAGATGCGCGGAGAGCAATACGCAAACTCAGAGGCCCGACCTGGCCTGAAGAGGAGACGTCAAAGGAGATCCAGGAAGTTGTCGCTATGGACCGCATTGAAAGGGAATTAGAAGGGTCAGGCGACCATCCCCAGTGCTTCATGGGCACTGATGGTAGAAGGACCCGGATTACCATTCTGGTCATGAGGTTACAGGCGGTGGATTACTAGCCCCTGGATTATGCCTTCCTAACTTGGCATCTTGAGTCTGACATTAGTTACAATGGACAGGAATTAGTTTCATCACGGCTTATGGTACCTATTTTTTCTTTTTCAGCAACATCAAAAACCCTTTTACCATCACAGTGATCACCAGTGTCTGTGGTCTTACCGGTTCAGCGAGCGCATTCCCATTGGTGAAGACGTTTGGTCGCAGGGGCACTTCTGATTCTCGCGGTCTGGGCTGCGGGATCTCGATGTGGATATTCGACATCGTTGGTGTGACACGACCAGACAGTATTGCAGCCGCGAGAGACCTGGTGGCTTTCACAGGTTGCCTTATTTGCTCGTACAGAGCAAGCCGGGGACCGCTCCCATAGGCTGTCGAGAGTGAGATACCGTCCCAAGCGTCTCCTTTCTCAGACCGTGTTCATTGCGAACATGGTCTCAAGTCTTTGTACGATGTGAGTCTACAAATAGAATCCACCCTACCTCTCAGCCTCTACCAGCAAGTCATCCTAACTAGCTCTTTCTCACAGAACCATGGTCTGCGGCTCGCCACACTCTTGGGCCTTGATTATGTATATCTCGGCGCAAAGATGGGCTTTATCTTCGGCGGGATAACTCCCATCGGAACAATCTACGTTCCCGAGACGAAGGACAGAACACTGGAAGAAATTGACGAAATATCCCTCAATGTGAGTTTTGGCGCTCTCACGCTACGTTCTGTTCGTTCATTCTGTTCGCTGTAAAAGGTAGAAAGTGCCAACTTGAAGAACAGCATGTTCCCACTCGAAAATTTAAATCCTGCGTCTGTACCAGACAAGCTGGTGGTCTTTCAATCAATAAAATTATGATAGAAGAGTTCTTCCGGGTGGAGACTGTCGAGCTCACGAAATGGGCCTGAGCTCCAGACTAATTACGGTGAATACCTCGAAGATGAGCAAGAGAACGAGATGATGATGAGGAGTCCATCAAAAACCCAGGCTGATAAATTGTCTTTAACAACCTACCGGTATGTTCAAATCTTGTGAATCGTCAAACCAGCGAATTGCACCCTGTTAAGCATTAAGAACAAAAATTTACATTTCCGTTATGCTCGCTTCATGGTGGACTGACTCGATGTTCTTGTCCACATTTGTATCCAGATCACGTCCACTGACTCGGCCAAGCTGTAGTCAGAACCCGATCAACATCCACCGAGGGAAGGGGTCCATATGCAACCCCCGCTTCTTCCCCGTACCTTGGCAAACTTTCTGTGCAATAAGGACGAACTGATCTGCAGAGGCGTAGTTGCACTGCTGCACGATTTTGCGCTGTGTGTGTGTGTGTGTGTGTGTGTGTGTGTGTGTGTGTGTGTGTGTTGTTGAGGCATCCCTCATCCGGGTTGCTCTTTAAGCAGAGTACTAGTATCAGTCGTTGGATTCTCCACCGGCATCGTACAACATACAGATAGACAAACACCTGGAACGTGAACGTAGAAGATTATAGTTAGTCAAAGCCGCTTAGCATTCCAATTCCCTAAGAGGCCAGTGCACATCATATCGTCCATCAATTTTGGAATCTAGAACCAGAAAGGCAAGACCAGCATGACCACCCTCCCATCCGCCAGAGACCAGGACCTGGAGGCCTACCGCTCTCAGCTCCGCGAAGAAGGCTGGTGCGTGATCCCGTCCGTGCTCGACGCAGACCAGACAAAGTGTGCGCTCGACGCGCTCTGGGCTGCGAAAGAGTCGAGCGAGGCGCGCGGCGACGACACGTATCTCCCCTTCCTGGACCCGAACGCATCCAACATCCGGGTCTTCTACCTCCTGGAACTCGACGCGATCTTCCGGTCGCTGATCCAGCACCCGACCGCCGTCGACATGGTGAAGAGCGTGCTCGGGGCCAACTTCCTGATCAGCAACTTCACGGCGAACATCGCCCGCCCGGGTTCGAAATCGATGGGCCTGCACTCCGACCAGTCGCTCGTCTCGCCCGAGCCATGGTTCGCCGTCACCGCCGTGAACGTCATCTGGTGCCTGACGGACGTGTACTTCGAGAACGGCGCGACACTGTTCGTCCCGGGCTCGAACAAGTGGCAGTGGCGGAGCGATATCCCGCGCGCCCGCGTGAAGGCCATGCTCCAGCCGTTTGAGGCGAAGGCCGGCTCCGTCGTCGTCATGGACGGGCGCGTGTGGCACACTTCCGGCGCCAACGTCACGCAGGACCAGGACCGCGCCCTCCTGTTTGCGTACTACACCGCGCCGTTCCTCCGCCAGCAGGTCAATTGGACGAGGAAGCTGCCCCGCGAGATTCAGGACGCGCTCTCGCCGGAGATGAAGGAGTGGCTTGGCGTGAGTATATACCCTCCTTGTGGCATTGGTGTACTTTGGGGCTTTGCGGCTGCCGTTCTAGCATGCGCTGACATTGTGATACGTGAACTGACACGAGACCTTATTGTTCTTCTAGCTCGGCGTCACCGCCAACCTGGGTGAAGCGGTATCACACTTGAAGTATCTCGATGACGAATTCACGGACGACGGAGACGGAGAGCAACAAAAGGGGCAACCGCCACCGCCACCGCCAACTTCGCAGACACAGGAGTCGCTTGCGACGTCTTCGCACAGCAGAATCTGATGCTGTACATAGACAGCCCAGAGAGGGTACTTGTCAGAGTTGGCCATGCCGCAGTAGGTGTGTGTGCAAGTATATTGATAGGAAATAGTCTTTTTATGCTTGGCTATCGTTGCAAGTAGAGATGCCTGGCTTCCCGATCTCTCCCAGATTTCTGGCTGGGCTGTTAGTTTCCTCGTTGCACATAAATCGGCCAAGGATTGACTTAAGCGATTCTGAGAGCCGTAAAAAGATGCTTGCCTGGAAACTGCTGCATAGAGCCTTAAGTTGAGCCTTGGTAGCTAGCTATTCTCCTACTTGGAATCCACATGTCCTGCTTACCACCCAATGACTCCCACAGGGTGTACACATGCAGTACACGACGTGCGGGTTCCAGAGTCTTTCCCCGTAAACCTCGGTGAAGCTTGCAATCAAGGACGAGTAATTCTATTATCACAGAGATGCCTCAATATGGTCATCGCGCTTAATCGGGCTAGTGCATATCCTAAAGAGGCAGGGTTTCCGTATCTGGACACTATCCACGCTGATGTCGCGGCTCGGAGTGCGCTAGTGGGGACATCATTCGGCGCTTGACGATCTGGGCCATGAAAGCCTTTTGCGCGCATGGGTCATGCGTACGAGGAGATCGTGTAGTGAAGTTTCCGGAGAAAGGCAGGTCGAAAAGAGGATGAAGAAGTGTTGCGCTGCAAGAGGCTATACGGAGCATTTCAGGGCCAAAGTGCAGCGTTGGTCTCCTGCTGCCATGGCCGGGCATGTTAAGACCATAATCAATGGTGGCTTGCCTAGATCGACTTATGCTCCCTCACTGAAGGGATTGTCTTCGCAAAAGATAAATATTTGGCTAACAACGTAGACAGATAAGATGGGCAGCATTGCAATTGAAGAGCACAGCGTCAACACCGCTCCAGTGAACGTGCTCGACGCCCTCACGCTATCCCAAGGTCTACCAATGCTGCTTCGAACAGCCCAACCTCCTCGCAACCTTCCTGCTTGGCGCGGTGGGGCAGACCACTCACTCGACATCCCCTTCTTATTCCGTCATCCGCAGGTCGTTGGGCCAGGCGCACCGGCAGATTTCCGCACAACCTCTGATCATTTCAGCGCTGCTGCCATACAACTCGTCAACGACCTTGAGCCGTGGGAGGATATCGGCGTCGCCGAGAGGTGGATGAGATTCCATGCAGACAATTCAGGGACGAGGAATGGAAACGAGGGGTTCGCTGCACGTCGGTGGAGGAGATTGGCGGATCCGCCAGAGAGATATCAGAAGTTCATGCTGGGGATGGTGTTGCTTGATGATGCGATGGGGTATGCATCGAGGGCTTTCTCTCCTGACGATTTTGTGCGGCAGTAGGTAGTGGAGGTGGGAAGATGGCTTCTCGCTGTTCTATTACATGGCCCAGTTTTGCTAGATTGGGGAAGGGAGGTGTATGGAGGATTGGAAAGTCTTGTTACGTAGGATATGAGTTCCTTTTGTAGAACCCCCAATGGACTTGATGTCGCTTGGTGGACAAAACGACAATGACTGATAGTCTAGACAACCGTGGGAGAGAAGACCTTGAGTCTCTGACTGTCAGACAACAATATCTCTACGCACATGGGTGACGCCTTACTATTCTCAATACTGATTGATTGGGCTAGGGCGGTAGGTTGGAATTGAGAAGGGGAGGTGGCGGGTGGGTCGGATAAATCGTCACGACGAGGCTGAGCTGACCGATGAGTCAGCACGCATGTGATTTGGTGTTGGGTCGGTGGGCGTGGATTTCAACAGAGGAAGAATACGGGGAGATCGAGATGGGATGCGCATTACTATAACACCGAATCTGATTGATGTTCCTTCCCGTCATCGCGAGTGTAAATTGGAATGCTTCTCGGGTGGACAGTTCTAGCCCAATTCATCTATAGACGTGACAGCACTTCGCCATTCTCCAGTTTAGTAAATCAACGCCAGCTCATCCTAAAAACGATCAACAGTGTAATTGGTATCTCTGGCAATTCATCGTGTGAAATTGCTTTGTCATAACATCATCAAGTGTCATGTTTCCCATCGAAAACTTCCATGTATATCGCACTGACACACACGGTTGCTATCTGGCTTGGCCGTGTCATTTTCCCAATAATCACAGCCATATGTCGCCTCCCTCGCCCTTTTCCCAGTTTTCCCATGCAGACCAGTACGCCCGTTCAACATCCCTGACCCATCTTTTTGTGTCGAACAAGCGACTGCTCCATCGGCCTTCCCATAACATGCGCCGAAGATCCATAAGTCTTCCTTTTCCACTACCTGGCTTGTTCCCAGGGGCTCCAGCGTTGGGGTATCGTAATCCCCGTGCAAGATCAACCGCTGTGTCGATGTACTGTTTCTCACTTTTGACAAGAAGGTCTGCCCGAGCTTCAGTGCCAGCCCGTCCTTCAGGGAGGGCACTGGCAACAATGCTTCCTGCCATACGACTGCACATTTTGTACTTCCATTTCCCCCATGTCACAATCGGCGTTCCTGACCATACAACGTCAGCAGCCGTGGTATGCGCGTTGCACTCCGGAGTATCGAGAAATAAATCCACAACAGAGGCCCGAGTAATATGAGCGCCTTTTGCTGCAACATCGGTAAAGATGATTCTTGTAGCAACTTCATTGTCTGCCCATTCTCTTGCATACTGTAGGAGATTCTGTTCGCCAAGATCGGGGAATCGCAAGAGCCATAGGATAGCATTGGGCACTCTCTTTAGGATCTCGAGATACATGGCAAATGTGGAAGGGTCGATCTTGTAAAGCTGGTTGAAATTGCCCAGGATCACAGCCGACTCCGAAAGGGTAGGAAAGAGCTCCTTCCTCAATTTCCACCGGGCTGCTTGTTCTTCCTCCCATGCTTCTTCTCTCGAGGTCGGGTCTTTGAGATTTGGCGGGCCACGCTCTGCATCAGGAGCACTCTGCTTGTGATCCACGCAGAAGAAAGTGTCGCGGGCAAAGATGATGTTTTCGGAGTAAACCCAATCCTCAACATCCTCAACGAGACTGTCGGCTCGTAAGCGATCCTCAATCTCCACATTACGTCTCCATGGGGAGAGCGTGGATGGAGGTACAGAAATCGTGTCGGCGAACACATAATCACACCATTCTGCTCCCAGTGTGCCAGCAAAGCCCATAAAGGACATATGGATAGGGGCCGGACGAGCAGCGAAAACTTCATTCCGAGCGCCCCTGGTATATCCATTCAGGTTGACAAGAATATGGACTTCGTCACTCACAATCTGGTTTACAAGACGCTCAACACTCCAAGAGGACGCATCGTAGAAGACCGGTGCCTCGCTTTGAATTTGCTGTCGATGTATTGAGCCATCGGACGCAGTTGTCGCGTAGCATATTGCTCGAACCCGGGTCCTATCGTGCAAGCCGAACACAGACTGCATCAAGTGGGCCAAAGGGTGGTTGTTGAAGTCTGAACTGACATACCCAACATTGAGATACGGTCTTGGTGGAGGCGGCGGAGGAAAAACAGTCTTGGGGAGCCAGGCTGACCGTAAAGTACAGACCGAGATGCGCAGAGCGTTGCGTTGAGAGATTTGTCGAATCTGCTTTGCTGATAGCGGTGCCGTGAATGTATGGAATGGAAGGACAGTCGGTGCCGAAGGTGCGGAGAGCGAACTCGGTAGGTATGGTCGTGCATAAGTTCGAGCAGGATACTCTTTGTGGTGTTTGTAGCGGTCTTGATACCACTGCCAGCCAATCTGACGAATCGCTCTTTCAACGAGTCTGACAATTCGTGAGCCCTCCCATTTCTTCCCAAACCAGTATTGCAGCGACTGCTGAAGAGTTTGGTAGAGTTGAACTCGATCACCGGGTCGTGATGACTGTTTGTGAAGCACTAGCTGTTGACACAAAGTGTCAATGACTGGGGAATTCAATGTCCCGCAACCCCAACTTTCTCCATCGCGGAGTTGTTTCCCCACAATGTCAACAACACGACTGATCCATCCATAAGATCTGGTCGGTTCATGCTTCATACCGTTCTCATCCACGTGCAGACGGTCGCGTCCCAGATCGCTCGCGCGGACACCACCACGACCATGCCAATTACAGACCGAGTTGAGAGCTGTTGCGAGCCCACAAACAGCCTCTGCGAAATCTGGATTCGATTTGACTGCCCTTTGGTAATATCTGATAGCCTCGGCAATTCGTCCCTGGTCCTTTACAGCATTTGCAAGGTTCGCCAAAGCGATGTCAAAATTGCCATCACAGCTTACAGCCCGTTCGTACATCTTGATTGCGGCATTCAACTGACCGATGTCTTTAAGAAGACTTCCTAGGTTTGTGTATAAGTGTGCATGCTTCTGGTCGATGTTCAATCCGTAATTGTAGTACATCAAGGCAAGTGAAATCCCGCTTCCAGCAACCACTCCTGGTATGTTGGATATTTGTGCAAAATTTGAATCGTCGAGGTGTGCTTGATGGACAGTATGCTGCACACCTGCAAGCAAGATGCCAACATTGTTGGCAGTGGATGGGCTTCGTTGTAGAGACAGTGATAGATAATACAGTGCAAGTATTTCTCGGGTGCTGGGAGACTTGAGGCTCCCAATGTCCGTAGCATTGGACATTCCATCCTGGTAGATCTTGGCAAGGGATAGCAACGAGTTACTTGTGGTAGAGATTGCAGCCTGTACGGCGAAAGGTGGAACCACATGTTCTAAACCAGGGAGGCTACCATTCGGAGGGAACATGTGCTTTGCCGTAGCCTCCGCATGTTCAGGCGCAAGTAGAATGGGATCCTTGCCCTCAAGCTTGGTGCGAACGTACTCTGGGTCTCGTATCGTGCACAAACAAGCTTTCAGTATGTCATTGATCAAACCGCGAATACCCTGCCTGCGCTGGCCAGTTGAGACAAGGATGGCATCCTCGAACGCAGACGCAGCATTTTTGTTGCTACCAAGAGCGTAGAGCATGTTACCTTTGGCGTGTATCAAAGCCAACATGCGTCCGTTATCTTGACCGGCTATGGCATAGCCGCTTGAGCCATACCCTGGAGCCTGAGTTTCCGACGGGGGGCCAGTGCTGACGCTTTTGAGGTCGAGGTCGAAATCGTAGTGCCCAATGTCATACGAGGCTGCAGTGGCAATGCTTGACGAATGACTCCTAGTATCACTTTCCCCATCGCTTAACTCACCCCACGAATTATGGACATCGTCGTGTTTGATCTTCAGCGTGCTCTCCACATATTCAATAACCTGGACAGCCTCTCGCGCTCGATGAGTAGCACACAACAGCCCAATGAGATGTTCTACAGCCTCGAAGTAGCTCGGGCGCAATTTGACCGCGTCAAACCAATAATTTAACGCATCTTCCTGGCGATGAAGAGCATGATAGGTTGCAGCAAGATTTGACATAGCCTCAACGTGAGCATTATCTTGCTGCAAGACTGCCAAATACCATTCCTCGGCTTTGGCAAAATTCCCGAGACCATAAGCGAGACAGCCGGCGAGGAGCATGCCGTCTACCCATGGGACATCTGCCTCCTGACACAACAATTCCATGGTTCTCATTGCGCTAGTTGCCTCGTCAAAGGTTGGTGGCCGCCTCTGAGGACCTAAGATAGATGTGTGAGGCTTTCGGGTTTCTGGGATCCTATCTTTCCCTTCATATTGTGCGGAAGGGAAGCGATTAGCATCAAGGCAATTGTGTGGAGGGAATGAATTGTTGAATGAACCAGTTGCTTGAGGTCTGAGTATGGCTGTTTGAGGTCGAGAAGATATGTCCAATGCGTTTGTATCGCTCGCGTTGCGAAGTAATGGCTTGGATGTCTCAGAAGATCGGTGTATTTTGCTATTCGAGAGGCCCTGAAAATGGGAACCAGTGCGCTGGGGCGGCTTAGGAAATATTGGCATTTTATTTGTCGACCCTGGAGTAAAATTACCACCATTTGTGCGCATGTTCTTCGTATTGCATCTGATGGTCTCAAGAAGGTCGGTATAAATACGATTAGCCCAGGCAAATGACTTATCCCTGAAGGCGATACGATCCGAACCCGGACCAGGTAGAAGTGAAGTTGACGACGTTCTGGGTACTGACATGAGACCGGAAATAGAGAGATCGGCTGTTGGGTAATGATCGTACGGGTACTGTGGTGGTGAGTATGGATTCTGGTGCATGTGCCACTTGGACGCTGGCGGCTCCATCGGTGGCATGGCAGTGTTCATGACGTGTGGTGGGAGGCTCGGGAGATAGGATGCATTTTGCAGATCAGGAAGTCGACCTGATCGGCGCAAGATTTGAGGTTGCTGTATATGGTCGAGTGGAAAGCGTTCTGTTGGGGCTCGTGGGAAGAAACGGCTATCTCGTATAGCAGCTGGTCGATAAGGATTGAAAGTGCCATCAGGCCAATACGGTCCATACAATTCCTGGCCGGCCGAAGCGGTAGGCCCAAACTGAGAATGCATTGTGGCAGGCAGTACGGTGGGTATATTGGAGCCATGCTGAAGGAAGTATCTCTGAGTTGGCTGTAGGGGGAGAGTCTGATTTAGCATAGAATCCAAGCCACCTGGGAAATCCCAAGCAATTCGATATGGATATGGTTTTGAGGCGGCATAGGGTTGAGAATATCTGGCATCTCTTGCAATATCTAAGCCACCGATGTTGTTTGGCTGGAGTGGCAGGTTCATACCGGACCATTGTGGGTCGTAGGCCATGCCGGTTTGTCGAAAGTCAGGGGATGAGGATAAAAGGACATGTTTCGAGGCAGGGAGTTGGACGTTTTTGTCAAGAGCAGCAGTCTCCTGTTCGAGGAGTCTGCCGTGTGGTGTCTTCCGCAGGCGCAGGACTTCATGCTCGGAATAGGACAATTGAGGAGCGCTATGTCGGTCACGTCGGAAGGACCCTGGGTCGGCGGGAATGGCATATTGACGAGATAAGGCACCAGCAGGCAGCCGGAGGTAGATGCTTGGATCTCGGATTGGGTCCATTGTCATTATAGGTGGGTGAGGGATGGAAATCATCTTGTGTCTGGGTAGAATGAGGCCACTCTGTCTCAGGTCTCGGGGTCGAGGTCTTCAACCAGCCTCAAAAGCAGTTGTTTGCAACAGTCTCAATGACGGTGCGGAGGAAGATGGAAGGCGACCGGGCCTGCTGTTCTTTCCAGACCAGAGTCTCATATTGTCCCTCCAGATATTGTCCGGTGCGCAACCATGGATGTCGAAAGGAGTCCGGTATGGCCTCGATGGGATCGAAGTACGGAGAGTCAACAGTCGGAGAGGAGACAAGAATCAATCTCGATCGTAGGAGAGAGCAAACGCTGGAACCAGGATCCGGTCCGTGCTCTTTCAGCAGATATTGGTATTGGCTTGGTGGGATGGAAATTATGCAAGGAGGGAATGCGAGTATCGAGTGATGATGGTCAAGAGTCGAAAGTCGAGACTTTTGAGGAGTTGGCTCAGTGGACTGAGAATACGAGGTGATGCGGATTGACCGCGGATTGCGGGCAGGTATGACCAGGATGGTGTTGTAGTTTGTTTAGTGGTGGTGGTGGTAGAGGAGGCTAGGAGTGGACAAGGTCGTTTTAGACAGGATCACCAGCAAACAGCCGCCGTCCGAAACAAACACGGGAGTATTAGACGAGAAGCAAGAGCAAGCAAGATGAAGAGACAGGAGACAGGAGACAAGAACCCAGGGGAGAGGTGTTCTGTAGTTGCGAGTTGAATGATTGATTGATGAACTGATGAATTAATTAACTGATCGATCGATGGCTGATGGACATGGCTGATGGACATGGCTGATGGGCCCATGGGTGGCAGGTATTCACGCCTCATGGCTTTTGTTTTGTTAGGCACAGAATCAGGCGCGGGCTTGGGCGGTGGCACATCCCTCTACTCGTCCACATTCACACCCACAAGCAGGTAGACCGGCTCATCCACACCACCCAAGAACTGCCCCTTCCCCCCAATCCCCCTACGCCCTGGCAGCCAAGCAGCCATCAACAGCCACTATTTTCCCTAGACGCCAACGTCCACCGCATGTGGCTTGCAGGCTAAGGGCCCCTGGGGCTGGCCTAAGAGGAGCAATGATCCTCTCAATGCTCACAGGAGCGGAGAGTCTGGCAGTTTGGCTGATGTGTCACTTGCCCAGAGTGGTTTTATTGGCCGGAGATGGCGGGCTGCAGTGGGCTCTCTCCTTCACAGTGGACACTTCTCAGGCATGCCCGCCCGGGGGGAGATGGGGCGAATTAGGCTGCCCTTGTACCACTAACTCTGTCTCCGGCTTAGTGATGGTGCTGGGCGGGCGGCCCACCCACGGCCCACCATGGCAGGTCCCTGGTTCCAAGTCCATCGTGATGCGCCCACTGGCCGGATGCCCGTTCAGCTGGCGGCGTCAGGTTGGTGACAGCGCAGACGAAACAGCAGTATGGCGCCCACTGATAGTCATCTCATCGACTAACAAGTTACCATGGAGTTAGCTGTATGTAGTAAGCTAAAAAGAGCGAGACGAAGACCTTTGCATCAGCATGGACGCCGTCGGGACGGAGCATCCTTTGTTCATCACCGATTCACCACCATCGCTTGTCAGTTCTTATTTATAGTTGTGGGTGGTGTCATTTCGCAAGGGGGTGGGCCAGAGGCTCCAGGGCTACGGATACCCAAGGGTCCTTGTACTCCCTAAGTTGCAACTGTCAGAGTCAAAGTTGGTGCTGGTGCTTGTCTGGGGAAGCCTGGTTCTTGCTGGATCTTGTAGCCCGGGTTTCACCTTGGTAATGCCAGGCTCTCTGTCCCACCGCTACGAGGTCCTCGATGGGTGCACTGTAACTGCCAGGAGTTCTGCGTTGTACCCATACCTTGTGCCACCGTGTCATTCATCTATCGCATCTTAAATCGTATGAGGAGCGACAAGGTACCTGTCTGGTCGGATGTCCATGTCTACTCATCGAGCCTTGTGCTCTGACGTGTTACACCACGAAGCCTTTCTCGGAGAACCACAGCCGAGATGCACGCAAGCGCCCGTCCAAGGGTGATTAAAGTGCTATTTACTTGATTTACAAACGGATCGCTGATCAGTCACACATCCCGGTCTCAAACCTACGAAAGAGGACTCCAGATGGAGCACTAGCATTTGTGTTCCAACTTGCTTGTGCGTCTGTCGAGGCTTTAATTTCAACCCCATCCACCCATGATCTTTTGTTGTTAATGACCATTGAGCACCGATGGAAGTTCATCCACAAGATGACTACGATTTGTTCAAATCTCGTACCTCATCATTAGTCGGATCTCGGTTGGCAGGCAGCTGACCTCTACTGATACACAGCCCAAACTGAATACAACCGTCAAGGCACTAGGGTAGTCTGGGGAATCATAGGCGAGGCTGTTGCGGCACGCTTGATACTCGACTGCATAGCCCCCTAGCCTTCTTGCGTTTCACTTCGAAAGTCTAGTTGTCAACCATGGAACAAGGTAACAGTACTCTGTAGCTCGTACTCCGTATGTAGTTGAAGAATGCAATTCTCTGCAACCAATGTCGGAAATCGGACGAACCCCTGCACGCGACAGATGTCTTGCACGTGGTGTACTCGCAAGTGCTCTGTGCGCGAAGTGCTACAAGCTAGTGAACCAGATCTCCAGGATACCAAGCAGGCTCCCAATGGTTCTGTATCAACTTGATGATGAACATACCTGCAATATCATTCAAGGGTCCTGCCTGGCAGGCGAAAATGTGTTGGCCAGGACGGGACATGCCGACCAGCAACCGCAAACGATACGGATGAACTTCAAGGTGGGAGCAAAGGAAAAAGGATGATGCGTGCCGTTGAATGCTTTTTCTGCATTGAGGCCTGAAACCAGTTAGCCCGCCAAGCCGCTCACTCGCCAGCAGCAGAATGAATTTTGGTATGACCACACTGGTAACTCCGGTTCTTCCTTTTCTTCCTTACTCACCCGCACGGCCAATAAATAATTTCATTACTATTATTTTTATCGTCAGCCTTGGACATATCCTTACCTTGGTTGTTTTTGGTACCGCGCGCAGACTGACATTATCGACCTCTGGCTGGGCATCCGGGCCTAAAGGGATCATCCTGACCCCAATGAGATCTGGAAAATCACAGTCGAGGTCACAAGTTACACACCTTTCATGAATCATCGTCTAAAATTGATGTGTGAACTGTTATCTTCTTCTTATGTGCCGAATCGTTCCTCTATTTCTGTAAATATCTGGGGTGAAATTTCGTCACTACTGTTCCCCTCCACCCGAACAACCAGCCCGTCCTTTCGATAGTAATCCAACAAGCTCTTGCTCGTCTCGTCGAATTTGGCCAATCGCTTCCTCCACGTCGCTTCACTGTCGTCTTCTCTCTGTACCAGTGGTTCGCCCGTCACATCGTCTTTCCCGGGTACTTGAGGGTCGTTGAACCCCACATTGTAGACTCTCCCTGAACTAAGGTGTACCCATCGGTTCGCCATGCGGGACAGAATGATGTCCACAGGAGTAACCAACTGAAACACGACATTGATAGGCAGGAGGTGAGATAGGGCATGGGCCTGTGTAGCCGTACGCGGGAACCCGTCGAGAATGAACGACGTGTCGGGATTGTTGGATGCCGTGACCACCGAGGACGCTGACCCGTTCCCACGTCCTAGCGCGGCAATGATGTTGTCATTCGTATCTGCTGTCTCCAACCATTGTCTAGAGGTGAGCTCGCTGAGGATGAGGTTCAGGATCAGAGGGTCTGGAACGAGTCCACCTGAGTTCATGTACGTCTCGGCTTGCTGGCCTGCATCTCTCGTCAGCACGTGTCCATACCATGTTTGTTTTTCAATCAAGCCCTCGAACCTAGTCTTGTTTTCTTACTGACGTTCTCGCGTAGAAGATCTCCCGTCGCGATCGAGGATAGTTGTGGAAAACGTGCCATAAGCCGCTCTGATTGTGTTCCTTTGCCCACGCCCGGGGCTCCTACCAGTATGATTCTAGCGGCATTTTTTAGCTTCCGAGTAGCCGTACTGAAAGTCATCGTTCAGATATGTTCGGGTTTAAGTGGATGTAAGAAGTGGGAAGGCTTGTGAAGGCGATGCGCCGTGGCGCCTTGGTCAGGTACCCATCATGTCCGGCAGGTAGTAGTAGTGGAAGTGAGTAAAAGATAGAAGGTTATACCGATGATGGATTCCAATCTTGAGGATGACAAGTCACAGGCTGCGGAAGCAATCACCGTCTGAGGGGGAGCTAACGAGGGACGAGGAGGCTCTGGTCAGAGGGTTGCTCGGTAAGTGAGCTCGAACTCGAGCATGGGGAAGCACGATAATCCTCACAAGTGGACGTTCACGGAGCCGGCCCGGGCGACGGGCTGAACCCCCAACTCCTCGGTACGAAGGACCATCTATGCATCCGTCCTTGTCCTCGTACTCCGTATCGATTCCAGGACAAAAATAACACATTGAGCCCGGTGACAAGTTCTTCCTCATTTGAATATTGCTGTCCACCTCAATGTTAAGGCTTTCACTCCCGGACGCGTTTAATGGCTAGAACGAGTCCTCGCAGGCGGCATCTCGTTCACGTGACTCAGGCTTCGCTCACTTGTTCTTCAATTTCAACGTGTTCCAAGTGACCGTTACGCAGCAGGAAGTTATTGCTCCGTGTTCTATCAATCTGAGGGAGCCAGCTGACATTTCAAAGACCAAAAGACGTAACTCAAAGGCTTTCAATGGTGGTTCAGACAGCCATTGGAGCGGCTTACTATAAAATATCATATGCCCACTCAGGACAATACGACCTCGTTCAGCGCCGACAGAGCCTTCGCACAATGACCCTCCTTGGAAGAAGGTTGAGACGCATCAGAATCTTTGTGGCTAAAAGGGTCTCCATAAGTGCCATCGTAGACTGGACTTGTCTACTAGAAGGGGCTTGGGATTGGAGTTTATCCGATGGATCCCATTACCGGGAATTTGAGGAACTTGCTAGAAGGCTAACGGGACATTTGACGCGCTGGAAGAACATTTGGTTTACCAAAATAGACTTGCTCGTTAATCGCTTCGGCTCATCAGGCCTTGTCGTCGTGGAGGTCGTGGCAGGCCGTTGCGGTGTTAGATCCATTTTGTAGTGCTAACTTGGCCAAAGCGGCGAGTGACCAATCGGTACACGGAATATGTGTTAGGCAAGAGTGATAGCAATCTATATGCTCATCTGGACAGAGTATTTGAGTGGCGGTGGATAAGATCACAATGCCAGTCAGCCGTCCGCGTGTTCGTCCCTTCTGGGTGCCTTCCCTCAGAAGTCAGCAAAGCACTCTGCAAGGCTGAAACATGACACAATTGAGCTTCCCCCACCCATTGGGCCATGGCTCCTGCCGCCAAGCATCACCCAAACTTCACCAGGGCTCAGGCTAAAGCTGCCTAATTTCAACCTCCCAGGCTCAACGGCGCTGATTTTGTTGCTCTCTATCAACTCCAGACCACCACTATAAATCTGGCTTGCAATCATTTGATATCCCGGATACGTGAGCGAGGCATCAGAGAGTCCACTCGCTCCCTGATGGAAGAGGTCAGCCTTCACATTTAGCATTCCTCGGCCTTTCCCAAGAGTGAGCTGGCGGCGAACCATTCAATCTCACTGGCAGCCTTGCTCCAGCAGACTGGACACCTTTCCTCGTCAGCTTATATGAAAACAAATGACCTGGATGTGGAAAGAATAGTGTCTGCATTCGCTTGCAGAAGAGACGGCCTCGAACGAAGGTTGACCATAGCCTCGTATACCAAGTCTCCTGGTCAAGCTGCTCAACATTTGGCGAACAACATGGCGCCTCCTTCCTGTGTCCATCCGACTGTAAATTCTGACAACGAGCAAGCTCATATTAAAATAGATACATCAACTTCTCCTTTGCAAGCGACCTTTACCGCCCTCCCTGCAGAAATTCTCCAGCGAATCCTCTATTTCGCCAGTACGCCTACCTTCTTCCAACTCATACTAGTGAATCGGCAGCTCTTCAATGTAGCAGCGGAATCACGAGAGGTTATTCTTCACCATTTGCGACACTTGCCAGGTTTAAAACTTGGACTCAGCGACCATTGCATCACCACATCCGAACTATTCCTGATTTTACGTCAGCGCGCTGCCACTAACCTCTACGGCACAAACTTCACTGCCGACTGCAAGAGCTGTGCTTTTTCGAATGATGTGCTACCTAATTCTCACGCTTCTAGCCTCGAAATAGGGGCAGATGGCTACCCTCAGCTGTCTATGGTCGTCAAGAACGACCCGTCCATCCAGTAAGTGCTGACTGCCGTGGCTGATCCTAAGTCGAACGCCATTACCTTTAGGGGGTGCGAGAGAGACTTGTACTTCATTGGTCCATGGAGCTATTGTGTTGGAGACTGGGCCATGGTAATTGTACCGCTGACAAATGCTCGAATGCCTAGTCTATACACGAAATATGGCTCGTACCGCGAAACGATTGAATCTCCATATGCAGATGGCGAGGCAAACATTGTCCAAGTCGTCCAGAATGACGGCATAATCTCTGTGCTCTATGCATGGACACCACCTGAGCAGGACCTTGCCAGTAGGATTGATGATCACGAGCCCACCATCAGAGGGTCCACTAAAAGCATCCTGACCATGTCCCATCATTCTTATCGCCGTGGGTTGCCCTTGACTATAAGGATGAATCCGACTTCGGCTTCAAAGTCTGCACGGTCTGTTAGATATCATCTACTCCACTACAATATGGTGAGTGACAAAAGAGTTTTTTGGTCACCCTTCTTAGCAGAGAGGATATCGTTTACGCTCGGTACAAATGGAGGCCGTGTCGGCGTTGACCAAAACCGAGCTTGGTTGTCAGACAATTGCAAGGGTGTTGCACGCATAAATGCGTACGGCACTTTGCCCTCTATAAGTGTTGCCCCTAGAGACACCCCCCAAAAAACCTTGGTTTCCTGTTTACTAGCATACTATACATACTAAGTTGTAAATTCGATATAGTATACGAACGACCCGCCAATTTTCTTCCACATCCCAACGCATAGATCTCTACGCAACACTCTTCTGGCTCCTGTCCACCTTGCCATTTACAGCCGAATTTTATGTGCTATCATCTGGGACGAGCCGAACGTCATGCGACCGACAGCCCGTGCCTCAGTCGTACTCTACAGCGCTGATCGCCTACCACGGAGGGAGGAAGGCATATACTCTGCCTTTGTAGTGTATCCTTTCGATCACCCGGCTAAAATCTTCAGCACTGGTGTCAAAAGCGTACTCACCAAGGATAAGGACCACAACACTAATGATGATGATGATGATGGTAGTGGTGAGCAACTCTGGACAGCTACGAATCCTAAAGAGGCAACGCACGACTGTGACCTCCGACTGAGCGACACACGACACAGGCCACGGGCAGTCTCATTCTTTAAGGATGGCCGCCGACTAGCCCTTTACGCACCGGGCTCTAGCGTACCTTACATGACACTGCTTGCCAACGAGGTCTTGAGACACCAGCTGACCCCAAGCATCGGGACTCGGCAACTACTACACCTGGAGCCCGGTGTGTCATCACTATCGAGCTTGATGGAACGACGAGAAGAGCGATTCCACCTTCTACGCATCAGCGCAAGTGACACCAATGCCACGACTATCAATGGACTAGGATTCCACATATCACTACCATTCTTCAGCAGGCACGACAGCATGTTCGCGCATACCGGGAACGGATTGGACGATTTCTGTATAACAGACGACCTGTGCATTGGCATCACGAAGGTCCCGGACGTGATGGTCTTCTCAGAGCGACTATCCCGGCACACAGTTGACGTGCCCGGCCCTCCGGTCCTCACCATCGTGCAGATCCGCCGACGCAAGACTTATGATTCTTGCACGCACATTGAAACCAAGGATGATCTGCCGCCCTTACCACCTCCGCCTCGACCGCCGCTGCCTAGGACCGCCATAACAGAAACGGAACAGCTCCCCCAGCAAACACAAACTGCGCCTACTAACGATCATGATATCGGCCACCCATCCAACGTAGCGAATCACGCCGTTGACCCGGACCAAGATCATCAGCATCAACTTGAAATTCTATCAGTGACAGAAGAGATCGTCGCTTTTCCGCGAAACATCGCGGGCACGGATCTGCGAGTTGTTGCCAGGCTCTGGGGATGGGCGCCTCAGAGCACAACACTGACAGGCTTGGATACGGTAAGTGTGTCACCAAATGGTCAGCGGATTGCGGTAGCGCAGTGGGATCGAGTACTTATCTACGCGCTTGACCCTGCTGCTCTGTGTGAACCGCCGTTTGACCAAGATATTGCCCATGACGGTAGCAGTGACGGAACCATTTCTGAGGCTGGAACTGATTGGGCCAGCGTCACTGATAGTGGCAGTGATGATGGCAATGATAGCGATGCTGGGTCGAACGTAATAGTTCTCCATTCCCCAGAAACTTCATCAAATATTGCCAATACCCATGCCGTGAGCAACGACAGCAACAGCGGACATGATATCATGCTCACCAACAACAATCCCAGCAACAACACAACTGATGAAAACGAAGATGAACAAAGCCTGAACTCCACTCAGCCGCCGCCTTCTGATCCTGACAATCCACCACCAGTACCATCCACTACACAAGCACCAGAACAAGAGCAACCAATGTCACCGGCGGTTCCCGAACCGCCATTATCCACATTCCCCTCGCTCCACCCTACAGCAGGTGGTTCCAAAAGCCTAGCGTCATCGTCGGGGGGAAGCTCTTCAAGCTCCACTTCTTCGGAAGGCCTTCTGAAGTTCTACCCTCGCACATTCAGTGGATTCTTGGGAGTGAAGGTGGTAGAATTACGTCCTATAGTCCTGAAAATGGAAGGCGGTGCAGTAGTAAGGAAAATGGCTTGGGCCCTGAGTTGTGGCTCTGGCGAAACTTATGGCAATAGCGATAGTGATGAAGGGGACGAGGAGCAACAGCAGAGCCCTGACAGCGAAGCAGCGGAGTACCAAGAAGAGGGAACAGAGGAGGTGTTACTGGATGAGAAGAACTATGACGGAGACACAGACGCTGGCAGAGTTTCAGCAGCAGATGGTCAGATCGAGGCGGAAGGAATCCACACCGGGCAACAGAGTCAAGATATCCAGAAGAACGCGCAACCACAGCTGGCAAACACAACCGCCAAGCATCAGCATGCAAACGCAGGACCCGGATCATCTGTTGCTCCAACAGCAACGAAGCCTCTTCCTGGTGAGAAGGACAGAGATATAAGCCCAACAGCCACAACCACAGCCGCAATTTCAAACACTAGAGACCTACCACCTCAGGCCTCCCTGGAAAGGGTACAATCCCCATCCAGTCCTGGACTGACACCAGCATCGAGACTACAGATCTCCGACTCAGAATTACTGCATCAAATTAAATTCGTGAAGCGGCCGCCGGAATATACCATGGCGTTGGGTGGTGGCGATTTTGTCACTAATACCGTCATTGGAATGAACGAGGTGTATGGTCCACTTTCTCCTTCTACTTCGTCTACGCAGGATAAAGGTGGCGGAGGTAAGAAACCAGAGATTGTTATCATTGATAATAGTACTAACACGACAACACTCGACACCATTGGCGGCGGCGTTGCAGTGGACAAACAACAGCCCGACGACGACAATGACAAGGCTAATGCTACTACTACCACCATCACCACCGAGGAGAGACCCTCGAGCCCGTCACATTCACACACATCTTCAACCCAACATCGTGTTCCGTCGGTGGTAAGTTCTATCACAGAGCGGCCGAGGCGGAAACCCAAGCGCCGCAAGAAGGTCATGGAGAATGAAATAGTCATCATGACGGATCGGGATGTCCAGGTTTGGGATCTTGGTGTTTGGGGCAGGGCGAGGCGTGTGCAGGGCGAGTTCGTCAGGCCACCAGCTTCGTCATGGTGATGTGACGTGTTGGCTTGCTTGCATAGCTAATCATGACTGGCCTGCGAATGTGCCCAAATCCCTCACGGTGCTTTATTGTTTCTAACGTGGAGCTTTGAGCGACGAAGGCTCAAAGGTGGTGATTGGGGGATAGAATTCGATATCATGGAAGTGCCTGATCTGCAAAGTTTTTGCTGATGGAATAATGGCCAGGAGGCAGTGCAAAGATCGAATCTAAGCATGCCAGATTACACAGCGAAGAGGTGTGCCGGCGCCTTGGGCAGTGTTCGAGCATTTCCATTGCCTGGTTGGCACTAGAGACCCTAGGCTTCTGGAGGCGACTGAAACTCATCTCATTGTATACTGCTGCGATGCAGTTCTCTATTTCCCTCCTCCACCACCCATAGATAGCAAGGCGACAATCAAGAACACCCACCAGTATTTCTGGAAGAAAGACTTCTCCTGTTGTTCCTCTTGCGCGACTTCCCTCCCCTCAGCGTCAACCTGTGGCGGCGCACGAGTATTCCAGACCGGCACAGGCCCATCCTCTGCCAAGAATAGATTGACCTTGACCGGCTCGTACAGTGCAAGCTGCCTGGCGGCTTCCTCCCTTGCCTTCTTGGTGTTAGGAACTGGCGGTCGAGCCGGGATGGGTTTCCCCTTCGCTTTCGCCCTGGCGACCTTCTTCCTGTACCGGTCCTCTTCGGCTGACAGTGGCGGATGGGACAGGCTGGAAACGGCGGCCGAGAAGACGGACCCGTCGTCTGGAGACAGCCAGAGGTCGATCTTCTGGTGCAGTTCTTCTGAGAATGCCTGCAGTGTTGTGATCGTGGAACTTCCGTTCGGGAGGTGGATCCGCACAAGTCGAGATGAGGTTGGCTCAAGGCTTGTGGATTTCAAGGAGTCTAGTGCTGGAGGTGTCCATGAGGAAAGCGAATGCCTGCGAGATTTGGGATCGTAGAAAACTGTGACGAGAGGTTTAAGGTGGGAGTCCCCGATGATTTCGTAGGATAGAGTGACGGATTTGGGGAATTGGGTGTTGTCGGAGGCTGCGAAGGAGATAGATAGAATGCCGAAGAACAGAGCGAGGCCGCGCAAGGCGGGTGCTAGCAGCATGATTGCTGATTCTTGTACTCTATACTTGACGATGAGATGTAAGTGTGAGGGTTGCGGCTCTATTATCGCTACAAAAGAGATAGTCGGTTAGTGCACATGGCTATGGGCGCCGAACAAGGAAAGTCAAACGAGAGGCAGTCACGACTCATACAAAGATCGTTGTGCGTGGCTCCTTCCTTCACTGCCTCTCTTGTTTTCAAAGGGTGAAGCAAAATGTAGTCAAGATGGATTTCCTCCAGGACTCACCTGGAGGCTCTATCCTCTCTCCATCCACCACCCACCGCCACCTTGGAGATTTGCCTGATCTCGCAGATTTATCTGATTCTGACGACATGGCCACCAGCAGCTCTTCCATACCTACCAATGACAAGGACAAACTTCATCCTGAAGTCCTCAAGGATCTCGAGCTTCACCAAGGATTCATGCGTCAAGCAATCAATGTTGCCGAAGAAGCCCTCGCTGGCGGAGAGACCCCAGTGGCATGTGTCCTTGTCCTTGATGGTGAAGTCGTCGCAAGAGGCATGAATGACACCAATCGATCTCTCAACGGCACTCGACATGCTGAGTTCCTTGCAATCGCCCAGTTCCTTTCTAATTTCTCCATCTCCAGACTCAGAGAGACGGATCTCTATGTTACCGTCGAACCCTGCATCATGTGTGCATCAGCCTTGAGGCAATATGGAATTCGATGTGTCTACTACGGATGTGGAAATGATCGTTTTGGTGGGAATGGAAGCGTTCTCGCTGTTCATTCTGACAAGGGTCTTGAGGAAGGCTATCCGAGCTACGGAGGGATTTTCAGGAAGGAGGCTATCATGTTGCTTCGTAGGTTCTACATTCAGGAGAACGAGAATGCACCAAATCCAAGGGCCAAAGGCAATCGAGAGTTGAAGCCGGTCGTTTGAGAGGGATACGAGTACCTGGGTAGGCAGTTTTGCTGTCGGTATGAAATGGACTAGAAGGGTACATATCCAGTGGAGCACCTGCTTTTGACGCGAGCATGGTACATCAACATGCTATCGCACTTTCCCGTCCATTCCAGAGAAGATGCAGGAGTAGGCCAGTCATCCTTACAGCAACTATGAGTAGGTGCAAAGCAACCGAATAATGAACTAGGCCTTTCATCACTTCACCAACTCCAACTGGTCTCATATCTCTTGCACATCCGTCACCTGTATTTGTTTATCTAGTACTGATATATCAAGAGTCGTCAGCGATATTCTTCCATTCTTTTTTCATTACGTCGGCCATTAGTGATGTCGCTCTCCAAGTGGTTGTACCCGTGGCAAATTCCATTGGTCAAGCCATGGCGTAAACACGTCGACACAGACCCATTTTCTCATCCAGAGGATAAATATACAAAGTTGTGTCTCAGCTGTGGTCGCCGAGTGCCTTTAGAAACGAGATCTAGGTCGTTTCCAACATGCAAACACGCAGAGACAGCATGTGGGATTTGCCTGCTCAGGCACATACACGTTCAAATCAGGCGAAATCCTACCTGGACTGCTTGCACATGTCCAATATGCGACAAGCCTATCCCAGAGGAGGTTCTCAAATCGATGCTAAGCAAAGGAACAGCGTTTCTATTTGATGGCTTCATTTTCTTCTTGAAACGTCTTTATCGAGCTAGATTATGCGCGTGCCCGTATTGTGGAATCGAGCGATATCTACTTCCTGAGGTCAAATCCTCTCCATTCAAGTGCAGCAATTGTTCGCACGTTGTTTGCATGAACCATGGTACCCAGTGGGATCAGGGTGTGGAAGGACATAAGGGCCTCTCTTGCGAGGAATACGACTATCAGCATGCAGACACGGTTGTGGCGAGATCGAGCACCATGCTCATTATGTCTTTGACCAATCCATGCCCTGGATGTGGAATACGCGTGTCCAAGAGCAACATGTGCACAAGAAGCGTCCAGCAGTGTAAGGGGCACCACCCTGTGGCAGGTTACTTACTGATGACTGTCAGGTCCACATTGTTACGGCTGGTGGGATTGGGATGAGGTTGAAGTGTTACAAAGGCCGACGATTCTCGGGACGGACTTCTGGACCTCAACCGAAAGTCCCATCATCCCGATGGGAAGCCTCTCAGAGATGCCGGAATTAAGAGCGCTGCTTCTTCCCCAGGATTGGTATCAGGACATGGCCGACTTCGACAGGGATTTGAGTGAGGCACCGACTGACGGTAATCCCTGGGCCCCAGACCATCCAGAGTTTGATCCGGCAGACTATATTAGGTTCGATGGGCAAATACTGTGTGTGTTTAGATGGGGAAGGGATAGATGGGATGAACAATCCGATCCCCCTCCGGTGGTAAAGGTGAAGCAGAAGGAATTTCACCATGAGGATCACGAGAATAAAAAGTCAGTTACTGGGCTGGATGGCGGTGTGGATGAACAATAGTAATAATGAAGAATACAGACAGTCATTGAAGACTACCCGTGTATCAATCGAGGCATATAACAATGTAAGCTGTTTGGTCTGACGCGACAAAAGTCGATATCTCCTTACAGTATGCTGGAATGCGATCGTCAGACGAGGGAGCATGGGGCGTGGCGCGTTGAATGGCCGAGGCCAGCCAATCGCGTTTGCCCGCGATTCACGCTCCAACATTTTTCCACCCAGGCAATTGCCTCACAGAATCACCTCACACCCGTTGTTATTCATCACCTTCACTCACTGCCCTCCTCTTCACACTCAATAGCTATTGTGTGGTCGAGGTCAGGCATTTAAAAGCGCCAGTTCTCCGTTCTCGTCACCGGACTATATCTGCTTGACACATCCCTATTTCTCCGTTTCTCTCGAGGTCTCATACCACAACACACCCTTGTCTTGCGCTCTCCGCATCTACATCCACATCCACACCCATAGCTTCCGTGCATCATTTGTCGCGTTGAGTTCTCAAAACTTCCACTCCACCATGTCCACCTCTCGCACCCGAAAGGCTGCTGCGCCTGCAGCAGCAAAGAACAAAGCTCGGCCCACCAAAGCCGCCAAAAAGGCACCTGTCCAAGAAAGAGAAGAATCAGAAGAACACATCATCGAGGTCGAAGCCAAGCCTGAAGAAATATCTGAGCCCGAACCAGCGAAGAAGACCACCAAACGCAAGGCAGAGGATGATCTCGAGGTTGAGCCCAAGGTCAACGGCGTCAAACGTGCCAAATCACGAACAACCACTCCAGCTCCACAGCCTGCAAAGGCCAAAACCAAAGCTCCAGCTACCAAGGCAACCAAAGCCACTGCTGTGAAGGCTACCAAGGCCACTGCTGCAGAGACTACCGAAGCAGCGGTAGCCAAACCAACAAAAGCCACCATAACAAAGACCAAGGCCAAAACTGAAATCAATCATGCCCCTACCGACAAGTTGAACGTCTACGTCTTCGGAGAAGGTTCCTCAGGTGAGCTGGGCTTGGGCAGTGCGAAGGGACAAACCGAAGTCAAGCGTCCACGTTACAATCCCAACCTCAGCCCTGAAGATGCTGGTGTCGTGTATCTTTCAGTCGGTGGAATGCACACTGCTGCTCTCACTCACGACAACAAGATTCTGACATGGGGTGTCAATGACCAGGGTGCTCTTGGACGTGATACAGCCTGGGATGGTGGTCTTCGAGACCTTGCCGACGATGCTAGTGACAGCGATTCGGATAGTGGCTCTGATACTGCTATCAACCCCAAGGAATCCACCCCCGCAGAGGTCGATCTCTCTGGCCTTCCCGAAGGCATTACATTTACCCAGGTTGTTACAACTGACAGTGCGACATTCGTCCTCACCACTGAAGGAGAAGTCTATGGTTGGGGCACATTCCGTTCCAATGAAGGCATCTTCGGATTCGACAACACCACCTTGATTCAACTACGTCCCAAACTGATCAAAGGCCTCAAGAAGATCGTCAAGCTTGCTGCAGGTGCCAACCATGTTCTAGCTCTTCAAAGCAATGGTGTGGTCTATGGATGGGGCTCAGGCCAGCAGAATCAGCTTGGACGCAGGATCTTGGAAAGGCGAGCCACCAACAGCCTGGTGCCTATGCCAGTTGGCTTGCCCAAGAAGATTATCAATCTTGGTGCGGGTGCCTACAACTCTTTTGCCATTCGTGAGAATGGTGATGTCTACTCATGGGGTCTCAACAACTTTGGTCAAACCGGAATTCCCAAGGAGTTTGACGAGACTGGTGCCAGCAAAGGTGCTGACGTTCATCATCCCATTATTATCGAGGCATTGCGCGGCACGGGCAAGGTTACCTGTATTCAAGGAGGAGCACATCACACTGTTGCTTGCACCGACAAAGGAGAGCTGCTTGTTTGGGGACGACTTGACGGCTATCAACTTGGAGTGAAGATATCTGATTTGCCACAAGATGAGGTTGTTCGTGATTCTGCTGGCCATCCACGTATCCTCACCGTCCCAACCCAAATCCCCAACATCAATGCCATCCATGTTGCAGCGGGCTCTGACCACTGTGTGGCTATCGACAAGAATGGCAAGGCCTATTCGTGGGGTTTCAGTACCACTTTCCAGACAGGACTCGGCACTGACGATGATGTCGAACTCGCAACCATGATCGACAACACGGCAGTCAGGGACAAGAAGCTGGTTTGGGCTGGAGCTGGTGGTCAATTCAGTGTCATCGCTGGCCTGGCTGACCACCCCATGGTCAATGGTATCAATGGACATGCTTGAAAGAGAAGTCTCGTTGGGCAAAATGGTTTCACTTGGAATGTGTTTCTGTATACTAGGGAGATTCTCTTGCTTGGCTTATGGCGTTGCTTAGTATGGGCAACGGTATCGATCACCCGAAAAGGAGTTGGTCCTTTTCGACACACAGGCAGGCGGGCCTTAGAATACTGTGCTTTGTGCTGTAATTATTCAACGAGTTTCTCAAGTCGACTGGTCATGTGGACAGTGTTGGTGATCACGGGTCTCTGCAGAATAATACATGACAGAATTTCATTTTCCACAAATTCAACCAACCGATAAATCCTTCACGCAATATGCCATCCACCTCGTCTCTACTAATTGAACCCAAACAAGAAGTCCGCAACACCTCGGACCAGCCGGCGTTTTCGGGGCTGGTACCGATCCATGAATCTCGCCATTGGTAATATCCGTTAAGAGAAGGACCACATTCCCCCTCCCCCATATCATCACCCCTCACTCCATTCAATCTTGTGCCGAGCTACTAAATACTTGGTCTACTGGGATGGGAGATCGTCTGGTGTTTCTCCAAATCTCATGGATGGCTCTCTTGCAACAAGGTAAATGTCGACTTCCTGATGGGTTTGTGGCATTCTTTCTTCTCTCTCAACTTCGTGGTCCGAAATCTCAATTTATCCGTTCAGCCTATCCTTCTCCCTCAGCCCAAGAATTCGAGATACTGCACGAGTTCGCCTTAATATTGACCTAGACGAGGGGCTCGGTCTTCCCTTTGACGCAGCCTCACATTTCATTCTTTTTATATTTACAACAAAGCAAAATGTCTGGAGCCGGGCCCCCCGTCCCCTTCAGCTCCCTCCCACTCAACAAATCCCACTCAGCAACGCGGCTCAACGCATGGGGCGCCTACGGGGCCGAGGACGAGGTAGGCTTCCTAAACCGCCAGACACCCGCGATCGTCGCAGCCGCGGCGGCCAGCGAAATCAAGTCCGGGGTCCGCGTACCGCTCGACGCACCGCTAGATTTCCAAGGGCCCAAACCACTCTTCGGGCGGCAGATCTTCAAAAAGGACGTGTACCAGAAGAAGCCCCGGATCGTGCACGACGACACCTGGGCGTTCAACACGCAGAGCTCGACGCAGTGGGACGGGCTCCGCCACTTCGGGTACCAGAAGGCGCAACGCTTCTACAACGACACCACCGTCGAGGACATCGCGGGCACGAGCGACAAGGGGAAAGGGAACCCGAATGTCCTCGGCATCCACAAGTCCGTCGAGCGCGGCGGCGTCATGGGCCGCGGGATACTGGTTGACTTCCGGCGCTGGATCGAGGAAGGGCCCGGGAAGGACGTCGTCGGCGACAGCTTCAAGAGCTTCCACACCTCCGCGATCAAATTCGACTGGCTGCTGCAGACGCTCAGGTGGCAGAACAACACCACCCCGCGCTTCGGCGACATACTGATCGTGCGCTCCGGCTTCTTCAAGTCGTACTACGCCATGCTGGAGTCCGAGCCCGCCGAGCTCGACCGCCTGACCAACCTCGCGCCTCCGGGGCTCGGCGGTGTCGAGCAGTCTGACGAAGTGCTCAACTGGATCTGGGATCATTTCTCCGCCGTCGCGAGCGACCACCCCAGCTTCGAGAGATGGCCGACCCCCTACGAGTGGAGCATGCACGAGGTATTGCTGGCGGGCTGGGGCTGTAACATCGGGGAGTTGTTGGACTTGGAGAAGTTGAGTCAGGAGTGTAAGACCCAGGGTCGCTGGAGCTTCTTCGTCGCCAGTGTCCCAAATTATGTCCCTGGCGGGGTCGCGAGCCCGGTCAACGGTGTTGCGATCTTTTAGACGCGAGCTGGATGGCAGCAGAGCACTTGTTTAGCTTGTGGATGTGGTGCGGATGTCGACGGGCTGGTATGGTCCAGGAAGGGGAATTCTGTTTTCCTGACGTGCAGGTCAACCAGGATGGTGGAGAATCATTTTCATCGTGTTGTGTTTGATGGCCGCAGAAAGCTAAGGTGCAGCGAAGGGCAAAGGGAAAGAGAAAGGGAAGAATAAGCAGACAGAAATTCAATCGAAAGACATTATGACTAAGGGAGGCTAAAATTACAATGAAAATGTACAGAAGGCTCGCCCCTCAAGTATACATAGGAAGGAGTACATGATTTGTCAAATTTTTGAGCAAATAAAGACCACAACGCCTTTTCCCTTGGGCAAGCCTCAATTCCAAAACGTGGATAGTTTGGTACTGTATATCATTTGTAGTTGAGTTGGACGGCCAGTTCAGCATAATCGATCCGTTCCCAGAGAGTGACCTGAGCGGTCGAGACTGTCCTCGTGCCTTCACCAAATGCCTCTGGACGATGTCATTCTGGTGAAAATCGTGTGACCGCTTCTTGAACACTGCTTTTGTGTGTGTTTTTCTTGAGTCGATCTGGACAGAGGCACTGGCCTGTCCAGAGCCGTGACCTCCTAAGTTGCGAATTCTGAATCAAATTGTCTGATCTGTCATTCCGACCACGGCATGACCTGAGAATAACAGCTGCTCCCACGACACGAGAGCCTCGCGAATGAATCTGGATTCTGAGGGTCTCTCTTTTTTGTTGTTGGCATGGGACTAGCTAGTGTTAAAATTGCGGTCAGAGGACGGACTCCAGCTCCTTGAATTGGACCTCAATGCCAACAGCCGCCTTCCTCAGCAATATACGTGAACGCCTTGAGCCCGCTCTTTTTTGAATGCCTTGCAAGTTTCAAGTTAATTCAAGCAAAGCAGTAAGAGAACGTTAGAAATGGAGCTTAGTAAGTACCTCGCCGTTCCAGCCAATCCATCATCATGCGATGTTTCTGATCCTCATACTTGAAAGCGCAAGGAGTGGGTTTGGCCTTACGCATATGTACATTCTGGGCCCCATCAAACGTCATACCAAAGTTTGCTTCCTCCTGACCTCTGTAGAGATCTGCTCTTGGTGTGGCTGGACGCCGTGGAGTCTCTAGGCCGGGTGGTGCGAGTAATGGATGGCCTGCTGCATCTGTCGCCAGAGGCGTATGTTGTTGAGAGTGTGGACTGGTCAGGTGCGTTCGAATTTGCTCGGCCCAACTTTGATGATGCGCAGGCTTGCGAGTTTGAGAGGGAGAACGGGAATGAATTGGTGATTGCCTCTGAGTAAAACTTGGTGCCTCAAAGTCTTCAATATCGGTCTGCGTGGAGTGAGAAATCATGCCGGGGCGGATGGTGGTTACACAAACGGGGCTTTCAGTAGAGAGGTTTGTGAAAGGATACTCAGGTACATCTGTGGCTTTATGGGTGTGAAGACCTGGGGTGACAATTGTGATTGGAATTGCCGTCATTGTTGACATGTTCAACTGCCTTGTGATATGGCAAGAGCAGTAAGGTTGGAATTTTGCAAGATTGTTTTGGCTATATTGCACTGGGGAAGACAAGCCACTAACAAGTACATTGGGGAAGGTTAGTATTTATGCACTTTACTTGACCTGCATGGTAGCTAGTATCACTAGGAGATGGAAGGCGAAACCGGCCCAAACGACAACCGACCAGGGAGTCGAGACAAGTCCATCCACGGGACTTCCCCAGAAGGAGACAGCATTTGTGGAAGGCATTGCCTTTGGCTCCAGCGAAAATGGCGAAAGCAGGACGGAGTTGCTTCAGTCGGTGGGCCGATCCAGTTCCTTTGCACGGTGGTTGAAAACTTGACAAAGAGTAAAATGCCATGTTCGAGATGTTCAGGCCCACTCGCCGATGCCAGGCGGAAGTGATTCGTCCTTGACAGCACGAGATCACCGGCAGCAGCCCTGATGGGCCGCCACATCTACACATGTGATTGTGCATCATACGATTGAGAGGAAACTTCCGTCAGTTCTGATTGCAGCATGAGGCTGCAGGGCCACCAAGCCACGAAAGGCAAGGCCCAGAAAACTGAACAGGGCTTTGGATCAAAATGCGGGGAAGAATGAGACCAGCATGGATGGCGTCCGCCTCCAACAAATGGCGCACAATTACGGGTCAAGCAAATGATGATGAACCGAAAGTTGCAAAAGTGAGAGGATGTTCTGCCAACGTAGGATGAGTCAGGATGTGGGAAGTCGGTAGAAGTCGTGTGATGTCTTACAATACGTGACCCGATACGACGGTCGATTACGGGTCCTTACACCGAAAAACCCCTCGTTTGGAGGCATTGTTGCCAGACACAGACCAATACCTGACGTATTACGCCCTGTCAGGCTGTCACCCAACCAGTTCATCTGCCTGGGTTCCTTGGCGATCATTTCACGCGTCAACTTCGTGTTCCTTAACGTCATGCCACTCGTGACAACTCTGCCATCTCAAGGAGGGGGAGTCTTACTCGTTTTCTGCAGCCATGACGCTGGTTGACGATAAGCAACCGGTGTCGGCATGCTCGATTTTGCCCATTGGCCGGATTCGACACAACGATCTGATACTCAGGCTGTACATTTCGTGGCTCTATAAAGGTGGGAAAACTATTCAATGTAGGGCTAACATCAACCTCCAAGAAGCAGTTTCACAATCAACAACAACCGCCAACAACAAAAAGTACTCTTGACAATATACCAGCATCAAAATGATGTCCCAAACAGCTCCCGTAAGAAGTATCCCATCCAGCCCAGAATGAGGCTTTTTCGGCTAACTTTCCTTCCCCCAGCCTGTCACACCCCAGCATAAGGAAGTGGAGCTACTCACATCCGGCATTAAGGACAATGCTTTCGTCTCGGTATACAACGACGGTGACATCACCGAGTTTCTTTTCAAAGAGTCAGCTTTCGCAGCCGGGTTCCTACCGCTCGAGGCCGAGGATGCAAAGCCAACTCCCATCACCATCCCAAAGCGCCGACTCGCCGCCCATTTCAACACTGGCACAACACCACCTCCAAGAACTTGCGAGCCCCAAAAGGCCACAAATCCGGAGAAGCCAGTCCAGACTCCAGTCAAGACCTGCATGAGAGCCGCACCTGAACCCAAGACACCAGCCAAAGTTGTGGAGCGACGGCCCAGCTTCATTGAGTACCCGACTCCCAGTGAACACAAGGGACACTCTCAAGGACAACACAGACGACATTCGTCTGAAAACCATCCTACGATGAGCTGGTGGCCGGAGAATGAAATGATAGCCCAGCACGTCTGGGTTGAGAAAGACCAACCCTCTGCCGATGAGGAAGAGGACATGCTAGAAGATTGCCTGTGGACGGATGCGTTCTACGATTGAGTTCAATCACATGGGAACCGACTTTCACGAACAACCTTCACGAATGATGACTACGAGGAATTGCGTCTGTGCATTTTCAGGCCGGGGATGTTTGGGGTGTTTTGGCTCCACTCTGGATGACTGTACTACGATAGTATGAGTAACGCTGGGCTGGAATAGTCGAGTCTCAATTCGATCAACTCCTGGATAATCTCATCCAGGAGGAAACGTTATAAATATATTTTTCCATGGAATGAAGGTTCTTTTCTAGTATTATTGGGCGCACCTTCGAATTGCATTCTTTTAGCTTGTAGGATCTGAATGCTTGTTACTGGAGCCAACGTCGAGTATGCCGGTGGTGAGGCTCATCCAGAGAGAGTTTCGGTGCGTTTGATTATCTGGATGTACGTTAAAAGCATCTCCGCAGAGAGCTTTTCCAGCCATGTACGGATGGCAAAGCCAACGTGAAAGAGACTGGGAAGAAGATGTGCCCTAAGTCCAGACAGACTCTGCCCACTTTGTGGTTTCAATCTCAATCATTATTATAACTATTTCGATAGCTCGCAAAGAGACTCGACCGACCCCTACACTGTCTGCACAAAGACTCTGGGTAATCTGACAGGTTGGTCGGGCTCCAAACAAATGCCACTTCCCTGGAGTAGGGTCGTTTGTACTGTGAAAAGAACGTAACCTCCCGTCAATTAAATTGCTGCATCTCGTCCAACTCCCCCAGCCTCCAAACGCCAAGACACATCCAGTGCCTTCGCTAGCTTCCAAAATACCTAGTTCTCAACAGTGAGGGGTTGTTCGGCGTGGTGTACGGGGACGTTGACATGCTCAGTCTGCTCATGTTCGGCCTTTGGGATGATGATGCGCAGGAGTCCGGCATCGAGCTTGGCGTGGGTGTTGTCGCGATCCACGTCGACGGGGAAGTTAAACGCACGGAGGACTTCACCGATCAGGCGTTCGTGGACGGTCAGATGAGGCTCCTTCCTCGTGGAGCTGGAGGACTTCGAAGTGGAAGACTTCCGTGATTCATCCATCGAGACTTTGGCTTCTTCATGAAGGTCGGTTTCTGGTGTGGCGGGCTTGACCACCGGGGCATCCGCGAGTTCTTCTTCCGGGATCTCTGGTCTCGCGGTTTTGCTGGTGACCAGCAGCGTCCGCATCGATGTCCAGCGCAGGTGAAGTTCCGATTTGTCCTTGATTCCGGGTAGCTCGATCTCGAGGTAGAAGTTCTTTAACGTCTCTCGCACGTCGGCTCTGGGCTGATGAACATCCAAATCTCGGTCATGGAATGTTCGGTGCACCTTGTGCGCCAGGTAGGGAAGGGGTACATGGTGGAGATGGTGCCCTTTTTCCGGGTAGGTGTGCGACACGTAGGTCGTTGGGTATGGTTCAATGTCTGGGTAGAAGAGGAAAGACATTTCGCTGACTTCGATAGTTGGGAGTTTTGGGGTAATGTGATTTTTACCTTGAGTGATTATGAATTCGTTTACTCATCATTCAACATTCCACGGGATTGAGGATGTCGCATTATATCTATCTTCTTGCCTTCCCCTTCCATAAGCGAGTGGCACATAGCACTCATGTGCTGTTCTCTGTTGGCCGAGCTTTCTCTGCGGAAATTCTCGTTCTCGTCGTTGCGAGCATCATCAAGTCTTCCCCAGCAGGTCACGAGTAGTACGCCAAGCAAATTAATCATACGATCTCCACGTAAACACTCGATAGGTGTCTGGACTTACCCTCGTAAGCGGAAAGCACCGTTGAGAGGCTTTTTGGTGCCATGCGACGGTGGAGTGATGATGAAGTATGTCGGAGAAAAACCTTGATGGCGCATACTCCGCGCTAGCCAGATGTGGGAAGCGAGATGCCCCGAGAATAATAAGGCTTGGCAAGGTAAAAGTGGGAAGGCTGCAGCCCCTGGAAACTCGGTGGAGAGCCCTGGAAGCTTCTCGCCGTGCATTTCATCTGCTTCGGCTACGAGGTACGGAGCCAACAACTCGGTCTCGCCAACAGGCCGAGTCCGACGTGGATTCCCACAACAGTCACGTTCTGCACAATATACTGTACACAGGTCTTACTACTACCTAGCTAAGCCTCCGGACGGCGTCATGCCACTGTCCAATGACGTGGCAGCCATGCGACCGATGGAAAAGGAACGCCAGATTCCTACTGTAGTATAAATCTGGTCTTGTCGCAGAAATCGCAGTGTTGTTTACGACCAGATCATCAAAGAACACAATACCAATAGACAGAACCATCCTACAAACCTCTGAGGGTTAATCAAAGAACACCCCTGAACACCCCAATCAACCAGAATGATTCGAACAAGGATTCACTCAGCTTGCAGGAGCAGTATCAGAACGCCAGCTTTTTGTCAATCATTCTCAAGTGCCCGTCCATCATTACGGGAAGGAGACACTGGTGCCATACGGCCAGGCGGCGTGGCTGCATCGTAAGCAACACAGCATCATATAAAGCAGGACGAGGATAGGAAGCTAACACCGGAACAGAGACACCTTCAGTCGGCGAGAGCATGTCATTGAAGACTTATATGTGAAGCAACATGAGCTTGAAAAGTGAGTCCACACGAAATGCCCGCAACCCAGATCACCGATGGCAAATGACTGACATGTCCTTCTAAACAGCATCAGGAAGCTGAGAGAGAAGCTTGCCGCACAACGAAAGCACCTTGACGAGGTGGAAGAACATATCAACGAAATGGAGAAGACTGCAGTGGAGAAGACAGAATCCAAGTGACTCTGTCAGAGCAGGTTATGAGCGATAGAAGCATTGTATATAACATTTCGGGCGCTATTAATGGGGACTGACCACGAACGACGCACTCATATTGGATTGACTGGGCGATCAATTCGGCGAATCTTGTCAAGAGGATTGGATATCATCCACGGCATCTGAACGAAGCAAGGCAGCCTTGGGAAGAGAACGCTCCTTTCGCATTTGGAAGAAGTGGCAGGAGCGCAGGAGATTCCCTGTCTTCGGATACTGTTCCTTTAATGTTGTTGAATGATCATCACCGTACAAGTTAAATCTACGACAATTCACGCGTGACAAGTTTCAACGAGGCAGAGGTCGCCAGCCTGCGCTTCAGGTGCCCCGCATGCACGTTGAAACCTTGCGGGATGCCACTTCCAGCTCATCCCCCTAAGGAGACATGATTTCTCCTCGGAACGCCAACCGTTGCATTATGGAATGGAATTGACGGGTGCCAAGCAACAAGCCAGCAACGGTTTCTCTCTTGATGACCGCAACGAGCTTTACGAGCACAACCTTCTTGGAGATCTTCAAAATATAAGTGCTTGCGTGATAGTCTACGACTTGCCTTGCAAGCTGTCGAGCTAGGTGAGAGGGAACTGCCAACGCGGGCGTGGCGCTCTCGCCTCGAAGCTCGAGGCATTAGCAAAATCTGGGGAAGACCCTGGACCACCGAAAAGTGGGCTTGGAAAACCCCCTGCAAGGCTCATGCAGAGATCAGGCCATTCGCGGGCTTGGAAATACCGACCTGCGTAATAACCTCAACGGGTCACGTATCGTTACGGGAGTTCTTGGAGCTGCGCTGTCGTTTGATCGATCAATCTGTCCATCGGCAGAGCCCGGGCTGGGTAAAAGGGATTGTCTGACAGCTCCACCATGCGGAAATTCCACCACTGCAGCCTATTGTTTCCTGTCATTTGGCTGATTTCTACCCCCCGGTATTTCATGTGTTCCATTGACTTGCCTCCTTGAAAACTTGGTCGTTTCGCGTGTTCTACAAGATAGCACAGGACCAACCCACCCAATGAGGCATTTCTGCAGAACTTCCATTTTCTGAGGTCCTTTACACTCTGAAACCATCGATCTGGATGAGCTGACACATGCATAGCCCTGCAAACCTCTGGGTTCTTCCTGGGAATGCCTGTGGATCAGCATAGGTGGCTCGAGAATGAACGGTCCAAGCTTTGGTCACCATCAGACCACATGATCGTCAAAAATTGGGCAACTTGCGTAAGATCCACGCCGATTCGGACCAACGATGAGGATGAAAGGAAGCAATTGTGGTGGAGACACCGAACCACTTTCCGATGTTTGAAGCTTCATAAGAAAGCGTCGATCTCGCTGGTAGGTCACGGCTAGTAAGGCTAACAAAGACCAACACATACAAGAGTCAAATCAAAATCAAAGAAAGGATTTATCAGGTTGATATAATCACCCTACGAAGATGGCATCGAACGGAGCTCCACAAATTGAAAACCTCTATCATGTCATCTACACGACATCTCATCTGTCGAGCCTCGAGGACGTCAACGATCAAGTTGAGAAAGTTCGCATAGGCGGTACCTATACCAATTTAGGTGCAGCAAAAGGTGCGGCCCACAGGACCCTATTCGACGCTGGGTACCAGAAGGAGTGGTTTGTCGAGTACGACACCCAACAAGACCAGTTTGTCGCACATGGCATCAAACGAAGAGCGGGTCTTGCGGTGTATGCCAAAGCCAAAGATGGCACCGTGTTCCGCGTTGGCATCGCCACGACACCGAATGTGCATGCCTTCCGGGACGATGAAGACCATAAGATTCACAAGCCGCTATACCATGTCGTGCAAACGAGTGTCTTGTACAGCGAAGATGACACCGGCGAATCAAGGGAAACAAATGTTGAAGGCTCCTTCCTGAAATATGAAGACGCCAGAGAGTTCGCAAGTAAAGTCTTGCTGAACGAGGAGAATGGTTTGACAAAAGATTCATTCGCCAAGTATGAGGAGGCAGGCCCGAACGAGACGGACTGCGGTTATGGAGAAAATGTTCTTGTCCACGCGGTCGGGCAAAACGGAGAGAACATTCTGGTTATGGTGTTGAGAGGACAAGAGCTGGAATCAGTGAGACTGGCGGAAGCATCATTGAGGATTCGGTCATTCAACTAGTTAGCTCGTGCTTTATGAAGCTGAACAATTGGCCATCTTGAGCGTAATTGCTGGGGTGGAGGAAACCAAGGATGACGCACCCTTCGAAGGGCAACGATAATGTAGGAACAGAAGGAGTTTAGGTGGAATTGTATCATAAGAAGGCAACTTCGCTGGTGATTAAATGGTATTGAACTGTCCGTAAAGTCGAAGTACGACTGGGACACGCGCGCCCATCAGAAGAGACGTCTGACCTTCGGCCCTCCTTGATAGCTCCTCAAAACAATATGAAAATGACTCCATCTCAGCAGGTGGAAGCTCAAGTTATGTAGCTCGACTTCCTCAGTCATTCATGGTTGAATGTGCATGAAAACCATCAACAGAGTGGAAACAAGAGTAATTAATTATCTGGAGAGTACAGACGACGGCTGAAAGCCCATGCTAAGGAGCTCGATCGCTGGCGAAAGGACAAATTCACGATTTTGAAATCCCCGCCTCAAGAGGCGAACTTCGATCTCGGGCACTTTCTAGTAGCGTACTTCCTTGATGGCTTAGATGCGTCACCTGCACTGCACAGACCGAAAGACCCACTGACGATGAGATACATCAAGGATCGATCCAAATTCGACAAAGCCGTTCAATCCATCCCTGGACTTTCCACTACCGAGGCTGAGGGTGAGCACTGCATAAAGACCTTCATTGGCTGGGACAATGACAAGATTCGATCTCGGGGACGTCGTCTGGAAGAAGAAGCCGCAAAGGAAAGAGAACAGGAGGCTATAGAAGCACGAATCGAGAGAGAGAGGGAGAGGCAGCCAATTCTTCAACGCCATCATGAATACGCGAAAGGACACCGAGTTCTTGCCAGCTCGCTCAAGCTTCAAGATCTTGCAGGGTCATGTGTTGTTCGGTGTGACGAGATAATGAAGAATTGGACTCCAAGTGAGGTGATGACACTAGACATCGCAGCACCGAAGCTGCATTGGACTTCGGCATTGTGGAGGGCATAATGCTGTTGGATTTGTCAGAGCATTCGCTGGAAATGCTCAGACAAGACCTGGAACGAGACTCCGAAAAGACACAGACCAGGAGTCTGAGCAAAAGGGAGTCCCTGGTAATTCAGGCCTCAGAAAGCGCAAGGCAAAGGGCGCCCTCCCAGCGACAGGACCAATCAATCAGAGCCCAGGAGTAACACTCAAAGCCAACCGCGTTTCTTCTCAGTGGGCAAGGAGAGACAGAAGGCGATGGTGAGGTGGAACTAGGCACTGGCAACGAGCATAGTGGCTACCTTGATTTCGAGGAGTCTAGACTATCCACAGAAGCAGTGTGCCCTTATCCTAATATGTTTACCAGAAGTCCGTGGTCTCAATTTTCAAAGTCGCAGACCATCCTGCGAAAGACCCAGAGCGGTGGTACGTTTCATTGCAGAATGGTACAGTTAATAAAGCACCCCGAGTTGGGGACACGGCTTCTTCTAAGGGGCAAAGGTGTTCCCTGGTTCGGTTGCGAATCTCTGGCTGGAAACCAACGTTAGCCCGAGAGTTACCGATCAAACTGAAGACTTGGAAGAATAATCGAACGCCTCCGAGAACGAAGGCAGCCCCTTTAAAGGACAATCGTTCTTTGGTCTCTTCCCGTGGCAATGGCCCCGTTAATCGAAAAGTTAACTTTGGCAAAGTTCAATGGCGAATAAGGCCGGATAGGAGGAAATTAATGTTAAGATAAAAGTAGGCTGGTCAAGGCGCTACCATCAGCTCGACTTCTCAGGTTCGTTCCATCTGCATGATGCAGGACAATCGAAGGAACGGAGAGATCAAAACGAGAAAGATAACACAGATATATCGAGACGCCATTCTCGTGTTATCTGCCAGCGGTGGGAGTGAAGTAATATCTGACTTGTTCCTGTGCTGCGTTGGACAAGCCAGGATTGAGAACCGGTTGCAAAATTCACGAAAAGATCCCTGCTTTTTTAGCCACAAATTCGTCCATGGAGAATTTCCAGCCGCATTCCAGCTTGGAGTGGAAGTTTGAGCACGGTGATTGTTGGCCTATATCGGCACGAGGGTGGTGGTTGTAGGAGGACATCCTGGCGACTCTTGTCGTCCAATTTTCCATCAACCGAGATGATGTGGGAATCTGCTACGGATGGACCTAGCTGTTTTCAAGATCGCCGCCCTTCTGGCATTTGGTCTTATTCGCCCTGCATTCACACTTGAGGGTGGAGGACTCTGAAGTGTCTAGTCACTGACTCACTATTGAAATGTCCACTCGTATGCAACACCAAGCTAGTTAGGGCAGCACTCTTGTTACGAATGCCTAGGAGCGCATTGGCCTTGTTAGTATACGGACTCATAAATGGGAAGAAAAAAGAGGATCAACATGGTCATCGTGACGGGAGGATCTGACTGACTTTGATGTGATAAAACAACGCGGAGTGTCGAGTGCGCTATCTAATTATGTTGAACTGGCGCCTGATTTCGATGCCCATGCAGTCTTGGCAGGGGGTGGGGCAGCGTATGCCTTGTGCCTTACCTGGGCACTCAGTCTTTGTCTTCGCATCGCCCATCGAGGAGAGATTTTGGCTTTACGTCTGTAGAAATGTTCCAGCTTTAAACGTTGCAATCATCCTGTTCTGCAACCTCGACAGCCTCTTGACTCACGGGAGCGCCGGCTCCTCCTGAGAGGTGGCTATTCCACTTGGTTTAGAACGCGCCTTGGACCGATACAACGAAGGTTCAACCATATCAATGTCAGGACATGGGGACTCAAGCCATGTGCTGGCTCTATTCTCACCCACTATCATGATGTTGAAAGAGACGCGTGAGCTTTATGAAGCTACTGCCGACGCCAAGGGTCTTCCCGAGGACCTTCGCACGGCCGCTGAGCACATCCCATTGGTGCTTGAGGTTCTCAGCCACGCAGAACAAAATATCAGACAAGGGCATGTCACTAGCGAGGCGTTGCAAAGCTTGAATTCTATTCTGGAAGAATGTAAAGACAGTGTTGTTAACGTCAAGGACATCTTTGAGAGCACAATGTCTTCCAAAGGCGCCTCCGGACCGGAGCAGTTGACCAATGGCAATAGGCTGAGAGGGTATGTGGAAGATATCGTCAAGAATATGGAGCTTCTAGCTCAAATTCACGTGCTCGAAGATCCGGAAACTCTACGAGATATCCAAGAAGCTGTCGAGCAGTTAGGTAGTGCAGCTCAGCGACCGGACGAGGACACGGCAGAGATTCGCCGCGAAACCCAGGCCAGCCAGCTAAGCCGCGAAGATACCGAGCGCATGAAGGCTTTCAGCAACCCTATTGACTGCTTGGCGCAGAAGAATCGCAACGAGGCCTGCGCACCAGAGACTGGACAGTGGTTCTTTCGCCACCGTAAGTATCAGGACTTCTGTCTTGGGCAAGCACCACAGCTCCTGTTTGTGACCGCTGAGGCCGGCAGCGGCAAGTCTACTGTCATGAGGACCTTCGTAGATAGTATCCAAGCCTCTAAACCCTCTGTTCTGATCGCCCACTTCTTTTTCAAGGACGACGACGAGCTTCAACGCAGCTACGTCGACGCCCTTAGCGCGATCATTCACCAGCTGCTTTCCCAGCGCCCAGCGCTCGTGAAATACATCAGACAACCGGTCCAGCAATACGGCCCAGATATCAAGAATCTTCCCGGAGAGATGTGGAAGGTGCTAATTAAGTTCGCCTTGGACGTACAAGATGACATTATCTGCGTCTTGGATGCTGTTGATGAGTGCGAACCTAGCGGAAGGGCCCAGCTTCTCCAAGATTTGAAATACTACCTGCAGGAGGCGGACTCGGCAAGGTCTCGTCTGAAGGTCATAGTTTCTTCACGACCTTGCCAAGATCGCTATCATCCGTATGAGGATCTGATCATTTGCTCGTCCAAAGTGCATCACCTCGATGGTGAGAACGCTAAATTCGAAATTGACATCGCAAAGGTGATCAGTTTCAAGGTGTACGAGCTGACGCGAAGGCGACAAATTAGTGATCGCACTTCTCAACGTCTTTCCGACAAAATCATGGACAGGAATGTACAGACGAAATCGTTCCTTTGGGTGAAGCTGGCCCTTGAACTTCTGAACACAGACCCAAGGTTCCATCCAGATGTAGGTGAGCGCACCATCGACGATATCCTGGCTGCCATTCCCGAGTCAATCGGAGAACAATTCGACCGGCTGCTGCAGTCAAGTTCCGATCCGAGGCATGCACGGAATCTTCTAAGTGTGATCCTAGCGGCTCGAAGACCTCTGAAAATCGCAGAACTCAAGGTTATTTATGGGTTGACACGGGACATAGATGCTGAACTTGATCGACCAAAGACGTACGAGGACCTGGATATGTTACAAGACGACTACCATTTCAAGAGACTCGTGCGTACCACCTGTGGCTTGTTCATCACCTTCGTCAAGTCGTCTGTGCACCTGTTCCATCAGACTGCTCGAGAGTACCTCATGTCGGACTCAAAAACCGGAGAACGCCTTTATTCGGCCACCATTGCCAAAACTGTAGGCTCGTGGAAGCACTCGATCACGCTAGAACAGGCCAACTGTGTCAGTGCAAGAGTCTGCCTAGAGCTGCTCAGTTTCGATGTTACCGAGGACTGGGTGTGGAAGGTGTGAGTGACCATCAGTAACCTAGGTACATGAGCATTGCAAGTACAACATACTGACATAGCTGGCGCCAGGTTCCGAAACTTCGCAGAGGGAGATTTTCGCGGAGTTGTACAGGAGTACTCGTCATTGCGACCTTTTCTCAGGTACGCCGCATGTAACTGGTACGAACATTTGATAATGTCTGGCGATTCAATCTTTCGTGATGCCTACAAACCAAGCAACGCCGCCATGTTTGATATTAGTAAGGCCCAATTCTGGGTTTGGTTCTTCACTGCCTGCGACCAAGTCTGTCTGAGGCATTCGGTCACTTCGGATCCCTGGAAGGACGAATTAGTTGCTAGTGTCTGGGCCGGTATAGACTCGTTTGGAAGATGCGATCGTGGATGGTTTCTTAGACGGATGTGCCTACAAAAGCTTTTCCTCATGGATGGCAAGGTTAGGGCCTTGTTTTTCGATGACTTGTCTCCGCCTGATACGCTGTAAGTCTCTCCACCTACAAAGTCCGGTACACCGAAAAGGCTACTCACGAAACATGATAGGAACAACACTGCTAGTATAGCCTGGACGGCTGCAGATGGATATCGCCTCATTGACGCGTTCCACCTCGCAAACGGCGACTTGAAGTACACCAGCATGAGCAGAGCGGTTCTCGCGCTCGAAGAGGAAAACGAAGGCGCCTCACCGATACTCCTGGAAAACATATCGACGCCAACTTTGATCTGGACGTCAATGAGAGATGGCCAGCCGAAAGCGTTTAGAGCAGCTCTAGCTCGTACGACGGATCTCGAGTGGCTCCATGGCGTTCCTGAATACCTGCTGACTTATGAAGGCAAACAACCGGGATTGGTCCATTCCCCGGAATCCGCACTTCAGTCGAAAAATGCGCGCCAGCAAGAGTGGAATCGACAGTACCCTGCGACATTTGATATGATGATTCGAGCTAACACGTTGGATTCGAGTGACTTGTTGTTTGGTGGGCTGGCAGACTGGGTTGAAGGGTCATTAGGGTGCCAGGCTGTGGCGGAAAGCATATGGAAAGCTGGTGGGTTCATCAACCCTCGACTATGCCGCAGATTTGTGAGTTGTAGTGCTCAGCTAGACTGTCAATTTTGGCGGGACAGTGTGACTGCATTACACGTAGCCGCTACTTTCTGGGAACATGATACCTTGGAAGCCTTGCTGGCCCTGGGCGCCGATGCAATGGTTATTTCGGCAAATGGCTACAATGCACTCCACTGGCTCTGCCACGCTGAAGGCGGACCTATGAAATGGGAGGAGGCAAAATTGTTTCCACATCGTTACAAGAGAGCCCGGGTCAAAGAATCACTCAGAAGGCTTACAGGCTCAGTGGTGGAAAAGAAGAGGCTCCTTCACACACAGGACACAGCTGGGATTACACCACTCATGCTTTCTGTTCGAGTCTCCCCGACTATAACAAGATGTCTCTTGGAAGAGGGTGCTATGGTGGACCAGCTAGACGGGCAAAACCGTACAGCGCTGATGCACTTCTTCATTGGCGGTTGGGAGTGGATTCAGAGACCACAGGCCATCTTGAAAGCCCTATTGCTCGCCGGGGCTGATGCTCGGCTATCTGATAGCGAGGGAGTTACTGCCGTGGGGTACTGGGCCCAGAAACTCCTGTCACACAATCTTTCTGATCTTTACGCCGGCCTCAACGTCCACAACTTGAGTTTCCATGCCCTCGACACTTGCGGGGTTTTGTCCCAGGCGAATGGCATGGCTGACTGCTTGAAGCGGCTTCAAATCCCACTTGCTGTAGCGGCTAGGCTTGGAAATGCCCAGCTCTGCAGGTATCTCCTGTCTGCTGGTGCTTCTGCGAATGAGCACGGAATAGACGAGAAAAGTACCCTGGCGCATAACAGCGGCAGTGAGTCAACAGAACTGGAGGAGATATCCTGGAATCCTCTCATGATTGCCCTACGCGCAAAGGCCTACGTAACTGCTGCGTTATTGCTGGAAGCCGGCGCGGATGTCAACTTCGAGGTTTCCAAGGAGAAGTTGGAGAGGTGGTCCCGCTACAAGGCAGGGACGACGCCGCTACACCTCCTAGTCGCCGAGGACGGCAGGACAGGGAATATCTCGAAGATGTCCATGGCTACAGGTAGTTCCGCGACTGGCTGTACATTCGAGCCTGCAGGCCGTCCGGACCAGCCTGTCTCAAAGAAATCGGTGTGGGAGCTATTGGAGGAGTTTTCAAAGCGGCCGCCATCAGAGGAGATAGAGTGTGAGGTTTCAGATGTAAGTTGGTTAGTGTTCTTGAGTTTCGACGTTCGCTCACACGAGATAGACCGAGGTGGAAACGATCAGAAATGTCTCGATGAACGATTGGCGTGGAGCGCGCCTTGTGCCTTTCGACAAGCTCGCTGGACAACGAATTGGGTCTGCTGCTGGAGACCACGAACCGCTGCTTGACCTTCTCTATGACAACAATTCGAATTCTTTACAGCGGCGAAATGCTCTGATGGAGCTGATAGTACGCAAAGGTGCCGATGTCAATGCGCGGACACGGGAAGGGGTCACACCCCTGTTCATCTGCGCGCAAAATGGTCGAGTTGACCTTGCAAGGCTGCTCCTCCACAACGGGGCCAATGCAAACACCGCCGCTGTTACCGGTTGTACGCCACTCATGTGGGCAGCGCGTCGTGGTGATGCAGATATGGCCGAGCTCCTTCTAGATTCGGGGGCTGTTATTGATGCCCAGCAATCGGCTCCTGCTCCAGACCGCGGCAGCTGCACTAAGTTCGACGGGCGCGATGGGTTCTCCCTCCACAGCTGTTTGCCGCCAGTTACATCACTGGCTCTAGCGGCAGAACGAGGGCATTATACCGTCGCGAAAATGCTCCTCGACCGAAAAGCCGACCCTAATTTGAGGATTATACACCATGTGCATGGACTACTTCAAGCGAAAGACTGGAAGCAACGGAACAAACACAGAAGAACCCAGCGCAAGCAAGGAGCGGAAGAGTCGGACCTTGAGTCGGACCCTGAGCCTGAGGAATGGAAAGGATACTGGAGTGTCGCGACAGCTCTGACTTGGGCTCGGGACGAAGTGAGGGAATTGCTTCTTCAACATGGAGCAGACCCGGCGGTGGAGGAAGCGATACGGGAGTGTGGTTGTGAGATCCCAAACCGATGGGTTGGTGAAGACTCTGAGAATTAGATATCAGTCGGAGCGATCAAGTTTCCTTCCAGCGTGGTAAGGAGAGGAGCATTTCACGAGCTCATCCGCCTGTATTCTTAAGAGCGTGTGGGAGTTCCCTCGACCGAAAAGAGCCCCAAAGGTCTCTGGTATCCATCCTATTGAAGCTGGTCTAGCCGGCTTTCGCTTCTTGTACATAATTTGACCGGGCGTGAGGTTTGTCGGAAACTGACAGGTCGAATTTGCGTCTACCTCATGGTTCTCGAAATGCCAGCGTCAGAGAGTTTAAAAATGAAAGGGTGAAACATCTCATGCAGAACGAGTGCAGTGGTGGAAGCAAGAAGCTTCTGGAAACCCTCTGTCAGACAGCGTCAAGCCCTCCGTTTTGTGTCGCAAGGTAAGCCAAGTCGGACAAAGTCGGCTGTGTCAGACGACAGTCTCTCGTCCCATGCCGAATCGCAGCCAGACTGGCGGTCGGGCATTGCCGCTTCCCTGTTACGGTTCCCGATTCCCGGTTGCAACTGCCAATTGACCTTCTCTATCGTCCATCACACCACTCCATCTTCTTCCATCCACCTGCATTCAACCCATCCATCCATGTCCCAGCGATAGGACATCGCCTGGCCCGGACTTGCATAGTACATGGGCAAATCCAAGAATATGTTCCTTGCAAAATGCTTCGTTCTATGTCTCCCTACTTGTCACATGCCCTACAGCCTTTTTAGTTCCAAGCCCGGTCCATTCATTGCCCTTCTCCTTTTCTGGTCATGCTTATTACCACTCGCAGTCGTCACCACGGCTCTGGATACTTGCTCCGGTCAGGTCACGTTCCACGCTACGCACTTGTTGCCCAATTCACATGCCTCTTCCCTCCAGTGCCATCCACTGTACTGGGGACATATTGCTCTGTTTCGTGTGTGTATCGCGACGGCTCTGCGGAACAGGGCAGAGTCAAGTTTCGTCATCAGCAGTTCAAATACTCCATCCTTCGTTTTGCCATCTGCCTTTTTCTTTATCAACCAAACATTTGTTGATGAATCCTAGCCCACCATCTCGGAAAATGTATATCCCAACCCAACGATTCCTTCGCGAGAACGAGGAGCAGCCCTATCCTTATTCATCGCTGGCCGATTCTTTCCACCATCAACTTGAACCTGAGCCTTATTATCTAGGTGCACGCTCAACCGTCGGCCCGGATCAGGAACAGACTTCCTTCAATGTTCCCAGCACATTCGTCAGCGTAAGCGTGGGCGTCCTGATTTTCCTCCTATTGGCCATAGCGTAAGTGTCCTGGTCATCTCTCCCTACCTTTGGTCACTAACTCAATCATCCCTCTGGATGAAGCTTTGCCGTTTATAAAAAGTGCAGCGGCAGCGATACTCAGTCCGACACTGAATCTTCCGTCTCGGATTCCGCATGGCGAGTTGAAGACCCGGAATCAGAATCCGATGCGACCGAGGCAAAGCACCGGAAGCGCCTGAGGAAACTAGATCAAGTCGCACCCGTCCAGTCCCTGCACGACTGGCGCGCGGAGAAACTACTTACAAACGTTGAGACCTTTGCGACAGTTTCTACAAAGCTGATCTGATATGTTACTCCCTTCCCTTTCCCTGATCTCCCTCCACGTGCAACCGGCTCCCTCAATACTAACATATACAGCACCGCTATCTGTCTAGATCTGATCGGCGAAGACGAACAGATCCGCGAGCTACAGTGCGGCCACGTCTACCACTCGGCATGCCTGAATCTATGGGTCGAGAGAGGACATCATGACTGTCCGTTGTGCAAATACGACATTCTCGGGCTGCAACAGAAGAACCCGATTACTAGTCCGCCAGAGCCCGAAGCCACGAATAACGATGCTGATCCTGCGACGAGAAGTCCGCCCTCCCAGCAGCAGCATCACCATCACCACTACCACCATGGCCCTCATGTCGTTGTGATATCGAACACCCAGCCACAATCTGACGCCAGTAATGTCCACGGTGCGCGCTCACCTCCGGGGCTCCAGCAGGGGCTGATCGAATAGAGGTTATGTTTGGTTTTCGTCTCGAGACCCTGTTATGATTCCCATCACGTGCTTTGCATGTTCTTGGGCCTCCTCACGGAATACTGACTGAGCAGACACTATGAAATCGACGACGAGTCGGTGGAGGACCCTCATTACAACTGGAGTAGTACGGCTCGGTCGGTGCGTGATCACAAACACCATTTTTCGGGATGCTACATTTCTATTTGTGCAAGGCACTATCTTCGAGTCTCTTGTGCGGGGACGAGAACCCAATCGGGCCTCTTCCGCAGTGGATAATGCATGACCCAATAACCGATTCATCTACGAAGGAGCAGAAGCCTGAGTGACTTCATCAACCATCTTCCTGAACTCTCTCTGGCGCTCACACTGCTCGAGGAAGACTTTATACTTGACCTTGAGCAGAGGCTTGACGGATTTATTGGCTGTTGGACGCACAAGTTTCCCAGGCTTGCTCATGCGGTCCATGATACTCCAGAGATCTTCTGTCTTGCCGTTGACGTCGGCACTGGCGGCTTTGGCGCCGAGCATGGCGGCACCATGGCAGACGGCCGCGTGGACGTAGCGGGGGATGAGGACCGGCATGTCGCAGGCGGTGGCGACCAAGGACATCAGGATGTCGTTCTGGCATTGCGAGCCGGACATGAAGATGGAGCTGATCTTGTGCCCGGATTTGTTCATCGTCAATATGATCTGCAGCGTCTGCAGAGCAATGAACTCCATGGTTCCATAGTAGTACAGCGCCAGCCCATCGAGGGATTTGTCGCTGGACAACCCAACCACCGACCCGGACATGGTCGGGTCCGCGATCGGCGACCGGTTGCCGAACAGGTCGCCGTAGAAGAAGAAATGACGCCCCAGATAACTGATCGACGGCGCAGAGCTGCGTTCCTGCATGTCCTGGAGGTGCTGGTTCAGAAAATCGTAGATGTTGCTCGATGACGATTGCGACATGGACAGCGCTTGGTTGTACGCCGGGTGCGTCTCGAGCACGTGTTTGAGCAACTCGCCCGTTGCGGATTGCCCGCCCTCGGCCATCCAGAAGTTCGGGATGATGCTGTCTCTGTAGGGGCCCCAGACACCCGGCACAAAGACCGGGTCCGCTGACAGCACCAAGTGGCAGGTCGACGTACCGGCGACGGCCGCCAGCCGTGTAAAAGCTTGGGATTGATCGTTGGATGCTTGGCTGGTGTCGAGGTGGTCGCTGGAGAGGTTGACTTTGGCCCCGACAGTGCCGATCCAACCTGCATAGGCGTCGATGACACCACTACCCACTGCGATGCCGGCGGGGAGACCCAGGTCGGCGGCGGCCTTCTCGCAGAGATGGCCTGCCAGCTCACCAGCAGAGAGGTACTCGCCGTTCTGTGAAATGAGGTGGGAAGACGTTAGTTAACACTTTTTGGAGACAACACGTAGCAGGTACTTCGCCCTTTAAATGTCGACAGGGAGAACATAGATAAGAAAAATTGCAAAACAGAAAGAAAAAGGCTCACCACCCCGTTGACTCCGCCCATGCGCTTGAAATTATCCTCGGCGAGATCTTCGAGACCGATTTCATTGAGGAAGTCCTCCTGCCAGCCCTTGACGCTACCATCGACACCGACGGGGACATAGCCCTGCTTGCAAACGACGGAACAGAAACTGCGCTTCTCATTGCCCGTGGCGATATGCTCGAGGGCATCGGTGAGATCGTAGAACTTGCAGCGGTCGAAGAGCTCCTTTGGCATGTTATTCTTCAGCCACAGCACCTTGGGGATTTCCATCTCGATGCTCATGGTGCCGCCAACGTAGCGGAGCAGGTTGTGATTGGTGTTGTTAATTTTCTTGGTCTCCTCGACGGGCCGATGGTCAAGCCACAGCACGACGTTGTGGTCGTTGGTGGACGAGTCAAAGTTAGGGCCCGTCACGGACACAGGCTCGTCCGTGTCGTGCGTGAATACCGCCAGAGAGCAGGTTGCGTCGAACCCGATGCCCCGGATCGAGTGAGGGTCGATGTTGTTCTGTGCTATCGCCCGGTGCACTGATGTGCAGATGCAGCGCCAGATGTCGTTGGTGGATTGTTCCTATATTCAGGGGAGATATCGAGGTTAGCAAGCAGGGACTTGAATGGCTCCAATCATTCACACCGTTGATTCCTCATATACCATGATAGTGACAATAGCATATCACTTTTCCAAGCTGCAATGAGGGTTGGTGGTTGGACCACAAAAACTCACATAATAGCCCGTCTGGGGCTGCCAGAGACCGATGTTCTCTGAGGAGAGGCCAACGATGTCGCCAACCTCGTTAATAATGCAGGCACGGGCGCTACCAGTGCCAACGTCGATTCCGATATAGTGATTTTGCTGCACATGGACTTCATTGCGTACGTCGACCGAGTTTTGTCGTATGGGCGTCCGCACCCCGCTGAAGGGGATCTGTGCCATGTTCACTGATTAACCAGGCAACGACAATGCCAGAATGGTAGGCGGAACTGCGAGGATCAGAAATCGGCCGAAGGGTACTAGACTAAAAAGTCTAGAAGCACTAAAAACAACGGCGAAATGTGTTAATCGAGGGGAGAGAATGCAGAACTTGGGATCATCAATTGCAGAGTACATTTCAATATGTCATTTCCCTGCTCTGTTGTGAGCGACCCTCCCACGGCAACTGGCGATGTCATAGGCGAGGATCCTCAAAAGTGTTGAAGACAGGGTCCACAAACTAAGGTCTAGGGCTGTGTAAGTCCATCGGGCTGGGAGGGGCAAAGAGCATTCTGGAGAACGCGTTATGGAACGTTCGATGGAATGGAGCAAATGGGGGCAAAATAAAAATGTGGGCGGCCAAGGATGAGACGTGGATAATGGACCATGGATGGTGGATGATGGAAGATGGGAAGCAGCGACCATGGAGGAGCCGAGGGGCAGTTGCTAGATTGGACTGTGGGAGGGGCGAGGGAGGGGTAATTAACATGAGCCAGGCACTAGGCACTAGGCATCCACAGGGTGAGACTGCCTAAAGCTAGTTAGTAGTACCCATGTGCGATGCCCTCCTCGCTACGCTACGGGAAGCTGTGCAATACGGGTAGTATTGCCGCCTAGACGCTAAGCATGCAATCATAGAGCGTTTTCATCACCCAGGAGAACAACTCGCTTCACGCCAGTCTACAGTAGGAGTGGCAGAGAAGGATTGCTTTCTTTCACTGTAGCTCAGCTTGACTTCGGTCCTCCTGGTATGTAGTCGCAGCACCACAGGTCATTCGGGTGGACATACCGCTCCTCCTGTCTGCTGTCTTCGTGCCCTCCTTCAGCCTCGCAGGCTTTGGCCAATAATATATACATACACAATGTCGCACCCAGGACTGCCTGGTGCTTGTATTCCCGCCGAAGAAACATAAAAAGAGCGGGGGCGCCAGTGGTGGCCCTTTCACAAAACAGACGATATAGCCTCCCTTCCAAATACCAACGCCACGCATGCAACTCGTTATCAGCCCGTGCCTAGGCCTGTCCAGTTCTGTCCTGGACTTTTGATCCCATGGAATCCATCCTGCCGGTATCGCCTCGTCATCACTGCGTTGGTAGACCCTCGCGAAAGGTATCAAATCTATGTCTCTCCCACAGACGATGCGAAAACAAACTCTGGTCTGACTGCTTATCATACAACCCACTCGTCTCATTTGCCACTGACTTGGGTCACAGGTACTTGCATATTCGAAGCTGCTGGGCCCACGCCTGTGCGGCTGTTTGCTGAGATGGATGGCCCCTCTTTGTTGGCATCTGCTATAGATGACGCCAAGGATGATGCCCCAGGAGGGCTATACTCCGGCTCATCGCTCTCGTCTTTCATCGACATGTCGTCCACGGCACTGCCTGACAATCCGCCTTGCGCTGCTGCCTGTTGGACAAGTTCTTCACTTGGCCTCAGATTTGGGGGCGATGATTCTGGGCCACCTGGTGACAATCGATATTGCTCGCCATCCTTGGCCATCTCCGTATCTACACCATTGAGTACCCCATGACTCTGAGTTCTCTCGCTGGTTGGAGTCGAGGCCAGATTGCGCCGGCTCATGTAGTCGCCCAGGCTCAGCTTCTTGCGAGCAGGACTCGGTGTCATGATTGAATTGATAGCTGGAGCCAGAGTGTTAACTGTGGGAGGCAATAACAGAGGGGGCGGTGCTGTGGTGGTGGCCACAAAGCCTGGTGCGGGAGTATTTAGCATAACACTGGGACTTGTTCCATTCGAGCTGAATGCCGGCACCGGTGGCAGGGTGGACGCCTGAGGTCCGGGCGACGTCTTATACGGTATATGAGTATGTGCGGCTTGTGAAGGAAGAGGATACGTCGATGTCCCCACATTGACGGGACTCTGTGGACTTTTGATTACTGCATTCAGAGCTGGTGCGATTACCGGTGCTGTAGATGGAGAAGTCTCACTTGGTGCGTCTCCCATTTCCACATCAACTGCATCCGGGTGAGAGTGGCCCAATATTTTTGACGATGGTGAGGTCTGCTCTTGGAGATGCTGGCCATGCTTCACACGATCTTCCAGGAGCCTTCTCAACAAGCGCTGAGTAGGCGTGCAGAATTTCCTCCTCTTCAAGGGCGGCATCGGCAGCTCGGATTCTTCTGGTTCCGTTTGAATGGCGATACTGACATACACAGGCTTGGGGATTGAGATTGTGGTCTTCGTCTCCGCTCGACTCGGTATATCCCCAGATACCGGGTAGCCTTTGTGTGGTGGCGGAGAAGCGGACGCAGTGCCATTCAGCCTTGATGCACTGGGAGTGGGAGGATGTGAACCGGTCGGATGTCCTATATGCTTTGACGAGTTGACGTTAGGAGTATTCAAGGTCGATCCGCCGCTGGTGCGCTTTTTCTTTCGTTGCTGAGGCTGTCCATTGTGATCCTTCTTCTCTTGCTCTTTCTGAGCAAATGCCTTCTCCGCCATTTGGATCTTGCGCATTTCACGAGCGGTCAGGCCACTACCGAGGATGGGATCGGCATCGAGCGAGGCAACGTTCACAGGAGTGATATCTCGGCTATGGCCACCACTGCGAGAGGAACCGGATATTGAACGGCGGTCGAAATGATCGTCATCGTCTTGGACTTTGGGTTCGCTTCCTGCACGACTGTTGGTGGCATGTCCTGTACTGAAGGGCGAGATGGTAGTTTTATTCTTACTCTTCTTTTTCTTGCCTGGCTTCTCTTTGGCAGGTGCATCCAACGCTCTCGCCGGAAACCTGTGATCAAGGTGAGCCAATCGGCATGGATCGCTGCCTTCGCAGGCACAATCGCCAAAGTTGGCTAGGACCCGGCTGACCCAATCCAATCGCCGGCTTTGCGCTTGTTCAGAGTCATTGTGTGGGCCATCGAGATTCATCTCTTCCCCCAAGAACCAAATGGTGGTCAATTCGGATCCTGCGGGAATGTCTTTGCTGGCAACAAAACAGTGGTGGGGTTCGTCATCATCTGAGATAAAAGTCTTGAGGGTCACGTTGGGTCTGCATGAACGACGGAGATATCGAAATTCAGTTCCGGATTGTCTGCTGTCGATGTAGACATGCATGTGGGGATGGAAGAAAACAAAAGGATCGGGGTGTCGAAGTTCATTCCACCTGTTCGAAGTCGATCTCTGTGAGCAGTACTCTTCCAACATACCAATCTGACCCCGAACTTCTCCAACAATTTCATCTTTCTTAACAGGAGTCTGTATGCGAAGGTATCGCCATCTCGGGTGCCGTCCATCAACCTCGACGTCGGACTTTTGCACGGTCTCAATGGAGACCTTGGGGAAAGTCCCTGGATCGAGAGGTCGATTGAGGCGCACAAAAGGTGAACTTTGGGTTGGTTGTTGGCCGGGTCCATTTACAATGAGAGAGGGGTCAGATCGCCAGGCAGAAAGCTGATTAGCGGCCTTGATTGTCTGCTCGTTGTCTCGAGCGTCGGTATTACCCTCATCTCGATCGTAAAGTTCAAGGAACTCGGTGGTGTAGGTAGGAATGGCAGGGAAACGAAACAAGTCCTGGGGGGATTTGGAAGGACTCGGGTATGACTGGACCGTGGATGCGGCCCTTTTTCTCGAGTCCCCGTTCATGGAAACGATGGAGCCAGAGGTGCGGTGATTTGTCTTGGGCTTCTTCGCTGGAGGTAGATCTCTCGCACTGGTCACAGATTCGTGGCGATCGTGGGAATGCCAGCCATTAACCTGTTCTGCAGTTGCACTGCTCTCCTTGTGTTTCTTTTTCTGGTTTTTGGAATTAGGGCGCTTGGCCTTCCGGTCACTGCCGTCGTCAAGACCTTCTCGATGGCGTCTCTGCCGTTCTGTTGCTTTCTTGGCGTCGAGATCGCGAGGGAGGCAGTCTGCGCAGAAATGCTCATCTGGGACCTTTCGGTCGTTATAGAAGCACAAGATGTGCTGCCAGGTGTCGCACTTGGGACAGTAGACTGTGCTACCATCATCATCGGTATAGCTACAGATGCATTTGATGGTATATTCCTCCTCATCTCGTGCGTTTGTGTCTGACAGAGAGCCATCAGGCAGGGGAGAGGCCAGAGAAGGGGCGGCGGTGACCGGATAGTGGTTCGGTATCGAATGCGTGGTAAGGAGGGAGGACTCTGTCATAGTCTGACAGAGCACCTCCTCATTGATCGAAAGATGAGGGTAGATAGGTCGGATGCAGTCATGAAAATGCGTGTCGCATTCCGCACATCGCTAAAGAACAAACAGTCCCTAGAGGAGCAGTGCGGCGTAGGGTGATGATTGGAATATCGCGCACGTTAGAGAATCGTGTCAAGTAGCCTACACGGCCCTTTGTAACGGTTTTGACGCCTTTGCGGCTCGAAGAGGCTTGTTGAGGGAGGTGGAACTTTGGGTCGACCAGGTGGTTAAGTAGGCGCAGAGGTGGGAAAGGGGTCGCAAAGGTCAGATAAGGTCAGAACCAGGTCACAGAGCCACTTGAACAAAGGTTTTGGATGATTTTGATTCCCTTTTGAGCTGGATGAAGTGGCATTTGCCGAGTTGAAGATGTTGATTCAGACCGGTTGAAGGGCTGAAGCGAGGACTGCGAGGATGATTCGAGGCCCTTGGGGTCTACCGAGCCAGGAGAACAGAGAAGTGATACGACGAGATTAAGTGACGAAATAAGAAGGTAGGTGGTTGAAGGCGATGGGCAAAGTCGTCGATTGAGAAAAAGAAGGGAGAGAGGGATGGGATGGGATGGGATGGCAAGGAAGAATGGGAAGAGGGACAAGAGAAGGGAGGAGCGCGAGAGGCAAGAAACTAGTGAGTGAGTTTGGGTGACAAGCCTAATAGGAAGACGAGCGACGCCTGCACCTGCACCTGCACCTGCGCCTGCACCAAGCGCAGAAAGTCCCATCCCAGAAAATCGAGTACGGAATACGGAGGACTCGTAAGGCCAATGGCCACCAGACGCCAAAGACACGTCTGAGCGACACAGACAGTTGCAAGTGCAAGTGCAAGTGCAGGGCCAGGGCGGGTGTGTGGATGGGCAGGATCAGCATGAACGTGAGCAAGGAGTAAAGAGCAAAGCGCAAAGAGCATGGGGCACGGGCATGGCCAACAAAGTCATCCATAGGCATGGGGTCGAAGACTGGAAGGGTGGGCGTGAAAAATGGGCGTGCGCTCTGGCAGCGCTGTTCAAAGGTACGAATTGTCCGGGCCTTCCACCAAGGAAGCCTAGCCTGAAGCAGTGTGAGCGCGAGTGTGGGCGTGGTGAATGAGAGTGTGAGGTGTGAGCTGCCGGGGGGGGCTAAACTTGGAACAGCAAGGGCTGGTTTTCAAAGAGGAGCGAAGGGGAGCCACTTCTGGGACAGGCAGCCAGTGGATAGGCGGCAGAGCGGCACTAGAACACCCGGACGCCATCCCACTGGCTTCAGTCCCTCGTCGGTCTCTGGTAGACCTGGTACTCGCACTCGTAGTTCCTCAGGCAGAGAGATGAGCATCTGGGTTTGCTGGCTGGCTCAACTGTTCTCGGTTTTCCTGGTCCCCGTTCATACTCCCGACCGCCCCCCTCTCGCCTGCCATAGGTCTGTGAGCGAAGAAGGTTCGAATTTTCTGGCAGGCCTGGCCGCGATGCGTGGGTCTTCAACTCAACCCAGCCCAGCTCTCCAACCGACCAACTGGGCCGGGCATTTTTTAGGGCATTACTCGTAGTCGCTAACTCTCAAACGGGCTCCTTTTGCTTTGCTTCCCTGTGCCCAATCACTCGTGCCCACAGCACAACTCCACTCCAGCTGCGCCCTCTGCACCAACCGCACCCAACTGTCTGTCTCACTTCCCATTTCTTTGCCCTCCTCTCCTCATCTTTTCTCACTCGTCTTCTCACTCTTTCCATCCCAAACCACCCAGGAAAATGGGGAAAGGAAGAGCCGTCCAGGTTCATCCATCACACCTCATGCACTCACCTCATGCACTGCACCTACACGAATTGCAGCATGACTTTTCAATATTGGCTGGCTCTCCTCCCAGGCTGGCGCACTCTGAAGGCGGACGGACAAGAAATTAAGGTGTCTTGCTGTGTGGGCGGGGTTCGAGTCCGACTATTCTATTCCAAGGCCCAAGATAATGCCACATTTACCACTCGCCTTCTTCGCACTCTTGTCACGGTCTGCTCTCTGCGCTCTGCGCTCTGCTCTCTTACCTGTACCTGCCCCATTCCCTCCTATTTGGCTTGTTTCGCGGCTCCAACCATTTTCTTTCGTCACCTGCATTTTACTATCCCTCGTACATCCATCTTATTCGACAACACAATCATTTCCCACAGGGATGTCGCCTGCATTAATTGACAAGCAGCCCTTCCGTCTTGGGCCGGCACCCACTCGACTTCCTCGACGCTATCTCTCCCCTCAACGCTGAAGCTTTTATCCCTTCGTCGCCGTCCTCTCTGTTTGAGCTCGCGTCTTTCATCACCTGTTGGACTACTCTTCCTTCAGAATACCATCCTGTTCCTGTCGAAGGAGCGTGCTCCAGTCGCGATCGTGGACAGTGCATTTGACCTCATACTGGACAGTAACGTTCCGAATTACTTTTGCACTAAGTCATCTCGTTTCTTCCAATTCGTCTCCCGAAAAATCCTCCCCATGCCCACCCACACTCGTGGCATGATGCAGAAATGTTTATCACTAATCCAAGAAGAGATATGTAAGAGAATGTATGCCACCAACATCTTGCCACAATACAAAGTTTCTATTGAGGTCGATGCGTCGAAAGGATCAAAGTCGCCGGCTGACTCCCATAAACCAAGATAATGAAGCGTTACCCGCCATCTGAAATCCATCTATTCCATTGGAGCAAGAGTAGTGAATGTTGCTGTCTTTGAGTAATTTTCATTCTGGGTCCTGGGTCACCCTGTACCTTCATTAATGCCGTCAACAGTATGTCGCCTGCTTCGTCGTTTCCCTCTCGATCTTAGACTTCATAAGGAAAGAAACCATCGCTGGTGCATGGACGCGGGCTATCCCTGTACCCTGAAATAATGGAATCCAAAATTTACAACCAACGTGACACATCTAGAGTTGATGATCTTTCACCCAAGCTGCGACAAATGTGCCTGGCAAATTCTCGACGCGCTAATCAAACAGCTGTCCATCTCGGCTGGAACACCCGTTGCCTCACCGCTTTTTCTTGCCTCTTGCATGTCTCAGATTTATCACGTTACTACAATTAGGTAATCCAACTCACGTGAATTCAGCCTCATTATCGTTGGCGCCAAGGCTAGTGGTCGGCCTGAGCAGGCAAACGGTCTTTTGCTGGTCGACGTAAACATCCACGCTTGTCTCCCTCACTGCCTCCCTAGGTATTATTCACCATGCTAATTACTGAGGAACATCACAGTCACGATAGACGTAGCGGCCAGCACCTCAGGTAGGTGCTATTGAACACAAGGCTGCTCGGTACTTAACAGCCGTCGCCTTGACCCGTCATCACACAAAAATCCACGTAAGACATAGTCTTTGTCGCAATCACTCTCCCTTCACAGCTTTCACTCTCCCTTTTGGATCCCCCCCCCACCCCTCCCCCAACCCCAACCACACGCACTCACCTCACTCACCTCACTTCTCCAAATAAACCACATCCGCTTCATCCTGCTTGAGATCAGCCTCAACATCCACCTGGCCACTTCTGATCTTCTCTTCTTCGGCACGCCTGGTGAACTCGCGATCCAGCTGCTCCCACTGCTCGGGCCGATTCAGCTGTGTTGCGACCTTATCCCTGTGTACGAAGATATTGCGATGCTCTGCGAAGTACCGATCGATGTCCTCGAGTGTGCGGTTGGCCGTCTCCGGATAGAAGAAGTATGTGGTTGGGATGAACGATGCGCAGATCACCGCCCAGATAATCCAGAATCGATAACCCAGGTTGGCGATCCCTGGAGGTGTTACCTGTGCCACCATGTAGTTCATGATCCAGTTGGTTGCCATTGCTACTGATGCGCCTTTGGCCCGGAACGAAAGGTGGTTGATTTCAGTCGGGTACAGCCACTATGAGAGAGGTAAGCATTATTGTTTCGCGTCCGATCAGGGATGCGGTGGGAAGGAGACAGTGCTGGCTTACCGGGACGCCCAGGACGCCGAGTGCGAAGGAGGCGAAGAACACCTAAATGGCACGTCGATTAGTACATCTACTCAAGGCACCAGGACACAGCTCCTTTTTTGCCGATCTGAGCCCTCTCATATGCCAGGGAACCCCAGCGTGGCCGGACTTACAAAGAAGAACGAAACTGCCAAAGCTCCAAGCGTGAACTTGTCGCCCTTATTATGCTCGGATAGCCCCGTTGCAATGCTGATGATGACCCAGCACGTTGAGCAAGCAAATGCAGATGTCATCATGACGCTTCGCCGGCCATAACGCTCGATCACGAAATATGCCAGAAAGCTGAAGATCAAATAGTCGACCGAACCAGCCGCTGCAAGTATTCGAGCTCTATATGGACGGCGCTATCAGTCCCCAAGATCTTTCTTTGGCTCATATGGCTCCTGTTCGATCACTCACCTCAGTGTGTCGTATCCCAATGAGTTAATGAACACGTAAGTCATATAATACGAAGTAACCTACGGTAAGACGCAATCTTAGCTCGGCTGTTTCAGAACAAAAAAGAGGACTACCTTGCATTACATTTATGCCTGTCATCCCGTTAGTCAGCTAAGCTTGATCCTGGCACTAGCAAACTCCATGTGGTAGCACATACCTGATATCTGATTCATTGCTTGCATCCACGCTCCCAGGATCACACGGCGAAGAACACCGCTTGGGCCACGTCCCGTGAAAAGCTGGACCCAAGTATATGTGTCTGCGTGCTCGCGGTCCAAGACGTCTTTAATGTTGTTGAATTGAGCGCGAACGGACGCTGACTCTGGGGTCGCTCCATTGCCCTCAAGAGCAGCGAGGACGTCCAGCGCGTCATCGTATTTGCCCTTGCGGATCAGCAGGCGAGGAGAGTCGGGTAAGAATGGGCACATGCACCAGATCAAGGCTGTGAAAACTGTGTGCCGTCAAGACGCTCCTGGGTCAGCTCAAACCACCACAGATCGACGACTCGCATGGCGAGAAGGGAGTGGAACACGGGGCGCTTACAGCCTTGGAAAGCCAAGGGAAACCTCCATGAGACACTACCGGGAGCGAAGGAGAAACCCAGCGTCAAGAAATTCGATAGACAGAACCCCGTGATACAATTCGCCATCTGGATGATGATCAACTTGCCACGACTCCTCATCTTGCTCGTCTCCGACTGCCAGACACCCGCGGTCGCGGTGTTCATTCCCGTGCCCAGGCCTGCAATCACTCTTCCGGCATACATCTGGTTCTTCGACCAGCAGGCCGTCTGCACGACAGCGCCTAGGGCGATGACGCTGCTTCCGAGTAACAGTGTGCGAGGCCGTCCGAGTCGATCGCCCGTGTATAGCGTCGACAAGGCGCCGCCGAAACACCCCAGGTTGTATACCGACGTGAGCGTTCCCTGGTCCTTGGCTGATGGGTTGCCCATCTGGTCGAGAAAGTTTTGAGATACGAGCACATTGCCGAAGACGCCCTGTGGAAAAGCAAGGGGGCCTCGTTAGCAATGCAGATGATAACAAGCTTCGATGTCAGGGATGCAAACCTGGTCGTAGCCATAGAATATAAGCACAGTCGACGCGGCCAGTGAGATCCAGACCGTCAAGCCGTTGCCTGATCCTCCTAGGTATTTTTTCCCCATTGTTCAAAGCCCGTACACATAGGACAGTACGTTGAAACTACACAAAGTAATACGATTCTATGTCGGTATGTATCTGTCAAAAAGAAGAGAACAAAGCTACCGCCAGCGGGCTGTCACACTTTCCACGGGCGAGGAAGAGCTCATGCACAAGCTAGGAAGGAGTAGATTTATCGGACGTCATTCGGTGCTCACCTCACGACGTTATATACTTCCCAGGGGATCGGCCAGGATACTAACCATCTACGCAGGTAGGTAGTGAGCGGACAATGATGTCGCCGGCTGATTATCTGAACATCCCCTGCAGAGCACACTCAATCGGAACAGTAATCGGCGATTGAAATTTGGAAGACAACAGGGAAGATGATCGACGATAGCCTATGACCTCCGCGAGGAGAAAGCGTAAACGTACAGATGCTTTTCTAGGTTCTCTTTTCTCCAATTCTCCGGATTGCCGCTTTGGGCAGTATAGAAGGCAAAGTATTGAACCAGGGAATTCGTTATTGGGTCGCTTGATATATGGGGGGTGTTCAATGCCTCACCCGCATGGAGTATTCGGGATCTGGGCACTCTGACCGCTGCGGGTAGCTACTTACTGATACTGGAGGTTTCCTCAGTGGGTCTTTTGTCTCAATGTCCTTTCGTCCAGACGGACCTCGTCTGCCTTGGCTTTGCCCTTCATGGACATAAGCCTTGCGAGGTTATCAAGCCATATGATAGTCAGGGACGGCAGATATGGTTTCCTGGTGATTCAGTTATTCGACCACCGGCATACAGTCGCCTTTGGGGCTTGGGAGAACGACTGGATGGCGAGCATCTTTCCTGCGCGATGGATAGCGATTACTGCTGGGACAGGAGGACAAGGTAACTCGTCAGCGGTACGAACGGGTGAAGTGCGCGAGCAAAATCACCGTACGGCCTTCATACACCTACTCTCGAGAACGGAAATTGGACTCCTTGGCCTGGACGAAGATTGTAAGTACCGCGAACATCTGACTCGTAGGAACCGATATCTATGCAGCTCGACTCGACAATTGGGATCCAGACTGCGCGAAGCTAGTGAACCGCGTGAGGGGGAACACTTCGGGAGTAGGGATCTGCAGTGGCAATCTCTGAAAAGGGACATTTCGAGAATAGACAATTGGAGGGTTTGAGGTTCGAGAAAGCAGCCACAGAGAAAGACGTTGAAGTCGGAAGTTCGAGTCCGTCCCTGAATTGCCGTCGAATTTTAGCCTGAAACACGAGCACATCGATCACGTGTGCAGAAGCCCCGCTGCGGGATTCCCTTTCTGGCGCCAAGGGATACACCGGCGACCTCTGTTTTACTAACCGACTTTTCTTATTTTGCCACCACTTACGAATACGCGTAGCACTACGCCAAGTAGTACCTTTTCTATATCTACATTAGCTTTTGTTAGTGCAACGCTAGGGGCTAAGTTCTCCAGTAACAACAAGCGAACTTTACTAAGTAATTTTAAGCTTACTAGAGAGAGCTTAGAAGGCTTTACTAGAGAGCGGGTAAATAAATCAGATTAATTAATAATAAGTTAAAGTTTAGTGTCCCCCCATCTTTTCTTGGCGCAAACCACCAAAAGTTGAAATTAATGCTTCCAGGCAGCCTTGAGGACTTAAACAGCTCCCACCACCTAATTACTATATAGATTTACATGATACTCATTAAAGCAACCTTTCTTGACACAGAAAAGTACGCCACAGGGTTTACAACCGAATTTAACGCGTTTTGAGCGCGGAGTACGTGCTCTAGGATTACGTGTGTCCGCGGCCGTAAAATTACTTGAAATGTTAGGAATGGTTGGCCGGATGAGTATGTAGTTAATACGGCCGAGATATCCTCGCCCTTTCGTGCGCGATTCTAGTCTTTTTGAGCGATCCTCAAGGGCCTACGGACCTATTGCCTGAGAGTTGGACTTACATCACCAGATAATATCGCCCGAAGCATCTGCAATTTACTTTACTTACAATATAGGGAATCTTCAAGATGCTCATAAACCACCTCTTCCCATGGATCATCTGAAGCAGCATCTGTTACAGGTCCTAGACATGCTCGATCAAACACTTTCTCGCGAACGGCGATACCACCCGAAACCACACGAATCAGCTTAACTTGATCCTGGTCATTCACTTTCATCCTCTTCTCAAGCGTTACGAAGTACGCGCACATTCCCTCGTGAGAAAGCGCGACAAGGTTGTCAGGGAGATCTCTCTGGGGTCTTGAGCCTGAAAATATCTGCACCGCGTTCTGCAGCCGTCGAGCACCGGGTGCGTTCCACTCGTTGCCGTACACAAGTCTGAAATGCTCAGTCCAGTGCAGGCCCCTTGCCTCCAGACGCTTTTGTACCTGGCTCGCATAGAAGCTTTGAATGCCAGCTCTTGAGGGGAATATGCCGGAAGACACTGTCATCCTTGAGAGAACCAGGCCTAGCGAAATAATGGTCTCAACCATGACGGCTAGACAATAACCATGGGGCGGTGGACAGCCCTCTTTCTCTTTGTCGATCTCATCTTTGGACATGCATATTCCACATTGACACGTCTTTCTGAGCTTGCTTAGGTACTCGACATAGGCCCGCGAAGCCTCTTCATGGTTCAATTTCAATGCACGTTCCATTCGTCCTTGAAACCGCCTCAATTCGGGAAGCCAGTTTGTGAGGGTCTCGACTAGACCAGAACCGTACGAAGCAGTGTTACTACGGTTCTGGGTTGAAACCAATTCAGTGTGCTTTTCATGCCCTTCACCCAAGGCTAGGCCTTGGAACATCTTCGCAGCACCGCCAATCATTCCTCCAAACGCTTTCGACTCGTCATGGTCGAGGTAGTGAAAGCTTTTCCCGAAAACTCTAGGTAGGAGTGACTGCCAGGCAACCCTGCCACTGAAGGGAGTGGAATGGACATTGGAAGGATAACTCTGTTGTGTAATATCCAATTCTAGGATGTTGACATCATTTTCTTTCCATGTCTCAAAGGTGAATCTGATACCCGGAGCTTCAACGAATATTAAAACGACCTGTGGCTGGGAGCCTTTGTGTGTTGCATGGAGCAATTCCCCCGAGCTTTGGTGGACTGACACACGAAGATCGCATAGCCATTCAGCCACCGCAGCAAACCAAGATATGATAGAGCTACCAATAAATGTGATTTGCTTTTCATGCTTCGCACTAACACGCATCAATGCTCGCAGCGCTTCTGAGATTGATGTCGGTGGGAAGATGGATTCGAAATCTTTGATCATCGTGCTTCGATATGGATCAAGCCGGACGTACTCTTCCACTAAAAGCCCGAAGTCTGTCGTTGCTAAGACGCCGTTGCAAGCCTTAAGGGCAGCTGTCCATTGTGAGAAATGAGGAGTCATATCTTCCGGGCCAGCTACTGCGGAAGTCAAGGCCTGGAGAATCTTTGCTCCGTATACTTCATGAAAGCTCTCTCCCAGTGCTGTCAAGATGGCAAGATGGTCATATGACCCCTCGTGAATTGCCTTGTCACGTATGATATTGGTCACACCCCATCCAAATCCTAATCTTTGACCAGGTGCTATGGACATGTAGATGGGCAAGTTTGCGAATGCATTGTTCATATTTCGCTGCCCTTTGACTGACAGGTTGAGGTCATGGAAAAGAATAAATGAGACATATCGAGTGTAGGGATCGATCCGAGCTCCACTGAACCGGAGTAGTGTTGTCCTGTCTATGGGAACTCTCTCTGGTTGCGATCTATCTAAGAACGGCATCTCGTGATGTCTTCGTTTTCTCAGTCGATATCACTATTCGATCGTTTGGAGCCCTACACTGAGACGACTGCGTACACAAGCAATAGTGAGTCTGGCCATGAAGCTCGTGGTAGCTATCTGTACTTGGGGTAGATTTTGCTCCGAGAGTTATTAGGATACCAACTAGTTAGGGTGCAACCTCCTGAGTCAGCAGCTTTGAGCCAGCCATGAAAGGCTGGGATTGGGCACTCACTCGCTACAAAGCCCATGTATTGGAGGGTGTGATATCAATCAGCTGAATCTGAGCGGGGTTGTTGGACACTCGACGTGTCCAGGCTTGATGTCTACCACATAGACCACTGGAAGGGATGTACGAATACTAGAGATGCGAAAGAAGCTTTGCCGTGAGCCTCTGCACTCAGTTCAAAACCTGTAGATCTCGCTTCTTTAAAAGTTAGCTTCTCTTTCGATCATCCAAGAGATCACTCTGCTGCTCGAAAAAGGCAGATGAGTCAACTACTCAACGCTCATCATTTCCCAAGAAGAATCTAGAACATTGAACCCGTAGGCATCCACAGTCACGTAAGGGCCACTCTTCGAAGGGAGATGTCACCATGGCGTGCATCAGCTGTGAAGCACCTCCTGTGTTCTTCAGAAGTCCTTAAGAGGCGGAGATCTCTCCGAGGAGCAATGTGACTTGAGAGCGATCGTTTCGAGATATGCAAAGTGCCTCTTGAACAAGACCTATGTACTCCCTGGCAGGGGTTTGGATGGGGTCTGAACTCCGAGTTTAGCTACTGTAGATAGGCTCGGAGATGCTTCGGTTAACTAAGCCCAGATGCACCCAAGATGTTGCGGTTTCCACCTGATTAAGTCTCACATTCGCTGGAAACAGAAGACACTCCTAACCAACTATTAGTTAGTTATACTGCCCCTGTAGGCGAGCTTAGGAACGTTTTTGTGGCCCTGTGCTTCGTCCGCTGACTACGCACTGGCCGTTAATCCTCCCGGGATCTCCGTAGATGTGCCAATGACGAACCACACCTTGGCTCCTTCCTAGCCAAAGCGAGCTTCACTCGGTCCTTTATTCTTGAGGGGATAAACACTTTAGAAATTCCTTACCTTTTCAAAACTTACAAATTTTCGCCGCAGATCATCAATTGAGCCAAGCAACTTCAGATCTGGGCTCATCATGGCAGCTTCAGCGCTTCTGAAAAGTCGATGCCGGCGTGCAAGCTACCTCAACAAAATTGCCAAGGCTGAGGATCTGATTGAGCATTTCCCTCACGGAGCATACATCGGCTGGTCAGGGTTTACCGGTGTCGGCTATCCCAAGTATGAAAGGCCATGAAATGGTAGATATCTTAGCATCTTGGAATGACTCTGACGATATCGACAGGAAGGTGCCAACGGCTCTTGCGGATCATGTGGAGAAGAACAATCTGCAAGGCAAGCTTAAGTACAATCTCTTTGTTGGAGCGTCTTCTGGAGCAGAAACCGAGAATCGATGGGCTCGGTTGAACATGATTGAGCGACGAGCTCCTCATCAAGTTGGCAAGGAGATTGCTAAAGGCATCAATAATGGAAACATCAAGTTCTTCGACAAGCACCTGAGCATGTTTCCGGTAGACCTTATGTATGGGTTTTATACGAAGCATAAGTCCAATAACCGATTAGATGTTGCCATCGTCGAAGCAAGCGCGATCACTGAAGACGGCGGCATCATTCCTGGAGCATCTGTCGGCGCCAGTCCCGAGATTATCCAGATGGCGGACAAGATTATCATTGAGGTTAACACGGCCGCTCCGAGCTTTGAGGGTCTGCACGATATTACAATGACCGACTTGCCTCCACGGAGAAAACCATACCTCATTATGGCACCCGAAGATCGTATTGGAACGCCCCATATACCAGTCGACCCAGAGCGAGTAATTGCCATTGTGGAGTCGGATTACCCAGATCAAACCACTGAAAATGCGCCCGAAGATGAATCGTCTAGAGCAATTGCATCCAACCTCATTGAATTCCTGGAACATGAGGTCAAACATGGACGACTTCCCGTCAATCTCCTGCCCATTCAGTCCGGAATTGGAAACATTGCGAACGCAGTCATTGGTGGCTTGGCCCACGGAGGAGCAAATTTCAAGAATCTCAAAGTCTGGACCGAGGTGTTGCAAGACTCGTTCCTCGACCTCTTTGACAGTGGTAACCTCGACTTTGCCACGGCAACCTCAATTCGATTCTCTCCTGGTGGCTTCCAACGGTTCTACAACGGATGGGAAAATTATCACTCCAAATTGCTGCTCCGCTCCCAACAGGTTTCCAACTCCCCTGAGATCATCCGTCGCTTAGGTGTCATCGGTATGAATACGCCCGTCGAGATCGATATCTACGCTCATGCGAATTCAACATGCGTGCTGGGTTCTCGCATGCTGAATGGCCTCGGAGGCTCTGCGGATTTCCTTCGATCATCGAAATACTCGATCATGCATACACCGAGTACTCGACCCTCAAAAGTGGATCCCACGGGCGTTTCCTGCATCGTGCCAATGTGCACTCACGTCGACCAGACCGAGCACGATCTGGATGTCGTCGTTACCGAGATTGTAAGTCCTTCCCTTTCGAAAACCAATAAAAAACCACAAGTGGCGCTCTCTCAACCCTTCAAACCAACTCACAATCGTTTATCCATTCTAACCAAAACATCATACCATGAGTATATTGGCCATTGAGGTTAACAATGTGCGCAGGGATTAGCGGATGTCCGAGGAATGTCGCCCCGCGAAAGGGCTCGAGAGATCATCAAACAATGTGCACACCCGGACTACAGGCCGATTCTCCAGGACTATTTCGACAAGGCTGAGTATGAGTGCTTGAGGAAAGGCATGGGCCACGAGCCTCATTTATTGTTCCAAGCATTTGACATGCACAAGAATCTAGTGGAGAATGGAACGATGAAAATCAATGGTTGGAAATAGATTATATTCGTGCAGGGTTATGGATGCAATATTTTAACTGTAACGGAACCTCGCTACTGTTAGCCTCTACTTAGTGGACCGCAGGCGAGCAGAAGCTGATCTGCACCATGAAGCCTCCACCAACTAGTTGTACTTCTTTCTATTCATCACCCCCTCGGCCAGCGTTGGCCATGATGCAGACAACATTTCCGCCCGTGCAAGATTCTACGCTACACCTTGCTTTCTTCTCTAAAACCATACCATACAGAAGTCCTGTGAAACGTAGGGTAGAATGTACTTCCTAGTAGCCTCATTGAACAGGATCAGTACCTGGTAACCATTGGGAATCGGTTAAAACCTACGATGCGATACCCTGACATTCCCTCCCCCTTTGAAAGGCCGAGAAAATGCCCATTCTGCCATGGTATTAGTACTTACCTCATACCGTCAATTCGATGATGAGCGACTTGACTGACAGGCAGGTAATGCCTATGGTATTGTGGCTGGCTCAACCTTGTTCCTCCGGCCAAAGGCTTTCCCCCTACCCGATAGATGGTCTCGGAAGTGGCCCATCGCTTCAGAGTCGGATTTGCTGGTCTTGCCGGCATCTCCAGAAATCTTGATGTGTCCCGAGGGCCCTATCTTCGCTTGCAAGGCCTGTCACCTATCACTGAGAAGCCACTCTGGGTGCCACTGAAGCTATGAAGGTGCTTAGTCAATCGCGCCCCAATCTTGCAAATCACCATTAACGGCATTTGGTCCATCTGATCTGTACAAATCGGTGCTGCCGAAGGCACTATCTTCCCCTGTCCACAATCTGGCACTGAGTTTTGGTGCACCATGGTTTCATATGCTTAAGTAATAAGGACACAGGAACATTGCCGCCTGGTGCCGCTGACCCCTCATCAAGATCTAGTTTAATGTGCTGATCAAACAAATGTACCTTTACTTTTGTGGACAACCCCGATCAGCGTACCAGAATGTGATCAGAAATCTTCAGCATAAATGCCGTCAAACTCTGGCAAGTGCTTTCTCTTCATTGACTCTGATCCAACAGTAGTTGATGGGCGGGGACTGTCCAAAGCCAAATCTCACGCGGCATTGGCAACTCACCGTTTGAAAGCAAATCTACTCCGCGCTGAAAAACAACGACAGAAGTGTTCTACACCCTCCACGCCTGGTCTTCCTCATTCGCCTGCCAGTATTGCTTTAAATGCGGACAAAAGTCTCTCCAGGCTTGACCAACCTCCATCTGAAACGCAAGCCCCTGTTCAAGGAATCTCGACCTTCTCCAGATGGAGGCTCCAAGGGGCGCGAAAGAAGTCGGCGCTAGCACGAAGAAAGGATCCTTCTGAAGCAAGTGATCTGACTGATATACTCTCACATACAGAAGGCGTTGAGTTGCTGCCTTTTCTATATAAAGGCAATTGCGATCCGTTCAACTCTGCTGGGGTACCTGTGACTGCACATCAATTTAGTCTCATCAAACTGTCCCGGTCAGAATCAGTTTCGACAGTATGGGCATCAGAGCTTTCTATGCGTCCTCGAAACAATGGGCTGATGAATGACCTATGTCAATCACTCGGTAATTTATGCAATGATCCGGCTGTGGTTCACGCAAATCTCGCCCTTGGGTACATAACAAAGGCTGCCTGCCAGGGGAAATTTGAGGCCGGCGACTTTCTGGCAATCAAAAGACAAAAAGGCCAAGCGTTGAGTTCTCTACGACAGCTCGTGGAGAGGCAAAGCGAGTCTGGTTCACAGGACAAATTAAGCGCAATCAAGGACGCGACCCAATTGCTAGGCGCCTGCGAGGTATTTTTGGGTGATAGCAAAACGGCTCTTATCCATTCTTCTGCTACGGCCAGGGTGATTGATATAATGGGTGGGTTTCAAAGTTTACCACTGCTTGAGATCGAACTCTATGTCCATGCTATCGTAGGCTTAGCATCGAAGATGAATACACGGCCAATTATCCCTACGGAGGCTTGGGATCCTGGTCCATGGCATAGTTTTTGCGCCAAGGACAGAAGCAGGAAGTTTCAGCTGTGGAGTGAAAGTTCAAGTGTGCCATCTTCTTTCGAAAGTTCTCCACAATCTTCTTCCTGGGCATCTGATATCGACGATCTTGGTGCGTCTCATGCTCACACGCCCGCTTCTCCTGATGTTTCCGATGAACCCCAATTGCTTAGACCAACAACGGTTTCTCCACAGCTAAGCAACATCCTTGAGGAACTGAGAGAATTATTGACGATCGAGGAAATAAAAATAAGAAGCACACCGGTTGCAGACATCATCGCGAGAGAAGATATCATTCAGATGTTTCGATGGTCTCACCTGCGAACCACCGCCATACGTGGGCGAGGATTGCATCACTGGTGTGATCTTCTCGAGAGCAATATCACAAATCAGAGTCTGGATTCGGAGGCCGCAACTCCTACAACTACCACATATACTACTTTTGACATGTGTCTGTGTCTAGCGATGAGGCTCCTTGATAGATGTATCTTTCACGAACCCTATCTAAAGACAGGCATGTTTCGACAGACCAAGGCATACTATGATATACTCCTGGATAGCATTGAGAAACTACGGCCAGCGTTCGATGTGCGCCAGGGACTTCGCGATGCCAGGAGCTACGATATGCTTTGGATCTACTCCGTAGGAGCCCATACGGAAACTGCATTCTTGCAGGGTAAGGTCCACCAATCTGGGGGCGTTCATTGTTACTCGTACTTCAGGGATTGCTTTACCCTTTTGGCCCCATCTCTTTCTTTCAAAGATTTTCGGCAAGTTACCGACTTTTTGGAAGAAAACTACCTGTACTGTTCGCGGCTCCAGAATTTTACGCTATATAATCTCGTGGACTTTGGGCAGTCACTCTGAAGTGTGCAGATGTCACCTAGGCACTACTAAGAATACGATGTCCCGCCACGTTTAGGGTTTGTCCTTTGAAACCTCAGAACTGAACTGACTTCAACCACTGCACCATTCCTTGCGGCCCAGATCTATCCATGGCTGAACTTACAAGCCCAGATCAGACAGCCTTTGTGGACACGAGTGGGAAACGTCTCTCCTAGCGTTCTTACAATTCGAAAGCCAGGGGTTGGAGAGGCGGCTACCTGTTGGGAATATCGAGCACTCGCTATCTCCTATTCGCCCCGCGGATGAAAGTCACCTATCACAGAGGGCCTTGATCCTCGGCGAGTGTCTTAGATCCCAATATGCCCTCTGTCGAAGAAGGTAGGGTCGAGGGATGCGATCAACAGTCAACAGTAAAGGAAGAAGCCAGTCAGTCCATGACACTGAGAAAAGCAGACACAGGTAAGAAAATAAAACTTTGAATTTATGCTTAATGATCCCATGGCCTCAACACGAAGTAGTTGAGTTCTTTCCTCCACGCTCCGTACACACGTCACCTATTGTCCAGCTAAATGACGGCTTGGGCAAGGACAGACTGCACGGGTCATCGTCCGCGAGCCAATAATCCTCCGCAAATCACTTGCCACTAGTAGAAGTGGTCGGAGCCTACTATCCAACTCGATCAGAGGATATGGTGCTAATGAGCTGTTCTTTCGGTCCTGGTACAATTGCGGCGAAAGACGCTGGCGCGTGCCCAGGGCGTTCAAGTTCTTCAGACAACCAATTATCGACGAAGCACTCTCTCGTGGAAGCCGCATTGAAAGGAGCATCGGAACTCTCCTGTGTTCCTGTGTTCATAATTCATTATTGTTTGTTCATCATGAGAATCCTCCGGATACTCGGTTCCCACCCCTCTACCTCAGACACAAATATTTCTGCAGATCCAAATATTGACACAAGCCCCGTTAAGGAGAAAGACATTCGCAACAACTGCCAGCAGTAAGATCAATTAACAACAGGGACTGCTGGGAAACGACGCCATCGTCTTAACAAAAGATCCAATTTTCTGGCACTCGAACGTTGGGCCCCGGGGGGGGGGGGGAGGGGGAACATCCTCCCTGACTCGGGGATTCCTCCACCCCCTAACATCGCATTGCAGAACTAACGAGCAAGCCAAAGCATTTCATTTCTTCCCCAAGCCACCGAACCAATTCAGACCATTGGCACGCTCGGCAGAAACTACGCCAATACAGCTGGTCAAGATTGTCTCGACCGCAAGCTTATCCCTAGCAGTCTCGAAGATAATCAGATCACCGAGGACATGGCTATCCCTCCACTGCTGCCAGACAGCCAGAATCTCTTTTCCATCGGCGGTCGTCAGCTTCAAATTACCCCTGTTCTTCTGATCATCACCAATGATGGTCCGGATAGTCTTGGTGCTCCCCTTCCAGATAAAGCGCCGACCGTACATGCTCAACATGCCGTTGAGCTGGTACGTGCGGTTCAGGCCTTTCCGCACGACCTCCCATCTCTGCCGGTTCCCTTGGCAAGAGACCTCGAATTCACACCACATCCCTGTGAAGCCCTGCCAGCCGCGCGGGGTAAAGCGGGCGACGAGCGCAGAGTTGTTGAAGTCATGTGCGGTGTATAGTTCGAAGGGCGGTGGGTTTGCCGCCCACACGTCCGTCCAGTTCATCTCGTTCGTCACCATCGCCGCCCCGCCGTCTAGCTTCGTGTCCGGGTCTATCATTCTGACCAGGAGCTTTTGGTCTACGGGTAGGATCAAGCCCATCGCATTGCTCTTCTCGATTCGGAATGCGCTGCTTCGCGTGCTCGCGCCTGTGGGGGAAATGGCCGACGATGTGGACCAGGTGCTGTTGCTGTGCGAGAGGAGAAGCTGCTTGTCTGTGTCTCGATTCGGAATCGCGACTTCCTTTTGGCTGCTGTGGGGCGGCAGGTTCGGCACGAAGACTTTGTGTGTGTCGGAACCGACTGCTTGTTGGTGCCGGGGCCCTACGGTGATTTCCTTGCCGGGACATGAGGCGGGGGAGAATACTTCTTTATCGCCAGATGCTGGCGGGTGTGGCAATTCTTTCTCGGTGGATGGTGGTGGGTATCGTGCTTCTTTGTCTGTGTCGCTTCTCGGAGACGCGACCGATTTCGATGTGTCGCTTGACATCTCGATTCCTGAATCTGATGAAGGATGTGAGAGGGATGTGCTCGCCATCTCGGAAGCAAGAGCGGAAACAAGAAGATACGCTTAGGCGATGATAATGTTGTGTTTCGCCGATGTCAACTCGACAAACTGCAAGCTCTGTACGTAGGGTAACTGTATATTTGATGGCGTGATTCAATCGTATTAGGGTCGTGCTCTGATTGCTCTCTGGGTTTGGGATAGTTATGGAATGAGCTCGGCCGGGATGCTCAGTACCAGCAAACAATACTGGCGGGCGTACAAGTGTTTGTTTTCCACGGGGCCACTATAAAAAAACAAGATGGAGATGAATAGAAGAAGATGCAACTTTCAAAACACGCAGCTCTTCTCGCAGATCGAGATTCGAAGGACCGTCCGTCTCCCACCCCCGAACCAGGCAGCAAGATCATTCTCCATATAACAGTGCTTCGGGTTCGGCTGTGTCATACCACAGAACCCCAGCCCACACAGCGCTCCTAATCTTATTAGCTAGTTATCTAACTAGGGCACAAAACATACCAATCGCGCCCTGGCTTATCCGAGTGGATGTGTTTCGTGCCCATGGGGCGCCTTGCCCAGATAATCCATGGAACTCGGTAACGTCATGGCTGTTAAATGAGCTGCCTAGGCTGTGAGCAATTTCGAGTTAGTCCATACGAGAACTCCGTACCCGAGTCTCTCGTATGGACGAGACGACGATCCCGACGCAGGGTTCTTTCCACTACTACTGCAATGACCCCATTAGCCTCCCAAAGGGTGTCTGCGTCTGGATGGTTAATAGTCACCACTGAAGGTGGCCACCAAAGGTTCAGGCTCGGGTTCTTTGCCGCTTGGGGGCTGCGTCGCACCTGCAAAAGTGTCTTAAGACTAATAGAGTTATACGCGGCGCTTTGATGCTGTGCTCATCAAGTGTGCCTACAGCTCATTGCTCAATACGGAGGTTAGAGCCCTGGCAATTCCTGTGATCGGCGATTGACACGTTCTAGCTTGGGTGGCACAGTGCAATGATAAAAACCAAGGAATCTTCCCATCCATGGAAGTTGCTTCCAACATTTGATTGTCACGCTGTCGTCCTGACAGCGAGATAAGTATTCGAAATGGGTGGTCAACGACTACTCACAGCCTCGAAACCCTGCTTGTACGCGGGAGACTGCTAAGGTACGCTCACCTATGGTGACCACCTTTCTGACCCTTGTCGGAAGTTCGCCTGTACCGCTCCCGATGATACCCTTTGGCAAGACACTTTTCAAGACCAAATCGACGCAAAGCCTTCATACCGAGCCCTTTACACATACTCACAACCCATTCGTATATACATAGCAGTCACGGCCGACCGATGTAGCCGTTCAAGAATGCCATCCCCTCTTTCGACGACTCCTCTCACTTGACCGCCCAGATCAGTCCCAAACGCCCGCCAACAGCGCACCAACAACGAAAATCATCGGCGCATAGCCCCAATGATTCCACTGGCCTCCGCCAATCTGCTGAAGACTCACAAGACCATCTACACCAGCGACGCCTGCGCCGGCAATCAAGGTCCAGCCACATGCCTTGCGGGTACCGAACCACGCGGTGAAATACGTAGCTAAGCCCATGAAGAGATCTCGCGCACCGTAGATGATCATCAAGCTCTCAACCAGCTTTTGATCGGCCGCGGACGAAGGTAGGTCGAATTCAAAGATGGCGAACGCGGCGCGCGGGCGTAACATTGCGTTCACCCCGAACCCAATCCATATTGTGCCGAAGATATTGGCAATGACGTTGAGGTACCGCGATTGCGAGTGTTTGCTCCGTGGGACGGCGGCCATGGTGATTTGGGTGTTATGCTGTTGTTGTTGGCGAAGTTATCAGGAAAGCGAGACGATCCTTTGGAAGACGAGCTCTGATGTCAAATTTTCTGGTCAAGGCTGAGCTATTCGACGGGGAGATTGATCCTTCAAACAGTGTGGGTAGGCGATGATGTTGGCGTTGTGTATCGTGTGCGGTACTCTAACTGACATCCAAAATGCGAAGGTCCAAGATAGCTCTCCGACCAAGGGGAAGAAAATGATGATATATCTCCGTACGCAGTGTTAGTACTTGGTAGATCCTTCCCCTTTGAGTTGCTGCCTGGCTCCCTCCCTGCCAACGTTTGTCGAGATCTTGGCGGCACGGAGCACTATTACGATGTATAGAATGTTTTAGGTGCTATTCGTCCTGGTAGACGGGCTTTCCGAAATTAGGCTGCTGCTCGTGAGTCGTGACATGCCCTCGAGCAAAGTCTCGCCTTCCTTTAGCAACCTATCTTGAGAAGGGGCCTTCCTGGGGCTCGAATGTATACTTTCACACAATGACAAAGATCAGAAGTGTATTAAATAATAAGTGATTGCCTATTCAAAATACTCAATCGATGCTTAAATCACCGATTGCGAGATTCGCATTATCGCAGGCCGTGTTGAAAGGCCAGGGGCTGTTGTTGAAATGTCAGCCCTGAGACAGTAACTGCTCTCTTCTAAGCTAGTAATAGGGTCAATACATGTAGTGGCATGCCACAATCTACCTTCGTGAACGTCATCGCTTCGTGAACTCTTTCGTTTTATGCTGGGGTATCATGTTGAAATGAGATGCTTTTCTCCTTGTTGGTCCCAGTTTTACCTTCCTGTTCCTCGCCTTCCCAATGTTTAAAGTCAAAGTCAACACCAAATAACACCCGAACTCATTTTCTCGAAGCAAAGCAAGTAATGTCAGCGTAGTACTCGAAGAGTGGGGCAAGGCAAGGTTCGCCTCAGCCCTCGATCACTATAATCAACTATTAGTAGTCCTAGACCCTCAATTCGCATGATTAGCACCATTTGTCTGGAATGGGATCGTTCCTCGATCACCGTTGACAACACTCTGGTCAATATCAGGCGATTTGGCGCCACTGTTCAGAACCTTTCTTTCACCATTCCTCGACTCAGCTGCTGGAGTGTCTTCGAAAGCCTTGTCGAGGTCCTCAACTTCAAGGCTGTCAAATATCTTGAAGATTTCATGGGTCTGGTGGAAATCATTGTTGACAATATTGATCAAGTAGCACTGGCTCATGATGGCTTCGATGAGCTTCCTGCTTGCAGAACCTGGAGCATAGCATTTGGACCAATCCTGGCCTAGACGGAAGGCTTCATCCTTCCATGCCAAGAAAGAGACGGTCTCGACAATGGTAGGCTGCACAATCTCACGGTTTGGGAAGATTCCCCATGTGACTGCATTCGGGCCTTCGTCTTTGGTATTGGTGAGAAGTTGGCCCTTCTGGTTGACAGCATAGTATGTCAAATTCTTGTTGGCATTCAGCCGTTGAAGTACAGTGTCGAAGATAGAAGGGAAAATCAACAACTCAAGATACGCCTTCTGATAGACCCATCCCCCGCTTGGACCCCATCCATAAACGGGGTGTGATGATGGTGCTCCGTCGACAGCAGGCTGAGAATTGATGGTGAGGAATCCATTCTTGTTCAAATGGAGTAAATTGGCCTTGATGCTGTCGGCTTCAGAACTGATTCCGCCCTCGCTCCACGGGAGTCTGTCCAAGTCACCCTCAATGAACCGTGTGAACAACGTTGTGACCTCGCGAAGAGATCTGGGCTTGCCCCAAAGTTTGATGTTTATTTCGTTGGTCCCCTTCAGACCAATATCGTAAGCGTCAAGTTCGCCAAACGCAGGACTTCGACTGTCCCCCCATCGCCCATTGGGAAACTCGTCCCAATCGGCAGTTCGGGCAACGTAGGAAGTATTGCGATTGCGCCAAAATATCGGCCTGACGGTCTCGTCCCGGCGGTTCAAACCTAGGGACTGCCTCCATGGCAAAGGCTTCTCCAATGGGGTGCCGGAGGTATCAGGGGTCAATGATAGTTCTTCGAGGATCAACCTGGTGGATTGGGCCAAGTTCATGGTGTAGAAATGCAGATGTAAAATGCCGGCATCGAGGAGACGCCGACACAACTCGGCAAGAAGGTCCTTGCCAATATCGCGAACTGCTGCATCGTCGTTTTTTACAGGATTGAGCGCCTCAAACCAGTTTGGGGGAACCCGGCATTTAGTCCAGTCGGCCCGGCGCATGAATGCCGCATAGGTCGAAATGGGCATGATTCCCGGAATGATAGGAACGTCAATGCCACGAGCACGACATTTATTGACCCAGCTCAGGAAAATATCCACGTCATAGAACATTTGGGTGACAACGAACGAGGCACCAGCGTCAACTTTCTCCTTTAGATGTTCGACCAAAAGATCGACGTCTCTGTGATCATCACAACCTTCAGCATAGCCGGCCACACCAATATCGAAATGATCGCCATACTTGGCTTTGATGTACTTGACAAGATCTTTGGCATAGCGAAAGCCGCCTGCTTTGACCTCCCATTTGTCTTGGTCCCTCGGTGGGTCTCCACGGAGAGCGAGAATATTGGTGCATCCGGCTTTGTAGGCACAGCGAAGGGCGTCATCAATCTGAGACCTTTCCATGTCGGTGCAGGTAAGATGCATACATGTTTCGAGACCATATTGTGATTGACTGGCTTTTACCATCTCCATTGTCAGGGTAGAATGGCGGCCTCCTGCGCCCCACGTAATATCAATGAAGGCCGGGCCGAGATCGTGCATGCGGTCCATACGATCGTAGAGGTTTTGGACGCCTTGGGCAGTTTTTGGAGGGAAGAATTCGAAGGAGAAGGTGGGCTTATTGGCCTCACGGGCGAGAGCCAACTTCTTTGAGATATGCATGCCGAAGAGATTGCCGTAGAGATTATGAGGAAGGAGAATGAGGACAGGCGAGGGCGACGGAAACAGTCAAAACAAGATATGAGAATAAAAATCAACAACTGGAGTGTTTGTCAATCGCAGTTTGCTCTAGTTACTCGTACGACCGTGATTCGATGGCCGTGTGTGAGGTTGAACAACACCCTCTCCAATCAACCGAAGTATCGCTTGCGAGCCCACCTGTCGGCCTGCTCTCGCTGCATTGGGATCTGGATAAAGTTGGTGACGATGAATGATATAGGTCAATTTGAAAATGAGCAAGATGGAATAGAAGAAGAGGGAAAGAAGAGAAAGCTAGTGGTGCTGGTGGAGGAGGTGGAGTAGGAACGCTGCAGGAGGATTGGGCGGTCAACTACTCGTAACTACAAAGGCAGGTGCGAGTGTGAGTGGGCAATAGGGAAGGGGCCAGAAGAATGCCTGAGAATGGTTTGGGTTGGATAGGATAATGTCGCCGGCGATAGAGATTTCATCAGTGTGCGCAAGGGGAACGGGCCTTACGGAGGACCTGACCTGCAGCCTTTTCATGATATACGAAACGAATCATCACCCCTCCGTGCCTTGATAATAATGGAGAGGTGAAAAACCTAATCATCAAGATGGAAGAGTCGGTCAGCGGGAGAGACTAGCTTTAATGCTCACGGAGACTATCTGTTGAGGACGGAGTACCTGGCGTGCCTGGTGGTGATGGTAAATACTGAGGTGATGGGCCCTCTTTTACTGGTCCCTGCGGTGGGCGTGGGGAGGCCAGCCAACCCAACACATGCCTGGGGCTCGCCAAGTTGGAAGGGTATATACATCAATTGCATGTGTTTTGTTCCTGGGTCCGACAAAATGGTTACGGCAAGGTACGACGGAGCATTGAAGTTTCAAACGCGGTTCTATACGGAGGACTCCAATATCCTTGGACGCATACCTTGGCGTTCCGCAATCCCTTTCCAAAAAGTTTGTCTCCGCTCAACCACACAATCTACTGTTCTCAAACCATAAGAACCAATACATATCTCTGCAATCTAGACCTCAGACCTGCGTGCGGGATATCTCTTGGCTACGGACCTTGACACACGTCACACTGCCAACGCGGTTGAATTGCAGAGAGCCATAGTCTCAACATCTGTGTGCAACCCTGTTCAGATACCACTATGGCGATGGACATGTCCTACAAGGCCACGCTCCTCCCCCTGTTGTTGAAGGCTTCCGTCCTGTCCTTTGGGACATACACTCTAAAGTCAGGTCGTATCTCTCCTTACTTCTTCACATCTTCACTACTGCACACGTCTTCGCTGCTGGGCGCCCTGGCCAAAGCATATGCGTCAGTCTTGACCTCTCCGCCATTTTCACTGCCGCTTGGGACTGAGGAGGCTGGCTCATGTGCTGATGGATCCTTCTCTCCACACTTCGACATACTCTTTGGCCCAGCCTACAAGGGAATTCCCTTGAGTGCAGTTGTAGCCAGAGAGCTAGAATTCAGCGGCAAGCAATTCGCTGATGTGTCCTACTCCTTCAACAGAAAGGAAGCAAAGGACCATGGTGAGGGCGGAACAATTGTTGGTGCACCGCTAAAGGGCAAGCGCGTGGTGGTAATCGACGATGTCATGACAGCCGGCACAGCTCTTCGTGAGGCCGTCTCAATCATCAAGGCACAGGGTGGCATTGTCGTCGGTGTCGTCCTTCTACTGACAAGACAAGAACGGGTCAGCGATGCCGAACCCAGGAGTGCCATGAAGGTTGCAGAGGATGAATTAGGCATTCCAGTCAGGGCGGTGCTTAAGTTCGAGGACCTGATCGAAGCGATTGAGGCCGGCCAAATTGAGGGTGCCGGCGCCAACGAGCTTGAGCAGATGAAGGTCTATCGCCAAAAATACGGAAGTCAGGACTGAACACAATGACATTAGGAGTGGAAATACCTCCTTGCTGAATACACATCCAAGCTGCTTGAATCCGAAGCCTTGCCATCCACTGGTCTTCGATGCTCTCCCAACAATGCCTACCGTTGGCATGTGCACACTCATGTCAATGGCGAGAACAATTCAGAGTCCCTGCCCGGGTAGCAGACAGTGTTGCTGTGACATGCTTACGGAGCCGGAGCTTCATCGGCATACCTGTTCTTGAAGATGCAGAGACAGCAGGCATAAGCCCCTCTCCTTGAGGATCGGTAGGGCAAACGATGTATGGCTCCGTGCTTGCCTCCTTAATCCGCAGCCTTGTCCGAGTGGCAACCATGTTGAAACTGTTTCCATCTCGTCTAGGTATGTTCAGCCGTAAAAGGCAATCACTATCTCTAGACCAAACAACAGCTGCCCAGACAGATGCGATGTTCCTTTTGAGCGAATTATTTCCCTCTAGCAAGGTCTCGAGAGATTTTCAAAATGCTTCCTTTCTTGCTTCCAGTTCCCTTTAGATTTTTCTTCAGTTTTGCCATGTCTCTCCCTCGATCCCCGCAACAGGGCTTTCGCGCGTCTTCCATCGATCCATCGCATCGCATCACATGGTCGCGATCGCGAGACTGCACCCAGGAATCCCTCATCTAGACACCTTCATCACATCCCCTTACGGTTTGGCAACTGGTATCTCAAGGAAAGCACAACCCTTTTGGTTTCCACTTTGTCTGATCGCCAACGCCTCTCTCTGCACAATCAGACACTCTCTTCACCAGGCTTTGCTGGACTCTTCTGTCATCAGTGAGTGTTCGAGACATTGCAATCCGTGGCTCTGCAGATATCCTTCTCTTTCTTGAATCCTTTGTGCGCTTCCTGCTTGTTTTCTACAGACCAATGGCGTCGAACAGCCCCGACCCTCCTGCTGATTCCTCCTCATCCCGACCGCTCCCGCTCCTTGCATTTCCCGCAGAGATCTCCCAAGAAGTTATCGCCAGTTTCTTCGATGGAACACCCGTCACCCCTGAACCGATCGTTGATGCCTTAGGCTATCCAATCAATCCGATCATCATCGGAGTCGATGGCATTCCACTCCTCGCTGCGGCCGATTCCGTCTCCCTGCAGTGATTATGGCTCTCTACTTGACCTGCAAGCAAATGAGAGACGACATTGACGAGATATTCTTCCAATACCTCACCCTACGTCTTCCCTCCTGCGAGGCCTTCTCCAGGCTCGACTTCCACATGCGTTTTCACAACCGAGGCCGCCCTCTCAGCCGAATCCAGCGTTTATCCATTGACCCATCGGTGCTTCCGGAGCTTCAGAACTGGAGCTGGGTTGTCAGGGAATTACCGAACTCCAAGCGCTGGTGATCGAAACATACTATCTCAGTTTTAAACGAATGATCGTGGTTGGAAGTGAAGCCGTCGGTGCCCTGGTTGAGTACGGCTCCAACTTTATACAGTCGCGAGGTGTTGAAGAAAGATTTCTATCCGTGCGGCCCCTTCGAGAACACCAGCTCACGCATCCCCACCTCCCACATGGGCGAGATGCTTTTCATACCCTCGATAGGATCGCCTGTTTCCACCTATTGCACAAGGATTACTTCACCCTCTGCGTTCAGCTCCATGTGCGCTAAGGCAGCGATTTCAATGCCTTGACCTATGCAACAACACCACACTGTCCCCCCAGCCTTCGAGATCCAGCGCGTCTGCGAGAGCCCAACTGGCAACGTCCCGATATCCGAACCGCAACCTGAAAGTCTGTGTCAAGTTCAAAGCTGTGCAATGCGTCGACATCGGTCAGAATGTCGTACGCCGTCGGCTTAGTTGGGTAAGCAACCCAGTGACCCAGTCTCCTCTTCTACCCTGTGAGCAACCACCAACTAACTACTGAGTTAAATAGTCTGCAGACTACGATCTACTCGCTGAACGCTGCACCTCTTATGAACTCGGCTCTAGTTTCGCAGGTGGAGCGAGTGCAGGACCCGACTAGATCGAGACCTCCACCACTCTATCTAGGACAGAAGAGCGATTCCACACGATGGAGGAGCTTGAGACAGAGTTGAAGTTATCTCGCCAGTACTAATTCAGGGCACCGATAATAGATAATAGATAGGCGGGGGCGATTCTCGAGAAAGTCCAAAAGACTCTTAAGTACTTACCACAGACAGGATACATCGTAATCAAAGACCGAGAGCTCCTCCACATACGTCCATCGACTACGATCTCTGGCGCCAACCCAAGATAAAGGCCAATGGCGGATCCCACATTAGAGCATAATCCCCCCTGACCGCACCATCCCGCGACTCCGCGGCCTGGTACACCATGTCCGAGAAGTTCCTCCCAAGGAAAGTGATGAAGTACAGTGGCCCCTCTGCACTGGTAAACCGCGTGCTGCGACCATATATCTCCACATTCACAATCAACCCCAAGCACACATCCACCACGAAGCGAGCGGGCGGAAGCCAGCCATGCATCCCTTCACGGAGAAGTGGAGACCTATGTACCGTATTCTTTAGTATTGATGACTGCGAAATCGAAATATCCGATCTTTCTCCATGGTGCTTCATTACTGTGGGGTTAGGACTGTGATGTTGTATGTAGTCGGCTGAAATTGAAGAGGTTGGTATAATAAGTCCGCTACCTCTATAGATAGTTAGTACTATACTGCGAGATATATATAATATACCACGAGAAAATAGGGCTAGAAGCTTAACCAGTTAGTTCACCGCGACACTTGTCCTTCTCCATATCTCGACATTTATGTTCTCAACATCGTTGAAAGCGTCCATCCACGCTCGGCTTTCCCTGTATCGCCCTTTCTAAGACTTCTCCTATCTGATTTCCTCGAGCGAGTTCCATGCGGGCGGTATAGAGATCGTATTTTGTCAGCACCTAGGTAGTGACCCAATCCCGATTCCCTCTTGTCTCCAGTGTCCATCCACATCAGGCCTACGGAAGACCTCGACAAGTCACAAGCTTGTCAATAATAGTCAATGGGCTGTAATAAGAATTTGGTACGGTGGAATCCGAAGGCAAGTCGTGGACAAATTCATGATATGCTCATACCCGCGAGGGTTATTGGATATATATCTAGCAAAGAAAGTTCGTCGTCTCGGAGCTTGCTTGCAGGCCCACTCAGAGTCTCATTGGTGGCAGCAATGGAGAGAGTTCTTCAACAATGCGGTGGTCTCTTGCTGGAATCCAGTTCCTTCTGTCCCTTCCCGAGTATATACAAGTCCTTCGTTCCGTGCACCCTGTGCCTGCCACCTCTCATAGGGGTGATGCTCATCTTGACGGATGCTTTGCCCTGTGACCCATGGGCCATGGCCCTAACCCTCGGGCAAGTGAAAGATATAAAGAATACATAACCTGCTCATAAAGTTCGTCTCAAAGGTTTTTCCAGGCCGTTCTTCCCATTCGGCCCCTTGTGGGAGGTTGAGATCCCCCCATTCCCGCATTCCCTTTATTGTCCCATTTTCCGTTCCAGTCATTCCCTTGCGCAACCCCCTTCCGTCAATTTGTACAAAGGCCCAGAAAAAGAAACGCGCCACCTTGATAAATCCAATTCGTTGTTGGGTTCTCCTCTCAACGAAGGACGAAATCAAAGAAAAATAACAACGTGATATGGCATAAAAACATGATAAGCGTGATATTTAACTCGTCAAAGGGGTATCCGAGAGTTTAGAAGAAGAAGAAAATAGTAACCGAAGTGGTACACTGGTAAATGATGATTCAGGATCAGGTTAAGCGACATGTAGTGCTTCTGCGATTCCCGAGTCATGGATAGCAGAGCTTGTTCTTTCATCCAGAGGTAGTAAGCAGAGAAAGACCTAGGCCTGCTGGCGGTGGCGCTGCGTTTGCATTCACCGTGGTGGATTGTGCACTCTTTCGGGGGCTGCCAATGGCGATGCCGGATTCAACGGCTCTACGATCCGTAGGCGGAAGTCGACCCCAAGTGTCGATTTTCCTAGCCGCTGCCGTTCCGGTGGTAGGGGTGTTGAACAAATCATTGCAGAGTGCTTCAAAATCGCCAATGTCGAGAGACACATCAACATCTGCATCTGCAAAGAGACGCTCAGCTTCAAGATGCCAGCTCGGAGCGGCCGTAAGGTTGTGGCTCTTGGCGGCTAGGTCTTTTGCTGGAGTGGATTGAACCGAAGTCTTTGTTCGAGGTGGCGTCTCCAAAAGTGGTGATGAGGGTTTTGCGGCATCAGGGGTAGTTGTCTTGTCTTCCGGCGCTGATGATACAAAGATCCTTGATGATACGGGAGTAGTAGCGCGGGATGGGTTATTAGAGTTTTTGTCATCAACTATCTTCAGCATTTTTTCCATTGAACCCAAGGTTGTTGAGTCGGCCCGTTGAAGGCCAATATCCTCCTTCTTTCTCCTCTCAGCTGTAGATGACTTAGCTGGGCTAGCCTCGATCGCTGGCAAGGACGAGATGCCTGCCACCTGGCCCGAGGTCCTTCGACTGTTCCCAGAGCTCTTGCGTTTGTTGAGAGACCGAGTAGGCGGCGATGAGGTGGATGTTCTTGGCGTTATCGAGTGGTGAGACGAAACGGTCGATTGCCACGACCTTGCGCGGGCACTAGAGTTTCGATGCACAGAACGTGATCCGCTTTCCACCGAGGTTGAGGACGCCAGCGACCTTGTTTTCTTTTTGGATCGTGGCTTTTGAGATGGCAGGTCAGGGAGAGGCTGGAGTGGAGGCGTTTGGGCTTCTATGGCGTTGAGATAATTCATCCGCATGTCGTCGACGATACGCCGGACGTCCTCCCTCGTGGTTGTGCTATCCTCGACGATGCTTGTGCGTGCAGTGAAGGACGAGGATGCACCACTAGAGGAGAGTAAGGAACACCTTACATTGGAGGAGCTGTCAGAATGCTCGAGGTCTAGGTGAGATGCAGACATGTCACTTCGGATATGTAACCCGTGTCTTTCCAGGTCGTAGGTCAGATGGGGTGTCGGTTGCAGAGCAGGGGAAGCTGAAGGGGTAGTTTGATTTTGAGAGAGAACGTGCTGAGGAAGTCGCGGACTGGCAACAGACCTTGGGCTTTGGTTAGGCACCGAGATGGTGCGATCCACACTAGGCTGGCCGTAGATGGATGCGAGTCTGCTGTATTCGGCCTTCCACAAAGCCTGGATCGTGGGAGTTCGCTCGTCATTGGGCTCCAGGAGAGATGTGGTGGAAGCCATGTAATTGGAAACAAAAGGCTGGGATGCACTGGAGTGAGTAAAGCTAGACCGGCCGGTGAGAACTGCTTCAAGGTCCTTGAAGCGAGCTTCGGTGGACAATGCGATGGCCTTTTGGTGTGGCGGGACAGGGGTAAGAGAAGTCGAGAGCGACGTCAACGAGCCTGAGACAGGTTCATCGCTGGCAGATGTCTTGGGTGAACAGACGGAAGAAGAAAAGGTCGACTGTGCACGGGGGGAGTTTGGTGCGGTGGAAACGAAAATGGGCTGCTGAGGCTTGCTGGCATCGGCTCGCGGAGGACGAGATGTGCGTCTCTGCTTCCCCCCGACGATAAACTCGCCGTGGCGAATATCATCGAGGGTTCGATCATAGTCTTGTTCGGTGACAAGCAATTCACCAGAGCTCAAGCGACGGCTTGTCTGAAGCTTCACAGGACCATTTCCGCGTTGGGGCCGATCTCCCACCTCGGGCGGTGTGCCTGGGATTGTTGCATTGTAGGAATAGGAATGAATCTGGTTCGACTGTTCTTCATTGCGGTTGGCTGTAGCTGGGCGACCCAGGGCGTGATTAAGGAAAACTGGAATCCGGCCTTGAGGCTGTGCGGTAGTGTATGGAATGCTGTGCAGATCCAATTCACTATTGGCGATACTAGGCCGAGCCTTGGACTTTTTCAATGAGAGCAGTTTGCGAATTCGCAATTCCATGGTTCTGGTTCTGGTTCTGGTTGAGCATTGACCCTGATGCTGACGCCTGTGCGCTTGCCGGCGATGGAATCCAGTGTCAAGCGGGGCTTGGGCGCGTCAGACTCTTTGACGTGTGCAGGTAGTCATTCACTTAGATCGAACGACGCGACAAAAGATGGGCTGAAGCTAGACAAATCAAGTAGATGAAGATAAACGAAAGACTGGAGTGGAATGGAAATAGAGAAGAGGTCATGCCGGCAGGACTAGCAGCAATGGATACATAAGTGAGCTACTAATTCTGCGGAGAGGAGGAGAGAGTCGAAAGCAGATGAAGATAATTCTCTGGAGGGAGTGAAGCGAGGATCATGCTTGAATGGTGTCAAGGGGAGCGCTCAGGTAGAGGGACAGGGAAGAGGCTTGAAGGGAAGACTTCGAAGAGAGAGTAGCCAGGACGCCGTGGGCAAGAAAACACGAGAAGTGTGGAAAACAGAGGTACAGGGGGCGGCCGAGCAGTGGACCAGGACTGGTTGGATGGAAGAGACATTAGGTTTCCGGGGCGCTCGAGGTACAAAGGACCAGGGTGCGGGCGAGGGCGGCAGGCACGACTTTACAAGAATGGGTACGGAGTGCTCGGGATGGAGGACGTACTGGCGGAAGAACAGGCAGATGGTGTCATACGTCGAGGGCCATAAAGATGGGCACGGACTAGATTTAAAGCAACTGGGTGGCCAGGAGCCACTGGCCTGGGGAGAAGGTGCTGCTGGGGGTTTGGGGGGGGGGGGGGGGAGACACGAGGATACAGAGGTGGCTTCACACAGGAGCGAGAATCTCAGAGGCTGTTCCATGCATCAGGTCAAAATACCGGCTGGGATTCCCTCGACAACGGTGGCAGCCCAACAGTCAAGAAGACCGAACGCACACAACAACTTGAAGGCAACGCGCGTGTTTGAGGTTTGATTCTTGAGTTTGGACGGAGGTGGGAAGCTTCCCCAAGCTAATCGAGACCCGAGAGGGTCCCTCATACTCGGAGGGTCAGCGTCGCCGGGGAATTTGTTGCGCAAGCCACATGGATGGGTGGACACTAAACAACGGAACGAGTGCGGTTGGGAACGAGAAGACGAAAGCCAGGACTCAGGAGATGCAGTAAGAACGAAGAAGTCAACGACTCAGCGCAGAGAAGTGTCAGATGCGGTCCATGGTGCATAGTCCACGGACCACGGTCATTCTAGTGCGACGCGTACGAGGACGAGGATGAGGACGGGTAAACACACATGGGGCGGGGCAGTCGGTAGTTGCGAGTCAGAGTCAGCTCTGTATCTAACAATAATGGAGGCTTCTAAGACATGCAGGGACTCAGGGACACAGGGACTCAGGGACACAGGGACTCAGGGAGTAGTCGGCATACTGCTTGTAACAAAAGAATCAGTCCGGTGCCTGGAACTACCGCCATCGACCCTGCTTGACTTGTGGACGAACAGCAGCATGGACACTCGGTACTCCGTCCCCAACTACGAGTAATAGGCCAGAAGGATTTGAAACAAGGCTAAGACTATGGCTGCAGTCTGCAGGTCATCGAGGTTCCTCCTTAGGCGAAAACAGGCGAGTTGGCTCGGAGGGTCAAACACACTCCCGTCCAGGAACGAGAGCCCCTAGAGCCCCTAGAGCCCCTAGAACCCCAACACCCCCAGCAGCCCCTGCCAACAAACGACAAACAATCATAAATCCCGGCCGGGAGAGCAGCCGGATTTACTTAAAACTTGCAGGGGTCTGGCACACCCGAGAGCTGGTGGGAGATAACCGAGTGCTAGCCATGCAAGCCACCTGGGCGCCTGTGGGGCCGCTGACAAGGCACCCAAGTACTTTAGGTACATCCTTCGTACTCTGTCCATCGTACTGGCATCTGCACGCAGCACTGGAGACAACGGCCAGACCATAACCGTAATGGCAAATGTTGAGGATGACCAACTGAATGTTGCGCACACTACTCCGTACAGTCCGCTACTATAATGCCTGGTCCGAGTCAGACATCCAGTCCAGTTAAACGGCATTTCCGAATCAGCCAGAAGTTCGAAGTCAGCCAACTAACTGCCTTCTCCCTTGCTGAGGCGATGGAACACAACTGCGTCGGTGGACTCGTTTTTCACGAAGATGGCTTCATTCTGCAGCCTTCCCTGCCATCGTCGACCACCGACACTTTCTAACAACAACAAGCCAACACCAAAAGATGCACGTATTACCGCATCCACATCCGCATCTACACCTGCACCTGCAGCCCAGAAAAAGTGGCGGTCAAGCTTTGGAGTCTCAACGGCCTCGTCTCCCGCTGCCACCTCCTACGAGTCCACGGCTGATCGCCGGGTTGCGACATCAAACCGTCGAACCTGAACGTTGGACATGACGATATTCCACTCCGCCAGAACGGAGTGCTCGAGGCACCAAGTCTTCATTTGATGGTATGATATGTCACCTGTCAGTTTGCTCGATCGATCTGGTGCGCGCTCTCTGTGCTCCACAGCACATGACAAATGGTGCAATGCAATCTTAAGATTCGTATGGAGCCCTGCCCACCGTACTCACTACCGAGCACAAATAGATCTATACCTAGGCCATCTATTCGCTGTCAGAATGTCAACGATCCGTCTCTAATCCTGATCCTTGTACTCCGGATGAGCTACCGCCCCGATTATGTGATCCTGAAGAAAATTCCACTCTGCATCAATCTGCTTTGCGTCACCCTGTGAAGTATGTGCGACCAAAGAGACATTTGCCGGCACGAGCCATTGACAGCCGTGCACCGAGGACCCAGTCCCTGACTCCCTGGCCCAGTCCCGTCCCAACTACGGAGTAGAACTCCAGGTTCAATGTGCGCTACCACTCACTACTCTGACATGATAGTAAGCTGAGTATGGCCTGTCTCGTGCAGTATGGTTGGCATGCCGCCATGCACCACCTGCTTCAAGTCTTCTCTTTCTATTCAGACTGGAACCAAGCCCACTTTTCCTTTCAACGAGCCGCAGCGAATCTACCCATCTAAGGTATGCTGCACTTGTTCCCCAGATGTGAAGCACAAAGGCAGATCTCGAACCTGCCTAGGAGACTACTGTGAGTCTTATCGAGTCAAAAGCGGCACTCTGACACGCTTGTCTCATCGCGTAGCATAGCATGTTTGCCGTGTTTTATTCTGGGGTACCCCGTTTGCACTACACTGCGTCATCTCTCTTTGCGTCATATGCACGAGAAAACGTGCGGTCGTGGGGGAAAGAAGGCAGGGTAGGTGAATTCTGAAGTTGAGATAGGGATATGCAGGCTGTCCGGTCGTCTCACCGGTGGTAAGCGTGCCGATCAGGTTCTATTGTGTTTTCTTCGTCAGACAGCGGTGTCCCGATTCTTAAGGGAGCCTTATTGTGAGCCAGCAGGCGGGTGGCAGGTGGTCTCTATCATGGTTAATCATCGAGATTTGGTGCATTTATGGCGGATGGCGGACTATTTTCCAAATCTACGTTTCCTGGCGCAGCTCCTGAGATGGTGTCCTTCAAGTGCCTCTGCTGTCATTGTGGCAGATTGACTCAGGACATTACGGAGAACTGCATTCAGCGCAGCAGGTGCACGTGTGGTCACTTGCGAAAAAAACCCAGCAAGGCAGGGTCGAGAAGAGATGAGTAAGCTGCCGCACCGAGACACGGAGACCATTCTATCCAGACCCACGCTCTGCACTGTCACTGACAAGCTAAAGAGTACTCAGGTCGGCGCTGGCAATGGAGTGGCTGGAATGGTACCATTTCAAAAAGACCACGACGCAGCAGAGGCAGAGGCAGAGGCAGAGGCAGAGGCAGAGGCAGAGGCAGAGGCAGAGGCAGAGGCAGAGGCAGAGGCAGAGGCAGTGTTGTACTCGCAATTGCAATGCGACGACAGGGAAATCAAGGCTTGTGATTGGAGGGGTGGGTCAGAGATGAAATGTTGACAATGGCACATTGAAATGTGCTGTTGAGGGCGAGGGTTTCATTTTAAGAGATGGTCAGTGTTCGGTAGATGCGTGAATGTAACATTGGAGAAGACGGCCGACACCGGTGGTTACTTCTTTGGTGCGTCGGAAGGGCTCGGAGTACTGCAGTACATACGAGAAACTGGGCCGTGGGCAGTGGGCACTGCTGGACGCCCAACGCTGGCCCAACACAGGCACAGGTGACAGCAACAGCAACCAACGGCCACCACCCAACGGACTGTAACGCAACGCAACTCTCCAGTGTTACTCCAAGTTCCCTCTCCCTCCTCCCTCTTTCCCCTCCCCGCCCCCCAAAACTCCCTTCTGTTCTTGGATGGTACGAGCGACGAGGTACTCCATAGCTCGCCTACCCTACCCAGCCCAGCAGGTTCCTAGGTTGCCCTTTGGTTCTGGACGGGGAGCAGGCGTTTACCTCCGTAGCACTCTGGACCGCACGCTCTGCTGCTACCAAGCAGCCCCCTCGGCCTGGTCCTCCCCTCCCCTCCCCATCTCCACCATTATGACGCCTCCCACAGGCTGATCTTACTACCACTTGCTGACTACTACTCCGTACTACTCTACGCAATTGAATTGGTCTCCTCCAGGCTCGTTCATTCTACTATGCCATGGCCCGCATCTCGCCTGTTCATCCTATTGTCACCATAGTCCACAATTCTTTGCCTCACCATCTACACGTCAGACTCCCAGTAGAGTGCGGCACCCTTACAGGTACCTGCTCGTAACTCACAGGTGTAGTATTCGCCTGAACGCTCCCTTCGGCCATCACACCCTCTGGCTCACCCTCTGGCGCACCCGCATCCCCTCGCCCTCCTAACCAGAACCTAGAACCACCCTGGTCATCAGAACTGCACGCCTGCCTCGTCCTTGTATTTTGGTAGCACTCAGAACAAGACAGACAAGACATCCTCCCTGCCCTCTGTCGACAACATCCGTCCTGATGTTATGCTACTACCACTCACTACTGCCACTCATTCCTCTACCACTCCTCTTGATCACCATGTCACCGCAGTCCTTTGACTTTTTCCATAATTCGTGACATATCACCTTCTTCCTTCATTTGTGCTCCCACGCGCAAACAAAAGCGTCCACATAGCCCGCCATGACGGATGTCTTTCGTGCCCTTCTCGACTAGATCACCCTCCTCCCCTCTAGTTGTCGTCAATCACCTCGTCCGCCCACCATGACCCTGCTCGAGTTTTTCCGCAGGATCCTGCGCCATCTGGCCGCCCTCCTCTTGTTTCCTTCCGCCCTCAAAACCGTCCCTGTCACACCCAAGTCCAGCCATGAAGTCAACGTCGTCGAAACCACCCAACGAATTCACACACTCGCTTCCCTCAAGGACGAGATCATGCAGTTGTTTCACGCCCCTTGTACCATCCGCCGAATGCTTTCCATGTCTTCAGCCTTGCGCGTCCAATACAAAGCCAAATTGCAAGAGAGTGAAGCCTGCATGCTGCCGTCGTTTTGTCATGCCCTACCCACTGGACAAGAGAAAGGTACCTACATCGCGCTAGACGTTGGAGGCTCCACCTTCAGAGTCGCTTTGATCGAACTGCGAGGGAGAAAAACAGACCAGGTTCCTATGGTCATCAAGCACATGACCACTTCCAAAATTGACGAACGCATTCGCAAACTACCATCCGCACAGTTTTTCGATTGGATGGCTGGCCGGATAGGGGCAATGTTAGAGCACGAGAAGGACCTCCTCCTGTCAGACCAGCCAGTACCGATGGGACTGGCCTGGAGTTTTCCGATTGAGCAGACTAGCCATCGCAGTGGAAAGATGCAAGGTATGGGCAAAGGATTCGCCTGCCACGAAGATACTATTGGCATGGACTTGGCCCAGTTGATCGAGTCCGCCTGCGTCAAAAGGCGGTTGAATGTCCGTGTGGATGCCATTGTCAACGACTCCTCTGCCACCCTTCTCTCTCAAGCATACCTCGACCCTGCCACATCGATGGCCCTGATTCTGGGCACCGGAACAAATGCCGCCGTCTACCTTCCAACGTCGTGCATGGGAAGTTCCAAGTTTGGCACTCGAGATCCATCATGGTTCCAGGGCGCCCAGAAGGTCATCACCAACACCGAAGTCTCCATGTTTGGGAAGCTGATCTTACCCGAGACTCGCTGGGACCAAACTCTCAACAATCAACATCATATGCCGGACTTCCAACCCCTTGAGTACATGGTTACTGGCCGGTACTTGGGAGAACTCTTTCGCTTGATCATCTTAGAGGCTGTGGAGACAGGCGAGTTATTCAATGGCAAACTCCCATCATCATTGTCCGATCGTTATTCTCTAGACACGGAGATCCTCGCCCATCTCGAGCAAGATGACTCGGGGAATTTGACCAAGTCCGGCCCAATGATCAAGGCAGCTTTGCGGTTGAAGCATGTGCCGTCAAGGAAAGAACTCTTATTTTTGCGAACGGTCGCACAGTCCATCTCTTATCGTGCATCAGCATACATCTCCGTCGCCGTTCATGCTCTCTGGGCTTTACAGAAGGAAACCGACTCCAATCCTACCATTCCTGTAGCCACACCTAAGACCTCCATTGCCTGCAATGGAAGCGTTATCCTGAAATATCCTGGTTTCAAGGAGAGGTCTGAAGGATTCCTTCATGACATGATCACTTCTGGCGCATCGGCTCGCGGTTCCGCCCAGGCGGAGAAGATTGTCTTGGTGCCAACAGACGAAGCGGCGGTCTTTGGCGCGGCAGTGGCCGTCGCACTGGCTGATGGTCCTTGAAGAACAACAATGGTGATCGACAGCTACAATCGCTTTCAAAATGATAACGATGAGATATGGCTGACTCATGTTATGCACAACATACATGTACTTGATGCACTATCATCTGCCTTTCACCACTTGAGTGGAGCAGAAAAGACCTATAGCCATTCAAGACAGAAGCCGCATCACACTCATATGCATGATAATGTGTGAATACGGGCCCGCTCTAGTGAGTATGGACCAGGCCCACGTGGATTTTTGGTCCATGGAAACCGTCCGTCTGGCTCGGCATGGTGGCTATGGTCCAAGGCGGAGCTAGCTATATCCTCACGAACACTCTGAGCACTTCGAAGGTGTATTCGAAGGAGCACGCTCAACCACATGTTGTCCCTGCCTTATCACTTCTTCCTGCAAAGCTTGTCATGTATCGACGCATTCTTGCTCGTCGAGGTGAAACACTGTCAGACAGATTAATGTCAATATGCTATCAGATGTTGGGCAGTGGACTGCGACTCAACAACAGGGTCAAATGGCATCTTGCGGTGACGAGCATGGGATCCAGCTCTCCCTTAGTAGGAGGCGGAATGTGGAAATTTCTGAAAAGGTGAAAAGCAGACTTAGAATCCGCTGGACTTAGAAGCCTAGACAATACTAAGATTATTCATCGGCGCCAGACACGGACTGCCTATAATGAATTTGAGTGTCAATGCCCCATTCCACCTTCGATTTCCTTTCTCGAGGCTTTTGTAGGCAGGCTGGCTCCTGAGTCCTGTCAAGGAAGGTGCAGTTCGGCTTTTGGCTGTGCGTGCCCAGTTCCGCGCCAGTCTTTTGTCAATTGCTTCTTCTCTTAAGCACAGGTCGACATGCAACTTGCTCCTCCTCAGTCGTGGGGCCTTGCACCTACCTAATCTACCTTAGATTCCCTCCGCCTTCCCACCCAGGCAATCGTCAAGTCATCACCGCCGGGGAGAGGGAACGTGTAGCTTCCTCTTTCGCAAAATAAACTTCAGAGAGGGCAGTCACTCCAGAGAGGGCAGTTACTCTAGAGAGGGCAGTTACTCTAGAGAGGGCAGTTACTCTAGAGAGGGCAGTTACTCTAGAGAGGGCAGTTACTCTAGAGAGGGCAGTTACTCTAGAGAGGGTAGTTACTCTAGAGAGGGTAGTTACTCTAGAGAGGGTAGTTACTCTAGAGAGGGTAGTCACTCTAGAGAGAGTACGTACTCTAACTCTCCGAAGTCGTCTAACTTCCCCTTTAAGGTCATCGGATCCTACATAGTCACTTGCTCGCACCTTCTGGCTCCTTTGAACATCTCAGCCTCGGCCAGCAGAGACTTCGATGCCACAAGAACGACAGCTACACCTTCCCCAAACGTCACTCTAACACGGCCCCCCCCCCTGGATTCCGCGGCATATGCAACAATCATTTTGACGTCGCGCGTACGGCCTAAAGTTCTAGTTGATCACAATTTCCCAGGGAGGCAATTGCAGCGGCTAGCAAGCCTTGATCAGCAAGTCGTTCAGACTGGCCATTTGCTACACTTTCCGGATTAGTGAACGGTATCGGAAGAGCACTTGTGGATGGGCCGAGACTTAGAACAACAGCTGAACGCAGAGCCTGCTTCTAGTCATGTGCATTCCCAGAAGGGGATACATGCCTATTGGACTCGTTGCCTGGCATCATGATTGCTGCTGCCCTTTGTGGCAGTCGCAGTTTGCAAATGGAATGGCCACCAGTCCAATCCCCCGATTGAGCAGGTGCAGACTCCCAATTTGTCCATAGTCGGTGGTTCTTTTCCCATTTGGACACTCTACCCGACCAATCTACCTGCAGTCTCGTCGATTGTCCTCTGCCGAATTGTCGATCCGCAATCTACATCGCGGTGGAAATTCTCCCGCATGCAACAAGACCTCTTTGATGAGCTGCTGAGTTGTCTTCGACGATGTAATGGTGAGTCCGGCCAACTACAAGCAGATGCATGCCAATGAACGGCATTTCAACCCTTGCACCTGCCTAGAATGGTGCGGAGAAGAATGTTTTCGCTGGTCGACTTGAATTGACAGCTCTCCAGCATTGATCCAGTTCCTCGAAATTAGAAGGAAGGACAGGGGGCTCTGATATTAGGTCATGAACCTGTTGGCATAAGCAGCATGCACTGAATACGTCGATAAACAGAGTACCTTCCAAATCAGTCATGAAAGGCTGAGTCTGACTTGACCTTTACCCAAGCCTCCAGCCTCAGCTTTCCGCGTGTTAGGCAAGCTCATTACTTATTCTGAGATCTCCGATGGCGATGGCGGTATTGGTTAACGTCCGGAAATGCTCTGAACGCCTCGCACGCCTCCTGGGAGACAATCTTTCAGTGCCAACTCAATGAACAGCCACAGGGCTGGAACATCTCGGTATGTCTCCGACTCAACATAGGAAGACCGACAGACAGGTGACTCTGTCAAATCCACTGACCTCAGTGCTAAGCCGCTTCCTTCTGACAAAGCAACAGCAATCACGTTTGCACAGTACATCATGCCCAAATGGTGACAGAACGACGATGGAAGCAATAAGCGGACAATTGCTGGATATCGTTACTGGATATACCCATGCAACTTCCGTATCCGTGGTTCAAACTACTCGTATGACTTGATGGTTTTTGACCAGTCAGCTTAGACCACCGTCGCAAAGTCCACAACCTGCCCACTGAGATGACATTCTTATTCTCGACTCATGAATCGGGAACTCTTTAGTTGCCATAAAGAGAAAGCATTCCCCGCGCCATGGAGCACACGCTGTATGTCGTCCTGACTTCGCCAATGTGAGAACCAAACCAGCGTCGATCAACAGGTCCGATGTAGTGATTCCGAGGGCACGTCAAATCCGCACGCGGTCGGAAGAGATTCCCTACCATCTCCACCAATCTTTGCACATTTGGGGCCTGTTTACTATTTCGTACTCCAGAAATCGTAAAGTCGTGCACCCTCAATATCGCTCAGTCGCATTCTTCCTTCCGGGGAATTATTCCGGCTCCGAGTTTAAGCGTGGCCAGCCTTGTTGAGGATCCAAACCGGGTTTTTCGGGAGAGTTATTATGTATGTCACGCTCGCTGAAACGCGCCCGCATAAAACATCCGATCCTCGTCCGACCTCCTTTAATTTGACGCCTCGTTACACCACCAACCTTGTTATGCTGCACAGTTTTGGATTCGGGAATATCTAGCAGGGACCTACACAACGGATCATCACATTTCGGACGTGCCTTTCTCGATTGTGCGCGATCAGTGCTATGCTGCATGCCCACCGCACGATCGGGAATTCGGGTACTGATCGAAGTCGCTACGACCGCCGAGCCTGGCCCCGAAACCGAGGCCTTCATCGCAAGCAAAACAACAGAGTCAGTCTCACGCCGTTCTTGCCATCTTGTCTCGCAATGCGAGATACGAATGACGCCCTTCTACATGCGAGAGCTCTTGCAGGATCAGCTCAGGATTCGATATTGTAGCCCGAAGCACCTCAGACCGCCCGACTAACAGGTCCGGCCACGTCCGTACATACCCGCCTTGAAGGAACGATATATACCAGCTGAGCTGGTGATCTAGAACTTGTTCAGCAAAGAAGACTACGTAGCATATAGCGTATTGTAGCGCGTCAGCCAGCCTATCGCCAGAGTTCACTCGCAGCCTGCCAGCCTGCACATCGAGATGACATTGTTATGGGATTCGGAACATTGGGGAATCCCAGAGCAAGAGTGAAAACGTTTGCGTTGAGCGGCGAATCCGGCAGCGGCGGAAAGGGAGGGCGGTTCCTTTACCTGCGCATTGTGAACTCGACCTCCAGCCCAGCCAGCTAGCCACACCGCAAGATGAATTCATGCTCTCAGAAAAGAAGACTAGATCGACCTTTGGGACAAAGAAGATCGTAAAGCCACAGGGCCGCAGTAAACACAGTACATACAGTACAGCACAATCCACACTTGTTCAGCGAAAATGAAGCACCCCCAGTCACAAAGTCAATATCTCAAAGCACAATCAAATCCTTGCTCCAAGCCCGGTATGCAGTGTGACACCAAATATCTACAGCCTTGCTATCACATCATGAAAACCCATCTGCCATTCCTCGCCCCTTTGCGCCCTATTTGATCCTCGTTAATAAACAAAGTCGAAACGTTAAACATAACGCCTGGTATCGTGAAAAGGCCAGGACCTTGAACGGCTCGAGGGGAAAAAAAAAAAGGAACAACCGAATATGAATGGGAATATGGCTTGTAGCTGATACCTTGAATTTTCGTTAGTTGGTGATGGAGATGACATTCAATCAAGGCATCTCGTCTCTTGCCTTTCTTTTGCCAATATTAGTATTGCAATTGCCCGAGCCCACCCCGTCACCTTCCCCTTTGCCCGTCAGAAGGCTGCATGAGATTTCGGCTGTTGGCGCACCCCTCATGTAGCCCTGCTTAACCTCAGACCGGTGTCCAGCACACGTCCCCGATTTGAATCGGCGAGTCAACTTTCAGCGTCGTAGTAGCACGGACTCCAGGCCAGCCGTGTTAGGCGACGCGTCAACATTCAGGTTGAAGGTATATCTAGCCAAAACGTCGGCGAGGCCCAGCGCCGTAGTGACATGCAGGTGCCTGGCCATCTGACCCGCGAGGTCGACGAACCAGTCGCGGTCTTCACCTTGCTCGGAGAACTGATGCAGCAGCAGCAGCTGAGGGCCATCGCCATGCTGTGTGCTCTTCTGGGCGGCCATGCAGGTTACCCACAGGATCAGTTCTTGATGCTCTATATTTGTACCCAATCTATTTTGGTCCTGCACGAAATCGGTCAAGGCTTGTCGGAGCAAGGCAATATTGTAGAACGCAAACGACTCCCCGGCTTGGGTTGGCGGGAGTTGGTGATCGATTCTGACTGATCGCGATTCCTCAATGGCGGAGACGGTAATCAGGCAGCCTTGTCGGATGCATTCCAAGAGTTTATCATTTCCTTGTTCGGCAACAACCCCTGACGCGCTGCTGGGGAAGGTGGCCGCCGCGGTAGGTATGGTTATGCAGAGAAGTTGGTGAGCCAATGCATAAGATCTCCTCGCCGCCCAGCTCCGTTGCTGAATTACTTGGTCTGAAGGAAGTAGATGCACGAGTTGTTGCACTTGAAACCACTGAACGACGCCGATGAGGATTTCGGAAATCGCAGATGACTTCAAAGTTTCATGTTCATCCACGAAAGCACCGCCAGGCTTGGCTCCGACTTGCAAGAGGCTTCGTTGCACTTCCTGGCTCTGAGGAGCTGGTAAAGCACCTGGGTCCCAGGTCATGAACATCAAAGGTCGCTCTCCCGTGCCAGCAGCTACAAGCATGTCCAGTTTAAGACAGAGCAAGTGCAGCGGGAGATCAATACTATCCAAACCACCGTGAGACTCTATCAAATGTCTCACCATGCCAAAATGCGTCCTGGCTCCTTCGGGGTTACCAACATATCTCTCAAATGCTGACAATGCCATGAGGTCAAAGATGACAAACTCATCTATTCTGGCTACTGAGTCACTGGTCAAGTGATGTCGTATGTATTGCAATGCCTTCCCGTTACAATATTCTGCAGTGTCGACTTTGTCAAGTTGCGCCCGTAAAACGAACTTCAAATGGCCTGAACTTGCTGACAACAAGGATAACATATGCATTCGGTTGTGAAGACAGCCTTGAATGATAGAGTCGATGGTGTCCTTGACAGAGCTCTGGGTCAATAGGTCGTCCTTGTCGAATGCACTCAAATTCTGGAAAATGGCAGGCAGCCACGATTGAGTGGCATATTGAAAGGCGTTCTGTGACCACCGAGCGTCCCCGGGTTGTTCTAGATATGCGAAGGGAGCCACATCATCGCTTGCAAATGGAACATGTGGTGCTGGAGAAGGTGCTGCTGATGTCTCACTAGAACTGGGGTCTGATTGCGCAACTCGACTCTCTGACCTGCTCCAGCCGACAACGCGCTGAGCACGACTGGCGTAGGTCTGAGCGTTTACAAGTCTCTGTTGGCGTCTTAGTGCTGCCCGCCATGTTCTAGCATGACTGGTGATCGTCCTTAATTCTTCACGCCCCTGTCGGCTCGCTGATAGCCGATCAGAGCCTGGTCCTCGATTAACCCAAAGAAAATCTGGGTTGTTGTTCGGTGTTCTTCCACGTCTTGGGGGCATTTCATGGTCTTGAGCAACGAAAATACAAATTGACCTACCATGATAATGAAACACAGCTTTGTACAATCCGACTTGAGATAATTTGTCAAAGATATCCGAATTATGGCCGGGTTCTCAGGGGCGGTTCTTTGGCTAAGAGGTTAGCCAAATGGATTGGAGACTGACTCACACGTCGAAGAACGATGATTTCAAAAGATAGGGACGAGGAAAAGCCTCGTATGGTCTCGGTGAACGTCGCATGGCCTCTCGGGATCAAGAAATCGCATGGGTGTGCGAGTACTTCGATACCAGGGTGTACCATTAGTGAGCGCGACCCGGTCTGAGCGGATATAGCCAGGTTGCAGACGTGCCGCTTGGCGCGTTCGGATTGGTCCTTTCACATCTCCAGAATCCCTTGAGGCAGCATATCGTTCAGCCTAAGTACTATGTTTGTCTCTTTAGGACATTTTTGAAAGCCGGGTCTATCGTTGGTTGATCTTCGGGCCAGTTCGTCATGTAAAGCCGAACTTCTTGGAGCAATCGCCGGTCTGGTCTTTAGCCTAGACTAATATCTAAGCGCATATCTGCAGGGGAATTTTCGGGGAAAATTGTGAAGATTTGCAACATCGGACTTCAGTATGTTTCAGCCCCAGACCTCAAATTGGTGGTGGTCACTTCCATATCCGAAAGAGAGGTCGGTTTTGCAGTGACTAGGATTTTTTTTGATTTATGAAGAGGTGAAAGCTGTTTCTCCATACACCGAAAAATGTGAATGGTAATGCAGATCCCAAAATGTCCGATACCCACATTATATGCAGCCCTGTGAGAACGCGATCTGACTACGTGCGGCACAGGCCAACGACAAATGCCGCAATGCGAAAAGGCCCATCCACCTTTTCGCAGGAGCACATCACTATCGGATACCTTGAATGTTTTGTGACTCTAGTGCCGTTCTACCGGAGATTTTGTCGTAAGTCAGAGTTGACCGAACCCTTGTTCGAGGTCTTGTACAACGGTGATGGCGGTGCCTCGGGCTTGTCTTAGCGCCGACTATTGACTTAGTAATATCAGCGTAGGAGTGTCAGTCTATAGGAGATACGACGCACTGCCTGATGGCCCGTTTCCAACCGGAAGATTGCCGATCCCTCGATCGCATGACTTCGACAACGTCCGGAATAGGTACGTACAATAGGGTGTAGACAAAAGTCCCTGACGTTCGAAGAGCGGAGTAGGCTCGCCAGCAGAATGGCTGCGAAACACAGCATCTTTCAAGGGCCCGAAAGGAGCTGACAGAAGCAGTCAAACCGTGGGCATTGCCAAGAGCCAATGAGGACCAGTGACCTCCTTGGGTAGGTAGATCCCGTTTTGTTTGAGACTATTCAACGCTGGGATGGGAAGCATTCTGTTCTCGGACGGGCGCAAGAACGTGTATGGAGGACTGTCACACTGGGTTATGGTGAAGAAGAAGAAAAAATTCAAAATGTAACCACTCTTGAAAGTGGCAGTGGTGGTAAGTTGGTGGGATTGGAAGGGGCGAGGTTGGATCAGCCTCACCAAGTAGCCCACTAATGCGTGCTTGCCGGGAAAATCATTAAGAGCAGCCTCAGCTTACCGTTGGCAGCTACATCTCCACCATCTCCGCTTTGGAGAGATCGAGAAAGATCGGAAATACATGTGTTCGCGACTCGGAGATTGTAGAACCCCTTCTGGTATATCCAAGTACCCCTGCCATGGCAATTCTGCATCAGATGATGTTTGGCCGCGTCAGGAGGTAACCAAATGGCCAAATGGCCAAATGGCGCGAAGACATCTATCTTGGCAGAACTACAAGACGAGGGGCAACGAGCTTAAACCGGATCGGGAAGCGGACTCGCTCTGGATAATTATGCACCGTCCTAATAGTACTTCTCTATACATGATGACGCGACTCAGGCAGTGCTTTAGCCGCGGCCCAGGCGCCAAGGGATAGCGGGCGGAACCCATTCCCGCGCGGCTCACGAGCCGCTCACGTGATATTCCTTCTCCAAGCTATCCAAGCCAAGTTCGTATTGAATCTCGCTCGGTGCATTTCCGCGGTTCTGGTCCATCAGTTTGCAAGCTGATGGCTTCGCAGGGCTGGACCTTCCTGGTCTGTCTCCCCGCAACCCCCAGAAATGCTACCTCCGCTTAACCCTTGTGGCCCGCGATTGGGTACCGCGCCTTTGTTAACCCACGAGGAAGCTACTTCGTAAGTATGGATTTCGATACGGGAGATTTGCCGGCCCTTGTGTTGCGGAGGTCTGTTTCATTTATCAAATCTCGCTCAATACTCTTGTCATAGTGTATCTTTGGTCTCTAAGAAGCCTTGTTTGGACTAGTATTAAGTTCTATCTGATCAGTTCCTCTAAGATCTTGAGAAATCTCGGATCATGGACCAGTCACTCTCCGAGATCTCAGAGCTCGAGGTGCATGGACCGCGAGTGGGTGAAGAAACATATGAGCGTCCGAGGGCCCGTCTGCAGTCCCGGCGCCCAAGATACGCTACCAGGGCATGGTATGTAACTATTTTCGAGAGCTCATCATGACTTGCATCACGCTAATGCCTCAGCGTAGCAAGGAGTGTAAACGCAGAAAAGTCAAGTGTTCAGGAGAGACCCCATGTTACCATTGCCAGCGCCATAATGCTATCTGCTTGTACTCCAAGCCCCCCTCTGCTCGGGGAGGACGATCGTCGTATGTTGAATCTCTGGCCAGAAGTTTTCTTGTTGCTGACATTGCACAGAGACATGGAGGATTTGAGGCAACAGCTCGAAATGCTTCGACAGCAGGTCAGTGTCTTGGTCTCTCGAGAAAGACCTATCGAGGCTGTGTCACGAACCCAAGATCTCCCTGCATCAGCCTGGATGCGCTCACCCCAATCAAATCCGGATGTCTCGGCCTCCTCCGCGTCGCCTGTGCAGCAGCTTCTGATGAACCAGTCGCCCACCAACTCAAGAGATCTTCAGCGAAATGGCCCAATGAACTCAAAAGCGTCCCAGCCAGCGGCGACTGGGCCTCTCTCGATCACAGATGTGACCGATAGTTCCTTCATTGATCAGTCGAATGCTGTCACAAACCAGACATCTACTTCTGGAAAATTGGCCGTTGCATATCATCCTCTGCTCTCACTTTCACCGGCCGAGGCGATGCGCCTGGTTGATGTGTACGAAGACGAATGCGGATCTGTCTACCCTTTGATTGACATTGAACATCTACGTCATTTTGTAACCCAGTTCTATGATAGTGTCACTGCGTCGAGAAAACCTGCGACTTGGCGCACCTTTAAACTCGATCAATCCTCAAAACGACACTTCAATACTTTGGAGATCGTTATGGCCATCGCATTGGTAATCGAAGGCCGCGGTGCAACTGATCTCAGCACGGCATTGATGGACGAACTAGAAGCCGAAATTGACCATCGCCCGTCTGGAGTTTCTGCCGATAACCATCTTGCAGAGATTTTGACACTCATGGTGCGCCGTCTCATTCATATAGTTGCAAGAAGGAAACTTTACTGACTAGGTGTAAGAGTTTCTACCAATTTTATCGCGATGAAGAGGTTCTTGCATGGCGCACGATTGGACTGGCTGCAAGGATTGCTCTAGAAATAGGCTTGCACCTTCGCGACCCACCATTCGCCACATTCAAAAGTACCCAGGAACGAGAACTAGCAAATCGACTTTTCTGGTGCATCTATTGTCTAGACAGGCGTTGGTCTTTTGGGACAGGGCTCCCCTTTGGTATACAAGAGGATGATATTGACCCTAGCCTCCTCGAGCCGGTGAGTTGTTTTACGGCGGTTGCCCGTCCCTCATGCTAAACTCGATGGTAGGAAGATTCACCGCCCTACCTATTTACAAGCATGATAGCGCACTCAAGGATTGGGTCGAAGATACTCAAAGCCTTCTCTGGCTCTGAACACCTTGAACTACCTGGAAAGAGAGAGGAAACCGCTTTTCTCAAGTACCAGGTTCAGCAATGGTATATTTCGCTGACCCCCGAGCTTCGGATAGACCAGCACCAGGAACTTGTTCTCGCAGACCTTTCTCCCGCCCGCAACAGACTTCGAATTCTAAACTGTCTCCGAAAGAACCAATTACTGATGATGATCCACAGAAGGTCCCTGTTCGCAGAAACGTCCATCGTTGCAGACCCCCAGGCAGCCAGGACAGCCGTTGATCTAGCTAAAAGCACCATAAATTTACTAGATCGGTTGGGCAAGACTTCCGAAATCTACAACTGCCACGCAGCTTGCTTCAACTACTTTCTCTATTCCGCCTTGATTGTGATCTTGCTTGCCGCCTATCATGCAAAAGCTCAATTCCATGAGTACTGTCGCATGGAGCTCCACCTGGCCCTCAATCTGATTGGAGGGATCTCGTCAAAATCAAACATCGCTAGAAAGCTGTGGAAGATAATCAAACACCTCAAAGTCACAATACCTGATACAGGTATCCTTAATTACATGGAGACGCAGCAAGAAAATCCTGGGCAGGAGCGAAACACTCTCATTCAGGAGAACCCAACAGCAAGTGCTCACCAAAGCGAGCTGTTTAACACCACGAACATGCATGTGGGACGGGGTTCGACCACCGCAGCGGAGCTAGACGGAACCAGAAATTCGATTGCATACGTCGAACCCGATTTCTACTCAGACGACTACGCCGTGGATGGTAGTATGCTCAGTTCGGAACTTTCAGATCTCTTTCACGCCATTGACCCGACAAGATCCGGTCAGACGCCACTGCAGTTGTTCGAACAGCAGAATCCCTCCCAGCCTTCCACGTTTCATATGTCTCAACCATTTCCGAAGGATATCAGGACTGTGTTCTAGTTGATCGGCTCGCTCTCCACCAACACTGAGCCTCAATATGATGGACGAAGGTGTATAATGATAGTTTACAACCACCTATGAGTGACATGCACAGCAGAACAATCGCCGTTTACCAAGTAGAACATATTTAAACTCCGTACACAGTTCAAAACATCAAAATTTCTCAAAGAGGAGACATCATGCTAGCGCAAAATCACATACATTCTAATCATTGCTGCTCCACTGCCTTTCTAGCGGGCACATCAGGATTACCCGCTTATTCAATTCCCCAAGGCACTCGGAATGTACAGCTTTTGGCCAACTTCAAGATACAGTATCAAGGATGAATTTGCAATTGGAAAATGCCAGCCTTTCGATATATTCATGCCTACTTATCCAGCTTCTTAGCTTCTCAGTCGAGTAGCTCAACTCGGTGCTCTTGCCATTTATGTAGACCTCATCTCACCTAACTAGGAGAACGTGAAATTGCGATAGCCATTGTCGATGGATTCCTGCAGCTTCTGTGCAAACATTGCCACGCCGCCGAAAAAGACGAGAGTCGAGCGCACCTTCCCTTCGACATTGGCTCCGTAGAAATATGACGGAGCCTGTTTGAAGATCAACTTGTCGCTGATCGTGTCACACAGGGCACCCCACTCCTCCTCGCCTTGCATCGTCGTTTCCATGGCCACTTTAGCCTGGCCTGAAGGCGAAGGGGCCTTCTTCCGCCGCATCTCTTCGACATGCGTAATCGCAGCGGTGATAAAGTCGATATGGATCTCGAGCATAGGTGGCACATTCGCCAATGGAGATTTAGGTCCAAGGACCATGAAGAGGTTCGGGAACCCCGCCGTGGCGACTCCCATGTTGGTGGCTGGGCCTGTTTGCCAGTGGTGATTCAGAGTTGCTCGGTTTCGTCCTTCGATATGCAACGACCTATACGCTCCGTCGAAGGCGTTAAATCCAGTGGCGCAGATGAGCACGTCGAGTTCATGCAAGGTACCGTCCATCAGCTTGATCCCGTCGCTGGTTATCTCGGCAATTGGGTTCTCCATGATGTCGACGATGTCGACGTTGTCCCGATTGAATTGTTGGTAATATCCACTATCGCAAAGTGGTCGACGGCTGTAAAGGTCTTTGGGGGTTAATTTCCGTCTCTTTTCGGGATCCTTCACAATCTCTGCAATTTTGCCCCGAAGGAAGTCACACGCGGTCTGGTTGGCGGCTTCGTCGCTAATCAGATCGGAGAAGGTTCCAACCAAGAATCTAATGCCACTGCCCTGGTCCCAACTGTCCTGGTAAATTCGATCTCTCTCTTCTGGGGACACATCCATTGCTCTAACTTTGGCCTCTTGGAATCCAGCCCCGGCAAAAGATTGTTTCGCTTCTAACCAGATTTCATCATATTTCTGGTTTATCAGGTCACGCTCATCTTGAGAGACGAGCTTTTTGCCAGCGGGAACACTGTACTGAGGATGCCGTTGAAAAGAGAGCAACGATCCTACTTCAGGTGCTATAGTGGTGATGAGTTGAACCCCGGTGGAACCATTTCCGATCACACCGACCTTTTTCCCAGTAAAATCGTATGTCTCAGGCCACCGAGCCGTGTGATAAAGCTCTCCTTTGAAATTACTACGCCCTGGAATGCTTGGCCAATTTGGTTCGGTGAGGAGCCCCAAAGCAGAGACGACGTAACGCGCGTTGAAAATGCCGCTGCTGGTATGGACTGCCCACATATATTCATCTTCATTCCACTTCATGGAGAGGACTTCCGTGTTGAACTGCATATATTTTCGCAAGTCGTGACGGTCAACGACGTGGTTCAGATACGCAAGGCACTCCTTCCAGCCCAGGTAATTATGCGACCATGGGTATGTTTGCAGGTCTTCCTTGTCCCAGGAATACCGATATAGAAAGGAATGAGTATCGCTCATCGCCCCCGGATACCGGTTCCAGTACCATGTGCCTCCTGGGCCACCTGCCCGATCGACGACCTTTACCGTCAGTCCAAGTTTAAGAAGTCGATGTGCTTGATAGATGCCGCCCATGCCGGCCCCAATGACCACCACATCAGAGTAACGTTGCACCATGTTTGATCATGCGGAATCGTGAATTAATCGTTCAAGGTGGTTTGTGATCGAGTTACTGAAATGTCGACCCAAAAAGTAATTCTGCACGTCTCGCCATATATATCGAGCAATGATAACTGACAACCTTACATTCTCTTCCCTGGAGGCCTTATTTACTGAAGTATATTAGAATCTCGGAATTCGGTCATCGACGCCCGTATCCGCAAACTGCACCCCGCAGGGTTAGAGCTAAAAAGCCGCCAGCGGGCCAAGAATGCATGGGGAATATTCCGCTGGAGAAGGGCAACCTAGATGCCACTAGCGGCTTGCGGGGATACCCAATGATACTTCTACCGAAAACCTCAACCGACTGCATCACTATTGAACTAAGTTTGGGTCTTTCTGCGAGATACTTGTGAGTTCGGAACTTCGGTAGGGTCTCGCCGAGGTTCCGTACAATCGAGACCCACTGGGTACTTTCGACTTTGAACTACAGGACGAGCACAGCTTAGACGTACAAACTTTCCGCCCCTCCTACAGCAGAGTCTATTAAAGCCGCCCCTAACATCGTGCCTGTGTATTTGAGCCCGAATTTCCGAGTGTGAAACTTGGCGCAGAAAGATGGCTCCCCAAAGGGAAAAGCATTTATGTCTACGGAACTCCGTTACCCCTTATCGGCAAACCACTGGCAATGCGCTATGAAAAAATGACAAAGGGTGTGGCAATTGTGACGGGCTCGTCCCAGGGACTCGGCAAAGCCATTGCGCACCGCCTCTCTTGTGATGGATTCGCCGTTGTGATCAATGACATCGCTAGCAAAGGGGACCAAATCGATGCGGTCGTTCAGGAGCTTAGGGCTTCAGGAGGAAAAGCAATTGGCATCGCTGCCGATGTGACTAAACGAGCCGAGGTCCAGAACCTGGTGGACGTAGCGACTGAGCAGCTTGGTCCCCTGCGGGTCATGGTCGCTAATGCCGGTCTCGGTCACGCAGACGGCATATTCGAACTGACCGAGGAGCACGTTCAGAGGATTCTCGACGTTAACGTCGCCGGAGTTTTCAATTGCTATGTCGTCGCGGGAAAGAAGATGCTCGACCAGCGCAAGGGTGGCAAGATTATCGGAGCCACGAGTATTGCGGCTTTCAAAGGGATGGCAATGGTCTCGGCGTACACTGCCTCCAAGTGGGCCGTTAGGGGTCTGACACAGGTATGGCTTCTGGTGACCTTGGATGAGCGGCTTTGGAAGTGTAGCAACTAAGATTTTCTCCAAAGACTTTTGCCCTCGAATTGGGTGGAATGTCCAAGAGCCATGAAAAGACGATCAACGTGAGTGCAGCAGGTTCAACTACTTCAAGGTTGCTTCTGATAACCAACACTACAGGTCAATTGCTACGCACCAGGAATCGTGGGTACGCCGATGTGGGAGGTGAGTTGATGTGAAATACTCGGCTGATTGCCTTTCGAGGTCGCTTGTCGCGCTAAATGACTTCGTAGGTTCTGGAGGACAAGTTGGAAAAGACAGGCACCCCCAAAAAGGAAGGCCTGAATCAGATGCAATCTCTAGCGACAACAATCACCACACTTGGAAGGGTGTCGGTACCAGAAGATGTAGCCAATGCCGTGAGCTTCTTATCCGGCTCTGACTCGGATTGGGTGACTGGACAGGTAGGTCGTCTCTAACTGCATACTGGTACCAACGCTAATACCATGCCTTTGAAGAGCTTGGTGGTAGATGGTGGCATTGCGTTCAATTAGGTAGTTCTTGGGTAATCAAAGACATCCAGCCATAACAAATCGCGAGGATGCCTTGCTGCATATAGGATATAGGATATAAAGCATTTGCAATATATTAGGCTTATGGCTATTTGTTGCTGCTGGAATACTTATTGTTACAGGTACGTGCGGATGGAGTCAGCACAGCCCATCGATTTGAATTCATGAGGAACTTTTCCACCCTAACTTGCGAGTGCTTGTGGTCCGCGTTTCAAAGGACTCAAAAGCCTCAAACGGAAAGTGTACCCAGATGGGAGATAAGGTTCATTTTACAGTAACGGCCGGCATAAGATACACTAGAGCTCAAAGCTTTCGGAAGCCTCTTAAGTAGCATCTTATTTTCAAAGTCAATCTACTATTCATGGAAGAGGAGGAAAAGCGAACTGTAAAGTTCACAATCAAGAGAACCCAAGACCGAGGGGTATTTGTAATTCCTTCAATCCTACTTCCTCCAGCCCAGAAGCTATTTACTTAATCTGCTCCTAGCTTGGTCTTCCACGAAGGCACCGCATTTCACCCCCAATTGCCTGCATCTCTCCCTCCTCCTTGGCTCAGGTCGTACCTTACATAGACCAGCTCTGATGTCACACGACCTGATCAGATCTCACGGTGAGCTGAGCTGTCTTTCGTCCACTTCCTGAACCTCTTGCCGACGAAGAAAAGCGGGATCGCCAATCCAACGAAGAAGACTGCGAGAGAGGTGTCTACCATGATCGGCGTAATGTACCCGGCATCGACGATCCAAACGTTGAAGAACTTGGTCATGCCATAAGCCCACAAATTCTTGACCATTGTCGCCGCGACCAAAATCTCCCCTGCAACGGGCCTGTAGCAATCAATCTGTAAAACGGAAGTCAGTTTTGGAGAAAATTCGAAGGAACTTCATTGTTGCTCACGGCATAGGTCAATGAAATGGCAGACAAAGAGGGCAATACAAGGCCGAGGAGTGCATATCCACCAATGACTATCGCCTTCCAGCTCCACTGATGTTGGTAGCCCACAGCAACTAGAACACCACCGAGCAGACAGCTCACGGCAAATGGTGCTAGAGCTACCAATCTCATCTCAGGCTCTCTGATGCCCTTGTTGCGTCGGGTCAACCATGTTGAAACCCAATCGCTCAGAGGTCCTGAAATGACAAGTGACAGAGCGACTCCGACAATGGCACCAAAATTGGTGTAGCCAACATCGGTGGCTGACATGTTCCACGGAGGCCCGGCAAAGGCCTGTGATTGCGTCACATTGATGATCACAAGCATAGACGCCGCCCAGGCAAAAACAAAGCTCGACCACACGACAATGGGATATGCGAATAGTTTGAAAGGCATGATCAGTGCCGGACCAATATTTTTCAGGCTTGACTTGTCGAGTTGGCCCCACAGTGAGAATTGAGCCTTGGTAGGTGAGCCTTTTAGCTCAATGACAATATTGTTGGCTTCAGATTCCTGGTGTGTTTCTTCCAATTTTGTGTCGAGCTGTTCTTTCTCGGCATGCAAATCTGAGGTTTGATCCACGGGCTCATGAGAAATTGCGACGTGCCGCTCTCCCCATCGAGTCTCAGGCATGAAGAGGACTTGATAGATCAAGGCAAAGACGGCAATGGCAACACAAAGCCACCAGAAACTTCTCCAGCCGTATTTGTCTGACATAACTCCAGCAATGACAGGACCAACCTGCTCGTATGTCAGTGGCGAGAAAATGGAAACGCAAAGTCCTGATGATCCTCACCAAGGTTCCAGACCATCCTATCCATAGATATAGGCTCATATAAAAGCCTCTCTGGTGGAGGAACATGACATCTGCGACAAGCTACAACGGTTGTCAATCAAGTCACTGAGTACTCTGTATAGGATATGCCTCACCATTCCGGGCAGTGTTTCTGAGGGTCCACAGGCAATGCCAGTGACCACACATGCGCCCATGAATGACCCATAGGATTTCGCCTTTGCTCTCCAGATCATCGAAGCGATATTCAAAACGTTTGCGAGGAAAGCCATTGGCCGACGCCCATATGCACGACCAATTGGAACCCAAATGAAGTTGGAGAACCCGAGGACGAGGATGCTGACACCAACCTAGAGGGCAAGGAGTTAGCGCTATGAAACCGCACACCAAAGAATATCACATCACATATTACTTACAAATTGAATCACATCGGGCAATGATCTGTCCCATTCAGCCATATAGTATGGCACCTGAGATGAGATGGCCAAGGGGCCAACTGTCCATGAAAAGGTGGTGATGGCCATGCCGGCCATGTTCAGCATCTTCCACATAAAGCTCCAATTGAGCGGATCAGAAGGATCATCCGATGGTTGTGGAACAAGCACGTGTTTTCCGGAATGCTTGAAATGGAGACCACCGACTAGAGGAAATCATGATTAGGATTAATTCAGTCTTGAAATTTACATATTTCGCCCCACCGTCAGTCATAACCTCTGTACCTGGGTACAAGACTGTCTGCACCGTCTCCTCTATTTCATGACGAGCATCGGCTTCGCTGGCTATTGCGATTGTCCCCGCCATATTCCAGGTAACAATTTGTTGGTCGGATGTCGGAAGTCTAGTCCTGAATTCTCAGACAGTGGGAGCCAGGAAATGATAATATGAGCACAGGATTCTGCGGACAAGGGAAGGAGGACATGGAGAAGGTTGCCACGTGTAGCCTGACTAGGACGCTTTTATTAAAGCATGATCAAGGGGTAAATCGCGGTATGCATTCCGGGGTAAATGGGGGAAGGCTTGAGAAACATGGAGTACTCCAACCACAATGTTCTGTGCCTGGCGTAGATGCGGAAAGAGGACCGGCAGCTTATTTGGCTTCTAATTGAAAGTCGGCAGAATGTGAGGGAGGCCGGTAGAACAGTGCTAGCCACTGGCAATCCGTTTAGCTGGAGGCCAAGATTGTTGAAGTATGTCGGGAAATGTTCCGTTGTAGCGATGTATCCCACCGTAGTCTGCAGCTTGAACAGGTGGAGAAAAATCCTGTAGGTTCCGAGAGGGACTATTTGGCCCTAGGACTATTAACCAGTGCGTTTGCCAGTGCGGTTGGCTATTTTGATTGGCGCCACAATCGCGGACAAGAAAGCGGATCGATGGCATACACATCCACAGGAAAGTCTGTCGAATGGGTCGGAATTTCGGTCTCCAGCACCGAAGTCGGTCCAGCCCTTCCATGGCCCTTATAGACACGAAGGCGTGTCGCAATCATTCCCATCGACACCAATTGCTCGATCTTGCAGGTTTTGTCATGGGTTCATACACAGGTCGACTTGCAGGCAAAACAGCCATAGTGACCGGTGCCGCAAGCGGAATCGGCCTGGCTGTAACCCAGCTGTTCTTAGCCGAAGGGGCTAAGGTCCTTGGGGTTGACATCTCAGAGAAAAGCATTGAGTCGGCATCTTCGCTGCTGCAGTCTCAAGGACTCGACTCAAGTGTCTACGCTTTCCATAAAGCTGATGTGGCGGACGAGGACTCGGTTATTGCCTTCGTGGACAAGTGCACGAACGACTTTGGAGGACTTGATATCGCCGTACTTAATGCTGGCGTTGGGATCATACTACCCATTTCCAAGACAAGTTCAGAGGAATACGATCGCCACATGCGAGTCAATGCCCGTGGACGTAAGTGCATCACCGCTCTCCATGTCGCTAACGGTCGCATATGCATTGCGCCGACAAACGCTCGTCGCTGACAAAATGTGTGAAAACAGCATTTCTAGGCGTTAAATATGCAGCCGCCAAAATCCAGAGCCTGGGCAAGGGAGGAAGCATCATCATAACCGCAAGCCTCGCATGTGAAGCAGCGTATCCCGAGATGAGCGCCTATAGCATGTCGAAGTTTGCGGTTCGCGCGCTTTCGGTGACGGCTGCCCAGGAATATGCAAAAGACAAAATTCGAGTCAACACGGTTTCTCCTGGCTATGTGGCCACCCCTCTGGTCCATTCGTTTTCAAATCTTGAAGAACGCCTCAAGGCTAGTCCAGCAGGTATGATACGTAGTTGTTCTTGTCATCGATCTGGCATTGGCTGACTTGGTGCAGGAAGAGCAGCAGAACCAGCTGAGGTCGCCAAGTTGTATCTCTTCTTAGCTAGCGATGACGCAACGATGGTGTCAGGAAGCAACTACCGTATGGACGGAGGAATGCTGTTACATTAGTAGACAAGAACCAATGCTATCTGCCGTTGGACTATCTCTTCCGTTGAAATTTGAATCCTAATCAGCAATTCAGAGCGACCGTGCCAGGGGAGGCCTGGACTTCCGCTTCAGTCGATAATAGCCTGATGGTCTTGGTGGCTGCTGTTCTTAGACAGGCGCTTGAACACGTTCCCATCTCTGCACGGAACGGCCCATGATTCTGAACTTTGCATTGCCCATCTTGGGCGAATGCCTTCCGCTTCGAAATCGGCGATTCCAGGGTTTTCTGAATTTCTTGGTGCAACGGTTGCTGTGGTTTTGGTAAGGATGAAAGAAAGATTGTGCAAGAAGGACCCCATGCCGCTCTTCAGCCATCCAAAGAAGGGCCCCATACCCTTGGGATGGTTGACGAGGAGAATGAGCAGGTCCGTAGGGACACACATACCAGCCCTAGTGATCGGAAACGGTAGATACGAATGGTGGGTGGTCACGGTGGTCACTACGTCGAAGTGAGTATCTGGCGGTTTACCGAACTCTTGGCAATGAAGATCTGGCCGGAAGGCCGCAATGACTTTCTTCCGTAAATACCAGTAGTGACCAAAGTTAACACCCGAATATTGTTCCCGTGCTCGACGTAATCATTGCTTCTTTAATAAATGTGCCATTAAAATCCACTCCCAGTAAGCCCTTCACCTGCTTTTCTTAATGTTGAAGTGTTGTGACAATACCCTCTAAGTGAGAGATTTCTTTCTCGAACTGCCGTTGGGTGTGCAGTAACATTCTCCTCCGAATCATATACTGTGCAGGCTCTCCCAGGGCAATTGCTCTCGAATAATCAATACACCGATGTGCTTTCGGCTATCCCGATATCATGTCATTCGGAACGGTTACAATCTCAGCTTTTGTTATTTCACATATCGTACAACAGTCTCATGAGAATGCCTAAAGTAAGGAACTTAGCGACTCAGGCGACGGTGCTAAACGGCTGACCGGAGCCTGGTAACTCCGCTGGATATCTGTCATCCCATGCGCCATACGAGAATATCGGATCCCAATCTTCGATCACAGCGTCAAAAATCCTCGAGTCAATGTTCTGCGCAACAGTGGTCCACTGATTTGACTCGCATGCTTTCGTAAGCAGGAGACAGAGCTTTTTGCATGGTGGACAAGGGCGGAAAAGGATCTGCTGCTGTGAGAACCTGTGGATGGTTGGGTCTACAACTGATAGAAGCTCGGCCGATTCGTTGCTGTACGGGAACTGAATGAGATCTTGTAGGACTATCGCACATGCATGATAGGCGTTATAGTGATTCAGCAACCATTGGTACGGTGCGAAAGACGGATCGTCCAAACCGGCCAAGAACTCCTTGATATAAGACGTGCTGGCATTTAGGACCAGCCGCCTGGAGTCTTGAGGCCAACTAGTTGATCGGAGGTAAGGCTGATGCAAGATGAAGACCAACTTATAGCAGTGGAGTCGTTGGCACAGCATGATGAAACGTTCGAGATCACTTTGGTTGTTTGCCTCTGACTGGCTTATCTCGTTCATGGTGTAATTGTAGACATTGTTGACCTCTTCTTTTAACCTTTGAAATGAATCTTGCGTTGGTTTGTGCACACTGTACATTTCCTCTGCTATCCTGGTGAAAAGCAGATTCGAACGGATTTGCGTCTCTAAGAGCTTTGTTTCAAGCTTTCTGTTTCCCGAGATAACTTTCACGTCCGAACTCGTTGAGTGGATCAGAGGTGGTAAAGCATGAGCAAAAGAATATCCGACATCCAAGTTTTGGATGCACCACCACAGGATACGGCGTGATTCGGCTTCCCGAGGAGAGGAATGAAAAGATACCGGATCGCGATGTAAGCCTAGGGATTGAGCAGCTCGGACCAGTACGGAGATAGGAGCTGGGTCTGGGTCAATATGCCACTCAGCCATGCTAGGCGCGGCCAGTAGAAATGCGGCACGTATGGTGTTGAGATTCGGTCGTTGAGGATATTGAGAAGTAGATAGTAACTGCTGTGCGAGTTCTTTCCACGCTGAAGGTTCGAAACTTGAAGACTCTACCTCGGTTGAAGTATGCAGAGAAGAGGAGGCTGAATAACATATGGCTGCCAGTAGAGCCGAGGAACCAGCTGGGCAGGGTTTTCGGGAGCGTATACACCGTAACGCAGCTACGACGCTTGGGCCGTCCGCAACGGGATGCCAAAACTGTACGAACTCTGAATACCAGCAAATCAGTCGATTTACTTCTGGTAGATTGACGAACTCATAGATCTCTCCCACCGGAATCTCCGAAGTAGTTTGCGAAATGGCACCGAGAGAATACAGAGAGTCTGGGCTATCTGCATTGCTTGTAGGAGGAGAGAGTGACGATTGGGAACCTTCAAGGTCCCGCAGCGCCGCTACCCATGAAGAGCTCTCGTAATAGCGGACTTGAGCATCATCGCCAGCGGTGAGGAGTCCGACCTGACCAGGCAAGGTGGTCTGGCTGGGTAGTCTTGCACGACTAGACGACTTTGTGGACAGTACATGATTCAAGCCATCCGCCTGCAGTAGTGGCTTAGTCGCAGCCAATGATGGCTTATTTTGGACATCCTCAGGCGATTTGATATGTTCTTGGATCTTTGAAACATATACACAGGTTCGATTGTTGGCAACACATTTCTGACACCGCGGCTTCGCTTGATCGCACTTGATCTTCCCGTTTCGACAAGGTAGACAAGCCCTGACTTCTCGGTTGCGGGGCTGTTTGGGTAGGTCCAGGTTGAGCCGCATCATCTCTGCCTGGTAACCACGCTAGTCAAATTCGACGCGACGTGACTGCACGCAAAACCTGTTGTGATAAAGCAGGGCCTTCGAAGTGACGTTGGTCCAACCGGCTATTCTGTTTGATGGCTGCCAATTATAATTTTATTTCCTGCATAGATCGACGAAAGTCAAACATATGATCAATTACGCAGATACCAATTAATAACATAAAGAGTCGAGATCGGAGGTGGCATAGTCTCCCATGACATGGTATGTCGCCAGACCAGGAATCATCATGCTGACAGATCTTGTGGTCGTCGGGGACCCATTGATCCCGCCATCATCACAAGATCGTCTTCGCGTCGCACGTAGGAATTTCCTTTTGTGGCTTAGAAGCAAAGCTGCACTTTGGCACCAGAGAAAATATACTGCCTTGCAGGTTTGCCTTTTTGCGTGCCAAGAGAGCAGCGGATTGCCATTCAACCCAAGTTGCGCTGTGATTCGATTCAAAATGGCACTCTTTCGACGATAAGTCAAGCTCGAACATCGCACAAGCAGCAGAGTGTCGGCGAAGAAGCATGAAAGAGGTCCTTGGTTGATCCTGTATCAAGATTGCTTCAACCAATTCAAATGACCACCAACCGTCGTTGTCAGCGAATGCTCGGCAGACTTGCCATTGTGAGGGATGGAACTTTCTGACGGGGACGTACTTTCTAGATCAGCACGTCATAGGCAAAGACATGTTAGATGATAGTGATGGATGCTTACCAGCACGGAATAAGCCGCGAATATATTGTATCTAACGCTTTGGACGCCTTGAAAATGGCGCCGAGATATGGGGTGGAATAAGACTACGAGCACCATTGCAAATCGCTCTTAAGGCTTTGGTTTGAGATTCTAATTATTAATTTCTTAGTATTCCATATGATGAGCTTTAATTCCTTGAACGCCCTTTCCACAGGCTGTGTCCTATTCTGGATACACAAACGCCTCCCAGGAGATTCACGGATTCCAGCGCGTCTGATTGCCGCAAAGCCCAACACTGCATCAAAGCTCGTATCGAGCAAATAGATTCAGAATGACGAATGGTTCTTCGGTGGTTCGACTCCGACCGGAGGATTACCTAACGATAAGGCTGTCTGACTATCGGGTATCGGGTATTCGGTAATACGATAGGCGGGCCCTGATTTTCTTCCACGGGGTATCGGTCTCGATCTCCAACAATGCGCCCAAAACGGTATACCGAGGCTATCTGGGGTGAAGGAACCATCAAGATGTTTCCGAGGCCATCTGATGGCCCTTTGATATCTTGCCACCAGCGCCGGTCCACCACTCCTCCTTGTAGGTCAAGGCAGACCTCAAGGCTGTGTGCACGTGATACTGATTCGTCCTCCTCAAATTTCGAAACAGCTGAACTCAGATCCATGCACCTAGCTCCCAGCTCAAATCCATCTTCGCAATGTCTCCGAAGACCGGTCCCGCCTCGAGAGGTCAAGGGAGCACAAAAGCCGCAGAACGGCTATCCAAAGTTGCCGGGCACTTGGGCAGCGATCAAGGGGAAGCCTCTCTACCAACCGAGACCGCGCAACGTGGTAATCATCGCCCGAGATCTCAACGCACGGCAGGCCCCCCTGCTGACTACTCCGATGTACTTTCCAATCTGCAAAAGCTCAAAAAGATTGCGCATACCCCTGATCTCACAAACAGAGGGTATGTGAGACAGAAACGCGAGGGGAAACTGTGGGTGCGAGAGCGGTTGGACCAGCTCCTTGACAAGGGCAGCTTTAAGGAAATCGGCAGTGCCAGTGGACAGACTCAATGGAAGCAGACAGGCCCACAGGACGAAGAGCCGGTGTCGTTCATGCCGACTAACAATCTTCAAGGTGAGGATGTATTGTCGGCTTGACTGGGCCCTGAAAGTTATACTAACGCCTCAAAGGATTCGGCTTATTGAACGGCAGAAAAATCATTTTGACAGCTGATGATTATTCTATTCGAGCTGGCCATGCCGATGGAGCCATTTCCGAAAAGACTGTACGTGTTTCAGGCGTCCCCATGTTAAGCCCATTTACGTGGGCGCCCTGCTAATCACCGGCGCAGGTATATGCCGAGAAACTTGCTCTGGCAATGCAATTGCCCATCATCAAACTTACAGACGGATCCTCAGGCGGTGGATCTGTAAGTACTATCAAGACCAACGGGTGGTCATACGTTCCCGGTGTCCCCGGATTCCTTGAGGCAATCAAGGGTCTGAACATGGGCCTCCCCAACCTAGCCGCGGTTCTTGGTCCAGCGGTAAGTGTAAAGCCCACTAAACCTCAACCCATTGCTGAAAATATGCGACAGATTGGGATCGGAGCAGCACGTGCAGTGTCATGCCATTTCTCAGTGATGGCAGGTGACATCGGGAGCCTGTTTAATGCCGGACCACAGGTCGTCGAGCTCGCGACATTCGAAGAAGGCCTGAGTCTGCGAGATTTAGGCGGACCAAGCATCCATTGTACGAACGGGACAATCGACAATTGGGCGGCCAACGAAACAGAATGCTTTGAGCAGGTTAGGAAGGTCCTCTCGTATTTGCCGAGTTGCGGACAGTCGAAGCTTCCACCGATAGTTCAGTGCAATGATCCAATATCCAGGTTCGACACGGAGCTGAGAACTATCATCCCTCGAAAGAAGACTCGTATGTATGACCCAAAGGCGATCATCCGAACCGTCTTCGACACCGACTCGTGGTTCGAGATTGGAGCTCTTTGGGGAAGGACTGCGATTGTTGGCCTTGCTAGATTAGGTGGCCATCCGGTAGGAGTGATATCTCTCAACTGCGAAGTCAATGCAGGAGCTCTCGACGCCGGCGGTTCTCAGAAAATAACCCGCCATCTGAAGCTTTGCGACGTAATGAACCTTCCAATAGTTCAATTTGTGGACGTTCCGGGCTATGCGATCGGAACAGTCGCTGAGAAGCAAGGCAAGCTAGCTTTCCCTTCACCTCACTATGTCATAGTCCGGCTAACGATCCTCAAAAACAGCCACAATGCGATGGGGCGTCGAACTAGCTAAGGCTTACATCTCAACGACGATTCCAATTTTCAACGTCTTAACCCGCAGAGTCTATGGTGTCGCTGGTGGCGTGATGGTGGCGTGTCGAAATCCGATCATGCGTGTGGCCTGGCCGAGCGGTGAATGGGGGAGTCTACCCCTCGATGGCGGCATCGAAGTCGGCCATCGATGGGAGCTGAAGCAAGCGGAGGCTGAGGGCAAGAAACAGAAGCTGTACACCGAACTCGAAGATGAGTACCGGCGGTTGATGAACCCGATCAGGACGGCCAACGCATTCGGAGTGGAGGAGATTATTGACCCTGCAGACACAAGACGGGTACTTGCTGAGTGGACTATCCATATGTAAGTGACTTAGCCTTTGTCCTCCGCTTGTTGCCCTGTCTTCTTCTTGCCACTAATGACTATGGGCCAGGTATTCCGATGTGTTGCCACAGAGACTGCTTGATCGAGCTGCTGGACGGGTACATCCATCCTTCGCGTAGAACATTTAGACCGAGACCTGGTGTTCATCCGATCGCCACAATCCAACATTACCTATTTTCCTAGACTTTATGGCCACCTTAGGACGACTCCCCTTTCCAGACAAGGACCTACAGGGCGGAGTTATGGCCAGGATCCCAGAAACGAGGGAATCATACTGTGAAATAAGATCTCATCCTCGCACATCTTTCTTGACCTGACGAGCTTGACTGTCAGTAGCGAGCACTATTTCTTCCGATGAGTGCCACAAGCGGGGAGGTTGCCGTCAGCAGTGCCAGCTAGAAAGGCAGGCCGTATTGTGGCTGCACTCCTTTCGTCGGGCAACAGAGTTCTTGAAGTTTCAAACACCCAGGAGATCATTATGTGTAGAATCTAAGAATATGATCGCGCATTTGGATTCTCAACAGCAGTCGGAGAGAAGATGAAGATCTCGTGTAAAGTGGGAAGGGCAGAACATCGAGCCAAAAACACGTAACGACGCTTTCCAGTGACAAAATAGAAGAACCGCTACGTTATATTTCCCCCTAACATCTAGGATTAATCATAACCTCGTGTAATATTTTGATCATCAAGCGAGTGGTACAAGATCATAAGTCGTCACAAATACCGTTTTCCAATGCCGCTAAGGCGGCCTCATACCTGCCCGGGCTATGATCGCCAAACATGTCTCTTCCAAATCTGAGTTCTCCGAATCTTGTCTCCACATCGCGAACAAGTTTGAGCTGAACTCGTGTGGCAGGCCTACCCAGCGCCCGGTATAGCTTTTCTGTCCGATCATCTTTTGAATCGTCAGGCCCAAAGACTGCTTCACGAGCGACATCAGGATCAAGTCGATCAAAGACACGGGAGGTCTCCACGATAAATACCTCTCCAGGCGGGACGAGCTTGTCATTCACCATTGCAGCGCGAAGTGTCTTGAGTGCTGACCATGCCCATGTATCTTCTCCTAGGCCGTCACCAGCAAGATTCTCTGGTGGGGGAGGTCCCTTTGGATTGTTGTAGAAAGAAGATGCAATTGCACTCTTGAGCCGTTGCCAGACACGAGTCTTGAGTGCTCCGAGAGCATCGGTCGTGTCTGTCTTTAGGTGTAAGGCAACCGTCCGAAAGTCGTGCAGTATACCCAGTGACAGGCATGGCACAATATCGGCATGATTGACAATGGTTGTGATGAGACCACGAGTTGCAACTCTTAGAAGCTCAGACATGCATGCTGGCGTGCCATAGGCATAGACATGAATAGGTCGTCCAGATGGGAGCGTTATCGGAGGGGCGCAAGATGTGAATTGATCACCGGTATTTCGGTGGGTGAGAAGCTTTGGCTTGTCTGCGGTGACAAATGCTGACTGTGCTGTATCATTGGATGGTTCCGAGATCAAGATCGCAAGGACGGCTGCAACGGCACCCCCAAGTGAATGTCCGCAAAGAATTAGTCCGTAATCAGGGTACTGCTCAAGTGTTGCCCTGATGGTTGCCATGACACGGCTCCCATTACCACCTAATAATCGTCTTGCCGATGCATGAATGCCTTTGTGGACTTTATATCCGCGGCCTTGCCAAAAAAGGTCATCGTAATCGCAAGTCATATCAGTCAAGACATCCTCAAAGCCCAGGGTTCCACGGCAAGTCAGAACCACGGCCTTTGAATCATCGTCAATCGATATAAAATGGATAAGTGGAGAGATTGCCGAGGGAGACCAGTCGGTGTTTCCAGTAACACCTTTAGGATCAAAGAATGAGGACAAAAGAATAGTATGTGGCGGTAGGCCAGTATGGGTCGAGAATGAATTATGCTCGTGGTGGGTGTTTAAGGTCATTAATTCAGTTGACTTGCTTAGCTGTTCTTCGGTCGAACTAAGGCCCATAACGCGGAGGAAATTTGAGCCATACGAAGCAGATGCGAATCTAGAGAAACGTCGGATCGTCCTGACGAGGTGTTGATCTGGAAAAATGCCAGGCGCTTTCCCGTCGGTAATTAAAGCGGTTAAAATATTATGGTCTTCGTAAATAGACTTTCGTGGCACTGGAGTTTTTGGAGCCAAGATAATCGCCTCGTGGGAGTCTTTCGTGGCCATAGAATAAAGACTTGGCACAAATGATCGGGAGCGATGATGGTTATGTGCAGTGTTTGAAGATTCGGGTCTTGATTCTGCTTCTTTCAGAGACAGCGCAAGCTCAGATCTGGTCTGTGTCAGTCCGCTTACAACACGGGTATGCGTTCGAGTGAATGTAGGCGACCCAGGCCTGCTCTCGATGGATTGCACTGAATAGGTTTCGGTTGTCTGCGAGACAGTGGAATCTCTCCTTCTATCATGTAATGTAAAGTAGCTAGACGAGGACTCATGCTGTGATGCGCGTTGTAAATTCGGACTTGTAAGTGGTGTGGTACCATGGCTGCGTGAGGTGAAAGCCTTGCGGAGCGGAATATCACCTCGTCCGGCTGAAGGCGCCCGACTTCTCGAGGCTTGAGTGGGGGGTAGAGGGAGGGGCTTCTGATGAGCATTCTTACAAGGTATATCTTTGACTGCGATTGAGGACTGGCTCGGGCTCAGAGACTTCAATGCTTTCTTCAGGACACCATTCTTTTCAGGCTTATTAGTCGGTATAGATTTCTTTTTGCTATTCTTCATCAGTGGTATGTGGCTTGTAATCTTACTCGCAGAGGAAGATGTTCGCTCTGGCGGATTAGGGCGTCGACTCTTCTTCTCGTTCGCCATTGGCCCCATTGCCTTGGGCTGGGTAGGTGGAGTAGGGGTAGATGAGGACTCGATGATTTCATTCTCAGGATCAGAGTCACTAAACGGGAGCGATTCAATCTGGGTTGGCTCGTCCACTATCGAGATCCGTTTTGGGGTAACATCCATCATCAGAAAATCATCTTGATCATGATGATCATGATGATCAGTTTGAACTCCATCGTTGGTCGTGAGTCGGAGTTGATCGGTTGATGCAATGTCCGTGCTGCTGGATCTTGTCAGAGCAGTCCGGAAAATTACGGTCTGTTGAGGCCCGTCCTGCGGGGGGTTCCCGACACCTTCGCCTTGAGTAAGCCTTTCAGAGACCATGATGGTGCCTGGAGGCGCTTCAATTTGGGCGTTTCGTGCGTTGTAGATGTCGACCTTGATGGTCTTCGCTGTCAAAATCTCGGAGGTGATGACGGCTCTGGCTCCAGTAGGTAGTTGCTTGAGAATGCGCTCGTGTATCTCCTCGTCAGTTAATTGGGTTGAATTATCTGGGGAAATTGAAAGAGTTTGGGGGTCGAACAATGTCGCACGCTCAAACGCCTCGAAGGTCTCTTCTCCGTCAGGCGAGGCAAAGGTCACGGTTGGGGCGCCTGTATTGTTGTGCAGGCTGACCAAACCTTTTCGCCTAGTTCCCACAACGTCGGCCCGAAAGCCCTTATCATCGATGACGGAATCCCAGATTGTTTCCTCACCATGACGATCTCTGAAATCAAGTTCGGTCTTGCGACGACCCCATCGTTGCAACATCACAAAGCCAACGGTCCCGACGATGAGGTCAAGGTAGGAGACCACTTCGCCAGTACAACCAGCTTCAGGCTTGTTGAGCTCATCCTTTGCCAGGGTAATTATAGCTGCAACAGCACGTGAGGATTCTGTGGAGCCGAGAATGGCGTTGAGAGTTGACAGGCCTTGAATCGACAGGGCCGAGACCGAATTCATGCCCATCTCAGTCAAATAGAAGCTTGTGGAAGCCACAAAGGAGATGGTCGAGATAGAAGAGTAAAGCGCCGATATCTGTCATTCGTCAGATTTGGTTCGCGAATGGGGGGAGAAGGGCCATACACTTCTCTCGAGGATATTCTCGGCTTCTGCCCTTCCCAGCTCCCCATTACTACGGGCAGATACATCCCTCCCGGCAGCAATAAGGACCGTTTCCAGGACACTTCTGCCCACGGAGAGTGTCTTCAATGTCGCTTCTCTGCCAGCGTAGAGCCCCCAGCCCCCAACCTTGGTACCAGCCCTGACATAAAAGGAAGTAATGCCAGTTACACCACTGACAAGGGCAGCAGCTGGAGCGGGGAGCAATGTTCTGCCTTGTGGGGGTTGCACAATAACGAGTTGCTGGTTGTCATCGCCGGGTTGTTCCTCAACAAAATCGCCACTCTTGTCCTGTAGTAGTCCTTTCTCTTGACTCGACGACCAAAACATTGCGTGGTGGAACGGTGCGGGTACAACGAGGTGGTGGTGTATGAGGGGAAGTGGCAGGTTGCCTCACATCGTGCTCCATTAAGTCGCGATAAACAGAAGAGAGGAAGAGTCGAGCCAGGAGAGGGAGGGATAAAAAGGTTGGGATTATGCAGGTACGCGTCGGGTTCCTGACATAAGGGGCATATGCCAATGACAAGTGTTTGAAATCAGGCAGTCAAGATAGCACAGATGAACTGAAGATAGTACCCGTAATGTGGACTGTGTGGACAAGGGCCGCAGTGGTTCCAGGTGGTCATTGAGCTAGGCGAAAATAGCGCTGAGGATGACGTTTTCCACATGCCATCAACCCTTACAGTCTCAGCCTGATGGCCGGGAGGCGATTGGATGTTCGGAGTACGAGATACGCGGCACGTCGTGTTTGGATGAAACGCGGTCGAGTTCCTCTCGTAGGTCGTGACTCGTGACAGAAGATGTGCCATGTTCTGAAGATCGATTGGATATGAACGGAAGCGAGGCCCAGGACAATCCTGCTTTGCTCCTTCCTTGTTGTTGTCAATATACAGTACTACATGGGCGCCTCTCCATCTGCAGTTGCCCAAGCCCCGTTGATAATTAGGTTGTCTGACATTCGGTTCTCGGCGGATGCCATGACAATAGTACTGTCAGACAAGGCAAAGATTTCAAAGAAGACGACTGGACTTTCACATGCTTCTACGATTTACGAAGCAGGAGCCACCCAAAACCGCAAGGGCTCGGAAGATCAGAAATGGCCAGCTCACGTGAATCGAAAAATACATAACATGCTAAACAACATTCTCAGAAACCACTCAAGATGCACGTCGACATCGAGCGCTCGGTACGCGATTCAAACAAGGCTCCACAGGCCCGATTGGCGTCTTAACTAAATCAGTGGTGGGTCTGCGCCCAAGCCGGTGTATAACCGTTGAAGCCCTTCATCACCGCACTCCAAATCTGTAAGCTTTTATATTCTTATTTCATTCGCTCGTGTTTCACGTTGATTATGCCCTGTCTTGGACAACTTCCTGAGCGAAGAAAGAGAGTCGATTGAAGCAACCACCAAATTGCTCCTCCATTGGGCACCGCCGACACCAGTGACAGGACAACGGAACATTCCAAGGGCGTTTACCTCTTTTCGAGGCGGGCGTATGGACACTACAAAGAGCTATGGAAACTCTGTTGCACTACCAAAGCATGTTTGAGAAAATCTAGAGGACTGTAACTGGTTCTAGGCCGATCACTTACCTCAGCAAATCATGGTTCCAGAGAGGTGCGGAGATGGTGGGAATATCTAAGAGGCGCACCGCCACAAGATTGACCTAGGGTGGATGTGAACACCATAATCCACCATCATGATAGAATTCGGTGGGAAAACAGAAGATGGTGGATCAGGAAATCCCCGAGGATGAGTAGAACACTTAGGTGGACGTGAGCATCTAGAGATACCTGATTCAAATGCAAGCCTGCCCCTCATGATCAAGACATAGTGACCTGGCAAAGGCCACATTCTTCCGGTCACTCTCATAGTAGTAGTACTAAGCACTTTCCTCTCAATCTTCGTGTCTATATGGAACACCAACCTATCTTTCAGGACGCGATATATATCGTAAGATCCTAATTGGAACAATGGGAATTTGGAAAGGCTGTGTCAGACAGTCTGAATGATGCCCTTTGTGCGGTATAAGCTTTGGCTGCCTATACGAGGCCGACCACGTTAAACTTTGTCTGACGATCGCCTTTCTCCCCTTCAGGCAGCCATCAGCTCCATCCGGATTAGGACTAGTGACACATCCCACATTGAGTCAGGAACTGAAGTACACCAACTCGCCCTCACCAGTTCTTTCTGACTGCTTAATTCCTATCTTCACATATCGACAACCCATAAATCTTCACACATCTCTACATATTCAAATATATCCACACACATTCGCCGGAAAACCAAGCCGACCTCGTTCTCTGGCTTTGCATATCTCGTCGCTGCATCACAAATCTACCGCACATTTTCTCCAGCACCTTGGCAAACTCGAGAAATCTACATACACCCTCGACAGTTTCTACAACTGGTTTTGTCATCATCTCATTTTCAACATGTCGTTTGGAAACAGACAGAACGGCAATGGCCAACCTTCACCCACCCTCCAACTCGCCATTAAAGGCTGGGCAAGCAGCAAACTCTCAACATCCAAAGACCAGGGTGTCGAAGCCTTGGTCGGATTTTTGTCTAAAAAGGCAAGCAGACCGGTTCTATCCTATACTAGGGCCGGCCGCACAGTACTCCTCATTACGGTCAACACACAAGACCAAGATCGCTTCTTCCATCTAAACGGCTTTACATTTGCCGGTGCGACACTCGTCGTCGAAGAAGGCCGATCACAAAATCCCAGATCCCAACACCAACAATCGAACAACAATGAGGGCAGATTTCCTCAATCACAACACCATTCTCGGGACCAGCCACAAGGCCACTTCGGTCAAAACAATCCCCAACTTACCATCCGAGGTCAAGCCCAAGGACACTACGTTCCTCGAGGACCGCGTGGTCAGTTCCAAGACAATTCCAACCACAACAATCAAAACCAAGGTCACAAATCAGCCGACCCTACAACGTCCGAGCTAGAAAACCTCATCATAAACGTCATAAGAGAGCGATACCACGCAGGAGACAAACATCTGATCCTCAACGCACTCGTGGCCGACCCTCAACTCACCAACTCAGGCCTCTCAAGCCAAGACCCAGCCAAAGTCTGGCGGGCAATCTTCACCCTGTGTGAAAAAAGCATGTGGGAGACACCCAGCAAGCGACGCGAGGCCGTGCAGAGTGTGAGCCTACGGGATGACAACATCACCAGCGTGAAAGACATCCTCTCGCTGTCAAATGTCTTCCCAACCATCAAAAACCTCGACCTAGCAAACAACCAGCTGGCCGACATCGATGCGCTCAAGTTTTGGAAAAACCAATTCCGCGACCTCGAACACATCATCCTGACGGGCAATCCCGTCGCGTCCAACCCGGATACCGTGCGCACACTGCTTACATGGTATCCGAACCTCAAAGTCTACAACAATGAGCCTGTCAGAGATGCAGCAGGCAATATCACTATCCCAACATCATTGCCAACATCATTAACACCATCGTTACAACCACAACCGTCCTTCCCATCACCATTACAACCATCCTTACCATCATCATTACAACCATCATTACCATCATCAATAACACCCACCACGACCCCGATCCCAATCCCGGATCCAAACGCCCCAACAGCCACGCACCCGGAATTCCCACCGGGCTCGACCTTCGGGCTCCCGGAACCGAACAAATCCGCCGAGGTGCTGCAACGCGAGCAAATGGGCCTACAGTTCTCCTTCGAGACAAAACTAAAGATGCAGTGGGTCGAGAACTGCCTGTCCGCCAACGCCTGGGATTACGCCGCCGCCGTCGCTAACTTCAACATGCTGCGCGCACAGGGTCAAATCCCTCCCGAGGCTTACATCGCCGGTGTTTAAGGGAGGCAATAAAATGGAAGGGAGGGAGGGAAACGGAATTGTATTTTTAAAAAGCGACATGAGTCTGGCGTCCGCTCTCGCTTTTCGTGTGTCAATTACATAGCGGCTGCCTTGGGTACAAGGCATGAATGAGAATGAAAACAAGCATTGGACTAGGAAATACTCCTGGATCGTATTCCGCTCTACATCGTATCTTAACGCTGCGTGATCTTATCTACTATATCCCTGCCCTCCCCACCCCTTCCCTAGTGCCCGCCGTTGCGATCTTCCGGCGGCGCTGGACTCGTAGCCTTACTTCCACCAAAGCGACCTATCCCACCAAAGCTGCCTAAATCTCGCTTGAAGAACTTGCCGATGTTTTTCAGGTTCTCGTTTAACTTGGCGCCGGCTTCGGCGCCTGAGAAGCCACCGTCAGGTCCTGTTAAGGGTGCAGCCACTGTGATGCCTGGAGCGGCTGCACCGAAGGGACCTGCGGTCGCAGTTGCTGGAGGGCTCTGTGCGCCATCTCGCGGACCGCCCAAACTTGGACTGCTGAACCGGTCTATGATTGCGGTGCCTAAGCCTGAGGCGTCAAATTTCATGTTGGCCGGCAGATTGGCCGTGCTCAGAGATGCAGCGGCGGAATTTCCAAGCGCGGATAGATTGTGCAGTGCCCCTGTCGGGGCCGATGTTTGCCCTCCAGCACCAGACCCTGAGGCACCCAGATTTAGGGAAGAGAGAAGCGGGGATTTTTCGACGAGTGAGTCCTTGTATCGTGGACTGAACTTATGCATTTGGAACAACTCTACCAAATGTGTCTGTTCTGATTTGGACTTGATGCCTTTGAGATCCAAGATTTTGCGGAAGTTGACTTCTGATAGGTCGGCTATGTGAATGAGGTATGCCTGTACAAGAGCTTCCGGAGGAGAGGGTCGGATTTGAAGGGTCTTTAATAAAGGCACAATTCTGTTGAATACAGCATTCACTCGCTTCAAGAACAGTGGAGGTGGTGCGCCCGGGAGCAGATGTGTTAGGGTTTTCCGGATCTCGTGGGTATCGAGAATCATTTGCTCAGCCCCTCCTTCTGAGATTGGCCTGCATTGAGCAACGTTGGAAATGTATGCCGATCCGAGAAGCTCGACAAGATTATCGCTGAAAGCACGCGCATATTGCTGTTTGTGCACCATTTCAAGAATTTCTAATGAGCGGTCCTTGATACGAGTCTGAAGTCCTGTGATGAACGGACTTTGATTTTCGCAACTTTCGATTTTCGACCATGGAGTATTTCGCATTTCCCTCCAGCTAGGTTCTAGATCAACTTCGACTCGTCGAACTAAAGCGCGGACTGCTGCACTAGCAATGCCCATGAACGCGTCCGCCTGACTTTGGAGATCAACCTGATCTTTCAAACTCTCCTCTATTCGGCTTTTGACTTTCTCCTCCAAAGAATTCGAGGTGTTAAAGCAATAATCTGCAGTGTTAAGAACTAGAATGACGTCTTCAACGCTCGGTAATCGGGAGGGAGCTCCTCCTGAAGGGGTTTCTGAGAGATTAAATAATAATACTTGCTGTGCATATTGGTCTAGATACCGAGCAAAGACCTTAGAAAGATCAAGCAAAGGCTGGCCTGTCGATAATTTGGCACACTGTGTCAATGACAGGCGGTAAAAATTGAAAAGCTCGGTGGATGAAGCTATCACTTGTTGAGAAGAAAAGTCCTCATCTGCAGGCTTTGTTGGTCTTGCTTTGTATTGAGGTATTAGAGCTGCGAGCTCTTTGTCCTGTGCCTCGACCCAAAGGCTTAAGTAAGGCTCAAAGGCATCAGATATCGGTTGTCCAAAGACAGGACTATCGTTAGAGGATGCCGTCGTATCTATCGATGCTCTAGAAGTGCTGGAGAATTTCTTCTCGAGGCTGTGCTCAAAGTCCAATGTTTGCTGGAGGCAAGATAACAATAATCGTACATCTATGGTCTGACCATTTCGAGTCGTTCTTGAAAGAATGCCTCTGTAATCATCTCGAGTACCATCAGCAAACACGTTGGCGAGGATTTCGTTAACTCGCCAGTGGGACGGAAATATGGCAGCATGTTCTTCATCATAGATTTTTAATGTCTTCTTGAACCAGGAGTATCTCCGATCGATGTTGTCGAGTGAGCCGGCTTCTTGGTCGCCTTTGAAAATATGGCGATACTGTCGCAGTTGTGTGTTGCAATACCAAGTCGTTAGCCTCGACCGAGCGGCGTCCCCTAGGGCATCCACAACTAGACAAGACTCGTGAAGCAGCCCCCGTTTCTGAGCAATCTCCTCTTTGGTGAATGTGATTTCGAAATCCTCACAGACTTGTTCTAGAAGCTCTCGCTGCAGCTCAGACACGTTCCTGCTCAGGGTTGCAATCTGGTCTATAGATCGGTATGACTTAAAGTGGGCCATCAGTTGAATTACTGCCTGCAGAAGCTGAGCGCATTCTCGGTACTGCCTAGTCTTGCTCAATGCTTTCAGCTGTTCATACGCGGTAGTCAACATCTGCAATCTCTTCAAAGCCGTCATGGAGAGAGTTAGGTTCTTCTTGGTATTATCCAGCTGTTTGATATCGGCTGTCATCTCGGTGATATTTCGTTCTGTCTGAATAGCCCGTTCACGAACATTCTCGATGCGCCGAAAGAGTTCCGACAACTCAGCTTTGGAGGACTCCATTCTCTGCAGGCACTCAGCGTTGGAGCGCACTTGCTGCTCTTCGAGGATATCGATTTCATAGTCCAAATCATCTTGGTAAGCCCGGAGGGCTTGATATGTCGGAGTAACAGAAGAAAGGGTTGAAGGGTGTGAAAATATCAAGTTAAGGTGCTCTATGGGGTCATAACAGTCTGGAATATGTTAGTTAATTGTGGCGCAGAGGGGAATGCTCTCGTACCCGAATCGAGTATGTCCAATTCTTGATCGACACCATTCACAGGCATGACAACAGGTGTGAAGGGTAAAGATGCACTCGGCGCTTGGGGAGTGGGCAAGGCCCGGCATTTCCTTCGATGAGAGAGATCTTGCAACCGGCAAAAACACAAGCAGAGGCCTCGACGTGATTCTTACTTCTTCATTCCTTGCCGTAAGTGGTTGATGTTGCCAGATCAGACGCGCTTGCAAGAAAGGTGCAGGTCACGTGAGTGTGAATACTTCACCGTATAATATGTTAGATGGACTGACTGCCCTTACTTTGCGTCACTTATTCTACTACCTCCCTTACGTCTAACACCGCCTAAACTTTTAGAATTGCATTGGAAGAGATAAGAATGGGCTGGAATGACAGAAACAATGTTTGATCAGCGACGAAGGTGTTTTTGTTTTCTAGTGAGCTCTTGGTCCAATCTGAGCCTGCTGCCCTTGTTTTCACGACGGCCACTAAACGACTCATGCTCGCTGTGCCTGGGACAATTCCTAAAAATGATGCCACTCCAGCGAATCTGCATGTGGAACTCTGTAGCGTTCCCCAGCCACTAAGATCAATGATCTGGAGATCGATATGTGAGGGAAGTGCCTCTCATGTTCCCAAAACCAGTCACCACCAGATCATCATCTCTTGCCTTGAGGCGCAACACAATATACAAACCCGGTCGCCATTGTCTGAAGTCCTCCAACTGCATCTGTTTGCATCAGGCCCTAGCCCTGTGAGGTGTTTGTACATGCGTGTGATCAAAGTCAACAAATAAATGTCGGCCGACAGCCCTTTCACGTTTCCTCAGTCAGACGCCTCAAAGGGACTTATATATCATCAATGATTCTATGGCTTTGAGCGCCAGGGTTGGGCACTCTGCCTTCACTCAGTTGCCGCAGCAGGCCTTGTATATCGTGCTTGGTCCGCACCGTTTGTCGGTGACTGTGAGCTGCCTCTATGAGGCAAGATCACACGGGCCTCGGAATGGATATCTAGACCGCTCGAGGCAGTCAGTGACGTTCAGAGAGCGTGAATGCATTGTGTATGATTGCCACTGCTTCGTCGTTCTCTTACTTATAAATAATCGATCACTCCGGGCTAATGTTGATTCCTTTCCCTTTCCTCATACAGACCCCAGGCTTTTCGGACCAGTTCAGTCCAATACAACAACACGTTCCTCTCCAGCTCGTACTCACCGTCAATCTTAGTGATCCGCAGTGTTACACTCCAGCTTGGACAACCATATTACCAGTGAGACCATGTCAATTAGGACGGGAAGGAAATAAGTGGCTAACAACCAAGCCGCAAAGCGACCATGGCTTTCTCTCATTTGCACGTCGTCGTCTTCGTCCTCGCACTTATCTGCAGCCATGGTCTCGTTGAAGCAGGCCGAGCTGAGCTGGTGCATCAATGCAATTACCCAGTTTGGTGCGCAGTCGTTGTGGGTTTCGAGCCGAATGACACTACTCCGCTGGGCCTGAGACCACTGGTGAACTGGACTCCACAACCAGCAGGCCAGGTCATTGTTGACGAATACGCCACTCATCCACCGGACACCGGAGTTGCCATTATGTGTACGCGGGAACCGAAGGCCATGAAACCGCTCGTCACCCAACTCGAGTACACCTGGCGCCCGGATCAACAAAAGACGTATTTCGATGTCAGCAATGTTGAGGGAGCCCCATTTGTGGAAAATGGATTCAGGATGGTGCTCAACGACAAGGTCAAGCCTTTGAACGCCTCCTGCTTCGGCGCCTACTGTGCACCCGGAGATCAACACTGTGCAGAAGTCTACGACAAATCGGATGATGACTTCCGAGGAATGCGTGCTTGCTCCCACGAAGTTATGACACGCTTGACTCTCTGCTCCGGCTAGGGAGAGGGCAAAATTGATGCTGGGCTGACAGCGAGAGGAACCGAGTGCCTAGTATGGGCTTCATCGCGGGTACTGGCAATAGTCAACGGTGGGAGGAAAAGATTAGTGTTAGAGTCGAACCTGTCTTGTTCTTTTCGAAGGCAGGGCAGTATTACATTCTCAGAGGCACTGAGAGTTCGGTGAAACCTTTACATGCTCGGGAAGGCAGGTGCTTCCATAAGCTGCATAGAAGCAGCCATACCAGTCTGTGGCGAAATCCAGAAACTTGAAACGATTCTAGATTTACGGCTCATTGAGCTTCCTCCCTTCCAGAAAGTTGCAGTAATAGTCAAGGTAGTGGTGGGTTTGAGGTGGGAGTCATAGTGGAAGTTTAGGTCAGGATGTGCCCTTCTCCAATGCGGGAAACCTCCTTCAAGACTAACTGACTTGAGTTAATACTACGGAGTCCTTCGCAATTAGTGCGATTCTAACGAGGATGAATGGGGAAAGTGGAAGGTGCGCGATGACTCTTTCTGGTGCTTCGCTCTTGCTTCCTCGACGCCCCTTGTCCGACATGCTGTGCCCGCCCCTCGTGCGTCATTGGCTGCCCGCAGAAGCACCACAACCGTTTTTGCAATATTGTGATTCACAACCTCTGCGCCTCATTACCATCGGTGACTTCATTCCCAATCCAAAGGCCTCGAACACACGCAGACAAGCAGATCCCCAATCTTATATCCCGACGGGCTTCCTCCTACGAAGAATAGCTCTCACCTTTCCAGAGAAGCACCACCTTCCGCGAAAGCAGCGCACTTTCGCCTGCCCCTCCTTCGTCCAACACCCGCCTTACTCTTCCCCTCCAAGAAAGCTCAGGATCTGGAAAATCGTATCTTAGAAACTATGGCAGTTCGAGCACAGGTATACGAAACTTCCAACCTCTCCTCTCCTCTGTGCTGACATAGCCATGTAGTTTGAGAACTCTAACGAAGTCGGTGTCTTCGCAAATCTCACCAACAGCTACTGTCTGGTCGCCATAGGCGCATCAGAAAACTTCTATTCCATTTTCGAATCCGAACTTGCAGACCTCATCCCAATCGCACACTGCACTATTGCCGGCACAAGAATTGTTGGCCGTCTAACCGCAGGCAATAAGAATGGCCTCCTCGTCCCTACATCTACCACAGATCAAGAATTACAACATCTGCGGAATACATTACCTGATACTGTCAAAATAGAACGAGTTGAGGAAAGACTGTCGGCCTTGGGGAATGTTGTCATTGCCAACGATCAGTAAGAAAACCTGCATAGACCGTTTTCACGGATGAACTGTCTGCTAATGTTATTGCCTCCAGTGTTGCCCTGGTCCACCCTGACCTTGAACGCGAGACCGAGGAAATAATTGCAGACGCCCTTGGTGTCGAAGTCTTCAGACAAACTATTGCCGGAAACGTCCTAACAGGTTCCTACATGTCCCTCTCCAATCACGGTGGAATCGTACACCCCAAGACAAGTATTCAGGATCAAGACGAACTCAGCTCTCTGCTTCAAGTACCTCTGGTTGCTGGAAGTGTCAACCGTGGCAGCCCAGTCGTTGGTGCAGGCATGGTTGTCAATGACTGGCTTGCAGTTACTGGCATGGATACAACAGCGACAGAACTCAGCGTGATCGAAAGTGTGTTCAGATTGGGTGAAGGTGGCCCCGGCGGTCTGGACGCTCGAATGAATGCCAACAAGGAGAGCATTGTGGAGAGCTTCTACTAATCCCACCGCTAACTCCTGGAAGGGATAATGATTTGATGGAAATGGTCTGGAAAAACAGCCCGGGGAAAGGGGGTTCCGTCACATCGTCACAGTCGAGAATCTACCCATGTTCAGCAAAGGACAGTTTTTTAGCCCATGGCCGACACTGGAATCGAGAAGACATCTCTGAACAATTATCCTCTCCGACTGCCGACCCTTAGTTTAAGGGGCATCAGCTTGCTAGGAGAGCCATAGAGAGGTGATCCCCGATCTTGACGCTTGGAAATTGATGAGCCGAGAAAGACGCAGCAGCCCCGTTGCTACCTGAACGCAATGGCGTTTGTATGCTCATGTTAACACAGATGTGAGCGGAACCTCATCAGCATCATGACCAGGCTTGGTAATGCAGAGCAGAGCCATAGCCCCGATTTCGATTTCTCCATAGGCTGTTGTACAGTATGATACATACGTCCAGCATGGACTAATCCTTTGGCTACTGAGACCATATGATTCATCAGCTAGATGAATCATCAATGTAACCCCTATGATCAGTCCATCTACCAAAAGAATTGGAGATCCACTCGAAATGCAAATTAGATTCCTCGGGGCCGGACGTGTGATATTTCTTGTCTCTGAAAGGTTTTCGCGCGACACTCTAGCTAGGAGCCAAAATGTTTATGCTTCGCCCACTCGCCCGGTCAGCTTCCATGCATGCAAGGGCGTGAGGAACCTGGTACTCCGGGTCCGGCTGACGGTTTGCTGCGACTTCGTGAGTTTATAATTAACCCCCCAGGCTGAAAGGTACCCAGGGCACTCGCCTGCACCCTCAATGATGCGTAACCTTCATCTACTTATCTCCTCTGGTATCACTGATTTCGCCTCAGCAGCACTTTCAGCTTTTACCGTACCACTCTGTTATCGACAGAAATATGGGAAGAGAGAAACCGATATTCCATCCCCATCCCCCGTGCTGACTCCATATAAGCAAGGCTGGAGGACCTCGTATTCACGCTCGGTAGTCGTCTGCTGAAACATAGTCGTCTCCATTGCCCCTGGTCTCACGATCTATTGCCCTTCGAGACAGAGCCCGTCCAGACTCTGTCCTTCGCGCGCCGCGCTCGGACTAGAATGCTTAGGAGAATGCTTAGCCGTTGGCTTTATTGTCACTTATTGACTGATGTTGGTTGGTGGCTGTCACGTACTGTACGAGTAGCTAGGTTGAGATGTCCCCGTCCCCGGACCGACAAGCCAGTATCAAGGCAACCGCCCAGTCAGAGAACGCCATTTGACGCAGTCTAGTTTGCTGACGAGGCTTGAAGAGGGTCCGATCAAGGTTTATCGCAATTTGGCCTGTCGTCTCCTCTTCCCAGCCTGGCTCTCACGGAATCCGAACCCCCCCTGCTTCCAAAATTAGACGATCCCGGTAGACGAGCAGTTCCCGCTTTAGAACTGGGCCTCGAAGCTCGAGGTGGAGTGGGACTTTGTTTAAATTCCGCCCCGGAAAAAATCTTTTCCTTTCCTTTGTCGAATCAGAAAGAAATTGTTTGTTTTTCTGGTGAGACATGAACGATAGTAATATTCTCACATCATGGGGGGTATCTATCTAGCTGTGAAAAATCAAAACATTTCACCCATCTCTGAAATCGTAAACTATCAATAGGGATTAAACGTTATAGCGCGCGGCGCCTGCAAGCAACGCATTTTGACAGACTCCATCCGTGTTACGTGTGGAGGGTTTGCATGGTGTTTTAGGGTGCGTAGAATAGCAAAGAGATTCGTTCCGAGAGGCGAGAAAGACAAAGCGCAATTAAAGTCTAGTCGATAGTTCGTCTCAGTGGTGATGCGGGTGATGTTGGTAGTAGTGCCCCGGTTTTCAACGCCGTGATGTAAGGCCCAAACGCCATTTCTTTCGAAATAGATAGATGGACGCAAGTCAGTAGTGTGATAGTATCTGGTTGATCAATTTCCCTGGCCGCTCGCTAAGAGACACAACAAAAAATCAATGCGAAAGAAAGTCATTTTCCCGGCTTTAGTAGCCACTCTGGTTGGAATGACGGAGTTTCTCGCGGCTGTCGCCTTCCTTCCACCGTCTGCCGCCAACCAACTGCCACACCGCCAAACTGGCGACGGTTAGACCGAGGATGAAGAGTGGGATCAGGTTCCAACGCCAGCCGCGCATGAGGCGCAGGTTCTTGCGGATCGTGTTTCGGTCGCTGTCATGGGCGAGAGGGAGTTCTAGTACGGCGATGAACCAGTTCTCTGGCGTCCAGTTGTCTAGAGGGTACATGAGCGGCTGGGCGTTGGCGGCCGCGACGGCCAGGTCGATCGTTTGGTCGTCCGTCTGAGCAGTCAGCACGAATGTATAAATCAGTGCCGCGAGGGTAAGCATCGCCGAGAGTACGGTCATCACGACCCAGAAGATGAATAGGCCTGAGTGCCCGGTGGTGGAAGACTGCGGTTTATTTGTTAGTACGGGTCTGCGTATAGAGATGATTTTTGGTTGGTGGGCGGGAGTCGGGAACAGTGATCTATCGCCACTCACCTTTCTTGCCTTTCGTCTCTCGGAGAAGATGACTATAAGACCTAGAATCCCAACCAGAACGACGGCTGTGCCTGCTGCTCCATTGCTCGTATGTCCCTGATCAGCCAGTATTCCCTTGGGCTTTCCGTGAAGGTCAAATGTGCCATTCGGTGCGTCAATGGTGAAAAATTTGCCGGCCCGGTCATGAAGGAAGCCGACCATTGATCCAACGAAGCCGACTTCGATTAGACCATCCACCATCAAGATCGGGATGGCAACTAGGAGTGGGAGGAACGACATCTTGGAGATATATTGAGCCTGGGAGCGTCCGGCTTAATGTCGAAGGGCACGCTTTGGTAGCGGCAAGGTGTATGTATTCGTAGATTAAGTGAGGTGAGCTGATGAGTACAAAGCCTCAATACGGGCGAGGCTTTAGGTTAAGTAGGTCTCGCAAGCGAAGCGGTAACTAAATACTAGATGGAGGATGACGACCTCATATCCCAAACAGTGAGAAATGGAGCACAATGATGGCGGGGGAAGGGTGGCACCGGCTTATAACGACAACGACAATGTTAGTCATTTAGTAAAAAGCGAGCGAGTGGAGATTGGTTGCCCATTAGTTGTGGTAAGCCATGTGCTCGTACGAGTAGATCACAATACTACATATTCGTATGCAGTTGCTTACACCAGGCGGAGCTTTTTGGGATAGTGGCGTTCAGCCCAACGGGCGTCGCGGCCGCCTGAATGGCTACCAAGCTGTTCGGGATACTGCTCCTGGGCCGAATTGCCACGGCTTGTTCACGCCCTATCCGGAGGACAGGCAACCTTGCCGGGAATTAGAGACCAATCTCAGATAGGATGGGCGATTGAACTGGACCAAACCTCGATGGGCAAGGACGGTCTCTGCTATTTTGAATCGCGAACACACCATGCGGAGTCAGGCCTGAGCAGGGACAGGGCTGCCTACTGTACACCCAAGCTTTAAGGCGTTCACCTGGTGTTCAAGAGTGGCGTAGTCGGGGGGCCGAGATTCCGTCCTGAGTTTTCATGGCTGGTGGAATCTGGCTTCTTTTGGGTAAGGCCAGATATCTGATAGACATGAACAGCCACAGCCGGGACAAGACCGCTTACGACCATGCCAAGTTGGACCACATTAGAAAGTGGGATTTTATCTTGCGTACCGGCGCAAGGTACACTAGAGTATCTGGAGAGTATACGAAGTAGGCTTTGACTTTCTCAACCTAGAAATCTTAAATCATATATCTGCCGCAGGCGGGCATTCTGGCAAGTGCACAGAGTGGCACAGGCTGGCCGCGAGAGAAGAACGTGGTTTTGCTGGTTGTACTCGTACTACGGCACACTACTCGTACCGTCTGGGAAAATGCTGGCAATCACGCCAAGTAATGATGTTGATTATCACGCTAGACTAATATGGGGCAAGTGCTGACCACTGCGGCGGGCCAGCGTGGAACCGAGCCTTGGCGGACCACTGTGCTCTGTATCGTACTGTACGAGTAAGAGTACTCCGTACTCCCCATAGAATTGAAGATGGAGTTCGAAGTTGGAAGACGCTGGATCCATTTCTGGACCAACCAGTCGACCAACATGGTGTTGCCTTTTTTTAGGATTCTGACATCGCTGAAGCCTGATATAGCAGCAACACGCGACCGAATACACGAAGAGGTTGTCTGTTTTACCAACTACCGACTCAACTGACCATGGGACACTACATGTGGTGAATCACAAGCGAGATCCCAAGAATGTATATCTTACCAAATTAATTGATACTGTACAGTGGCTTCATCTCATCCACTCAATACAATACAGTAGAAGAGACTGGATTGTAGAAGAAGAATAATACAATTGTATCTTAATCGTTATGCACCCTTGGTGTTTGCCAGCCTCATCAATGCACCAGAAAATGCCGCTCAAGTGCTGAATCCCGGCACTCCAGCCCTTTACGCCAGCCGTCGTGTCTCCGTGATGATCTCATCAATCATTAAATTCTCGAAACTCCCCTGACCAGGCTGAGCACCCCCGGTTCAGCTCTTACCCTTGATAGCTGCGTCTGCTATCCTGGATCCCAGGCCGCTTTAGTTTTTCACTTGGACTTGATCCCTCCTGACCAACAAACCACTGCAAGACACTCTCGTAACAAAGAACGAATTGTTTTAAATTTTGCACCATGCTGAGTCTTTGATGCCGGAAGTCATCAACAGTCTTAGCAACAAGGTCGACATCGTCCCGAGAAACCCAGTCGTCTCCCCCATCGATGTCCATCCTATCGTTGCCACCATCACCGCGTGAAAGCCTTTGACGTTTCAACATGTCAATCACCGAATCAATCGTGCAGAATGTGCCAGTTCGTCCACAGCCAGCACTGCAATGGACCAAGACAGGCCGTCGCCCTTCTGGTGCAATCTCATTCGATGAACGCTCGGACGGACTCGATGCTCGAATGCATTTGTTGACTTGCTCGATTAGTGCCAAAAGCTCCGACGGGCTTGCGGGTGCTCCAAAGTCCGGCCAATCAGCATATTGAATTTGGGCGATTTCACGCATTGGCTGGAAAGGATAGCTGGAATGACTGAGTGCAAGATGTCGAATGGTAATATTCGAGGGCTTCGAGGTAGCTGATTTGACGTCGCTTGGTCCTTGCCCAATTGATACGCTAGCCGTCGTAGACCTTCGCGCGCCCAAGGATGGTCTCGCACTGGCATTTGCACTTGCATGTTGTGCCTTGCTTGAGGCTTTTTTGGGTTCCAAACTGACCTGCCGCTCTGAAAGTTCCTTGAGCTTGAATGGACCATACTCGCCAGGTGTCCAGTATTTGTGGCTCTTGACTTGCCCTCCCTCCGACTCTGCCGTCAACATCACTACAACACGTACATCCTGCTCCCAAACAACTCTCCAGAAATCATTGAAAGTTGCTGGGATTGGGGCTTGAGTGGCAATATATTGTCGATTCGAAAATTGGGCTTTGACATGGTTGGCATTGATGTAGTCACAGCTGCCCTGGGGAACATCTTGCAATTTCACCCGAGTATGATCGTAAGGAAAGATGTTATTGTACCGATTTTTCGACCCTTTTTCGATACCAGCAACCTGAATCTGTGTTGCCCGATCAGGTCGGGGTGTCCCGTACGATATTTGAACGCTGAGAGCATCTTGCATCCGCTTCTGCTCATGCTTCTCAATCTTCAGAAACTTCTCTGAGACTGCCTTGCCCTCATCGTTCTTGGCTGAGGCCTGCTGTAACCATTTCGGCAGGTGGCCCTCCGCTGATTGACTCATGCCATTCGGCTTTTTGATAGGCATTTGCCCAACGCCATCCAGGAGATCCGTATTTTGCCGAATATTGCTGAAGAATGGATTGGCAGCCGATTTTTCTGCAGGCATAGCACAGCCACCAGCGACAGCCAATGTATCTTTGCCGGACGCAGAAATCGACAGTGGTTGTGTAGAAGAGCCTTTTCCCGACTGTACCGGCCCGGAATCAACAAATTCAGGGGCCAACTTCGAGAAGGCCAAAAACCCACCCTTAATGACCAAGCCGGTTCCCTTCCACCCCTCAGTAGTGAATTTTTTGAGGACATTTAACGGGGTAACTGCTTCTTTGGCCAGGCTTGAATTGGCATCATAGACAACGATATGGCTACAATGTTCCCACTTTGAAAAAATCTCTCGATCATAGTCCGAGGAAAATGTGTCGGCAAGTCTCTGCACATTGTAGGCAGGACGCTTCAACAAGGTTGTTGGTATACACAAATTAAGGGCTCCCTGGACTCTAGCCGCAGCAAATTGTTGATAAACCCGGAGGTCAAGCACCAGAGTATCATCGGCATTGTTCCTTAAAAGCTCAAGTATCCGTGTGGGCGAGACGATAGGTGACGAATCTCTTTCGTTCGAAGGGGGCAATGTATCAGCCCTGGTTGTTTGTCTGTTAAGATTTAAGGAAGGCGGGGTTAGTGTGCCGCTCATGGGCAATGACAGCCTTGCATGCTGATGGTCTGCCACGCTATGTGGATGACTTATCCCGGCTGGCGACAGCCGCCTCGGAATGTCGAAGAAGGATGCTTCGCCCATTTTATTGCCTTGCAGAAGGGATCCATCCTTGGTCGGTTTACTCCTCTCCAGCATAGGGCGCTTGCTCAACGGCGACACAGGCGAATTGATATTTGAGCTTGTTGATGGAGTCCGTGACTGAGCGGGTCTGGCCAGTGACGACGTGGACGAATTTAGTGTAAAAGTGTGGTTGTGCTCGGACTGTCTCCTGAAGGCTTCGAACTCGGGGTTCGACTCGACGGCAACATACCGAGAGTTGGTTAAAGGGGTGTGAGATGCGTTGTTTGGAAAGCTCCAGTTTTGTCGGGCATGGTTGCCTGGGTTGGAGTCTGGAGGTATAGAATCTTCGGTCCCAACGACAAAGCCAAAATAGCTTGGGCTAGGACTCTTTGGATCTTTTGATTGTTGAGTAGAGAATGGATTGATCCCGGGTGTCGGGAGAGGTGGTGGCATTGACTGACCAGCTGAGGCTACACTGGGTTGTGCTCGAGGGGTGGTGGAGACGCATGAGGATCGGGAGTGGGAATGAGAATGGGAGTGAGATTGCGATTTGGAGTGGGAATGGGAATGTGTGTGGGTATGCGGTGGTGATTTGAATGCGGTTGTGGCGGTTGCCGACATTGTGGCAAAGGACCCTTCGTGGGGTGACGAGGATCAATAGGTCGTGGTTCTTGGATAACTGGTCATTGAGTCGTTTCCATCAGGCAGTGACTGTTGTCGATCGCAGGTTTGATGATCAGGCACGATCGAGGTTAATGTGAGGCGGGTGAGCGACGTGAGGGAGATACGTCATCGCAGGCCAGCTGCACGCGACAAGGTGTACGGGTTTCTGGAGAAGGAGGAAGTGGGAGTCATTGTTCTAGACTCGAGGCTGTAAAGTGGTCAACAAAGGACTAATTGGATATTGAGACGAGTACACGGGGAGGTGGTGTAAGGAGGCTGAACAAAGGAGAATCAGATTAGTTAGGACGAGTGGTTTGGATTTGTTGATCGCAAGGGGACAAGGAGAGGCTGTGTTAGCTTAGCAGTAGTGGTGTTGGGCAAAAGGAAGAAGCAGGGGAGAGGAATTTGGCGCAGAATGACGTCGATGGGGTCAGAAGAAATTCCCTACCGAAAGTTTGGGGCCAACGGACAAGGGAAAAGGTCGCATGGAGTACGAGGTAAAGGCGTTGGGACGGGAATTGGGGAGGCGCGATGGCTGAGTCAGGAGCAGAGACCAAAGCCGAAGAACAGACGGCGAATAAGAATAGGAATCAAAATGAAAATGCACGAACCTTGGCGAATTCAAAACTCTACCACAGAGTAATTGTGTCGGTTAACAGCCGTGAAAGGACGGGTACGAGCACGGAGAAGATTGGAGGAGGACACGGAGTGCAGGCGACCTTTCTGACGTGACCAGCCGGAATGACGGTGGACGAGCAAAGGAGGGAGGAGAACAGACGAGAGGTTGGGCCGCCCGTCGTACTAGTACTCTGACTGGAATACTGGATTTACAAACAGTAAGATAACGAATAGCAATGACCGCAAGATGGACATGCGAGAAGACGGTCTGGAACTCTGGATTTCCGACCAAAATGCAGGGGGTTGTGAAGACCCTGCGACTCCGGCGAGTTGAAGGGGGGGGGAGGGGGCGGGACTTGATTGCAAATCATCCATGAACGGAGATACTGTACGTACCTCTCCCAGGTACATCCGGAGTCACTACGACATAATGGGTGTATGCATTGTGAATTTGTGATACGGAGTGCTGCAATAGAAATAATGTTTCTTTGCTTCCTTTGCAGTTGCCTCCCCAGTTAATCGCTCTGGGTGAGATGTAAGGACGCTCGGCTCCTAATAATCCAGATCATGACTGTGGGTGGTTCAAGATAGTAAATGATAGTAAATGCAGGGTAATTGCCTCTACTCTTCCTCTTTTGAGCTCCTCATCTTGGAGGTTTGCATCCTTGAATGACTGCAGTCGCTATTCGCTCGCTGAGTTCCAGGCGACGATGATGCAAGTGGGGGGTGGCGGCCCGCATCTATGTAAGCGAGGAGACAGCAAGCCAGCAGAACGAGCCCTCCGTAACTAATATGAATGTAGTGGTTAGGTGCCTATTCCCACTGGATAGCCGCCTAAACCCATGCCCCATAGGCGACGCTCTCTCTGTCCAGGGACAGGTCATGCCACCCCCCAACCCCCCGCCAAAACAAATACCACAGAGCACTGAGTCAATACCACGCCCGTCCCCCCGGACTAGTGTATTTACAAGTTCGAAACCTGTTCGTGTCCTACGCTTACCGTTACGCTTACCGGTGAATTGCCACGTGCCGGGTATGTCGACGTCATTCCTGCGGATCCAGACAGCCGGAGGCAGGCACGATGGCGGACGGAATACTCAGTTGTCAGTTTCCTAATGGCAACGAGCTCACCACTACCTAGGTGCTCCTCCGTACATTCCAGTCATTCTAGATTCGTTTAAGGTACTCTGCTCCTCGATGTTGTGCAAAGAATACAGAGTACCCGGTGCCTAGGCACCTACTAGGTACTTTGCTGCGTGATTAGAGTTATCCAGATCTTCAGATGATGACAGTTCAGGGTCCAACTCTGACCAGAAAGATTGCGCCATTTCTGTCCCACGAAGAGGCGAACTCCCATGCTCAACAGCGCCTTAAACCCGATTAGTTGATAATTCAACCCTCACAGCATTACTGCCCGCTAGGTTCTTGACACATATGCTTCTCAACCAGAACGACAGCGTCTGTCTCTACCTTTGTCAGTAGCATGCACGACTGCCCATGTTCGGCAGGGAGTAAATTACGAGGCATTCCCAAAAGTACCTTGTGCTCTCGAAGCTCAAGACGAATCCAGTCTTGAGAGAAAGCAACCCCCCCTTACCAACTTCAATCAGGGAAATCAGGAGGTCGTTGTATTGTCATCCACTTGCATGCACGTAACGCTTCTTCGTTCATCAATGCGTCATCAACCGTTCCGCTATCTGCTCCGCGAGGCGCCTTTCGACTTGGCTAGGCCTAGAGTTTGACACCTATCCGTGCATGACTCCGAGCAAAGGACCACTCCGGGCCCCGCTATTCGGGCTCTTCTCCAGCACCATTTCCATTTCTGGTCAAGGTAAGCTCTTGTTCCCCTGCAATGGCTGCACATTCCAACAATTTCGTGCACATGTCCAACTTCAGCTGCGTCTCGAGGGCCACGAGACACAATGCGAGATGGACCACGAGCACTAGGATAGACATCTTCCTGGTTCCACCACACCACTCCCTGCTGATCCGCTAGATCTTCGTCCCGCCCAGATGGTGCCAGCTTCGTATCCGTCCAAACCTCGTGTTCACCGCCATTTGAGTGCAGTGTTTCATGTTTCCATTGATGATTGCCCAGATGCTTGAGGCTGCGTCCTTGATGATTGGTTTTGGCATTCTGTGTCAAGTAGGTAGCTCAAACCCTGGAACCCTCGGAGGGACCTGCTGCTGCAGGTCTCCTCTGCCCTCATTACACTGCCAACAATCAAGAGAGATTTTCCCGTTGCTGTTGCTGTTTCAACAACCAAACTGTATTATGAGCGAGTGTTGCCTTAGCTAGCGATGAATGATGGCTTTGCTGCATAAGAATGCTGCCAGCTTCAGTATAACAGGTTGAGGACAAGGTCCCTGCGCTCATAGTCTCCCGTCAGGCTCGTCCTTCAACCTCTCCACGCGTTTTTGCTCCCAATTGTCAAGATCCTTGGCCATCAATCTATAATATTCATCTCGCTCAGAAAGACCTCCTTTTGTAACGACTCTTCTGCGAGGGTTGTATGTGAGCCCTCCCTCACCATCGGGACCGCCTTTCAGTCCCAGTTGCATAGCGTCCTGTGCTGACACCTGCTTGTGCTTCCGATCATGCTGCTCGTATCTCAAAGCCGTGGCCGGCGTCAGGAGGAAAGAGGCCGCTACCATAAGTGAGATGAACGGGAGGCCGAAGAAGAGGAATGGACGAGTAGAGACTTGTCGACGGTAGGACGCTGCAATGCGGTCGCCCAGGGTAGTCGCCTGTTCGCGAGCGCTTCGGAAAGGCTTCGACTGAAATGTAGGCATGGCGGTAGTCAGGGAGGGACTATAATCAATTCAATAAGATAGCCTAACACCTGCAACCAAATAATACTCGCAGAAACTCTGGTACCCTTCCTCCGATGATGATGCTGCTGCTGCGAGGCTTTCCGGCGATCTAAATATTTGTATCAGGTGATTTTGCGCTGATAGGACAGGTCATTCAGACCAGAGCGCAGTTTCTGGCTCCAAAGTAATCCGCCGTACTTGCTCTCTTCACTCATCCCTATTTAACATCGCGCGAACCCCCGTTCATCCTAGTCATTATTGCCACTGAAATGGGTCAAAGGAATCACGTCTCGGAAATAGGATCTTCTGGGGCTTCGACATGCAACAGTATGAAGGATAATAATGTCTAGAATGTCCTAGAGCAATTAATGACTCAAACCCCTAAACATCACCACGCGTAAATGGCCACTTCATCCAGGTCCAGATATTCCAAGAGGCTAACCGCGTTGTCCTTGCAGAACATGGTCTTCATATTTACGCGGCGCGGTCGTCCCTTACCATTTCTGATGTCCTTTTTTCCTGTCCCTGTGAAGAATTATTGATATCCATGGTGACTCGCCGTGACCACCGCAGGGGTTCCAGCCTTGCCTGTCCTTAACATGTTATGCCGATATAAGGAACACAAAAATCAACAGAGAGAGTCGAGATGAAAAATGCATTGACCAGATGCGGCCATCGGGTAACTCCACCATGGACCATCTGAATGATGAAGGGCGGGTCATGAACTTTTCGATTGAAGCGATGCTAGTGTCAAGAAGGTTAATGTCGGTATACGGTACGTTGAGGCCCACATGAATAACAACAGAGAGCATAGCAAGATGACTCGTCCCGTCACGAGAAGCTCATTGTATCGAAGTTCTCACGTGCTGTCAAAATCTTTCAGATCGTGGACGGCACGACTTTTCGACACGGACTCCCACCCTCGAAGAGCACGTCTGCTGGGCGAGGCAATCATCTTGTCACTTTCTCGGCAGACAGTCTTTCGTTTGTGACGTTCACAAGATACGAAACTGAGAAAGCTATCACCTACTGGAGTGAGTTCGCTAACAACTCCAAGGCCATAGTCATGAAAAGCAGAGCGCCTACAGGATTTCCTGGAGAAAACGGACTATCAAGTCTGCTTTGCTCAAGTACACCAAGATTCGTGGGTTCTTCTTCTCCACCTTCACCGAGAAAAGTCTACCCGTGCTCCATTCCTGAGCCCCTCAAAACTATCCCCTCGCCTTATCCGCGATTCAAAGGGTACCATTGGAACTCAAATTCGCCATGCCACGCTTTGTCCGAAGGGAACGAACTTCGTCTTCGTCCATCAGCACAACAACGTCTTCTGCGTAGATGATTGCTGGTCTCCCAATTCGGAACCGAAGAGAACCGAGATCCTCAACAAAAGCATCGGTGTTACCCGTGACGTTGAGAGGGGGACGCCGAATTGTGATGAGGTGAACCTGTTCTGGATAGAAAAGGGGTAGGGAATGCTGGTGATTATGGGTAGGGGCGGTGGCAACGCCAAGCAGATCGAGCTGGTGAATCATCAGATTCCTAGTCTCTGACCTGTTACATAGGACAAGGATACTCATGGATTTCGGTCAGCGTTTTGGGGGACTATGGGACTAGAAGAAACGTTTAGCGTCGAGAGTGATTGGATGAACAGACTAAATTGCATCTGACTTTCTCTTCGGTAAGGAGTAAGGAATCCTACTCACAAAGCTACATGATCCAGATGGTTCAGTTTTAGCGTGGACGGCGAGTATTGGGGTGGCCCGGGAGCAACAAAGGTAGCGTTTCCTCTCACCTTTTCACATACTGTAAGCTTCTCTTCTCAAGTTATTCCCGTCGCCTTCTCCTTCGCCGCCGCATTATTGCCGCCGAAAGCGTCGGTGATGAACTCTCGAAAGCGGGTGTGCTAGGAGGTTGGCTCCCTCGTCCATCCTGCTCAGCTCGGCGGGGAAGTTGGGCTTGTCTGTGACCGAGCCTAGTAAGGGGCGAAGCGGCAAGCCCATGTTGTATGCATCGGCGTCCTTGATGAGGTCGCGCAGCATGAATGTGTTGGTCCAGTTCCCCATTCAGATCTCCTGCAGCTTTCGCCAGCCTGCCTTTGCAGTACGCGGTCGCGGGCGGGCTGTACTTGTCTTTTGTCCAGTCGCAAATCGTAGCAAGTTCCCCAGCCTGGATTTTCTGACCGGTGTTACGTATCGACATTTGATCAATATAGCAACTCACGAACTGGTAGCTGGCACCGACAAGCACATGTGCTCGAGAAGGTGTGACAGTAGTTTACCGCAATCTAAAGTAGTTGCCGGCCTGCTTGGGCCGCCAGTCGACACAAGCAATTGGCACCATGTTTGGAAATCTCCCATACCGCTCTGGGAAGGCTGGCTGAATGCTTGAAAGCCTCCTACTGGTCTTGCGACGAACTAGTCAAATCGATCTGCAAATTGAAATAAGTCGCCTCCTACAGCTGTCTTGACACACTGGCAGATCATGGCTCCAGTCAAGATCTGCGCTAGAGGGCGAGATACGCCGACACCTAAGGAATGGCTCCGAATAAATGTTTCGATGAGCGATCCGAATGACCCTGTCGCGTGATCGTCATTGAGTCTCATCTCGGACTGGATGGCGAGGTATAAGGCCTTCTGCCCTTCTCGAGAGAAAGGACCATCTACAGGAATGATGCAGAAGTTCTCAATTGCAAGGTAGCGGCTGTTCAGCCAACTTTGAAACTTTCGTGTGACCTCGTTAACCTCCAGGGAGAAACGTGTGAGCGTCCATGCTAAAAGGGCTTTGAGCACCTTGGGCTTGAGGGTCTTGACATCAGTTCCCTTCCAATGCTGGCGTTCACACACGTCTGTGTTGCAGCCCTGGTCGTCTCGTCGCCCCGGTTGCCGTCTATTACCACCAGTGTCGTACCCTTTGCAGTAAAATGCATACTGCACAATCTGGACTAGGTCGTCACAATCAGAATCGCCGATCCCGCTTCGTGCGTCCAGGGCGGACAAGGTCTGAGGCCCGAAATTGTCAGATAGCGCGTCGATTCCAATCTCCAGCTGCATAGCATGAATCAGGGATGTCTCGTCTGCCAGCTTGTGATGCCAATTTCGGCTACTGGATTAAATTGAGGGGCATGGCGGTTTGTCTTGTTCAGCTATTTTGGCGCCTCGGGTACCCGGTGATCTGACATAATGGCGGCTGTTAAGGTGTCCTATCGAGTTCTAAACGTTCATGAGCGGTGGTAAACCGTGTCTGGTATGAACAATAGGTGCATAGCACCCTGTTTGAAGAGATGCGACCATATTAAGGCCTGTCCGCGTCAAGATAGCAAAGAACGCTGCCATCCCGCTACAGGGAACTTTATATCCAGTGTCTTTTCGCTACACGTATGCTGTTTATGGATTGCGTGGAGGAAAACGATTCAGCTGAAGAGCCAGGCTGCCTCGCTGTGGTCAGTATTCCCTTCGCTAACATCAATGTCAGGTTTGGATTGGTGCTTGGCATGTTGCGGTCCGGGGCCCATCGAAAGCATGGAAGTGTGTGAAGGTGTCGCTTTGAACTAAAGAGTCAATCCTTGATGAAGTCTGTTTTCATCAAAGTCATCCACAGAACAGTTGACGCAAGCTTCAGAGGTGCATGGTTGAGCTGGTCATCAGCCCTTGGAGAGACAACGAAGAGAAAATTTGTCGAATGATGTACCACTCGATCATCCGCAAGCTCATACCTGAATATTTCTGAATTCCGCCCGCAGCCCATTACTGAAGCAGCCTTGGTCGTTACTCAATGGCAGAATATCTCACAACCATCACCAACCTTGCGAGAAGCATGGGGAGGCCCACAGCCAATTTCTTTCACTCTTGTGTCATATGTATCTATTTCCCATCGAGAAGCATCTTCAATGGCGAAAGCTGCCGCAATTCGTATGGACTTGGACTAAGCCATATCCTTCAGGCTGAGATTCATGTGTCCTTCGTTCTTCCTTCGTTCTCAACATGTCCTCAGAAACACAAGTCATATTGAGTGAAGGTGTTGCATTACGGTTAAAAACGCATGTTCTCCTCAGTAATATCGATAATGGAATTGTTCCGACTCTTCCCTGAATGATGCAAACTTTGATTAATGCAACGTTTGCAGAAAAGTGAAGATCTGGACAGGCATTCCAGCAGCCTCCAGACACCCCAGTGTGGGAATAAAGCGGCACATATTTTCGAAGCATTCAATTAAAGCGGCGGTAGACCAGTCCAAATAAAGTTAAACCCCAATCAACAACGCGATCCAAAAAGTTGTAGACGCGGACGCCGAACCGCAATCCTCCTTGCTAGGAAGACTGCTTAGGGACGATTTAGTAGCATCCTGCAAGATGTCTTTCTTTGGCCAGAATCCGTCTGGTCAAGGTGCATCCGGCAGTAATCTTTTCGGAGGATTGAATCTTAATACTGGTACTGATCCTCAAGCTAAACGGAAGTCCATTTTTGATGCCTCAACATCACAGTCAAATACGCAAGGGACCAACCAGCCATCCACTCAACCAGCAATACTAGGCGGCCTCAACACTGGTGCGTCGGCACCTCCAAGCGGTGGTCTCTTCAATCTCGGTGCTCCCCCCAAGACAAGCGCTCCAGCATTCTCCTTCGGAAACACCACAACCACAACTGCGCCTGCTTCCACTGGTTTATTCGGAACGGCACCGACTGCTGGGACCTCGCAACCAGCAGCGACATCCTCTCTCTTTGGCGGTGGATCATCATTCTTTGGTGCACCTGCTTCCAAGCCAGCACCAACCCCATCCGCTTTGGGTGGTGCGAATACCCAGCAGTCTGCTGCAGGAAGTACATTTGGTCAACCAGGCGCCCAACAACCCGAAACCGGCCTTCCACAAAATCGAGATGCAGGATATTTCAGCAGTCTCCTTGAAAGACAGAAAAAAAAACCTCGTTTAAAGACGGATAACAATGGAGGAAGTGGCCCGCTCTCCGGGCTCAACATGGACTTGGGCGACCTGGCGAGGCGTGCGCAAGAACTTAGAAGCCGCAGTTCGAAGTCGGGCGAGTCCCTCAACGACGGTCGAGCACATTATTTGCTAGCTGGATCAGGTGTGGCTCCTGGACAGGCATATAGAGACTTCCAAGCTCTAGGCAGCGAAGATACTACCGCAGCCTCAAGAGCGCAAGCACAGGACTTTGCTGAGGAATCAAGCACATACCTGAGAGGTCTCCGAATAAAAGGCCGTGAAGCTTTACTACGAGAAGGCATGAATCGTGTGTATCGAGAAGTCGATAGTTTTATCGAGGAAAGCCTTGGCGTGGACTTTGAAGACCAGAAGCTCAGAATTATGGAACACTTTGGCTTAGTCCTCCCAGAAGATGGCGCAGAGCCAGGCGACTCAGGGAAAGCTGGGGGCGCCTTTGGTAGATCTAAAAGACGCGGGAAGGAGGACGGAAGCAAGACTTCACAAGCTGCAAGAAGCGTCTTTGGTCGTTCGGCACTCGATAAATCGATGATCGGTACTCCAGGCTCAGCTGCTGGCACTTCATCCTTCTTTAAGAGTGAAGGGGCAGCGTCGGCAACGACTAATCTTCTCCGAGGTCAAAGTCTTCGTGGCCTGAGAGAAAAGGAGAAGGCTTTTGTCACCAAAACCGAGCAACTCAATCAAGCTAGGCGGAAAGGAGACGCTTTCCCTATACTAGAGGCTTTCGGTGAGGTTGAAGACCAGAATCTTGGTGATAGCCCGCGACAAGTTTTAGATGCCTACCACGCTCTACGAGAGATTACTAAGGAAAATTCGCAAGCCGTCAAAGAGCGGCGGTACGCAGAAGCATATCTGGACGAGTCCAGCACTTCGGCCAGAAACTTCAGTCTGAGGAAGCAAATCCTTGAAGGTTCACGCAGTTACCTCGAGAAGGCTTTCTGGCGCGACGTGAGGTCTCTGATTGAGAAGAATGCAAGAGAGGCAGCGTTGGGTGGTCAACCAAGCATCATTAATATTATCCGTGCTTATATACGCCTAAGAGCGGCAAGACGAGACTTAGCCCCTGAAACCGTGGAGCTATCACGGACAGGCGAGAGTGGGGACTACTGTTGGGTTCTCATCTTCTACCTCCTTCGATGCGGCTTTGACAAAGAGGCTGCTGATTATGTCAATAATGATGCTGCATTCCAGTCAACTGACAAGAAGTTTGTTTCTTACCTGACAGCATATGCGAGCAGTCCTGATAGACGTCTAAGCCGCAAACTACAGGAGATGATCGATGGCGAGTACCAACAAAGACAGAGACATAGTGCCAAGGGTACACTCGATCCATACCGAATGGCTTGCTACAAGGTCATTGGTCGCTGCGACCTTGCACAAAGAAGTATCGAGACAGTTGGCCAGGGTGTAGAAGACTGGCTGTGGTTTCAGTTTGCATTGGCTCGAGAGACGGAGCGATTTGAAGAGATTTCAGGAGAGCTTTACGGATTGGAGCAGATTCGTGAAGCCTTCGCTGAAATCGGACAGAAACACTTCCAGAAGAGTCAGGTTGACAGTGCGAATGGGTATGGAACATATTTTATGATGCAGATACTGGGAGGGATGTTCGAACAGGCTGTCGATTACTTGCACAACTTTAACCCAGTCAGTGCAGTTCACGTTGCCATAGCGCTTTCGTACTATGGTCTCCTTCGGGTATCGGACTACACAGTGGCAGGCAATGAACTTTGTAAGTTTGCTTGGAATTAAATTCTGCGAATAATACTGACAACGAAATAGTGACTTATTCGACCACGCAACAGCCCCTTCTCAATTTTGTACCTCTGCTTGCTTATTACACCGGGGCATTCCGAACAGCACTTCCTGTTGCTGCAGTCGATTATCTATCCTTAATCTGCATCAATGCAGATCTTAAGCCGGCCAGCCTGGGCATGGCTCACACAAACGCTTGCCATGAATGCTTGCGAGAGCTTTGCCTGGAAACACGTGAGTTTGCTAAACTCCTGGGGGACATCCGGAGCGACGGGACGCGGATCCCAGGAGAGATCGAAGTTCGGGCAAAATTGATCAAGCTCAGTACTCGAGAGGAATTCCTACGATCGATCACCAAACAATCAGCTGCAACGGCCGACCAGAGAGGCCAAATTGCCGATGCGGTATTAATGTACCATCTTTGTGAGGATTATGACGATGTTGTCAGCGTGCTCAACAGAGCTCTTGCGGATGCAGTGACGCTTGACCTAGGAGAGTCGCCCATGCAGTTGCAGCCACTAAAGCCGCGCCGTCTGGAAGGAAGAAGTGGATCATCCGCTAGCACACAAGCTGACGGGCCTCAGTCCTCTCTCTCGTTGACTCAATCGACATCTTCACCTGTGGACCTTGCGCGAAATATGATTTCACTCTACAACGACAATGCAGCGTATGTGAACAAGATTTCGCCGACCAACCGAGAAACCTGTCGCGTGCTGCTTAAGCTTGTCTCTGCACGAGCTCACCTTGAATCGAATCCTCCGCGATACATGACGGCGCTTGAAGAATTGAATGACCTTGCCGTCCTACCATTATCTGCTGGCGGCTCCATTCCAGTCATTCGGTCTCTCGCAACTAAATTTGGAAGTTTGTCTCAACTACTTGCTCGATGTATCGGAGTTAGTGTGGTGTGGGCAGTGCGCGCTATTGGTGGAGAGCGGGACAACATTGCACGAAATGGTAGATGGGAAGCAGGTTATGATGGTGATGTGGACGGTATGAAAGATCAACTTGGTGACATGGCTAAGGACTTGATGGTGTTTGCGGGACTGGTGAAATATAAATTGCCAGGACGGGTTTATGACATGTTAACACGTGCTGGAGGTGATGTGGGCGGCTTCTAGTCCGACTTAGCAATATCAGAGATACCTGACTTAGTCTTGACCTTGATGTTGATTTCTCAAGCTTAGGCCAGAGGACTACTAGGAATTCGATGGCGTACGATCAGGTTGCTATGGTGATTCTTCCTGTGCGGTACGGAGTACTGCCAGCGGTTAGTGACCAAGCGTCACCGACATCGGGTGACTGGGGTGGGGGATGCATCTTGGGCCGAGACGGCATAATTTAAGCATTGCTGTCACTTTTTGACAGTGTTGCGGTGTAGTCCTGGAGAAGAATTGAAGGGCAGATCAGGTGCTTTTCATTACGACTAGACTTTGATCCGGGATAGAATCAGCTTTAGTGCGCCTCTACTGAGTCTAACTTGGAGTCCGAGTATTGACCATAGAGGCTTGCTAGCGAACAACATAGGCTGCAGCAGTAGTATGGAGCAGAAGGAACCTCATCCCACCCTCGGCCCTCCTCCTCAGAAAACACCCCCGATAATCTTATCAATCTTATCAGCTAATCGAGGATAGCTCCTTCCTTCCCGTGCAGCTACGCGCACCTACTGCCCACCCACCCACCATTTCCATCTGACGCCCCCAAATCTTGCCTGCTCAGTGGCCACACCCTTTCATCACTCTTGTTTGCCCTGGTCTCTTTCTCCTGGTCTGCGCCTGATTCTCTGACGCATCCAAACCGCCTCTGTTATCCACTTGAATTACCTCTTCTAGTCTTGCCCTATCCCATGATAGCATACCATACCACCAGTACTCCGTAGTCATGCTATGAGTCCAGACTCGGCTCAGGCTGCATCCCACTCCCACACCATCACTTCCACCGACCTCGAACTCTCCCTTCTCACTCCCTCCTCTACTGCTACTATTGCAGCTCAAGATGCTGCCTCCCCAATTGCATACGAGGCCCAGATCACCCAGGGAGGCCCCTTGCATGATCACGAGCAACACGACGACCGTCGTTCTACTGCCCAGCCGGTAACACACCTTTCTACAACCCAAGAATATCCAGGGCTTCTCTCCCGAATCTGGAACGCCGTCATGTCTCGCAATCCACTGTTGATCCGTTCCTCCCCGGCCCTGGGGACTGGCTCATATGGTGCCGTTCCTGTGATGAATGCTCAGTTGGGGGACGAAACAAGTTCCGAGGACGATGGTGATGGCAACCCTGGGAGAGGAGCCAATGTTAAAAGTCGTGGAAAGAGGAGACAATCTGCTCATGGTACGTCCGACGACCATGGCCACTTTGTAGATCCGCGGCACCGCCATCGAAGCACCGAATGGCTGCGAAAGCGCTCTTCGTCCATAACGAGTGAAGTCGGTATGGGTTCGGATGCTAAGGCATCCTTCGCAGTCAACCCCGCCATTGCAGAGCACAAGGCTGAGTCGTCGAATGCGAGCACCCGTACAGGTAGTGGCTCCGACGCTGAACATGATTATATGCCCACAGAAGAAGATCCCCCGGACAATTCCCCTTACCCAGAGGTCCGAGCCTCCGTCCCGGCGACAGACAATACCTCTCTATCAATAAATACCCCTCGAATGTGGACCCTGTCTTTGATTTTTGCCATTGGGGGCTCCGCAACAAATCTTTTCTTTTCGTTGAGATACCCTAGCGTTGCTATTACTCCTGTTATCGCACTCGTACTCGTCCATCCTCTGGGAAAGTTGTGGGACCTCATTCTCAAAAGGAGTCACGATCAAGAACTAGATTTTGTGGATGGTTCACTTCGAAAGGATAGCCCGAAATATGCTTGGACCACCCGTCGACAACGTCTGCGACTATGGCTTGCCCAGGGTCGCTGGAACGAGAAGGAGCATGCATGTGTTTACATCAGCAGCAATGTATCATTCGGTTTTGCTTTCGCTACCGATGTGATTGTTGAGCAGCACAAGTTCTACAAGCAAGAAGTTCCCATCCTGTACCAACTTCTACTGACCATTTCAACCCAAATCCTGGGCTATGCATTTGCCGGTCTAACGAGACGTTACCTGGTTCGCCCGGCCGCAATGATCTGGCCTGGAACCTTGATGTCAACCGCTATGTTCACGACCATGCATAAGAATGAAAACAAGGTGGCTAACGGATGGACGATATCGCGATATAAATTCTTCGTTTATGTCTGGACCGCTGCATTTCTGTGGTACTTCTTACCTGGCCTGCTTATGCCTGCATTGAGTTATTTCAACGTTATCACTTGGTTTGCCCCCAGAAATGTCGTGGTCTCGAACCTGGTGAGTTTGTCACCTTCTGCACCGTATCCTCTATTTACAAGCTTAGTTTGGTGTTGCCTCTGGACTCGGTCTGTTTCCGATGACATTTGACTGGGCTCAGATCGCATATATCGGTTCACCATTGCTTACGCCTTGGTGGGCAGCAGCGAATGTGGTCGGAGGCCTCGTGCTGGTCATGTGGATCGCAGCCCCTATTTTATGTAAGTGAAGTAAGGTATCTGACACCCCCAGAGATTTCTAACGAAACCCAAGACTACAAGAATATCCTCTTTTCAGGATACTTGCCAATTCTTTCCTCTGCAGTCTTTGACAACCGTGGGAAACCCTACGATGTCAGCAAGATACTGACTCCAGAATTTCTCTTCGACAAAATCGCGTATGAGAATTATTCCAAAGTCTATCTCCCCATAACATACGTCTTGTCCTATGGAGTCCAGTTCGCGGCACTTTCGGCTTTAATAACCCATACTACTTGTTGGCATGGTAAAGATATATGGCGGCAGTCAAAACAAGCATTCAACGAGAAACAAGAAGCTTCCGCTGCAGGATACCAAACCATTCCAACATCCGAAGACGATCACAGCTTGAGGAGACTTGACAGCCAAACTATTCGTAGCGTCGGTGAGGATGTTCACCATCGTTTGATGAAGCGTTACCAAGACGTTCCCATGCTTTGGTACCTCTTCACCTTTATCTCTATGCTCGCTGTCGGCATATTTGTGGTCGAATATTATCCAGTCTACTTGCCCTGGTATGGCCTGTTAATGGCCCTTGGTATCACGACTGTGCTCTTCATCCCTGTGGGAATTGTCATGGCGATCACCAATCAGCACAGCAGTTTATATCTGATATGTCAACTGATTTGTGGCGTTGTCTTTCCTGGAAGGCCTGTAGCAAACATGGTCTTTGTTACCTACTGCTATATCAGCTCTGCTCAAGGCATAAAATTTTCCTCCGACCTTAAACTCGGTCACTACATGAAGATACCTCCAAAGCTTCTGTTCAAGGTTCAGATGGTGGCCACACTGGTCTCAAGCCTGGTACAAATCGGGGTGCTTAACTGGATGTTTGTCAACATACCCGGTATTTGCACACCCCAAGCCATCAATGGTTTCAATTGTCCTATTGCACGCGTTCACTTCAATGGCAGCATTCTCTGGGGCGTCGTCGGTCCGCAGCGCTTCTTCGGACCAGGAGCACTATATAGACCATTGGTTTGGGCCTTTCTTATTGGCTTTATCGCACCTATAGCTGTTTGGGCTCTGGGCCGGAAAAACAAGAAGAGTGTGTGGAGGAAAGTCAATTTCCCGGTTTTGTTTGGAAGCTTGAGCTGGATTCCACCCGCAACGGGTCTCAACTTCTCGATTTGGGGTGTCGTCTGCTTCGCCTTCAATGGTGTGATGCGAAGACGAGCCTCAGGCTGGTGGGGAAAATATACTATGACCATGTCCGCGGCGCTAGACTCAGGCCTGGCGTTCGCACTTGTTGTGGTGTTCTTTGGCTTCGTCTATCCGGGTTTCATGGACAACTTCAAGTGGTGGGGCACAGAAATATACAAGCAGGGATGCGACTGGCAAGCTTGTCCTTGGATTAGGCTTGAGCCTGGAGAAAAATTCGGTGATTGAAACCAGCCTGAGTGAAGTTGTGCAACCATACACAGCACAGGCAGCAAAACGCCCTATTGAGGTCGTTTCTGATTTGCAAAGCGCAAGACATGAACCATTCTGTGTTTTCCAATTTCCCATTTTCTGGATGAATCTCTAATCATCAATATCCTATGCCAATCTCACCTTGCATAAACAATCCAGCCGCTTATGTCGGGGATCTCGGCTACTTCCTTTCGTGCCGAAACCTTGATTCCACGTTATGGGCTAGTAGGACTACTTTGGTGCCGAGTCTGCCTGATGGGATTTAGAAAACCTTATCATTAGACATGTAGATATGTACGCACCCAATACAGCTAAGCATCTGCGAGGAGCCGGTTACCTGATCCATTCTCTTGTACAGATTTCTATGCCTCGTGTAATGCGAGTCGATGCTTCGATCATTTTTTTCGGATGGCGATACTGCGCATGAGCCTAGGACGATAGTATCAGTCCTAAAAGAATGGTGCTACAAAACCCTAGGAGTGGGGTGGTAAGTGAGATATGTGCGATCAAGACAGCTCAGACAAGAGAATCGGCTTGATGGCTCTTCGTCCACACAACTTGAGGGCACGCATATTGTTCATCCATCTTGTGGATCAGCATGGTTCAGGTTCAACTGCTTTGTCCATCATACATGCCTGAAAACAGTGCTTCATCGCTTAAGACTTTCCCTTCCATTTCATCACAATATTGCTGTGGGTAAGCCAAGACGTTCTGCGATGCTCTGAGTCCGTTGGGAATCTGGCTCACTACTTGATCACTCGGCGCTGCTCAACCTTTACTGAATGAAAGTAAGCTGACTGTAAAGCCATTTAATTCACTGAGTCGGTTGCTTCCTTGGCTGAATTATTTGCGAAGTTCCACTCTTAACGGACTCTCGCACTATATTCGAGACTTCTTTCTAGAGCAAATCAACCTACTCTTCTCATTCTTCAATCGAGCAACTCCTGATCGACTGTCGCTCTCATTGTGGATTTTCTTTTCCCATTACCTATTGCTTGCCACTAAAAGAATTTCTAAGCCGAACAGAGCGTCCATCTACGTCATTAGACAGCTTTTCAATCTCAAATCACTTGGGAATCCTTGTTGTTCAAGGTACTCTGTCATAAAACAAATCTCATTCTCCTCGCGCTCTGTCATACTTATAGAAAATACCCTGCCATGGACGAGATTCAATGTCTAGAGAAGCGAAAGACTCTGTTGGGCATCAAGCGGCGTCTTCTCCAACTCGATCTTGAGGAGCTGGAGGTCGAAAAACAGTTGTCGCTACTCAGAGGGAATACTCAAGCTTCGCCTGCTTCTGCTCAGCTCTCAGGTGAAGAAAGAAGGAACATTGATTCACTCATAGCTCCTGACCCTAAAAGACAACGTTTAATCTTTGATCTAACCGCTAACAAGCTCGATTACGATATCAAGGCAAAGCCGGAGGATTCAGTCAATTCAAATATTCTCAAGGAGGGTCTCATATCCCAAAGCTCGGACGGCCTTCAAATTGATGATCACACTACAAAGGACAGCCTCCGCCCCCGCCTCAAGCCTCGGACTGAAGCATCATCATCTTTTCAGGACTCTACCAGAGAAGTGCCCGACCAGCACAAGACAGATCATGATGCCGAGATGTCATCCTCAGCTGATGCAACAGAACCTGATGATCAACCCGAGGATGCTGGTGAGGTTGTCGCCAATACTTCGACGTTGGAGATTGTGACCACTCAAGGTGATTCTGCAGAAAGATCGCATTCGGCTACCCTGGCCATGGAAGGTGTTCGACCAGGTTCACAATGTGACAAATCATTTAAATCAGCGACAAGTGGTCCGTTGTTCTTCCCAGCTCCTCCAATTTCAGTCAGCTCACAAATGGAATCAGACCTGAAACGAACTACAGCCCCAGCCGTGAAGCAAGGAGCCGACGAGATGAGCCAGTCGCCTGCCAATGCTAAAATGGAGAGTCGAGAGATTGAAGGCACGCAGGCCGTAGGCTCAGAGCCCAGGGACACAGGTCATGAGGAACCGTATGCGGGCGACGACCTTGATCCGCCTGAAATCATATGCGAGAAGAACAATCTCATTGCAGTGTTCTGCTGGCATGGCATCCGCCACGTGCTCTCTGAAACTTCGCTCCCTTCAGAGAGAGCCCAATGGTCCTCGATTCTGGAGAGGGTTCGTCCTTCACTTCAGGCTCGAAAGTTCGACACTGTGGAGGAATTCGGGATGGAATTGAGGGATGTGGCTAGGACTACAGGCGCCGAGTTCCTCTTTACCCGGGCAGTGTCTTCTTTGGAGGAGGAGTGGAAAGGGTACTGGAATCTGGGCAAGTGGAAAAAGACTCATGCCAAACGCAAGAAGTTGGCCTGTCGTTGGTACAGATGCTGATCCTTCATGGTGATAGGCCTTGATACAGTCGTTGGATCATGAAAACAAGTCCCCATGGTTGTGAGACAGCACATGATTGTGCAGAAGTGCGATGCTTGAGCCTCGCAGGTTAGTTTCTTTCGCAGATCCCTCTCGGGCAGAGAACAGCCTCGTGGAAGGAGCCAACAGTAATAATACCCTACTGCCATCCTACTAAAGGCAGTTAGCAATGCTCTAGGCTATTAATCTTTACTGGAGCAAGTAGCTTGGGTCTCCTTGTGCTCCGCCCACCAGCTCTTTAACCCGTGAACATCAAACCCCATCTCCTCCAATTTCCCACAATCACTAACAAACCACTCCTCTCCACTATCCTTCAACTTCGCATACGCATTTAAGATCACCTCTCCCTCCCACCTCTGCATCGTGACACCCTGAAACAACGCCAAGGTTCCCACCTCCGGCACAAACGCCTTCGCATCAACGTAGACCGCTAGCGTCACGCCCGCACGCCGCGATGAAATGCTCGGGTCGTGGATCTTGACGTGCCGTTTCGGCGGAAACGGACTGCTGGGCTTTTGAATCACAGACGGCGAGATCCAGGATATCACGCCGAACACGCTGCAGGTGTAGTTCCGCCGGGGGACGGTGTGGGAGTGCAGCAATGTCGAGAGACTGTGGACAGGTGCTTTGGATGACAGTGCAGGTGTGGAGGGTGGCTGTAAGGGTGGTAAAGGCGTTTCTGTTGCACGTAGTGGATGATCCGTGCGGGCTGCAGCTGAAGTTGGGGATTGAGTTTCGACTGCTCCGATGACTAAATGAGAGTCGTCAATATTGCTCGAGCGGAAGCCGACTCTGCTTTGTTGATCTTTCTGCCGCGTTCTCACCTTTGCCTTACCCGGTGAGGCGGGCGGCGCACTGCCCCCAACATCAACGGTAGTGCCTTTTCCGTCGAAAAGTTGAAATGATCTCGAAGTGGTGACGGCTCTGCTTGGTGTGTTCTGGCTGACATCACGAAGGCCCTCGCGGCGTCGTTGGATGGTTGACGGAGAGGTGATGATGGTCTCGAAATCATCGTCGTCTGAGTCGTCTCGTTCACCACTGGGAGTGGCGAAGCGCACTTTTGGCCGAGCAGGCGTCGCAATGAGTTTCGAAACTGCCCGCTTATCTTCGGGAGGACGGCGTTTCGACCGATCGAGTCGGTCGCCTTGAGGTTCTCTGGATCGTTTGCGGCCCATACTGAGCGTTCTTGTTGCTGCTGAATCAATCACGTGCTTTGTAGGTGTTGTACCTTCTTCAGCGTTGTGTTCTTCCACTGCAGAATCCGTTCGATTTACTCTGAAGGGGAAAGTAATGGCTGTAGGCAGAGCCTCCTTCCCAAAGGTCTGGTCTTGATCTTCTCCAAGAATGAATCCCCCTCCAAGCTCCTTGTCCACAAATTCTCTGGTGGTTCCAGCCCACTCGCATGCCTTGATGCCGAGATAAACAACCTTTCCATGCCCATTAACTCTCGGAGCCTTCTTGACCTGGAATTTCTTCACTTCAAGAAGATCGCCTCGTCGCAGCTCCAGCAATTCCTTCGTGTGTATCTTAGTTGCTATCACAGCTTGGATCTGAAGTTCTCCGTCTGATAGCGCAAGTCTCACGCAGAGCGGAGTTGTTTGCTGGGTGTCATTCTCGGCGTCCGGATTATTGTCATTGGTCTCTTGACTCTGTTCTTTTGTTCTTTTTACCTGGGTTCGATCGTGGTCATAATAACCTGAAAGAAGCACGTGCTCAACTTGAAGCACCAGCGCCGGTGGGTGCACACAGGTGCGAAGCAGTTCCGCGAGACATGGCTTCAAGTTCTCGAAGTTGAGGGTCGGTGGAGCAGGATGGGTCATCCTTCGGGACCCCGCATCCTGACGCGTTTCAACTATTCTGCACGGGGTTTGCCGTCTAAATCATATGGCTAAGAGCTATCAATTACTTGAGCAATGAGATCGAAGCTGTGAATGCAGTGTGCTTGGTCTATGGCTTGGGTGTGCGACGTGAAGTTCAATCAGCAAGGCTGGGTTGACGCGACGTGTTTGACGACGCGCCAGCTTCGGTATTTTGTTTTTCCGGCTGCCAGACTTCTTGAAGGCGTTCGCCCCCCTCCCTCCGTCCCCCAATGCTTTGAGGAACAAATGGCTAGGAAATAGGTTTGTAGAACAAAAAGGAGGCGGACCCATTACAAGATTTCGATTGCTCGACGATGAAATGGAGACTTTGTTACACATTATCGGCATTCCCAATTTTCTGACTGCGTCAAATTCCCCTGCCCTTTGTACTCTGCCCTGTACGGATACTTGCAAATCGGTCGTTGATACTCAAATCCCTCAGGACCTGGTGGGCTCACGGCTTGAAGAACGTCTGGTGGTGTTCCATTTTCCACCCAGGCAACCAGGCTCGCGAGACCTAGTCCGAGAGGGTACGGTCCGTTGCCACCTCCACAATGGTTAACACCAGGAGCCTGAAAATAGCGATAGAAGTCAACAACATTTGAATCGAGTTCGGTAACACTGTCATAGTATGCCCGTGATATATTTGGTGGTATATACTGATCCGCAAGGCCGTGCCAGGTGATCATTTTACCACCAGCGTCGCGAAATCCTGATAGATCTGGATCGTTGGTGGCTATGAACGACTCGTAAAGTTTGTTCTCTGGAGAGGACAAGAACGAATACAACTCTTCAACCGTCAGACTGTGCCAGTCGTACCTGGGATCTTTTTTCAGGAAGTATTGAGCCCATTGTTCGAGAGGAGCAAATGGAACACCGTCACATTCACCTAATACGCTTTGGCAGGTTGTGTTCAATAGACCGAAAACGGGCGATCCAGTGCCCAAGCCAGGCCAGAATTCTGTAGGAAACCCCAGAGCTGGATTCCAAGTTGTGAGCACTCCTAGTACAGCCGCATACGTGAGGTTAACCTCGGTATTACCGCATGGCACTGGCGTTCCAAGGAAAGCATATGGATCAAATTCACACAGCTCAGGCGCTGAGATGATACCGTCCGTGACACCGTCCAAGGGGTCGCACTGCCGCACGGCCATTTGAACCAAGGCATCCAACTCGCATTGTCGTGGAAAGATGCCCTCTTCCAGCAGCATTATGAGAGGGTAGAAACCCGTGATGATGGCAAAGTTGAAACGCAGAGCCGGAGCTGCAGCAAGAATTCCATCAAACACGTCTGGGTAGCGTTGAGCAAACATGAGACCCTGACGGCCACCTGTACTGCAGCCCACAAAATACGAAAATTCTGGCGGGGCACTGTAGAAGTCATTGACAACAGATTTACCGATGATGGCCGCTTCGTACAAGGCCAAGGAAGAGAAGTCCAAAAGGTTATACAAATTGACATTGCCAGGACCTGCCAAAGCCCAAGTGCTCGGATCGTCTTGATAATGACCTCCATCCGTGGATACGACTGCATAATAATCGCTCAGGGCCATATTCATTTGCGGAATCAAAAGGCCTGTGACCAACCCACCACCTCCACTCATCTGTAAGCGGTGATTCCAGTTCTCCAGAGGGAGCCAGACTTCTGTGTTAATCTGATCACCCCAGCCCGGGTGACTCGTTGCAACGCTGACGTTGCAGAAGTCTATACCTGCTGTATGGCCTGACGGATCGGAACCTACAGTTCCCGGGGGCGCGTCAACTGTCCAATTCGTGACCACATTAGTACTGATGGAGACTGTCTGGACTCCGAATAGGCCGGCATTGGTAAAGATCTCAGGAATGCAACGTGCAGCTGCTATTGCTCTGGTAGGGAGAATCATTTTGAGAATTGTGGAGAACCACTGTTAAAAGCACCAAGCCATGCCAATATCTGGGGAAACTTGGCTGCTTATATGTGAATTAGTTCCCTACTCCACGGACTGCAAGTATATTACTTGAACGCGACCGTTGATTTGGAATCGCTTGAAGCGGTCAGTATTTATTTTGCATAGCCGTTTCCGGGTCATCCCATGTACATTTGCATAACCGGCATTTCTAGATCAGGTCTCGCACACAGCGAAGAAGGAATTATTGGACGGCCATTCGTTCAGTCCTCGATCAGTCGTCCCGACGCCTCCGCAGTGCCACGGCGTTTAAAGGTACGGGAGGTGTTTCGCTCTGCTTCTGTGTCCACGATTGACTGTTTCACCACCAGTACTGTGGACATAGAACAGGTATATCTTGCGTCCGGTAGCATCGTTAAAAAGTAGTCATAGAAACAAGTCCTGTCCATACACGAAAGAGCAGGCCCTGTTGGCTGTCGGCGGTTGGCGGTTGGCGGCGGCCGGCTATCCAAGAACCCAGCCGAAGTGCCGAGACCAGCTTGTTACGGACAAGTCCCGACGAATTCATACCACTATGAACTTGAGCTTCGGTTAGCGCATTCATTGGAGTATAATTGATGCGTCATATTGTCCTTGAGCTACCAGAGAGTGCCAGATAGGTGTTGATACTGGGTCGAGAAGTACATGGCTTAAATCTGGTCGGACCACCGAGGCCGACGCAGCCTCAACTTTGAATGCAAAAGAGACCTCCCAACTAGCGATCTTGACACAGAATTGCAAGTTACCCGTATATCCTCTCTATGTGGGGATGTGATTTACTGGTGTAGGCATGTAGTGGCTGCGGTATGGCACTGGCCGATTTGCGCATGTAAGGTTCTGATTTTCTCATCGGAAGGGTTATCTTCCTCCGGGAGATTCCTCACTCTGTGGAATAGAATCTCATTTTCAGAAGTACACTCAAGCGAAAAAGCGGAACGTGGCTGGTTGAGTTGCTAAAAGTGTCTTGAGCCTTCAAGGCTTGCTCATTCTGGAGTGCTGGTAAGATCAAGCACTTGATGTTTGGTAAAGCGTTGTCCAGATACACCCTTCTCTGGAGTTCTGGCCCTCGCAGGCGTGGGTGCTTTAGCTAGTGTCACACTTGGAGCACTCGTGTCACTGCCCAAAAGCGACATTTGTAATGCCTCAAGATGCTCAATACGAACCCGGTGCTGGGAGATCAGCCCCCTGAGCTGTGACATAGGTTGATTTGCCTGAAGAATCGGGGGGTTCGGTTCAGCTACCGCTATTCCGAATTGCCACTTGAGGAACGTATCTTCATTGGGTGGTTGCGGCGTAGAAGTTTTGCCAACATTCCCTTCAAATAAGAAACTCACCCAGCGTGGATCCGCAGCAAATGCATAGACCACTTTCTCACGGAACGCATAATCACTAACTTGAGAAAACGCTTCGTCGTTGCTCTCTTCCGGCTGCCTGTTGGACAGAGCTTGGAGCCTCACCGCCAAGTTAGCCCTCCAAGTCTCCAAAGATTTCGCATGAATGCGAGCATCTGCACCTAATCGCTCTCGCTTTTGAAGATTAGTCTGTAGAGAGACATGATGGGCGATAATCAAGGGAACAACATGCTCAGGTCTTGCTGAATTGCAGATCCCCAGCACTTTCCTTCCGCCATCAGCGAGGAATTTTCTCAAGACCAGCATGGAGAATGCCGATAGCAGGTCCTCAAATTTGTCGCCCTTGCACTCATCAAGCATGGTCTTCCGTAGTATACTCTCCCTAGGGAGTCGGCCATTTTTCTTCAACTCGGACAGGGTTTTGAATAGTGCGGCGCGGAGGCTGAGTGATTGAATGGGCGTCTTCGGGGGGAAATTCGGTGATAAAACCTGGCGAGTTGTTTCTGAAGAGTACAATCGAAACAGTTGATAGAGCGCCCACTCTGTTGCTTTAATTCTAGCTTGAAGATTTTTACTTGCTGATTTATCGTTGGAGGTAACATGGAAGGTTGACACAGTGATTGACGGCCAGTCTGGGAGCGTGTCGAGATCTAAGAGGTGGAGTGCTGAGACAAAAATGGCGAGGCTGCTACGGGGCTTCCATTGATTATCCATGATCGAGATACTAACGAGATCCGGATACTGCGTGGCTTCATTGGCAATGCTTCAAGATGGAAGCCTCATGTTATGGATGAAGCTAGTTCTGCCCAATCGGTAGCTTGATATTGATCAAGAATATCACATAAGCGGCGCCAAGGTCTGACCGATCGGGTGTGGCTACGTCACTGGGTAAACAACCGCCCCGAAATCTTACACTAATGTTGAAGTTTGCTCTGCTCCCCACCTTCTTTGTCTCGCGTAGTCTGTACATTCGCCTTGCTGCACTGCACTGCGCGGCTGCGGTCTGTACATATTAGATTTGCTCTTTCAACAGCGTAAAGATCTGGGTTGTTCTGTTTCCTCGTCTTGTTTCTTTTCGACCTTCCAAACTTCAGATCTTGGATTTCCCAACAACCCGGCTTAGACCCCCTCCAATCGTCGCAGTCGTATCAGCCATGGGGGCAAACAATCCTGAAGGTATGCCCGCTGAGACATCTATCCCTGTACACAATGTAACTTCCAAAACAGTATCATCGGGAGATCTACGCTCTCACACCTCCCTCCTCCCCAAGCCAAACCCCTGGTCGGTCCCTGCTGTCCTCAACGACCTCCCCAATCCGCCTGCCGAGAACTCCGCTTCCCCAGTTCCTTTCTTCCATTATATTGAGCGCCTCAAGATTGAGAAGCGCGAGGGTTGGCGTCGCTTTGGCCTTACTAGAGGGGAGTCCATAGCAGACCATATGTATCGAATGTCACTCATCACAATACTGGCCCCACCTGCTCTCGCGTCGAAACTGGACATTGCAAGATGCACCAAGATGGCACTGATACATGACATGGCGGAAGGTCTTGTTGGTGACCTGACACCTGTTGATGGAGTGCCTAAGGTGGAGAAGAACAGGCGCGAGGCCGAGACCATGGACTGGGTCGCGACTTCATTGCTGGGAAAAGTTCACGGTGGTGTCAATGGAAAGGAAATCCGAGCAATCTGGCAGGAGTACGAAGACAGTGAGACAATGGAGTCAAAATTTGTCCACGATGTTGACAAAATCGAGTTGATTATGCAGATGGTGGAATACGAGCGGGCCAGCAACTGTACGGTGGACCTGAGCGAGTTCAGCTGGGTAGCAACGAGGATTGTGCTAGATGAGATGAAGGAGTGGGCAACAGAAATATTGGAGGAGAGAGAAAAGTTGTGGAAGAACAAAGGCACCGAGCCAAGAGATCCTACTAACACGGACTACATCAAAGGCCAGCAAGATGAATACTACGGCAATGGGACTGCGACTGGGGCAAATGGCCATGCGAAATGATTGAGACAGGCAGGCACCCGGGACGACGCGTTGAACGAGGGTAAATGAATGGCACGGCGGCAGGTGGCTTAGAAATGATACCCCAGCTTTTGATACTTACATTCTATCTTCCTTTTGAAATGCTTCTATCACTTTCTCGGGCATTGCAGCATGATACACAGAGAGCCGCCCTTTCCACATCCTCCACCTCCTCCCCTTCCTCGATATCCTTCTCCATTTCTATCCTCAACCATTCAGCCTCCTCCGCCATCTCCTCCTCGCTCCGTGGCTTTCTACCACTATCAGGCCCACCAGCGAAGTCTCTCCTCTCTCCAGCCCTCGTCTGCCTCGCCCTCTGCATCTCCCAGAAAGCTTGCCCAACATCGCCTTCGTCGCCATCCATCATCTCATAAATCTGGTCTCCACCCCCTCGGTCATCCAAATCACCAGCCCGCCGCGGGATCACATGGACATGGACATGTGGTACGGATTGGCCCGCGTCAACTCCATCCTGCACCGCAACGTTCAGGGCTGTCGCGCGGTATACCCGCTCCAAAGTCCGCGACACATACCGAACAGTGCTGAACAGGTCTGCTGTTTCTTTTATCGATAGCTGTGATAATCTGGGCACGGGCCGCACTGGACAGATCAACACGTGCCCTGGCAATAGTGGCCTGAGATTGACGAGTCCATAGGTCAGCTGCGACCGTGAGAGATGAAACACCTGGTTGGTGACTGCAAATGGCCCAAATTTGAGGTTGGCGGGAAGGTTTAATGGTGGCATTGAGCTTGTGGAATTGGAAGGAGGCTCGGCTTTGTCTCTTTTATCTTCGATGGTGGATGTTCCGTGCATATTAATCGTATACTTCCAGTCGAGCTAGCCGGTGCAAGCACTCAGGTAAACCTTCCGATGGATGAAAAGTTGGCGCACGGGTGGGAAGTGCTCTTCCTCGTGTAGATGCCAACCTCGGGATCTAGCTCGTGAATCCGTCACTCTTTCCCGTAAAGAAATATAAAACGTATAACAGTATAGTGCAAGGGCGCAATCAGCTTCGGGTGTCTTCAAAAGGATGAAGGCCGATACAACCGAGCTCTACCTGAGTCTATGGGACCCAGCTTTAAATTTACCAAAGTCCGTTGAGCCTTTCTCGTTCCGAATCACCGATAAGCGAGGCAAGGCCGCAAAGGCAGGAAACGAAAATGCAGACAGTGGAAGTTAGACTGTGTGGAAGAGACTCAGATATAGATAATTCCTGATGAAAGGCATCAGTCTAGATGCGGTCAAGTCAACATTTAAGGCTCTGGCTCGATTTTAACGGTCACGTGCAATATTCCACAAGGCTCTCAAAGATGCATTTGGGAACATTGAAAGGAACGTCCCCAGAACAGCAGTGGAAAACTCTAACTACTCAGAGTGAGTAGCATAGTAACTATATAGAGCACGGGACAGCTAGCATGGGATTTGTGGGCAAGGATGAAGAAGACATTGAGGGGCATATCCCGCCGCAGCCTCGCGCAGCCTCGTGCAATTAGCCAATATCCAACATTGCGTAGCGTGCCGCTTCCAAGTCAGCCACTGTTTTGTCCCTTGTGAGAGTCAGTCTCGCGTATCTCAGCTAATCTAATCACTTGATCGCGACGTTTTCGCTCTTGGTCGCGTCGCAGCACATTCCATGGCCTAGTCGCGAGGAATAGAGAGAAGACGGCAAGACAAACAGGGTCAAAGTTTGAAAGGGTTCTTGTGAATGTGAAGCAAGTGGTGTTATGAGTTTGTGGTTTAGAAGTCAGCACTGTTAATCTGCCCTCTCAAAGTTCACAGGAGGCTAAATAGAAACCACAGCCTAATGCAACGATCCGAGATCGGATATCTCCACTTCGAGACAAGTTTTACATACGCATTGGAACCCTTTTTCATCATCAGACGTACCGGGTGCAAACCAACACGTATAACGTACTAGTGCCCCTGACTTATTTATTGATTTTCTCCCTTTGGTCTGCCTGACACCAGACTTGAGTTTGACAGATACATTTCATAACAGAATACAAATCATCAGCACTTTTTCGGTGGCGGGGTCTACTAGTCACTCAAGCACCCTATTGTTACATGTCTACTAATAGTAACTAGAATCTAATCTGCACCGGCATTCCACAATTCAAGAGGACACAGACTCAGAAAACGCAGTATAGAAAGGCTGTGTGTTCAAATTACCTCAGCCATCAAGATACAAAGACTAACATCATAAGAAGACCTAGATTTGAGAAGAAAAACTAGGTTTGGAACGATCAAAAGAAGACGAGGGTACCGCGTCACGAACAAGTCCCTCCTCGACCAGGGTCCAGAGACACCTTGCTTCATAAGCGACCAACCCGACATGGCAGAACAACACGCACACCACCTGAATCTCACGACATCGAAAACCGGCACATTCTACTTCGCCTTTGGCTCTAACCTCTCGCCGTCTCAGATGTCCCTACGCCTCAACCACGCGCCAAGCTCCAGTGTCCCCGTCGCCATCGCACGGCTCGATTCACATGCGTGGATCATCTGCGAGCGGGGCTACGCGAACGTGGTCTCACTACCACCATCCAACGCTGCCTCGGACGGAAACACCGTTTGGGGCGTCGTGTACAACATGAGCCCCGAGGACGAGGCGAGGCTAGATCTCTACGAAGGACACGACGAGGCAAGGAATCCCGACGCGCAGCTTAACCCGGACCCGGCGAGCCAGAAGTGGAAGCCTTATCTCCAGGGCGGTTGGGATTATAATAAGCACTATCTACCGATGACGGTGACCAAGTGGCTGATGGATCCGAGCGAGTATGGTGTTGAAGTGCCAGGATGGTCGGATGGCTCACCTTCTTCACGACAGCAAACTACGATCCGCGCCTTGGTATATGTCGATGAGTACCGGACACGGCCGGGCGCAATCAAGCATGAGTACGTGGGCCGGATGAACCGCGGCATTGCAGAGAGCGTGGCGCTGGGGATTCCTGAAGGTTGGGTAAAAAGTGTGCTGAGGAAGTTCATCCCCTCGGGAGTCTTCGTTGACGAGGAAGGATATGTGGGAACGCCGGATGGCTATGTTGAAGGGAAGGATGTCGACTGGGTCGGTCACAAGGTAGAGGCAGAGGCCACTGAGGCTGGCGATCATGTTAAAGAGCGTAATGTGAGGGAGCAAGCGGGTTGATCTGAGACATGGTGATGCCCTGTCCATAGCTTAATAGACAACAGAAATTCAACAAAAATGATAGTGTCACCCGGTTGTAATGGAATTAATACTCATGTCGGTAATTATTGGAGAATACATCTCATTAAAGAATGGAGAAGAGAAACCCTGCTGTCAAATTTGGGTTTGGGGGTATCACTTACGAAGAAGTACTTCGGTTTTTTGTAAATCTCCTCAGCTTGTCCAGCAAATGGGACTTGTTCTGATCCAAGTCTCACAATCCAAGAGACCACGATTTCACCAGCTTTACAGCCATTTCCGCGTGCTTACCGCCGATCAACCTGGCTGATTTCAGGTAGTGGTGTACAAGATTCGCAATCTCTGTTGAATTGCATGTGCCACATCTCGATAATATCGCTTTACACATTTGGTCTCAGGGTCGCTCACGTGAAGGCTCTTTGGCATTCACCACTGCAACTTAATCGCTCCTATTCCGCCTCCTAGAAGACAAAATCAGGACCATATGTGCGGGCGAACATAATCTCTTTCCCATGCTTCATCTCCATCCACAAAGCCTTCATCGCAATCGATGTCTTCATCACTGCCATCCACAACTTCGATTTTACTACTCAACGCCTGCTTTCCTTCCTGGATCATAGCTTTCAACTGTTCGTTCAGACGTCGGATGCTTTCGTCCTCCTTAGCTTCTTTACGACGCAGCTTTTGCTCGAACTTGCGGACTTCTGGTGATGATTGGTTGTTTGACGTTGCTGTGGCCATCAAATGAGAGGATTGTCGACGTGATGATGCTAAAGACGCTCGGCTGCTCTGTCTTCTGGCAGTACTTTGAAAATTATCAGGTGATGTCAGTAGGGATTGTCGAGACTGTGCGTGACTAGGACCCAGTTGCCCACTAGCCAAGGATGCACGAGGTGAAGCAATGGAGGCAGCAGACTTGTTAGTGGATGACCGTGAGGTAAGGCGTGGGCGAGTGGTGCCTGAGCTGTTGCCGCCGATGTTTCGAGGGGAGGGTCTTGCGGAGTTTGACAGAGGTGCTACACTTGCCCGTGACTTCTTACGTACAGGGCTTGTGTCTCTTGAACTCATCGACGGCCCATCTACCACCACCCAGCTGCTTCGTGAGGCTGGTAGAATAGGGCGAGCTGTCGGGGTGTAATCGTTATCGCTGCCATATCTCCAAGGTTGTGACATATAGTCCTCGATGAATTCTGATGGTTCGGCAGGAAATTCACCTGGGACTGGTGTCGATTCTCTCTCTCGACAGCCTCTTGGCACAGAATAGTCTGTATGAAAGACATCCTCTTTAGAATCAACATCCAGCCATCCGTGAGTTGCGACACCAGGTTTTCCAGTGTCAAAATGATAGCCGTTACCACCACCGGCGTAGAATCCCTTGAAGGATGTAGCACTCTGCCAACAGAAGTTGAAAACTTTGCCAGCTACGTTACCGGTAAGTGCCCAGACAGTCTTTCCCCAGCCGCCTTTAGGTGATTGGGACAAACGACGTTTAGCCTGTGCGGAGGACGGCGTGTGTGGGAAACGAGGGCCTGATGGCTGTCGCGATAAGACCTGCTGTGAGGTGTATCTGTTTGGTCTGCAATCATGTTCGTATTCATATTCACGTTCATAATCGGCTCTCTGACTGTTCAGATCGGCTGGTGCTTCAACACCACCAGCGAAGCGGTAATCTGTGTTGACGAATGGTGAAGGACTTGGTGCGTCGATGCTGTTGTCGTTGTTATGGTTGTATGAACGGTTGTGAGGTGTTTGAAATTCCTCATCCTTCGGCTCTACCCTGGGACGCTTGCGGGACTGTGTTGACAGAGCGGCATGTGATTTTGAGATCGACTGCGCTGGTCTGGAAGTGGTCAAAGACGAAGCTGATGATGGGCTATCTTTCGCAGGAGGCAGGAATAATGACGACTTGAAAGGCACACAGTGGAAAGAAGAGGTGGATTCATTGTCAGAAGGCAAGAATGAGCCTGGCACGCTCATTCCCGACGCTATTGCCGTTGTCATTTCGTGCGACAGTGCCTGTCCGGGTGGTAACTAGGTCAGGAAGGGCATGAGCTAATTCTTCGAAGGGCAGATGTGAGCATGACCCTGACGTGGATGTTGCTGGCAACTGACCTCAAACTTGATTTAATGTGGCTGCGCTGGCGTTCATGGCTGCTCGTTCGGATGCAGCACAAAGGAGTCAGGCTCAGGCTCCAGCATACAAAGCGGCAGGTGTCCCGATCAACTTTGCGGGGGCGACACAACCCATTCGTCACTCCAGCAACAGAGCGGAATTATGTTCCACCGATCCCGAGGGGCAAGAGCGAGATGGTTCGGATAAACTTGTCTCCGCTACGGCACCCACAAGTTAAGCCAGGGTTACGCATTGGACAATTCCAGGAGGAACATCTTCGAAGAATAATTAGGAAATGTGCAATACCTTGGACATATCCGTAAACGGTTACCCGGAAATCGTGCAGAAGCAAAAACTCCTGGCGTCCAAGGCAGTTGTGACCGAACTGGGTATGTTAAACGCCAATAAAATTGCCTAAATTGGTTATGGTAAGCGCAGCCGCCCAATCGCATCAATCGCATACCCACTCTGTGTGCCGCTTGACAAGCATTCAAAGTTGGCTCAGCGGTTCCAATTTCCAATTTCCAAGTACACTCACAACCTGGTACTCTGGCCTGTACAAGATACTCTTTCAGACTATATCTTCATGATGGCGATATTCTCCCCTCAAATACAGACTTCAGCATCTTCCAGAAACTTGTCCATTAAATGACTACCAATTGAAACTGCTTCCCTCCTCCTTCAAAATGCCGCCAATTGCAGAGAAAGACCTGATCGACGACAAAGGCTGGATTGCCACTGGAAAGATTGTGAGCAAAAGAAGACTTTCGCAAGCAATGGTAGATCCTTGGACTGCCACAGCTCTTTCGCAGGAGCATGATTTGGTTCTAAAGACTTTTCGCCTTCTGATCGCCGACCTATGCCAGCAATTTAAGGGTGGTCACCCGGGGGGCGCCATAGGCATGGCAGCAATTGGTGTCGCCCTATGGAAATATGTCATGATTTATGCTCCATCTCAGCCAGATTTTTTCAATCGCGACCGATTCGTCCTCTCAAATGGTCATACCTGTTTGTTCCAATACACCTTTTTACACTTGACAGGTTATCGTGCCATGACCTTGGATCAACTCAAGTCTTATCACTCTACAAGGGAAGATGCACTTTGCCCAGGCCATCCCGAAATTGAGCATGAAGGTATTGAGGTCACAACTGGGCCTCTCGGTCAAGGCGTCGCCAATGCCGTGGGCTTAGCCATGGCCACCAAAAATCTGGCGGCAGAGTTCAACCGGCCTGGGCATGAAGTGGTAAACAACCATACTTGGTGCATGATTGGAGATGCTTGCCTACAAGAGGGTGTTGCACTAGAAGCTATATCCTTTGCCGGCCATCTGAAGTTGAATAACCTTACTATCATTTATGATAACAACCAAATAACGTGCGACGGATCAGTTGATTTAACCAACAGCGAGGACGTGAATGCTAAGATGCGTGCCTCCGGGTGGGACGTGATCGATATCGAGGATGGATGCTTTGATGTGGACGGTATCGTGTCAGCTCTCAACAAAGCAAAGACTTCTCCAGAAAAGCCAACATTTGTCAATGTCAGGACGATAATTGGCCTTGGCAGTGCTGTTGCCGGTGATGCACTCTCTCACGGAGCAGCTTTCGGCGATACAGACGTTGCCAATATGAAGCGTGCTTCTGGATTTGATCCGACGGAATTCTTCGTCATTCCTGAGCCAGTCCAAGAATTCTTCGCCGAACTGCGGCCTCGAGGTGATGAAATCGTGTCGAGGTGGACAAGGACTGTGGAGAATTATGCCGCTGCATATCCTGAGCTAGCAGCGGAATTTCAATCTCGAAGACGAGGCGAACTTCCGCCAAATTGGGAATCACTAATTCCAAAAACGTTCCCCGAAAAGGCGACTGCAACCCGTGCTTCTTCGGGTTTGGTATTCAACCCTATTGCTCAAGGTGTGAAGAATTTTATGGTTGGTACCGCTGATCTCTCGCCTTCCGTCAATATGATATGGAAGGACAAGGAAGACTTCCAACATCCAAGCCTGCGGACACAATGTGGTATTAATGGGAGCTATAAAGGACGGTATATCCACTACGGCATTCGAGAACACGCCATGGCAGCTATAGCGAACGGCCTAGCTGCATTTTCGCCGAACACAATCATCCCTGTAACTTCCTCGTAGGTAATCACCCTTCAAGAATCTCTTTTCTACCCACTAACAGACCTCCAGATTTTTTATGTTTTACCTATATGCTGCCCCAGCTGTACGCATGGGAGCTTTGCAACATCTCCACGTGATTCACGCTGCAACGCACGATTCCATTGGAATGGGTGAAGATGGTCCCACACATCAACCCATCGAGCTTGCAGCACTTTACAGAGCCATGCCAAACCTTCACTACATCCGTCCGGGTGACTCGGAGGAGACAGCTGGTGCATGGTTGGCTGCCATTGATGCTAAAAATACCCCGACCATTATCTCGACCTCACGCCATGCTGTCCGGCAACTGACCCCTAAGACTAGTCGTTCTGGCGTAAGAAAAGGTGCTTACGTGATTGAAGAGGCTGAAAATGCCGACCTGACAATCATTGGCGTTGGTGCAGAGCTTGGTCTTGCAGTTGATGTTGCCGTGGAGTTGCGAGAGAAATTGAGTCTTCGCATACGTGTTGTCTCTTTCCCTAGCCACAGGCTATTCGAGAAGCAGCCGATCGAATATAAACGACAAACGCTTCGGCGAGGCTCAGGACTACCTGCAGTCGTGATCGAGCCCTATGCTGCCCTTGGCTGGGAGCGCTATGCAGATGCTGCAATCTGCATGAGCACTGATCGTTTCGGCCAATCTCTCCCTGGATATAAAGCTTACGAATACTTCGGCTTCTCGAAAGAAAAAATTACGCAGAAGATTCAGCATTACTTGCAACGGAGGAAAACAGGAGAAATATTGCCAGGTGAGTTTGTTGAGATGACCAGATAGTCGGATTTAGAGTTTGGAAGGCTAGGATGAGCTTGTGGATGCCCTGTTCCTCCTGTCTTAGCAAACGAACCGCGGAGATTTGTCATATATATTTCAAATCTAGATAATGTGCTATATTCTGAGATCAACACCCGCGATATCGTGATGGAAAGCATGAGCAGCTAATCTCCTGACATACTTTTGCGAATAGCTTGGGCACCGATTAGCTTATAGCTTGAAGAACCACCAGCCTTCCATCATATTTAGCACTGGCAGAGACAGTTGCTTCTCTAGAAATTGATAACACACATCCATATTGGAAGCGAGCGATCCCTGATTTTCTCAATGGCAGTTTCGATCTCACCAAAAGGCCACTTATGCGTGATCAGGTCGTCCACATTAAGCCTACCGGTTTTGAGCCACGAAAGTACCGTTAGAGCATCATTCCGCGAGTGATTTCGAGTCCCGACTATGGTCCAGCAGTTGGCCATAATCGCAACCATTGGTAGTGGTAATACTGAGCTGTTGGCCCCTAGATGCACAAGGGTCCCGTTTGTTCCGAGCCCGGAGAGTGCCTGCCACATGTCCGTACCGCTGGGGGTGAGGTCAATGAATGCGTCTGCTCCCTCAGGTATGGCTTGCGCCACAGCCCTAGCCAGTTCTTTTTTTGTAACCCAGTTCTCGGAGAGCTTATCAAGCGCTATGATATCGACCCTGACTTGCGTGAGCTTTTTCACAGCCTCCAGCCTTTCTGTTGAACGGCCAACTAGGATTATCCGGTTGATGCCAAAGAGGTCTGCAAGCTTTAACAAACATGTGCCGACAGCACCAGTTGGAGCCGTGATAATGACATTCGAGCCTGGCTTCAGCCTCGCTTTTCTCAGCGTGCAAAGAGCAGTAGCGACTTCGTGTAGCTTAGCCCCAACATCGAAGCTGATGTTATCTGATAGTTCATCGACCAACCAGTAAGGCGCCCGAATATATTCAGCCAAACCACCGTCTCGGTAAGTCTCGAATAATGTCCCCTTCCGCTTTGTGAAACCTTGAAACCCCATTAGACCTGCCTCGGGACATGTCTGATCCCTGTCCGTTAGACAGAATTCGCATTTTCGACAATTCACGTTACTGTGAATGCGCACTCGGCTTCCCACTGCAACAGTCTTTACCTGTTCACCGACTACCTCCACCGTGCCTGCAGTTTCATGGCCTAGCGTGGCTGGCAATGCTTGTAGCATGCCCGCTCGTCCCAAAGCCAAAACCCCGGGAGCGAGGCCTGCTGCCTTGACCTTGACCAGAACGTCGAGAGGGCCGACTTGTGGGACTGGTACGGTCTCAATGCCCTCTTTGAATGCTCTGGGCTGGAGACGAAGAGCTTGCATTGTGCGATCAATATGAGAACCCATAACGCAATCACTAAAATTTCTGATGATCTATATCGAACAATTTGCAATGGATTCTTTGCGTACAGGTCAAAAGTTTCACTCAGTCAGGATGCACAGGATTGTTATGTGTCAAATAGGGTCGATGTCACAATGATGAATTGTACGCTGTCGGTGACCCTGGTCGATGACACGCGGAACTCCTTCTGTACTTCCCAGCTCGCTTAGTCCTCATGCAATCGGGACCGAGGGATATCATCGGACCTCAGAAGGGTAAAAGTCGCACAAAATATGACTATTCGGATGGCTGCAAGGATGTAGTCTCATAGTATTCAGCCGCAAATTGGCTGGCCCGGCCCATACTTTCACGAGCTAAAAGAACCGGAACTTGAATGACCCATGGCCCGTCAATTACTTGGTGATGAAATGAGAATCAAGGAACGCTCGATACGAGATAGGTCGTATATCATGTGGCCGTTCGCAATCTGGAAAGGAGGCCAAAGTGCGGGGAAGCTTGACTGCGCTTTTTACTATTTTAGCTAGCAACAGACCGAAGCACGGAGTAGTGGTGGGTGTTCCGCTCGGGAGCCTTGCTCCCATGCCTGGATTTAGTTTTGCAAATACTATAATTCATTTCGAGGGCTGTTAGTGGCGCGAATCAAGAGTGAATTTCCTATGGTGTGGCTTCTTCTACGATCCCCGAAGTCAACAATCGAGTATCTGGAGTAGGTCGTGATAAAAATAAGGAGGACTTGGAAGTCCACCTTTCCGAGGGAGCCTTGTCAACCCTAGTGCCAGCAACCAATCGGATCATCATCCGACATGCCATCAACACCGTTTTCGGAAATCCGTTGGTGCATGCCCTCCTATCAGTCATCGGATACTCAATTACCCTCGATGCCGACTCGCCTCCGACATGCACCCGTAAGATAATTCTCTTTCTATTTGATTGGCTGATCTAGATTGCTTTCCAAACCTTGTGGAGCTCTGGGGAACTGGAGGGCCGAAGGCCTGGAAGCTGGACCACCCTGAAGTCAGATAAATGACTATGGGGTCGTGGAGGTCGCAAGTTCAAGCACAAGACTTTCTCTACTGAGAAAGCTGATTTATCCTTAACATCCTTGGATCTTAACAGTAATAGCGATGGCAACCGATGATAAGGCGGCGGAGATGGCGGAGATGGTTGAGACCGTGGCAACAACCAACATTTCGGTATCCATTGCCTCCCAAGAGGTTGAAGATCGCCATGTCTCTTTCCGACTCATTATTATCACAGCCGTATGTTCTAAACCTCCCGTCGAAGAATAAAAGTTTAACGGAACTAACATTTGATCATCGTAAAGGCTGTCACTGGAGTTTATCTCGCCACAATCGTCCATATAGTCGGGTCTGGCCTGTTGGCTCGCTCGATTGTCGCAGCAATTGGTGGTAGCGACAAAGTAGCTTGGCTCACTATCGTGGTCACTTTCCACCCCATCCTCCTCGGCCCACCTGTTGCGCAAGCCGCAGACCTTTGGGGTCGCAAGTGGTTCATTGTCGTGGCCATGTTGGCAGGCACTGTTGGCTGCCTCATCGTGTCTAGGGCAAATACCATAGGCGTCGCCATTGCAGGCCAAGCTATTGCAGGATTCAATCAGACAGCACAGGGCCTGTCACATGCAATTGTGTCAGAGATTTTGCCTCGGAGATATAGACCATGGGCCCAAGCCGGAATTCATGTCGCTGCTGGGTTGGGCGCACTCCTTGGTCTGTATGTTGGAGGTGCAATGTGCAGGAACTCTCCGGAAGGGTTTCGAAATTATTGGTATCTCACTGCAAGTTTGTTTTGCACTGTCGGCTGCATCATCGCTATCTTTTATAATCCTCCTCTGAGGCAGCTTCAGCATCTGAATGTCGCCGAGAAAATCCGACGCTTCGACTTGCCTGGCACCTTCCTTCTTATCATTGCGCTGTTGGGAATTTGCCTTGGCTTAGGTTGGTCTCAGAATCCATACACCTGGCGGAACGCCCATATCCTTACTCCCTTCATCATCGGGATTACGGGCCTGGTATTCTTGATTATTTACTATACCCAGTTCAAAAAGGACGGCATAATTCACCATGAGTTGTTCCAAGGTTCCCGCAATTTCGTCATAGCTCTGATATGTATCTTTGCTGAAGGAGTGTCATTCTTCGCCGCCAACAACTATTTTGGCTTCCAGGTCGGCTTCCTCTTCGATAGAGATTTGCTTCTCACTGGAGCCACATACAGCATTACTTGGATCACATATATGATTGGGACGTTGATTGCAGGATGGTACTGCTCCCGGACAGCGACCTTGAAGCTCCCAGTGATTATATCATTTGTCTCCTTCATCATCTTTTTCGCTTTGATGATCTCAGTACAGCTGTCATCAGGCACTATGGTCTGGGGCTATGGTGTGTTTCTGGGGATCGGACTTGGAATCTCACTCAATGCTCTGGTTGTCGTTGCTCAATTGTCAATCCCACCACAGCTCATCGCAACAGGCACGTCCTTGATGCTTGCCATCCGTGCTGCAGGTGGGACTGTGGGACTGGCGATCTACAACGCGGTATTCAACGCAGCTCTGAGTAATAATCTTGGACCAAAAATCAGCCAAGCTGCGTTGTCGCAGGGCTTGCCTTCGTCAAGTTTGCCACAATTGATAAACGCCCTTGCGCATGAGGACTATGCTGCAGTCCAAAGCGTGCCAGGAATAACTCCAGCAATCATTCAAGCTTCTGTGGTCGCGTTGAAGAACGCGTTCAATGTTGGTTTCCGGAATATTTACATCACAGCACTTGCGTCAGGAATAGTAGCGTTGATTGGTTTGTTTAAGGCCCTTATCTTCCTAACCTGCAGCTAATAAGTGGCAGCATCATTCTTCTTGCGCGATCGCAAAGAAGAGTTTACCTACAGCATCGACGCACCAATGACAGAGAAAAAGGTCAAGGACATCCAGGAGTAAGTAAAGGGAACTGGAAAGGAGAGTCTTGATTACAAAGCACTAGGAAGGACTCAGGAGGTGGCTTGATCAGACCAACTTGCTTTCAAATGATATAAAGACTGTCAGATTGCGTTGGAGAGATATTAGAATTCCATATGACAAGCTTGTACATGCGCTTGACATTTCGCACTCCTTCGCCGCAGCTCCACCTCTTCTGTTGAAGTTGCTCCTACGAAACGACAGAAATCAGCAAATTTTCAGACCAACTATACTCGCCGTAAACCGGTATTGTTTGATGGTGCCAGTGAATTTGGCCCTCACGTGCACCTAGAACATTTGCCTGAAATGACGAACGAAGGAGGCCCGGGAGGGTGTGTCTCTATTCAAAAGATAGTTCTCATGAAGTTACCGTTCATTAATAAATACTAAGCATTTCATTCTCTATAGATGACCATGCTTGACGTAATACTGTTCCGCGCCTCGATGTAATGGAAGTGAAGTCTTCGCCATCTTCTTTGGGTCGAGTGGGTAGTTCAAGGGGCTCTTCTCTGGTGGGATATGCTTGTACTGTGCCTCAATCCGGTTCCGAGTCTCAACCAAGCACCAGGTGAGCAAATATGCAACCTCATCCGGTAAGTCATCTCGAACCACGATGACGAAGTCTGAGAAGTCCAGCGCTGGAAGGTCTGTCTCAAGATTGCTCCAAAACCCCTTGAGCAAAGGATTCATTCCTAACCCTAATTGCTGTTCAAGTTTTCCCAAGGCTGCTGGCTCCGCTGGAAGCGGCTGGACCTTGTTCGTTTCCACAACTTTTGACCACCAAGGGGTCATTATAGCTTCCTGTACGACTGCATCTACCTCTCCTCGGTCGACAAGCTCCAAGCAAGAGTCTGGTCGCTGAAAAGTCACATATTTACCGCCCCAAGACTCCAATTCAGCTTTTGAGATGCCATGTGCCTCCATAAACTTACTAGTCACATACCCAATGAAATTAGTGCCGTCGTCAGTGGATGCAGCGATTCGCAGCGCTAGTTTGGATGCCCGTAGCTGCTCGAATGACCTGATACCGAACTTAGGATCGATTGCTAGAACAAGCTTATCGTTTTGAGGTAAGACTGCTAAGGCTCGTAGATGTGGCATGGACGATTGAAATATTGCCTCCCCAGTCAGAGCTTTCTTCATAAATGCCGCTGGTGTTGTGATGGCCAATTGGGCTTCGCCTTCATGGACCAAAGGGAGTGCTTCAATGCCACCACCTCTGATGCTCCAAGTAGCCACCCTACTCTCAGGACCAGCTCTATTGCAGAACTCTTGAGTGAGCCATCCGCATATGCGGTGGAAGTTGGCCTGACCCCAGTCGCCGATGAAATTGAGGGTGTACGACCGAGACAGCTGCGGCTCGCCTTTGTCATTGATTGTCAACGAACTCATTTTCAATTCGGCTACAAATTTACACAGACTAGAAATAATTAGAGACTTAATCTATCATTATAGATAATAAGCAAAGCTAGAACCGGTCTGCGAAATATCTGAGCTTCCAAAGCAAGTATTGCCGTTCAGTTCGCTCCCGAACTTGCCCCGCGGAGTCTAAAACTCGGAGTCGGATACTTTTCAAGCCGGACATACAAATTCCGTGACCAGCTTTATCCTGACATTCCATCTCGATGTGGCCTGTATCATGACCAGTCTTTTGAGCCCCTGAGTGCTAGATTGCCACATTGCTGATATAAGAGCATTAAATTGCTGCGTTGGAGTGTAGATAAGACCGAAACTTCACCCTTATCTGTGAAAGCTCTATTGTCTGCATTTTTAAGACCCAATTGGCCAAGTTTCGGCCTGACATTGTCAAGCCGACATCATGCCAATTATCACGGAGCGTTTGGACGCATATCCTCTGGATGAGACAGTTCTGGAAATCGAGCGCGATGAGGAATTACTTTTGACAACACCAGTGGTGAAATTCGTTAAGCTACTCAATCATGCACCTCTCGAAGTGATTCACTTCCCGACGGAGTATATTTCTCAACCATTTTCCCCACCGAGGGGAGTGTATGAGAGCCATCATCTCCGAGTAGAATGGCAACAAATGAAAGGACGACAGCCATTCTATCATCGCAACGCAGATGCTGATGAATTATCATTTCAAGTCTTCGGACCTCGAACTCTGATGACAGAGTATGGAATAGTCGAACACCGACCTGGAGACTTCTCGCGGATACCAGTCGGCGTTGCTCACGACAATTTTGGACAGGAGGAAATCCATCTCCTCTTTTACATCCCTGCCCCGGTACATGAAAATGTACCCGCCAGATCTACTGGGGAACTTCGAATTCCACCTTTTGAAGGCTGGGAGTCACAGGCGATGCCAGAAGTAACTACAAATTGCATCGGTGGTCCTGAGTGCGATATTGCAGCAGGGCTGGTAGACGAGAAGCTTCTGCTGCAGCATGTAGAAAAGGTAGATAAGTCAAGACGGATTCAGGTCCTTCAACCCAAACGAACTGAAGGGGAAATGGAGTGGATGTACACATCGAAAAATGTCTGGATTGGTTACATGAAGCAAAGCAGGAATTCGTATTCGGGGATCGTTTATACGCGGCATCGACTGGCAGAGGAGATTCAATGCCAGATCAAGGGCAAGCGGACGATCATCAGCCAACGTGGTATCGCGAACTTGGAGCCGGGTGACTTTGTCAACATCCCCTACGGGGTGGCTTTTACGGATGTTGTACATGAGGACAGTGAGCATATTTCAGTGTTGACGCATAACCCCACACCCCCCAAGGCTCCGATCGCGAGACAGGCTCATCCAACCTCATGGAGCGCCGTTCAAGCGCTCCGAAACTAGCCAGCCCGGGTAAATGATATAGTCTTGAAATGTTCGAAAATGTATCCCTTTGTGATCTTGCGGTGCATGTCTTCAGTAGCAATACTTCTGTTTGTATCTAGCATTTATACATCCAAGACTCTTCCTTCAACCACTGCCCTGTGCATGGAATAACTTGCCAGAGGGTATGCATGTCATTCTTTTGCTAGTGAAGTCTTGACCTTTAGGTGTGATTTATTCTATATCAAACAGCACATCCGAACCCAATCTCAGTTAGTTCGAATTAGAACCTCTTTCGCCAGCCCGACTCTCTTCGGGTTCGGACATTAGCGGCAAAGGCCGTGAGGTACACCAGGTTACACGCGATGTTTCAAACATTTTGAGGGATAGATATTGTGTACTCGTTATTTTGAGACTGATATCTCCAAGCTTACTTCTTAAGTCTATACGCAATTCCTAAGAAGAGCGCTGCTTGCTTCCCCGCATAGAAAAATCAGAGGGAGAGAAGTGTGGCCAAATGCCCCGCATCAAACTTGAGGCCGATCGGCCGATTGAGCGGTCAAAAGCCGAAGGATCTCCACAAACGCGCCTACAATAATCTAAACTCAGTCAGATGTGCTCAAACACCCACAGCCCAGATATTTCTATTACCTGTGGAGCGCCTCATCCTTCCTTTCCGGAGTGTGAATAGGCGACAGGATGGTTCTTTATCTGGTGGTCTGGCGTCCTTTCGAAACTGTTTTCTGGGTATCTGATCACAGGCTGCTCAGGTCACTCCATTTCCTCTACATGAAGCACCCCTACGGGGGCATAGTCCTAAGGGATCCTGGAGAAAACGTAAAAGAATTGATGCCTGTGTCCCCGGGAAGATGAAGACATCTCAAATTCAGTAAGCAAAAGAATTAGACACAATATATGGAGAGCACTTCTATTTTTGGGACGGCGGTTCTAGGGTACTAGCCATCACCCAACTTTGCGGGTTTGATATTTCGAGATAAGCATTCACAGAACCTCACTGCAAGAATGTCGCACCTTGCTGGCAAATCCCTAAACTGGGCAATCACCGTTATAGTAGGGGTCTGGTTTTCTCCATTTCGGATATGGTACCACTTGAACTTTCATTTCTCCCACATAAATAGGCTCTGCTGTTCTTATTAACTATGTGATGCAAAATAGACCAAGGTGTGACGAGCGGAATAGTTACTGGAACGTCTTTTACAAATCAATTTCTAGCGATCGAAATCACAGAAGGAGGGAATGGAAGATCTTCCCTCCAGGGGACTGTGGTGACATCCTACGAGATCGGGTGCTTCTTCGGCGCTCTCGGGGCTTTTGCTTTCGCCGAACATCTCGGAAGAAGGTGGTCAATCATCATGGAGTGCACAATTCTGACTGTGGGGGCTGCCATCCAAGCCCCATCATATATACTTCCACAGACGATTGCCGGAGGCATCGTGGCAGGCCTGGGGAATGGTATCAACACTGCCACGATCCCTGTCTAGCACTCCGGACTGATGAGACTAATGAAGTCGACCTCACGAGGAAAAGGGCTTTCCATCGAGCTGGCTATCAATATCTTCGAAGCGATGCTTTCTTATTGGACTGACTATGGCATGAGTTTCGTTAGCAGCGAAGCACAGTTTCAATTCCCCATCGCCCTGCAGATTCTTTTCGCCCTGGTCACAATCGCTTTGATTGTTTTTCTCCCCGAGTCACCTCGATGGCTCATCGCAAAGGCTCGGTCCGGTGAAGCACGCCATATCCTGTGGCTCTCTAGGCAGATGCAAAGGCTATCTCGCCTGACCACATAGTAATCGATGCTGAGCTGAAGGAGATTCAGCGTGCTCTCGAGGAAGAGCGAGAAGCGGCTGGCAGCACAAATTTCTTTGCCGTGCTCAAAAAGAGTCAGCGCTTCAGCCGCAGGGCACTTTTGGGTATCGGTGGTCAGTTTATGTAACAATTGAGTGGAATCAAACTCATCACATACGTATGTGAAGCCCCTTACTAGGTGCACGGAGCATCAACTGACATAAACCAGTAAGCAGCGGTCATCTTCGAAGTGTCCGTTGGCATGCCTCACAACTTAGTCATGCTGCTCGCAGGCTTCAACGGCATCGCGTATTTTCTCTCATCACTCATCCCAATTTGGTGCCTCGATCGTATTCTCCGACGCAACCTTATGATCTTTGCGTGCGAAGGGCAAGCTGCCTGTATGGCCATTCTTGCGGGCACGGTATCCAACGGAAGTTACGCATGTGGCATCGTTGCGACCGTGATGCTCTTTCTCTTTAATTTCTTTTTTCCTTTAGGCCTCCTCGCGATCCCCTGGCTCTTGCCCGCAGAGTACGCACCACTTGCGAGCGGCACCAAGGCCGCCGCAGTCGCTACCGCCAGCAATTGGATCTTTACTTCCTAGTCGTGGAGATCACTCCTGTCTCCATTGAGAGCATCGGCTGGCGGACATATGTCTATTTCGCCGTCTTCAACTTCTGCTTCCTGCCTGTTATTTAGTTCTTCTATCCAGACGTTTGCCTGTTATTTAGTTCTTCTATCCAGACGTTCGTAACTTGTCGTAGCCCGTAAGGGGCGAAGGAAAAGAATCTAGGAGCACTTGAGACAAGTTCGGATTCGATAGACCATCAACGTTGACGACCGAGTGCTCATTGCTGTCAGAAGCAGAGGGGGATATTAATTGAGAAGACGCACTGGCCAAAAGGCTCGCCTGGAAGTTGGCATGAACGTCTATCGAAGATCCCCCTGCGAGATTTGTCAACCGCTGTACTTCATCCAAGTGCTCGTTATCATGCAGAGCCATTATTTGAAGATTATTACGTCGTCTTTTGGATCTCCTGATACCAATGCTCGGCGAATTGCTACCAAATTCTCCATTTGCGCGTATGTCGTCGTCTTCGTCAATATCCATAACCCAAGGCCATAGAATGTGAGAACATTTCTCGATTGGAAAGGTCATCGGGCAAATACCTTGTCTTTGTCTCCACGGAGTTGGCTAGCGGCCAACCGCGGGGACTGAGAAGTTTCATCGATTGTCAGGGCATTCTGGGGTAAAAAACCTTAGAGGGCGCCGCTCCTCAGGCGGGGCAATGGGCATTGCCCCGACATCATGCGGCACTCTTGGCCAGGGTCTAGCGAGATTTCAACGAGTACGGAATACTGTAGGCATTGCCGTTTAAACAATCTATTGGCACAGTCACTTAATGAACGCCACGTAGGCGATAAAGACACTGCGAAATTTAGTCTCAATGCTATGATAAATCTCACTACACCGATGCACAAGGACCTCCATCAACTCTAAGATCTGCTCCGGTCATAAAACTGCTCCCAGGCCACAGCAGGAAAACAATTGGCGCTTTAACATCTTCAGGGGCTCCTAGCCTCGCAAGAAGGGCACCAGATATCCAAATCTTCTCGACCTCTGGCTCAGCTTGAAGGAGGGCATCTGTCATTGCAGTGTGAATGTACTGTTGGGATATCAGCTATTGCCTCGGGACACCAATGATGACAAAAATAGTTGAACTTACTCCGGGCGATAATGTATTAACGCGAATTCCATATTGACCCCATTCTTGGGCCAGAGATCGGAACATCTGCTGGACAGCCGCCTTGCTTGAATTGTGCGGTATAAGTAAGGAATACTTTCAAAAAATAGATAAAACATTAATATACTAAATGTGCAATAAAAAAACAGAAAATATTAAACTAATCTTATGAGAAATACATGAGAATGTTAAAAAGTCATCTAAGAAAGAAATATAAACAATTTATTTAATGATAATGATAGTGATCTTTTGCACCATCAGCTAGAGATGTTTACATTAAGGACTCGCTTGCCCTGCGTGAAAATTTCAGTTCTTACAATTCAACAACGGGCAAGAATGATTCCCACTCGATTGGCGATAGTTCCGGACATCGAAGCAATTAGCACTATGCTGCCTCGTGTGCCATTTGCAACCATGACTTTTGCCACATTCTTCGCAGTCAAAAAGGCACCAGTGATGTTCACGCCCAACATTCTTTCGAAATCAGCCGCCGGATACTCTAGGGCCGGTAGTTTTTGTTGGATTCCCGCACAGGCGATAGTGCCTTGAAGAGGAGCACAGAGCTTCTGCGCTTCACTCGCTCACTGATGCGAACAATTCTCGTAGGGCTTCGTCATTGGTGATATCGCAACGATGATACGATACGCCGAACTTTCTCCAAGTATTTCCATTCTGCTTCTGCAAGCTCCGCCAGAATATCAAGGCAAGCGACGCGACCACCAACTTCAACAATGGCGGACGCTAAGGTTATACCCAAGCCTCGTCCGGCTCCCGTGACTATTGTCGTTGGTTTTTGAGTGAGAAAGTTTGTCCGCTAATCTGTTCGAAGGTATTTGCTGAGTTTCTGGTATATTTTGCGGGAGTGTTGTATCGCTTACAAGCGAGCCTGAAAGAATTCCTGGTGCCATTTCTGGGGAGAAACTGACTTCTTGCCCGGGAGTGAGCACAACTAGTCAGCGCTTATCAGCATTCTTTGAGCTCCAGAATAGCCTCGCATCAGCTTGAGAACTAGTCCATCAAGGATAAAGACGCGGTTCTCATCTTGGAAGGTGTCAACCTGTTGGCCCATTTTCCGTCTGGCGGCTAGACTTGACCAGAAAAGTCACCACCAGGGTATGGGAGCTTTGAGTGTTTATTCTTGCGCTAAGGATTTCCTCCTTCGGGATTCCTCCACAAACCTCGGGTGGTTGTGTGACTTGATTCAGTCGCCTCGCTTACCACCCGTAGCGCCAGGGATTTCCCGAAATGGAACCCGCAAGCGCACATGAATTATGCTTCTCTTATTGCCAACGAGTTACAACATTACATCGCTTCCTACTCAGCTGGGTGTCATTTCGAGCAAATGCAATCGCGTCCATACAACATGGCCTGGACGAGGTTACTGGTGTCGGTAGGCTTATTGTTAGCAATCTCGCCAGCATCAGTGTATCTCTCAGTCGTGCTCATGTTCCGGGCCTGTCGCATGAAGAGGCTGGATGGAAAAGACCCACTCGGGGTCAAACAAGTGGAGCTAGGCATGGAGATCGACAACGAGTCAGAATGTGGGAGACTGATTGGCAAAGATACCGAGCTTCCTGTGCTTATAGAGGACATACCTCGACAAACTCATTCATCTGAGCGATGCTGACAGGAACTTCTTACCGCGAGAGTCCCAGGAAATCGTCCCTTTGGTCACGAATCTCGGTGCTTTAAGTGTTGAGAGATAGGTGCTGTCGTTACTGAGATCACTGAGCAGGTTCAGCGAGACTACCAGCTGAAGGTGTGAGAGTCCTCGCTGGAATGTATGTGACAAGACAAGTCTTGATGAACCAGGATTCTCGGTAAATTTGCTCGATATAGTGGACACAGGGACTCAACAGAGTCTGCTGGATTTAATACGCCCAACAACATCCCAGGATGGCATATCACAAGACAGATCACAAAGTGCTGTGTCTAGGCCCTCAACATCTAGGAGTTTCCTGCCCATACCCCGCAAGGAGGGACTGCAAAAAAAAGTCTTTGAACTGTGATCTGGAAATCACTTTCATTTAACTACGAAATGGACTCTGCGCCATTATCGCCGCAGAGGGGAAAATCACGAAATACGATGATATCCTCGGCGATGGAGACTGTGGGACAACGCTGAAGCGCGGTGCAGAAAGGAAGATTCAAAACCCTCGTCACTGAATCCACGTACGGAGTGCGGATTGACAATGACTAGGTATTTTGCACGCTCTTACCGCACCGATACCTGAAGTATGCCATCTTCCTCAACAATCTAACATGGTACTTCAGATTCCGAATTAAACAGACGCCATCAGTCGATGCAGGGTTCTGGACTCAGGCGCTCAGTCCAACGCTCTTGTCATTACCAAGGGATACTCCTGCACAAGTAGGCGATGGAACAATGATGGACGCGCTCATCCTTTTCGTGTCGGCGTTAGAAGTTTCAGGCGATGTGAAACAGGCACAACTAGCAGCCAACGAAGGCGCTCTGACGACAATCTCTATGTGACCTGGGCTGGGTCGAACAGCGTACATTGGGAATGATGGAACGTGGATGGGGAAGATTCCTGACCCCGGATCTTGGGGATTGAAGGCGTTCTTTAAAGTGCTGGCGAAATGAGAGGCTATGGCCCTGGAGTGGCCAGGCTAGCACAAATGAAAGTTGCGCCTGCATGAATATTCACTACGTTCCATTTCTCATAGTATCAATCCTCTCAAGCGTGCGCCTGACAACTAACTCCTCATCCCACACCGCAGTCACGGATTTCTCAGCTGTGACAGCTTGAGCCCACCTCCAGAAGTTCGGTGCTTTGTCCTCGAGAGCCTTCGGAACAAAGCTCGGTACCAATCGATCATACTTGGGCAATGCCATAATACGAAGGAGGAAGGGACCAGTCATCACCTAGCAGCAGTTTTTCTGATCAGCATGAAAGCCTCTGATAACTTGGAGGCATGCACTTACCTCCGCTAGGGTTGGGCGATTGGAGCCTCCAAAGAACGGTGCCGCGTCTGCGAGTAGGGGCTCAACATGGCTAACAATAGCGTCGATATACTTGCTCGCTGTGGCTGTCTTCGCGTCGGCGCCATTGCCGAAGACAGTAGAGTCAAAAAACTTGTGAGTCTTGCCAAAGTACGTTTCCACGAAAAGCCCGATTCTGAATCGTTGTAGGGCGCCGTCCGGGTCAACACTAGCTTTGAGGAGGTGACTGGGGTAGGAGTCTGCGAGGAATTGAGAGATGAGACCAGACTCAGTTAGCACGCTGCCATCGTAAGCGAGGGTGGGGACCATGCCATTGGGGTTGATGGCAAGGTATTCCGGTGTGCGCGGGACAGTAATATCGACGAGTCTTGTTTCAAATTCCAGTCCAAGTTCGCGAAGCGCAATCTGAGCGCGGTGAGCAAACGGGCAGTGGTGAGCAGTATAGAGGGTGATGCTGGAAGCCATGGAGGGCACCCAGCGTGAATCACTTCTCTGTATGAAACAGTAGTGTGATAAATATGCACGGTAGGAAGCTGAAACGTTAGCAAGCTATAGCGGCAGGCGCTCAAATGTTGCTCTGTCGGTCTATGGGAAAGTTCAATACATAAAAGGATCAAAACTGGAGCCCTCCAGCAAACATACAAATGAACCCGTAGGGATCAGCCTGAAAATCCCTACAGATCGCATCTCGATGCTGGTAGCCCGCTCTAGATTAAGCGCATTGGTAGGCATGTCAGTCTAGGATTTTCAAGGAATTGTCCGAACTGGGTGCTGCAGTCGGAATATGCCGACCCGGAGCATCGACTTCAAGGTCGGGATTTTCCGATCGATAACGTCGGCCGGCGTTCAGCAGGCAGAGTCTTTGGATTTTTGCGGACATCCGAAAGTATTCGGTACTCCTGCACTGCCAATACAGGGCGTTCATACCAGGGGGCCCCTCTCGAACGGGACTATTTAGCAGAGTCGCTTGCATATGTCGGTCGATAACTTTTCACTTTAAAGCATCGCCCACCAAACTTCATCGGCCTACTGTCAAAGCCATTTCGCTTCAAGTCTATTTCAAGATATTCAACTGACTAGCAGGAGAGAGCAATAAAGAATGCAACCATTCCGCCTTACCGCCACGGGCTACAACATCAACTATCTCCCTCAATACATTGCCGATCGGAAAGGATTTTTCCGCGAGCAGGGCCTCGATGTCGTGACAACAATCCCTACACCATGGGATGGTGTCCTTGACGCACTTGCCGACGGCTCCGCCGATATGGCCCTTGGAGGGATCTGGGTACCGTCCATGTACCGCGACCGAGTACAAAACTACACGGTCTTCGCGCAAATTGCAAATCGCTGCCCTCTAGCACTGCTCAGGCGCACGAGTTGCGAAAAGTTTAGTCTATCCGACGTAGACGGCGCGACCGTGCTGATGAAATCTATTGGTGGCGCTAGCGTCGGATTATTCTTCAAAATGCTACTGCGAGAGCAAGGAATCGATCCAAGATCAGTGGATTTCATCCAAGATCTGGACGGCGTCATGCTTGGAAACCTGTTCCAAGGTGGTATGGGCGATTTCTTCGTAACGGACAATCTATCTGCACAGGCCATCGCGGCGCGCAATCCCGAAGTCTCGATCGCGATGGAAATGGTCACGCAGGGAGAGGTACCTTGGAGTGTATATTACCGAGAAACTTCGACGATAACCCCGAGGTTGCTCGAGGCGCAGAAGCGGTTTTGTATTGGGCTGAACAAAGGCATGCAATGGGTGCTCCAGCGCGATGCTGAGTCCTTCAAGGACGAACTCGCCGAGCTGTTTCCTAAAGTCCCCATTGATGTTGCTATCGAGGTGGTCAACTCCTTCCGTCGGAATGGGATGTGGACTACCACTACTATACCAAAAAAGGCATTTGACCGCTGGCAGAAAGGTCTGACCGACGCACGCTTTGTCAAACAACCCTTGGTGTACGAGTCTATTGTGGATTCTGGGCCTGCGAACGAAGCGCAAGCTCCAACCATAACTCAGTAATCGTAGGATCATTCAACTGTGAGCTTGAGTATATAGTCTGGACACAACAAGTTTATACAAATGCAATCTCTATCTAGTTCTTAATACTAACGTAATTAAAGTACTACCCGAAATTAAATCACAGTATACTTTTCGATACCGGTAGTGGATTTAATACACCCTGGGTGTAGCGTAAGAAGCTTTGGGGGAAGTCCTACTGAGGTAATCTAGGGTATCTGCAGGATAGGCATTCTTAGCCTCACAAGTTTTGGGTACACCATCCCTCAAGCAAGGGGCCAACCAGCTTATTCAGCTTGTTTAACAGCTATGAAGTTTCCATCACTGGTTTGCATTGAACGTTACCACGCGACTGTACATTGAAAAAAGTGGTAGCAGCTTGACCTTGACAAGACTTGCTGGTATGCAACCATGTTAAATTTGGCATTGCATCCCGAAAATTTCTATACGGCACCAACCGCAGAAGGATAAAGTGCAGTGTCTGTCATTAGATCTTGCTCGCCCATGACGAAATCGAGCTCCCCGAGATCAGGCCACTGCGCAGCTGTATTGAGCAATTCACTGAGGTCGAAACTATCCGTGGAGAGCATGGCTGACATGTGGTCGGGTCCGTGATGGTCTTGACTCGTTCTGCCTTCTCGAGGGAGCTGTAATTGATTCATCAATTCCCTTACGTGGCTCTCGAACTCCAAACGGTTCTGGCGTACGTCTTCGATATCCCTGGTGACTAGCCAGTCTATCGTCGCGGAAGAAAGAGTATCAAAGGCATTCCGACATCCTGCGGCTCCTTGGAAGGTTTCTGACATAGCAGAAAGCGTTGATGCGCAGGACTGAAGTGTGGAGATACATTTAGCAACAGGATTCTGATCGCGAATCTCTTTCGAGTGCCAGAGGCCGTATATGACTCCTAACCCGGCCATGAAGAGGTGATGAACTGATTTCCATAACATTTCAACTCTCCCCTCTCGTTGCAAGAGCTTAAGCCCGACGATGACTTTGGAAGAAGCTTCGAAGAAGATGAACAGCTCTTCTGTTGACTGGTACAAAGTGCTGTAGTGGGGGCGATAGAGCAGTAGAATAGCGTTGTGGTAAACAACCTCCCAGTAGGCTTGAAATGAAAATATCGATGATGGATGTGCTTTACTGATTTCTGGAATAGTTGCATACCACTCGTGCAAGCGGGGCTGAATGTCCTGCAGCCAGTGCTTCCAGTTGGGCCGGGGGTAAGCTAGTCTCAGAGCCCAGACTTGGCTATGTTGTACGTGCTTGATCTCGGATTCGAGTCTAGCTAGGTTAAATAAGTGGTTGTGAGCTCGATGAGTGTGGATGTCGAAATCGCTGATTTGTTGTCGCCCAAGGCCTTGACGAGATCCTGTCCATGGATTTGGAAGCTGGACACGTGTGCTTTCGTCGAGGATCCCAAATGGTCGTCCGAGAGTGATGCAGAGGAGACGATCGAAGTGATATGTAGAGTGCCATAGTCGCCTTCGGTCGTCCAACACGTCAGGGTCCATATTGAGGCACTGCACTTCAGTTTCCCAGTGTAAGCCCACGTCGATGCAAAGGCGCAGAGCGAAGCCTGTTAGATGCCAAAGGCTCCCTCTAGAAGGGGATAAAGCGACGAATTGAGCCAGCAGCAGTACAGTACGGAGAGTTTCGAGGTCATTCTTCGAGTACGAGAGGAGCTTTTCGACCCAGACGAGTGCCGAACGGAAACATCCCTCACTCTGACTTGGTCGGCCCCCAGACGTGTGAGGAACGTCGACGAGAGCGATGGCGAAGACCATGTAGGTCATGAACATGTCCCTCTCAGGTACTCCACCTGAGGCTTGGGTGCTTCCGAGGGGACGATATGCGCTATCAATTGCTTTGGCTACTTGAGAACGAGCTAGGATTGGTAGATGAGGTGTACGGTATTGGAAGTAAACATCGACCAAATGGTCTGCAACATGGCGTGGCGGCAGTGAGACTTTGGCCGGGGTGGACAGTGAGATTTCACGAAAGGGTTGTGGCTCCGGAACCGATAGCGATGACAGGTTGTCAACATGAATGGCTGCCATAACCATTTTGGCGAACGAGATGCCACTGCTTTGTCCCAAAAACCGCGGCTGATGGGAAGGTTCGACCACGACGTTTTTGACGCTTGAGACCAAGTCCTGGAAAAGGGGTGAGCTTTCATCAGAGGCAGATTGTCTTTCCACATGAACAATTCCTGTCTCCTGGTTTGAGTGGGAGTCTTTTGCAGTGTTCGCAACGGTTTCGGCTGCCACTGGATTGTCCCGTGTGTGCTCTCGCAGAGCCTGGACTTCCTTGGTGAGCTCTGCAATCTGCTCTTCCAGATTGGAGACGTAGTCCCGAGGAATCTAAGGATATCAGAAAGCTCGGAAACGTCGGGCGTCACAGCAACGCTTTACTCACTTCAACCTGCTTCCCGGAGTGATAGATAAGGCACGGAACATTGATGCTTTCACAATTGGAACATTGCGGATATTTCTGATCGCACTGCCATGTTAAACATGGTCATCAGCCACTCAAAGCTCGGCATGGTGATTGTTGTCGATACCTTCTGCTTCCTCCGACGGCACCTGTGCACTGATAAGCCTGGTATCATACCTTTTCCCGATAATAGTCGGCACAAAGATTTATTCGACTTACCTCTGGCATGCATGCACCCCTCCCCTGATTCTCTGTTCGGCGCGCGGCATTGTCAACGTCGGACGCGGGTTAGGATAAAATAGATAGCAGATGAAGTTCTCCTTAGAGAGTCGGAACGAGTTAACCAGATAACACGCAGGTGGCGCCGTCCCGTTCGGGAAATCCCGACTGACGCCATGGCGTTTGTCCGATAAGAAAGGCTGAAGGCTGATTCGAGGATCTGAAGTGTCGACTGCTACCAATAACAAATGCCTACCCGCTATCTACCAACGTCTTATCGTCTTTACCGTGGGCGAGAGAAGTTATAGACGTGGACATCTACACAATTATACGGAGACCTCATCAGAAGACAATGGAGTATTTAGTTGTGCGACCGGAACAGAGGTCTCATCCAATTTCCATCAACAGTCCACTTCATTCAGTGTTACTAGTCATATCCTCGGATAAATCTCAAACTAGAATTTAACTGGAAAATGGAAACAAACATGGAAAAGATGACCAAAGACACTGCGTTCGACATCATCGCCGATGAAGACCACGGCGTAGGCACCACCGCCTCTATCTACATTGATCCAGCAAAGGAAGCAGCAGTTCGACGGAAATTTGACATTTATGTCGTACCGATTTCAGTCATTTATCTTGTTATGTCTACCCTAGACCGCAACAACGTGAGCAGATGTTGACTAGAGTACATATCATCTTGCTAATTATTGATCAGCTCGGGAATGCCCGCGTTTTCGGTTTCGACGAAGATGTCGGACTGAAAGGTGGCCAGTTCGGCAACATCCAGACTCTGTCTAGCGTCTGTACGGTTCTCTTCGAGGTCCCCTGGGTCCTGGCCACTCGGCGATGGGGCGCCAAAAAGGCGATCGGAACTGCATTCGTCCTATGGAGTATCTGTACGCTTGGGACTGCGTTCGTTCAAACGTACGGCCAGACGATTGCTTGTCGTATGTTGTTGAACGCCGCGGAAGCTGGTCTCGCGCAGGCATTCGCCTTCTTATTTTCGACTATCTATCCCCGTGAATTGGCGGGAAAGCGAATCATGACCACGAACCTTGCCCAGTGCATCTCTGGTGCTTTTGGCGGGCTCTTCGCATATGCTGTCCAGACAATGGGATCGCGTCATGGTTTTGCTGCATGGAGATGGCTCTTCATCATTGAGTTCGGGCTCACTGTGGTTATCTGCGGCATTGGTTTGTTCTTCCTGCCGGGCGAAGTTGAGAAAGCATGGTTTCTGGACGAGGAAGAGAAGGAGACTATGCGGCTCAAGAAGGAACGAGACTTTATGATCCGTGGAGAAGGGAAATTTGAGCGCAAGTGGATCAAAATCGCCCTGACCGACCCCTTTGTCTACCTTCTTGGCATTGCTTTCTTTACCTCGTCGGTTGCCATCAACGGATTTGGAGTCTTCCTACCTACCATTATCTACGGTCTTGGGTGAGTTCTAGCTTTACGATGCCAGACTTATTTTGCTGACTGTTCGTAGCTTTGCTTCCCTCAAGGTGAACTATATGACCATTCCGGTATATACTCTTGGTGCAATATCCCTTTCAATCCAGGTCTACTATTCCGACAAGCTCAGGAAACGAGCTTTTTTCATCGTCGGATGCTGCGCACCTGTAGCTATTGGGTATCTTATGTGTGTTTGGTCCAAAAACCCCGATGTTGGCTACGCCGGCATGTTTGTCCTTGTCATAGGTGAGTCATGCCACTCTTTCCTGGTGAGCTCCTCTGATGATCTCAACCAGGACTATATCCCATCTCGACTTTGGCTGTGACTTGGATCACGACGAACCTAGCACCCGACACAAAGCGTGCTATTGGCCAGCCGTTTGCGTATAGTTTAGCCAATGTATCGAACCTTGTTTCCGGGCAGCTTTATCCAAGTCAGCAAGGTCCACGATACATCCCTGGCAACTCTATTTCAGCTGGTCTCACCATCGTCGCTGGATTTCTCTACGCCTCATGCTGGCTTTTGCTGAGGAAAAGAAATGCTAAGAAGGCGAAGCTGATTGCTGAAGGAGCTACCACAAATGGCAAGGAAGGAGATCAGAGCCTTGACTTCACGTACATTCTCTGAACAAGCCCTGTACCACACTTGAAGTACACGGGATCTGGTTACTACGATCGTTTGATTTGTCGGCAGAGCACTAATGTAGAGATGTGATTCTGAAGTCCAATGCGATGCCAATGATGTTCTTCTTATCACGCTTTGAAAGCTCTTTGTTTGTGGATTTCACGCGTTCACTCTGGCGACCCTAATTGACAGGCTTGCCAGATATGTGGGTCGTGGTACTTTGGTGACAAGAACGGTGACAAAGGTGAGAGGCGATACTTCCGCCTCCGAGAAGAAAGAAGAAAGCTTAGATTTAATGTTATCCGAGATCTTTCAGTATGCAGAGAATGTTCTATTCACTAGGCTTCCCATTCCAACTCTCTATAAGCTGTAATAAGCCGCTACTTAAAGGTTACCTTTGCATTGGTATTGTCAATTTTCAAAATGTACTGAGCAGAAAGAACTTCGAGAGATGAACTCCATTAGCGAGGCTATTTCGCCTGATTAGAATTCACTGCCTTGTGCTAGGATATTAGGCGTCTTCGACATAGAATCACTCCATCAATGGTAGTTATTATTTCTATTATAAGGAACAAGAATCTGGATAGAATCGCTTTCCCTGCACGCTTTCATCATGATTGGCTTTGGTAGTGGGCGCGTCCATGCCTTTCTCAATTTCCAAGGCATTGGCAAAACTTCTCGACTGAACAGAGACTACTTGGGCCTCGTGACTTCGCTCTGCGCGATGTTATTCAACAACGAGCTCGTTAGTTTTCTGGTCGGTATGGACGTCAGGCTCATATACTGCAACCTCGTCACCAAAAACCAGTGCCATTCCTTCAAGAGGAATCGCTTTGGTCCAGGGAAAAAGAACCAGATCCCGCAGTTCCGATTGCTGATAGGATGACGAAAAGAAGGTATAATTTCCAGCCTATGTTGCGAAATGCCTAAATCTTTAAGCAAGCCCCAGCTGCTCAGTTGGTGGAATGTTTGGGAAATACTCACTGCTGGTGCAACCTATAGTCATAGTATATCGGCGAGTTCGAAAAAGGTAATCGTTGTATCCAGCCCTCAAGCGTTGAGGAAGTTTAGGAATAATTTGCTAAAGAAGACGACCCCCGTGACCTGAAGCAGCGGTCATTTCGGGATTTAGGCTCGGCTTTTACTAACTTACGTTGGTACCTAAGCTGTAAAGGAACAAGAAGAGGTATGTCGCAGCAACGCCTATCCGCAGGCTAGCTTTGTGGGTAGCCTCTTCCGTAAATGAGGCGACCATCGCAGCCTCGATAATTAGATGAATGTACATACTACTGAGACCTATAATTAGAAGAGGCTTACGTCCGACCGAGATAGGTAGTCTTCCTGCTACTCGGGCAACGTCTGAAGTAAAGTATTACAGGCTATTCCTAGGGTTTTAGTGCTGGATTGTGCTATTTTCTATGTTTCATACTTTCCCTAAGTCCTTAGTAAAGAGGTTTTAAGATGACTATGTTCTCATCGCAATCCAAGACTTAGTTAGGTACTTACTAGTTCATTATCATATGTAGCTAGGGTTTCCAAGTCCCCTTCCTCGATATATTACACTACTTACTAAGGGATCGCGAGCCTATCTTGACACAATCGTAGGATCTACGCAATTGAGTTTCGCAGATAATACTAGAGCTATCGCAAAATTAGAGGACAGCTTGAAGCTCTCCTCCGCAGCCGGTAGTTTCTACACAAACTACAAGACAATTAGAGCAGTCGTCGGTCAGCAATCATTTGGTGGCGCCCGGGGCAACGGTACTAACCACAAGGCTAGAAGCGGGAACTCATTGAGACAATTTGTGTGTCTCCTCGGACATATGAGGAAGAGCTTTGCCGTCTCAATACTGTACTGTATCCTATTGATTTGCAGTGCTTAGTGTTTCAACGCTCTTGCGCGTCGTGATAGCCTGGCAGGTGCTGGAGCCTGGGTGGGATAATTGTCCGACTTCCAAACTTGTTAAGCCTGCGAGCACTGAATGTGATGCATCATAACAAGGGATGGACGCACTCTTGAACTACTAGAGTCGCCGCACTGAAGTATACATAGGAGACGAGACAAAATGCATACAAATAATTCATCCGCCTAGTACAACGCACTATGGCAAACAGGTTTCCCAACCAAAGTAATTATCTGTCCGGATGAAAAAGTAAAGTCAAAGTTGGTCAACACGGCGTTATAATAGTGATCGCAACGCAATTAGAGTTATTCACATCATATATATATATATAACAGAAATGAGGTCACCCAGCTTAAAGAGCGTGGCTAATTAACAGTGTGGTAAGCTTCTAAAGGATAGGAAGTAGAGCCTCAAAATAGCCGAATATTTCGCTGGCGGTTTTGAGAAGAGGAGAACGGATTCCCTATCTGCTTCTAGCTAGCCTATCGAGGTCAGAAAGCGGGTTTTCCAGCTTTAAACCTGATGAGCTTTGGATTTGATTCATTGTATTAGCCACCGAGCGAATCTGCTTACTACTGCTAAGTTTCCAGGAGCAGTACAGCAAAGCGGCAGTGGTGAATGGATCCCAGGTTCCACCACCTGTTGCAGTTGCAATAATGCCAATCGCTCTGTGAACATGCCAGAGAGAAGAGCTCGATGAGATTGACCTGGTGACCGGTTTTGTTAACCGAGGTTTGCTTTGCAGCAGCAGGAGCGAGGTCACATGGTGGGCAACATTCGCAACAATTGCGCAAGAATTACTGAATACAATATGAGGAAATTCAGCATTTTCTTGCGGTTGCAGGTCGCCTTCGTTGGCCACTTCAAATATCTGACGCATTTCATCATTCCTCGTCAAATACCACTTTTGGACTTTGTGCCATTGAGCACACCAATTCTGAGTGGTTGGGGCAGTGGGCAGCTCGGATGGCCGTACGTCAGAGAGCAATAAAGAAAACGTAGTTTCGAGTAACCAAAGGCTTTCTCCTAGCTGTGTCAAAGCTGGGTGAGATTTTTCATCTGCTGTATTCTGAGGAGGGGGGGGAAGCGACTCAGTATGCGAGCTTCTTGAGAGCGCAACCAACTTGGTTCCACAATGGAGTCGCGATAATAATAGCCACCTCTCCAAAGACCCGATGCCGCTCCTTGCATGACCTAGAATTAGAGAGCTCAGAGTGGACCATTGCTCAACAGGTGATGAGCACACGTTCATCCAAAGGAGCAGGTCGCTTGGGGCCACAAATCTACCATGCCTGGTCTTGGAGTCATCCCTAGCCAAATGTGCAGACGTGATACTGGTAGCTTGGTCCACCTGAGTAGAGCTAGACTTCTTCGCAGCTCGTTGACAACTAGCAACAGCAAGAACAGCATGATATACTGCTTCAGATGTTTTGGACTCGAGCAACAGTCCGATGCCAAAGCACAAACTCCCAAGGCCAAGATCTAGGACCGGCGCTACATCGTAGCGATAGTACGTCAGCAGCTCCAATTCGTAGAGCTTACGGCGGAGATTTCGTGTATCGGATGGGGAGGGGTGAGAATATCCCTCCTTCTGCTGTTGAGGAATGTTGAAAATTTGATCACTAAGTTTCTGAGATTCGGAGGTGAGTTCAATTCCAGCAATGACGGGCTGAAAAAAGTCATTAGGGCCCACAATGGGGATATCTGGGTGGAACGAAAGTTCGATGGACTCTAAAAACGGCGATGCATCCTTGGTGTTACCAGACGGAGTTGCTGGATCTAAACCTCGAGCTCTGGTTGTTGCGTCTCCTGGCTGGTTCTGGTACTTGGAAGCGACGAAGGTCAACTTGCCACCGTACTGGCAAGGGAGGCCTTTTGCAACACAATTGGCGCATTTAGGTCTCTGTTCGTCACACTTTCGTCGTCTGCCCCGACATGTCATGCAGCCCGTCCTCACCCGCTTGCCAACAGCATTCCCCACCATGGGTTTCCAGGCCAGTGTTGGGTGATAAGCTGGACAGGATACGTGGTCCTGGTCCCTCTGGAACACTGAGGGAATATCGAGAGTGTAAAAGATGGAGGATGGATTGCCCCCATCACCGAGGCTACAGCTACCCCAAAGAGATTGGTTTCCCCCGCCATTCAACCCCGCCAGAACGCCGGTTTCCCCCGTTGGCTCGCTTTGCCTAATTTGGCTGGCCACCAGACTGTCACCATCCTTGAATGGCTCAATATCCCTGCTAGTCACGTGGTCTAAATGTCCAGTTCAAGCCCATCAAAGTTGAGCATAGTGATTTCAAGAAGGTACTTGAGAGTCTCAAGGAGAAGCTGAGGAGCGGATCACTCTGTCTCTTTCATCCACTATTCAGTCTCTGTTCCATCTCCATCACCTTCCAGGAGGATCTGAACATCCGCACACTCACTAGACTGGTTCGTCTTCATTATGGTCGCCACAGTAACACTTGCCTCAGGTTACCAAAAACCCCTGGTCGGCTTTGGATTATGGAAGGTTCCTTCAGAAAAAGCCGCCGATATTGTCTACCAGGTGAGCAGGTTTCCCCTTGTTCAGGTTCAAATTGCTCTTTGAACCAAAGGCACCACCTTACGAAGCCAACATTGAACTAATCGAGGCTAGGCTATCAAGGTCGGGTATCGACTGTTCGATGGGGCGTATGATTATCAGAACGAAAAAGAGGCAGGCGAGGGCATTAAACGAGCAATAGCAGAGGGTATCGTTAAGCGCGAAGATATTTTCGTGACTACGAAGCTATGGAATAACTACCATCGAAGAGACCACGCCCTACAAATGGCCAAGGTGCAAAACGATGCGTGGGGTCTTGGCTACATTGACCTTTATCTTATTCATTTTCCTGTGGCTCTCGAATTTGTGGACCCGGAGACAATTAGATATCCGGCTTGGTGGATGGATAAAGATCACAAAATTATCAAAACCTCGAAAATCCCAATTCATGAGACATGGGGTGCTCTCGAAGAGGCGGTTGATGCAGGTATCGCTAGATCAATCGGTATCTCCAACGCTCAAGCCCAGACACTGTACGACATCCTGACGTATGCACGCCATCCTGTTTCGTCACTTCAAATCGAACATCATCCATATCTGGTCCAGACTGAGCTCATAAAAATGGCGCAGGAGAACAAGATAGTAGTCACAGCGTATTCCACCTTCGGCCCTCAGAGCTTTTTGGAGCTACCTCCCGCATTCCGCGAACGAGCAAACGACATACCGCTCTTGTTCGAAGTCGCCGCTGTGAGAGCTGCTGCTAACAGAGTTGGGAAAACTCCTGCTCAGGTTTTGCTGAGATGGGCAACTCAAAGAGGAATCGCGGTTATCCCAAAATCAAACAATCCGGATAGACTCAAGCAGAATCTTCAAGTGATGGACTTCGCCTTAACAGACGACGAACTGAAAGCGATATCTGCACTCGACAAGGGCTTGCGGTTCAACGACCCTGGTACCTATTTGCAAGACCCTCTCAGGATATTTGCGTAGCTGGACAAACTAGCCAGCTTTCTATCCCCTTTGGCAGAAAGACCCTGGCCATTCGATGCGAGCTCTGTCTACCTCTAAATTTGAATTTTCTCGTCGTCCACGATCTGCACCTTGATACTACCCGACGTCCTATCCGCACATGTTTCCATTGCTTCGATTGCCCTTTCCAGTTCGAACTGATGTGTGACCAAACCATCCAAGTCCATGATCCTTCCATCGCCCAACAAATTGATGGCCGCCGGCCACATGTCCTTGTATCTGTTAATGAACTTCAAATCGATTTCCCCTAAACTCAAGTGCATAAATGGTAAATTGTCCATCTTACTCTTCCCAACTCCGACGACAACGACAGTCCCACCCCTCCGACAAGCATACGCGGCCGTCGCGACACTACTCTCCACGCCGGTGCATTCCAAGACCACCTGTGGCGCTAGATACTCGTCCTTATCTGGCTTGCACAGTTCTGTATCTCTGTCACCTTTACACCCAAATAGCTTCCTCAGTCCATCCGAGTTCTCCAACGCACTGTCACCCTGGATCAACCAAGGCCTAACACCTGACACAAACCGCGTCGCAAAATCTAATCTCGCCTCATCAACATCAGTAATCACCAAAGGCCACGCACCACTGGCTCTCGCTGCCTTCAATGCAATCAGCCCTATTGGCCCTGCGCCACACACCAAAGCCGGCCTCCCCAACGCCAATTTCCCAGCGCACATGGATATCGCATGCATCACAACTGCCAATGGCTCTAGCAATGCTGCGGTGCGGAATGTCATGCTGTCTGGGATTTTGTGGCAGTACTTAGCCTCATGAACCATGAACCGTCGTATACTCCCATCGCAATCTGCCACACCAGCGAATTTAACGCTCTCACATAGATTGTAACGGCCCTGATAGCATAGCCAGCACTCTCCACAAGGAACACCGGGCTCAATTGCCACGCGGTCGCCTGGCTCGAGATTTTTCACGGCTGCACCAACAGCGAGTACCTCGCCAGCAGCCTCATGGCCGAGGATGCAGGGAGATGTAATTCGCAAGGGTCCAATAGCGCCACGATGCCACAGATGAAGGTCAGAGCCGCAGATACCGGTGCAGCGAACATGAATGAGGGCCTGGGTTGGACACGGGGTTGGTATAGGTGTCGAGCGGAGATTTAGTCTCTGGGAGAACACTGTGAGAGATGGATTGGTGTAGCTAGACGAGAGGCGGGTTAGGAGCGATGGCAGATCAAGTGTGGTTCTCGTTGCGCTGATAGCCTTTATAGGCGGGTTTCCAGCCGTAGGCAGAAAGTTGTCGTTGGGGACATTGCCGTTCAGGAGTATGCTAGGTGACATTTTGATTTCCCTTGAGGACAGATTCAGAGAGGGAAGGGATATCTTAGCTGTTCCAGAACTTTGGCTGGGGCTTCCTCGATATATTGGGAACTACTTCCAGCAGACAAAGAATTCATGTGAATTCAGTGCGCACCAGTAATCCACGGCTCCCAGCACGAAACTCATGTACTCCAGATCGTTCAATGAAAATTCCCAAAAAACGCTCAGCTAGAATGGGATATTTGGTGAGGACAATTAGGTTAGAAGCACGGCATAAGAACGGGAGTTTAAAATGCTAGCAGGGCCAGAACCGGACACAGTGCCTACCATAACTGTTTGAGGAAATTTTTGGCCAAAATGCAGGAAATGATTCATGATAGGTGAGGGGGCAACAACAAGTGCCTCCATGATTCGAATTCCAAACTTGATTGATTTATCACTTGATATGACCAACGCAAATTACTCAGGGCATGGCCCATGACTTAAGTCATCTCGCTTATTGAAATTGATAATTTAAAGCACTTGTCGTCTATGCAACAAACAATTACATATCTAACGATTCGAGTAGATTCTCGGCAAAATAACAGTCCGACCAACCTTCCAAAGCTAAGTTGCCTATGGACAGTTTATTCAAGGCATACATCAACCGAGTGATTAGCCTTATAGTTTGGATCATGACGTTAGCATCTTATGGAGATGCAGAAAGGTTGGGGCACCTTGATGATCACATTTGAATCATGGCAAAATTTACACCAACCCTCAGAGACTTGTTCTTTGTAGCGGCTAATCCCCATCAAAGCCATGGACATCGGCTATTGACTCCACTGCCTGCTCACGCCGCCCTCGCAGTTCTTTGTTCGTAATCTGCACAACAACTCGTTTGTAAGTTCTAAGTTGCGGCATCCCATTGTCCTTGACTTCGAGGATGAAATGGAGAGTCTGTCCCTTCTGCTGCGGCTCTCCACTGAACATGTCAATGGCGCACTTCTCTGGTGGAGGTAGCCGTATCGAAACCACGCGTCCGGATTTCTCGCCATCTAGATCCTCGATCTTGCAGCTATGAACTTCTGCATCCACCCACCACTGTGACGCAGTCACGTCACTGTACTGAAACCATGTGAAGGTCAAGTCGTCGCCATCAGGATCGTAGCTCTGGGTGGCATCAAGCGTAATAATAGCCCCGGCTTCGGCTTCAATGTAACATGACTCTGGGCCTGCTGGGCTGTCATTGACAATTGCTACTGGTGCATGATTACACTCTGAAGGATTCTTCCCAAGCGTCCATTGTATCCGCGCAGCAAAGTCATTCTGAAATGCTTCTCGCCAACGCCAGATGGTTGCGTGGTTGCTAATATAGTTTTGGCGATTTGCACCCATCACCCTGTCTACAGCATCAGTGTAGTGCTTTCCAGCTTCTCCAAGATCTGTTCGGAGGTACCGACCTCCCCAGCTACCCCATTCAGGGTGCTCAGGCGATCCTAGGCCATTCTGGACCAGATATAGAAAGGTCGGCGTATCGCCCTCTGGGATAAAGAGATAATCCGGGTATGCTTCACCCAATGGGCCTATCTGTATGTTCTCCTTCAGCCATTCCTTGGTGAACTTCTTGAAATCTGGACCACCTTGGTCAAAGAGATAGTATTGGTCACCTGAAATGCCCGTCCATGCTGCAAGGCCATACTGATTCCAGCCATGGACAGATGCGATATAGAAGATATCGGGAAAGTTATATCGGATCCACATCCCCGTGTCATCTTGGTCAGATATAGCGTATACTCTCATCTTGGAACGGAGTTTACTGTGTTCACTATGTGTTCTTGATAGCTGGGAGTGTTGCAACGCCTGTGCCAAAACATTCGTTCCACCCCAGCACAAGATCCAAAGTGGTTCATCGGACTCGTCGAGGCGGTTGAGTAGAAGTTTAGCTCCCTGGCTCAACGGAACGTCTGGTTGGAGTGCCTCTTTCCCATACACTGCAGGCCCGGTTGTAATGAGATCCATAATGCTATCGCCTGAGGGGTACGGATTGTCCGGGTGTGTATTTTGATTTAGGCTGTCAACGACTTTTGAGTATGCTCGCACAATTTTTTGCATATCTTCCGGATGGACCACACGCTTCATCCATGTTGATGTACAGGCAACGAGTCCTCTAGTATCGAATTCGTTTGCGTAGAGCAAATATCTGACAAGAGATTCGGCGTCGTCAGGCTCGTTTGAGATGTCTGATACTATAAAGACACGAAGTTTCTTTCGGCACACCCGAAGCCGTGTAGTGTCAACCATGATTATGGAGAAGTGGATCAGTTCTGTTCAGAGATATCTGGCTGATGCGTTTGCGCGGAGTCTGAACGTCTGATCGGCTCTTTAATATTAGCAGGATGCCCTCTTGGTCAGTGACTGACTGAGGAATGCTTGTCTCTCAGCCCTGGGATCCAATCTTGGGGCATATTGCAATCATCGGCAAAAAGCCGAGTGGGATTGTGGGCGTGGAAATCATTGGACGCCGAAAGCATGGGACTTCAGAGGAGCGGAAAGTTTAAGCTAGTCTTTATTAGGCATTCAGAGGCACCAAACCTCATTCTTGGACCTCACAAGCGCTGCATCCAAGGTCAACCGCCGCTCTGGGGTCCCCACACTCGGAATTGGCCATCCTCTGTCACGGGGTTCTGGAAGCTAAAGTGGAAGTGTTGATCGAGTGGCCGAGAGCGGTGATTGAACTTCGACACCTATATATCTCCTCTGCACCCCAGAAGATCGCTGTCTCTTCCACAAGCCAGAGTCCACTACTTCTACCAAATAACTTATTCTCGCACAGGACCTCCCCACCTTTACAGGAAATGGATCCGGAAAAGAGCTCCGACATTATCACTCACGAGGAGGAGCATTCTCACAACGAACAACTGGCGCACCTTGCTAACGCTGAGGATCACGACGCCAGCAAGTGGCAAGCCATTCGCCGAAATCCATGGGCCTTTGGTTGGTGCTTGTACGCTGTCTGGACAGTTCTACTTGTCAGCTTTGAGAACCAGGCTGCAGGCAACATTCTTGGGATACCAGAGTTCCGCAAGGATTTTGGTTCCTTCTATGATGGCAATTGGGTCTTGTCTGCAAAGTGGCAGTCTGCTTTCAATGGCGCACCAATCGCTTCGTGCGTCCCCCCTGTCGACTTGATCTCGTTCGACTTGTCCGCTAATGGAGAGATGCAGTCAAATCATTGGTAACCTAGGATCGGGGCAAGTAGCAGACTGGATTGGTCGACGAAATACTTTGATCATTGCACTTGCCATCTCTTTCATAGCCATCACTATGGAGTTTGTTGCAACAACGAACGAACTATTTTTTGGGGGGAAGTTCCTGAAGTATGTCTTCGCCATTCCAGCTTTTGACATCTACCAAGATCCAACCATTTTATCGTTTATCCGCCTCGGATCTCTTTACTGACTCAGTTAGTGGGTTCGCCATCGGTACCATTCAAACTGTCGCGACAGCGTATATTGGAGAGGTGAGTACCTGAGGTGGCACATTAATCGCCGAAAGCTAACCCGTGACTTCAGATTGCGCCATTAGTGTTGAGAGGCCTAATGACCTGCCTTATTGCTTTGAGTTTCACAGTTGGGCCATTTACAGTCGCTTTAATTGTCAATAGCACTGGGACCTACACCAACCGATGGGCGTACAGAGCCATCTTCTGCTCCCAGTATGGCTTCGCGGTCATCTCCGCCCTCTTCATTTGGTGGATGCCTGAGAGCCCTTGGTTTCTCATCTCAAAGCGGAAAGATGAGGACGCAGCCCTCCGCAGTTTGCAGCGGCTCGGCTATCGCAATTCTTCCGGCGAAGACGTTAAGCGACTTGCCAACATCAAGCTAACCCTCGAACGAATCCGTAAGGAGACTGAAGGTGCAACTTATCTCGAATGCTTCAGAAAATCGAATCTCCGGCGTACCATTATCTCAATTACACCCCTCTCTGTCCAACAATTCACCGGAATTGTCTTTGCTGCATCATACTCTACCTACTATGCACAGTTGGCAGGGTACAGCACTGCGATGTCTTTCAAGCTTCAGATCATCCAGCAGGTGTTATCCATGTTCGGAAATGTCATCTCATGGTATCTGATCGACAAGGTTGGCCGTCGCGCTCTAACAGTGTATGGTACTGTTGGATTGACCGCAGTTCTCTGGGTGATGGGTGGACTCGCTGTTGGCGGGTCCCAGGCTGAGTTGAAAGGCACAGTGGGCATGATTCTCATCTACTGCTGGTTATACAATGTCACAATCGGAGCCACTGCGTTCACGGTGCTCACAGAGGTCTCAACTTCCCGCCTGCGAGCTAAGACCATTGCCATTGGTCTCGCCATCCAAGGCTGCTTCGGTATCCTATGGTCATTTGTCCTCCCCTATCTCTTCAATCCCGACAAGGCCAACTTGGGTGGGAAGCTTGGGTTTATCTACGGTGGCTTGTGTTTTCCCTGTATTGCATTTCTCTGGTGGTATCAGCCTGAAACCCGGGGTCGAAGCTACGAGGAGCTCGACGAAATGTTTGTCAAGAAAATTCCAGCACGAAAATTTCGCGGCTATGTCACCGAGGCAGAAATAAAGAGTCAAGAGGCACAGCTTCGAGTATCAGAAACGTGAAGCAATTCGCCTGGCTCGTGGTGAAGGACAAATAGTAGGTTTTGTAAAGTTCTCGGGTACTTCAGCAAAGGGGGAAGTGAGAGACTCTGAGCGCCATGTAATTAGATGCTCATTCCAAAGGGTGATAGCAGTGCCTTTGCGATGAATTATGTTATGTAGCTCAACAAGAACGGACAAGTGAGATACTACGCCCAGGGGAATAACCCCAGAAGTGTTCCAGATCTTTGATTCGCCATTTGGAACCCCATCCTGAGCATGTTTCAATATGGTGGAGTAGCCCAATGATGATTTTGTGCTCGTCTCTGTGAGTGAAAACCTTCCCTGCTACATATAGAGGTTGAATTGCGTTGTTGAGGCATCCACGGTGAGGATTGGTCAGCGAGATACCCACGACCCGACGTGCATGCCAAAAGATAGTATGGGAATCTCCTAGAATGCCATCGTCAACTTGTGAGGGTTGAATCTCGCTCATCAGGATGCAGGCTGTGTGGTAAAGTTGGTTTCCTGATATCGCAGCAGAATGCGCAAAGAGGATGCGTGGAAAGTACTCGGTTTCCGGCGATCGATCAACTTCCTCCACCGAAAGCATCTCTGGGGGGCGCCTGTCGAACCATTGTTGTAGATCTTCTCTTATCTCAAACCATGTCTTTTGGAAAGGTGCATCAGAGCAACCGTTTTTTTCGGCCAGCTCGAGGTGTCGGGTTCGTTTGGCTAACAAATCACAAACTCTGGCACACAAGTACACAGCATAGTTGGCATACATATCTGAAGTCTCGATACCCTTTTCAAGAAATGCATGATTTATATGCACTTGCTGGTCAACATCTGGCGTGGTCATTGCGTCCAAAGAGACCCACTTCTGTAAAGGTAATGTGGTACTCTCAGCCCCGTCAGCTATGATGGCTGCACATACATCCATTCTGGCGTAACACCAGAAGACTGCCTGCCATACGCCACCGGAAAATCCATTGACACCAAGGTGTTGGAAGAGCCCTGCACAGCCTTCTAGATGCCGTCGCCAGTCCCGTGGACTAACACTCATCATCTCCAGGACGCAGAGAATGCATGCAGTGACAAGGGCCTCAGGATCAGTTGCATTGATTGAGGTCGCCAGTGACTCTATCGCTAGAGAGTATAATTCGAGGCTGTCGTGTATTGATACCTTGGAGCTACTCTTGCGTTCGACCTGCCTTGCTGCCAGTGCCAATAACGCAAAGAATACAGCAGGAGATCTTTGAGCTAGCAAAGGGACTTGAATGCCAAAGTGCCGCTCTTGATCAAACATATCAAGCCACGGAGCGCACTCGGAGATCCAGACGGTAAGATATTTCACCTTTTTCATAAGAGGTATTCGGTCTTGAGATTTAAGCATATGCTGCATAAACAACTCATGGCCCTGTACATCCTCGGAGCTTTCAATGGCAACGTCTGGGGATTGCTGTCGTGTGTTCTCGGCACTTCGAACTTCATCAATTAAATAAGTCCTTAGAGTGGTTTGCAATTCTTGGAACCGAGGGTCGAGCGCGAGCTCATCAATGAAAGAAGCGCTGGTGCTCGATAAACCTCCTGGGGATACGGAATAACCAGCCACTGGCAATTCGGATGTGCTCATTTTTCAGTATGCTGTCAGATCATCAGATCAGCGATGTTCAGAATCATCGTGCCGGCAACTGATTGCCTAGTCTAGGTTACTCGACTATGTGCACACTCAAGAGCAGTCACTTCGATTTCATTCGATGAAGACATGCGTTCTCTAATGGAAGAAAATTATGTGGAGGAGCTTGGCGTGAGGTTGAGTTAAAAGGTGGTGTAGTTACTCTAAGGTGCACGTGAACAGGCTGTGTGTACTTACCCTGGTCTTGATAATTCATCCTCGGGTTACCGCGCGCCTACTTAGCACGCAAGCGCGCATAACTAATTTCAAATCTTAAAAAGAAAAGTTTTATCAAACGAGTCAAAGTCCTAATATAAGACTAATAATTCTATTATTGTTACGAACTAGGTCACTGGAAGGGTCGCCAAGGACAAGCCACCTGCACCTGAGAAAGAAACAGGGAAGTTAGCCGATGGAGAACGAGGCTACATCACGTGACTAGGCGTGGCTCTGGGGGGCTCTGCTAGGCTCTATGAGGCTCAGTAAGGAGCCTAGCAGAGCCCACCAGAGCCACCAGAGCCACCAGCACTATATATACACAACTATTCACCTAGATAGAGCAGTTCGTAGTTCACTTCGTTGGCAATCTTATACCTACATTTAGGATACAGTCCGACGATTGAATATTTCCTTTGTCATCCTGGTCAATACTCTTGTGTCCACTCTATCAAGGAATTAGACGCTTATCAAGAGGAAAAGAAGTACTATTAACTATATATTATACCATTAACGTAGTAAACTCTACGCATAGAGTAGGAGCTATATATTTTATTACTCCTAAAGGCTTAGCGGCCTTCCTAACCTAGTTTCTCTATTTCCTACGTCAAGGAAATGGAAAGTTGGCTTGATCTCAATATCAAAATTCTGAAGCAAAAGCTTGCCCACTATTCGATAATCAACGAGGCTTTTGATCTGAAAAGGGTGCTGCATTACTACGTTATTGACGCACTCGGTGAAGTGGCATTTAGCCAGTCCTTCGGCTTGCAACACTCGGAAGATGAAGCTCATGTACCTCCAGTCGTCCAACACAGCTTGCTAGCTGCTGTGACGGAGCTTGGCCAGCCATGCTGCCATATCTAAAGCGATACCTGCCGCTAGGACCATCTCTCCGTCTAGGAATACTTTTTGCGGGACGACGTGCCTGAGCCGATTTAGCCGCCCGTTGCGTCCAGAAGCGTCTCAACGAACTGCGTTTCATCACAGATGACGACAACGCGGTGCGACCAAAGAAAGGGTATCCTGACCATTTGATCCTTGCTAAGCACCCCGACGCCGGCGAGCGACTGACCCAGGCGGACCTCGAGACTGAAGGATTTGGGTTTATGTGAGTCCTGTCCAACCGCCACCAGTCCTGTAGTGAGCAAACGTCCACTGACGAAGGTGCCGCAATCCAGTATCGCGGGGACTCACACAAGAGAGCCACCATCAGCCTTCTGTTCTGGCATTTATTGCACGATTCTGATATCATGCAGAAGCTGGTCGCCGAGATCGATACTAAATATACCCCTAGAGGAGTAACTTTCTTTAACCTCCAACCCCGTTGCAATCACGCTTCGGTCAATGAGCTGACATATTCAAACGTCTGTGGCAGTTTGTATCCACGCTTTCCACCACAAGCCTTGCTGTATGGGGGTAGAATAACTACGTCTATGATCCAGCAAGATAGACTGAACCCTCTACTCAGGAGAAGTCTCGCTATCTTGTATTTCGCGATTTGCGGCATCATGGCCGCCGTGACTGATCATCGCTTTGACATTCAGAAGCGACAATCGAAAGAGCCACAGCGCTGCCTGCGAACGTTGACCACCGAGATTGCTTCGATTCGCATCGCTCTCCTGCCCTGGCACTTCAATCCCGCGAGATGTCATGCGGTTCAGGAAGACGACAAGGAGCACCGTGAACGTCTTGAGAACCTACTGACACTGGAATGGTGTGTTCTTCTGACTTTCTAGCTCTGACATTGAGCTAATGGCTGACAGTGCGGATCTACTGCTCGCCAGAGCAACATCTCAAATCCCCGAGCGTGGGCGCCGCTCGCAACCCTCAAAGCAGACTGACAAGGCATAGTCGCTAAAGCCTACGAGGTGGTACCGATCATACAGACGTGGAGGCCCCAATACTTCCTGCGCATGAGCTCCATGTGTTCCTTCATCGTCTACTTAGCCGTGGTCGTCTTGATTCACGAAGACGCCCTCGCCCGCAGAGTTTCCAAGCCCTACCGCCCTAATTTCGCCCGCGACATCGAGCTGACGACCCTATTCCTTTATCAAGTAGGTCGGTATTGGGCCATTGCCACACAACTAGTACGCGCCGCTAGAGGCTGGCTCACGGCTATTTCAACGGAAGTCACGCATAAGGATGCCGTCCGGACGCTCTAGCATCTGATTCGGAAATAGGGAGATCACAATTTGGGCAAAAGAATCGACTTACCGATTCGCAAGCCGCATACGTCCCAGCACTTTAGTTGAATCCTCGATCTAACTGATTTTGTGGATCTGTCCCCAGAAGACATTCCACTGCAAACGCCAAACGGTGAGGATCTCGAGTGGTTCACCAGCGATGCCTTTTTATCCTTGGTAAACGAAAATGGCTTTCCTAAAGCTTATTCGATGCCTCACTAGCAAACCCCTGTCTCGGTGGGGTTGGACACCGCCCTAAAGGATTCTATACAAATCGACCAGTACCTAAAGAATGTCAAGAACCGTGAACTTTGAAACTCGTGGTTTTCTTAAAAGCGGCATACACACGTAGGGATGCGCTATCCAGGCTCGCCCTTACGAATGGATTATGGTTAAAGGTGGCAACTCAAAGTACCGCCAACTTTTCGATCATATTCGGCGATCTCAGAAAATATACGAAGAAGAATATCTAGAAGACTTTCTTGGACAGGAAGGAAACGGCGGCGAAGGTCTCAGAAATCCAGATAGACAGTTTAAGTGGGGGAAAAGAAGGGGGGAAGGGGGAAGGATCAATGGAAGACATGTATGGCGTGTCAACTGTGCTGTTTCATCTTGACCCACAGTACAACAAGGACCACACACCTCTAAGACACCGACTACAGTAACCGCATATGGAAACCGACTTACAGTTAAGCTTAAAGACCATAGCATCGTGCAACGATACCGCAACCATCCAGTGGCCTAGACCAGACAACAAGTCCAAAGATCAATACGAGAGAACACTCCTACCAAGTCGATCAAGGCCGTGGCGGCACACCAGCTCAAGAGCGGCGCAGAGGTCGAACAGCTCAAACAAACCACGAGCTGGTTGAAAGGTCTCGGAAAACAGGTAGAACTTATCGTGCCAACATATGGAGCCCTCGTCCATGGCATCTCCATCAGGTCCATCAATCTCAGAGACTAGAACTGTCTTGTATCTTGAACTTGAGATAGCTTTAAATGCACAATTGAATCTCTAGTGTTAGAGTCTTCCCTTGAACTACTACCACGTAGAGCCCTCACTCCTGGATTCGTTTGTTGGAATCTAAAGGGCGAGTGTCTTAGCCTGAGGGCCAGTCATTCCGTATTCGCAGGCTCTCCTTTCATCTTGATAAAGGTGGCCCCAAGATGCTCAATTTACGAACATCCTGCACCGTGTATTCCAAGAAACCCTAGGCCGGTGGCATCCTATGAAAAGCCACGGGCATTTTCTCTTGTCTCAGAGACTTTATTGAATTACCACCTTTTCGCATCGATTGCAGCCCTCTTGAGTGGTGGTCCCGTCGTGAATAGGAATCCCGCTATCCTCGGCTCTACTGCATGGCTATAATGCTATTATCTCTCCCAGAAGTGTCATCAGAGCCGGCAAGAGTGTTTTCTAGATCTAGAAGGACCAGCTCAAGGGATAGATTAAGCCTATCCTGCCTCAACATCCGAAAAACTGAGAGTATTGGCAACTCGATTAAAGAGGGCCATATCAGGCCTTATCACCTCAATTGAATGGGCCCGCTGATGGGGGCAATGGCAGAAGATGATCATGAGCTAGAAGACGAGGTTCTAGATGAAACCAGTAGTTAATATAGTTATAGTTATAGCACCATGGATAACGATATATAACTATATGCCTAGGTATATTACTAGTAACTATGGATACACTCGTGCTAACTACTAAAAAATTATAAACACCAGGTATTATTTTAATCAACACTCTTAAGTGCTATTAACGGGTAAAAGGGTAACTACATACTTATAATACACGATTCTCAGGTTTCTAATACTTTTAACCTTTTACCCAAGATTCTCTTATACTTATTGTATCTCCTAACTATCTACCCAGTTCCCGTGGAGTCCTGCCCGTAAACGAATGGGTAAAATAACAACTGCGAGCGACTCGGAGAAATCTCTAGTATCCAAAACATGTAGCTCGCTCGACATTGAGCTGCAACCCCTTTAGCACGCTATTACGCATACGTATATACATAGTACATTAATAGCGAGGATGCGGAGTAGAGGTTGTTCCTCGGCCGCGAGCCTTGGCTTGGCGGGTGCATTTTATTCCCTCCAGCGTCCGGCAAATGAAAGAATATAAGGAGCGGGACTCCATAGGTGGAAAGGCTGAAATACTTCCTGCAGACATACCGCACATCCGCCAAACCATTACAATTCACGATTAGTAGAGGTGATATGTAGGACAATAAAGGTGTTTCCTAATCTAGACGCCATCGCCTCATGCATCATCTAAAGAAACAAACCGCCTAATACCTCTCGAACTCTCTTCAATATCTCAACCACAAATACTGATGCGGCCTCAACTGCACGCCCGCATCCCTGAGATTGATCATATAACCCGACGCCAAATCCTTCGCCTCGACCGGCATGCCCATGAACCGATCCCGACCAATCCACTGCGGCTCATCTGAGAAGTTGCACAGACACAGTACCGTGGAATTCACGCCAGGCCGCTGATAGCCCAGAATCGCCGGGTTTCCCGTGAAGAACCCGACCGCGCGGCCACCAGCCAGTTCGTCGGTGGACTTCCGTAGCTGGATGAGGTGTTTCATGCCCGCGTAGATCTGGCCCGGAATGGTAGACTGGTCGTTGCGCTCCGCGTAGCGCGACTCCGGGTACCAGGGCCGGTTGACCCAGCGGGAGTCGTCCATCTTCGTGGGGTCGTGCAGATAGCTGTAGTCGTTGAGCTGGCCGACCTCGTCCCCCAGGTAGATCAGCGGGATGCCGCCTGTGCTCATGGCGATGCTGTACGCGAGCAGGATCCGGTCAATCGCATGGTCCTGCATCGACTCCAACCCCGCCAGCGACGCCGTCGTACCGGAGATCCGGCAGTCGCCGGTGCGCGGATTGTCCTGGAAGGGCACACCGCGCGCGTAGCTGCCCGGGTGCCGGTTGACGAAAAACGCGTTGAGGAATTTGCGGTGGTTCGACCCGTTCTTACCGAGTTCGAGCGCGTCTTCGTCCGAGAAGGTCCACCCAATGTCGTCGTGTGAGCGCACGTAGTTGACCCATGCGCAGCCACGTGCAATGTTATGGCGCCGCTCAATTGCCTGGGAGAGCATCGAGGTGTCTCGTGTCGCGAGAGCTTCCCATGTGAGTGCCATTTGGAGCGGGTTGTAGGAGAGCTGGCATTCGTAGCGGTCGATGTATTGGACCACGAAGTCGGGGTGGACAATCGCCTCGGACTTGAAGAGGACGGATGGTGCCGCGATTCTGCAGAGTGCGTTGAACGCGCGCAGCAGCTTGTGCACTTCGGGCAGGTTCTCGCAGTCCGTGTTCATCTGCTTCCACATGAATGCCACGGCGTCCATGCGGAAGAAGTCCACACCGACGTTGGCCAGGTACAGCATCTCCGCCGCCATAGCTCGGAAGACCGCCGGATTGGAATAATTTAAGTCCCATTGGAAGTGGTAGAAGGTGGACCACACGAAGCGACCGTCTGCGAGCTGGATGAAGGATCCTGGGTGGTCGTCCGGGAAGATCTCGCGGGTGGACCGCTCGAATGCGGAAGGCACGTTGCGGTCTGGGAAAATCCAGTACATGGCAGAGTGCTCCGGGTCGCCTTCTGCGGCTTTCTTGGCCCACTGGTGCTCGTTGGAGGTATGGTTGAACACTAGGTCTAGCACGAGACTGATGCCGGCCTTCCTCAATTCTACTGCCAGCTCTTTCAACTGATTGATATCGCCGAGTTGCTCCTGGACTTCCCTGTAGCTCGATACTGCATAGCCGCCGTCGTTGAGCGGCTGAGGGGCCTTGAAGAGCGGCATCAGATGTAAATATGTCAAACCCAGCTCTTGGAAGTAAGGAATACGGTCTTTGATGCCAGACAGATCCTTAGCGTATCGATCGACGTAGCAGACGGCCCCCAGCATTTGATTGGATAGGTACCACTCTGGATCCAGCTCACGCTCTTTGTCCAGCTGCTTCAACTCTGGATCTCGCTGCTGCCAGCTCCTGCCACACATTGTGATCAGGTCGACCATTTGATCGAGACAGTCGTGTCTGTAGCCATAGAGCTCGGCAAAGATTGCAAAGATGGTTATGAAATTCATTTCAAGCCTTCCGCAAAAGTCCTTGTCTTTAAGTATGTGAGCTCCATCTTCGGTCTTCTGGAGCTCTTGTAAGATGTAGGCTTTTGCCGCCCTCGCCTGTTGGTCTATGGACAAAGATGCCATCAGGATGAGAGACGGAACAGATAGCAAGTAGATCAGCGCTGAAAGTTAGCAGGGAGTAACTCTTCCACGAACGAGCACAGGAACGGACAAGAGCTTGGGTTGAGCTGCTGTAGATGACGGAGCTCTGAATGAGCAACAGCCTTTTAACTTTAACAGACATTTCGGAGCTCCCCTCGTAGCTTCGCTCGTAAATACTACCCCACCATTTTGTAGCTCATGGTAAGGTTCTGGTGGCATGAAGGAAGAGGCTCAAGCGGCTGATGGACGCGCGAGCTGCCAAACATTTTCCAGACGGCTCTTCTCTCGGCCAAATAATTTTTTGTGTAAGAAAGGCCGAGTAAGCGGGGATTCGCTTCCTTAGCTGCGCATAATATTTTCCCTCCAATCCATGTGATGGAATCCAAGAATTGGAGGTGAAAAGTAATCTCTAGGAATGATTTACTTGTTCTCCCAGATTGAAGCTGCTTTTGCGGGGTAGAGGGCTTCCAAAGCTAATGAGACAGATGTGGTAACAGCCAGTCAACAGGAAGCAGAGCGAGGGCCAAGAGGGCCGAGAGGCCCCAGCTTTGAGGAAAACTTATCACGCCATGCAGATGAAAGGGCAGTCGTGATTAGATCGTTGCCGAGGAGCTATCGCATGTTCCCAGCAACCGTGACAAGTGAGATGACACCGGATCTGAAACAGATCTTGCAGGGAATGTGATCGGGTAATTCGTTACGTGCACACACACCTACCTACCTACAGTAGGAAGGCAGGTATATTCGGACAAGAAGTGAAGTTGGTAAAATTGTTTCGTCCTCATGTACTCGCCCTGCTGTGAACGGTAGGACAGGGTCCCTCTTTTCGCAAAGACGATATGATAGTGAACGATGGATTAACTATGAACACAGTTACTAATTCTATCGTGCCTCGGGACGTGCCAGTAACGTAGTGGCGGATATCGAGGCTCATCTGTCCTTTTCAGTAGTATCATAACTCCAACTCCAGCCCATTGAAAAAACACTTGCTTGCTCCAAAACAAAACAAAAGGAACGCTCCCGTCACACACTTATTGAACATGCCCTGACCTCATTCCCCTTGCTAGAATGCCTCGATTTGTACACGTCTCACCGTCTTTCCCTCAGAAAGCGGAGACGGCGACAGCAATCGCTTGGCTATCGCTATGGCTGATGCTAACGTTCACATTCTTGACACCCGCCTCGTTTGCAGCTTTTAGCGCGGCACCATGCAGAGAGACCTTGGGGGCTCCATTCTCGTCGCTGAGAATCTCAATGTCGTATAGTGGGGCTCCAGCTCCCTTGCTGCACACACCTAACGATTTGAAGACGGCCTCCTTTGCACTCCATCGGCCAGCAAAGGATGCCTGAGGAGATGCTGTTTTGCTGCAGTAGGCTCGCTCCTTCTCAGTGAAATTCCTCTCCACGAAGGTTTCGTTCTCAATGTTGACAGCAAGAATGTCCTCGACGTCAACGCCAACCTTAGATCCCTCGGCGGCAGTGGCTTTGGCTAGTGATTCAAGCATAGCCTTGGTCTCCACAGCTCCAGGGCCGAGGTTTTGCTTGGGTGGAGCAGGTTTGTAGGTGAGTTCACCAGACTTTTTGTCAGCAATCACTCTTTGGTCTGGATTCAAGAAGACCTTCTGCATGATATCATCAGCATATGGGGCGTCAGTCTTGGCGACAAACAAAGTGTTGTTGATCATGCCGTTGTGGAAGTATCGGTAAGCCCTCTTTTGTCTTGCCTCTACCTTGGTTTTATACCGCTGGAAGTCGGCTTCATCCAATGTAGCAAAGAGATACTTGGGATGAATACCAATTGCCTGGGCACCCTTTTGTCCGAAACCGAAGGATGTTACCGAGAAAGCCTTGACTCCATCAGTCTGAAGTGTTCGGCTAGGATAGACGATGTAATCAAATTTCTCCATCACTTGATCAACATTGTCGGCGTTCCGATTGCCAGGCACGAGACCACTATTGAGGACTTGCAAACATCCGTTGAACATCCATGCACCGGCCGCACCTTTGGGGTGACCAGTCAAGTACTTTTGGAAAATACCCAATACAGCATTGCCCTTCTTGCGGCCAAGATGCTTCATCTGTTGGCAAATCACGTCTGACTCGTTCTTGTCATTAGCCACTGTGGAGGTTCCGTGGAAGGATGCAACATCAAGGTCATCAATTGTAAGACCCCACGTGGCCAGGGCACCACGTAGAGGAGCAATCGTAGAGTCTTGTCTCCAGAAGTTATTGCCCAAGCTATATTGTGCTTCCTTTTCTTGCTTCTTGGCTTGAATTTCGATATGAGCAGCGCGTTCTTCCATGTATTCGGCCTCATTGAAGCCGAAGCCAACCTGGGACTTCATAGCTGCAACTTCTTCGTTCAGATACAGAAGCTCGGACTCTTGCCAATTCTTGATGGCCTTTCTCCTCAGGTCAAGCTGTCTCCTGCGGTAGTTGATATCAAGAAGAGGCGATGGGTATTTGCTAGGGTTCTCACGAGCAGTGGTGAGAACACCTTGACCAGGGGCAGGTACAGATCGGCCAATCTTGTCGGTTGCCGTGGTGGTCAGACCAAGGATACCATAGATTGGTGTACCCATGTCCAAAGCAAGGCGAGCAGACATGATGATTTGCATACCGCAACCTTGGGATTCCATGAAACCATTGCGAGTGGTCGTGGTCGGTCGGGACATTTCCTTTGGCGTGCGTCCGTGAGCAAATTCGTCCTCGGCGTTGCTAGTAGCCTTCATGTTGGCAAATTCGTAGGAGCCTTCCTCCTGGAAGTCATCGAACCCACCGACAAAGCAGACACGGGCCTTGCCTTCAACAATAGTCTCGTAGCCAATGTCAATGGATTCAACAGCAGTAGCACAAGCACCAACTGGTGTCTTGATAGGACCAGTAGAGGACAAAAGCAACATGTTCACCCATGCAGCCATGGTGTTGATAAAGGATTCTTGCAGAATATCTTTCTGCACAGGCTTGTCCATGAATCGGTCCTTGTACATGCCTCGAAGCGCGGTAGTACCACCAATCCCTGAGCCGACACAATTGCCGACCTCAGAAAGATGCACATACTTGTAAAACTCATATGGATCTGTAATGCCTGCTGCCAAGAGTGACTCAACAGTGCAGACCAAGACAAATAGGGTGACCTGGTCAACTTGGGAAATGATATCGTCGGGGATACCGTAGTGCTTGGCATTCCAACCAGTTGGGATTTGTCCAGCTACAAGACGGTCAAACTTAAGGGCCTTGGGAATGAGCAAAGTAGCGCCCTTCTTCAAACGAACTGTGTACTCCCCGGATTCGAGTTCGAAGATCTCCACTTTGTCTCCATGTTGACGCTTGAACTCTTCAGCGGTCTCCTTGGAAGCTTCAAATTGATCAAGGTCTTCCTCAATCTGAATCTCCTGGAGGAGCTGCTTCTTCTTGGGATCGTAGCCGTTGAACAATTCAGGCTCAATAAGACGAATGCCAGAATGCTCAAGAATCTCCTTCTCATACTTGGCTTTGATATCTTTGTCATCGACGGGCTCGCTAGTCTTGGCATCAACCCAGCCAGAGTATGATTTGCCTTTGAGGGGCCCGTTGTGATTCTTGATGAGGCCAGTCATCCAAGCCATCTCAACACATCCTTCCAGGGAAAACTTGCCATATGCCTCCATTTCCCATCGAGTACGAGAGTTGCCCCAAGGACCCACTTCGGAGAAACCAGTGACAACTACAACTTTGTCGAGATCAACCATGCCCTTGAGGCGACCATTGAGGGGCTCGACGTCCTGCTTCCAATCTGGCAGGTCGGGGAATTGAAATTTGATGTTTGCACGGGGCTCGATTGTAACTTTCTTGTAGAGAGCTTCACTGTCTTCACCATTGACGACCTTATTTTCAAGAGCAGTCTCCTTGGTGACAGCCTGGCGGATAGCGCTAGTCTCCATGATCTCCGCACGAAGCTTGCTCATCAGCTCTTTCAGATCAGGCAAGAATTGTAAACCACCGTTCAAGTCCGCAAACACGGGCTCATTCTGGCAAAGGTCAACAATTGCTGGTGACATCAAACCAAGCAAGTTGAAGGCCATTTCTTGTTGGGAGAAGGTTCGGACGCCGTACTTCTCAACACCATCGGCGACAACGTTGTTGCCGCTCATGAGGCCAGTTCCACGAGTCCAACCAATCACAGCACCACAGATAGTGAGGTAATCACCCCAGCTCTCTGAGTACCAGCGATTGAATAAAGTCTCAAGAGCGAGCTTGGATTCCGAGTAGAGACCGTCGTTTCCGAAGGTGCCGTGGTTGGGTGACAGGGGCAACATCACTTGTGCTGGACGACTGTTGAATCCGCTCTCGAATTTTTTGGCCTTGACGGAACCAAGCAGGCGGATCAGGTTAGTCAACATAATGCGGTGAGCCAATTCAGATTTGGAATCAATGCTGTCAATCTCACGGCCATTCTCGGGGATGGCAGCGAAAGGAATGATGAAATCGAGATCCCAACCAAGTCCTTTCTTGCTATCATAGATATAGTCGATGAGAGCTTCGACATCCTGCTTGCTACCCTGGTTGAAAGGGACAACAACCAGTTGGGCGCCGCGACCACCGAAGCGAGCATACATGGATTGATAGTACTCAGTGACTTCACGAGAGTACCTGCTAGTTGTAACGACAACTTTAGCGCCACCACTAATGAGGCCTTGTAGAACTTCAGCACCAATTGACCCAGCGCCGGCACCCGTCATCAGAGCCATCTTGCCTTGGAAGGTGAGTCCAGATTTGGCTGCTTTCTCGAGCTCTTCGAGGTAGACACCGGTGAGCTTCTTGCTATAGTCCCATCCATGCTCCTCCTTCTTCTTGAGGTGCAAGAAGGGGATGGTTTCGGTCTTGCCTTGCTTGACAGTGCCATTCATTGCAGCACGAGTCAGGGCACCATTGCGGCCCGGTTTCTTCAAGTCGCCATTCTCCTGTGGCATGATTTGTGATTCATTCATAGCCAAGGCTCGGATGACGTCCTTGTAGAGGTTGTTGAATTGAAGTTGAGATGATTTAGAAAGCTTGTGTTGCTTGCGAATTAATTTGTAGACATTGCGAAGATCGTTCTGGACCTTGGTGCGATTGCTATACTCCGAGATCTTGCCACCGTCTGACATCTCACGAACATAGTGCTCAAGCTTGCGAGCGCTCTGGCGCGGGACTTCCTGGTAGTCAAGGTTGCCTCGGGCATCAACCGTGGTCTGTGGTCCAGTCGGTACTGAAACATCCTTGTAGACAGGTGCCTCGTTGAGAACATCTTTGCAGTTCTCAATAAGCTGCTCACCCAGCTCCTTGGCGAGTTTGTAGGTCTCTCCACGCTCAGTAGGGCAGTTATCGATATGGTATTGCATGTACTCGATGAGAGTGGGGTTTGATCTGTTCATGATGCGAATGCACTGGCTGACAATCTCTCGGTCGACCGCCTTGAGACGACCGAAGATGATGTCATAGTACATGCTCAGGGCGTCCTGGCGAGCCCAATTCCAGGATGAATCGTATACACGAGCCTTGAGGGCACTGAAAGATGGCTCGATTCCGGCGGCATAGAATTCTCCGTGCTCGACGTTCCAAAGATCAAGCTGGGCCTGTAGAGCCTTGTTGTTCTCTTGGGAGCCGATGAAAGCCTTGTCGCCAGAGCGCAGGTCCATCTTCAGATAACGAGCAAATAGTTCGAGTTGCTGCTTAAATAGTGCTCGTTGATCTTTAGTTAAGGCGTCGATAGCAGCAGGATCCATCATCATTCCTGCGCCAGTGCCGCCAGCCGCACCCCCAGTGGCTTGGGCAGTGGAAAGGCTGATACCAGCAATGGTAGCATACTTCTGAGCAACATCGCCCAGATATGTCTTAGCATCATTCTCAGAGCCCAACCGAGAGGCGGGTTCCATTGTCAAGGCAAGCAGGAGTGCACCATCTTGCCGACCAGCGCCCAGCCCAAATGCAGTCTCCAAGTGTTTTCTGACAGCCGTGATATTGAAACCACCGGGCATTTTCGAAGAGACCAAACGAGCAATGAGGGATTGTGACTGTTTGCCCAACTGGCCGTTGAACGTAGACTGCATGGCGGAACCTAGTTCGTCCAAAGGAGTGTCTTCTGGCTTTTCGGGTGTGGAGCCGAATTCTTTACCGAGATCGCCCAAGATCTCGTTCTGGAGGGTAGACTTGCCCCCGACAAGGTCTTTTATAGCTTTGCTGAGGGGGATTTCCGTGAGTGGTTTCTTCAGTTTCTGGGCGACCAAAGCCCTCAGAATATCGACAGCTCCGACGGGAGCGTCAGCGACAGCAGCGGCCGGGCCGGCGCTGGGGGGTGGTGCAGGGGCCGCAGCTGCAGCTGGAGCAGCTTGGGCAGGTGTTGGCGCAGCGGGAGCAGCAGAGGAAGAGGCGGCGGCGGGAGCCGGCTCGTCCTCGACTGGATCGACATCGTAGTAAATCTCTTTCAAGTCTTTGTTATATGCCAAAACTGATCTCTGCACGGAGGTGGCTGCGTCGTATGCTTCATACTTTGAGGCCAGGGTTCTCTTTGCCATTCCACCGAGAGTGTCTGCTGGGCCAATCTCGACTATTCTCTCGGTCCTGTTGGCCTCGAGAATGACATCTTGGGTCTCAATCCACCTGACCGGCGAGGCGAACTGATATGCTAGAAGCTCGACGAGGAGCGTATGGGCGAGCTCCTGCTCGATTTCGGGACGCATTGTGACGGGATGCGGATTAGAGGATCGAGGATGATGAGGGTAGTGGGTATATAGGTCGGGGCCCAATGCTGAATGAAGTGAATCAGAGCAAAGGGGGAGTACTTAGCACAGGTGGAAGATAGAGAGGGAACTGTGCGATGGTGGTGTGCAAACCAAATGCTTGAACGGATTGAGATAGATGAACGTAGAGAGGGAGTGAGTTGGAGTGCGTGGGGAGAGTAAGTGAAGGAAGTGGCTGTTTGATGAAGGGTTCAAGTTTCGGAAGGAGTACTAATCAATCAGTACGAGGACAAGGACTGGATTGACGGACAAGAGGGTTGGATTGATATGATCCCAGAAGAGGACAAGCGGCAAGGTGAGGATGATGCAGTCAAGATGGTTGGGAAGCAAGTCAGTGTTTGGTATGGCGGAGTGGAAAAAAAGTTTCAATGGACGGGGATCCTGGATGAGCGGTTTACGAGGTGGGCTTTACAACTTATTTCCGCCAAATGGGCAGCTCAGTGGCCCGTCTCACGTGTCACTAGTGCTGTACAATACCTGTCATTTCAAGCTCCTGGGTGGCTGTTCCTGTTGAGAAAAAGGTGGAGAGTTGGCCGGGCTGGCAAAAGGGACCCCAGCACCCCCGCCAGATTCGAACGACTTGGAGTCCAGGCTGATGTCTTGGGGTCAATATTGGTTTGCCCGAGGCAAATAACGAAGTCCTCGAACTCCCTCCATCCCCAGACTTGCTGCTAGCTTCAGGACACTGTGTACAATAGAACGGACAGTCCAGTGCATACTAATCAAGAATTACTGATCATACGAAATACGCCGCCCCATCGGTTCCAGCGCCGTATCCTCTGCCTGTGTATGGTCGTCCTCGTCGTAGCTTGTCGCTACCATTCCAATCTCGCTGTCTGTGCACGGTAGTCCCTTAGTGCATGTTAGTATCTGCTAAGTGGCAGGTTGGGATGATGACGCTGCTAGTGGCACCCGAGCGACCGTCCCTGCAGCAGCGCCGCCGCCTCCGCGAGCCCACCACTTTTTGGTTGGATTCTAGTGCGTTAATGGGGGAATTCCCAGTCTTCCCGTTGGCTGCTTAGGGCAGCATCCCTGTCTTTTCGGCAGGTCTGACGGCCGCCCGGAAAACTTCTTTGAATTCAACAAGCGTTGCTCCAACTTCAATCGCCCGCCTTTTTTTGCATGAAGCATCAACCAAACGCTCTTGGTCCCTGCTATCTACCCGTATCTTGCTGTACCTAGTAATCCATCCAACAATCGACTCTTGATTCTGTCGCAATAACTAATCCTCAATCCTGCACATCTGTTCTCACTCTCTCATCACTTCCTCCCCTATATCCCCGCTCCTTGTTTGGATTCCAAGCAACTGTTCTACAGCGACATACAACTACTGCTCGTACTATTGCTCCTACCACATATCTAGAAGAGCTCCCCCCTTCATTCCAGCGTCCTCACACATCCTTGACGACCCAAGTGGCATTAGCTTGCTCACTTTCTACCTAATTAGCCTCTTCCACATAGCCATCAGCCACCATGTATTCAGGTGGTGCGACCGGCACACACACTCCTCGATCCTCCCAGAATCTGAGGCCTCTCATTCTCACGCATGGCTCTCTCGATTACGCCTTCCTGATACCCACTGCTCTCCATTTCCAAGCATCACAGCTGAAAGATGCCTTCAATGCTTCTCTCCCCGCACCCACAGACGAATTGGCACAGGACGATGAGCCCTCGTCCAACGCCGAGTTGGTCGCTCGTTACATTGGCTTCATTGCCGCTGAAGTTGATGATGACGAGGAGGCTGCTGGCTTTGTCGAGGTTCTAAAAGTCGTTCTGAATGAATTTGAGCGATCCTTCATGCATGCCAACGATGTCCATGCTTTGGCTGCCTCTCTCCCTGGAATCACTGCAAAGAAGCTGGTTGTTGTACAATGTTATTATGCTGGCCGAGCCGCAGTTGCAAGACCGATCAAACCCCATGACTCCGCCCTCCTCAGAGCTGCTGATGACGAGGAAGCCAGCATCTACACTGTTTTCGGTGGCCAGGGCAACATTGAGGAATATTTCGACGAACTAAGAGAAGTCTACACCACGTACCCATCTTTCGTCAGAGACTTGGTCGAGTCCTCTGCCGAACTGCTGCAAAGTCTGGCTAGAAGCCCGAAGGCAGATAAATTTTACACCAAAGGCCTCGATATCCTGGGCTGGTTGGCAGACCCCGATTCTCAGCCAGACACTGACTATCTTGTCTCCGCACCCGTCAGCCTGCCGTTGATCGGCCTGGTCCAGCTTGCACACTACCAAGTCACCTGCAAGGTTCTAGGGAGAACACCAGCTGATGTCAATGAGCGCTTCAACGGTACTACTGGCCATTCCCAGGGCGTGGTCACCGCTGCGGCTATTGCTACCGCCACGTCATGGGAAAGCTTCGCCAGAGCCGCCAAGGAAGCCATCACCATGCTCTTCTGGATTGGAATGCGCAGTCAGCAGGCCTATCCTCGAACCAGTCTTGCCCCCTCCATCCTCCAAGACTCGACTGAGGCCGGTGAGGGAATGCCCACCCCTATGCTCTCTGTTCGAGACCTCTCCAAGAAGCAACTTCAGGAGCACATTGATGCAACCAACGAGCACCTGCCAACCGATCGTCATATTGCCATCTCTCTGATCAACAGCGCTCGTAATTTCGTCGTCACCGGGGCACCAATTTCTCTGCACGGTCTCAACCTTCGACTCCGCAAAGTCAAGGCTCCAACTGGCTTGGATCAGAACAGAATTCCTTATACCGAACGTAAAGTTCGTTTTGTTAACCGATTCTTGCCCATCACCGCTCCCTTCCACAGCCCCCTGTTGACAGAGGCCTACAAACACATCCTCGAAGATTTGAGCGACATCAAGATTCCAGCTTCTCGATTGACCATTCCTGTCTTTGACACAAATACTGGCGAAGACTTGCGAGCATCCCAGGACAAGGATATTGTTCCTGCTCTTGTGCGTATGATCACACAGGATCCAGTCCACTGGGAACAAGCCACTGTCTTCCCAGGTGCATCCCACATCCTCGATTTTGGTCCTGGTGGTATCTCGGGCCTCGGCGTGTTGACCAACCGCAACAAGGATGGCACAGGTGTGCGTGTCATTCTTGCTGGCGCTATGGATGGCACCAACGCCGAGGTTGGCTATAAACCAGAGCTCTTTGACCGTGATGAAGAGCACGCCGTCAAGTATGCAATCAACTGGGTCAAGGAACACGGCCCCAGGTTGGTCAAGACTTCGGTTGGTCAGATCTATGTCGATACCAAAATGTCTCGATTGCTAGGTGTCCCTCCTTTGATGGTAGCCGGTATGACTCCCTGCACAGTCCCCTGGGACTTTGTCTCTGCAACCATGAACGCTGGTTATCATATCGAATTAGCTGGCGGCGGTTACTACAATGGCAAGAGTATGACCGAGGCTCTGACGAAGATTGAAAAGGCCATCCCACCTGGACGAGGTATCACCGTCAATTTGATCTATGTCAACCCTCGTGCAATGGGTTGGCAAATCCCTCTCCTAGCTCAGCTCCGAGCTGATGGTGTTCCCATCGAGGGCCTGACCATTGGTGCCGGTGTCCCTTCGATCGAGGTTGCCCAGGAGTATATCGACACTCTTGGCATCAAGCACATCGCCTTCAAACCTGGTTCAATGGATGCTATTCAAGCCGTGATCAACATCGCAAAGGCCAACCCCACTTTCCCCGTTATTCTTCAATGGACCGGTGGTCGTGGTGGTGGTCATCACTCTTTTGAGGACTTCCATCAACCCGTCCTACAAATGTATGGTCGTATTCGAAAGTGCCAAAACATCATTCTCGTGGCAGGAAGTGGCTTCGGGGGCTCCGAGGATACATACCCATATCTTACAGGCACCTGGGCTGGCAAATTTGGATATCCTCCAATGCCCTTCGATGGCGTGCTTTTCGGTAGTCGCATGATGACGGCTAAAGAGGCTTACACCTCCACCAACGCCAAGAAGGCCATTGTAGAAGCCGAAGGCGCTGATGACAGCCAATGGGAGAAAACCTACAAAGGTCCTACTGGAGGCGTCATCACCGTGAGATCGGAGATGGGTGAGCCAATCCACAAGTTGGCTACTCGAGGTGTCAAGTTCTGGGCAGAAATGGATCAGAAGATTTTCAGCTTGGACAAGAAGAAGCGTGTTGCTGAGCTTAAGAAGCAACGTGAGCACATCATCAAGAAGTTGAACGATGACTTCCAGAAGGTTTGGTTCGGCCGCAACTTTGCTGGCGAGACCGTTGACCTTGAAGACATGACTTATGCCGAGGTGGTTCGCCGCATGGTTGACCTCATGTACATCAAGCATCAATCTCGTTGGATTGAGGTCTCTCTCCGAAACCTTACAGTCGACTTCATTCGCCGTGTGGAGGAACGCTTCACCACTGGTGCTGGCAAGCCATCTCTGATCCAGAGCTATGCGGAGTTCGAGAATCCTTTTGAACCACTCGAAAAGGTTCTTGCGGCATATCCCGAGGCAGAGAGCCAGTTGATCAATGCACAAGACGTTCAGCATTTCTTGCTGTTGTGCCAGCGTCGTGGTCAGAAACCTGTTCCCTTTGTACCATCGCTGGATGATAACTTTGAATTCTGGTTCAAGAAGGATTCTCTGTGGCAATCTGAGGATTTGGACGCCGTGGTTGATCAGGATGTTGGTCGAACCTGCATTCTCCAAGGACCCATGGCTGCTAAGTATTCAACCAAGATTGATGAGCCTGTCAAAGACATCTTGGATGGCATTACCAACGACCACATCCAAGGCCTTGTCAACGATGTCTACGGCGGCCGGGAATCCTCTGTTCCCGTTGTTGAATATTTCGGTGGCAAGATCATCAGCTCTCCTGAGAGCGTGACCGAGCTCGATGGCGTTACAGTTATTCCCGATGGCAGTCGGATTACGTACCGCCTGTCTTCCTCGCCTTCGGCAACCTTGCCTAGCATTGATGACTGGATTCAGTTACTCGCTGGCAAGAGTTACTCGTGGAGGCATGCCTTGTTTACCACCGATGTGTTTGTCCAGGGTGCTCGATACCAGAACAACCCTTTGAAACGCATTTTGGCTCCTACCCGTGGTCTGACTGTTGAGATTGCACACCCTAAAGACCCCAGTAAGACCAGCATCGTTGTCAAAGAGCCGTCTCAATCTGGCAAGGCTGTCAAGACACTAGATATCAATCTCGTTGGCAAGAATGAAATCCTCATGAACATGTGGGAAGAACGCACAGCCGAAGGTGGAGCGGTAGCATTGCCATTCAAGTTCGTCTACCATCCTGAAACGGGCTATGCGCCAATCCACGAGGTGATGGAAGGACGCAATGATCGCATCAAGGAATTCTACTACCGAATCTGGTTTGGTGAGAAGGACGTACCGTTTGACACTCCGACCACGAACAAATTCGACGGTGGCAAGGCAACAGTCGTCACCCAGGACATTGCTGATTTCGTCCACGCAGTTGGTAACACTGGTGAAGCATTCGTTGACCGCCCTGGTAAGGAAGTCTTTGCGCCCATGGATTTCGCCATTGTAGTAGGCTGGAAAGCCATCACCAAACCCATCTTCCCCCGTGCCATTGATGGCGATTTGCTCAAGCTTGTGCATCTCTCCAACGGATTCCGCATGCTTCCTGGCGCTGAGCCCTTGAAGGTTGGCGACGAGCTTCATACCTCTGCTCGAATCAATGCCGTCATCAACCAAGAAGCCGGAAAGATGGTCGAAGTCTGCGGTACCATCACCCGTGACGGTAAGCCCGTCATGGAAGTGACAAGTCAATTTCTGTACCGTGGAAACTACACCGATTACGAGAACACCTTCCAACGCAAGGATGAGACACCTGTTCAGATCACTCTTTCGTCTTCGAAGGATGTGGCTGTTCTCCGATCCAAGGAATGGTTCCAACTCGACGAGCCGGATATTGACCTGCTTGGCCAGACGTTGACCTTCCGCCTGTCGAGTTTGGTTCGATTCAAGAACAGGAATGTCTTCCAGAGCGTCGAAACCGTGGGCCAAGTTCTCTTGGAATTGCCTACCAAAGAGATAATCCAAGTCGCTTCGGTTGAATACGACGCTGGTGTTTCTCATGGCAACCCTGTTGTTGACTATCTGCAGCGACATGGCCAAACAATTGAGCAGCCAGTGAACTTCGAGAACGCCATCCCTCTCAGCGGCAAAACGCCACTGTCTCTGAAGGCGCCAGCCTCCAACGAGACATATGCCCGTGTTTCCGGTGACTACAACCCCATTCACGTGTCTCGCATTTTTGCTAGCTATGCCAATCTACCCGGCACCATCACGCACGGTATGTACTCGAGTGCAGCCGTTCGAAGCCTTGTGGAGACATGGGCCGCGGAGAACAACATCGGTCGTGTTCGCAGCTACCATGTATCTCTCGTTGGTATGGTTCTGCCCAATGATGATCTCGAAGTCAAACTCGAGCACGTGGGTATGGTTGCTGGTCGCAAGATTATCAAGATTGAAACGAGCAACAAGGAGACTGGCGACAAAGTCCTTCTTGCCGAGGCGGAAGTTGAACAGCCTGTCTCGTCCTATGTCTTCACTGGGCAAGGATCTCAAGAACAGGGTATGGGCATGGACCTGTATGGGCGCAGCGAGGTTGCGAAGGAGGTTTGGGACCGAGCTGATCGTCACTTCATGGATAATTATGGCCTTTCCATCATTAATATTGTGAAGAACAACCCCAAGGAGCTGACGATTCACTTTGGTGGGCCTCGCGGCAAGGCCATCCGTCAGAACTACATGGCAATGACGTTTGAAACGATCAACGCGGACGGGTCTGTCAAGTCTGAGAAGATTTTTAAGGAAATCGATGAGAACACGACTTCTTACACGTACCGATCGCCGACTGGTCTGCTCTCTGCCACCCAATTCACGCAGCCAGCGTTGACGCTGATGGAGAAGGCCAGCTTTGAGGATATGCGGTCCAAGGGGCTGATCCAGCGTGACAGCAGCTTTGCGGGTCACTCACTGGGTGAATACTCGGCACTTGCATCGATCGCCGAGGTCATGCCTATTGAGAGTTTGGTGTCAGTTGTTTTCTACCGTGGATTGACCATGCAAGTTGCCGTGGAGCGTGACGAGCAAGGACGAAGCAACTACTCAATGTGCGCGGTCAACCCCAGTCGAATCTCCAAGACTTTCAATGAACAAGCTCTCCAATATGTTGTGGAGAACATTGCGGAGTCGACAGGGTGGTTGGTGGAGATTGTCAACTACAATGTTGCCAACATGCAGTATGTGTGCGCGGGTGATCTTCGAGCTCTGGATTGCATGACCAACGTTCTCAATGTTCTCAAGCTGCAGAAAATTGACATTCAGGCCTTGATGCAAACCATGTCGTTGGACGATGTCAAGGCACACTTGATGGAGATCATTGGAGAGTGCCGCAAGAAGACGGAAGCCAAGCCTCAACCGATTGAACTGGAGCGAGGATTTGCAGTGATTCCACTCAAGGGCATCGATGTTCCCTTCCACAGCACCTTCTTGCGATCTGGGGTGAAGCCATTCCGATCATTCTTGTTGAAGAAGATCAACAAGACGAGCATTGATCCCGCCAAGTTGATTGGCAAGTATATCCCGAACGTGACGGCCAAACCGTTTGAGATCACGAAGGAGTATTTCGAGGAAGTGTACCGTCTCACCAACTCACCACGACTGGCGAAAATTCTGGAAGACTGGGACAAGTATGAGAATGCGGGTGGCTCGGGAATTCGACGCCTTTCTACAGTGGCATGATTCGGGCGCATGTTTGGTTGCAATTGAGCTTATTGAGCGATGACGATAGCGAATTCTATCTCTTGTTGGCGTTGGAAGAAGGAAGTTCAAGAGGTGGCGCATTGCGGAGTGGATTGATTGATACGGATGGTTTTGATGCCAGAAGGGCCTCCAGAATTGCAGTATATTAGTTAGATTTACTTTTGTGTGATGTACAGATAGTGGCAAGGGCTCGTTTAGCGGCAGTTCCACTTTACTTGCCCAGACCAATGAAAAGCGGCATTCATTGCCTGGCATTGACTTCAAACTGGGCAGCCAAATTGGGATTTGGGCTTGATTGCTTCCCGCATGGAACAGTTGGCCATGTAACGCTGAAAATCGGTAGTCTATACCCTACAAGGCTTGGGCAGGCGATGTGCCGAACAGAGGCGAGGTCCTCGGTTGGGTCATGCGACTAAGGTAACGAGGACTTGGCGGGTCAAAGGAGACACGCGAAACGTGCAGGCTGGCACCGAGGGGAGATGCAGATGCAGATGGAAATGCAAATGGAGAGGAGGAGGAGGAGGAGGAGGAGGGTTCTGAACCGACGCCAAAAGAGAAATAACAAGGTCACATGCCAGTGGGGGCTGATTTAGACTACCAAGCGCTCCGTACGGAGTATGGTATAGTAGTACTCCGTAATGAGTATTGAATGATTACGATCCCTGGTCTCCGTCGCAGTAGTCCCGGGGAGCTGGGTTGATTTGGGTAGGGATGCACGGGTGAGAGCCACGCGCTGGAAGATTCTGTACTCGTATGTATGGAGTACGAGGTGGTAGCTCCCAAGCAATCTCGATACCCTATGATTTGGGAGAGCACTCGGTAGAGGGCAAACAAAGGGGACTGGCAGCGAGGGATGTCGGATGAAGGTGGAGCTGGGGAAAGGTTTGGATTTGGGAGTTCAGAGTCGACGCGCCGAAACAGCAGGATTTAGAGAGTACAGGACGGAGGACAGTACAGTCTCTATCTGGGGTGCCAATGTGTGCCCTCGTAGACCAAGACAACGAATAAAGCAATGACGGCTTTTTTGACTTTGAAAAGGAATGTTCTCTGGGCTTCCCTGCCTTCCAGATCAGCATCGTGCGGGCGGGCGGGAAGTCAGTGGGAGGGACCCTCTTGGCAGGTTGAGCTGCCAGTTATGCAAACCGCAAAAGTTATAACGCGAGGGACGTTGGAGCATGGGTAGGTCTTTTCAAGAGGTGCGATGAGTCCGTGCCATGTCGTACACTGTAGGACCGAGTCTCCGGATGAGTACTCGTAGTTCCCTAGGGCTAGGGGTGAAAAGAACTGGGCCTTTGAGCTTAACCTTACTCGTATGTTCTCGGCATGTTAGGCTGATTTAGGCTGGTGATTTACTCGACGAAGCGGTAGCCCCCCCAGGTTCTCCGTTAGGCACACGTTGAGGCTTGGGGCATGGGGACAGGCATCACCCGGGCATTACATGGGCATCGCATGATAAACCCCCGTTAAAGAAAGCATCAGAAATGCTGGGTACTCCGTACTCTTGATCCCTGTCCCCCGTCTCGACCATCCCCCAATCCCTGCCAAATCTGCAGGGCTCAAGAACGCCTCGGGCGTATCAACTCCAACATGAATGTTGCTGTCGGCGTCTCCACGTTCCAACTGCATCTGCCACCATCAGATGCTCCTTCGCCATTCGCTCTTTAGCCTGGTTCGCCTCCCTCTCCTTTCCCACCGTTGCAATCAAATCAACTCGACGTTCGACCGGCGCAATGGGCGCACACAAAAGGCAAACTACACTACATCAGGTCCCTACTAGGGTTGAGGCAATTTGGCCTATCCTACGAGTACCACTCACCTTGGACATTGTCTCTGGTCCGCCCAACTCAATGCAATGGCCCGTCCTACTCCTCCCTCCCCTGGGTCCTCCCCGACGGATCATCATGTTTATGTTCCCATTGCTGTTCCTGTTCCTGGTGCTGGTGGTGGCCCTGGTCCTAGACGAACCGGCTCGCATTAGTTGAAGTTGATGCATTGGGCACTTGCGACGGTCCTCCGTAAAGGATAGTCCCTCTGTCTCTGTTACGTCTCGTCAATCAATCACTCCCCTCGGTCCTCTTATCCCATGTGCTCGTCTCCATCCATGCCTTGCGCCCAGCATGAACGTCGACCTCGAGCCTGATCTCCTCTGATTTTCGACTTGATTCAAATACTGCCCACCCGCAGCCGTTGCGCCATGCACTGATCCTGGACCATCCTACCAAACTCGACGCGATCGAAGCCCTCGCCCATTCTCGCCAGAACGGCAATCAGGCTGAGATGGACATCGCATCGCTTGTGCGCTCAGGTCAGTAAGGCTAGCTATCATACCATACCATACCATGCCATTCCCGATATCTGGGTGGCCCCATCTTCCGTCTCGCCTCACGACAGCTTCGAGAACCCAGACCAAACTGACTGACACATCCTACGAACAGTGCTTGCGGCATTCGAAGATGCCAGCAAACTCGTCAAACGCATCCGCAAGGAGCGAGAAGCCAACGATGACCCCCTCCCCGACGAACCCATGCGAGACCTGCTGGACTCGCTGGTCCTGGGGCCCGTCATCGTGCGCGGACACTACGACCACGATGTCAAGAGGTTCGGCGAGCAATATGCCTGCGGCGACAGCCAGGCCCGCGAGCAGATGAAAGATGTCTTGATCAATCTGCAGATGACCCTGATCATCAACCTGCGCAGTGTCATCATGGACGACCTCCACCTCGACTTCGACGCCCTGCAGTCTGCCTCGGACGACTGTCGTGTCAATGCTGGCGTCTGTCTGGGTCAATTGTCCCAGAGGCTGTCTTCCGCCATCCACGCCCAGGCGTATTATCCTTCTTCCGCTTCCAACGTCTCAACCTTGATGCCGCCCATGTCGCCTTCCTTGGGCCATTCCAGTAGCAGGAGCACTCATTCTTCAAATGCCCCCTATCATGGCCCGCGCACCCCTGAGCCCATGTTGGATGCCTTCCAAAATATGAGCATTTCGCCTCCCGTGCGGACCGACATGATTGAGAGGAAGACGTCGACCCGCTCTGGCGGCTCCCAGGGTTCTTATAAACGCTCGGGCTACGGTCTATCACTGCCATTGCCACCAACAACCACCGAGTACGCTGGCAGTCGCACTGCTGACCCACTCGCAGCTGGCCAAAAATCAGACGAAATAGATCGCATGAGCATGCGACGGAGATCGTCTCAAGCTCTCGCTCCCGACGACAACATCTTGCTGATGTTTCCCCAACCAGACGGCCAATCGATCATAGCCGCACTGCCGAATGGCGCCGACGCGTCCGGCCAAGAGCCCCCGCCAAATACCGACAGCCTAACGAGTTCTCCAGACATCTCTCGATTCGGACCAGATGACTATCGTGATGAGCAGCTCATCAGACGCGACTGGAGACAATACTCCCATGGCACCATCTACGACATGTACCAGCCCCAATTGCCGACTGCCGAAAGGCATTCTTCCATTGCATATTTGCACAGAACCCAGGTAGCGGCACTGCCACACAATCACGGCCACGGCCACGGCACCTTCGAGCATGTTCGATATCTGCAGGAAAACGCCCGTCCGCCCCGCCCGCAACCCCGATTAGATTCCTTGTATAGATTGCCAGCGAAATCATTCCAGCCTCAGGACCAACCAAGGCAACCAAGGCAACCACGAACGAACCCAGAAATGGATATCGGGCAATGGGAGACGCACCCATCTCTCAGCCCCGCCAACCCCGTTGAGGCTCCGGCCCACATTGATAGATATGCACCAGGCCCACATACACGCGGTCCACCTTCTCCCGTAGCGAACGGCCTCCCTCCCCAACTACCAAACTCCTACCAGCACCAATCTAACGTCTCAAAACACCTCGCCCCCATAAACCCCAGCCTCGAACAAGAAGCCACCGACAGCTCACGCGCCGAATCCCTGCTCACTGTCCACTCCTCCGTCTCCGGCGGACCACCCATCTCCACCCTCTCCACCGGCACCATAACCCTCCCCACCGACAAAGACCTCCTCGGCTTCTGCAGAGGCGCCTTCCGGCTCCAAATCGGACTCGAATCCAAGGCCTTTAAAGTCGCCAATCGGCCTGTCGGCTACTCCTCGATGATCCAGTTCTGGCGCTGCGAGAAATGCTCCTTCGAAGGGCCCATGCACAACTCCGCCGTGCTCTCGGAAGGGAAGAAAAAGCAAAACTGGAAACCCGTGAAGCTATTCGACCCGAAGATCCGCACAAGTGAGAGCGGGGCGATCCGGTACAAATGGGCGTTTTTGGCGAAATGCCATGTTGTCATGAAGGGGATGGTGCCCTATGAGACTGCCCTAGGCCAGAGCGGTGCGTTTGGCACGTTCGGGTGTATTTTCTGCGCGGCGGAGGGGAAGCAGCGCGGCTGGCTGGACAAGGTCTTGAGCAGTGGCGATGGCGCGAGTCTAAAGGGGAGTGGTGCGAGCGTACGGATTGGCGGCACGTCTGCCAATACCTGGGCGAGGAAATCCGGTGGGAAGAAAGGCTGTGCAGAGCCGAATTCCACGCCGATCTTTGGAAATGTCGGCTCGTTCATGGCGCATCTCGAGGCTGTGCATCGGCCGGAGGACGGATGGCCGAATGCGGAGATGCAGGGCCGCATGAAGCTCGTTCTGGGTCGAACGGCGCCAGCGGGTGAGGATGGCTGGGACGTCAATATTGTGCCGTTTTGATGTGCGCTGTGGTCGGTATTGGTTACACAGACACCCCGTTATGCGTGTGTTTGAAAAGACTTGGGTCTGGGGACGGACCGGAGTAATGGGAATGGCACCCGCTACCTACATACTATATCGCCCCAAATGAGCCAGATCAATAGGCCAAAGATTACTGAATTACCTGGGGCCTAAGAATGGCTTGCAGCGGAATGAATGGAACGCTGACGACGATCAGCCTTGTAACGAGATTTGTGCGACGGGCCATGAGAGCGAATGGGTACAGAGCTGGGAAGGGAAGAGCCTTTAACAGAGCAGCCGTGGATGTATGCGTGTATATATCTACTCTATGTACCTACCAAGGTATACATGAAGCAAAGAGAAACGGAGCTCATCGATCTATCCATCCATCATCTTTCTCATCCGCTCGCTCGCTCACCTAGTTACTTACATACATAGCTTTGCATCCTCATTCGTCGTACCTGGCCTCCACGCCTCCCAGGTCTTCACCAATACCAGGAGGGATGACATGACAAGATGATTTGAACTACGCGAGCAACAATTTTTCCACCAAGTGGCAGACATGGCAGGCATGGTTCCTTGATACTAACCCAATGCAATGCAATGCAATGCAATGCTCGCACAATCAAGTCAAGCACACCGAGACCTCGTCTTTTTCTCTGCCCGATGTGAACAAGGCTTCGCCTCGCGCGCGGGTCGAGGAGCTTCAGCGCTGCGCTTTGGGTATGGGATGGTATGCATACGTACGTACGATGTATAGGTAGCTATTGGCCAGTGCTTGGGAATGGATGGACCGGACAACTCACTCACGTCCCCGATCGATCGGTCAGTCCTTTTTACAGATGGAAATACATCCAGGGATAAAACCTTACGTCAAACGGCGGGCCAAAGATGGCATTTCACCGAGTCAAATTCCTTGAGAAAGGCTTGATGATCACATTTTCTGGGACGAATTCTTCGTGTCTGCCGATGGGAAGCTACTGTAGAACGCTATCCAGGATTACACAAAATGCCAAATCGCCGTACAGCCTGTGAGATCCTTAGTGCAAAACATCCCAAGTACCATTTCCTGGATCAATATACCTTGCTAACCAAAAATAGCGCTGGGTTACAATCCATCTCAGCAACGAAAGAAAGTAAGCATCATGAATGAACCCTCTTCTTCTCGGGACTTCGACTCCTTGAACGATATTCCTTACTCGGGCTCCGTTGGTACTCAATCTGCTGCTGCTGGCTACCATCGCCACCGTGCCATCCCATATATGGCTGTTGTCCATACGGAGGGCCTTGTGAAATGGCACCAAACCCTGCTTGGTGATTGGGAGACTGCATGTAGGATGCCGATGGCGGTCGGAATGCAGGGTTGCCGTAGTAGTGTTCTTGTTGGCGACGGTAGAGTGTGAATGTCGCGTTGTTGACAATGAGACCAACGACAACGAGGGTGATTGTAAAAATCCTGACGGTTGATATGTTAGCTTGCATGATTGAGATAGAATAGCGGAGGAACCCAGGGTAGGATAACATACATGGTTTTAAGACTGATCGGTTCAACGAAACTGTTGAAAATCTCGGCGAACGTATGAGCACTGAGTCTCGCCCGCTTCACTGCACTAGGGTCGCGGTTCATGCAGAGTTCCCAGTTGTTGCAGACAGATTCCAGAGCTGGAAGTCTCGTATCGGCGCCGCATCGGTTGTCAACGTAGTTCTTCGAGCACGCTGCCATCTCAGCAAGTACTTCTGCCATGGCATCATCACTGGCACGATCAACATCGGCGCGTATTGTAGCGTAGAACGACCAGAACATGTAAAGGCAGCCACCGAGGATGGCAGCATTGAAGAAGACTTGCAGATATTTGGCGATGATGGACGGCGCATCAGGGTATGTGTGGATAAATGTGAACAGGCCAGTAATCCAGCCAACTTCTTGGATTGGAGGTTGTTTAGATTCCGTTGGACTGGGTGTTTGTTCATCGTCACTGTCGTCTTCTGTATTATCTCGTTTCCCAATTATCAATTGCTTGTCGAATTGCTGTGCGCGCCGACGTTTCTTGTGTATTCTCCGTACGATTGCATCGCTATGTGGCTTTCGTATCTCGCCTCTTCCTGGACTAGGAGCAAACCTTCCGTAGAAGCCAAAGAGCGAGTTGCGCTTGTTCTCGGTTTTGGTGGGACTGCTTTTAAATTCAATTGGAATTGGCTTGGCATCTGGGGTTTCTTCGTTATCTGTAGGGGCAAGTGGCGATGAATTCTCTGGTCCAGAAGAGAAGTCTATATCGAATGCCTTCCGTGGAGTGGTGAATGATGGGGCGCGGAATGGTGATGAAGGAGGTGGTGATGCTGGAGTATTTGAAAAGAAAAATGGCTGATTGTTCGGTTCGCGGAGAGATGGGAAGTTTGTCTTTTTGGGAGAGTCGAATTCCTTGTGTGTTCCTGAATCGTTTAGCATGCTTGCAGGATTGCGCGGAAGGCGAAGGGATGCCATACGCTTCTTCGCTTGAGCCTCCATGATGTGTTTATGGAATGGGGATGAGGGATCAACTGGACCATGACCTTGCCATTCAAAGTCCATGGGACTCTCGGTGCCACGAAATGCCATGGTTAAAGAGGAAAGGGGAGCCGGTGGGGGAAGAAGGACGGTTTCTACGTTTCTGGCCAGATCATGCGCTGGAGTTGGGGAAGAAGCCAGATGCAAAAGAAAGGTTGCCAGAGGATGTGATTGTGGAGATGCAGATGCAAATGCAGATGCAGATGCGGATCAAGACCAACAGGCTGCCAAGAAGTAAACAAACATCTAATCTTATCTGATCCGCTATCTTTAGTCAGCCACCCATGGGCAGTCTCCTCTACTACGTACTACTGATGTAGCCAGAAGAGCTGCATTCACGCCACTCATTCATTCCAGTCAAAGACAAGTTAAAAAGGCCTCTAATTTATACTGCATGTTAACAAGGCCACTTTGCAGCAGACACTGGATAAAGCAACCATGGTACGTGAGCAATCAGAAGAAGCGCAATGGTGGTTCCAGGCAGTCTACAGCGCGGTACAGGAAATTCCTCACGGAAAGGTGACAAGCTATTCTCACATTGCACATCTCCTGGGATTTCCTAGGCGTGCTCGTCAAGTGGGTGTCTGTTTAAAGCATCTTCCGACCTACGACCCTACAGATCCAGAGAAGTTCTTCTTTCATGGTGAAAACGTGCCTTGGCAACGGGTGGTCAATGCCAAAGGCGGTATCAGCCCACGTGGAGATGATGGGCTTGCAGCCAGTCGGCAAGCAGACAAGTTGAGAGAAGAAGGAGTCGAAGTCAATGAGGCCAGAGGGATTGAATCGCAATCAGTTGATTTGAGCCGATTTGGATGGTTTCCGAAGAGGTTGCCCAGTGAGAACGATGAGGATGACAGCGATGAGTCAGAGGGCGAATGAATCAATCAGAAGAATTCATAAGGTTCCGAAGGAATATGGTTGATATGACTGCAGCTCATGCGTAAGCTCGAATGATACCTTTACTGACAGCTTCGGGGCGACACCATCTATCTACAAGGGCTGCATTCCAGAACAACAGTGGTGGACGTCGACATCACGTCAACTCAACAACGGAGAAAAGGCATCCTCGTCGACAGCCTTTGTCAAAGGAAATAAAGGGATGGGCAATGAAGCAAGTAGAAACTTGAGAAAGCGAGAGAAAGTGTGTCTCATCTAGGGTCCCCAAGGCGCCACAGTATCCAGTGGTGCAGTGGGTTCTAACATCTGAGTCATTCCGTGCGTGACCATAATGGGGGCGAATTTCATGAAGCGTATCGCAAACGTCATTTCTTGTGTCTACGCTGGCTAATGAACGTATCCAACAAGACGACGGAAGATTTAAACCAAACACTGGGGAATCAATGGCTGAGCTGACAGTACGGCACAGTACTCGCACATTAGCATCACTACCCTTTACGGTGCAGTATATGAACAATGGTTCACTTGTAAAAAGCGTTTGTAACTGAGATTTTGGACTACAGAACTAGTTCAATAATAGCTTAAACTACGGCATGGTATATAGACATTGGCCCTCTGGCTGAGATAGTGTTTTAGAACATAGACTCTACTACTAAAAATTAGCCAAAGGATGATAATACTTACGGTGCAGTATACTGACATTAGTTCAAACTACGGTGGGGTATATATACAAGCCTTGCTAGTTATTATTCCGCAAGTCCGCCTAACTTCATTAATTAACTTCAGGTCGCGCTTACATACTAACTGTATTAACTATCGCTAGGCTATAGTCTACTGATAATGATTGTATTCCAGGCACAGTCTGGTTCTAAAGGCTACCTTTAGAATAATCGCGGGTTAATGGTAAGAATGTAGCGAGATCATCACATCGCAATCTAGGTTCACAGAGGGATGAGGTCATTTGGGTGGCTGATGAACCAGAATAGACACTCACCATCCTTCTTGATCGTGCCTCGGCCTTGATTGTTTGCATCAGCTGGAAGCTCGGCGGCTATCCTTATCATCATCCTCCCGCGAGCCACCTGTTGAATGCACGTGTTAACTGCGCCTTGCCTGATGCGTGGTGACTCTTTGAGTTTGAGTTTGAGGGCTCAGGCTCCTTTCATCTCCAATCTTGGGTTTCCGTCCATATCCAAGCCACCGTGAGTCCACGACCCAGCTTTCCGTCTCTTATCACACTGGTTACCTGTTCCTCGTTCCTACCCTCGGACCTCATAGCGTGGAATGCCTAGTGACTCAATCAAGCCAATCATGCCTTGTTTCGATACCCTGTGCCACGATGCCACTCTTTGGCTCAACCCGCTCTCTCCCTTATCCTGATTCCTCACACCCACTATCATCACCACCCCTCTCCCCAGTCATCCACCCCATCCATTCATCCACCCATCGACTCATCCACTCAGCTCAAACAAGCAATCATCCGGTTTCAACGCGTGACTCTCCGACTCATCAGTTACTATTAGTATATCCTACAAGCCTGAGTCTCTTCCCCTTCAGCTGCTACATTCCTCGTCTCTCTACAGCTCACATACCTTTAACACAAATCACTCCGTCATCTCTTTGTCTGTCCACCCAACCACTTGTCTCGGTCTCTTCCTTCTGACTCTTCTTTGTTCTTTCACTTGCCGTCAAAGCCAGGCCACCTTCCCCTTCTTCACGAACGCGTCATTCTTGAGAGTGACTGTCTGCTTCTACAGCTTACCAATCCTACCCTGGTGATTGTCTCTTCTCCTCCTGTACAATCCTATCTTGCACCAACCTCAGATTGAACCTACCTTATCAACCAAGTAATCCCCATCCTACCTTAATCATGTCGGCCTTCTCCACCAACGACCTCCGCAGCGGAGCCAAGCCATACCAAAGAGACAAGAACCATACTTCCAAATGGGCTCGAGGTCCATCTGAGACGGCAATTACACTGTGCACTCAGCATGAACAGGCAGACCCCAAGTGTGTCCGGTGCACCGGCCCTCCAGCCAAACGAGATTACGATCGTCGTATTCGACGATCAGAAGCGAAATATAGGCATCTTCAGCAGAACAAACTCACTGGACAAGCCTCAACTCTTGCACGCAAAGCCTTCCGAAACGAGGTTGTCGATGCAATGGATGGCCCTCTGGCCAACGTTTCTGATACCTCATCCGATGGCGAAGAAGTCCCTGACTCATCCGCTGCACCTCTCCCAGCAGAGGCTGACTTTATGTACAACTACGATGCCTTGACTGGACCTCGTGCTGGCAATGACATCTTGAGCAACGCCATTACTCAAGCTGTTCGTCGGTTCGAGAACAATGAAACCGAGAAACTCGTCATCAAAGAATATGACGTCGTCAGTGACAAAGACGCGGCAGCAGGATATGCAGGCGACTATGATGATGAGCATGATTTTGAAATCATCGAGCACTCCCATTTGAAATGAGGTCATCAATCTATCGACGAGGGAGTGACCTATTCATTCGTTTTCATTGATATTGATCCTTTTTGTAATCAGCGGCGATATTTACAATTCACAGAGATACCCCAGGGCTCATTAGGGAAGCTGGCGTCACCACAAACTAAAGCATGAAAACCGGCGCTTCTTGAGGATATGACTGGCCCATGGAGAAACAGGCATTGGATCCCCGACGATGGCATTCCGGGAATTGGTCCTTGACTTTGAGAAATTGGCGTTTTTGCAGATTGTAGTGCGATCACTTTTGTACAGCACAACTGCATTCATTCATAGTAAATCAATAGGATGACTCGATGCTGGGTTGAGGAACCTTGACGCGCTTCGAATACATTTGTTGAGCTCCTAATCTCATCCGTTTACTGACATGTGACAGGCTTTGAGCATGAACATAGACTCCTGCACGGTGACGTCGGATGTGCAGATGTTGTGCAAACATGCCAAACTTCCTCACCCTCGAAATCGGGAGCCCCGTCCTTCTGAACTTTCGATAATGTCGACCAATTCAATCATCATACACTTTACGTGTTTTTACTCAAGCTGATGTCTAACAGCTTGAAGGGCAAATACTTTGCGCCGCTCCTCACTTGCCATCTGTGATGATACTCGCCATCCAAAAGATCTTTTAGGAACCCATCTTGTAAATTCCCTGCTCGCCGCACAACACCACGACACCTCCATCTCCAACCATGCCTTCTGCCAACCTGGCCGCCTACCTAGCTAAAAACTACTTGAACGCATCCAACCCGTCTCAATCCTCCTCACCCTCCTCCAACCCAGACTTCGCCGATTCCTCGCGGCCGAAGAAGAAACGACGCAAAAATAAAGAAAATGAAGCCCAAGACTCCGGCCTGTTGATTGCGGACGACGACGCAGAGCTATCCCTAGGAGGCGCGAGGAATGACCGCGATGACGAGGCCGAAGATGTGCCCATGTACGACACGAATATGAAGTCTGCAGAATTCAGAAAGAAGAAGAGCAGTGGCTGGACAGTAGTGGACTCAGGAGGATATCCTGCTGCTGTTCCTGGAAAGCAACAGAACGACGAAGATGCAGAAGCTGAGCGCATTATTTCCGAAGCGGCAGCTGAGTCTGCACAGAGGCGGCAACAGATCGAGGATGAAGATGCCCCGGCTGTTGTCGACGTGCCCCAGCCAGAGTCTTCTTCTACAACCACACATGCGCCGAGAATGCAGTCCGGTGCTCGCTCCGGTCTACAGACAGCAGCTGACACGGCAAGACTCATCCAGGCAGAAGAGCGAGAGAAAGCGCGAGAGCTTTCTCATGGGGATAAGGCAAAAAAATCCAAGAACGTGGATGGAAAATCCGGGATCCCAGAAGAAGAAACAATCTACCGAGACGCTACTGGGCGACGTATAGATGTTAGTCTCAAGCGCGCAGAAGCGCGCAGAGCAGAGATGGAGAAGATGGCGGCGGAGAAGAAAGCGCGCGATGAGGCTCGAGGCGATGTGCAGCGCGCGGAGCGCGAGCAGAGGAAGCAGGATCTCGAGGAAGCCAAGTTCCTCACCGTCGCGAGAGGTGCGGATGATGAGGACATGAATCGTCAGTTGAAGGATGTCGTCAGGTGGGATGATCCTATGGCTATGTATATGGCGCATAAGAAGGAAGAGGAGAAGACGCTTGCTCAGGGCCCTGGTGGGTCGAGGGCTGGGAGTGGCAAGGCTACGGCTGCCAGTGCTGCTGCGCCCAGGAGAAAGGTCTATCAGGGTGCGGCGCCGCCGAATCGATATGGTATCCCGCCCGGTTGGAGGTGGGATGGTGTCGATAGAGGGAATGGGTTCGAGAAGGACTGGTTTCAAGCAAGAGGCAGGAAAGCTAGGAATGAGGACTTGAGCTATCAGTGGCAGATGGATGAGTAGATCATGAACCCTGGTCGCAGTCTTGGGTTCAAGTTTATCATTTAACGATCGAATTTGATATATGCCAACCCTCTCTCACGCATATCCTGTTCCGCGGCACTAATTATCATTAAATTTCAAAGTAGCAGTGACGAGTCACCTGCTTTAGCTCACGAGCCTTGCTGAGGTTCAGGATTTGAATATTCCTTTGTGATTTTAGACACCTCCCACTCGCGCACCCAGAAAATCTCGTTTGTCTACAAAGTACAAGTATCTACGAATGCTGGTTCATGCTGATACTTCATGACAATTACCCCCCAGAAGACCCACGAGGATTTCTCTGGCACGGTGGGTACACATCCGCGGAAGGGCGTACGCCCTTTTGTAATCGCCGTGAGTTGACATTTTTGTTTGATCGACAACAAAATATAACAGGTTGCTTGGAGCTTTGCCCCGTAAGTTTACGTTGGCTCGATTTTCCAAGAAAGCAAAATAAAAATAAAAAAACAACAAAACGGCAAAACCAGCAGATGCAAGGCTTTAACTGGCATTGCTGGAGAAGTAGAGAGACATAACCTAGCATCCTACAAAATTGGATTCACAAAAAAACAAAGGAGCGGAGAAAGGAATCTGGAAAGGGAAGGGAAAAATTGAATAAAATATCAAAACAGTCTTTGTCCCCACCAAACCACTTGATCAATCAAAGTCCTACATACTTGCCACCCGGGCCCTGTATCAAGACAGAACGACGAGGCCAAACGCAGACACCAAAAAGAAAAAGCAAAGATGGCCGAAGTCAGCACGCCAACATACCGCATCCGCTACGCGACCGCAGGCGACGTGCCCTCGATCCTCGCGCTCATCAACGAACTCGCAGACTACGAGCACGCCTTGGACTCAGTGCACGCAACAGTGGAATCGCTCACGAACACGCTCAGCTTCCCGGACGCCAACAGCCCCACAGGCTTCACGCCCGGCTACGCGAAGACGCTCTTACTCACGCTCGGTTCGACGGCGTCCTCGGAAGATGTGGCCGGGATGGCGCTGTTCTTCCACAACTACAGCACCTGGAACGCAGCCCCGGGGATCTACCTGGAGGACCTGTTCGTGCGGCCTGCGCACCGCGGTGCGGGCTTCGGCACGGCCCTGATCCAGGCGCTTGCGCGCGAGTGTGTACGGCTGGGCTGCCAAAGGCTGGAGTGGGCGGTGCTGAAGTGGAATGAGCCCAGTATTAAGTTCTATCAGGGCCCTAGTGTCGGCGCGACTAGGATGGAGGAGTGGGTTGGCATGAGGGTCGATGGTGAGCGGCTGGGGGCGTTGGCGGCGGGGAAGGGGGTTTGACATTGTTGCTTTGCTTTGGCTGATTGTATATATCTGTATATGGGGCAAGTGGTGGGTGTGGACTTGGACTGGTCGGTCCAGATGAAACAAACATACTCGTAGCCCCCCTTTACGCTCTTACAGCAGAGGCAATGGCCAGAAATAGAAATATATAGAAAGGGTTTCAAATCAACTCATTCTTCCTTTAAGTTCTGAATCAAACGGGACACTATGCTCCTGAAAAACGCCTGCTCGCATTCGCATCTCAACTATGAGAGACTTTCGTTTCGTCCTTGCCAGCCCCCGAGCTCTCTTCCAAGTCCAAACAACGTTACCGGTCAGGGTGCAAGGCATCGTCTGGTGTATGGCGTCCAGTGGCCGGTGGATGGTGTGTCCATTCTTTCCTTAGCCTGGGTGTCTTCACACCAGAATTCAAGAAACAGCCTTGGAGAATGAAGAAGTCAGGCCAGACTGTTAAATCCTCACCCTCCCTCACATAACCACACAACACGAATTCTGCTTCTTCGCCTGCTGATAGAACATCTTACTCTGGGCACTCAAGCCATCCGACTTGGCCACCAGACTGTCAATCTTCTCGCCTCTTTCCAGCACGCTCTCAATAGTCTTGTGCAGCACAATCTTGGTCTCATCCAACTCCCTCTGCACCTTCATGATACTGTCTGCCTGGTTCGGGTCTTGGTATTTTTGAATATACTCCTTCAACTGCGGGTAAGGCCGCGACGTGACAGAGGGAGACGAGTAGGAAGACCGAGGGTTCTGCGACGTGAATTCGTCCACGATCTTGGAGAGAAGCTGGTGAGCCACCATGGCGGGATACTCGGCGTCTGAGATTATGATGCCTGCGATCCCTTGGCTTGAGCCGTAGGCGTGGAATGTATGGGCCCGCTCCTCGATGTCCTGTCGTACCCCTGGCTTGGTCCGCTCCGCCACCGTTTTGGCGAACATGGTCATGAATTCGCTGTAGCTGTGGTGGGAGGAATGTCAGGTTAGGTAGCTTTGAGAGACTGGGGTGAAGGGCTTACCTGGCGCGTGTGAAGCGGGAAAAGGAAGATAGGTCCTGCTCGACGGCGAGCTCGACGGCAGGGACGGGGTCATTTCGTAGGATCTATTGCCATGGTGTCAGTGGTTGTCCTTGAAGTTGGCACTTTGTTTGGTATATGGGTGACTTACTCCGATATAGAAGATCTTCATGGTGGCGGTGTGAGCTTTGGGGCGCTTCTGAAGTAAATGCAGAGGATGGGGCAAGTATCGAGGTCGTGTGTCTACAAAAGAGTCCTGTTCTCAAGAACCAAATCCCTCTGAAACGCTTGCCGTAACGAAGTCGAGGGGTTGGACCGGGGGTTTAGTGGAGATGGGATTGATAGAAGTAGTACAAGTGGAAATGTCAGCGCCTAGTTACGAGTAGTCAGTCACTGAACTGACATCAAAAAACAAACGGAGACCAGGCGCCATTGAACGTCACATGCCGAAGCATGTACGAGTAGTCAACGCCAGTCTGTTTCTTTGTGTGTTTGGGGTTGGGGGCGGGGGTTCCTTATTCCGGTTTGGCCCCTCCATTGTGCCACCTTCGGGCTTTAGGCGTGACGGGGGACTCCTGTAGGTAAAGGTTGAAGCCTGGAGAACGGACCGTAGGTGCCTCTCTTGCCGTGCGTGGTTTGTGTTAATTGTGCCTAATGCCTATAGTGATGTTTAATCCCCGAAGAGTGACACACGTTAACCAGGTTAGCTAGCCCTGCCGCTAAACTGCCTAATACCCTTTCCGCCCATGAATATTGCGGCTAGTCGTAAATTAATGCTTCCTAAACTCTTTTAGATGTGATATTGTAATCTATAAATCCATTACTGTGCGAGTCATGGATGAATTTCTGATCATTATCACCACGGCCTCCAATCAATCTCTTCTGCCAGGCTGCAGTATTTCTACAAGTCAGCCTGATTATCGCCTAGTCACGGCCATATTTGAGTCCAGGTGATCATTGTCTCGTAAAACGATGGCCGCGACAACTTTCCAGTCAGAAGCACAATGGCTGGCTCAAATGACCGCCATGAGGCACGCAATTGCGGACCTGAAACTGCCTCTGCCGAACGATGCCTCGCAAATCTATGGGTCTGACTTGGATTTGGATGATGAGTCGAGCGAAGGGCCGGAAGATGATATCTGGGATGTTGAGAGCGACCTCGATGAGAGCCCTGCAAGTGATGAACTTAATGACACTGCCAATGGCCTCAGAACTCCGGATCTTGTCCAAGAAGGTGTCTTTAATCGGACATGGCTGAAGAGGAAGTGCTCAAACTACTCGGCCACAAGATCTGGCATGAACGCCTCTGATCTTGAACTTCAAATCACTGCATTGCTTGCCTCAGACAGCTCTGATGATGAGTTGCAAATGTCATTGGCCGACATAATTGGCTTTGATGATCTCGACTTTGTTATTGAGCTCATCTCTCATCGCAAGTCCATTTTGAGCGGTCCTACTGCTACCACCCGACAGACAGATGGGTTATTCGGTGGCCTTCAGACCCGTCAGGAACGAGAATCCACGTTACAGCAACAGGATCACGAACATAAGCACGCAACGCTCGCCCCTGCTTATGACAGATCTGGTCCGAGGTATCCTCATGTCTACAAGTCTGATGCAGCTGCGGCCGGCAACATCCTCGATTCGTCTGGGCGAAGATTTGCATTTCCCGTTGGCACCACCAGATCTGAGCATGCAAAATATGAGGAATACTCAATCCCTGCTGCAAAGGTTGGTTCACTAGCTGTGGGACAGAAATTGGTTGCCATCTCAGACATGGATGGTCTCTGTCAAAACACATTCAATGGTTACAAGAGCCTCAATCGCATGCAGAGCTTGTTATACCCTGTTGCATACACGACTTCGGAAAACATGCTCATTTGTGCACCTACTGGTGCTGGTAAGACAGATGCTGCAATGCTTACCATTTTGCATTGTATCTCCAAGAATGTCATCCCGAATCCTATTGACGAGCCAGATGCTAAAGATTTCGTCATCATGACGGATGATTTCAAGATCATTTATGTTGCTCCAATGAAGGCCCTTGCAGCCGAAGTCACTGACAAATTAGGACGCCGATTGGCCTGGCTGGGAATTCAAGTCAGAGAATTGACTGGTGATATGCAGTTGACCAAGAAAGAGATTGCTGCCACTCAAGTCATCGTTACTACCCCCGAGAAATGGGACGTCGTCACCAGAAAGAGCACTGGAGATACCGAACTGGTGCAGAAAGTCCGACTCCTCATCATTGATGAGGTCCATATGCTGCATGATGAACGTGGTGCAGTTATTGAGTCTTTGGTGGCTAGGACTGAACGACAGGTTGAAAGCACCCAATCTTTGATCCGAATCGTCGGACTTTCTGCAACACTTCCCAATTATGTCGATGTTGCGGACTTTCTCAAGGTCAATCGTATGACCGGCCTTTTTTATTTTGACGCCTCTTTCCGACCAGTTCCACTCGAACAACACTTCATTGGTGTCAAAGGCAAACCTGGAAGCAAAACATCACGTGAGAATATCGATGCCACAACATTCGAAAAGTTGAAAGAGCTTCTTCAACAGGACAAGCAAGTTATGGTTTTCGTCCATTCGAGAAAAGACACGGTTTTGACTGCTCGAACACTTTACTCCATGGCAGTCGATGACGGGTGTGCAGAGCTTTTCCAACCTGAGCCAGATGACCCAGCCTATCTGCGAGCTATGTCTGACCTTAAGACAACTCGTGGTAGAGAGCTCCGAGATATTGTTCCAAAAGGTTTTGGCTGTCATAATGCCGGCATGGCTCGCTCAGATCGCAATTTCGTGGAGAGAATCTTTGCTGAAGGTGGTATAAAAGTTCTTTGCTGTACTGCAACACTAGCATGGGGTGTCAACTTGCCTGCTGCTGCTGTCGTGATCAAGGGAACTCAATTATACAGCGCTGAAGCGGGCAAGTTCATTGATCTTGGGATACTTGACGTCCTACAGATCTTTGGTCGTGCTGGTCGCCCTCAATTCCAAGACAGTGGCATCGGCTTTATCTGTACCACTCAAGACAAATTACAGCACTATTTGAGTGCCGTCACTCAGCAACAGCCTATCGAGTCAAAATTCTCTCAGAGACTTGTTGATAATTTGAATGCAGAGATCAGTCTCGGGACTGTAACATCAGTTCCAGAAGCGATCACCTGGCTGGGTTATTCCTACCTCTTTGTCCGTATGCGCCGCAACCCACAAGCTTACGGCATCGATTGGAATGAGTACCAGGATGACCCTCAATTGGGCCAGCGAAGACGTAAGCTCATTGTGGACGCCGCAAGAACCTTGCATAGAAACCAGATGATCATTTTCAATGAACGTACAGATGAGCTCCGTGCTAAAGATGTGGGTCGTATTGCAAGTCAATTTTATGTTCTTCACAGCAGTATTGAAATCTTCAATACCATGATGCGCCCTCAAGCTAGTGAAGCAGACATTCTCAAGATGATCAGCATGAGTGGAGAGTTCGACAACATTCAATCAAGAGACAATGAAGCACAGGAGCTCAACCGCTTGAGACAGGAGTCTGTTGTGACCGAGATTGAAGATCGAAAGACTGGCCCTCAAAGCTCACAAGACGAAAAGGAACAAAAGATCATTGAGAACCATGCCAAAACCAATATTCTTCTTCAATCATACATATCCAGAGCGAAATTGGAAGACTTTGCATTAGTCTCAGATTTGGCCTATGTCGCACAAAATGCAGCAAGAATTTGCCGAGCCCTATTTATGATCGCCCTTAACAGGGGCTGGGGATACCAATGTCAAGTCCTGCTATCCATGTGCAAAGCTATCGAAAAGCAGATTTGGCCCTTTGAGCACCCTTTTCATCAATTCGACCTTCCCATGCCTGTCCTAAAGAATCTTGACGAAAAGGCGCCTTCGTCAAACATTGAAAGTTTACGAGAGATGGAACCCGCGGAGATCGGAAGTCTGGTACATAACCAGAAAATGGGCAACACAATATCAAGGCTACTTGATAATTTCCCCCTACTGACAGTTGAGGCTGAAATTGCTCCTCTAAATCGGGATGTGCTGAGGATGAAGCTGTTCCTATACCCTGAATTTGTCTGGAACGATCGCCATCATGGTACATCGGAATCGTACTGGGTTTGGGTTGAGAACTCCGACAACTCGGAGATCTATCACCATGACTACTTCATTCTCAGCAGAAAGAAGATGCATGATAATCACGAACTCAATTTCACCATTCCGTTGGCTGATCCTCTTCCGTCGCAAATATATGTCCGAGTCATCTCTGATCGCTGGTTAGGAGCAGAAACAATTCAGCCGGTTTCCTTTCAGCATCTTATTCGACCGGATACCGAGAGTATCTATACTGATCTTCTTGATCTACAGCCGTTGCCGATTTCGGCACTCAAGAATTCACTGCTAGAGGAGTTGTATGGTCAACGGTTCCAATTTTTCAATCCCATGCAGACTCAAATCTTCCACACTCTTTATCACACATCAAACAATGTACTTTTGGGATCTCCTACTGGATCAGGCAAAACTGTAGCCGCAGAACTGGCCATGTGGTGGGCTTTCAGAGAAAGACCAGGCAGTAAAGTGGTGTATATTGCACCAATGAAGGCGCTTGTACGTGAAAGGGTACAAGATTGGCGCAAGCGCCTTGTCGGGCCTATGGGATTGAAACTCGTTGAGTTGACCGGTGACAACACCCCTGACACTCGAACCATACGTGATGCAGATATCATCATCACCACCCCAGAGAAGTGGGACGGTATTTCTAGATCATGGCAAACGAGAGGTTATGTCCGCCAAGTGTCCTTGGTCATCATTGATGAGATCCATCTGTTAGGCGGTGACCGGGGTCCTATTCTGGAGATTATTGTTTCGCGGATGAACTACATTGCGGCCCAAGCTGAAGCTGGATCTATCCGTCTGGTAGGGATGTCTACGGCTTGTGCTAATGCGTCGGATCTGGGCAACTGGCTAGGCGTCAAACCAGGCAATAATCAAGGTTTGTTCAATTTCCGCCATAGTGTTCGCCCAGTGCCGTTGGAGATCTACATTGATGGGTTCCCAGAACAAAGAGGTTTCTGTCCTCTCATGCAGAGCATGAACCGACCAACCTATCTCGCGATAAAGAACCATAGCCCAGAGAAGCCGGTCATCGTTTTCGTTGCATCTAGACGACAAACTCGTCTCACGGCCAAAGATCTGATCAATTTCTGTGGAATGGAGGAGGACCCGCGACGCTTCTTACATTTCGACTCAGAGGATGATCTAGCGCATACACTTTCAGCGGTCAAAGATGAGGCTTTGAAGGAGGCATTGAGTTTCGGTATTGGATTGCATCATGCTGGTTTGGTTGAATCTGACAGAACCATGTCCGAGCAATTGTTTGCAGCAAATAAGATTCAGATTCTCGTTGCTACGTCAACTCTAGCCTGGGGCGTTAACTTACCGGCTCACCTTGTGGTTGTCAAGGGTACACAGTTCTTCGATGCCAAGATCGAAGGCTACAAGGACATGGATTTGACTGACGTGTTGCAAATGTTGGGTCGTGCTGGTCGACCGCAATTCGACACCTCCGGAATTGCACGAATCTTTACTCAGGACGCTAAGAAGGCATTCTACAAGCATTTCCTACATACAGGCTTCCCAGTCGAAAGCACACTTCACAAGGTCCTGGACAACCATTTAGGAGCCGAAGTCTCCGCGGGAGTCATTACCACCAAGCAGGATGCGCTCGACTATTTGACCTGGACATTCTTTTTCCGTCGTTTGCACAAGAACCCGACCTACTATGGACTTGATATATCTGCAGAGGATGATAAAGAGAGCCACCTCGCCGCTCAACAGCTGGCTGCAGAATACATGATCACCCTCGTCGACAAATCGCTTGATGATCTGGCCGAGAGCGATTGTGTCCTGGTACACAGTAACGGAGACGTTGACAGTACGCCGTTCGGCAAGATCATGTCGTACTACTACCTCTCTCATTTGACGATCCGCAAATTCCTCTTTAAGGCTCGGAAGACCATGATCACCACGTTTGCCGACGCGTTGGCGTGGATCAGCTCAGCAACCGAATTCGATGATCTACCGGTTCGACACAACGAAGATCTGATAAACGCGGAGCTCGCAAAGAATTTACCACTGGATACAGTAGGACTCCTGGACGGCATGCCCTTGTGGGATCCACACGTGAAGGCCTTCCTCCTCATTCAAGCATTCATGTCGAGAATCGATCTCCCTATCAGCGACTATGTAGGCGACCAGACCAGTGTCCTTGACCAAGGCATCCGTATTATCCAGGCCGGCATCGACGTCATGACGGAGTTGAACAAATATGACGCGGTGGTCCAGATGGTCAAGCTACTGCAGTGCATCAAATCAGCTCGCTGGCCCGAAGACTATCCCCTCAGCATCCTACCAGGCGTGAATGAGATCTTCGACCCAGCGCTTATAGACAAAGTCCCCAGGGACCTTGTAACCACAGCTGTACTAGCTCATCGACATGGCCCTAAAACTATGGACGGCCTCATGAACGTCTTGGGCGTCAAATCCGCCAGCACCAGATCGCAATTCCTCAAAGCAGTGAATGCTCTCCCTGACCTCACCTTGACCGCCACCGGCAACACAGAAAACCTCCAACTGACCATCAAACGAGGAAACCGGCTGAATAACGCGGAAGCGCGCATCTTCGCTCCCAAATTCCCTAAACCGCAAACCGAAGGATATTTCGTGCTTGCATTGCCTGCTAGTGCGACAGCCGAGGCGAGGAACCAGGATGTCCTCGCTTTGAAGCGAGCTAATTGGTCGACTACTAAGTCTGGTGGTGGCAATAGGGTCACCGGTGTCAGTAACGTCAAGCTGAAGTTGCCGGTTTCTGGTGTGCTGGAGGGAGGCGAAGTGAAAGTTGACATCATTGTCTTCAGTGATGCGTATCCCGGGATGGAGTGGAGATTGGAGAATGTCGCTGTTGCTGTTGCGAAGCCGAAGATTGTGCATGCGATGGAGTTGAAAGGCGTTGTTGATGAGAGTTTGTTGAAGAAGGGGAAGGAAAAGGAGAAGGATACGAAAAGTCAATAGGATCGCAAATGTTCGAAGAAAGAATCAAGATATTAGTAAGATAGATCCATGAAGAATATGAAGACGGAGACCGTTGAAGAACCATGGTATGCCGGACCATAGTCCGCTTATATTTTCATCTTCATATCTGATTAATTCCTCCTTTTACAGTTCTTCCTACGACCCCCTTTTGTTATAACACAAATCATACCTTTTCATGACTTGATTCCCAACTCCCTCAAAATACTTTCGTTATCCTCTCCAATCTTTGGGATCCTCTCCATCCTCGCCTCAACATCCGCACTCAACCCTGGAGGGAGGAAAGCCTTTATCTTCCCCACCTCACTATCGACCTCTCGCAGACGATCCCTCGCCTTCAGCTGGGGGTGATTCCAAACATCCTGCATATCGTTGACCTTTGCATTCGCAATCCCAGCATCCTCCAGCAACTGTGTGACCTCGTCCGCGGAATACGCCTGGAAGATACCCGTGATGATCGCCTCCAGCTCATCGCGGTTCTCACTCCTAGAGGCCGTGTCTTGGAACTTCGGGTTCGTCGTGAGGTCCTCTCGCTGCAGGACCTGCGTCGCGAGGATTTTCCACTCGCGCTCATTCTGTACGCCGAGCATGACCTTGCCGTCGCCGCCGGTCCCGAACGGTCCGTATGGGTATATCGCGGCATGGCTTGCTCCCGCACGTTTCGCCCGCGGCTGGCCCTCGTAAGCGTAGTATAGCGGGAAATTCATCCACTCGACCAGACTCTCCAACATGGAGACGTCAATCTCACATCCCTTCCCGGTCTTCTGCCGCTGCAGGACCGCGGCCATAATGCAGCTGTAGGCATACATTCCCGCCGAGATATCTGCAATCGAGCACCCCACCTTGGCCATCTGCTCCTCTGTGCCTGTGATATTCAGCAATCCGGCCTCCGCCTGGATGAGCAGGTCATACGCCTTCTTATGAGTATACGGGCCCTGGTTCCCATATCCCGAGATACTCGTATAGATTAGCCGATCTCCCCTCCCCTCCCCAGGATACGCGTCATTCATCAGCTTCTTCACATCCTCATACCCCAGCCCCATCTTCGCCGCATCCCCCGGCCGCAGATTCTGCACGAATATGTCAGCTTTCTCCGTCACGACCTTCTTGAGGATGTCCATGTCCTTGGGGTCTTTGATGTCCAAGGCGAGAGACTGTTTGTTTCGGTTGATCCACACGAAGTGCGAGCAGAGCTTGCCGCGCACGCGCTTGTCGTGGTGACGCACAAAATCGCCGATTCCGGGACGCTCGATTTTGATGACTCGCGCACCGAGGTCCGATAGGTGGCGCGTTGCAAGGGGCATGGAGATGACTTGCTCCAAGGCGACGACTGTGATGTCGGACAGGGGCCGGGCATGAGGCGGGTTGAATATGAAGTCTTCTTGGGAAGAAGATGTTGAGCGCAGTGGTCTTGATGTGGTGTAGCTGCGGTGTAGGGGTGGTGGCAGGGAAGAGCGGTGGAGCTGCAATGGTCTTGATATGCTCCCTCTCTGTGGGCTCTGGGTAATGGTGGGAGAACAGTAAGTGGACGTCATGTGCCTTGTCGGGGCCCTTATTGCTGGGGATAGGGCCCAAGATGACTTAAACAGTACGCCGGCGCATGCTGATCTCGTCGCCATTACGACGCAGCTGACTGCCGCTCTCTCCTAGCAGTCTTCTTTCTTGGATCGGTTTTCTCCGCCAGGTAGAATATGAACTCCTCGAGGAAGGAACTCAGCGCCCTAAACAATCACGTCGCTATTGCCGAGTGGCTCGAAGCGCTTGCTACTTCGATCTTCAACGTAAGTGCCTGGACGAGTCTTAAGGTGGACAAGCAGCAAGGTAAGAAAATCACCAACGTCAGGTTTCGTGTGGTCTTCCCGGGCAGATTCAAAAATCCATCAGTACCTCCCTCTACCGTTACACCCGTCGCGAAGGCCAATCGCTTTAACAACGACTTATAAATATGGCGGCCAGCATGGGCTTGACTTGGAGTAAGTGTGGTACTCCATACGGAGGTGCTCCGTACCGATGTCGGCTCAAGATCCCGGTATGATATCTTGTTTCACCCCGCATTCCCCGCACGAGGCCGCGCGCGGAGCTGAGCTAGCCTTGTTCCATTGCACTAGGGGAAGGGGCAAGCCGAGGTGCATAGGGGCAGGTGCGTGCCTCCATCAATGGCTCTGTGATTATTGATGCCAAGCGATTATAAAGACCGTGGTCTACAATATCGCTTCGACGCATCCGAACTAGCTCCGAGAGCTGTTCGAACGCTATCCGAAGCGAACCCGGAGCGCCCAGGCGCTAGTCTAGTACGTACTTAGGATACTATATAGTCTGACGAGTCCCTCGTACCGTCTTAGGAAGGATCATGTCCCCTTCCCATCACAGCTCTGCAACCCCTGTTAAAGGGGCTGTCGCCGAATCTGCTGGACTTGGGCAGACGTCAAAGTAAAACACGGTGGAGCAATCTGACAACCTATGAAGCAAGAGGCAAAACACAAGGCTGTTGCGGCGCAAGGAGCACTAAGTGTGACCAATCACGATAAACTTACCGGCGATTCTCTTTGTTATCGACTCGAATTCGGAGTAAAACAAGGACGCAAGCCTACAGCGGGCGATACTATCAATCATCTTCATAGCGAGCCATCAGCTCGAACTTTTAACTAAAGATCGGACACTATCTTCGCATCATCTAGCCTAGGCTCTACTTAGTCGAATTCAACATTAAGACGGTACTACTGGGGATTAACTTAGAACGCCTGCCTTATCGTCTTACCGCACATCTTCTCCCAAAGTAATCGCCACAGTCTCGTTAAGAAGAAGCTATAAGAAAGTTCAACGGATCCTTGAATAACGCAATCCGGAGCTGACGGCTGGGTAAGGATACTGTAATAGTGAGAGTCTAAAAGCTGGGTCATGTGGATGGTGATTCCTCCCAGGGTTGTGGAGAAATGGGAGCACTATTCGGTGTCTTCAGTATAGCACGGATCAGGCTGCCATTCGTTTCATCAACTAGCTCATGCAATACTGAAAGCATGCCAAGTCATCATTCTCTACATATGGCACTCGACATTCTGCGATAGTCATACGCAAACAGCGGACGTCTTCTTATCTGTGCGATCCGCTTTCCACTTCCAAGAAAGCGATGGCTTTCCGATAGACCAGCATCTAAATATCCTTCTCTGCCTTGTAGTGCGGTTGATACTCTCGCTCGAATTCCATGGTTAACCAGCACCTGGTTGGCCAGAGATATTACCCCTGGTCCATGCAGGTCTTTCTTCTGGCGCGGCATCTGCCCCAGGGTTTGTGCCTGGATCTTTGCCACCCGGAGGTGGGATTGGATCACTGGTATCCCAACCCACTGTACCTAGATACGGGCCTCGAGGTTCCTGACCCCACTCTATCACGTAGACGCCTTTGACTTCTGGTGGGATTGCCGCCTCGTGGCTAAGCGAACGGTGGGCCCCGAGGTTGGAAGGAGGTGGTGCATGCGCTAGCTCCCACTGTCCTCCGGCCGATTTGGCTACCGCAAAGATGAGTCGATTCACCAGCTTTTTGCTTGGATCGACTGGGGGTACCTGGCTGGCGAGGTAGATCCGGACCTCGACAACCTGATTAGAATTCGGCAACTTCGACGTCGTGAGGTAATAATTAAGAGTGCCTTTTCCTTGGCAGTACATATCAATGAATTTTTTGGCGCCGTTTCCCGTGTCCGACAAATAAGTGACGATTTGCTTTTGAATGTTGACAATGTTGTCCGTCCAAATCTGCACGATCGCTTTCACTTCAACGCTTGCGTCGGTCCACAGCGAGGATATTCCGGTTGTCCTGACCGCGAGTTCAGGGAGATAAACCTTCAACATTGAACTGCTCAGTCGACAATGAGCTTCTTTCGGGTGCATTTCAGCCTTTTCTATCCGTTCTTGGGGGTCTAGAAGCTTGTCATCAAGACCGCCCCAATAATCGTCGTAATCTCGTTTGTATTTGACCCTGAATTTTGCATCCTTGTCCTCGGTGATGGGCATCCTCCCCTTTAGGTCGATAATATGAGAGGGCATCGTGTCTGGCTCTTATTGCTCCAAGAAAATCGGTCTACAGAAGCTCACTCTAAGTGGCTGAGATATGAATAGAGCAAAAACGTATCCCGGATTGTAGACGATGTCAAAGTTTTACGACTGAAAGGTATAACATATATACATAGTACAGGTACATGACGATCGGCATGGCCCAACACCTGGCTCAATGCACCAAGTGCACCCCTATCCCACCCGATGAGACTCACTGGCACCTGACTATCGCCCAGAAACTCATCGAGATGAGACACTTGCCAAAGCCAGTAACCAGACCCGCGGAGAGCGACAGAAACCAGCAGCACCTCAAAACTCTCAGCCGCACGAATATGCAGGAGCTTGTCGCTAAGCTGCATGGCGTTTCTCGAGATCTGATTGCTCGCTGGGATTGAGACTGCGTTTCGGCAAAACATCAATATTATTTGTCTGACATTAGTTTACATGTATTCCCTGATCATCACCGCTGTTGTGATCCTCCGCTTGTTCTTCAATTCATCAGTTAGCCAACTCCCGAGGCAGTTTCCATAGAGCGGCCTTGAATGTCAATACCACATCTGTACACATGAGAACGCTTCTCTTCGCCTACAAGCAATGACCCCAACAGTTGTATCTGTCAATCGACCGGTATCACTAGGTAAAATATAATTGCTTGCTCCGATCGCAGTAAAATCACGGGCAGAAATCATATCAACACTGTTACCCCTGGCCGGAGCCTGGACTGATGATATGCAGTGAATGCCCTTTCCCATCCTGTAAAGCACTCAATCGGCCATGTGTCCTGTCGAATATACAACGTTCCACTCTTGAGAACTCCAGGCATTGGGTCTTCCCGGAAGAGATCATCCCCGATTTTAACTTTAGCACCCTGGTCCATTGGCCCATATTTTCGTATAGGTCTCGGGAGAAGTGATCAGTTTTGTGCCGTAGATAGCAGCATAAATCGCTGTATCTCCACCACTTCGATGAGGTTCCTTGATGATGGTGATATAGTCCTCCAGTTTGACCTGGAAAGCCTCATCTATCACATGGACACCTTGATTGTCCTTTGTGATGAGCAATGCGATGTCTGAGCCTTCGTACTGGAAGAGCATTGTGAACACTTTGAGTACGCCGGGTTTTGGGTCGTCACCACGGCAGAAGTTCCGCACCAGGTTATCGGTGTCAATTCTGAGAGTCTGGGTAGCTTGTTGAATCATGGCTTTCGCTTCTAGAAGGACGCGCCGACCTGCATAAAGATGGCCCAAGGATCGATAGTCTCTTGGGCTGTGATATAACGGCTGGGAAGCTTTGAAGTCGTGTATTGACGAGCTCAAGCTGAGCCTTGACGTCCTCATCCATAGGCCCGACGTAGCCGTCGAAAATTTCATCCCTAATCATGATCACCTCGTCAACCAGACGGCTATCGACCAGGCACCGATGACAAAGTTCGAGGATTAGCTGTGCAAACTCCACTTTCGTATCAGTGAAAGCAGTCGACATGTCAGTGGCGTCGTACAGCTTTTTCATGATCAGCGTCATGTCGGATGAAAGGCGCTTCAGCTGCATTGCTTGATCTTGAACTTCTTGAGCCCGCATAACGGCCAGGTCTAAGATCTGCTCCTGCGGAGGAATGCCGGCGAGAACCTGGCGGAGGAATTTTTCGTGCTGATCGGTTTGGGATTTGCTCACGAGCAACTCATTTAAGCGCTTATGGGTCGCTAGGACCGTGTCGTAGGTCTCTTTGCTTTTGGATTCTAGCAGCTGGATGGCGTCTTTCGTGGCGCCGAAGAAATCCCACTGTCGAGCTGCCTTGGTGTCTGCCATTTTTTGCATTACCTCTTGCGTCATGCCGATTTGCCTCTCAAGCTCTCTCTTCGCATCGGCGGTCAAGTTTTCTTTCCCTTTCGCTTCAGATGCCAGTTGATCCGCCCTCCCCTGGAAGTCTCTGGTCAGATCTTGGGCGATCTTTTTCAACTCTGCTATGGTATTGTGCCTAAGTTCAACAATCTGGGAGATTGTTAGTATGGGGTCTGGGGAAAATGGAAGGAAATACGGCATTCCTGGCTTTGGACATCCATCAGACTCTGTAAACCTTGCTCGGCGTTGAACTGGGCCACCTCAAGGAACTGAACTGAAGACTTCAGCAGAGCCACCCGTTTCTCGCGGCCGTAAGGTTCCTTTGGATCAACTTTCCCTCTTATGGTTACAGCTACTTTGTAAACAGGACGTCCCATAGCCGATTCGAGAGCACTTATCGTGGAATGGGCGGATTCTTTTGCAATGGAATCCATTAGCAAAGCCCGCTGTTCGAGCCGGTCTCTAGCTATGTCCGTCTTGTTTGAAAGTTGCGCAAGGGCAACGAAATCTGCTTTTTGCATTGCCATTTTGGGATTTTAGCTTGTTGACGATAGTTTTGTGAGTTAGGGAACAATCTTTGCTGGCTGAAGTCACTGGGAGTGTTGCCAATCAGCTAGTGAAGATGCGGGAGGCATGATCAAGGCGCCGACGTCGATGATCTTCTCATGCATCTTGACGATCTCAAAGAAGTTGCTGAAAACTGCCTTCGGCATGCACTTAGGATCGATGAGAGATTTCAAAATTGGCTCCTCTTTGTTATGGAGTTGCACAGCGCCTGCGAGGAGCAGGCTTCTTCTACCGGAGAACAGCTTTTGCTCCGCTACGATCAATGCAGTGGCCGAGAAAACTCGCCTCGACTACACCAAACTGGCGGTGGATAGCGCCAAAGATGCTACAGACACCTTGAAGAAAGAACTTGATGTTACTTCCAGCGCATTCCAAAAGGCAGCAAGTGATTTTCCTGACGGGTGAGCACAATCCGACAAACCTCTGTTTCATTTCTAATTCAAACTAGATGGGACCTAATTGGCCAGCAAATTGTCGCTGGACTTGCAGACACATTCAATCAAGTTGTTTCTAAAGCTGTCCCACTCCTGATGGCATCAATGTCTCCCATGGGAAAGCTTGACTTTCTTACAGGTGAGCTTGGCGAAACCGCCACAGGGCTGCGATCGGCCATTGAGGGAAATGGTTCTACTAGCAACTCCGATCCCAAGAACAACAATATGGCTCCTCGACCACGACAACATCCAACTACTCCTGGAACCCCTTTCATGACGGACCCAGCTTATTCGCAGGTCAATAAGGACATCACGTTTTTTGAAATGCTTCAAGTCCTGTTGACCTCCGGGAAGGAGGGAGGCGTCAATTGGGAGAAGGCAAAGGGCGACGTGAACAATGCGAGAAGTTCAGCTGGTTTTCTGAAATCTATGTTGAATCATTCCAAGGAGTCATTCTCAAAGCTTGCCACCACGAGCGAGACTAGTTCGACATATCACGGGATTCTGAATGATATGGCCAAGGTAACCGAGAACTTTTCCCGAAACAAAGAATCAATGATGCTCACTTCGTTAGATTACTATCGAGCTAAATGAAGAGGTGGTCAAGGGACGAACAGCGGGCAATACTTTTCCCAAGGCAGGTGATCTCGTGGTATCTGGATGGCAGGACAAGTTTACCAAGGCCTTTATTGACGCTTCGTCCATTTACGCTACAGCAAAGTCCATACCCGGTAACTCACCAAACGGGGTATGCTTTCAGAACAGTGCTCTACCGGCTCCATGCTGACGACTTGCAGTTTCCAATGGTCTCACTACAAGCCGTAGAGATCGGCTCGGTCGATGCAAAATCAGATCATGCAAAGACAATGGTCGATGCTGCCAAGTTCCAACTGAACGCCACCCAACAAGCGTATCTTGCCACTCAAGCAAATTACCAGGCAAGCACAGAGATGCTTGCACAGCAGCAGAATCGAATGGCCGAAATTCAGGCAAACCTCTCCAAGCTCAAGGCATCAACAGCCAACCTGGTATGTTTCCCAATCTCCGAATTGGTGTATGCTTCGTCTGACCGCTCACGAAAAATAGGAAACAACCCTTAAAATTTTCCAAGAGAGTGTTTCTCTCATCATCAACATGAAGAGTGATATCTCTAACCTCGTCTTGTTCTTTAAAGGCCTGTCGACTCTGATTGAGGTAGTCGTCACCGGAGACGTGCGAAGATTCGTTAAGCACCTCAAGGGCAAGTTTGGGGGCGATGGGGACGACGACGGCATTGATCCCAATGCCAAAATCGGCGACTTTACAATTGCAGACGCTCAATGCGAAGTATGTACCCAACCTTGTTTTGGGGATCACAGAAACGCCACTAAAATGAGAGCTTTAGTTCCTTTACCGCACGGCCGTTATCATTCGGGGATATTTCTCCCTCTTCGCGGATGTGGCAGATATGTGGGTTGAGCTCTCGGTGGAGAATATTACTCCGGGCATAAACCTCATCGAAGAACTTGGAAGATATGCAAATAACCCAGAGCAATTGGACAGCAAAGTTGCAGAATTGACCGCTTGGACAGATAAAGCTTGCGGTGCTATCGAGGCCAAGGCCGGCGAGGTAAGTACTAAGTTCCAGGACATTTCTGCTCAATCCCCTTGTAGTCCATGGTTGATGCTATGCTGATTGACCGACTTGGTTCAGGCATACAACCAAATGATCGACCAAATGGATGTCCGCTTCAAAAAAATCGCCGCTGTCACACAACAGCTGCCTCCTCCAACGACGGTCCGAGCAATCATGTCAGGTTCAGTAAATGACGCCACCCTCGCGAAGAACGCGAATGACGTGAAGGAAGCCATGGAAAGGGGGGTGGAGAAGGTTAAGGAGGCAGCGAAGTTGAGCCTTGAGCGTAAGAAGGATCTGCTTGATTAGTTTCCGCGGATTCACCTACGAGTGTTGACAAGTAGTTTAGCGACTAGTGATACATCAGCTTAATCAGGAATTTGTGGCCTACAGCATCGCTCCCGTCTCCAGTTTCAAAGTTCCCTTGGAGGTATCATGTGTCCTAGTCTGTGAAACGTTGAAACCTCAAAGCATGTTACCACAACCTTGTGTCTCGTCCACATCTTCAATGCAAGCGGTTCTTGGGCCTCAGCCTCCAGCCTCTGGAATTCCCGAATCTTGAGGTCACACACATTGTCGTACTCGAACCTTTTGTCGACGGAAGAGCTTGGTGAATATCTTCCGGAGGTACTGATAGCCTGGCAGGTTATTATCACGTAAACTATGCACACAATTTATGTAGCCTGCGAACTCTTACTGTAGGCCTGTATAGAGCTCGCTAGAAATGGTGGCCTACTTCATCTTCAAAATAAGCAGATATGTAGAATGTCGCTTAGCCTTGAGGCTTTGCCAGGGGAGTTTCCGACGCATGAAACACGCTGGTGATGTCATTTGAACATATTTCCGTGCTTGCAGAATACCTCCAGACTGTTGCTCTTGAGTTTTGAATATTGGAGAGAGGTGGCACAAGAGGATTGTGAAAATACTGGATGAGGTGGCTGTGCTTTCATGCTTGATGCACCATCCCAACGCTCCTTCATGGCGCATCCGCTTCGAAGGCACTTCGATTGCATTCTGTAAAGTCTGAACTTGGTTGTTAGAAGGGCAAGTCCCTCGACCCGTCACTGTATCGTCCAACGGCGTGAGATCTGCTGCAGCGGAGCGTTGTGGGGTCAAGGGAGAGGTAGTGCGAGATGATTGCCCGGTGGTAGCTTCGTGGCTATCAGGTGGCATGGGATCTGGCCGCAGGCGCTTGACCGGTGTGACCTCATTGCGAGCCATTTCATCTTGAGAAGTGTCCTCACCGACAATCAATGGTGACAATGAGGTACGGCTGTCCGAGAAAGTAGTAGTCGAGCTGGAGATAGGCATCTTACGAGCCCTATCATTGGCTTGCTCAATAAAGCCGTCTCGATATGTCATTGCCAGGTCTCGGTTATCGCGGTAACGTGTAGCTCCTCTCACGAATGTGTCCTTATCGCTGGTCAATGCATATGCCTTCAATTGGCGCATGTGATACTCGGGGTTGCCTCCAGGAACTGTAGGTGCTGTGAGATGGGTGGTTTGGGCAAGGTCGCGCCTGATCGCGCCATCCTCCTCACCACGCATTCGATGGAAGAAGCCGACATCCTCTGGTTGAATGTCATTGTTGTGGTTGTGCAATCGAAATTTCTCGTCGTGTGGTAGGGGAAAAGTGCGCCGCTTGGGGTGAACTACGTTATCCCTGTTGCATATGTATGTCAAGGCTAGAGCGCGGAAGCTTGACACCGTGGCAGCCAGTGTAGATTCTTCTTCACAATGCCGACTCCATTATCCAGCACTCTTGATGGTCAAACTGTAAGGACCAGAATTGCCACAAACAGCACTGACCATGTCTAGGATGCGGAGCTCGTTTTCGGGACTTTGTTTGTTGGCGCGGTAGAGGTCCCGGAGATGACTGTTGTTGTGGTGAGCCCCGAGGACCGATTCCCCAACGTCACTAGAGGGTTCGACCATGCCGCTGGAGGTGCCTTCGAAGGACACGGAGGTGGCAGTGATGAACCTTGCGGTCAGCTCAACGACGGCAGGTGTCGGAAGTGGGGTCGACGAACATAATTGTAAGGCACCTTCGTCTGTAAACAGTGTCTTGTATGTTTCCCCCACCCGACCGATCGGTCTGAAAGAAGAGTTGAACACCATGCCTTCCAGGTCTGGCCGGCGCTGTGTGTCGGGGTCGTAAAAATTGACTCTTGTGACCAGTGGTCCACCATCACCACTACGCTGGAATCGGTCGAGCAGGTGGGGTTACCAGAGCAATCTTCGGTGGGCAACGTTCCGTTCCACTGAAATCTGTTTGGAAATATATAGAACTGAGTTGGCAAGGCTCTGCAAGGAAGGGTGTTAGTAATAATTAAGCCCGAGAATTCTCAGCCCAACGGACACTTACATCTCTGTTGTCAGCACCTCGCTCATTCGAGTATACGTCACTTCGGTTGAACACGACTGCGCACTATTTGGGGAAGGAGGCCTCATAATTGCAATAAAGTTCCGTCTAGCAAGGAGTGGGTCGACTGTGGGTGCATTGATCGCCGGTGCGTTTGAAACCCCTTTTTAACCGAATGGCCCTCATGGATTCAGGTCTCTACGTGTGTACTCAAGGTGTGCATGAGAAGGTGGGTACAACAGACATCGAACCCACGGAAGTTACGACGACGTTCTCGATCCATCGTCGGCACGCTTCAATAGCTACTTCAAGTCTTAACTTTTCTATGCTCTCAGTCGAGCAAGTGGACGAACCTATACAGAACACGGATATTGATATCGATGCTCTCAAAGCGGGTTCCGCATGGCTTTTCAATTTCAGCGTTGCGGGAATACCAGCGCCCGCTTCAATTATCCAGTACTTCTTCGCCACCCAAGATCAGAGGGCAGTCCAATGTTCATATTATTTTGCGTCCTGCAAACGATGGTACACGCTGTTGCGTGGGCCGTCCTGGCGTGAAGCATAACACAATTTCAAACGGAAAGCCACGCGCATGACTACTTGGACGCCAGCGCCGGCTACAAATTGATCAAACGTGTTGAAGAATAAAACGACCGTGATTTCCAAACTTGAGCCGATTATCGAGCTTCAGTCAATCAGTTCATCGGCGGCAGCACCTGACCACGAGGATACACTTTAACCGGGTGAATCTGAGATTGCTCCCACAGCTTTAAGCCGATCATGAACCGCTTAGAAGCAGTCGATAATTCCATCAAGCCCGCAAGTGGAGAAACACCATTTGGCAAGGCTTCTTCGGTACGGGGATCCGATTCAACCGAACGGTGGGGAGTGCTCGAGTGGTCGTGTTTCTGATCATTTGATTTGCAAGGGAACCTCAAACGTCCTGCTGCTTATAGCTCCTGAGAACGCGACAGTTGCTGTGGAGCTATATAAGTAGTCGCCGGCATATTGAAACCCGCCAAAGACGCTGTCGCGGCCACCTATTCCTAGAGAAACTAGCTCTCTGTTTGCTCGTCAGCCGGTTCTGGTATTGTTGCTTGATTGGATGACGATTATACACTGCCTGCAGAAAGTGGTCTTCACTTCGAGGTGGTAAGGTCAGGATACCTCTTGTAAGATTCACTTTCTATGCGACGATCCCACCCTGCAAACTGCAGCTGTGAGAAGTCAAATATCGATCTTGTTAGTTAAATTCAGAGCTCTTCGTCTAAGAGTCCCTCGTTAGATGTTGCATTCAATTGCCAACCAGCAATGTAAACCTGTGTTCCACCGATGGGATTGTCGCCGATCTTGTACAGACCGACTGAGCTGTAAAAGATGTCTTGGTCGAACGCCCTACTTACGTTTTGTGGGATGAAATGCCCTAGATTTTTCTCCATCAGTTTCTCATACCTTTACTTGTGTGCCAGCTACAACGATACCTTGACATTCGTGATGCAATTTTCTCCACATTTAGAATGGTCCAGGACCATGTCAGAGCACAAGGAATATTCATTCGTTATCGGGGTGAATTCCGGAGTTAGCAGTGCAGTCCTGTACGACGGTGTGCGGGCATCGACAGATATTCCAGTGTATCCGTCTCGTAAACATTGAGCAACTTACAACTGTAGCGATCTTTGTGTTTCGAAAGCGACATTAGTTCAGACTAGGCCTTGACATGGATTGAGTTAACCCGGTCAGTTATGGGCTAGGCTGAGTCTTGACTTTTAGGAACCCAGAACCCGCCGGGCTGGGTTGACTAAGGGCCAGTATTAGTCCCAACCCAACCCATGTCAAGGCCTAGTTCGGACGACAGATGCTCTCTAGTTTAGCGGTCCTCTTGAGAGAGAAATTATGACGGAGATGCATGCTGAAATTGTCTCAATCACCTGTTACGGAAGAGCTGACCATTGTGTGTTGCCTGGGAGAAGAAAACGACTCACCAATAGCCGTGACTCTCCCTCTGCGACGGAAGCCCCCTTCAGAGCTTGCTTCAGCGAATATCCGCAATACCAGGTCCTATTAAGCTCAGATAGCTAATCTTTGGGTAGAATGGCATAGGTCCAGATACTCAATACATACAGTGCAACCCCTCAGTGCCGTTCGCCAGAACGAAATGACCAGCGCTTCTGCTAATGCAGCTCCCAGCAAACCGTTTGATCTCCCTCTGCCGCCGGCTGAATATTGTCGTGATTTTGTGGATTCAAACGGTGAGCTTTCACGCGTGTAATAGAGACCTGGGACGCAGACCTTCTTGGTTCTGCCACGGATACACCAGACGTGCTTTCGAGTTGTGACGGTATAGGTCGTAGTTCTGTACCCTCTTTATTGATCGAAAGGATCCTTTTCAGGTTGCTCGAGGGCGAACCAGGGTTTGAAAATATCCTTCCATCGGATATTCTTGATCCGTTTTGGCTCAAGGGTTCAAGTAGCCTTGGATCCCAGCTGGCATGTCCCGTATAATTAAGGCCGTGGGGAGTGGTAATGCCAATTAACGATGCTCCAAAGAGATGATCAGCGTCAAGCTCCCGAGCCCATTCAGGCATCAAGCTTGATTCGTACAGCCCAAGTTAGCACTCTCGCCACCTTGGAAGAAAAGAATCTGGCCTCCAGGCTTGTAGAAAGTGTCGTGAGGATATATTGTTGCAGGAAAGTCGCGTTTGCATTGGAATAGTTTCCGTCGAACGTCGTGTGGTCGATAGGCTGTGGGAAATATTTGATTCACCCCAGGCAGTTGGAAGGATTACCAGTCGGCACGCTTAAGACTCGCTACATTGCTGCGTCGTCAGTTTGGTCAGCGTAGAGGATGAGTTCTGGGAGGCAGAGGTAAGGACGGTGAGAGCTGCTACAACGATGTTCGCTGCCAACAAGGCGCTTTGAACTATGCTGATAGTGTTTCTCCAAGTTTATGGAGATCAATAAGGCTTTTTGGTTGAATAGGATGTCTTGTATCCTCGAAACCGAAGCTTGATGGGGTGGCTGAGGGCCTCTTTATACGCGTGAATAGCCCTGACTCTAAGCGTTTGATAATAGGAAGTTCGGGCAATGTCTGGGAGTAGCAATCTTACCAAGCAAGAATTCGCTGAGAACTATCCATGCAGGGTGCTTCCCAGCTACCGTACCGATGTATTTTTGCCGTTTTGGGAACAAACGCGCGAGGTTTCCCACACTGCCGTGCAGATCTACAGGGGATGGTAAAGACTCGAGTCTGACTCCAGTATTTTACTATATATAGACTGTTCTTCGATTGATAGTTACATTATCCTTATGTACACCTCTTTCTTTACCTGTAACTTCCGCTGAAATCGAAAGGGTCCTTTTTCTTGCTAGGAGGATTATTATAGTAGAGTGTAATATCTTATTAAGAACCTATAGATCTACTTTTCTATGATTACTGGATAATACAGGGGCTTCTCGAAGAGTAGAGGGTAATTCACGAGTATAAATAGCTATGACTCGGGGTGCGACTGGGACTGGGACTTGAGTCCTGCTACCTCGCCAAGGACTCGGACTCGGGGCTCGATGACTCAGGAGTTAGCAGCGCTGCCGATTTCGCTGCCAAGGTCCAACATTGAGATCCATTTGTACTCATGATAGCCGACGGGGTAAACATTTCAGTATCATCTCTATGGACTTTGGCTTTACTTTGAATCCCTTCCGTTTAGGGAGGAGAAACAAGAAAGAGGTGGCCAACGCATAGAACATGAAATCGTTGGTGAGAGCCGTCATGGGCAATGATGCAGCTTGAAGGCAGCATAACGAGCCAGCATCTCAACGCATTACAATATTCATGAAATTAAGTCACTGTAGAATTCTTATTAGTGATAATGAGTATTCGTAGGAGACGACTTATATGAACAGTTCGGACTCTTTACAAGCACTCTGTGAGTGGTGGGCAAGGGGGTAGAGCAACCTCATCTAGCCATCAATAAATGCGTCCCAACTGACAAGTGATTCATATCCTCGTTGGGGAACCTCGTCCGAATATAGCTCCTTCCTTCTCGGCTGGAGCGTCGATATGAAGGTTGAAAGCCTCGATCGGATCAACGAGAAAGCAGGATGCTATCAGTTACCAGTCAGCCGAGAGGTCTTGTTGAGTTCTTACAGCAATCCTGCGTGTCACCACAACCCAACATATTGAGGGTCTTGGGACGGCTTACCTGCAAGAGCTGCAACAGTGAAACAAGCAGCGGTAATCCACACGCCTCGGAAGGAGTCCACAAAAGACTGAGAAAATGCCTGGACGGCTGCCTGGATGATCTCTTCATTTATACCGGGTACTTGACCAAGCACCTCTGCGCTATGGGCCGAAAGCCCCTCAAGTACCGACGGCAGAGATGAAAGCGGCAATCCTAGAGGGAGCACAGCTCCTGCCACTTTACTGGCCAAAGTGCTGTTCAATTTCGCGCTGAAGACTGCAGAATCTGAGGAATGGTCAGCTATTCTTCGTTTCTAGTTTCTGTTCTTGAGCGTATTCTTACATATCGCCAACCCCACGGCTCCACCCAAACTGCGGGCTGAAACCATCAAGCCGCTGGTACTCGCACTTTTGCACAGCATTAGCACAAAAACGACGAATGGCACCACAGGCTACGACCTGGGACTCACATCAACTCTGGTGGAGCGCTTAATTGGGCTGCGGTGACCAAGCCGCAAAGCGCGAAAGCCATCCCGAGACCAAGAAACACGGGGTATGCCCATATTGCGCTTCGGCTTCCCACCGTTGTGGTTGCCATGCATATATTGAACGTTGTGAAGCAAACAAACGAGAAGACAACCGGAAGCCGGAGCCGTCTATACCGGTAGCAATATAGTGCTACAATCCAGACTGAGGCGATGAACACGATGAAAACAATGCAAAACCTGGACCACAAAGTTAGCCGAAAAGCAGGGTTATCAGAGCCAGGGGATGATCCGGAGAACCTACTGTAGTGATATCCCGATTTTGCTCGTTTCATAGAGGACCTCTACTTGATAAGGCATGAAAGCGTTTGCGGCGAAGTATACGAGTCCCTCACAGAAGATGCAAGCGAGGGCAATGGCGAAATTGCGGTCTCGTGAGAACAAGCCATGGTGGACCAATCCATCTGCCTTGAACTTCCACTCGTATGTGACAAAGGCGGCACTAATTACGGCGCCGATCAGGAGCGGGGCGAGGACATGTGGATCTCTCCAGGAATCTGCCGGGCCATTAGCTAGTGGTTATTGCCAGTGCAGCTTGATTGGCGCGTTCGTATGTACTCACAGGGGTTCTGTGCCCAGAAAAGGGCCATCATGAAGAGAACAAGACCGCACCCAAGAAGTGCGTAGCCGACCCAATCCAAGCGATTGAGTTTTTCCTTGAATGGAAGTTCTGTCTGCAAACTGCGCAGTGGTGGGGTGTAAAAGGCGACAGTGACAGCTGCTGCAACCAGGTATATGGCGGCAGTCATGTACCAATAATTGCGGAACCCACTGGGGTTGCCATTTCCCATCAGTGCCGCCCCAACGAGAAGGCCCGCGACTCCTCCAAGGCCCGACCCAGCATTCACCGCGGCTTGAGCTGCGACTCGATTGCGATGCGTGAGAACTTCAGAAGCCACAGCATGCAGTAAAGGTTGTGCGCCGTATGAAACACCAACAATACACTGTCCAGCAAGTGCCATATCCATCGACGTTGCTCTAGACATGATGATCGATCCGAGCCCACCGCAGAAGGTCGGCACGATAAGGAACCATCGCCGGCCCCAGAAGTCAGCAGCCTGGCTGAAAGGAGGACCGAAAACAACGACCATGATGACATTAACCCCGATTAGCCATGACGACTTTTGGGCGCCACCGATAACTGCAACAATGTCACGGCCGTGAGTTCCCAGACCGACTAAGTTGATCACATGGGCGGCGTAGATAAGCGACACTGCGAAAACTACCAGCCAGGTCTTAGCATGGAAGTGTGGAACGTTTTCCTGCTCCTCAACATCGATCTTTTCATGGTGTGACTCGCTTGGGTCGTTGTGGGTGACATTCTCCGTCAGGCCTTTGTTGCTTGTGATGGTGTCGTTCGTAGACATCTTGAGAAGAGCAGATTTTGGGTCGGTCTGAACAACTCAAAGTTCAAGAAATTGACTAGCGAGCCTTTGACTAGATCTGGTTGGGTCTGTTCAATATAGATATGTCCACGTTTTCAGCTTAAGCAGTCCCATGGTACGGTCTTGGTGGATGTAAATACTCCTAGATCATCGGGCATTTGTAGAACCAAACGTATCTTGTTGAGTTCTGATGGACAAGGACTGCAGACGGGAGTCCCGGACTGGACAACACCATGGGGGAGTAGACGAAAAGATCCAAGACTCTCGGCCCGTTCGTTGCTGTTGCTGGTTCTCCGTCTCGACAAAATATCCTCATACAGGGTATTCGACCTATTTTGCCAATATATTCAAAGCTGCATGTATGAATTAACCAATTGAAGTTTGCTCCTGATCCAATAGAATCATACTTGGTAAGGAGCTGGCAGCGGCGTTTGGCAAGTAAAAGCGAGGCGGGATCTCAGATTGTCGAGCTTGGCGTAGGAAGGAGAAGCGGAGCAAACGGGATGGATTATGGTAACTATGATTGCGCGGGCCGAAGCCTACGGAGGTGGAATTTATTCCTAAGTGTCTAGTAGAAATTTCCTCATAGACTCTAATCTATTTCGGTGTGAGATTGCGAAAATGAGACAACTGGACCAAGCCATCTGATTTAGCTCGCCCTTGACGTCGGAGGGCTTCCTCAAAGCCGCTCCAGTAGCACAATGGATGAATCCTCGTTGATGATTCCGGGCCGTGAGAGTCATAACATTATCACTGCTTTTGCAAGCTTGCGAATGGTTTACGCAGCCCCAAGTTCGCCACGCTCCTCCCACAAACCTAACTCGCCTTGCACTTTGCAGCGGAAAAAAGTAACTCACATTTGCCACCTTTTGGAATGATCAAGAAGTGATCGGTCATAGCCATACTGTCATCGGTGCAGGAGGCAGCCAATTTCACCTTGTAGTCTTTGACCAGTACAGCCGTAGTCAGCTTCAGTTCCATCATGGCAAGGTTCTTGCCTAGACATGCTCTCGGTCCTTTCGAGAATGGCATGAATAGGTCTTTCATATCTTCTGACTCCTGATCTAACCATCGGGTTGGATCAAAATTGTTAGGATTCGGAAAGGTGTCTGGGTCACGATGTGTTGTGTAGCATTGCATCGAGACAATGGTCTGACAAGGTTAGTTTTGGTATTGGCTTCAAAAACAATTGTATTCAGATTACTCACTTTTTCTGGAATGAAATATCCATTGAGCATTTTTCCACCTTTCGGTGTCTCCCGTGGAAGACTGGCGGGGGCGGCTGGATGGAGTCGGAGTGCCTCATGTATAGTAGCATTGAGAATAGGAAGTTGATTCACATTATTGTATGATGGTATGACTCCGTGTTCATTGCTGAGGTGCGTTCGCAGCTCCTTCCGCAGTTGCTCTTGCCAATCAGGGTTCTTCCCAAGCTGCCAGAACATATACGTAAGAGTCATGCTGGTGGTATCTGCATTCCTCAGATTAGCGATGAAGAAGCATATTTCCTGCATGGTTGAAGATAGAATACCAGTTCCAGCTGCCACAAGATTCCCAATCTCTGTGTAGGTTTCCTTGTCTGTAAGCGGCGGAGTGCCAGTCTCTGTTTTTAACGAGACCACCTTCTTCAGCAGGTCTTTCCTGTCAGATTCTCGACCATGTTTAGATAAATAGGAACTTAATGCTTTTTGCCCGTACTTGGAGAAGTTAGCCAGAATCCTCTCAACTTGAAGAGTAAGCGAGGGCATACCACGCCAAGCCTTTCTCGTGATTGAAAGAAATGCCTGAGCTGAGGGATAGGCAAGCGTGAAAGCACTGCATACAACAACGGGGAATTTGCCTCTATTGCGCAACACATGAAATGAAGGTCCATATCGTGAAGGAACTGTGGTGGGTCTTTTGAAGCTAGGCCTCCGAATGCTTGTCCAAGAAACAAGTCTCCTAAACTAAATCTTAAAATGAATCACACAAGATCATGGGCACGTAAAATCATGTTCTTACCAACGATATCGAAAGCCAGCAGCCTGAATAGAGACATAACATCCACGGGCATTTCTAGTTCGTTGTCAAGACGCGAGATCAATGCCCGCACATTGTCTTCGATCAGAGGCTCGGACTCATAAAGGGATGATTGAGCAAAGGCATGACTAAGAAGTCTCCGTCTCTGCGAATGATCTGCTCGATTGCGCATACTGAAGATGCCGAATGGTGGCACGCTCATGGTGTCGTAGATTGGTGCTTTCATAAACGCAGTTTGCTGGCCGTAGATATCCTTGATGGACCCGCAATCCGAGAACGAGATCTCATTTGGTGCTATTCGCACGGCGGTGCCATAACGTTGATGTAGCTCATGCAACACCGTAGTTCGATGCCCAGCTAGATCTATGAATGTCAACCACTTGGTGGTGATCTTGGCGATGAAGGGGCCCGGAATCTTCGACAGAGGTGAAAAGAAGAGGTTGTAGACGATCTGTTCAGACACTGAGTATGTAACGAGTGCTTAATCGAGGTGAAGCACTCACCTGGTATATTACCAACATACCTGTCAGGCCAAACCATACGATGGCCACGGTGGTTAGGGAAGTCATCATGGGCATAACATAGGCGAATGTGCGATGAACAAGCCTCTTAGTGCTCCCTATGGTGATTGTTGTCGATGACTTGGGGAAAGGCCACTGTTCTTTGATAGACCTTCTTTCATGAACGTCCAACATTTCAAAAATAGAAGTGCTCGCTGCCAATCCTTCATTTGCGGACGGACCGACAGCTCACTTCACTTATCGTCGGACCGAAGAGTCCCACCGTTCGGCCTTATTCTGGAACAAGGATCATGCGAATTGATCACGACACGGGCAGTTTATCCTGTTTAGTATAGGCGGAGATGGAACGCCCGTCTCTGCTGCTCTCAACAGTTTTATAATTCTTCGGCCGTAGACGTTCTTCTCAACCAGAGAAGCAAGTGACTCTTAGCTGTTTGAAGTACTCAGAGATGGCTAGTAACTCAGGTCGAGTGATCATTGTCGGTGCTGGCCCAGCAGGCCTCCTCCTTGGACTGTTACTGGCACAAAATGGGGTTAATGTCGATGTGGTAGAGGCGGAGTGCGAAATTGACTCCAGGCCGCGTGGTGCAGGATACGGTCCAGCAGCGGTGACGTGGGTATTTCCGCATTTTGACAACGGGACTTAGAGCGCTAATGGCATACAGTGTACTGCGGCGCGCAGGTGTTCTTGATACAATCATCGAGAGAGGTCTGAAGCCCGACTCCTTTACTTGGAGAAAACTGGACGGTACTGTCATCGGTCGATTGTCTGGTCTGAATAGGAAAAATGACGTCGGTGGCTTCGTTATGTTGACGGTCTATGAGCTCGCAATTGTTCTTTGGGAAGCACTAAACAAACTGCCAAACGCCAAAGTCCATTGGGGTCATAAAGTGGTATCAGTCGGTCAGGATGAGAGAAGCGCTTGGATCGACTGCGAAAACGGGGAACTACTCAGGGGCGACTTTGTTGTCGGTTGTGATGGCGGCGGCTCCACCGTGCGGAAAAGCTTGTTCCGCAACGATTTTCCCGGAAAGACTTGGGATCCCATCATTGTCGCTACAAATGTATTGTTGTTTTGTCAATATTGGAAAATTTCAGAGGCTAATCGAATATGATTTCAGGTCCGGTACGATTTCATAAAGCACGGCTGGGAAGATACCAACTGGATTGTTGACCCTGAAAATTGGGCGGTGGTTGCTCATTTGGAAAAAAAAGGTACCTGGCGCGTGTCCTACGGGGAACAACCTGGTCTGTCCCACGAGATGCTTCAGAAGCGAATGGTCGAAAAGCTCAAGCGTATCCTCCCCGGCAATCCTGAACCGGATCAATACACGATTGAACATTTCAGTCCATATATCCTACATCAAAGATGTGTCGAACGTATGAGAGTTGGTCGGGTAGTACTTGCGGCCGATGCTGCGCATCTCAACAACCCTATGTGAGTATTTTGGCCAACATTCATGAACATTCCCGTGTTTATGAGACTATTTAGGGGTGGCCTAGGGCTCACCACGGGGATTTCGGATGTTTCTGGCTTGGTGGACTGCCTTTGTGGGATATATCATGGAAAGGCTGATATCAATATTCTGGACGAGTATGACCGAATCCGTCGCGAAATCTATTGGACTATCACAGACCAAGTCTCCACCCGGAATCTGGAGCGTATAATGAAGACGCCTGAGGAGCTGCTCAGTTCTCAAGATTCGTTCTTCTCATTGCTTGACAACGCCGATGACCCCAGCGTTTTTGATGAGATCGAAAAGGTTAGCTTGAGTTCCCGCAAGCCATAGATCGCGAAACTAACCGAAGCAGAATGACATGAAACTGCTTGTAGACTTGAAACAGTTTTACAAGAAGTCCACAGTCAATGGTCTGGCTAACGGTAACGCGCAACTAGTGCCATGGGACCGATTGGTGCGTTACGTATCCGCCAAGACTGGTCGAGTGGGCTACGGCGACCCGGTCGTCGAGGAATCAACAGATGTCGACCAGCTCGTAGCCAATGGTGCGTTGAAGGTGTGGGTGCTGGAAGGAGACAACTGGCTTCGTGCGGCGCGGACTGGCGAGATTGATGAGGTAAAGGAGATTCTCAGTCCGTTATCTGCCACAGACGTGCCAATCATACGCTGTACAGGTCTCAACTACCTCGCACACAGTAAGTACTATTATCACAGACGGAATATATCACAGAAAACTGATATAGAATGAAGTTGCCGAGTCTAAGATGGACATACCAAAGAATCCGACACTGTTCATCAAGCCCGGGCAGGCTATCGGCGATCCTCGTGCTCCCATACCTGTTCCCAAGCTCTCTCAAGCTAAGTGTGACTATGAAGGAGAGCTGACTATTGTCATTGGCAAGAACGCCAAAAATGTGAGCGAGGAGGATGCTCTGGACTACGTGGCTGGTTATCTTACCGGCAACGATGTCTCTTGCCGTGACTGGCAGCTCGAAAAAGAAAAGGCAGGCATGATGCCACAATGGTGTTTTGGCAAATCCTTTGACAAATACGCTCCAATCGGCCCAGCCATCGTGAGCACGAAGGTCCTTGGGGATGCTAGTGGACTACGACTCACGACGCACGTGAACGGAGAGCTGAGACAGGAAGCCAATACTTCTGACCTATGTTTTGGAGTGAGAAAACTTGTGAGTTTTTTCAGCACTGGCCAGACTTTACAGGCAGGTAGTTTGATCATGACTGGTACGCCTGACGGTGTTGCAGCTGTTATGCACCCACCGAAGTGGCTGAAAGATGGTGACGAGGTCGTTGTGGAGATAGATGGTATTGGCAAATTGAGGAACGTCATTAAGTTCGATTGAATGATCAAGTCCTGGTATGTACTGTGGTCAAAGACAAGCACGAAATCATGTTCCTTTGTCCTTCATGGTAACCGTAGACTTGCACGATGACATATGCTCTCATAAAGCATGATCTGCTTCATTTCGTTCAGCAAGTCACGATCTTGCTTACGTGCAGTCTTTTGCCGAGAATATCTCAAGCTCTCCCTTTTCCAACGACGAAAGGTGTAAACTCACCGGAGGCCTTTCATTCTCGCCGACATGCCCACCACAGTCATTGCATTGGCACTTTGTCACTGAAGACAGGAGAACAGCAGGCCAAACCTTGCTAGTCAGTGGTTAGGTAGTCAAGGCACGCGCGACTCCCCAATTAGCCTGAACCAATATGCTGGAGTGTTCGGTACAGGCACAAAATCGACTTTAGCGACCTCGAACCGGGATCCCCAACTGAACCCCCAACGACGCCGCCGTATAGTGCTCAGCGGAAGTGGCACGTGACCAAGTACCTACCCAATAAGCGGCCCGAGGTTTCGGCTTAAGGATGCTCGGTCCGAAGAGTCTATGTTCCACACACATACTCCTCGCGCTCGTGACCTCTCCATTCTGTGTCTTCTGAATTTGAATCGAGTCCAGAAACGGACGTTACTTGGTCCATTGCCGTACAAAGGGTCGATCGACATCATGTGGGGCCAAGTTATTGACGTACAACTATGGCTTGCCAGGAATATAGCCGCGTGTGCTGTCCGTGATTCTATCGAGATCCGCTGCCCTGTCTTCGTCCTGTCTTTTTTCTGCGGCCTTGACGACTTTAGCTGCTAGATTGACTGACTCTCGCGGTAAAGATATGGATACTGCTGAAGCAGTGATGAAGTCAATGTATCCAAAATGTCCAGCGCACACATCAAGTAGACCAAGATCAGCCCTGGTTGTTGAAGCGGTCGGATTCCGCAACACATAAACCAGTAAGCTTAGGTGTGCGTATATCGGGTAAGAGAAAGCCAGCCAACCAGGGGTGGCCGCATCAGTGGTGAGTGTTCGAAGGGCTACCAAGATCTTCCGGGCGGCTTCAGCAACAATATTTGACGAGGCCTTGAGCTGTGTGGCAATCAGATTTTCTGGGTCGTGGTCCACAAGCCTCGAGGAAATCCAAGGGTAGAAGAATTGCGAATGTACAGCAAGTAGACTTCCGTAGATAGAAAAGTGAAGGTACAAGGCTTGATTAGGATGTGGGATTCTCTGTCCGTCTGTGGACAGCTTCGCTAGTGTACCAATTTGGAAACGTGATGGAAGATCTCTGAGAAAATCCTTGATTTGTTGATCAAATTCTTTCACCGTTTTGCGTAAGGCATCGACAGACAATCTCCGTGCTTGGGTAGACATGAGCTCTCTTGTTATGCGCGAGCATATCTTCGTATGACGCAAGGCGAGCGTGAGGTATTGCATATCGATGTTGCTATCCATAGAAACTTCTGATGGTATTGGTGTCGTTATGGTGGAGTCGTCAATCACTGATGGAGTGCCACTAACAAAAGCAATGTGTTTTTCCAGAACGTATAGCGACCACCACAGCCAGGCGTTCTTCACGCTTTCGTCCAAGGAGGTATTGATGAGTTGTTTATGTTCGCGATGCAAACCTTGTGTGACGGCGGCGCGCACTGCATTATCACACAGTATACGTTGGAATCCCGGTCGACCCAAGCTCTCAACATAGCACGCCTAAGTGACATCGGTTAGCAAGATGCCGCAGAACCTGGATCTGCTTACCATCAACGCCAGAGCTTGGACGGCGGATAGTTGTGAGGGCGACAACAAAAGCCCCGCTAACACCGACAAAGCATTGCTAAAGCACCCTTGCCAGGCGTCTTTCTGTGCTGTGGTGTATGAAACTGTGCCTGATTGTGCCTGTAGGCTGCGGAATCCCGCTGCAAACACAACATTGCGAAGAGCATATGTGGCATGATCATTGCACCAGGGAGTTTCGTTGTAGAAATGAGCTTGCAGTTGCGCCTCAAAGTCTGACCGCGAAACGAAACCTAATCGCGCCTCCCAGCAATTGTCGAAGAAAGCTGTCGCGCCTTGGAGTTAATATGCATATCGCGGATAGTTCGAGTTTACCGACATACCATTCACGTACTCCCAGGCAAGGGCCTCGGGTGGCTCCGCTCCACGCATATCCAGAACCAGACCTGCCCCAGGCGATAATAATTGGTCCATGCTTCTGATAAAGCGTTCCACAGATTTGGCAAAGGTCCGACCACCTGTTGCCTTGCACACCCAAGATACGCCAGCTTCGGAGCAGGTGGACAGCCAGGTAGAAGCATCTTGTCCTTTCCACTTAGCCTCGTCGCCTATCTGACTTCGTCCTGGAGTTGAAGGCGAGTCCGCAGAAATACTGAACCCTATAGGGCTCGGATCAATGAATTTCTCAACATTGACAATTGTACGGAAGTGGTCTTGCTGTGGCTGGACGCCGAGCTCGGTGAGTTTGCCAGTAGATAGGGTCGCTTTGGAGAATTCTGTAGTCGTTCCGATGACGGGGTCACTCCTGCCAATCGAGGTAATCCCTTGAGCGACAGTAGTGGGAAGATGATGCCTGCTCTGCTCAAATATCTTTGGCGACGCAGGGCAGGTCGCATCGTCCGATCCCCGGGCAAGCTCTTCAACAATTGCATCACAATCCCCAGTTAGGGAGGTATTCTGTGGGTTCACCGTCGTTTTTCGGCGACGGTGCTGTGGAGGGTAAGTACATTCTTTGGCCAATCTCAAACAATGCATACACGGATGGCCGCCAGTGCCTTTGATGGGTCAGTCGAACAGCAAATACCACTCGAAATGCACCTTACATCTGACTTTCCGACGCCTACAGGTTCGACATGCGATAGCTACCCTGTCATTCTTGAGCCTGTCGATATCCGCGCACATTTCTTAAGCTATGTTTTGAGTCGGTGTTTCTCCAGGCGTTAGTTCCAACATGTCTTGTACGAATGCGAAAAGAATGTATGAGAGTTGGCTGTGGAGATGAGGAATCGAGCCAAAGCAAACTGAATTCTAGGAGTATCCCGCGCTAAGAGTGCCTCCAAATGTACCCCATAGCCAAGAAGACTAGACCTTGGTTGGTGCCTTGCCATCCCTAGTTAAAATGTGCTTGCGAACAGTCTTCACAGCAGGCTAAATGGGTGAGAATAGGTGCGCCACTTGAACCGAGGCCCTCCACCTCCAACAGGGAGCGTTCTTTCGCTAGCCCGGCATCCCTTAGCGCTCGAAAGCAACCCCTGTAAGCTTCTCCCCGCTTCTGCCAACCTGGAGCGCCCTCTTTGATAAAACACAACGTGACAATCTCGTTTTCTGCAGCCTTGAACGCTATCTCCAACGAGGATCATCTTTAAAACTCACAGCATATTATCGCATAAAAGCTCTCGCAGCGGCCGCATCGCGGACTAGTGCCCACTTGGGAGTGGGAAAGCTGCTCATGGAAGCGCAAGAGCTTGATCATGAGCGACTTGTGGCAGATCTAAACAATCTATCCTCGCAACAGCAACACTTGTTTGATGATCATGACTTTCGAGATCATTCATTCCCGAGTCCTGGCTTTTGGACGTTCCAAGAACCATTCTTCGACCTCTCCGAGGCGCAGATACCAAATTTATCCGTTTCTGACATCGATGTCCTGGCAAGCGCCATCACAGGAGATGTTCGTGACGAGAGCCAGATCTGCCAAAGTGAGCGGCATGACCCAAATTTCCAGGCTGGTGGCAAGATGAACCCGGTTGATACAGATGAGGTTTATCAAGACCTGGCACGATCAATGGACGACCTTGAAAGCGTAGGTGTCAATGTCCCAACCGGATGACGCTTGTTGCTGATCATCTACACAGATAGTTCCCTCCCATTACGGCGGGTGTATATTCTGTTGTTCGTGTGGTGCATATTTTAACATTGTTATTAGGATGTGGCTTCTGGTTATCAATCTGCTCAGGCCCTGGGATTGATTGGATCCACCGCCAGGTCGGATCGGATGAATTTACCGAAATCGCAGTTGAGATAAAAACCAGCTGGGCAGAGCAGTTGAAGTTGGAACTTACGACGCCGATATCGAAGACTGCTGAACCTGAGCCGCAGCTGGCTTGGAAGTATTGCAATGGTACGTTCCGCCGCCACCCATGCGTGTGAATTTCAGGCATTCATTTTGAGCGTCTTTAGCATACTTTGAACGATCCGTAGACAACCTGTTCGACGCAGTGCACAGGCCAGAGTTCGAACGCCTACTCAGAGCGCACCTTTCCGGCAAAATGCCATATTACGACTCCGCTTGGTATGCACTTCGCAACGTTGTCTATGCTACTGGCTGTCGTATATATCGTTCCCAGTCTCCAACAGCCAATTTTGCAGAGGTAGAGAGCGAAGCTCGAGCTTACTTCGCAAACGCGATGTCTGTACACAGTGAGCTATTGCTCACAAAACCATCGCTTCGCTCCGTTAGAGCTCTTCTGGCAATGGTAGGTTCAGCGGGCTTGTTACCTTGTCTGTTCGTTGCTCAGACTGACAAGCATGATATCAGGTTATCTTCGCAGAAGGCTTAGCAAGCCCAGCCCTGTCTTCCGGTCTGATATTGAATGCAGCGTTGCTTGCTCACTCCCTGGGACTTCACCTTAAGACTGCCGATTTTGCCAGCCACGCCGACGCCGAGGCACTTCAGCGATGTTGGCTCTTCTGGGCAGTGTACTGTTGCGAGAAACATATAGCCCAACGCTGCGGTCGTCCATCTGTAAGTGGCATCAAAGCCTACCAGTCTTTTCACACATTTAATCTATATTGAAGGTGATCAACGATGATGAAATCACTTGCGAGGTACCAAGAGCAGTCCATCCTGGCAGTGCTATTGAGCTTGAGATGCTCACGTATATTATTCAAACCTGCCAGCTCTATGATCAGACAAGTGAGCCACTCTTGTCCACAAGAGCATTGCATGAGCCTGCAGAAAAAATGTTGAGTCTCGTGGCTCGATTTGGCGACCAGTTGCAGTCATGGAAGGCATCCTTGCCAGTCGACCTCCAACCCGCCGACTTCTTAAAACAATTCAGGATGCCCGACAGCATGAGGGCAATGGGTTTGATGGTTACTCATTGCTCGTTCTACGACCTCGTTATTGGTGTTCATTCGATATTTCTGTATCCCTGGGTAATCGACTCGTTCGCGGGTACTATGGACGCAAACCTGGCTCTCATGGTCAGGGAACAGGTCAAGAATAGCTCGCAACAGGTCGCAAATGCTGCGCGAAGTCTTATTGTGATTGCGAGAAGCCTGGACATGGGTCAGGCAGGCACTCAGTCGTAAGTGGACGTCAATCTCCACGCAATTGATACGCCACTAAGCCCACTCGTTACAGGTTCATGCTACACTTTCCGACACATGCCTTTATAGGCCTATTCATCTTTGTAATCAGCAACCCAACATTGCCATCTGTGCAATCGGACCTCGCTCTTCTGGATGTAGCAGCAGGTTATTTTGGCCAACTAGAATTCGTGACTGGGTCAAAAGTGCGCTTTTCTTTTGCTCGGGACATCGCTGCACTTGCTCGAAGTGTGGTCGACAACGTCCACAATCCATCAAACGGATTTCCTGCGCAAACGTCTCTTGATGTCCAGATGAACGAGCCTTGAGAGCCAGATTTCAAACATCCCTCGGGTGAAGGAGACATCCTAGGAAGCTCAACCCAATGTAGCTCGAAAAATCATTAACATCCGCCTGCAAATGACTGTTACTGCGACTCTGCTTAGTCCTTAGATCGTTCCCGTTAGCACTACCGCCCAGAACCCTCAAAGGAGGCGTCTCACAGTCTGCTACACAACTGCATCGGACTACCAGCCGTTCGTATTACGAGTATTCTCCTGAAGCAGCAGAGCTCAGCTTATACTCTCACAATACTACTCATCTACTGGTTCGTAGCCAAGGAAAAGAGCGAGTAACTGTTCGATACCAACGTCCTCACCAAGACCCTGACATCTTCATAATTCTAACAAGAGGTAACATGGATTCTCGACTGGCCAGGTTCAATAGTCAGACATCGGTTCGTGCTCGCGGCAGTTTCTAGAACCAGGGCCGCGTCTCGGCGTGCTCTCAAGTGCAACCCCTTCCTGGTGTTGATCCATATTTCAATGGAGTGGTGATACAGTTCATGCTAGGTAGATCGGCAATAATCGATGATCAAGACCCTAACGTGATGCTAGACTTTCAGCACAAGTATGGGACAGTGTTTGCTTCTTACTTCCCGCGGCCCGTTGGGTGCCCGTCATCTCGGGCCGAGATGACGGGCCGAGTATGATTCCATGCCAGGCCTTGAGGAGAGACAATCAAAGCAAACGGACCAAGAAAAGTAAGTAGACGGCTTGACATATCATATTTCTAAGCTCTAACTATTGAATACCGAAGGCCATTCTCTCAGTGGTGTATACTCAAAGCCACCCAATCATAGGACATGACAAGCTCATTGTTTATATCAGTCAAATTTTATCCCAATCAATCTGCGCAAGAATTGGTTTGTCAGAAGGACTCGGCTTCGACAACACGGGCTGCCAAAAGAGAATCCTAGGATGTCCATCTTCATAGCCGACTGCGGTATGTATAAGGAATTCCACTGTGATTGGCTCTGACTCTTTGAAATCGACATCGGCAACACCAACGAGCAAGAAATCCAAGCCCTCGGCGTTGTTCATGAAGACTTTGAGTAACTTGTGACGCTGTGAATTGACTTTATCCCATGCTTTGTCACGGGAGGCCGCAATGCTATCTAGATTCAAGCGAGGGAAGTCAGCGAGGAAGAAGTAACATTATGTTTGGTTGGACTTACCGCGGCCTTCAAAAAATCCAAGCGAGGCATACCATTTACCATGCTTTGCGAAAACCTCATCTGCAAGTCGTGGTCCTGCACCTGCTTCCTTACTGTCCACCAAGTTGAAATATAGGTTGATCAGTCTCACCACTTCATCATTCTGCCCCTTGGGCCATGCACTTGAAGTGGTCGTTGAGGACATTGTAAGAGAGACCTCTGACCCTACGTTGTTGCGATCATCCAAGCGAGGGGGCATGCAAGTTACTTATACAGGTAGTCATCATCAAAGAACAATTTGTACCTTCTTCACAACGCCCGTCTACCTACTGGACAGCCGACCGCTGCGACATACTAAGGACAAATCTACTCACTACACAGCACGGATTGCAGGTGGTTTCGGCCCGCTTCTAGGCTGAGGGTAGCGTACATACAGTAAGTGGTCCGGCATACATGCAGGATACAATGAGTCAAATGCTATGTCTGCTTCGTTTTATACCTAACACTGCATCTGGCTCACTGTTAAATGCCATGCACGTAAGCAGGGACTGAAGGCCGAGAGCCTATCTCTACCCTAGTTTTGATCTGCCTTCTCTCCTCTGCTGAAAGGCCCTCACTCCCGTCTACATTCATGGCGTCCAAAACCCTGCTAGACCATTCATCAGGATCAAAATCGGTTCCGACCGGATTCTGAATGAACAGCGGACTACTCATGAAGCTGTCGGCTTCTTCCGGGGTATCGAAATTGTCCACCTGAAGCTCCACCTTGTTGCCATCGGGGTCTCGGTAATACATGCTCGTGGTCATTCCGTGATTGACACACCAGAGAGGAAGGATAGGCGTCTTGCGTTGCTTGAGAGCACGATAGGTCCGGGCCAGGTCGGTCAGAGTTTTATAGGTGAATGCGGTATGGTCAAGGCCGGCAGTGAATGGGCTCGCTGACTGAGGTGTGATCTGTGGCATGTGCGCTATGGCGATTCTATGATGCTCAAAATCGTATCGCAGCATGCAGAATTCCTCCGTTTCGATTACCACCTCTGCCTGTAGCATGTCTTTGTAGAAGTCGACCATGGTTCTGTAGTTTTCCTTGGTTGTTCGAAGCACAACGTGAGCAAAGGCAGATGGACTAGGGTGTGTCGCCTTCTTCGATTTCGAGGTATTATCGCCGTTGGCATAGCCATTAGTGTGCTCCGAGAGAATTGAAGGCACCATGATAAAATCCTGTCGAACACTGGTGGATTCAACTAGACAGTCTCTATTCGACTGGATCTGTGTCGTTGTGAGACGATGATATATGTCATGCAAATCGGACCAGAGCCAAAATTTACTCCATGACGGCTTGGATTAAATAATCGCGGGCCGAAAGAAGCGGCACGGCTCTCTACAACCACCTGGGAAAGCCGGACCTATCTGGCGAAGCTTTAGCAGTTTGCTGAAAATGAAATAGATAGTATCAATCTAAAGGACACAAAGCAAGCAGTTTACTAGCCTAACAGACTAGGAGTTGCTGGCAAACCAAAGACAGACAGACTATAGTCAGCAGTTATCAAGGCGCCAGCAAGGTATAAGAAACTCAACCACCAAGATGACCACGAGCGAGCTTCCTTCACCAAAGAGATATATCACAATGAATGATAAGAACGGCACTTCCTCTTTCCCATCTGACATCTCTTTGATTCCACCATCTCGAACGTTACCCGACGGCCTTAATATTACCTTCTGCTACGGCAGTGAACGATTTCCGGTTGACCTGAACAAGAACCAGGACTTGGAGTCCTATCAGCATCTGATAGACAATCCACCTGGGATTGTGGTTCAGAATGGTGTTGTCTTCCGTATCATTGATTTCCCACCAGATTACGTCTCAGCAATGCATCGTAGCATCAGTGTCAATTTCAATGTGGTCATCGAAGGTCAGCTTGAGTTAATCTTAGATGGCGGCGAAAGACGCACACTCAACCGTGGTGACTCTGCCATTCAACGAGCTGTTAGCCATTCGTGGAGAAATCCAAGCACAGTTGCATGGGCTCGCCTAGCTGCAGTCCCAATTCCAGCAGAGCCTTTGCAATTAGCTGGTGTGAATGTCCAAGCAAGTGGTGTTGCGGGAATGACAGCTTCATCCTAGCGACCAAGGCCGGTCTCTTCAGAGAGAATAGTCCTAAGTGGCTGTCACGTCTCTTGCAATACTGAAGTATCAAATCAAGCATGAAACTATCACAATACACTATAACTCCCTAGGGACAGAACGTGCTTAGAGGATTCCTGGGTGGAAAAGCCGTCTGTGCCACGGCAACATGGATAGTCAGAACAGCCTAGACCCTTGACAAATCCAAGCATTATTTAGTTTCGAAGCCAACCTCATACCGGGACCAGATAATTTCCACCTGGTTGTGAGCCTTTCGCACGCTCTAGTGCGTCTGACTAGATGATGTGACTCGCAGGCTAGACAGATTCCGCGTCGTCCAAGCGAGTGAAATCAAATAACCCAAAGCATATATAGATAGCTAGTAGCCGACTACATGTGCGCATCCAGATTAGTGAAGGATGTCATAGCACTTTTCGATCAGCTCAAGAGACCTCGGTTTCTGCAATATCACTTTCTTAGATACGTAGTGAGCACTGCCTGTTGTGTGATGTGGTCATTCAAATTCTACCTGGTGGGGGCAGTTCTTATTTTCACTGCCTTTGGTGTATCGTGAAGTCAGTGCACATGGTTGGAGTACTATCTATTTCTCATGTGCTTTCGATGTCGACGTCGATGCTTCTTCTATACCATAATTACCAATTAGTACTCTCCGAATATCGCAAACCCTTCTTCCAAATTTGTTATCTCGGCATCTTTTCATAGACCACACAAGTTTCAATAGTATCTATTGATAACGGGCCCCGTTATTTTTCTCCTGACAATCTTCCTTACCTTTCTCTCCCATATTGACCTCATGAGCGCATCTCCACTCACCCACTTGACCCCAAACTCCCTCGCTACACGAAGTACCAATAATCAAGTCTGGAAATGGGACATTGACCCCGACATAACCAACCGGTGGTGCAGCACCGCCTACCGCGTCTCCGTCAACCTGAAATCGGCGCGCAAAGACATCCACGCAGCCGCCAACCCCGAGCAGTGCGACAACCTGTTCAACGTCCTTACCGGCCGCCCAGGCAGCCCCGACGTCAATCTGTTCTTCCGCTGCGACACTCACCTCGTCATTGCTGACCCCGGTACCCAGGACCCCAAGTTAACCTTCAAGTACGATGCGGGAACGTTCTAGGACGCGGTTGACTGGAAGAAGGATGGTGAGCAGAAGATTCCAGGGAGCATGAGGGTTTCCGATCGCGTTTTTGGATATATTGTCGATGTGCCGCTGCGGTTGGGTGTCAAGGTCGATGTCAAGATGAAGGAGGCCAAGTATCAGTTCCTGTATTGCTGATGGGCTTGATTGGGTGGGCTTCAATTGTTCGATTGTTCTAGCGACCAATGGTCACACGGAAAATGGGTCGTCGACAAGGTCGAAGGGAGATTCTCTCGTTGGCCGGGTCATGTCTCGATGGCAAAAGTCTCTCTGGCCCTGCCACGGATTCGCATCGTCTTTTAAGGTTGAGCGACTTTCGCAGTAAGAACAGATTACACATGTGGTCAACTTCAGGGTCTCAGATTCGAGGAGACCCCCCCTTAGGCTTAATGTCTTTGTGATTCTCATACACATACGGCGGCAACCAAGTGGCTTGTCAAGTGCCACTGCAGCTATGAATACCTCATAAGATGTATTGCAGGTTGGTTGCGCTTGGACTGACACGGTTCAGAGCCGCCCGGACAGGAAATGAATATTGCTCCCAAGGCCATTCTCAAGGCCCTTTGGCGCCCTCTACCATGTTGGCGACAGTTTCCAGGAGTCTTTACCATCCACATCCAAAAATGAACAATGTACACGTAGAACGGTGCAGTATCTCTCTTGAGAAATGAGACTACCCGTAACCGCCCCCTTTTTCCAACTCCGCTTTCCTTTTAGTCAGCTGACCTGCTGCTTCCGGAAAATCTATTTTCCTGCCTAACTTGAGCCCTGCACAAGTCCTGTAGCTCTGCTGTTAGGCATTCCCCCGTCCGCCACGCCGGATTGGTTTCATCAAAAAGAAAATGAAGCGAGACAAAAACGATGCCTTCTGTCTCTCTCGGACAAGAATGCTCTTCTGGAAGCAAGTAGAAAGAAACTCGTCCGTCAAGCAAGGTCAAGTTCTAGGCGACAGTACTTCCCGCAAACACCCCAGCGCCCTGCATAAAAGAATGGGGGAATATCTGGACAAAAGAAAAAATAATGCAAAGACACAGCCAACGTCTCAGTCAGAAGAGCCAGAACAGTGGAGATGCCAGGAGTTTCTCTAGACATTCTCCACGACAATTCCCACACTGACTCCCGGCTTATGGCCTCGGGATGCCTGCACTACAACAGGGGAGTAGCTTTTCTTCTCAAGGATTTCCCACTTCCGGGCTTCCTTGATCATTGCCTTCTCCTTCTCCCTAGACTCTGCCAGTGGTACCTCACGCTTCGTGATCTTGATTTTGTCCCTGGAGCGAGATTGTGAGGCCGAGCGTCTGTGGCGGTGGCCTAGGATGCCGGTTTTGGAGCCAGAACGGCCATGGGAGGATGATGGTGTTTTGGCCCCTGCTGCAGGTTGGGGATGTGTCTCTGCGCGACGGGCCGCGAGGCGTGGGCCCGGTACGTGTACGCGAGCACTCTGTTTCCGTGATAGGGAGACCGTGCGTGCAACCGCTACAACGTCGTTCGACTGGACTGGATTACCGGCCAGGGGGTTCGGCCGTGGTGGGATTGTCTTTTCGAGTCCTTGAAGAGACGACTTGAGGGGGTGCGTCATCGCTGGTGAGTTCGCGTTCGATGAGGGCATCGTTGCAGATCGCTCCTTATTCCTGCCGGAAACGCTGGTCGGTGTCATTGTTGGCGTGTCTGTGTTGGAGCGGAGGTGTCTCGTCTGTGGTGTGATACCTGTCCTTTCGATCGCCGTCACAGTACCTTTAGCGGCAAATCTTGACAATGGAATGAATTTGGCATCTTTCTCAGGAACCGGAGGTGGTTTATCGTCATCAGGCGATAATGGAGATGACACATAATGGGCAGGGCGGATTATTGGCCCTCCTTGCGGCAGGGTTGGGGAATCATCATAGAGACGGTTGGCTCGCTTTTTGCATGCAATGGGCACTGATATGACTTTCGAACTTGGAGATTGGGCTTGCGCCTGTTGATGCGGCAATTGAGTTTGAGGTTGAGGAGATGGTCTCTTGGAGATACCCTTGGGTGAGAGGTCCTCTTTGAGTTCCGCGACAGGTGATGGAATCAATCTGCTCACGTCCTCCCGAGACTTGGTTCCTAGCCGTGAGTATTGATGCTCCCCCGTTCTCTTCTGACTTGATGATCCATTCTGGCCCCATGTTTGCGCCTTTTCGTCTCCATGGATGGCTACATTGGCAGGTTGAACAGCGATCTTGATAGGTAGCATCTTCTCAGTATCGTACTCTGTGGCGGATCTCGGCGAGGTCAGTCTCTCAACCGCTGCGATGGCTTCATCGAAATATGCCGTGTTCACGGATGTATGTTTCGTAGTCACTGCAGAAGTTTGTGCGGTTGTTGTCGACGGTGGCTCGGGGGGAGGCGGAGCAATTTGAGTGGTGAGCGGTTTAGTGGGTGTTTCAGGTGAAGATGCTTGCATCTCCCGTAGATGGCTCGTAGGAGTAGCCTTTTTCGATCTTGTGCGAGCCAGTTCTACTGCAACTGAATCAGGCCGTGTCATAACAAATTGTCCGTCTTCAACCCCTTTCGAGTCCCTGAATGCTCTTATGTCGAAGAAAATGTCATCCACGGTGGTGTTAGACGACATGGATGATTGTACAGAGTGTTCTGCGCTCCATGGATTCGATCGGTCAGTTGAAGCAGTGTTATCTTCGGGGCTACGCATCGTCAGTTCCCCAGGAAGATACCTCTTTGGGTTGAGAGGCTCAGGCTTGTTGATTGAGAAACGATCCTGCATCGGCGACAAACGAGCAGGAGAAGTAGCTGACCTCTTCAACTGGCTCAAGTTACCATTGTTGACTGTCTCCGAGAATGGTATTCGTCCAACAACCTTCACTGGTGTAGGGATTGGAGCAGGGAACAATGAATATTTGCTCCCTGCTGGAGATTTAGTCGTGGGAGTAGTCAGCTTCCTAGGAGGCATAAGGGGTGTTAGAGACTCGGCTGGGTCGGCATTATTTGGGAGAGCCCGATCATGTTCCCCTCCTTTGGTCGTTGGTCGACTATCCTCGAATGATTTGAGACTATCCAGTGTTTTGCTTCGGCGTGCGAGTAAGGAAGACGACCGATTGGCCGGTACATTTTTGAACATGATGCTATATCGATCGAAAGGAGGAGTAGGTATCGGAATGTCAAGTTCGAGCTTGGGGAGAGGAGGTCGGGCGTATGTTTCAATCAGTGAATCGGCATCAGTGGCAGTTGAGGGTCGTGATCGCGTGTCGTCTTCATGCTTATCACTGGGCTTCTCCGGCGGCGGTGGAGGAGCCATAAATCTTGGACTCTTCTCGATTGGCGGTGGGGGCACCCCCTCGTCCTCATCCTGATAGATCGGTACCGTCCGTTGATTGAGAGACTCAAGCTTGCTAGTCTGACTTGTTGGGCTTTTGTCCAGAACCACAAACCCAGTGGGAAGCCCGATAGTTGGTCCCGGGGGAATGTCATCGCGCCTGACAAGGGCTTGCCTTGTCTTGAATAGAATGCCAAATTTCTTCCATCTCTTCGACTGCATTTGAAGTGCCTTTTCCACGCCAGGTGGATGGTGTTGAGATGGGGAATTACGGTCATCAGAGGGCGGAGCTTCTGGACTACGGAATGCCACAGGAGGATGACCTGGGCTGCCAAATGCGAGTCCAATCGAACTTTCCTGGCTTCTTATGGTACCATTAGTTGCTTGTGAAGATGAAGTTTTCTGAGCGTCCGAAGTAAGTGGTCGAAGTCCAGGCACTTCAACTCGGAGCTTTCTCTTTGCTGCTGCTCCTGAAGTCTTCGGTCTCGGCAGCTCCACTGGTCTGGAGTTCAGTTGAATGCTCTGCTTCGGCAGATCGGTAAAAGCGAAATCAAAACCTTGTGGTCTGGGATTTCCTGAGGCATCCGGCTGATCTGAATTGTGAAGCAAAGGGTTTCTTTTGCGAATTGATAGCCATCTTGTGGGCATGATTCAAAGTTCCAGATCAGCCAGCGATCGGGAAAGGCACTTCAAAACGAGGGGGTGACAAATGAGTGACGATGAGGGCGGTATCGCGATTAGAAGGGGTCCATCAACCGAGTTAAGCTTGCAAATGATAGCACCTTGAAACAATCACTGATCTAGCATCTCTCAATAGCCCGGCTCGGTTGTCTTGACCTGGAGCAGTGGGAATAAAAGAGCACTGTGGAGGGGAAACTAGAAGAGACTCTGGAAGAGTAATAAACCAAGGTTGGGAAACTCTTGTTGTCGCACCTCAGTTGCGGTCAAACGAATGTAACAAGGCAATCCCTCTTGATCAGGCGGAGACTGAATTATCCTCTACCGGCTATGTAGGATAAATTGCCACACCAGCTTGGATAGCCTGGGAAAGACGAAGAGTCTAAGTCTGGGATCGTGGCTCTACTCGTAATGACTTGCATGGGGGAGGTGGAAATCTCGGTCGCCCTGAATATGCATCTGCCCTGTACTCCGTATGTGCAGGTAATGAATGCAGCGCGACAACGGTCGAATGAGCATTGTGCATGCTGCAGTCATCATGCCAGAGATCGTGCTCAAGGCACTTTGCTTACAGGGACAATGCTAGAAATGCTGGGATCCCATGGGATGGTTGAGACCAATCCTCGAACGAAATCGGTCAGAGAAGAGAAGGATGGAAACGGAACAATCGGGGTGCCCTCTTATGGACGGCCGGCGATTGTTGAAACACCCAATCAACGCCGTGAAGTTGAACAAGGGCCGTTCGACTGGCGTGCTTCAGATTCTTCTTAGCCTCTCGCTTCATCGCGTGGCGCTGCCATTGCTGGTCTGACATAGGCACAAAAACTCCCGAGAGGTCCAGTGTTCCAAACCTTGTCCAGGGACCAATGTCGAAACGTTCTTGTGGGGGTTGAAAAGGGGAGCTTCAGTGACACACCACCACAAAATCGTCTATGCGCTGGGCAGGAAGACAACAGATCGAGCAGGCGTTTTAACCCAGCCCAACCATTCCGTAAAGTCATAAAGATCGGTCTGTTGCTCGTTCGTTCCTGTTAGCTGCATAAACATCTCACGAAGTTTACCGTTTCTTGAAGGCGTATTCTGGATTTTCTCCCAGCATGACTCCCCTTTCATCCTGTAATTTCATCATCCATGTCCTGTCCGACTTTTGGGCTGCCTTCTGAAACAAGCCCGCTTCGCACACCTACAAAGCGCCTCGCAAGTCTGTGGCTTATTTATTCTCGGCCGTTGAACCCACTAGGCCGCACCTAAATGGTGGAAATCGTTTTCGTGCCAAACATTTGCGGAGGAACAGCGGTGTTTGTCCTAGTTCACGATTACTTTGTGGGCCGATGAGCCGGGTAAGCGAAAAGACGTCAACCCGTTTATCTTGTTCGAACAGATCGCAAAGCCTTGCTTTCCATGGCGTTGCTTTCGTCGTTTATTGGTGCGTAAAGAAATATATAATCGTCTCTTGATGTGACATCCATCGATCAGCATTGGACCATGTTACGTGGCTGCAATTGATCTCAACACAATCCACACGCCTATCTCTTGTTGCTGCGACGTCCAGATCCAGTCTGTGTTCAAGGCTGTCAGGAATCTTCCACTGTCTGCCAAGACACCGAGGGGCTTGCATTCAACTTGCATTTCCTGGAACCGAGATTGGGTTTCTGGAATTGTTAGGCTCAATGAAGTTGCTCCATGGTTCTTTGGGTAAGCCTCTGCCTGGGCCGAGGTTGCGACTGTCTTTGTTCTATAATCTACTAGAGGTGTGGGTTGTAGAAGCATTTATCTTGCCAACGCAATGTCTTCAGCCCATGGGCAAGATCTACAGTACATCGAGATTGGTTCAACCACGAAACGCGTGTGGGAAGGCTTCGCAAGACTCCAGCGCCTACATGGTAGGTGAGATTCCGCTTGGATGCGTTCGAAATCTCGCTTTCATGGTCCCCGAGACAGGTCATGAGGTCAGAGTATACATTTTGCATTTGAATCTAACAAGAGGTTTGTGCACAAGACATGGATGAGCTACCATCGGTATCGATCATTCATATAGTTGTCGAAGCCCCTTGGAAACTCGGGCCAAATCGCCGATCCGGATTCTCAATATCAGCCTCAGCGCACCGTTATTCACAATAATGTTGATCGGCAATACCACAGGTCGAAGAGACTTCTCTGCTCCACATGAAATCACTTAATTTCAACAATGGATAATAAATTCTCCTTGAGCTCAGCTGTGGAAGTTCTACCCGATTTCCCTTAAGGGGCAGAAATCGCAATCAAAGGGAAGAATATTATATTCGAAAGTCCTCGTTGAAAGGCGGTCTGCAAGATTGTGAACTGGGCGATGACATCAGAAATACGAACAATGGCTGCGGTAGATGTTCTGGAGATTTTCTGTCAACTGAGACTGTCATCCTGTACTAGCACTTCCGGTCGTACAGGAGAAAGACCTGTGCCCCGTGACAAGCATATCGGACTCGATAATTGACTTGGATGTGTGCTGCTGTCGCAACACCTAACCACCTGCCCTATCAGCGCGTCATTTGCCACTAAACACATGAAAAGCAACCTCAAAGCCAAAGAAGTGGCCTCCGGCTTGCCCCTTCATGCGTGGGATGTCTTTATTCGGGGCCAGGCACTCGACTATTTCATCCTCTCACCTTCGCAAGTAATCGAATCGCTTTAATCATATTTCATGTCACATGGTCATCTCCAACATTTCACAGAAAATTCAAATCCCATCGCATCCGGTCATTGACCATCTTGCCAGCCATCGCTACTAGATACTTGTGGAGCAATATGCTCGGAGGAATTGGCTTCCTGTGGTATGAGCCAATATGCTCCGCCAAATCCTCCGGCCGCGCAAACGCCGTGGTTCCACGCTTTAATTCTTTGCCCTTGGATGCGCAGAATAGACACCCTAATTTCATCGTGGATGACGAGATGGTCCCACTCTCACGTCTTCCCACAGATATCTGGTTTGTGGCAGCCTGCGGTATGTACAAGTGACTTCTCGCCAGGAATGAACTTCGATACTGAATAGCTGTCGACAAATGGTCGCGGATCTCATCTGTCGTGTGGATGTTCGAAGTCATGGAGTTACTAACATGATACCGCACTTTATATGCGCAATCCGCACATTCCCAGTACAAGAATGCGCCACCAAAGTCTCTCAGCTTACGATTGTTTTCTTCTGTCAGATCCTTTTTCTCGACGAAGGAAATCTTGCCGCGATCCCGGTTATTGATCATTTGTACCGCGCCGCGACACAACTTGCCCAACACGTTTGCGCCGCGGTAATCTTCAGGAAACAAGCGGCGGGGATTGATCATAGGCTGGCCAGCCACAAGTTTCAATTGCTGAGCGCGGTAGTCTAGTGTTAGCCAGACTGTGCCCAAAGGCTTGCGAGTATGAAGATCTGGATCATAGTGATTGGCAAAAATTGTTTCGATTCCAGTCACCGAGTTAAGAAGTTGCTCCACAATCTGGAACAAATACTGCGAGGCTAGGCCATCAGATCCATCCACCAGATTGGCAAGTTCCTCATATGATATGGTTCCGAGTGCTCTCAGACGTTCTTGGAGGATAATCAGTCGTGGTTCATATGCCTTGATCTCACTAGGAACAATCTCTGGATAGATATACCAGTTGATCATGGTTGTGAGTTTGTGGCGGATCTGAACAAGCAGGGCTAAGATTTCATCGATGGCCTGTCGTATCTGGATGGGTGGTGGCGCAGGTGGCATGTCTACAAATGCCGCCGCCATTGTCGCTGCTGTAAAATCGCTGTCCTTTCACCCTGAATTTTCGATCTGCTTGATAAATGCGATCAAGGTCTTTGCGCCTTTCAATTGGGTCGGACTATCGTGAGCATGCATATGATGCATCCAAACCACCAATGGGCTTGACAAGCGAAGTTGGCTGTGCAGTAGCGTGATCCTTTGCGATCGCAGCGCTGGACACGTTGGTACGATCTTTGACAGTTAGAGCATTCGAGTCCTGCAAAGGAAGAGAAAAAGAAGCAACAGCCTTGAAGTGAGACGAGAGAAGCCCTCCAAGGTAGCTGGCAACCGACCGTGAAAGACGCTGGGATGGAGGGATGATCTGATCACGAGGCGAGGGTGCCTAGGCTGCCTGTCAATCTGTCCCTCGACCTACCAAAAGAATCTACCTCTAGCCTTCAGAGTCAAAGCAAGACACATGGTCGGAGCCGGGCGCTTGCATGGTGCAGCTGCTAGTCTGACCAGTTCGCATGTCATTGTACCTGCACTCCGCCACAATTGGACGACCACAGAGATAGGCTTGTGTCCAAATCCAGTTGGTGAGTGGTGGGGGATACAGTCTGAGCCTCGCAATAATCTTTTGCCGAAAGCCGAACGACGCTAGGCCAGATATAGACGACAGAGCATTCTCATAAACGCTTGACCACTTTGGGCTGAATATCAAAATTCCCATCCCATCTTTTACTGAGAGCCAATTCCTGGTATGGCTCTTAGCATACATCGATTTAGCCCAAGACGTTGTTTAGGATGCCCACAGAAGTTGAAGAGGTACAATTGCACTACAACATCAAAGACTCATCGTCACCACTAATTAGCTAATAGTTGGTTGAATTCCTTCACCATGGCAATACTCAGATCAGACAAATTGGTAAGTGGGAGGTCTATTGGGAACCCAAAGCGTTGGACAGCGGACTACCTACTTTTATGTCCTTTATTACTGACTTGTATCGGTCAGCATGTGAGAATCTGGTCGGCCTGTCGTCAGACCCCGGCATTTTCAAGAGACCCCAACTTGTTCCTGTTAAAGATCTTAAATTACTTGTCCGTGATTACCCAGTGAGTTCTCCAGTCCACGGTCCTTCATAACGAAAGAAACAATAACTTGGGATAGCCAATCGCCAAACATGCCATCACGATTCTCATCAATATCAGCTGTGACGCGGAAATTCTTAAGAATCTCGCCGAGGATGACGCTTTTGTGGAGGTCCTAATCAAGAAGATCACCGTAAGTGTACGAGATCGGCATTTCTTGATGCGATATCCCAAACTCCGGCAGCCTTACGCTTACCGCCCTACAAGAACCCCAAAGAACAAGCGGCTAATGAAATTGCCATGCTTCTCTCCAACCTTGCAAAATCAGATCACCTGGAAAGACTAATCACCCTACAACGAAGTCTTCCAGACAAGTCAGTATCGGCCTCGCCTTATGCCCTGGACCAACTATTCGACTGTTTTGTCAAAGGCGCTGATGGCAGCCTCAACAAGAACGCAAATTTCGATTATCTTTCCTATCTCCTAGCAGACGTGTCCAAATACAAGTCCGGGCGAGATCATTTCTTAAGCAAAAGAGAATACGATGGAGTAGTCCCGCTCAGCAAGTTGATGGTGTTCACAGAGCACAAGAGTGATATTCGCCGGAAGGGAGTGGCCAGTACCTTAAAGAACGCCGCCTTTGAGGTGGCGAAACACCCGTTATTGCTTTCAGACGAGGCGACCACCCATGACGACATTCCGGGTGTCAACATTCTTCCCTACATTTTATTGCCCATTGCGGGTTCTGAAGATTTTCCTGAGGCCGAATCGGCAAACATGCTACCAGATTTACAACTCTTGCCACCGGACAAGTCAAGGGAAAGCGACACAGAAATTCTAATAACACATCTCGAAACGTTGCTCCTTCTCACCACAACCAGGGAGGGAAGAGATAAATTGAGGGAAGTGCAGGTCTATCCCTTGGTAAGAGAATGCCATGCACATAGCAAGGATGAAGAGGTCAAGGAGATATGCGACAGGATAGTTCAGGTTTTAATGAGGGACGAGGAAGAGCAGCCTGTTGTCGAGGAGCTAGATGACGATCAGACCATAGAAGAGGTGTTTTGATGACCTAGAGATGATTTGAGCTCTGATAGCTCTTCCTTATCAAGGCCTCATGTATGTACTTATACCGACATTCTGTCTAGGGCAAATTAGTGTCGCTCATGAACAATAGGTTGGTGCTGTGAAATGGCTTGTGAGCTAATAATCAGGACAAATTAACACCAAGAGTACAGTAGAGTACAAAGCCAAGAGGCAGCTCTACGGCGCAGCACAGGACCACCAAAACCACGCGTTGAATTGCCTTTTTCCTAGCACGCGTCGGAAATCCCTCAACTCGCCAAATTCATCTGCCATGCATAAGTGCAATGACCAGACCAATATCATGGTACCAGTGCATGTAGCACGACAAATGAATGGCGTTGAGCCTCCGCCATCATCCATCTTGACCACGCATGTTGTCCATGGAAATGGCGTCCCAGATCTCGATCGTGACAATTTCAAACAACTCTTGGCTGAAGTTCTCAGCACCGACGACCGCGGGCAGTCCAATCTCGGAGCGGATGTCTCAGTCAACCACAAATTGATCTGTATAATATTTCAAGTCGGTATCGAAACCGCTTTGGAAGACAATCCATTCAAGTCCAATGGAGGCGCAGGTAGGACAAATGCGCAGTTGCAAGATTGTCTTAAGGTAATTAAACTTGCAATCGAGAGATCTCCGCAGGTCATTACTTTGAAGTCAGACTCCCAAGGTCGGGATGAAGCTGATTGGAAACCTCCGTTATATGCTTGGCTATTTCCCAGCCTATTACCCTTGATCGTATCTTCTCAAACGGTTCAGGTTCGAGAAGGCGTTTCCGCAATTTACGACGCCATGCTACAGGCGAGCATGACGTTTGCACCTTCCAACCAGATTCAAGGCTTGTTGGAATTCTTCAGGTCATCTCTATTAGGTGAGTTCCCATCTCACTCTCGACCATGGACTTGAAGCTCATATTCTTCGAGTTGTCCTGCGGTTTGGTACGTCCCCTAGCTCAGCTTCTCGCCGACCGCTGGTCATTGATAGCGAGGACTTTGGGGCTAGCATACAAAAGTTCTCGCGGCGACCGAACCTCCTATTGAGGAGCCTCAGCTTTGCGGGCTGTCATGAGCTGTTGTCGGCCTTGTGCTGTGTCATGAAAGTGATTGCGAAGTATTCCGACTCAACATTTAGCAGGATCCAATATAAAAAGCTAGTCATGCGCCTTCGCAGGACGATTGATGTTGTTGGAAATGAACATATACAAGAAGAAGACCTCGAGGTACGTGCCACGTGGTATTGAATTGTCCACTACTGATGTTCGTGCAGGAACTGTCACGTGAACTAGGTGCCCTGGATCTTCTACCCGCAGAACTTCCGAAAGAGCTCGACGTGCAAGCCTCGGACAACGCCTGGTCTGAAACAAACAGGGCCCGTAAAAGACTGCGACTGTCGACTGACGAGGATGATGCTTTACTTGCCCCGAGCTATCATCAGGAGATATGTCGTCGACTCACTGGAGAGCTCACTGGCCGTGCTGTTCCCGATCTTGATGGCCTGAGTGCAACAGCAGCTGCAGGCTTCCGAGGAGTGACACCAGAGAAACAAAGTGCAGTTATTGAGTGGATAGGTCTAACGGCCTGCAAAATTTCGTCCACCTCTCGGGATCTTGCGTGCGAAGTCTGCGATTCTGAGGGCACCCTTTCCGACACTATAGTTATTCCCCTAGCCGACGAAAGTGATGAGCTGTTGAAGACCTTGCTCGTCCTAATTCCAACCATATCTCGTCAATCTAGGGCTAGAATAATTGCAATGGCGGCTTTACGACGAGTGATTGCCCATTTAGGCTCGGCAGATAACCTCAAGCTTAGCCAAACTCCGGCTGGTGAATGGTGTTTGCAATCACTCAAGAGTTCGTCAAGAGATCTACGGCTTGCAGCTACGAGGACCCTTCAAGCTTACGTCTTCTCAAAGAAGAGCGTTGATACTGCACTTATTCGAGAGAATCGAATTGCAGCTCTTGATTTTCTACAAAACCTGTGGCAGAAGGGGGATGTCGCCGTGCAAGAAACAATAATATTAGCATTAACCCTGATGGCTCGGGTCGTTGGAGACGAAGAACTGAACATCATCTTGGTGAGGCTCGTCGAATACTTGGGCCACAAAAACCCCTACATTAGTGGTGTTGTTTACGCTGGTATTCAACAATTGGCGCAGACCATGCAAGTTACGGTGTGGCTTCTGCTTCGTCCCTTCTGGCGGACCCTGGGCGTTGTGCTTGCAAAGTCGATCTCATCCAGGCCCCAAGTTGCACACCAATTATGCGACCTCCTCGGCATGGACATGTCTGGCCTAATGAATCACGCCGCCGAATACGCTCTCCCATACCTCGTCCTTCACAAAGATCATGAAACGATAAGACGTTTTGCTGAGATCAACGGCCAATCCACCACAGCTTTCGAATTGTGTACCCAGGAGAAACCTCTCACGGCTATTCTGTCATACCTTCTTGTTCAGCCGTTCCCCGATCCTGAACAGGCAATAATGAAGATTTTGACCGAGGTCTCCGACGAATTCGGAAGAAGTGACCTTGCGACGTGGATTGCACATGATCCTAACCGCATTACGTGCGAGCTTCTGAAGGCCATTGGGGATAGTGGCCAAGGCAAGTCATCGCGGATCTACCAAGCATTGCAGCTGCTTGCGCAGTTGAGTGCTCGCCAACGTGGAGTGTCTTCTGGGTCAAGAAGAGGGGACAGTATTGGAGCTTTCCTCGAGAATAATGTTCTAGCAGTTGTGACCCACTTCACAGTCCTACTGAATGATATTGGAGCGAAAGAGCCTAAGCTTGAGAAGAGGCGTTGCCTTTCTGCTTTAGGAGAAATCGTGAAGCTCGGCAAAAGTCGAGTCACGCGTGCACTGCCGCAAATATGTGCATGCCTACGGTCAGGTCTCGACGACGCGGAGTTATGTAATGCAGCGTTCGCTTCATGGGCAGCAATGATCAAGTCGTTGAAGGATGGTGACATTGAACCCCTGATCGATCAGACAATTGCTATCATAGTTCAAACTTGGGGACTACTGGACAGTACTTCCCAGCAACAGGCCTATGATGTAGTAGGCGATCTCCTGAGAAACCACACAGACCTTGTCAGAGAGAACTTTGATACAATTCCTTCACTGTCCACAATCCCTGTCATGACCAAGTTTGAAACAGAAATTGGTGCGCTCAAACGCCAGATGGACGAACGCCACCAACTTCTTGCATATACGAAGAGACTTGGGGATGAAAATGTTACTGTTGTTGAACAGGCATTGGTCGAATTGTCCCCGCTTCTACAACAGAAACAGGAATTTTTGCAGCGTTGCATACTCCAGGAACAGCCGGATGAGTTTGTTGCCGGTCTCACGCGTGCTTTGCTCGATGCATGTATCAAGTTCAACACCAGTTCTCGCATTACAGGACTGTGCGGCCGGTGTTTAGGTAGCATCGGGTGTTTGGATCCAAGTAAAATCGAGAGTGTTCGGGAACGCAAGACAATGGTTGTTCTATCAAACTTTGTGAAAGCCGACGAGGTTAGAGAGTGGGTGTTCCTATTCCTACAGACTGTCCTCGTCCCATCATTTTTATCAGCAACAACAACGAGAGCACAAGGTTTCCTTGGATGGGCAATGCAAGAATTCCTCAAATCCTGCGAACAAGACAGTCCAACCAAAACCAAGTCCGGTAAGCTTGCCAAACAATTGTGGGAAGAACTGCCCGAAACCATGAAGAATACAATGACTCCATTCTTGACTTCGAGGTATACCGTTCAAGAAATGAGAGCACCACCGAAGTGCCAATATCCTTTTTTCGAACCAGGCATGAAGCATCGAGACTGGCTCCGAGCTATAACATTAGATTTCCTTCACCGCGGACCAGGTGAAAACGTCGATATCGTCTTCGCCATTGCCTGCAGGATCGTCAACGGTCAAGACATCGCGATACCAGCTTTCTTACTGCCATACGCTACTGTGAACCTCATTGTTAGTGGGGTTGAAAGTGACAGTCAGGAGATCATCAAGGAGATCACTTCCATACTCAGTTATTCACTAAATGGGCAGGATGGTCGCGTGCAGGATGATATCAAGCTGTGTAGTCAAACGGTATTTGAGATACTGGACTATATGACGAGTTGGCATCAACAGAAACGAAAAAAGCACTCCCAAGACGTGGCTCGTTCAGAGCGCAGTGGTAAGATTGAGGCTGTCCTTGAAAGTACTGCTGCACAAATACGAAGCATTGAGCGAGTTTTGGAAAGCATTCCACCCGATGTTTTGGCCCGGCGGTCGTTGGAGTGTAAGTCCTACGCACGAGCACTTTTCCACTGGGAACAACACATCCGCCGGTCAAAATCCGACAATGTTGAGGCTGAATTACAACGACTACAAGACATATACGCCCAGATTGACGAGCCCGATGGTATTGAGGGAATATCTTCTCGCATGCATGTCCTTGATATCGAGCAGCAAGTACTGGAGCATCGAAAGGCTGGTCGGTGGACAGCTGCACAGAGTTGGTATGAAATGCAACTTATTGCCCATCCAGACGACGTCGACGTACAAAAGAACTTGATGGTCTGTCTTAAAGAATCTGGGCAATACGACGTGCTCCTTCACCATTTCGATGATATCAAAAGTCGCAACACAACTTCCACTACCTTGAGTTCATACGCGATCGAAGCTGCCTGGGCGACCAACAGGTGGGACCGGCTTTCCACTTACTTACCCAAGGCTGGCGGCTCTGACTTTGCATCGCACATTGCAGAAATTATACTAGCGATCAACGAGAACGACGACACCAAAACCTTCAACCTGATTGAAGAACTGTATCGTATAACTGCATCAGAGTTTACACCAAATACTATTTCTTCCTTGCATGCGGGACATGACACATTGTTGAAGCTCCACTTGCTCAACGATCTTGAGCTAATGACATCGAGTTCAACGATGGACCGGCTCTCTGTACTTGAGAAGCTGCGCGGTCGTCTCGATGTGCTTGGTTCCAATGTAACAGATAAGCAGTATCTCCTTGGAGTACGACGTGCGGTCATGTCACTTCGTCCAGATATGTTCATCCCAATCGATATTTCAGCGGCTTGGCTCTCAACCGCCCGCCTAGCACGCAAGGCCAGGTCTACTACCCAAGCCTTCAATGCTGTTTTAAAAGCCTCCGCCTTGGGTGACAAATCAGCTGCTATCGAACATGCCAAGCTGATGTGGTTGGAAGGGCATCATCGAAAGGCAATTCAGACTCTAGAAAGCGCAATTGAGTCAGGTGCCTTTGTTGCTCACGACTATGTTACTGAGGCTGGGGCGGTTAGTATGACCGCAGAGCAACGACATTCGCAAAATGCAGTCACAGCAAAGGCAAACGTTCTGCTGGGCAAATGGCTTGACCAGTCAGGCCAAACGCAATCCGACATTATCAAAAGTACGTTCGGCAAAGCAACATTAAGCTTTCGCAAGTGGGAAAAGGGTTGGTACCATTTGGGTCGTTATTACAACAAGATACTAGATTCGGAAAAAGCGATGCCCCCGGGAAAAGAAAGCCAGACGTTCTTGACGGGTGAAGCAACAAAAGTTGTCATCGACAACTACCTAAGATCGCTTCTCAACGGTAGCAAGTATGTCTTTCAGACACTGCCAAAGATTCTGACTCTCTGGCTGGAACTAGTCGACGGCATGTCCATTCAGCCAGATCCACGACGAGGAAACGCAGAATTCCATGCACACAACGCAGTGCAGAGGAAGCGCGTCATGGAAGAGACGAACAACCAGATTAAAAAGTATATGGAACGACTACAACCTGCTCTTCTCTATACAATCCTGCCACAAGTGGTTGCTCGAATCTGCCACAAAAACGAAACTGTCTCGGATCTGCTTGGGAGCATTGTTGTCAAAGTGGTGAGAATATTTCCGCAGCAGGCGTATTGGACATTACTAGCTGTTGTGGAATCGCAACAAAAAGACCGCGCGGTCAAAGGGCTCGCCCTCGTCAAGAAAATTGTAGAAGTTCAAAAGAAGTCTTCAAAAGATGCCTCAGCAGCTGATTTGAGGAATCTATTCACAACAGGGCAAAAGTTCACAAGAGAGCTTATTCGCATTTCCGACTATGGGATTGAAGGTCGAGTCTCCAAAGTGAGCCTGTCTAAGGATCTTGGTTTTAACCACAAAATTGCACCGTCGAAATTGGTGGTCCCAATTCAAGCTTGCTTGATACCAAGCATGCCCACGAGCTTTGAACCTGCACAACTAAAAGCATTCCGACCGTTCGCCAAGGACCCCATTACGGTCTCTGCATTCGTGGACGAAGCCGTTGTTCTTTCTTCTCTTCAGAAGCCCCGCAAGCTCACCATCCGAGGGTCCGACGGTGGCCTCTACAACGTCTTGGCAAAGCCGAAGGATGATCTGCGCAAAGACCAGCGTCTGATGGAGTTCAATACGATGATCAACCGTTTCCTCAAGCGAGATGTCGATGCCGCAAAGCGTAGACTCTACATCCGCACATATGCAGTCATTCCATTGAATGAAGAATGCGGATTGATCGAGTGGGTGGACAACCTCAAGACGTTCAGAGACATCATACTCAAACTATACAAGGACAAGTCCATCCAGCCCAACTATGTGGAGATCCGCAAAGCATTAGACGAGTCCTGCTCTGGAGATCCCGAAAAGGTGCAGATTTTCACTAACAAAGTGCTTGCCAACTTCCCGCCTGTGTTCCACGAATGGTTCGTCGAATCATTCCCGGACCCAAGCGCATGGTTCAACGCGCGGCTCCGGTACACTCGTTCCGCTGCCGTGATGTCCATCGTGGGCCACGTCCTCGGGCTGGGTGACCGCCACGGCGAGAACATCCTCTTCGAAGAAGACAATGGCGGCACCCTGCACGTAGACTTCAACTGCCTGTTTGACAAAGGCCTGACGTTCGAGAAGCCCGAGACAGTCCCGTTCCGCTTGACCCACAACATGATCGATGCCATGGGCGCGTACGGCTACGAAGGGCCTTTCCGCCGTTGCTGCGAGATCACCCTCACGCTGCTCCGCAGCAACCAGGACGCGTTGATGACCATCCTTGAGACATTCCTTCATGACCCAACGACAGATTTCATCAACGGCCCCGGAAGGAAGAAGAAAAGCGTCAACGGCGTCCCGAATACACCGGTGGAGGTTCTCGATGGAGTTAGGACGAAGGTTAGGGGTTTGCTTGCTGGTGAGAGCGTGCCGTTGAGTGTTGGGGGCTACGTCGAGGAGATGATTCAGCGTGCTACTGCTGAGCAAAATCTCTGTAAGATGTATATCGGTTGGTGTGCATTCTTTTAGTGAAGTATATGGAATGAACAGTTTACCCCGTTAGCTTAGAGTGCGGTGCTTGAGACTTGGTTTCGGTGTCTTGACGCCACGTCCGTCGTCCGATAGTATTGTTTTTCTTTCACTCTTAAAGAGATTATTGCTATCGACAGAAACAGTGAGAACAGCATGTCTTAGATTCTCTTATGATATCAAGTCGTCGTGGTCAATACAAAGCCATTACACATGAACGAGCGCCGTTGTTGGTATGATAGCTCCTTACTTCTAGGGTCATATAAACCTGAAGCCTCTTTTCAGCTGCAACTCCGGAAGTCCGTAGCCAAATATCCATGTCAGGTCATGGCAGGTACATGCCGGCACCACAGGATTTACTCTTCCTGTGGCGCAGGGGACGAAGAGAACATGCCCTCCGCTTCGAAATCTTCTCCCTCCGCCTCCTGCGCCTCCTTCGCCATCAACTCGCTGGCAGTCTGCAGAAATGGAAGCCCATCGTTGTTCTCAGCTAGAGGTTGATCCACTTGTGCCTCGATGTTTTCATGTGAAGCTTCGCAGGCGTTGTCTCGTCCGATGGTGTATGGCAGGGACACAGTGGTCCCAGTAGATGGCCTGGGGACTGTTTGTTGGGTCTGTCGTACGTCCTGTTCTGCTAGCAGGGCGTCCAAATTGTCCAAGTCATCGTCCTCAAAGATGCCACCTGTACGCTTCGGTGCAGCAGGTCCGCTTTGTAGAGATTGGATCTGCGCCAGCGGTGATCTTGGCCGCACCTCTGCTTCTTGTTCTGCAAGAAGCGCGTCGAGCTCGTCCTCATCGTTGTCGTCAAATGGAGCGTGAGGAGTCGGTCTGGGTTGCTCATTGCGATTGTGGGAAGAAGTGGGCGCTTGCACCCGTCGAGTTTCTTGTTCTGCCAGCAACGCATCGAGATCGTCTTCGCCTTCAGAGTCGATGTTGGTCGTGGTTTGGGCTTTGGAAGGTGCTTGTCGTGCGTCTTGCTCGGCCAGAAGTGCTTCCAATTCATCGTCCTCAGGCAATTCATCATTGGCGGTGGAATATCGATTTGTGTTTAAGTCGCTAACGAACAGTGAGTTATTTGCCATACCCACACCTGGAGACGCATTTGGTGCAGCATCCGATGTCTGCTCCAGTTGATTCTCTGTCGTGGCAGGGTCTCCAGCACCATAAAGATCGTCATCCTCGAACTCATCCTTTCCAGCCAGCGACTTTTTAGAGACGTACCCTGGCTTGCTCTCATCGATCCATTCTTTCCTCATGACGTTCATACGCTTGCTGTGACCAACTTTCTCGATCAATTGCAGTCCATCGGCAAACTTCGCCCTTGGATACAGGTTGTCCAGCCATTGCTGGTAATAGTTGAGTAGGCGTGCCGCATCAGAGAACTCATGTCCTTTGCCTTTCAACCGCAGTTTCTTCGAAATCTTCCCTGACCTTGCTAATTCACGCAGGTTGGGTATTCCCGGTGCTGAAAGAAGTCTATCGCGCTGGAATAAGAACGATGGAATTGTCATCGAGGATTAAACTTACCTTGCTTCGTCGAGTTTGGCAATGGGTTTTCTCTTCTTCTTGATCTGGACTTCTTCGTCAATACCTAGCTCGTCGTCCCCATCATCGGCTTTCCTCTTCGTATACCTTGGGCTTAAATTTGCTTTATCGTCGCGTGTTACCTTGGTCGTCTTATCGCCAAACGGATCCTCATCATCAGTAGTGTCATAGTTGAAGAGGTCATCAGCAGTTGCCGCGGTGAGCGGGTCTGCTGCCATTTTGGTGTAATTTCGGGCGTTCAGATTGTTGTATGAAAGAACATAAGTTGAATTGGATGGTGATCATCTTCGAAAGGGACGCGTCGCGCGACAGCCTCGTGTTGGTCTGTAATGGAAAGTCTCCGAGTGGCTACGTCATTTGAAATTACCTTGGCATTGAATTTCCACTAGTCCTACTTAGGATAAGCTCCTGTTGAGCTCCGCAGCCCAGATCGAACCTCACATTTGCACGTTAGCAGAAGCCGTGTAGAAGACAAAAGTTGTCTGCAGCCATGGCAGAAGAGCAGAGAGCCTTCATCCCGCCCAAGCGGCCAAACACTGATTATCCTGTAAGCTTAGAGATTCGCTGGACATGAATCACGTTAGACTGACTGTTTTGAACAGGTTATTGACACTGACCCGTACGTCTCCATCTCCGTGCATATACAGTCCTTGAAGCTCTGATGAATGGTTGACTGACATTGGGACTTATTACAGTCACTGGAGACGAGCATTTGGCTATGCCAGGCCTGAAGATTGGACGTACGGAGCCGGAGTTGCAGCCATAGGACCCGCCTTCATGCTCATGACCGAACGATATGCCCCGTCTTTCGCCGGCAAAGGCGCATTCCCTCCTGTCTTCAGACTGAGTGTCGGCATCGGTCTACTCGCCGGTGCTGGCATGGTATACCAGCGAAGTTGCCGTACGTAAAATTACATCCATGGCGTGAATTATATAGGATTCGCAGACAGCTAATATAGGATCTGGGATAGTCCGATTTTACGGCTGGACTGAGAATGACCGAGAAGTTAAGAGAGACATGAGAGAAATGGTCGAAAAGGTCAAGAAGGGCGAGCCATTGTATGGCGTGAGCGACCTCAGTGAATACCACCAGGGTGTTGCGGCACGGAATAGCAGATACTCGGCCTTACTAGCACACATTGTTCCTTGGGCAAACTTCGTCAATCACAACCAGGTCAGTTCGCCAATGTGGTATAACCCCCCTTCATCGCGCTGATGTTCTTTAGCACGGTGTGGACACCGCCAAATATTATCAGCAAGCCGAACGAGAGCTAGAAGCTTCGCGATTATCGAAACAGAGTCGGTAACTTTTGGGCCAATCTCTCCGCCCGGTGCGAGATTCAAAGTTATAAAGGAAACAGAAAGAGCAAGAGCACTAGCTCTTTAGCTATTGTACATACAACGGTGGGAAGAAGGTTATGTAGCTGTTCTAAAGGCACTGCCCGTGAATCAAAAAGCAAAGTTGTCACAGATTAGATTTGCTCTGGATTTATTCTCAACCCTTGTTTTGTCGATGTCTGGAGGCTCGATCTACTGGTGTTCTGTAGTTATGTTAACAGTCCAATGAACCTGTGCCAAAACCTGCAACCGTGACCTTGTGCTCAATGAGCCGGTTTCTACGTTTAACACTTATGACACATGCAGAACAACAAGGAAATGAAGACCTGCTGTTGCCATATAAGAATGCAAGAAGACCTTGGAGGGCCGGGGAGAGTAGATATTATCAACCAGAGTTCACCATGAGCCAGAGCAAATGGCAAGTGACTGCTACTGACAAGTGTAACGTTATGAATTTCGTGTCACGGCTATCCAGCGATGAAAAGTGCATACATATTATTATCTTATTGACAACATCGAGCCCTATGTACGTCCATGAACCCCACTAACAATGCCAAAGGCCTCCTCCATGACACGAAGCTATTTAGAGTTAGTATCCGAACTGAGAGCATATTCAAGAGCGGCATATTGATGAGGCGAGCTGGTAAAGAACGGGTGGTCGATGGTACAATTGTGTATTTCACGCTAAATATTGCATTGACAATTCTTCCCTTTCAATGGTGACCTCCTCGTTCAGAAGGCACTTGTATCTTGCTACCTGGGGAGGCGCCTATGCCCCTTTCCAGCGTCTTGACTGACAACCTCGCCCCTCTTGTCGACGTCTACCGGTTGCCGGTGCGAGAATTAGCAGGCTGTGATTAACTCGTGCCAACATCGGAGGAGCATTTGTTAGCGATGCATGCCCTTCGTAAATATTTCGGCATCCAGTGACAAAAGAGAGCGTTCGGCGGGATCAGATCAGCGCCCGATGTTTGAGTCAGTGAAACATCTATCGATCCGTTGAGAGGGCCAGCTGACGTTGGGAACCGGGTCGACCTGTGAGGCAATCATGAATGGATTGCAGGTACGAGATCGCTGGATGCGTAAGGCTGCAGCAGAGACGATCTTATCGAGCAAATTGCCTAGGTAGTGCGGAATATCACCTCAATTCCTCTGAAGCGTGGCCATTGTGGTGCCAGCATAACCAGTGGGATGGACACCATCGGATTCGTGATGAGGATGTTAGAAAAGGCAACTGGCTGGCTGATGGCTCTGGACCCGTCGCAGGTGGCTTGTGAGTAGTAGATGTTGGTGGTCTCGTCCAAGACAAAGGATACATTGATTCTTGAAGCTTTAGGTCGGCGTTTTCCTAGCGGGTGCGAATCTCGCCCAAGATGTCGATCGATAGGATACGACCCGCCTTGTCTTTCGGATTGCGGCTCCAACTTGATATTTGACTGTTGCTGCCTTGCTATGAAACGTATGATCCGCTTTTGCATAGCGTGAGAACAACCTTCCTCAACCCTGTATAGGGTTTCAGGACACTTTCTCTCTCTTTGCAGCCATTCCTATATCATACCTATGGTACCGTGTACTGATTCAGATCTTGAAAAGGCGGGGTCCGGTCAAGGCGGCTGGAAGCGTGCAGAAGGTGGTTTTAGGTTTGTTCCTCGGGCGCTCTTTTATACCTCAGACTTCACGTTGTCCACCAATGACTCACCCTTCAACTCTCAGTAAGGAGCCTGTGTTGTCAGCGTTCAGAAGGGTGGAGATGCTCATCATCTCCTTCACCCTGTCATTCTTAACGGGGTTAAGAAGCTCCTCTATTTTCACAACTCTGTTTCTCCCCTGGCTTTGGGGTGCTTGGCTATCGCCCTCCCAGGCGAGAACCACCGTGGGCATTCCTTTGGCTCTCTTCCACGCCTCGAACTCAGTTAACGCCTCCTCCTCACTGAGGAGTGGTGGAGGAAGCATGAACTCTGGCACGTCGGTATCCTGCTCACCTTCGGTGCCAGATGGGGGCTCCTGGTCGTTGCGGGGTTGTCTCAGAGCATGGTCAGCCCCGTTCGCAGCCAGAAGCGCACCATCTGTATTTGGTGGAAGGTTTATTGGTGATTTCAGGATCGTAAGACCCGGGTACGTGTTGTAATGAAAGATTTTGGAAGACATGGTAATTAATTGATCAGGGGAGAGGTTAGTGAGACTGTGTATCAGATCGAAGAGACGGGATGCTGGTCAGACTGTATTAGAGTTGAACAGACGGGAGGTTGTAGTAGAAAAAACTGTACTATGCAGAATCGAAGACTCTGGTTTGCAAGGGTAGGGAGCTTTCCAGGATTATATATGAAATGTGCTTTGGAGAGAAATTTTCATGGTAGAGGTCCCCATCGTAGAGGTTCTCACCATAGAGGTCCTCACGGAAGCCTCCATTCTCATAGTAAGGTTTTCCATTTGGAGTTCAAAAACAAACAACGCGTGGTACGTCTAATCATTCGTAGCATCCATACGAATACTTTCCTACCTTATGACCGTGAAACCTTTGCCTATGCACAAGAGATCGGGCTGCAAATGCTTTACCTTGCAGCCAGACTTGTTGTTCAGAATGTTCGATTGGGTTGCAGGCAGCTCCATTGCTTATGAGAGCTCCTCGTGAGGGTATTTGGAAAATTGATGACCTGCTCTCCGATTGGAGTTTTGATTCATCCTTCCTGAATGTCCATGTCATTTTTTAATGATCCATAACATTAGACTTGCCTCCATTGTGGACATTGTTTAGTGAGGTCGATGATATTCTAAGCTTCATAGAGCCACGTTTGCAGTGAATTTTCGTCTATTTTGTGATCAAGAGACTATTGTAGAATCGCTTCCACAACCAAAGATGAGCGCATGTTCCTCTGTGGATATGGTAGTATTGGTTAGATGTGAGACTAGGGGAGTGGTGAAGCTTGGGCTGTGAGGATAAGGTCAAGATGAACTGGATTCTGCGGGTTGTGACATGATTGGTCATTCGTTAAGGGACGCAATAAAACGGGGGCGTTGCCGCCTTTAGGCGCCAAAGGCGCCAAGCTAAAATCACATGCCTTTCCCCTGAAACCATGGGGGCAGCCACCCCAAACGGATAGGGCAAGTTATCCGGGTCGACTATCGGACAACTATTCACTTCTGAAGGGACCCGAAACACTTTCTGGCACCGAAGAACGAGCTGACACTGGTGCTCCAGTGTATCTCAACATGATCTTAAGGTCAGAATTTTTGTTTCTGGCTTCTTATCTGTCTACTCCGGCATGGGCAGCTGAAACCAGAGCTTCGTCATCGTCGAGGCCTCGAGGGGTTAGTCCTGAATGTAAGAATGCTCACAGTTGATTCCTTGGTGGCTTTTACAACATATTTGCGATCTGGAACAGAAGCTGAGAGATTTGGAAGGCTAACATGATCCTCAAGTTGCTAAATTCTATAAAAGTACCGACTCAAACACTTTCACATGCATATCCAATCCTTCTGTAACGATCCCCTTCTCACGGGTCAATGACGATTTCTGTGACTGTCCCGACGGTTCAGATGAGCCCGGAACAGCCGCATGCTCATATCTCTCCCCTTTATCTCCTCCACAATACCGCCCAGGGCCGGACACCCCAGCTGCGTCCGTGAACAGTACATTAGCCCTCCCAGGATTCTACTGCAAGAACAAAGGTCATCAGCCCTCCTACATCCGCTTCGAGAGTGTCAATGATGGAAAATGCGACTATGATTTATGTTGTGACGGCTCAGACGAGTGGGCTCAAGTCGGAGGAAATAAATGTCTGGACAAGTGCAAGGAGATTGGGACTGAGTTCAGGAAGAATCAGGAAGTGAAACAGAAGGCCTTGAAGGCAGCTCTAAAGCGAAAGAGTGCACTAGCAGCTGAGGCCTCTAGGCTGAAGCGGGAGGTTGAGCTCTCAGTGGAGACTGCTGAACTTAAGCTCAAGGGCTTCCAGCTGAAGGCAACCGAGGCAGAAGATACACTGAAGGATGTGGAACGGAGAGAAAAACTTCGGATCGTTCGAGGTGAAGCCGCAGGACAAGGTGGAGGAAAACTGGCTGTTCTCATTGGGCTGGCTCGTTCGCGAGTCGAGGAGCTCCGCGGTCACCTAGAGACAACGAAGAAACAGCGTGATGCGATGGTGGGCAGAGTCACGGAACTCGAAAAGCTCCTGGCCGCTCTGAAGGACGAACACAATCCCAACTTCAACGATGAAGGCGTGAAACGTGCAGTACGAGGCTGGGAGGATTACGCTGCTCGCGACACAGATGACAGTTGGACAGACGCTGAGGACCGTGACCTCTTCGCTGTCATGGCCATTGATAGTGATGCCAACGGCATTAACTGGAATGAATTCCAGGAAGAGCCTACAGAGCCCGAATCTGACGTTGCTGCACTTTATCAATTCCGGTCCTACCTCCCCGATAACGTCCGCCTGTGGATCGATGAGAAATCCGCCTCGATCCGACAGATCCTAGTCCAGAATGGTGTGCTACCCGACACAGCCTCTCCGTCTGCCGGTGCGACTGCATCGGAGAGCAAAGCAGTGCAGGATGCGAAGAAACTCCTCTCGGACGCAGAACGCGATGTGAAGAACGCAGAAAACGATCTGAAGAGACATCGCGAAGATCTACAAAAGGACTATGGGCCATACGACGGCATCTTCCGTGCCCTCAAGGACGTTTGCATTTCGAAGGACAGCGGCGAGTACGAGTATGAGCTTTGCTTCCTCGCCCAGACGAAACAGAAATCTAAGAAGGGCGGCTCGCACACGACCATGGGTAATTTTGTTGGATTTGACACCGAGTTCGTCGACGAGGGTGCTATCCCCGCCGACGGCAAAGGACTAGGCACAGGTGAGAGATTGATCATGAAGTATGAGAATGGTCAAGGGTGCTGGAACGGGCCGAGTCGTTCGACTCGTGTATATCTCGCGTGCAGCGAGACCGACGAGGTTTGGAAGATCAGTGAGAGCGAAAAATGCGTCTACCGTATGGAGGTCGGCACTGCAGCTGTGTGTGAGCAGAGCCCTGATGGTAATACGCTGGGGTACAGCAAAGTTCTTGTCGAAGATGATGGGGTTGAAGCAGCCGCAGTGGGCAAGAAAGATGAATTGTAGTGCCCAATCTTAAGTTGTCGTGGTTGGTCATTTGTGCAGGTTAGGTGTTTTCGGTTCGATCTGGATGATCGTCATTGGAACTTGGCCCTGTAGATTGCTTTTGCTCAAAAAGCAAGATGCTTGAGACTTGAAAATACGGTGGTCAATGAACAACCGCTATTTCCGAACATCTGACTTGAGATTTCAAGATTCAATTGCTAGCCTCTCAACCTCAATGCGTGCATATATGTATTGGAAAGGTCGAGGCGTGAAGGCGATAGGCTAGCAACAGAATCTATTCAAAACATGAACCTAAAATCATGGAGATGTTCAGCCACAAATCCCAAACGAAAGACATGTTGACCTCGACGAAAAGCAGACTTTTGTGACCATGCTCTGGCATCTCCAGCGCTATCTATCTACTTGGGTAAGGTTTTCATCCTACTGGGTGCATACCTACCGCCAATCTACCTTGTAAAACATATCAGTTCGGCTTGTGCCATTATTCCTTGGACAATAACCCGGGCCCATCTGCATACACACGCACCACCGTCTTTCTTTGCTTGCTATTTATTTTCTAATACATCTCCTACTATAAATGTGTCCCATTTTCCGGGGAATTCTTATCATGGAGCTCAGAACGACACCTCCTCCAAGAGCCCAGCTCGTTTCGCGCCGCCAGGAGCCGATCGTCTCCGCTTGGGCAGAGTGTTAGCCAGGCAAGAGCTGTCGCTCAACGTCAAGCAATACAGCGGGGACACGACGCGCAGGTGGCCTGGGCCTGAGCGACGTTCGTTGTGTCCGCCAGGTCTACGGCCTTCAGCACACCCGGAACCAACGCCTATCCATCCGTATGATGCACAGTCACCCGCTTGTAGGTTCAAGCAGACCAGCGTGATGTCGCTCACAATCTGTGACAGTGGACACAAGGCCGGGAACCCCCTGTGCTGCAGCTGACTTGGACGTAGCCCACGTTGGTCAATGTCTGGCATGAGGCAAGGCTACACCACCGTCGTGCACTGCGACCACAGCTGCGGCGGCGGTGGTTGTGCTTGTTCGACTTGTGGTCGAGGATGTCATGGTAGATGTGGTCGTTGAAGTGCCTGGTGTAGAAGTCGATGTTGAGGAACTAGTAGCGGTAGTAGATGTAACGAATGCGGCAGTTGTTGTGTTGCCAGTTGGCACTGCTGATGTTGACGATGTCGCGGTGACGGAATAAGACGTGCTCGTGGTTGTTCTAGATGTAGTCTAGTCGTTGCCGCTGTAGGGCCTGCTCTGATGACTACGCATATCGTTCCGAGGGTAGCCTGGAGAATGCCAGGGGGGTGTAAAGAGTGAGACCCAAGCCTGAATTCCCAGCTATTATGGATGAAGGACAGTTAGGGATGGAGGATGTTGTTTGTGAAGCTGATGCTGCGGTGATGGCAGGTCACGTATTCGAATTTGGAGTGATCGATTGGAACTACCTGTCGCTGCGATAGATGATAGTGATATAGAGGCCACGCTGGTGGCGTCTGAGTTACTCATGATGCTTCCGGTGCCGACGTCTGCTGCAGCAACAACGCATAAATCTAAAAAGTTGCCAAGGCCAATGTCTATCGCGAAATACACGCTGTTCGGCCCACGATTCCCAACCGTTCCTGGGGCGCAGCTGGACACTGACTCGGTGGTTGTACCAAAAGCTGCGACATTTGTGCTTGAGCTACTTGTCGTTGTTTGTGTAGTAATCGACATTGGGTTTGTGCTTGCAGATGATCCAGAAGCTGACGTGGAAGTGGCGACCAAAGGTGGGGCACTTGTATTAGATGCTGAAGTCACCATTGCCTGACCAAGCATGGTGGCTGAAAGCGTACTGCCAGCAATAGTACAGACTACACTAATAGAGTCCCAACCAAGATCAATTGTGAAGACAGAGTTGCCAGGTGCAGCATTGTCAACAACACCAAACCCACATACGGGTAGCTTTGACGTCGCAATGGTTGGTATAGACGGCAACATTGAAGTTAAAGATGCGATGATCATGTTGCAGAAGCTGGAGGTATGCTGATGGATAGAGGCGAGATGAATGATGTTGTGGTTGTTGCTGTGGTTGTTGCTGGGGTAGATATAGGAGACTGCCCTCTAGATATACCATTCGGCAAGCTCACCGACAAAGATCCAGACTGCGTTGAAGAAGCTTGCGCAGAGACAGAATGCACACAATTCGAAGGCGTGGAGGGAGAGATAGTTAGAATACCTGAGGTCGACGACATCGAGAGTGTAGAGTTGGTTGCAAGCCTCGAAATTGAGACGAAGAGTGAGGGAGTTGCTATTCCTGAGGAGATTATGCTAGAGGGGCTGGAGCTCGTTATTGAAACACGATTTCTTGATGGACCACTGGTGATCGTATTCGAAGCCCAAGTTCTAGTGACAGCAGAGAATGATATCGATAGGTAGATACTGGAATTCCCGCCGTTCCCTCGGATCGTCTCCGTCCCCGTGTGGCTACTAGTAGAGAGCAAGCCTATGCTACTATCGCGTGGCGGTGTGCGAGCCGTTGTTGATACACTGGAGGCAGCGTGGACAGATGTGCTAATTGAGACCAGGTTTATGCTCCTAGCACTCGAAGATATGCTAGCAGACACTGATGCGCTGGAACCCGCGGGCGTCGCTATGCTCGATAGACCACCAGGATCAAAAACTCCATATGCTCCAAGAAAATGAGTCCTCGCACAACATATGTGAACTTAGAATAGACAAGGCACCATTTTCCCATCATTCTAACATACAATTGTGAGAATATTCTGCTGATGTTTCCACACCAACCTAACAACGGGATCGATCCATGTTGGTGGGGCGGCAGCTGTCGGGAACCAAAGCACAGGGTAGGCGGCACGCACGAATATCGAGATCTTAAGAATTGGTCTTCAAGAAAGGCTTGTAGTTATCAAGGGATAGAATCTGGATTGCAATGGAATGATTGCAGGTAAGAAGAATACATCATCTTGAATGTTTGAGGTCCATGCCAAGCACTCCGAGTTGGGTATTCCGGAAGAATTTAGCTCCGAGAGACTCGTTCGCAAAAGCAGCGTGAGCCGCGTGACTTGAGTTGTTCCGACGTAAGGGGCCTCATTAGTAAGCGGCTTGCCTCGGCGACGAGCGTGGACGACCACCCATCTCCTTCGCTGCCGTGCCTCACTCTTGTTCCTGTGCACCGACCCTCTCTGTGACTGGTTCAGTTCTCGTGTGCAATGTTCAACGAACCCTTGTCCAGGTGCCCCCGTTCTCCATCTCGACTTGGCCAGTAGGGACATGAATTGTCGACGTGATGGAAGGGAGCAGGGTCAGGCTACCTAAGGCATGTGAGCAATGTCGGCGAATGAAGAAAAGATGCCATCCTCCGTTCCCTTATCAAACATGCTCCCGGTCAGGCTTGGACTGTGTGGTCCCGCCCAAAGGCCAGGTATAGCATCTATCCTCACTGAGGCTGCTGGCTCTGACCTGAATGCATCTCTAGACCCCTCCGAACATCCAAGCATAATAACTTCCCATTTGCATCAATTGAAGGTGATACAGATACTCCAGACATTCTACCAGCAAAGCCAATAGACCAAGCATCATTGAGTCAATCGCCTAGCACTCAGGCACCTCGAACTCCATCCGGGTCGAAGGCGGGTGACCCTTTCGACGTGATCCGCCCGCTCATTGCTCGCACCGCCCCAGAGGGACTGCGCAAGGTTTCAATATGTTTGTGACGCATTATCTGATACTCGTAACCAGAAAATGAGCCTTTATGCGAGCTTCCAGAACCACTATCAACTACAGCTTCTAACATGGTCGATTACGCTCTCGGATATTGAACAAATGCTCAACACGGCTGGCGAGTCCAGAGGGTTGCAAATTGACCTACTCGACTTACTTCAGCTGCGTCAGGCCGCCGGCGATCTTTTTCATGGTTCATCTCTTTTTTCACAACTTGGCCACATCAACCTTCGCCCGGAGAATGTTTCCCTAGACCGATTAAGCCTTCTTTTTGGGACCCTTGCCATTCACAGCTCTCCCAATCCCAACCCACAGATCATGCCCGCGTTCCTTGAACTTTCGACCATGATGATGGACAACTACACCGAGATTCAACGCTGGAACTAGTTTCTATTCTTTTTATTCAACATTGCTGTGTGCTCCGGACGGGTATAGGGAACAGAGGGAGGGCTCTAGTCGCCCCCCGCCGTACAGGTGACCCACGATTTAGGCATTCAACAACTTGACCATAGTGTCCATACCCAGCCTCTACGTGTTTACCTCATGATCTACTTTGCTAACCAGTGAGTGAGCATAAGAAACTCATCCTTGATCAATCGTTGCTAATGCCTCTCAGGTACTGCTCCATGACGCATGCTATAGCCCCGTTTATCAACACGCCGGAAATATCACCGGATCTATTCAATCCTCTTCTAACCAAGTATCCAACCTTGCGAAGGTTTGTGCACCTTATCTCACTCAATGGCGAGGTCCTAGAAACTTTACACACTCGGCCTTACACATACGAGATTGTCCAAGATCTAGAATCCATCATGTGCCGTGTCTGCTCAACCATCGGGAAGCCGAAGTCTCCCAAGGGGGACAATGGGCAGACCTGTGAGCTCAACTATGAGGTGCTGGTCCAAATACATGTATTCTGGTAAGTTTTTACTTTGATCTCGGAGAGCATGTCCCAATTGGCTTTCCTAACACACCTCTAAGTCTCGAGTTATCCTACGGGCACCACTTCTCCTCTCAGAAGCACACTGGATTCTATCCTTGAGTATCTGCCTTGGCGCAGCGCAGATATTGCTCACAATTTATTTCGACATTTCCAGCCCTGTAATCTCGTTGATGGCAACCACCGAATGCAGTGCTATGACGATACACTGGGAAGGCAGCTTCAATCCGTCATCACGTTGCCCCCGACTTGGCGCCAGGTTCGCACAATCACAACAGCCGTGTGCATCACTATCTACGCGTACTAGAAAGGGGAATCTTCTTCCGAAGAAGCCTCTCGGTCAGTCGCTACGGCCCTCACGCTTTTAGAATTCCAGAGGACTAGATGGAGGGCTGATGTCCAACCCGCAATATCAACGGCCAGAAGTCTTTCCAAGTCCAGCGGTCTACATATTCGGCCTTTCGTGCAGCAGCTCGTGCCAGATGCAACTGTTGCCTACCTTGCAATCATCTCGGAGGAACTTGCTCGAGATGAAGAGCCAAGCAACTGTGTCAGAAATCTGCAAGGCGCTCCGGGCAAGGGAACCTACCAAGAGCTGGTCCCTACGCTTGGAACAGCATGGTGGGAGCAGAACGACCTTGGGGACGTTGTTAATGCGGTACCAATATATGACTTTTCGAGCTTCGCACTATGGGACACACCTGCCCGGTGATGTTAACAACCACCTCGGGGCATAAAGGGCCTGTGCTGACGGCTACCGAAAGGGGGACTCTCGTTCCCTTCATAGTAACCATTGGTAGCTACTTCGGCCAAGCCAGAGTAGATACAATAATTCACAACAAATACCTGAAATACTGATTGTCCATGCTAGTCCGATCGTCGAAGGTTGCAAAGTTGCTGTGGATTCCTCAATTCTGCCAAACTTCCGATTATGGACGGAATTCTGCCATTGGAGGTAGACGCGAAGCAGTAAGCTGCCAAGAAGCGTTTTAGATGCCTTGAAACTAGTCGGAGAATGCTCATGCGCTTCTGAGGTTTTTTTGATGGTCAATGGGGCGACACCATTCGAGATACCCCACGCGCACTAGATCAGGCCGGAGGTAAATGCCTTCTTTGTATGGCCTGCTGTGTTGGCTCCTAAAATTGCCAAAATCATCATGTACGCTGCTGCAAGCGACCCCAGGCAAATGAATCCAGCAATGGCAGCGCCACGGCTGGTCACCCAATCCTTCTTCCAGACAAGAAGCGAGCCAATGATCACAGGAATCTCTACCACAGCCATGAGAATGGTTCGAACATTCCGGAAGTGTGTGCCAGTCAATCCTGCTATGATGAGAGAGACGACGACACTGGCCCCTGTCGCCCCAACCAAGAGAATAGCCTTGAGATGCGAGTAGCCGAACCTCCTGGTAATGATCGAACCGAAGCCGGAAACGCTGCCATTGACGAAGTGGATGCAGAAAGTTGTACCGAACATGATCCACGGTTTGGGGTCGACAAGGCCTTCTTTGACTTGGTACAATTTGAACTTCTTTTTCTCAATACCAGGCTGCTCGGAACGCATTCTTTCGACTGCGACGATCTTTTCCCTGTCACTGAGAAAGCGGACAGTTATCTGACTGTCGGGCAGCGCGAAAACCACAAAGACACCCCAGAGAATAATGACTGCGCCAAGGATGAGGTATTGTTACTTCCACTGGCTGAGGCTACCGTGGATGTGCCCAATTCCGTAGACGAGTAAGGAACCAACGAGGACTCCCAACCCACAGGAAGTGTACCAAATTGAGAACCGGAGCGGCTGCTTTGCCTTCTTCCATCACATTGCAATGACAATAGAAAAACCAGGAGCAACGGCACACTCCGTGAAGCCGAGGAAGAATCTGTCATTTCTGTCGTTAATTTGATATCGCTAGGCATTGGCGAGATGAGGAATAGAGTGTGCAAGACCTTTGTACCAGGAAACCTTGGTAATTCGTGCAAAAACCGGTGAGCATCACTACCGCACCCCAGACAATCACCGTGCCCCCGAGAAATTTGGCAATGGGCAATTGCTGCGCCATTTAGGATGCTGGAAGTACTAGACCTATCATCAATCTTTCTCTGCAGCATCTTCTGTCTCGGTTGCGTACTTGCAGCCCGCTAGTCAACCCCATTAGAAGATGAGTGTCGCATTGGAAAACCTTTTGAGATTCAAAATATGTTGGCTGGTTTGAGGGTCAATTCCCTGGATGATATACAAGTGTAAGTCCTGGACATGCCGAATTGGGCAGCACCGTTGAGGATGGCTTTGTCAATGTACTGCATGATTAAGGTGATCATGAGTGGCATGATGTACCAATCAATCTTTCTGACGACACGCCTCTCCTCAGCTCCGGAAATCGTGTCGATGGGCGAATCAGTCACCAGCTTGACGGCAACATCGCTTCTCCCGTCCTCAGACTCGGCCTCAGCCTCTGCTGAATGTGCAGGTGAGTTTTCAAGAGGGATCGGAGTCTCTTTTCACAATCAACCTGGTCGTCAGAGCGTGAATTCAAGGGCTTTATATGTCCTAGCTAACCTCCTTCGCATAACCTGGAGGAAAGCTTCTATCCGCTGCTACTTAGATCTCATGAACAATAATATGGAAAAGTGGGCCAAGGCACCCGAAAAATCCGGTCAAACTCTCGTAAGCAGATGCGCGAACTCCATTCCGAACCTGAAATCTTGTGGGCTAATAACTTTGACTGGGACAGACTGAAACCCAGATTAATTGCAGAGTACTGCGAAAGAGAATTCTTTGGAGCCTCGGAATTCCGCTTTGCTGTATATTCGATCGGCAGATGCTATATATATCTGACTCCGCCCATGTACATCCGCACGACCACACTCAAGAGAACTGTTCAGAACCCACGACAAGATAATCAATGTGCCATAAATTAGCGTCCCATACAAACGCCCAATTGATGAGAAGACAATAAGAGACCCAGGTTCTGGGTCAAAATATCAAGAGTAGGGTATATAACGAATTTTGGTTCCTGCTCTATGAGGATACCCGTTGTATTTTTATCCCGTACTTTGTAACCTCTTATTACCCCAGGAGCCTTTTCCTCCTTGCAAGATTTCACCTCAAGTCTTCGATAAATACGGTGAAGCAGATCCTCTTATGTCACGTCCTTACATTAGGACAAAATAAATATATCATCCTTGATTGCTTCTGGTGGACGTTCAAAGCCAGCAGTCACGAGTTCGTCACGTCATATAGCCGACCAAAAACTCCAGGACGTTCTCACAGATTTTGCTATTCCATACCCAAGTTCTCCCAATAGCCCCGATGTTGTTTACAAAGGCGCGATCCCCCTCCCCGAAAGACTCATTCTGAGAAGATAACCCTGTCACTAGTAGGTACCATCCCATCGCTGGCCAACGCGATTGCAGCAGCTCAGATATTCGAAGCTCGTGAAGGCTTGAACCAACGCATAGAAGTCGACCTGAGAAGAGGAGATACTTATATAGACGCTGACATCGGCATGACACCCACACTCAATGGCAAGGAGGTCACTATCGATATGCTCGTCGGAAATCCATTCATGAGAAATATATTTGAGACCAAGGATGGGAGATATGCCGTGCTGAGTGCAGTATATGTCGACCTGGTGTACAAGTGGACGTCATTCTTAGGCTGCTCAGTGGCAGAGAGTGATGTGCGACAGAAAGTGAAACAGTGAATTAGGTCCGGTACGTCCCATCATGATGGCGAAAAGCGAGCTCTCTTGCTTTCCAGCTAATGTACTGGCTCTTTCAACCTATCTAGACTTGGAAGCAGCTGCCACAGAGGCTGGCCTGCCAATGGCCCTCTGCCAAACGGAAGTATCATGGGCGCACATCCTCAAGGCTCTCACCTAGTAAAGTTCCCAAGGGTCCCAGTCGAACGACATGCGTCCAGCCTTTCTGGAGCCCCTCCTTCTCCATCTCCGTATCTCCCTGCCAATCCAACACGTCCACTGTCTGGCCTCCGTGTACAGTGCGTTACTCACGCCATCGCCGGTCCTTCAATGGGTCGCACTTTGGCTGAGCATGGTGCCTCCGTCCTCCAGATCATGTTTACACACGGCTTCGAGCATACTTTCGTCTATACATGCGCCAATTTGGGCACCGCATCCAGTAGACTCAACCTACACAAGGAAGCTGATCGCGAGAGGCTTTCCACATTGGTAAAAGATGCGCACGCGTGGGTTGATAGCTACCGAGACGGTGCTATCTCCAAGTTCGGGTTTAGCGACGACGACAGCCGAAGCCTTAACCAAAGCATTATCTTATGTCGTGTACGTCTCTATGAAAACACGGGCCCTTGGAAGTCGAAATCAGGTTTCGACATGCAAGGGTCTGCGTCCAGTGGGCTGATGAGTCTTATGAGTCAGGATGAGGGCGACGGTCGACCTCAGTGGCCGCCTGGTATTGTCATCAATGACTACACAACTGGGTATTCTGCTGCTTTGGCAATACAGAGCATCATTTTGAAAAGGGCCAAGGGTGAGGTCGACGTCGGCGACGGATGGCTCGTCAGTCCTAGCCTCCGATGGCTGCGGTACGAAGTAAAAGTTAAAGACGGAGCAAGTCTAACAAACATCGCGCAACTCCAGCTTCTTAAGCCTGAAGGCTGTGCTGGAGCCGCCCTAGTGGACAGGCTTCTGTATTCCGCTTTCGGCCTTGTCTCTGCCCTCGACTCTATCTCAGCTTCACCACTGCAAAGAGTGTCCATATGATCGAGAATCGTCTTAGCAGCAGTGCAGTGTTTTGTCACATGAAAACATGGATCTATCCACCATACTCGTGTCCGCGTTCTCGCTCCTTATAGGTTGCTCACGAATTATAAAGTCTTTATCCGATCTGAGGAGTAGTTACCGAAGCGCATTCTGACGCCGATTCCCAGGGTCTTCGAAACCGGTGTAGAACTAGTAGCGAATATGATATACCCAGGTGTGGACATTCCTCTTGGGCGGATGCTTGCGGCATGCCAAAGATGAATATAAAATCGAAAAATAACTTCGTGCATGCCATAATTACAGCATGGATCCCGCGACTATGGCATTCCCCGCAGCTGCTAAGCTATAAGACTGTCGACCGTTATCACCGACTCAACTTGAGAGCAACAGCATGCGTGGCCCTGAACTACTGGCAGTGAGGACCTTAAGTGACGATGACATTAGTTTAGAAGCTGTATTATGATAGCATGCCGTTCAGAGACAAAGACATGATTGGCTCCGACGCCGAGGCGGGTTGATTAGTATGGCACTAAGAGGAATTTAGCAAGTACCAACTTCCAAATCGGGCAGTCTCGTGCATTACCTAAACGCCTCAAGACGCAAAGAAACTACTAATCATTCCAGCGCGGATAAATACGGCATGAGAGATAAAGAGTGGAGGCTGCCACCTACATGGATAATGGTTGAATCTTCTCTCTCCTCGATCTGAAGTTTGTGATCAGAAATGGCCACCCTGTTGGATCTTCCAACAGAGATACTGGTCCAGATCACTCAGCATGCTAGTTTCAATGGTGACCTGCCGCGCTTCAGACAGGTCAACTCTCGATTGAACGATATATCGAAGAGGCAGTCTCAACGCTTTCTTGAGGACTTGTGTAAAAGATATGACCTAAGTGCTCGGGTCGTGGATCTCTACTTTACACGGAGGTTGGGGACGGCTTCCATGGAATCTAGTGAACCAAGACTGGTCGATGTAATAGCGCTTGACCACTTTCTGCGTGGCGTAGAAATCGTTGCAGCAGACGTCGATAAAGCATTGCAGTCGAGACAAGCTGCACATGGAGCACGCCCGTACCGCATCAGTCGAGAGTCGTTTCTGCTGTTTGCGGTACTTAGTCAGTTGTTGAGCCTCTCGAAGACAGTGCTCTCCATGACTGGGACAGTCCTGGCACCATGCCACAGCGGGGAGACCTTTGCCCCGAAAGTGCCGAGCGATGAGTTCGCTCGCTTCCTTCAGTCTGAGCTGGCGCTGTTGGACCTAGAATCAATTATCGTGGCAATCAACGTCTGCGCGACGAGGCTCTGGAGTACAATATTCTTGTTCAGACCGACCGATATGATGGTGACGAGCTTCGGCAGCCTCAGTGGATATTCATTCAACACGCATCAGGCCATCCTGGCCGAGCATACGATCTGGAAAGGTCCGAAATGGGTTTCACAGACTCTGGAAAGGTGTAATGAGTCCACTGGAGACCCAAGTCACCACAAGGAGACCCAGGACCCACTCATCAATCGAGGGATCTGGAACGGCTCTCACGAGAACGGGGCTCTGCTTGCAGCGAATGGAATGGTGCGAATGCTGTGGAAAGAGCGACAGGATAAGATCGAGCAATTGAAAAAGGGGTGATTGAGCCCAGCCATTGTTGATCACAATCCTGCACACAAACCTAGCGAGACGGCGGGGGTTCTCAGGAGATATCAGTGAATTGCTTCAACTTCCCCAATCAATCTTTTTTTATCGATATTCTGCATGATATCGATACGTTGCCACCAATCAAGGTTTGGCGTTGAACACGGCTCTGTCTCATCTACTGTACCCGGCATGGAGCGAGGGTTTGCTCCAAAGAAATGTTTTAGATGGAGACCGAATCAAATCATAAGAGGCACGACACAATTCCAGAAGTAGCTGATTGCGTCTCCTTTTCTTCGAAATCAGACAAAAGGCGGCCGAAGCGATGGCATATCGATGGGGATTGATGCATAAGCGTTAGAAGTCAAGCCTGTTAGAAGTGTGCGGTGGAGAGGCTGATGCAAGACGATGCAAGACGATGCAAGTACGATGCAGGAGGAGATGAGGACACAAATTTGAGCGAGGAGCAGCAACTTGCCTAATGCAGGGTAGGTTCGGCAGTAGACTGCGCTTGGCCGTTCTGGGACTAGACGCTTGGCATTGTTTATCCCGACCTTTCCTGTTCGGGCTAGCCAGGAACCACTGAGCCCAAATCCAATTAATTTGGACTCCATCTCCTCCTCCCGTTCCCGTCACCGTGCAACCCGCATGCTTGACACCTTTGACATAACACCAGCACAAAACATCTATACTCTATACCTCATGGCGACTCTTCACATCCTTCCATTCATTCCACTTACCACATCCCTCTCCTACGACTTCGCCTTGAACCAAAATGCCTAAGCCATTGTCAACCTTGTCGCCTGCCAAACAGAATTCGCGATCTTCTCCTGTCAAGCTCCAGTTCCCTCACAAACAAGAATTCGATCTGTCCACCGAGTGCCTGAAATCCCCTCCTGCTATGTCCACCATTGCGGTTGCGCAAACAACAACCTCGATAGAAACAATAAATATACATCAGTCGAATATGACCATGGACCACCCAACCTCTCCCTCCCCTTCTCCTAGCCTATCCGCAAGCCCACGAAAAGGGTTCTCGCCTATAAAATATCGCCTACAAGATGATGCTAAGGTGACGGACTCGCCTCCTAGCTCACCTACTGAACCTACATTACGGTTCAATGAAGGCCTGACTCAAGCAATTGAGAACATGCAAAAAGCTACCCACACCGACTCTTTGGACGATTCGATTCTCCACCACAGTCCGAGCAGCAGCATTTCCCCTTCGCCAGAGCGTGATCATACAGTCAACCATGTCGGCAGAGATGAAGTTGACGATCTCACGTTGACCCTCAGTCTAGACGACAAAACTATTCATGACGAAACTGTAGGTGATCTTAGCACAATCTCGGCTATCCCTACAGACATGACCCGATTCGCCAATTTGCGCAACTCCCCATCTAAACAACCAGGACCAGAGCCATGGTCTCCATCTAAGCAATTACGCACCTCAATAATCTCCAGCACTCCAACCACGGGTCAACGACCCTTGCGGTTGCTATCATCTTCCCGGCGTAGCACGTCTTCCAATGAAGACGATGAAGCGACGCCTCGAAGGCCACGTAACTCGAACGATTCACCCACAGATCTGATGAATTTTACTACTCAAACAAATATTGTCATTCCACCCCCAACTTCAGCGCCCCGAGGCATGAGACGAAGTCCGTCAGGGAGAGGGGGCTTCCCTATCAAGGTCAATCCTAGCCCTGCCCACCGCTCACAGGCTTCTGTTGATCGGGAAAGAGCTACGGGTCGGTCACCGCAGAAGCAGCATCAAGCTGTATTTGCGGAGAGGACTGTACCTGCTACCCCTGCGAGTCAGCGACACAGCATGTTCAGTGCTTCCACAGGCCTAGGAGTGGATTTGTTGGATATCGACCTGGAACCTATGGCAACCCCAAGGTCCATTCCAACCATCACCCCACGAGAACTCGAAACCCTGAGGTCAGAATTACAATCACGTATTTCGGGCCTAGAGGCGACTCTCTCTGGCAAAGAAGCCGAAGTAATGGCCTTGAAACGTTCCATCACTGATGCTGAAGTCCGAGCAGGCAAAATCAGCGAGGAGCTGCGAACTGAACGTGTCTCCCGCGAAGAAATTGAACATACAAAAGATGAATTAGAACGAAGAAGTCGGGAAATGGAAGAAGTCCTTCGGGAAGTAAAACAGAACGTCTTTCTCGAGGAGCGGGAGAAGGAAAAGCTCAGACGACAGAGCGAAGAAGCCGAGCGACAAGCCGAGGAGCAGGAAGTTCGTATTTTAGAGTTGCAAGCTTCTCTCGATACACTCCGATCAGATCGTTTCAAATGCAGTCCAAGCCCTGCAAAGAATGGTGACCCGGCAACCCCTGGGTCAGGCAATGACGTTGACTTTGCGGTCAAGGATGCTACTGAAAAGGTCGCCCGTGAATTGCATGCTCTTTACAAGAGCAAGCATGAGCGTAAAGTTTCCGATCTGAAGGTTAGCTACGAGAAGCGCTGGATCAAACAAGTGGAACAACTTCGCACCGAACTGAAGGCGTCTCAGGAAGAGGTATTAAAGCTGCAGACCGAAAAGGAAGCCACCATGAGCGGAGTCATGCCTGGACAAAGTGAGCTGATTTCGAGGATGGAGGGCCAGATTGAGGAGCTTCGAAGATGGAATGAAGAGGCCACTGCCAACACGAAGATGGCGGAAGCAGAAGCCACAGGACTACGTAGTCAGGTGGGCTCTTTAACAAAGGAAACAGAGGCTCTCCGTAAGGAACTGGAACAAGAACGAGTGGAAAAGGGAGAACTGGTCGCCCAAGTGGATTTATTCCTGGCGATGAGTAGTCAACAAGAAGAACAACGAGCGGCTGTACGACAGCCAGCCCACCCTGTTAGCCCCCCACGAAGTGAAGATGGCAACGGGCGGCCGAGCTCGGCGGCTGCCATTGCCAGTCCGAACAAGTTCAACCGCAATAGCATGACCGGACCAAGTCCAGGGCCCACAACCACGAGCCGGCCGCGACCGATGAGCATGTTACAGAAGCCAACGGCAGGAAAATACTCTGGTATCCCAGGCCCTGGCTCTGGATTGAAAGCGCCTAGCAGCAAGGCGAATGGGTACGGTGGAAGGGGTGGAGGGATTATGGAAGGGATCACGCGCATGGGTGCTGGAGGGAGATGAGCGGTGCTTTGGGTGCAACAGACTAGGGTGCTCTAGGTAATGCTGGTGGTGGTGGCGGCACGAGGGTTGAGGATAGGGCTGGCTGCATAGCAGATATTCTTGGATATGACTCGCATGACTGAACTCTGTTCGAACTTACGACATTGACGAAAAAGACAGCCTTTCTCTGACAGAAGTGGTGCGGGCGTTTGCGTTTTGAGATGTTTCTAGGCTGAATTACTTGAGAGGTGGTGGTGGAGCGAGAGTCAAGGACCAAGACGTCTTGGGTTTGGTACGAGATGCTTCCTCGTAGTACACGGCCGTTAGAGGTCAGAGGTCAGAGGTCAAAGGTCACAGGGCAAAATGAGCAAACTCCCTTGATTTATTTTGGGTTTTGATTGCACAAGGTGCCAGTGGCCAGCATATTCGCACGAGGTGCTTCGTACGGAGTACTGTGGATAGCTTGTAAACGAGCATCGAAGCGAGCAGCAAGATCGGCTGTTCGGGAAAGGGAAACAGTGAGGCTAGGCCGGTCAGGGGTTCCCTCGTAGGATCATTAATTACTCCGTCCTCCGTACGGTTGCGCGTTTCAGGCGCCAAGATGCGGAGGCGATTTTGCTGCACGATTGCAGGTCAAAACGTGGCGAAACCTTCTCAACCGCCTTTCAGCCCCTTCAGACACCCAGCCAATCTCACTTCTCACTACGACTCTTCTCCTCTCTGCATAGCTCGATGTCTTGCTGAGAGCTTGGTGGTAGTCATCTGCTCGCTTCTAGAGCGTCAGAAACATGACATGGCCCTAACGCTAGATCGTCTACTCCGTATCAGGACTGCCTAGGGATCGAGGTATTCCGTCCACCACGACTAAAATCGCTCAGCTGCCCTGAGGCCACCAAGGCCAGAAGAGGGCAGGCGCTCTGTTTGAGATCTGTTGAGCTTGGATGCTCGGTATCTCGTCCTACCCAAGCTTCTCCCGCAATATCACTAGCGGTCCGTGATGCGACAGGCTGCTCCTGGCCACGAAGCCCTCGGCCGAAATTGTTAGCATCTCAGATGAGCCCAGGAGCATGCATCTGAATCGGAAACCTAAATCATGCACACTAAGATGGTTGAGTTGAGAGCTGGGAGGGGGCTCTGCGGCCACGAGGATGTGTATATATCGCTTTTTGTCCTTCTCTTGCTTCGACGGATTCTCTTCTTCAAGCAGCTGAGCTAGCTTGGGCATACACGGTCGTTTCGCCACATCTTGATTCCTTTCTTTTCACCACACTCTTTCAATTCCATTTCAAGTCGTTCCCGGAGAACCAATCACTGTCTTACCAGAACATTCTTTTCTTCTTCGCCTTCAACGACAAACGACCTTGAAAACGAACATCACACTCGCTACGAGAGTCTTTCTCAACAGTCTGACAGTGAAATCATTAAGCAAATATGCATCCAACAACCTACCTCTCAGTGCTCCTCGCTATGGGGCTGGATCTCGCTGTCGCCCGTCCAGCTAACCTTCATATGCCTCGAAGCCATAGCCATGGCCACTCAATCCGATCCATCGGCAAACGATCACCTATCTGGAATGCCAAGCTCCACCGGCGTGAGGTGCCACAAGAACATTCTCACGAGATCTTCCTCACTATCGTGAACGAGTTCCTCCGGAAGGACAACCCAGACAACATCCAAGATGCCGTCTTCGGCCTCCTTGGCAATGCCGCTGGCCAGGCAGGCCAAGGCAAGATCACCGACACCGACTGTCTCCAACAAGCCACGGCAGACCGAGCATTCACCAACGCCAAGAATGAGGACGACCTGGACGGCATGATCGCATCCCTGATTTACCGCGCCCTTGAGCGCAACACCGGCGCCGTGGGCCAGGAGTCAGTGCTCTGCACGTCCATCCAAGCCGTGAACCCCGAGATCGCGGCCATCTCACAGCACCAGGACCCGGCGTCCGACGGCGCGGCGGCCACCAACAAAGCCATCGCGCTTGAGCTCGCCGTCCAGATCGCCCTCATCGGCGGCGACCCACTGGACGCCCTTGACTCGGGCACCTTCGCGCCCGGCGAGATCGGCGACCCGACCGGTGCCGGAAACACCTGCGATGACCTCGACGATACCCAGGGCTGCATCTTCACCCAAAACCTCATCGTCGAAGACGCCACGGAAGACGAAGTCAAAGCCTTCGTTGCCTCCCGCACCGCAGGCGGCGCAACCCCTCCCGCCGCAACTGGCGGAGCAGCAGCAACAGAGTGCCCCGTCACCACCACTGGCGCTGCCGAACCCGCAAAAACCACCCTCGCGACCGTGACAAAACCCGCCGACACCAAGGCTACCAGTAGTGCAGCCCCGCCCCCCGCCACCACCACCGCGCCCCCTTCTCCCGGCAACAAGCTCGACATCGGCACCTGCAGCAACGCGAAGGTCATCTTCGCCGCGAACCTCGACGGCCGCAAGGAGGCCATGGCCTTTGAGCCCGCTAACAAGACCGACTTCCCTCACGGCTCAGCCGAGAACATCAAGATCATCACCGACTTTATCTGTAAGTTCTGCTATCCATTCATCCCTCTCTCCTTTCCACTGCAATCCACATCCCCCTTTCTACTAATTGCCGAGCTAATATCTTTCGCGTTCCCAAAGGCCAACAACTCAACACCAAGTGCAAAGCCCCCAAGGCGACCATCGACGCGTGCACCGCCGCGGCGGGACTAGCCGGTGCTGCCACTGGCCAGGCTGCCGCGGATGCGTTCAATTCTGCCTTCGGCAATTGAGGTTGATTTTTTTTCCTGAGCAGGCGCTGTTTTTTGGCGGGGGAAGTTGAGATGAGTCGAATCGAGACAAGGAAAATCGATCGTTCGCTCGATCGTGCGATCCCTGGAATATGGGATCAGGTGAGCGTTTTGACAGCAGTGGCTTTGTTTGCTATTGCTTGGTGGTCCGTTTCGCGGGCCAAGTGTCATTTTACACTTTCATGTACAAAGATTTTACTTACACCAGACAAGTCTGAATTGAATGAGTTACGCCTTTTCGTATATGTTCCAGTTGTCCCCCGTACTGGTTTTCTTCTGTGTTTGAATCATCCCGAGGTTATTTCATTAGGTGTACCGATGTCTTATCGTATTCCAATCTTTTAATTGAGAATGCCGGAGAGCCACCCCTTTCTGGCGACTGAAGCCCATAGTCCAATTTGATGCGACCTCCAAACCGAAATCAACAAGCCAGCAGTCTTGAGCTACCATCCGCGGCCCAGGTAATCACCAATTGTGCTATGAAACAAACTTCACCTTGCTGCCACTACTGGGTTTCGCACTCTTATCTTTCTTGATGTCTGCTGCACCAACCCCAAAATCGTCTTCTGCCCCTTCACGAATATGGGGTCGAGGTTGTCGATTTCTAGAATCTGCCATTTTGCCTTCCCCATGAGCTCGTGAGAGTTCAGGCTTCGTTTCCTTTTGACTACCAAACACGCTCCGCAACTTGTCATGTGTCTTCCGAGGTGTGTTTGTATTTTTCCGAGCATTCGTGGATGAGGGTGCAGGCGCGAGTCGACGCTTCGAGGTCACAGATTGTGGAAGCGGCTTCTCGGCCGAGTCGGCTTTTCTTTGGGTGTACGGCATAGGGTTCCACGATGGGTCTCTTCTTGGGTCCATGAATCCCTTATGCTTCTGCGCCGAGGTAGCCGTGGGCTTCGTGGCTCGTGGTTTTGGCCGTCTGCGACATTGGTTGGCACTGGAATATAGGTCTACTCTGCGACGGAATGGCAGTCGTGAGTTTAAGTCAGAGTGGCACTTACCGTTGGTCCTCATCTCTCAGATCTGCCTTTGCGCAGCCAAGGGCACTGCCCGTCTTCTTCGCCGCTCGTTTGATCTTAGGCCTGAAATATGGTATGTGAGGACGATATGGTCTTTCGTAAGCCCCGTCTGACTGATAGACAGGGATGATCATCGGAAACATAACAGAGTCGTACATGCAGGAAACGATACTGGTCGGAGGCGAAGGCTGTGGAGTGAAGAAGCAAGATATGCCCGACGTAACTGATATCTGAGTCTTGGTGATTTGACTGTACCTAGGCAGTTCGTGTAGTCGAAACAGATGGGAGCGTCCTTGTAGTAAGAAGCATCTACGTGTAGATGGGCAAGTGCAATAGGCTTTTCTTGATATGAGCTGATTGTGCTGTGGTGGCAGGCGCGGAGGCTTAAAACATGGCTAGCTAAGGAGATTGTTTGGTCGTACGGTTCGCACTTGTGCACGTACTCGTTCATACCAAACTCGCTCTCCTCGGTTTTCGAGGCTCATCAGCGAGCTTGAGCACTCGATCGACCATCACCTCACTATATCCGAGGTAGTTCGCAGGGTTGCACAATTTCTCCAGCTCGTCCCTACTTAGCTTGCTCTTGATCTCATCGTGTTCACAGAGAAGATCCAACAGCTGTCGGCTTTCCTCATGTGACTTCCGGCACAGGTCGTAGACAATGTCGTGGGCATACTGCCGGCCCAGGGTCTTCCCCAGTCCCATCATCACGGCTTCAGACACGATTGCACCTTTAGATATATCCATATTCTTCTTCATTGCATCCTCATGTACTTCAAGGCCAGCGATCAATTCTGCAGTCTGTTTTAGTGTCGCATGGGTGAGAGTCGATATCTGTGGCAGGACAATCCATTCAATCTCCCATGGACCGGTACTTCGCTCGTGATCTTCGACCATTGCCTCGAATAGACTCGTGCTCAATTGCCGAACGGTGCTGGCCATCGCGGTTATGTAGGCACATGATATAGGGTTTCGCTTCTGCGGCATGGTGCTGCTAGACCCTCGATGAGGCAAAAATGGTTCGGAGACTTCTCCCACTTCGGTTTGGTTCATAAGCTTCACATCGAGAGCAAATTTGGCGCAAGTGCTTGTGAGCATGGCACACAATGCTCCATAATCCGCGATTCGGTCCCTTTCCGTGTGCCAGGCTATGTCTGGAACTTTCAAGTTGAGGTCTTTGGCAAGTTCTTTCTGGCATTCCAGACCCAGGTTCGGATGATCTTCTGAGGGTGGCAACGTTGCTAAAGTGCCGGCAGCCCCCGAGAACTCGAGCACCGTCAGGCGATGTTCAACGTCCTTGAGTCTTTCTTGGTGTCTCAGAAACGTGGCCAGCAACCGGGCCAGCTTGAAACCGAACGATATGGGGACAGCTTGTTGCAAATTGGATCTTGCCGCCATAGGTGTCGACCGATGCCGCTCTGCCAAAAAACGCAGAGAGGAAATGATTCCATGGAGAGATTTCTCAAACAGACTCAACGTGTCCCACAATTGGATGACGGTTGCAGTATCAGTGACGTCCTGAGTTGTCGCACCCCAGTGAGCCCATTCACCCAGCCCAGGCTCAATCTCGTTGACATGCTTGACCAGCTGTTTCACCAGTCCCAGGACTGGATACCCAATCAATTCGGTCTGCTGTCGTAAATCCTCGAAATCGACATTTCGGACATCCAGGCAGAAGTGAATAATCTCATCGGCTGCCTTTTGTGGTATTATTCCCAGCCGCGCCTGAGATTTCGCCAAGGCACCCTCAAATGCCAGATAACACTGCGTTCGCGTTTTGTCAGACCAAATTGCTGCAGACTCTGGGGTGGAGAGGATATTCCCGAAGATCATCGAGTCCTGGACTGTGCTCATTTTGAGACTGAGATGGCGATAATTGAGCATGACGGTTATCGCAAGCCCAAATAATGCCAACTATCTAGGAGAAGCCGGCTTGGAACAGATTACCCAAGGGTGTTAATTTCAAGGTCGGCCAAAAAGAGGAGATACCGGAGCGCTTAACAGCCTCACACCTCACGCTGATCACTGTGAGGGGTTGTACTGCAAGCCTTAAGTTTTGGGGCGCAAACTGAAGTAAGCCTGACCGAGTATGATTGGCAGCCGGTTTAATGAAAATAGGCCTTTTCAAGGATGCTGACCTCGGGCTTTCGTGACTGCATCACATCTTCGCAATATCTGGCGTCATTATTTGGCGTTGTGATCTAACATATCTATCTCAAGCACCTGAATAGGCAGTAAAAGATTGCCAGTCTGGGGCTATGCATTGCTTCGGAAACTACCTGTATCATTCAGAATGGTCTGGCACATACCGTGATACCTGTTACCCATTGTTGATACCCATAGGGATGCTGGAAGTGAGTCATTAGAAGGAACAGGTCACACTCCTCCTTGCACTGAGTCATTCGTCACGTGCCTCGGAGGTATATCGGCCCGACAACCGACGGAACCATTCCGACATTAGAAACATCCGCGTAAAAGGTGGCATGCCATGCTGGGGCATATTAAGTCCACTCAACCTCATCACTCCGTCATACCTCTTTGATCAACTTGACCCAGAAATAGGACAAGGACCTCTAGAAGAGATTGCATTGGGTCCTGTATTGTTCGAGTATTCAATCCTGGCATTCCAATCTCTGTGGCAGCGGTCTCTTCCTACCTTCAGCCCACTAACATCCAAGCGACTTCTTACGAAGATTGTTTCGCCTCTTGCAACCAGACAGCCTCTAGTAGATTACACCTACCAGTCTCTTCGAGTATTCGAGATGTCTACCACAACACGCTCAAGCAAACGCCAGAAGACCAATGATGACCTGCCTTATACCTTGATTTATTGTAAGGCTTCTGAACCCCGCCCTCATGACCCTCTTTAGCAGTTCCTTTTAGCAAATGCTCAGAAGCGACTCACAGCCGTCAAATGAACAGGGCCATCAATCCCAGGACGAGGAGAGCACGTACGTCTCGCATTTGAAGCCTCAGGAACACCGTACAGCGATATCTCAAACGAGAGCAAGGACGGCATCAACGCCGTCCTCGCACAGATCAGTGGGGAGAACATAGGTGACGAGCACAATCCGCCTCCGCTCGCACCACCGGTCCTCAAGCACGGAGAAGATATCTCAATCTCCCAGACCCCCAACATCCTGCTCTACCTGGGTCCCAAGCTCAAGTTGGTCCCTAACATCGAAGAAGACCCCATCGGAATCTACCACGTCAACGCGCTCGCCCTGACCGCCTTGGACGGCCTATCCAACGAAACGCACGACACCCACCACCCGATCGCCACGGGCGATTACTACGAAGCTCAGAAGCCCGAGGCCCTCAAGAAAGCCAAGGACTACCGCGCAAACCGCCTTCCTAAATTTCTCGAGTATTTCGAACGCGTCCTCAGAGGAGATGCTTCGCAAGGCGGTGAGTATCTCTACGGCGGCCAACTCACGTACGCGGATCTGGTGTTTTTCCAATGCTTGGATGGTGTGTCATTCGCGTTTCCTAAGTGTACGGCTAAGCTCCGGGAAAGCGGCGATTATGATCGCGCTTTTGCGCTTTACGATCGTATCAAGGGTCTTGAGAAGGTGAAGGCATATCTTGAGAGTGATAGACGACAAAAGTACTCGCAGGGCATTTATCGTCATTATCCGGAGTTGGATGAGGACGGAGAGGGTGATGCGTAGGAACGTGAATGGTGCTCAGGAACGGGGTCATTCAAAAGTTATGAAAGCATTTTCAACAATAAATACTAAGTATTAGTCCTTGGGTTATATCTCGAAGATGGGCCCCCTACAATCATTAACAAATAGGATATGGTTTCCTCACCTGAAGTGAGTGGCATCGGTAGCAACTCTTAAACTTTTGCTGGCCAGGCCATGGGCCGTTCTTAAGTGAAAATGCTCGGGTACAAATTCGTGCTGTTTTCATTCTCCAGAATCCAATCTGCAGCAACCGCCGAGCCATTCAACAAAGCCTCCATCTGATCCTCCGTGCACGTCGCCGTAGGATCATACGAGTAGCAGACCCACAGCAGCTCCGGCGGATCCTCATTCTTGAACGCCCACGTATCAGCCAGTCCGGTGGTGCTGTAACTCCCATTGGCAGCGGTGTCAACCTCACCGGTCGAGATGTCTAGGTTGAACAGAGCTCGATGAAAGATTTTATAGGCTGTTTCGGGCTGATACGATGGTACCTCGTGGCCGGATTCGTACACGCGGCTGAAACTGAGATTGCCGTATTGCCTCACCTGGCCGCCTACGTAGCTTTCGTTGGCGTGGATGGGCTGGTAGCTTGCCTCGTGGAAGTCTTGAGTGTGCGTGTGGTTGATGGCGAGAGATACCGCTTCGCCGCCAATCCAGTTGCAGGCGAAATCACGGTCGCCGTAGACCAGCGCAACTTTAATTCCGTTGTCGAGGAGATGGGTCAGATCCTCCAGCCATCCGGTTCGTGGGTAGTCGCCGATGCTGCGGAATGCGGTAGACGCCAGGGACGAGGATTGTGTGAAGTTTAAAGGCACGCCTAATGCCCGCTGAACCTGGTGCTGGTTGAGCCATCCAACGTACCACGGTGCCGGGAATGGATCTGGATCAAATGCGGCGAAGTCATAGTAATTCCCGCCGGAGTGGTCGAGATATGGGTCGCGGACTCGGTTTGTCCAGAATGTTTCCGCATCCTGGCAGATCTTGTTCACCGAGGTGTCCACTCCGCGTTGGTCAGGGTCAAATTCCAATGATAGAGCCCGGCACTTGTTGATTCGATCTCGACAGCCCCCTTCACCGTAGTAGGCGTCGTTCATCTGCTGGTAGATGGCCTTATTCACAGTCTTGATTCCGTATGTGTTGAATGCAATGTGAGAGTAGGATGGCCACTGAACTTGTCGATCGATGCAGCCATTGATGACCAGGAGAATATCGAGATGCAAGATGAATTCTTCGCCATCCTCGTCCGTCCATGTACCATTCTCGATCTAATGAATTTGCTCCTCAAAAAGGCAGCATATGACGGCCCATATCTACCGCCATAGGATTCGGTAGCTATACTGATACGGCTGTCATTAGGGTGTAGCCGGGGAATTCCTGAAACCATGTCTGCGCAAAGTGCCATAGCGCTCGGGCACCATTAAGGTTTCCGGAGGAAGTTGAGTTCGGTTCTTGGCTGGGGTATGTACCAACTTTGAAGGTGAGATTCTGTTCTGGTACAGTGTCCGTCTCGTTGAGGAGAGTGAAATCGCCGCTTATCAGGTCGATGGTGATGTTCTGAAGCGTGTCGTACGATAATCCGACTTGAACTGGTTGGTCAAGATATAGCATATTGACTAGATCGTATAAAGTTCGTAAAATTCAAACATTGGGTAGGTTACTGACCTTCGTTGTTCCACGACCAAGGATTGAGTGTTGTAGAGTTGGAGTCTGGGTTAGTGAAGCATGGACCATTCTCAACAAGCAAATCCAGCATAGAAGAACTGCCAGGTCCACGTTCATCCAGATTGAAAGAGGTGCATTTAGTGGGTTGTTGCGAGCCTCGAAAAACCAAAAGAAGGTGTTGATAGGATATGCTTGCGTCTCATTTAGATCCTTCAATTCTCCAGGAGCCATGCCCCCCTGGGAGAATAAGCTTCTCATGGTAAATTGTCGCTTCATTTTATCGATGTATGTTCTCCTATGCTCATGAATGTAAAGCACGCGCTTTCAGACCAGGTGGCGCATCCTAGAATCAAAGATTGAAATCTCATGCGTGGTCCGCGTGGGGTGCAGCCAGCCCATTTTGTGTTCTATGCCATGCTGGAAGAACAGCGTATGCAATTTGCATCATGCAGGGATTTGCGTCATATTCATGGTATATGAACCTGGCGGCCAAGCACTCTTTGTTCAGCGAGCTTCCTCTCTGAGCTTGGTTGTATAGTGATCTGCAAAGACAAGCTCTATGAAGCCATTATAAATGTCACACTTGGCCTTCGCCAAGCTCCTGACCAGAGCTTGCTGTTACCCTGCTATCTTGAGCCGAATTCATTGGTGGCTGACCTGGTGCTGTACTGTACTGCTTTCGAGACGAACTCCTCTCCTTCTGCATTGCAGGTAGAGAGAGATGATCGTGTCAAGTGTTTTCTCTTGGTGTAAGCAGTCTCTTGGCCGCTGACATCCGATCACCACATAAAAGATTCAGTTTAGCCTCAATACTCTGGCTTGTCGGACGGGCTGCTATTTCACTTACTGCAGACTGCTACCGGCCTGTGATAGAAGAAGCAACTAGGTATCTCGGAAGACTTCCAAGTCTGAGTCGAGACTTGAAAGTATCTTCTCCTAAGTGCACGTCACATGATATGTCACATGATTAGGGGATGTGCACTGAGGTTGGATCATTTCTCCTATTTAGCTTTCTCTGACTGCGCGTCCCTCGTTGGCTAGATAGAGATAGTTCCATGAGCACCTCCGTAGACACCAGTTGAGTAATCTTCATTTTATGTCTCAATGAAGCCAACCGTGTTATAGTCACTCCTGTGACAGGGTCCTGGTTGCTTGATGAAATGGGGCTGCGGAAATCTCTCCCAGCCACGAGCACCCCTCAGCCCCTCCTCGGATGGTCTTTGTTTGTCTTAGCTAAAAGGTTTGCCGAACACGTTACCCAGGACTAATGCTCTAGAATATGTGTATGATGACCTCCGGATTTGAATCTCGGTTCGTGGCCAAGATATCATTCAAGTAGATTCACCCACATCTGCGTATCCGTATGCTTACTACCCCAGATATACCGAAATTGCCGGTGGAGAATGGTGACAGATAATTCTGAGCCCCCGGATAGGAAGATTCTGGGGAAGGCGGATAACCAAGCTAGGCGAGATCGAAGGTCTGGGGGGACACGCTGCTTGGCATGTCTCAATCGAGTTTTTCCTAGGTTGCGGAATGTGCCATCCCTGTTCCGCAGGCTGTAGCTCGCAGCAAGAAATGTTAAGTCAGAAGTTCTACAAGACATGGCAGTACGGGGTGCTTTAAAAGTTCGAACGTTGCGCTCTCGAAGAAGACCTCGTACAGTGCAACATATTGCAAGCTCACTAGAATTCTGAGCGATGGCAATGACTGAGAAGATAGCAGAGACTGGCGACGCGGAGGTTCTTCATGGAAGTGATACCTCGGCTGCCAACAAAGACGACTACAGTGATGCAATTGACCCCGTCCTTGAGAAAAAGATCCTCAGAAAGACTGATTGGCACCTGATTCCTATTCTCTTCTTGCTACAACTTTGCAGTTTTATTGATCGGTAGGCCTGCCAACATCATGTTTGGGAGTTGAACTAATTCATGACGCAGTATCAATATCGGCAATGCTCGGATTCAGGGACTTGAGGCCGATCTCCACATGACTGGCAACGACTTTAATATTGCACTATTTCTCTTCTTCATTCCATATATTCTGCTCGAGGTTCCTAGTAACCTCCTGCTGAAGCATTGTCGACCCTCACTTTATATTTCGGCAATGATATTCATCTGGGGTGTCTTGACCGTGTGTCACGGCCTGACAAAGTCCTTTGGGGGGCTAATTGCCTGTCGCGTCTTGATGGGTGTCTTCGAGTCTGGCTTCTTCCCTGCGTGTGTTTACTTGATGTCGATGTACTACAAACGCCACGAGATTCAGTCACGATTCACCATTTATTTCAGCTCTGGGATCGTGGCTGGGGCCACCAGTGGGCTTCTAGCTTATGCAATCTCCCATATGGAAGGCGTTGGAGGCTATGCTTCCTGGCGATGGATCTTTATTCTCGAGGGATTAGCTACCGTTGTCATTGCTGTGGCATCTTTCTGGATTGTTCCGGATTGGCCTGAAACCGCCAAGTTCCTGGCACCACATGAAAGAGAAATCATCATAAGACGAGTCGCAGAAGATCGGGCCGGAGCGACCATGAATCATTGGAACAAGCAGACCGCGAAACGGATCTTCAGTGATGTCAAGATATACCTTGGGTGAGTGTGACTGAGTTGCTTGGTAGATCATTTACTAACTTCTTAGCGTCATCATGTACATTGGGATCACGACGACAACTTACTCTGGTTCCTTATTCATCCCTACGATCTTGCGACAGCTCGGCTGGACTGCGGTCAAGGCACAAGTGATGTCAATTCCAATCTACGCAGTGGCTCTTGTTTCCACTTTAACATGCGCCTTTATAAGTGACACGATCAAACATCGATATGGTTTCATACTCGGTGGGAGCCTCGTTGCAACAATTGGCTACGTCGTCCTTCTGAACATGCTTTCGGTGACGGTTGGAGTAAGATATTTTGCCATCTTTCTCTTCCTGACTGGAGGGTTTATTGTCCACCCAATGATCATCATCTGGCTCAGCAACAATGTGTCGGGCCATTATAAAAGCGGAGTCAGCTCAGCAATGCAGCTGGGTTTCGGTAATATCTCAGGTATCATCGCCTCGAACATCTACATCTCAAACCAAGCACCTACTTTCAAGTTGGGGTTTGGGCTTGGTCTGGGTCTGGTCTGGGTCAATGTTTTCGCTGCAACTGCCCTTTTGTTTGTCCTTGTTCGGGAGAACAGATTGAGGAACGCCGGCAAAAGAGACGACAGATATAATCTACCAGAGGAGGAGCTGAAGAACCTGGGAGATGACCATCCCTCATTTCGCTTCACTTACTGAGGCTATTCATGCGCATAGTATGTGTAAGTGGGCATACCAGAGAAACTAAGATCGGAACCTCGAACAATGGGCTCGAAAAGAGACTATCTTGTTTCGATCACTACTAGCCTAGCTGATGATCAGTATAGAATAGTTGTGGTAGCTTTCGTAGCAATGGATAATCGTCGCGCACAGGGGACGAGTATGAGAGTTATGGAGAGAATCACAATAGACACAGTTGTTGAAAACCTTGAGGCATTCAGGTTTTCTAGATCGAGTCGAGTGTTCCAAGAAACTAATAACAATTATTACGAGCGTAGAACAATTTCTGCGCACTGTTCTAGACCACGCCTATCTGGAATTCCAACGATAATCCCAATCGCTCCGCCACGGCGTAGCCCTAAGTCTCTTATTGCAATTCTTAAATATTCCGAGAATTACATGTATCGAGGTTAGAAACAACATATGCCGGGCGTCTCTGTGCCTTCAGCATTGCCCAGAATAATCCCGAAGGATATGCACTTACCACTCCTCACGGAAGCTGGCCGCCTCCATTCGAGTGTTCTCGGAATGAGCCTCGGAGCAAGTCACCCAATCTCTACCACCACAATTGAGCGATTGATCTGGATCTTCCATATATTCCATACACACTAGAATTTTGCACCTTGCATGAAGGCAGAAGGCTACATCGAAAGCAATAGATCCAATGGCAGCGCCGGTAAGCAAGCCGCAGGTGAGTCAGAAATTCAATCTTGTTCGCCTATATCGCATGTGCTAATTGGCAACAGAACAATCAGAGCCTTCATGTTGTTATTGTGGGAGCGGGACTAGGAGGATTAGCATGCGCTATTGCTTGTCGCCGGACAAAACCGCCTTGCGATGTCACTGTCGTCGAAAGAGTGCCCGAGATCGACCCTATCGGGACAGGGATCCATATTCCACCGAATGCTTGCAGGGTGATGCACCATTTTGGGTTGGTAGAGAAACTGAAGGAAGCTGGGGCCTATGTTGTGCAGGACTTCACGTTGCGCCGGTATAAGGATGGGGAGATCATCGTTGAGAAGCCCCTAGGGGAAAGAGTGAAGAAGGAGTACGGAGCTGAATGGCTGTAAGTGATCTCCCGAGTAAAAACACGCTAGAATAGCGATGACTGATTTTTGAAAGAGCTATTCAACGAGGGGACTACCAAAGAGTGCTGCTAGACGCTGCACGAAGCGGTGGTGCACGTATCTTGACAGACTCCGACGTCGTGAACGTGGAAGCCGGTTCCAATGAGCTAGAAGGACGACAAGTCGTCATTCTCAAGAACGGTAAACGGCTTGATGCCGACGTCGTCGTTGGAGCAGATGGTATAGTGGAGGATTCCTTTGACAATTCAGTTAGACATTGAAGCTAACCACGCACGATAGGACTCTGGTCAAGCATGAGAGAGATTGTGCTGGGTCGGCCCATGCCACCAGTTGAAACAGGCGACTTAGCGTATCGAGGGACGTTTACTCGTTCTCAGCTTGAATCCTTCAACGATGAGAGAATCAATGCCTTGATCAAGAAAACCAATGTGCAAGTTTGGCTGGGCCCGAATCGACATGCTGTATTCTATCCATTGAGGAACAATACTGAGTTTAATTTGGTCCTGCTGCAAGTGTAACCTTTCCGAACGTCAAGTGCAGTTGCTGATAAGTCTACAGTGTTGCAGACGATTTGCCTCCGGGCGTCCGCACAGCCGAGGGTAGCCTTGACGAAATGATCAAGTGCTTTGAGGGATGGGATCCAATGTAAGCCTCATCAGCTCATCGGGGGTATCCTTGCTGACCTGCAAGCTTGAATCGCATCATTTCTTGCCTCAAAACAGCCTTGAAATGGAAGCTGCTTCACTTCAAAGAGCTCGATAAATGGACAAAGGTAGATTTTCCCGGTTATGTGTTGGATTTGCAAGCTGACCAATGGTTGAACCAGGGTCCGGTCGCCCTGTTAGGTGACGCTTCACACCCTACATTACCGTATCAAGGGCAAGGCGCTGCTATGGCCGTCGAAGATGGCGCTATTCTCGGTTTACTTCTTGCACGGTTGCAAACGAAAAGTTTATCGTCGCGGCCACTGATGCGCCACGCTCAACTGACAAGCTTGCTCCACCTTTACCAGCAATTGCGCAAGCAACGCACAGAGGTAAACGTATCAGGCGCGGTTCTCACGAGACAATTTTACCACCTGCCTGACGGTGAGATGCAGTTGGCCCGGGACAGGGAGTTGGCAAGTCTGCCCCTAGCCAAATGGCAGGGGCCAAGTAAGTGGAATTGGGGAGATGCTGCTTATCAGAAGAGCTTACTCGGCTTTGATGTTCTTGCCGATGCGGAGGCCAGGTTTGATGAATGGGCGCGCAATTCCTTGGGCACTGTCATTGGCAGCGCATTGTAGATATCCTTTGCTGGAGAGTCGGGTGTCGGATATTAATTGCTGGTGGGGTGGACATCGTTGGTAAGCCATATGCCGCTCCTGCAGCCAAGCAGCGGCACACCACGCCTGTATGCTCGACTGGTTGCCACGGCGTACAGTTAGATCCCATAGCTATTGAGATAGGGCAATAGAAACCCCACTTCGCTCATCCAACCACGAACATGTCGAAACTCATTGTAGTCGTCGGCATCACTGGCAACCAAGGGGGCTCAGTGGCACACAGGTTTCTGCAAGACTCAAATTACCGTGTTAGAGGAGTGACACGCAACCCCGAAGCCCCGAAAGCAAAGGAGTTCGCCACCCGTGGTGTGGAAATTGTACAGGCTGATCTGGATGAGGCCAAAAGTCTCAAGAAAGCATTCAATAAGGCCAATGTCATATTCGCAGTTACGAATTACTGGGAGCCGTTCTTTCGACCAGATTGCCGACAGGAGGCGCAGGAGGCGGGCATCTCATGTCGAGAGCATGCATCTCATGTCGAGTATCGGCATGGTAAGAACATAGCTGATGCTGCTGCTACTGAGGTCGATACATTACTCCCTAATGGGTTTCTTGTCTCCACGTTGAGTCATGCTGGCAAATGCAGTAAAGGAGCATTCAAAGAATTGTACCATTTTGATGCGAAGGCCGACATCTTCCCGGACTATGTCGGTAGCAAGCATCCTGGTCTGGCGTCGAAGATGTCATGCATTCAGACCGGCTACTTTTTCACAAGCTATCGACTAATCCCAGACTTGTATCTTAAGAAGGTTGGGATCTCTCGGCGTGACGCCTGTACAGTGGTGGCTAACCTGAAACCATTAGTTGTCGGACGGCAGCTTCCAGATGAGTCTCACGACAAACCCTGACAAGCCTGCACCGCACCTCGATGTCGTCGCTGACATGGGTAATTTCGTGTATGCTGTATCACATAGATCGCCCGGCGGCCACTACATGGCCGAGGGATCCACCTGCAGCTGGTCGGACTGGGTCAGAATCTGGGGCGAGATCACTGATCAGAAAGCTTCGTACCGGCATGTCACGCCGCGGCAGATGATAGACATGGCCCCTGACAAGGAGTTCGGTAGAGAGGTTGCTGAAATGTTTATGTATACCTCCAACCCTGGGTACGACGGGGGAATGGAATTAATCACGGCAGCAGATATGAGGAAGGTGAGTACGAAATCGTCCACCAGGTCCCTTTGCTGATCGGCTCGCAGGAAGGTATTGATTGCCCTATGACAAGCCTAGAGGACTTTGTCCGCAAGACTGACTGGACCGATATTCTCTCACAATGACACTTTCAAGAAGCGGCTTCTGGCAACCGTAGGTGGACTTTTGGTATCACGCAGATCAGCTGTCGGCCTGGATTTTACTTTAGGTTGATGAGACCAACCATTTTCCGTGCTACTGAGCAAGGGTGCAAGGCTGGGCCGACTTGGCCTTAGATAAAGCGGCTTAGACCCATCAGGCGAGTCCTGAGGTACACGTTAGTTACCACTAGCTAATTTAATTACAAATTCCAATAAGCATTGCCTTGTTTTCCTGGGGATTATCTGAACAGTCTTGAAATTAAATCCCTCTGGATTTACCCTATGTACTTGCTTAGAGGTACTCTCTTCTAACGACCTTTTTAGGGAAAGCCTTGATGCTCAGTTAGTCATAGTATTTTGAAGTTGCTGCTGTATGTTACATGATGCCCTACAAGCCTCATCCGGAGCCGTCAAGCGACCGCCGAGGAAAGACTGTGTTGGTGCGCACAAGCCTAACACGCCCCATAAATCCCGAGGCCCCGCCTCGAAGCGGGATCTTACAGTCATCATCTGGATCTTCTTCAACTAACATCATCCTGACGCTGAGAAATTCAATATTTCAGCCACAGGAGCCATATCTAAGGCTCCGGACGAGTCAATCTCATCTCGACGACTGCCTGACATGATTAACCATCAGAGCAGAGTGAAAAGAAGGTCGAGGGCTAAAAATCCCGCTGACCGAAAAAGAGCTGTCTATGTTGAGCAAGCATGTGCCGTCTGCAAGACCCGCAAGATCAAATGTGATGGAAGTCATCCTTGTGACCCTTGCCGCAGGCGCTCCCTCGACTGTCGATACGCACGAAGCCCTCTTGACGCTGCTCAGCAGCTGAGTGATTCGCCAAGCAGTACTTCCAGCGTCGTGAAGTCTAGGTAATTGCTAGCCGGTCAGGTCCAATTTATGTGCTAAAGAGCTTGTAGGGGCCTCACTGAGCTAAATGAATTGGTTTCGGCGCTTCAGGCAAAAGTGGCCAGTTTGGAACAGCAACAGCCCAACCAGCCTGGAACAAAATCACCATATCGACAAAATCCCCAACGAGTTTCGAACAGCCTTGGTGACGAAGCCGACAAAGGAACATCAGCACAAAATCATCTATCACTTTTTGCTGGTCCAACTAGTTCAAATTTCAGCTTCAGCCTTGCTAGATTGATGCTAGACCAAGAAAATGCCCCAGAGGCCAGAACCACCGATCTAGAACTGGACCCGGACCTCGCCGGCTCTGTCAGTCTTGACAGAGAAACGGATGAGGATGAAGAAGCAGGAATCACTCGGGCTCCTGACCTCCAACAAGATTTCACTGCTTCCGATTCGCTGCACGGGTTGGAAAAGAGCTATGCACTCCAACTGATCCAGATCTATCATGAATGTGTGGGGGTTTTGCATCCCATCATTGACATTCCATCATTAAAGACTCAGGTGGACTTACTCTGGCCGAACCCTGACGTTCCCTGTCCAGATTCAAGGCTCGCAACGTCCACCGAAAAGCAGCTTACTCACTTGAGAATGGTTCTCGCTATTGGTCTGCTGGCAGATGGAGGTGGATCCAGTACCATGAGCGAGAAGATTTACAACGAACTCCAACCAGCAGTCACAAATGTAGTCTTTGCGAAGACTTTCAGCTTGCAGGGCCAGATACTCCTGCTGCTTATGGTTAGCCTCCACCAATATTGTTATGGAGGCGCTGCTGACTTTGCAAAGGCTTTCTTCCACATGTTCAAAGATGATTGTCGTCTTGCTTCACGCTATGTGGCGATTGCCTGTCGCCTAATGATTGAAGCTGGATTGCATCAAAAACATATACTCACGCGACGTTTTGTTCAGAGCGAAGCTCGTGCAAAAGTCATCAATGTTCTGGTGACTTCCATAATATTGGATCGGCAACTCAACTTTAACGCTGGTTTGCCGTTTACATTGAAGGATGCGGACATTGATATCACAGAAATCGTAGGTTTCTCTCTCTTAGCATCTTATAAGCGTATGCGGACACGACCACTCACTACAACCTCTAGGATACATTGAACCCGTACACGAAAGCGATGACTTCATACATTAGGATAGGCCCTCCTGCATGGGCAGCCGTAACTGACGAACGTGGAAGATTAAAGCAGCGAATCAAGGACGAAGATTTTGACTACGTTGACTATCAAGTGCAACGCTGGCATGACAGTCTCCCCGCCTATCTACGTTTCGATACAGACTCAACAGGAGCCAACGGAATCAGGGACTGCAATACCCCCATTGACCGAGGAACACAAGTCCTGCGATACATACTCTATTTACGGGCCAACCAGTTCAGGATTGTGGTGATGCGACCTTTATTGTTCTCCTCACAAACTTATACGGCGAATATTAAGCGTGTGAGAATCGTTGCACACATTGCGTATGATACAATCGAGAGAATCACGGAAATGAATGACAAGTATGATCTGTACAGAAGACTGCAGCCAATTCTAAATCTGTTCTTGTCATCGGCACTGTCAACCCTATTCCTCGTCTACATTCACAGTTTGCGAGAAGAACGCTCCCCTACCAATGATAACACTACCAGTCTACCAGATTTCATCCAGATGGTACGAGATGGACTCAACAAAGGTCTTGAGCTCATCCAATCCTATTCAACTTTTCGCTCGTCTAAGCTACTATGGCAAAAGTTCGCTGGACCTCAGGGCCTCCTTCCTCGTCTCGGCCTTGCCGAGAAGACGGAAAATGCAGACATGACCGCTTCCGCGGTCCATACTAGCATGTCTACTGACGTTTTGTCGAACCCTAGCACCGCATTCGACAATTCCGACGAAAGCCATCTGAACGCCCAGCGGTATGGAATGGAGAGCGTGCCCGGGCCGTTTAACCCTGCCTACGCATATCCTTCAGCTGGTGGGTTCGCACCGGTTGATGCTGCTAATCCTTTCGAGGTGCACGGGATTACAACAGAATATTCACCCCTGCCATTTTTAAATATGAATCCTCTTCTCGTGTCTAATGACATTGATGTATTTTACGATGACATGTGGGGGAACACCATGTTTTGAGGATAAATCATAACTTCATAGAGCAATCAATGCCATATTTCGATCGAGATCTCAATCTACTTAGTCTCCATGTCCTCGAGCCTCCTTTTAGCTATACAGATCTGTGCTGGAGTGGGTATGCGGCCTCGGTGCCGGATGCCAGTGCCTCCACTATCGACGGAAACTCCCAACTGGGTAGCATAAAATCATCAACTTCTACGGCTTGTTCCCACAGATCGATGGAGGTCGGAACTCAGGCCTCCACTTCCAGTCTGAGAACTCCATCAACCCCATTGACCCCATTCTACACGATTTCGTTCGTGATCTGGACAGGCCTACTAAAAATTGGCGAGAAGTATTTGAAATCCCGGAGCGGACGACACGCACGGAACGAGGCTCGTCGGGATGCCTCGTTCCGCCACTTGCTTTTGTTACTGATTGGCTCAGGGAAGAATAATCAACTCGCAGTCACAAATTTGAACTCAATGAAATGTGGCCGAGAGTCGCACTGACCGCATCCTCACATAGATACTAGAATGAATCCATCAAAGAGGTGTCATGAACGCATCGCCCCTCGCAGTTCATGCGCAGCTCATCATGGCCGTTTGTGAAGGCCTACAACTTAAGTTGCCGGCCTACAATAGCTTCACTTAACTGCCACAGTCGTTCGGCAGCCTTTTGATCGCGGGCATGATCTGCTGCTTGTGCCACCTGGCAATCGCTCAGATAAATGACATCCAAATCTGAACTCAGCTTGGGGTCAAGTGCGGCGACCAAAGTCGTCGCAGCACCTTGGTCGAGATCCTTCCAGAACTCGGCAGTCTTGCTGATCAGCTCATGATTCTTCTCGTCCAAATGGCGCGAGAGATCCGTCCAAATGGAACCAGGATGGGTAGCAATCGACCGAATACCCTGGCTGGAGAGCTTCTGCGTGAGAGACACTGAGAAGAGGATGTTGGCGGTCTTGGATTGTCCGTAAGCGACGAACGGCACATAGGTCTCTCCTGGCGGCGGGTCGAAAGAGACGCCCGGTCTCGACATCGGCCTTTCCTCCAGAGGTATATCTTCTGGCCGTTTATGGAAGACATGGTCGCTGAACCGGATCGGCGAAAGGATATGGCCGGCGCTCGTGAGGTTTATAATCCGGGTTGAGCCTTTGCAAGACGTGCTTTCTTCAGCAGCTTTGATGAGCTTAGGGAGTAAGAGATTGGTCAACAGGAAGGGGCCCATGTGGTTCGTGCCAAACTGCATTTCGAGCCCGTCGGTGGTGTATTTATGCTCCTGGAGCACCACCGCCGCGTTGTTGATCAGGATATCAATTCGATCAACAATCTGGTTGATCGCCTTGGTGCCTTCCCGAACCGATGCGAATGATGAAAGGTCGACCTCGACGAGTTCAATCTTTGCATTGGAATGCACCGTTTTGACCTTACTGGAAACCTTCTCCATCTTCCACTTTGTTCTTGAAGCAAAGACGAGGAGCGAGGGTTCATGCGCGGCCAAGGCAAGTGCCATGGACTCGCCGATGCTCTGCGGCGATACGCCCACAACCACGATGACTTTTCCACGGATCTCATCGCTGAAGGCTTGCGCAACCGCTGTCGCCGTGGTTTCCTTGTTGAAATCCGGATTGGTGGTCATGGCTGATCCACGACCCACGGGAAATAGCCCTGTACTCTACACCCACCCGCCGAAAGTGTCCAGGAGCCTTGCGGCTAGATTGATCTTCCCGGCGTTAACTTCTTGCGGGCTGTGACATAGACCTCACAAGGATGAAAGGGAGTGATGATGTTAAATGTTGAGGTGTCTGCCAAAGCAAGGCGCCCTTTAGTCTCGGAGTTACCCGGTAAAGGTTGGTCTGCAAATGCGTGGGCGTTGTCTCCACGGTGCTGGTGAATTGAACTGTAGCCTTAAAATGGGATGTGGTTATCAAGGTGGGGTGGCTTTTCAGGACCCCTCTGCCTAAGGTATGTGCCCAATATAGGCAATAGAGATCTGTCTATCTATCTATTGACTCTGGTGTACATGTGTTTAGACTTTATGCAAGGCATCATCATGAATTCGGATGTCACACCGAGGAAATTGAGATAAGGTGATGGTGGGATATTATTATTATAGTACATGGGCTGCCCAATAAACCTGACCGTTCTAGGCCCATTCCTGGAACCACTCCCCACAGAACCCAACATTGGCTCCGGTGTAGCTGCTCGTTACATACAAATAACTTGGGATGGGGAAACGGTGGGGACGAAAATCACCCGCAGGAAACCCACATCCAATGAACACGGCAAAAACTCTACGGTCCATTGTCCATTTCCGTACAATGCATATCTTTAGGCCATCGGCGTCGGCAGTTCAGTTGGAGAAAACGGGGATGGTGCGGCGAATGCAAACTCTCCAGCCCGCTTCTTGTCTGTGCTGCCTTGAATGAAACATGTCGACCCATAGCAATCCATCGGTAAAGCATGAGCCGTAATCTGATGATGGGGCTTGCTATGAATCTGCCTAAGCCCCCGATGCCTCAAAAGGATCCGCATCTTCTGGCGACTTCTTCTCGAACTTCTCTCCTTGAAGGTAATGCTTTGGTGGAACTGACTTATTTCCAAGGACACCCTTCAGGTACCAGCGAACTCGTATTCTTCCTTTGCGCCTTTTCTTTGATTTTGCTGGTCTACGTGTGCGGGAGTCTCGTTCTCGAAAGCAATCCTGATAACTGCCATTGCTACTATGGCGGCGGAACTGCCTGCGGCAAAGGCCAAAACAGGCATCAAGGTCATCGTTGTTGGAGCAGGTGAGATCAGAACAAGTCCTGCAAGACGACTTGCAACCGCTGAACCTGTAAAACAGGATTTGGCGGGCTCACGGCTGCCATTGAATGCCACCGACAAGGCCACGATGTAGAAATCTACGAAGCATTCCCAGTTTTGAAACCACTGGGTGATATCATCTCATTCGGATCCAATGCAGGCCGGATTTTCCGGCGATGGGGTGTAGACGGCGAGATCACCAATAAAATGCGAAGCATCAGCATTGATTTGAGGAAACACGGTTTCAAGATCCATAAATACACGGGTGAACACATCATCACGCAAGCAACCCCGGAGCAAAATCCCGACGCTCCGGTTTTCAATGGCCATCGAGGCGAATTGCACGAGGTTGTTTTCAATCACGCCAAGGACGATTTGAACATTACCATCCATCTTGGCCGCCGGATAGAAAAGTACCTCGAAGAGAAGGACAGGGCAGGTGTAGAGCTCGACTCTGGCGAAAAGGTAGGTTTCCTGACCCAGGCTGGTTGAAAAAGGGCTTACCATCGGTCAGGTCTGGGCAGACCTCGTCATTGGTTCGGACGGCGTTCGTTCAAAAGCTCGTGAACTAGTCTTGGGCTATCTCGACAGGCCAAAGAGCAGTGGCTATGCAGTTTTCCGAGCTTGGTAAGCTTGATTTTGGAAACAATACCTGGTTTTAGTGCTAATTGATTAAAGGTTTCCAAATACCGACATGATCGCCGATCCTTTAACAAAGCACTTTTGCGAGAATGGGGACACTTTCAACGGATGGATTGGTCAAGATGTCCATTTCCTCTTTTCAACCATCAAAAATGGAAGTGACTGTTGTTGGGTTTTGACGCACAAGGTAGGATTCCCGATGACAGGTTTTGAGGGGAACTAATGTGTGGCTTCCAGGATGATGCAGATATCGACGAATCTTGGTCCTTCCCAGGAAAGTTGGAAGACGTCTATAAAGTCTTTGAGGGTTGGGATCCACTCTGCAAAACAATCGTTTCCAAGACCCCAGAGAGTCATCTAGTAGACTGGAAGCTGGTTTACCGAGACCCCCTCCCTACCTGGGTCAGTAAAGGAGGTCGCATTTCCTTACTGGGGGATTCCGCCCACCCATTTCTACCTACATCAGCCCAAGGCGCAACCCAAGCGATGGAAGATGGCGTCACGCTTGCAGTCTGCCTCAAACGAGCCGGCAAGGGAGAAATCCCTGACGGCTTGAGGACATACCAAAGAATAAGGTAAGGATTGGGAGATGTGGAAGCAAGGGGGTCTTTTAAGCAACGCTTGGCTAACCTTGACAACAGATACGACCGCGTCAAGGCAGTCCAAAAAACCGGCGAGACCACCCGCGACATGTGGCATAAGGCAGACTGGGATAAGGTCAAGACAAATCCCGAATCAGTCCAATTTCCAAGAGAGGATTGGATTCATCAATTCGATGCCGAGAAGCATGCCGAAGAGGTCTTTGAGGAGAACTTCAACCATTTCAAGGCCACGGTAAATGGTATTCACTGAGTTATTCAGGAAGTTCTTGCAGTGCTAACCCGGAGACACCATAGAACCAAAACGGCTCCCTGCAAAATTATGAGACAAAAGAAAAGCAAGGATTTGACGTGTCCGCGGTACCAGTTTCGTTAGAGGCATAGAGTTTTCTTCAGATGAGATGAGGGAAGACATTGTACTGATTTAGCGCATCTTCAGTCGAACTTCTAGTTGTATGAAAATATGATGAAAGCCATTAACAGTTTATAATTGTTGGAGCAAATCAAGACTCGCTTGACGGGTACTTTTGATCCACCGTATGAAATCTACTGTGGATATCTGATTCCTTTCACAACGTCTTTGAAACAAAGCGATTCCAATTGCCCAAAGCTTTTCCATACATACCAAGGAACGAAGGTTTAGGTTTCATTGGTGAGAAGCTCCTTGCCCATAATGGGAATCCCACGACTTTCACAAGACCTCCAGGCCTACGCAGAGGGTGTCATCCTCGGCATGTCAATGCAGCCCCTAAACGTAGGTACAATCGATCTACTGGTCATTGATGGGCCATCCCTGGTGTACCACGTCTACAACAGGCTGCTAGCATACAGGGCGTCTAGAAGCCCAGTTCTCGATGGAGGGTTTCCCAGTTATTCAGAAATCGACCAGGGATTTCAGCATTTCCTGCTAGACCTTGAAAAGCGTGGTGTTCGAATCCACCATATTTTCTTCGATGGCGGCTTGCCGCCGTCGAAGCGGTCAGTTAGGCTGGACAGAATGGAGAAAGTCCGCATTCAACTAGAGCGCTACCGTATGCAACGTCCTCTCGACCCGATGATGACATCAATAGGCGACATTCAGTTCGAGGACGCTTTGTGGAACACCTCTTTCATATCAACAAAGAAGGCAACGCCTCCACCTCCACCCTTTATGGTTGCAAGCGTGATTGAATTCCTGAGAGCTAGCAAATGGAGCCACCTAGTCAGCGTCGTTTCGGGGGAGGCAGATTCCTTTTGTGCTCAAGCAGCATGTGAGACCTCCGCAGCGGTGCTGACGAACGACTCTGACCTTGCCGTGCACGAGCTTGGGCCCAAAAGCTCGTTGGCAATGCTTGGTTCGATTGAGAAGAAGTTTTCCGGACAGGGAAAAGGCAAATACTCGCTGGCGATATTATCACTCCACCCCAAGACTATCTCTGAAAGACTGGGTGTTCCATCCCTAGTGCACTTTGCATTCGAGCGGTACATGGACTCGAGCATTTCGACAGCGATGGTAAGGGAGCGAGCAAGAGATAAACCGAGGCTCGAGAATCTGAGGGTTCAGTTCAATGAATTCGCGGAGCAGTACCTTCCTCCCCAGCCCCAGATGACGACCAAGGTGCCCTCCCCTCTTGGCGGCATCGATCCGCGCACTGCAGAGCTCATCGTCTCAACCCCTGGCTTTCCTCACATCTATCTCACGTCGCTGCTTGAAGACCCATCCCGTGACTCAGCCTGGTCCTATGGTTCTGACATTAGGGGATTGGCATATTCCCTTCTAGCATGGTCAAGCCTAATATCCCAGCCAGAGGCGGTGGTAGAGTACGCACGGAAGGGCCGAAGAATCACATCCACAGCCGTGCTCCAACTCAAAAGCAGTCAACTCCAACACCAACTGCATCAGTGGGTCAACACGCTAGAGAAGTCCTACACCACATATCCGGACACTGTAGCCACGCCTGCAAACGAACCCGAGCGTACATCTCTCCTCCTCAACTGGCACCTGCTTGGCTCCAATACGGTGCACCAGCAGCTTCTTGCACGGGGGAAGCAGCCGGTGCCCCTGTCGCTCCTACACGGCACGGTGGGTCTCACGAAACAGCACCGCAACGGCTCGCTAAGGGTAACGTGGGACGAGATCCATTTCCTGGCACAGGTACACGCGGTGCTATACTCGTTCCGCATCCTCAAGCAGATCGCAGAGTATGTGCTTCGTGTTCGATGCCAAGACCCGGGTCAAGCTCCGGGTCAAGGTCAGGGCCGGCCCCCTAAATCTACTGATAATGGTAATTATGGTGATGAAGCCCAGACTACACAAAACGATCATGACCCGATCGAAGTGCTCATCCGAGAGTTATCTGCGAAGTTGAAAGACATGCCATCCATCGCAGCCCTATTCCTCTCGGTCTCTGATCTACGCACCAGGTTCCATTAGGTCAGTACTTGATCCTCAATACCAAAAAATACCGGGCTGGTTTAGACTGACAAATCTTATCCACGACATTAGTAGGTCGTGGGACCAGAGGCAGGCGAGCTTCAATTGGCTCTGATGGTTTCGATGACGGGCGCATGAACAGATGTGTGGATCAATATGGATGGAACCTTTCGAGGACTCAAATCTTCCTTCTTCTAATTCTAGATTTCTCCTCAAGTGGGTGAGGGACGATCCCAGGCAGGGCCAATGGAGGATGGGCAACAATGTCGCCCAAATGAGCTTTCCAGATAGCGCCAGTATCACTCAGACTATGGGACATGACAACTCTCCCAAGTCAATCACTCCCATTCAGAATACGCGGCCCTACAATCTCGGCGCCCATCTCGTGCTCAAGAACTTGCTCACAAACTTCTGCACCAGCTCAGGCTGCAGTGCCGGCACATGACTCAGGACGGGCGCAGCTAATTCCGTGACACGGGTGTCGTATCCCAGATTCCTGCGCTTCGTCATGTCATTGTCGTACTTGTTGGCGAAGAATTCCACCAGCTTGATGGTGGGGTTAGCCACGGGGTCGGGATTTGACTTCCTCAGTCTGGCGACCCACTCTCTTTGGCCGACCTCCTCAAACTTGAGGCCCGAAGCACGCAGCGCTGGGAGCAGATCGTTCGTCCAGTGAAACGTGCGTGGGTTGACGACGTTGAAGAATGTGGCAGAGGAAGCTGTTGGTAGAGAGATGTCGATGACAGACTTCGCAACGGTATCCACGGGGAGCCAGCGCGGCGACTCGTCGAGCGCTGGCAGTGCGCCGATGGTGGTGGCTGCCTGGAGCATCAGCGGGATGGCCTCTGTGGCGTTCCATATTCCGTTTTGTGTGTCCGCGACGATCTGGCCAATCCGCAACACGCGTGCCGACATACCGGTTTGAATTGCCGCGCGGGCGATCAGGTTCTCGGTCACGAGCTTGGATTGCGCGTAGCCCATTCCCTGTGCGCAGCGGAAGCTCTCGGGCAGCGCTTCGGGTACGACATCGCCTTGGGTGTTAACGACTGTGCTGACGGAGGAACAAAAGTTGAATGATGCCGGCTGTGGCTGTTGCGCAGACAGGCACAGCAGCATCAGATTGCGAGCACCCGCGATACAGTCGGCTTCGAAGCTGCTCAGGTTCTTGTTGAAGTTGACTGACCAGGCTGAGTGGATCAGGCTTGTGATTCTCTGAGAGAGATTGTCGTACACGGCGTCACTTAGACCGAGCTTTGGTTTGGAGAAGTCGGATTGATAGCAGGAGATCTTGCAGCGTTGTTTAGGGAGAAGGTCATTGTACACCTCTCTCGCTTGCATTGATTCGATAACCCGCCTTTCTGCGTTCACGTCAGATTCGGCTCGCACGAGACAGCACACCTCTTTGATGTAAGGTCGACGGACCAACTGTGCGACAACATGTGCACCGAGGGAGCCAGTAACGCCGGTGACCACGACACAAGTCTGGTCTGACGTCTTTGCGACCGGGACATGTTGCGGGAAGATGCTGTACTTGGAAACGAGCCTTTCCATCTCTCCCATCACGTCTTGCGTCTCAATAGCTTTGCTATCTCGGATGCTCACAATCGCCTCTGCCAGTTTAGCAATCGTGGGATATTCAAACACTACATTTTGCGGCAGAGCGTTGCCGTTGAGTTGTATCTCCTTTAGAATCTTGGCGCGCAGCCTTGTCGATTGCAGCGAGTCAACCCCAAGGGAGAATAGATCTGTGTCATCTGAAAGCGATTGGCTTTCGTTCGAATTGGTGGTGAGCTCCAAGATCTGCTCGCGGAGGAACGCCCGCAATTCCTGGCCCTCGAGTACGCGTGTTCCTCTCGATCGGGATTCCGCCTCCTGATACACTTCGTCGATCTGGTTCTGGAACGCTCGATAGAATGCCTGACGAACGATGGTCCCTTTGTCTGTCTGTGGGTATTCTGTCCCGATGGGTAGAACTCTGATCATATCCCTGGACAGCTGGGCATAAGCTGGCAGCACGAGGTTTTCGGCCGCGATCACGGGCAAGATTGCGTCAATAAGCTCATCCGTCGTCTTTCCAGCAGAGAACTCCGAAGCAATGACGATCATGCCCACCTGGCTCTTTCCCGCACCGAACATGACAGTCTCCTTCACCATCTTGTGTTGCCGCACAGCCTGCTCCATGGCAATGGGGATGGCCTTCTCGCCGTTCATCAGGACGATGGTATCATCCAGTCTACCACAATATTTCCAAGCGCCTTCGATCGACGGATGTGGTTCAAAGAGATCTTTGAGAGCGTACGCGCCGTCTGGGCGATTGGTTGCGACCTTCGAAGGCCAGCCTTTTAGCACCACCAGCTCATGCAGATTCCCACCACGAGCCTCCCACCTGATAAAGGGTGCCAGCTTCTCATGGACCCGGACATAATTCCACGCCTTATCACCATCTGGTCTCGTCGAAGTCATCAACTGCCCTGTCTCTGTCGACCCGTAGTGACTGATCAACTTTACACCACCCTCAGTCAGCCTGTCACCCAGCGCGTCGGGGCAAGCCGAGCCGCCAAACTGCACCATCTTCATGGCGGCGAGGGCGTCAATCCCTTCCTGCGTCTCGCTGAGAAGCTTCAGTGCGTACGGAACGGTAATGAAGATCTCGAATTTATGCTGACGCATGACCTGCAGCAGATTTTGGCTCGTCAGCGGAAGACTGGCGCTGTATATGTAGATTTTCTTGACGGCTGTGAAACCCCGGAAGACGTTGGACAGCCCGAAGGCGTGGAAGAGAGGAAGGATGACGAACCCTTTCAGATTCATGTTGTTCTCATAGTTACGTAGCGCTGAGTAATGAGTTTGGTAGATGGGCTTGGGGAGGCCGGTTGAGCCGGATGAGTGGATGATCCATGCGACCTTCGTCGTTTCCTGGTCGAGGTCTAGAGTTTGCTCTAAGCCTTGCGGCGGCACGTCGATGCTCCCATCCGTGTCATACTCACTCTGCGGAAGGAAATCAATGGTCTGCAACTCCGGGAGCGACCGTTGCACAGCGCATATCGTTCTCATAAACGATGGAGAAACGACCATGTGTCTACACCCGGTCGCCTCAAGCAGAGACAGGTAGGCCGCTTCAGATATCCTTGTCGAAAGGAAAAGGACCGTAAACCCCAGGCGGGAGAGCGCCAGCAGCGTGACAAAGTAGTCCAGTGTTGAGGGACCAAGCAATCCTATCACGCGAGCATCTTCGCTTGAATCCGTCCTGACCGGAAGCAGGCTTGCATATTTTCTAGCAGCTCGAATGGAGAGAGCCTCTAGTTCGGGGAAGGTGTACTCAGTGTAGTCAAGGCCCGTTGACGGATAGCCGAAGATGGGCTCGTCTGGCAGATCTCGCGCTCGAATGGAAATGAGTTCTGTGATAGTGCGAGGCTTCCTGACCTTGGCCGGCGTCAAGGGTGGTGTTGGTAGAGTGATCCCCTTGGTTGATGGTGGGGCATATTCGTAGGAGGAGTATATCGAGGCATCATTGCCCATGGACCCCATGGTCAATTGTTGACCAGGAGTCAAACCGTGGCTCAAAGTTGAGAGGATGGGAAAGAGAAATTTAGCCGTGCCCCTTGGGAATGGTGATTGGACAAGCTCAGGAGTCGTGACGAGTGTGAGCCTCGTGGACTCGATTAAAACTTCTAACCTGCTGCGAAGAGTACTCCAGAAATCTATTCTTAATGTACGGTGGCGGCGTGATAGATATATATTCGATGTGATGGCGTTCTCGAGTATGAAGGCGATTATCAACTTCCTCGATATAGACCAGCTTCCAGCCTTCAGTTATATGATTATGTTCGACTACGTGAGCTTCTCGGTCTGGTCTTGGTAGGCTTTGAAGTATTTTAGTCAAAGCCGGCTGGTGCTTGATGTTGATCGTTCCGTTTGGGGGCCTCAAAGTGCTTCCATGACCCGACGGGTCGGGATTTGCTGCAGAAACCCTTGGGGACTGGTAGAACCCCCCCAAGGGCCATGCACCTGGGTACCATTGAACATGTGCTTTTGCAACAGTCTGCATCTACCCTACTACCTTTTCCGATGGATCATTTATTATTGGGGAGAACTTGTCTGAATTTGCTAGTTCCTACGGCACGCTTGAACCCCACAATGAGGAGTTGCTTCAATGAGTATCCTTGTCGTCTATACTTGAAGGCTGAAAGGATCCCATTCGCCCGGAAACCCAACAGTATCAAGATGTTCCCAGTCCCACTTGAGTAGATTCTGAAAAACAAAGTCATCTTCAGAAGGTGTGAATTGACTTGTTATAGCACCGGCATCTTCGGTAAGAACCTCATTATTCTCTCCATTCGAAGGTGTTTGAGGTACAATTATGCCCATCGCTTCGTTAAGAGTATCGTTGCTGGCTTCCACCCCTTTGGCAATTTCAGATGTGGCGGGCACCCGGTGCGGTGAGCTCATCATAACCCCAACCTGGGTTGTTGAGAGCTTTTTCGCTGCTTGTTTCGCTCTCGAAGCATCCTTCTCCGCTCTCAACCGCAAGCGATCAAGAAGTTCGTGATGCCGGCGTTGTTGGCTTCCTTTCGGAGATAGAGCTGTGAGAAAATCCTGACAATGTCTCGCTTTCTCAAGCAGCGACTCCACCTGCGGAAGAGCCGTTCCTGGAAGGGGAGACCGACTTTTCTGAATTATGAAAACGTACAACGTCGACAGCGCAACTAGCGCAACGTATGGGGTAAACCAGAAGCCCTGGTATAATACGCCTCTTTGAATCATGTCGTATGTCGTAGAAATAACTGTGCTGATTGCATCGGCACATTGCTGGATATGTCTCAAGGCTCGTTCATCTTTGATTGCTGGAATGCTTCCCCCGAGGCTACTAAAGTCAGAGAGTAAGCTTCTTCGAGTGACTAGTATTTTCATGTGAGAGTATGCAAACTTCAGAACAGTGTTCTGCCTCTCGAAGGTACGTTTACCGGCGAGAGTCTTCTCACGAGGCTTCAAAAATTCGGGCAATTTCTCTTTCCAACCAACTAGGAAATCAAGCATGTTCGAAGTCCTATCTAGCACTTGAGTGTCCGTTAATGGTTCTAGGGGGTACAATAAGTCACTATTGCGACCCATTAGTTTTGCTAATTCTGCATGAGCGATAAATGCTTCAAGATTGCCATGCAAAGGGAGCTCTTCGGGAGACTCCGCCGACAGAAGATCCTGGTCATCGATATTTCGTGGATAAAGTTGATCGATATCTTGGTCTCGAAGCATTCGAGGGCGACCAAGCATCACACTCAAGTAGCCATCCAGCACATATGCGCACCAAAATGTTCGTTTTCTTGATTCCATAACGATGTGGTCATCTTTAGCCTCACCTCGGGTCTTTCTATGGAGCCCAATCGAAGTTACGATAGCACAAGCCATGCTAAAAGTGAATCGACATTCGTTGATACGGAAAGTACTGAGTAAGTATAGGCACAAAGCTAATCTTGCTTGGACGCTAGAGAGCGAAGCAGGCCCAGGCTCTTGACTCAGCAAAGATTTGGCTCGCTCAGAGTCTAGTATGGCATTAGCAAGCAGATTGAAGACCTGCATATTAGCTTGGAATCACCTACAGAACGTACTGCGGTGAAGGTCGCTATCACCAGCGCTGGCATACCTATCACCGCCCTTGGTGTACAGAAGGGACTGGGCAAAGACAAGCAGGACGCATGCAGCCTCTGACATAAGCTGAGGGTCACCATTTAGTAGATGAGACGTCCAGTCATCCATTGTTGACCGATGCAAAAAGCGATATGTCGGTGTCCCAAAGCGGAAGTAAAGCTCCAATAACGAGTCGGCCTCCTCGCGAGTGGGAAGTTCTTGGGGTTCTGGAAATTTGGGCAAAGGCATGTCTCCGTGGCAGATTAGAGGAGCATTTGGAAGAGCTCCTTCTCTCTCGTGCCTCTCGCCTTTGTTCCAAGCATGGTACAAAAAAGATACACCTGACGTTGGGCCGATGTGATGGCCTTCATCGAATGCTTCAGGGGGATCCATCGACGTCCGCCTCAAGGCAGGCGGCATCTTCCTAACCGTCAAAGGATAAGTCTTTGATGGAGTCCTCTCGCCAGCAAGGGCTTCTGGTCCAGCAGTGCTGACGATTGCCGATTGTGCCGGATAGCCTTGATGGTCCGGAACAGAACCTCGAGAGTGTTCGGACAAGGTGTTAGGCAGAGACCTGGTTGCGGCATCATTGTACTCGCATTGCACACCTTCTTCATGGCAGTAATTGCATGGTTGAGTGCCAGTGCATCGAACTTTTCGCCTAAGGATCTAAGCATCAGCGACGGAGCACAAGAGCAGTCTACTGGGTCTCCCGCAGCGGCTGCAAGGGCTGGTTGACAACAGAAAAGTCCGAACCGTACTTTCTACAGAACAAACAGGCTCGAGCTGTCCGTGGGTGCTTCAGCTTCCGCTTCTTCCGCGGCCCGTTAGGCGGGGTTTCATGAACTTGGAAAACGGTGGTTGTACTCATGTCCATGGCCCGGGGCTGCAAGTCAAGGGGTCGTTGATGGAGGAGATGTTTCGGGAGGAAGGAGGCTCCGCAGGAAGGAAGAATGAAAGCAGTGGTTTTTTGGGATGAATGAACGCGAGGTGGAGAGTAAAAGGGAAACATGGACGGCTCACGGCACAGTTCCGACGGAAGGAGGCCGTGCACAAGCACAGAATTACGTCAGCGCCGGTAAGTAGGAAGGTGGGGTACCTCGTTCTGTGCAGGTTGCAAAAGGCTCATCGGAGAAGTGCCCGTTCTTTCTCGGATGCATGAAGACAGGGATTCTGGAGGATACTCTTTGGGCTGGGCGATCCAAGCTCAACAAAAGGAGCACTGTTCCTCTCCAAGGGAAAAGCGTAGAAGAATTCTTCTGAGAAGAAGTACATCTTACACATCCTAGAAATTTATTATCGTTTACATCTCAAAAACAATGGCACTAAATCGAACTTTCACCCTCAACACCGGGGCTAAAATCCCCGCCGTTGGGTTTGGCACGTGGCAAGCAGCGCCGCACGAGGTCGAGGATGCCGTCGAGATTGCACTCAAGGCCGGATATAGACATCTAGATTGTGCGGCCATCTACAGAAACGAGACTGAAGTCGGAGCGGGTATCAAGAAGAGCGGCGTCGATCGCAAGGACATCTTCATCACTTCCAAACTATGGAACAACAAGCATGATCCGAAGGACGTTGAGTCGGCTCTAGATAAATCTCTGCAAGACCTCGGTGTCGACTACGTCGATCTCTACCTCATGCACTGGCCTGTGGCATTTGCATCTGGTGATCGATGGTTTCCCCTGGACGAGAGGGGCGTCTTCAGGCTGTCTGACGTGCCGATTCTCGACACTTGGAAGGCGATGGAGAAACTCCTGAAGACAGGCAAGACGCGTGCAATCGGCGTCTCAAATTTCAACATTCGTCGACTAGAGGAGCTTCTGGCAAGTAGCGACGTGGTCCCGGCTGTGAATCAGGTGGAGCGACATCCGTATCTCCAACAGCACGACCTTCTGAAGTTCTGCACCGATAATGGCATTCTGATTCAGGCATACAGCCCTCTGGGCAACAACATCACCGGCGAACCAAAGACTGTCGACGATCCGAAAGTCCATGCTGTCGCTAAATCTGTAGGGATTGACCCAGGTCAGGCTCTCATCAGCTGGGCGGTACAACAGGGAACGGTGGCACTGCCGAAGAGTGTCACCGCAAAGAGAATTCAAGGGAACTTCCAAGATATCGTCCTACCCAATGCAGCTTACGAGGAATTGAATGCTTTGGAGAAACACAAGAGATTTAATTTCCCCGCGCGGTGGGGTGTTGACATCTTCGATGAGGTTGGCCAGGCGCAAGCATCCAGAAGCGCCCAGGAATCCGCTGAGGCGAATTTGAAGAATTTTACGGTGTAGAGCTGGTAATCCAACAGAAACCAACACATGTCGCAGTCCGTTATTAGAGTTCTTCAACAGCCGATATATTAGAAATGGGGTAATAAAAGATAATGTTGCTGTTGGAATTTGACTGGCTGAAATCATTAATTTAGAGTCGTGGAGCGCTACTATCTATCCATTCGTAAATCGATGCCCTCCTCATGTGGTTCGCGGGTGCATTTTGATACTCGAAGGGAGTATTACAGTGGTTCTACTTCCTCTTTGATCAAATCTTCGTTGTACAAGTCCGCTGATGCTCGTAATTCCAGCTATAGGCGACCCAGACTCCGTAGAGGTGAACGGAGCTTGCGAGGACAACAAAAACGTGAAATATCTGGTGCGAAGCAAACCAGATATCAAATTTCCCAGGCCATATAGACTCTGGAATGCGGGTGACGAAGAAGAAAGCTCCCATGCCGTAAACGATGCCTTCAAGGAAATAGTAGGGCATGCCGGAGCGAATCCACATCTGCTTCCATCCATATAGGAAAATGCCATGTATAATGGGTGCAAACCCTGACAGTGCAGTTGCAATAAATGCCCAAGTCCGAAGAACACGGTATTTGAGGCCTTGGAGTCTCGGATGCAGGACCAGTGTTGAAGTGGTGATGCTCAGGCTAATTATCATTGTCCAGTAGGTATATTGGAGAATAGGTTCGCAATAAAAGCCAACATAGATTCCAGAGAAGAAGCTCCCGAGTATCAGAGTCAAGATCCCAACGTAATCGATTCGGAGCATCAAATTGGAGAGAGATGAATGGTTCATCAGAGTGTGGTACAACGCACTTAGGGTCATCGTTATCGTCGCCGCTCCAAGATTGCAGCCGAAAACCACCCGATCAAGAATAGAAGATTCGGGGTAAGCATAAGCGATAGTGTTGTAGACTGCTACCTGCCCAAACAACAGGCAGATAGCTGGAATGAGATGTGTATAGATATTGACGGTTTCGTTGTGAAGATGGCCCAGAGACTGGGCGCAAGTGTGCCACGAATTTGAAGCGGGTCGATAGCCTGACCTCGTGAACTTGTTGTCTCGATACCAATCTGGTAAATCGTCGTAAGTCAATAGCATGACATTCTTCGCTCTAGAAAGAGGGCCCGGAGAGTCGCTCTGAGCAGGAGAGCTATTGCTCCGTGGGCGTTCAAGTTTCGCCTTGGGCCTGCGATATGCGACAATGAATGACATTCTGTCATCGGTATACCAGTAAAAATCAGAGCGATCTATAGAAAGCAAACTATGCAGAGGTCTATTGTCCAGGAGTACGGGGACTCGTTGCAGGAGGGAGACGTGCGAAGTGCGAAGTGTTAAAGCGGACGGAATATTCACGAAACGATTCCAAGAGTCCTGAACCTATATGGTACTCGTTGGTGACTGATTCCCCGCCCATCCCACCACCTAATTACCATCATCAATAGTCGGGGCTGCGGGTTCGCTAACGGCAAATTTTTTGAAGTGGACCACGTGCGCTGATTCGCGGGACGGGATGATCAGATTGGGCTGTTGATCACTTACTGGATACGACAAGGCACCGAGTGCCTAACATTGGTCTGGTTGCCGGTTCATTCCGCGAACGCCAGTGGCTAATTCAACCAAACTCACCAGACTCATCATGAAGGTTACCGCTTAGTCAGCGTCCCTTCAGTAAAGTGTGCCGATGGACCCTGCAAGCCGGACTTTATCCTTAGAGACCACCTGAAAATTGATGGCCTCCTGAGAGTCATGCGGAAGAAGAGTCTGTCCATAGAGCGCTTCGAGCCTGGCGGGCATGACGATGGGTCGTTTGAATGATACTTGCAACCAGACAGGCTCAAGGGTCGTCGATAGAGCAATATCATCCGGGTGTTTGTTTGCCTGTAGTAATGCAATCCAAGCCTTAGCTACAACATGATTACCATGGGCGAGTTTTCCAGGAAATCCGAGGACTTTGGCTGCCATCGTGGATGTGTGAATTGGATTGTAGTCCTTGCAGACCTCTGCCCAGAGAGTGGGCTCCTGGTGTCGCATCGAGAAAGACGCTTGAACTGGTCGTTGCCAGGAAAGGGTTTTTTGAACAGACTTGGAGGTCTTGAGGGTCACTGGAACCGTATTTGTGAACTGAAGTATGGTGAAGACTTGGCGAAAGGCATCTGTCAGTCTGCCTTGGCTATCGGGAACATTGAGAGAGACAATGAGGTCGATCTCAAGACCACGTTTGACGCTTCTTACAGACTTTGAATAGACTGCTGAAAGCACGGCTCTGTCGAAATGACCAAAGTCCCCAGGTTTACATAAATCGGGTCTTAACATCTCCATACGGTTCCGTACATTGACAGCGCCTAGTGGGCGGATCTTACAAGTCCTGGTGGCCAATAGCAACAGCATTGCTGGCTCGGTCCATGCGGAGAGGATCATTGAGACTTGTACATTGTTCCATTCGAATTTATCCACAGGCTTGCCTCGGACCGCACATATATAGTCAGCGAGATTCTGAGGTGTGGTTCGAAGTGGCATTGATAGATTAATCTCGTGGTCTACATTTGACCCAATCAACTCGGACGGATTTCCCCGACATATGGCTCGTCTCCAAAGCGTACGAAGAGTGTGGGAGAATGATCTGGAAAGAAAAATAAACAACACAAACCCAATTTCAAGGCGAGTAAGTTGTGTAGGCGAGAATGATAGAGTGACATCACTTCTTGGGCTCAGTAAAGGAGCAAGGCGTCGGCATGAATAGAAGAGTAATGCCGCAATTAGTGGTGCAAAAGAGATAAGGATGGCTACAACCATGTTCAACTGACATGAAGTCTATGCTGTGAAACAAGATGGAGATACTCCATGTGCTGCTATGTTCAGCTACGAGAAGATATGGTAGATCATTGGAGGGGAGAGTGCAGGATGCCTTGCGCCTAAGGCAGCTCTATGCTCCCCCGTATGTCGCCAGTGAAATGACGCCGCATTGACGCGTTGCACACCAATTTTCTGGGGTGTGATGGGTTTCCCTGGGGTGAAGACAACAAGGACGTTCACATTCCTCTCACCCTTGTCAGACAAAACCAACGTTCTCATCGCCGTCGCCTTTCCTCCAACGCCCTATTTGCAGTGATAAACTGAGACCATTGGGAACATCATCGTTCAAACCTCCACTCAGAATGGCCTCAAGACCACCCTCCCGTGGCCGTTCAAGGACCAGGTCGCATACACCCACTTCTGTTCACCGGGCTCTTTCACCTACTCGCCGATCTCCCTCGCCAAGATCAAGGTCTGAATCAAGGACTCGGTCACCCTCACGGTCAGCGAGTCGATCACCGCACCCACGAGATATTCATAGTGGTGGTCGCAGCAGAAGCCAGGTATTCAGCCCCAGCAGGAGCAGAAGTCCTAGTGTAGGGGATAGGAGGTCATACAGGGAGAGAAGCTACATCCGCAGACACAGTCGCAGTCCTAGCAGGGATGCACAGCGGACACAAAGCTCCAAGATTGTGATTGAGAAATTGACCAAAAATGTGACCGAGGCTCATCTACGAGAGATATTTGGCGCTTACGGGCGCATTGAATCCATTGATCTACCTCTGAACAAACAATGTATGTATTCTCTGTGCGCTACTCCGGCCATTCTAACACAAGGCAGTCATGACGAACAGAGGGACAGCTTATGTCCTGTATGACCATCCATCCGGATCAGAATCGGCTATTACTCACATGCACGAGGCACAACTGGACGGAGTTGTAATCGCTGTCAGTATCGTTTTACCACGTCGAGCATTTTCACGGTCGCCACCACCGGCAAGATCTAGTCGACAGGGTCCTCCCCCGGGCAGACATGGAATGCCTCCAAGAGGGCCAGCATCAAACAGATACCGCAGCCCGGGAGCAAGAAGAGGCGGATTTGGTGGTAATCGACGAGGGCCACAAGACAATACGTATGCACCAAGGTCCAATTACTCTCGCTCGCCATCCCCGCAGAGGAGAAGACGGAGATCTAGCTCGTACTCGCGATCACCATCAAGGGAACCGCCTAGAAGACGAGGTGCAGCCCCTAGAAGTCCACCCCGAAGGAGACGCAGAAGTCCCAGTTACAGTACTAGAAGCAGCTCCAGTCGCAGTAGAAGTCGAACGAGGAGTGAATCCAGAAGCCGAGGTCGATATGGGGGCAGGAGATGAAGAACGGTGTGTGCTTGAATTTGACTGAATGGGTGCGAGGATGACACACATGGGTGGATTAGTCCAGGGCGGGATGATATGACATCTTTCGGAGCAAATAAGGTAATGCAAGGGCTCTGAAGTTGGGTGGGAGTAGTATCGGTCAATGTGAAAAGACGGAACAATACCACCACTATTTCGCTGTAACAATGTGAAAGAAGTGTATGAGAAATGCACCTGCCATGGACTGTGCTTCGCAACGATGTTACTCCCTAGGTACCTAGGTATACGTAGATAGCTACAGAGTAGTTGTACAGAACTCATCGGGCACGCAGTATTGGTGTGACAGGAATGGATGTTGGAGAGTGATCCAATTATTTGCTGTCCCTTGCATAAGCTCTCTTGGCGGTTGTTAAGCCCGTCGCAAGCAGACCTCCGCAACATTAGCCGGTGCGTTTCGAGCCTAGACCTCAACACCCCAAACCCAGCCTGCGACTGTCCTTTTGACTTTGCGCCTGTCATTTCGCTCACTCCAGCGGTTGAATTTCGCCCTTCGCCTTCTTATCGTTAGTCTCCTGTTGGTTTCCCTGCTAGATGCCTCTTCCTTGTGTGTAGGACAGAGTACAACGTGTTCCGTACTAAGAAAGACTAATTCTGTATTGTGACTAGTAATTACTAAACAATACTTAGCACACTAGCGCTGCTAGCGGTGAGCATGCCATCCACTCCGTGTGGCCCCGGACCAACTGCCGGACTAGAGTCTTCGCACTAGTATCCGTACTAGTTAAATATAGTCGGCTCTAGTCCACTTCCTATACTAAGCTTGTCCTACTAGCCGGACTCTAGCGTCTCTCCTTGCTCCGAACTCCGTACGAGTACGCTGTAGTACGGTAAGCATACACTCTGTTACCCTGCTACTCTGTTAGAGGCAGTTCCAATTCCCAACTCGGCGTCGCCCGCGCGATCTTATTATTATTCTTATTCCCTGCAGATCCCTCCAGCTCATCACCATCACCACCACCATTCATCTCCAACCCAGAATTACCGCGTCACCTTTGTTCACACCCTCTACCTCGTACATCTCTGGTCGCGACCACTATTCCTCGGTTCGCGCCTCTCCAATCCCAACTCCCACCCCTTCTGAGGCTGGCTTTCCTTCCGATGATCACGCGTCTTCACGCATCACTTCGCTTGTCGGAGCAGACCTTAGCTCCCCCAAGCCTGCTATTCTTGTAGATCCCCGGAGAGGAATATCCACCCTTGCGGTCGCAATTTTTTGGTCTTTCGACCCGGTGACTCGTACAGTCCCCATCTACAATGAGCTCCGAAGCAGAGACGCCTGATGCCGTCGACGGCCTTGATCAGCATGAAGACGACCAGCCTGAAACCGACGACGAAGCTATGAACGACACTACCATGCACGATGATGAAGAAGGAGAAGGTTCACGCGCATTCCAACCCAATGGCAAACCCTACGCTGTCCCCGACGAAGCTACAGACTACAGTGTCTTCTCCAATCCCCCAGACTTGCTTGCGATGCGCCATCGCATCTTTGCAGTCGAAGAGCCTATCGAGCTCAGCGCCGCCGATTTTGACAATTACTTCCTCTTTGTCGACAACATTTGGCGCAAAATGCGCACTACCGATCCTCAACCCGAAGGCAGCGTTCGCATTGACTACTATGCCTGCAGACTGCGACGCGGTGCGACTCAGAAAAGCCACGTTCCGCGCCCGACACCCGAAGGCAAACAATCCCGCAAAAAGCGAGTCAAGGAGGAAAAGACTTGTGGCATGACCATGAAAGTCGTCTATAATCCAGGTTCGCCAGAGACCTGCACTGTTTCTCGGGCCGTCGACAATTTCCAAAAGCATTCCCATGACCTCGACTACATCGATGCCACCAAACGCAACACCGGCGTCATGGACACGGCGCGCAGAGAAGCCACCAAAGGCTTCCTACCGGCGTCTATATTCTGGAAGATGTGGGAGGAACCAACCAAAATGGAGGCTGCGGGTGGGAAGTTCATGAAGGTCTCGGATGTGCGTAATGTCCAATACGCATGGCGACAAGAAAACCAGCAGATGGTTCTGAAAGCCCATACTGGATTCAATGCCACTCGTGCCCCTCGACAGCGCCAGCAAACCCCGACCAAACCCTTTCCAGCCTCCATGCAGCCCGGCGTCTTTGGTCGTCTGGAACCTTCCAAGCCCGACGTCCCACCTCCGCGTCAACCAGTGCTCATGGACACCCTACAGTATCCTGACCACGCCAGAGCATTCCTCGAGCCCTATATTCCAAATCCCAACCTTACTGCGACACGCACCCGTCCTCATGTCACTCTAACATGGGCCAGCAGCCTTGACAGCCGCATATCATTGCTCCCTGGGTTGCAGACCATCATATCCGGACCCGAAACAAAAGCCATGACCCATTATCTCCGAAGTCGGCACGATGCAATATTGATCGGTGTTTCTACTGCCATTGCAGATGACCCTGCCCTAAATTGCCGGCTAGCTGTTCCGCCACCGTACGGTGGACTGGGTTGGGAAAACCAACCACGACCAATTATCATTGACCCTCATGCAAGACTTCATATTCGACCAGAAATGAAAGTGCTCAAAAACGCGACCGAGGGAAAGGGGAAAGCACCCTGGATTGTGGTGGCCCCTGGCGCGATGTTGCACCCTCAAGCGGTGACTACTCTCAAAGCACATGGTGGAGAGTACCTCATGATCAATGATTATCATCCTCAAACCGGAGGATTGAATTGGGAAGGCATCTTCAATGTGCTCCTCCGCGAAGGAATCAAGAGTATTATGATTGAAGGGGGTGGAGTGGTTATTTCTGAGCTTCTAAAACTTAATTACGCCCACCTGATCGATTCCGTGGTTTTGACCATTGCGCCCGCCTTCTTCGGCAAAGCCGGGGTTCCTGTTTCTCCGGATCCAACTTTCGACCCCACTGGTAAACCTCTTGCTACCCGGCTAAAGGACACCCGTTGGCAGCCGATGGGAGAAGTGGATGTTGTCTTGTGTGCTCACATGGCACAGGATCGTCCCATCAATGGCATCCTGCCCGGTATCGAAGAGTTTTCTCAAACGGCGCCGGGTCCAGAACCGCAGCGTACACCGTTCAAACAACCCTTGCCTCCACATCAAGACGGCGTGTCACCTGCGCAGCCACCAGGTCAACCACAGCATCGTCCTCGGGGGAAAGCTCAAGGCCAATCTCAAACACCACCTCAAGCTCAAGCTCAAGCATCATCACAGGTGCCGAACCAATCTCAACCAACCGGCCAACCCCAGCCCGAGCCGCAGCAAGCTCCTACTGCACCGAGCTGATTCTTGGATTCCAGAACAAAGATTCACACACAAGTAATTTCGGGAATGGCATTGCTGCGTCATTTGAGCGCTGCGAATATGGCTAGGGAAACATGGGCAACGACATTTGAAAGAGCATACAGTTTAATGACTGGAGATGATCATCCACCGTGCGACTCTCTCCACGGCAGACAACAAATACCTGGATAGACTCTCTCCAAGATGTGATGAGCGATGAATATGACGAGGGAATACTAACACGTACTCGAGCACGGCATAGAAATTTTAGATTCCAGGGACGGGGCGGTTGTTCTTTTTCGTTTTCGCTGACTGTTGGAAAGAAAGCATGGGGTCGAGGGTTCATGGGAAATAGGGGCGAAATGGGATATGAAAAAGGGAAAAGACGGCAGATTTCCTCCCCTGGAAAGTTCAATTGAAGCATTTCCAGATGGAGGGGTCGGGTCGAGTTGGCATTTTGTACGATTTACCATGTGACGAAAAGGGACACAGAGGGAGAGAGGGAGAGAGGGAGAGAGAACGCAAGAGGGCAGTTTCTAGCTTCTATTACTAGTTACCTAGTTAGTTTTCTTGAGCCCCTTGCTATATTACAGCATAAGCTCGATTGTATACGGCCGGAAATAGCGCCTGGCCTACTCAAGTCTTCCACCTACCAAGCGACGGCGTCGATGCATAGTGTTGAAGCGTTAAAACAGAGCGTGAAGCCCACAAAGGAGGCGGTCTAATGAAGAGCTAATTAGGAGGCGAGGCGAAGATCAAGGGATAGCCGCCGAAGGTCTAGAACGAGGAAGACACGTCTTTCATACGCGGCAGGCCGATTCTGCCAGGCTGCTTGGGCTTGAGGCGTAGGCATGTAAAGTGGTGGGGCTGTCTCTGTAATTTACGCTACGTGCAAATTTGGTGTTTTTAAGGTACGGAGGCGTTAAAAGTTGTGTAAGCGCTAGTAGAGAATGACAAAGCCTTCTAATGACACCATCGTAATTTTGAAAGACAAGTTTATTTTACTGTAGTTACCTAGTAGGCGATGTGACAGTTACACCATCAGTCTTGACGGACTTGCGGAATAGCCAAGTCTCTGATTCAAGGAGAAAGGCTAAAAACAAGAAGCTCAAACAGTTCATGGACTATTGTTTTATCACGTTAAGAAACGTAGCCAGTACATCCTGGACAGAACATGGGCGCTATGTTTTGATTACGCGGGACATCGCGATATGCCTACAAAGGACTAGGTGACTACCCACCCAACCTACATATATAGTAGCTGATCAATTTATGTAGGTTGTTAATTAGTTCGAGGCATATACCGAGTGGTCAGTGGTCACATATTATACTATAGTAGTACGTAACCCGAGCAAACAACATGATTGTTACCATCACAGAATCCCACCTGGTACCACCCTGCCTACAGAGCAACCTGCCTTTTCAAGTTAATGCCTGACTGGATCATCTCCCGGGATTTTCTTGTTAAACGATCGCTGTCTTCCGTGCCGATTTCTTCTGATCTTCTCACTCAAACATCCAACCCGCCAATCACAACCATGCACCAATGCACAGTATGCTGGTTGGAAAGCTACAAGGTATAGTTGCATGGAGTACAGCGACAATCGTTTCTGTGCGTCACGCGGAGAAAAGTCATGGGTTTAACGTCTGTCTAACTACGCGAAGCTTGAATAAGAGGAACTTGCAAAACAGTTCCACTGGAAACCATGTCTCTTCCCACTTCTCGAAGGCGCTTGGGGAGTTCCTAAACAACCTCACGCGAACTGAGTGACCGATCACTATCGTAAGGACAACCACCATGCTTATATCAGCCATTGTCGCTGGTGGGGCTGTTCTCGCCAAACCAGTGGCATGTGTAACCATTCCACTGTCGCTGACGCCGCCAAAGAATACGAGTCAGCCGGTTCTCGAATCGTTCGTCTCGTTCTCAATTGAGTTTTCGTCGTTTCCGGATTTTGCTGGTAAGTCAGCAGTAAACCAGGGTGGAGAACGAGTGAAGAGGGAGACAAGGGGGCTCGCGAGACAACAGTCGTAGCTTACCAAGATACCAAACAACGACAGGAAATTCAAGCCATCCGAATGACTTTTCGTACAATCTCTTGAAGAATCTGGGTGACCTGCAAGGATCGAATCCCATTATTCGAGTGGGTGGGAACACACAGTACGCTCGCTTTTCATAAGCTTCCTTCCTCCTTTTCTCGCACCTTAAAACAGCGTATCTGAAAACTCGCTACCAACGCCATATAGGGATTACGCGACATTCAACGCCTCGCAAAGCGAACAGCTGGTGGGAACTTTCAATTTCAACCGGTCACGGGACTATCCAACGACGATCTCGATTGGCCCGTCATACTTCGACAGCTATTCAACATGGCCGAACATCAGCTACATCCACGGATTCAATCTCGGCAAGAACGGAAGCGCCGGGCATGACACCCTCGTCGGCACCGTGCCTCTGGTCTGCAAAGCACTCGCGTCATCGCCAGACAGCAACAACGAGAGACTCGCGTACTGGCAGCTAGGGAACGAGCCGGACTTGTTCAAAACGAGTTCGCAAGGGCCCGTGAGACCCTCATGGTGGAATGAGACCGACTATGTCCAAGAGTGGCTGAACAAGACGCACATCATCAGGGATCTCGTGCAGAAGAATTGTCCTGAGATTCTGCCGCAGGACAAGTTTAGATTCTATGGCCCCAGCTTTGCAGGCACGGGGAATAGCTTGAATATGATCACGACGTGGAAGAAGGGCATTGATGCCGATCAAGATATCAGTTTCGTGGATAGTCACAAGTGGGTCTATCCCTTTCCCCGTTTTTGTTCTCAATCCGATAGATTGACCAGAATGGCGCACAGTTATATCGGCGGCGCGACGCAGCCAGGAGTAACGCTGCAGGGGACGCTGATGAACCACAGCTCGACGGCGGCGTCGGTCAAGAAGCACCTGAACGAATCACGGATCCTGCTCTCTCAAGGCGTGACGCAGCCGTACATCCTAGGCGAGACGAACAGCCTGTACAATGAAGGGGCGCCGGGCCTCTCGAACTCGTTCGGCGCCGCGCTATGGGGCCTAGACTTCAACCTGCACTGCGCGGCGAACAACATCCGCCGCGTGCACATGCACCAAGGCACCAACTACCGCTATGCGTCGTGGCAGCCCCTCGAGACCGTCAACGAGACGCTTGGCACCAAGGCCCCCTACTACGGCAATATTGCCGTCGCGACGTTCCTCGGAAACCCCAACACCGGTAGCGGACGACGAAGAGAGAAAGCAGAAAACGTTTCGGTCGCCGAGATCGACCTGGCCGCCAATGCCAGCATCTACCACAGCGCATACGCCGCGTACTTGGGCGGGCGACTGACTAGGGTCGCGGTGATTCAGATGCGAGCGTATAACTATTCGACGACGGCGGAGGATTCAAGCACGCCACGGCAGCGCCCAATCGAGACGTTTGAGTTCCAGCTCGACGGCGAGCAGGCGGCCGCGGCGGCGGTCAAGAGTGCGGTTGCGGAGCGCCTGATTGCGAATGGTAGCGATGCTATTACCGGCGTCACCTTTGGAGGCTACTCGTTCAACCATGACCTGGACGAGGGTCGCCCTGTCTTGTTGAAGAATGTTTCCGCCAGTGAGCCCGTACAGATCCAGCAGGGTGGTAGGTTCGCTGTCGATGTGCCTTGGTCGAGTGCCGTCATCTTGAGCTTTGCGTACTAGGAGCGGGCCGAATAATGATCTCCAGCTCGGATGCCTTAGAATTGAGACATGGATGGTTGCTGGTTTGAAGGTGGGGTCTACCCCTTTTTATTTTCTAGGGAGCATCAGATCTACAGCTAAATTCTGCTTGAGCGATGCTTCAATTCAATAACATTCCGGAATCTTTGATGCGAATCACTCGCTGATGTTCTGTGGTGCGGTTGTCTCCCCACGCCATGCAGTCTATCCCAACTCTCGACTCCATCAACCAGCCGTTGCTTTACACGCTTAGTATTGAGCCCATTGCAATGCCTGTTCCCCCAGCTGATTATGACGCAACTCACACTACTATCTTCTTACACACAACGAAAAGCATCTCTTGTCCTCTGGTGTCCCTGCCAACCGTCACGCCAATTCAGACGCTTAAGCAACCACTTCCCCTGCCGTTTATTCTTGGTGTTTCCATAACACATCTCTCCAGCCTCGGCTGGATATCGTGTCGCTACACAATGTCGGACCTGACGATAGGTATCACACCCTCGGAAAGAGATGCAAATTCTCGTGTCAGAATCTTCACGGAATGGTCAACCATATCCACTCTCCGCAAGTAATCGATCGGTCCGTACAGGCATTTGTATATCAATTCATCCCACTCCTCGCTCCATCGTTGCAGCTTTGAGACCAACATCATCCTGTCCATGCCAGTGCGAAGAGCGGGATTTTTGAGGATCGTTTCCATGTCGTTCACCCACTCGCATAGTCCATCATCTGGGTTCAATGTACCTTTATCTAGGCTCATTTGCAGCAGATTGAGATCGCGAGATAAGCGAGTGTTGGAGCTTGCAACTCCCTTGAGACTGTCTCGGAAGATCTGAATGATGGGGTTGCAAAATCGTGCTAGGAGCTCTTGCCGTTCCGAATCAGTCGGGCAGTCATCCACTATGTAGACGCCAGCAGCTGGGCGTTTACGCTTGGGGATGCTGTCTATATTGCTCGAGTTCAATTCAGACAGCTCTAACTTTAGCTCTTCTGCAATCGCGCTCGCGGTGCCACGTCTCGGGGTTAGTTCGAATCGATTTTGTTTCTTCGGATATTTCACAACACGGTCGGTTGCCAGCAAGGTGCCCTTTCGTGACGAACTGGGAATATTGCGTCCATGCCCACTACCAGTTGGTAGTTTGAATTTAATGATCAGGGACTGTGGTGGTGCTTCGGCTGTGGTACATGTCTTCTTGTCCTCAAGTGCAGCGTCCGCTTCCTTTGCGTCTGTATCAGGTCTTGAGAGAATTTCCGTGACAAGCGCAACACCTTCATGCTGGGGCGTGGTTGCCATTGTGGGCAATTTGAGGATATCATGGCAGTCTATATTAACAACTGCAAAGCCTTCAGTGGTTTCGTTCAGGATATCTTCACCTAATGGTGCTTTACTCGCATCGTTTGGCTGAGGCTCCTCTTGCAACAAATCATCATTCACGCAAGCAACCGCCTCCAGAACCTCCCGTTCTTTTCTCATAAAGAACAGTTTTTCCTTGGCGTAGGCTAGTTCCAATTGCTTCTGTTCGACTTGAATCTCCAATAGTTTCTCAAGATTCACCGTTTGGTTGGAAGCCATTGTGAGAGGGATCTTGCTCACGTTTTGACACTGCCAAACTTGGCCTGCAGGAGAGGTGCAAAAGGTGTTGCCTCATGTGCTCAGCCACTTGCTTGAAATGAACGAAGAGTCTGATAGTTTTGAAGCAAGGAGCCACAGGTATATGCTTCAATGATTGCTTGAGTCAGAGATAGGGTTTTGCATGAAGATGAAGTGAGGGCACTAGGCTCGAGGCGCAATTATCTCTGTATTGCGAGCAATATGACAGGGTTTAAAAGTGAAGTGAATCTTGGTGAAGAAGTCTTTAAAGGGCCGGCCAGATGGCAGGGTTCAGGCTAATCTGGTTGCACATGGGATCCTAAAGTAAAATGGACGTGTTCAAGGGCCTGATATAGGGGGATATACTGACTACCTTTATTTTTATCAAAGTCAATCTAAGATTCTGGATAGTGGAGATGTATATATACCCCATTTTGTACTAACACGCTTTGTACATGTTATACTTCAGCAAATACGCCTGAGTCTAAAAGCAAGGATCTTCGGCAACTGGGTATAGTTCTTAGACGCATATGGTCTCGCTTCATCAACAAAAGTCTCGTCGAAGTTTGGCTCCGTCAGTCTATCCATAACAAGATCCTCAGCGAAGAAGGGTGCCAGGAGCTCATGCAGTGGTCGATGAAATGCAATCTAGTTTCGACCATTAAATGATTCAGCTATAAAATATCAAGGGGAGACAAGGGAGGAATCACCTGTTTAGCTGGTTGATCACTTCTAATAGGTGCTATTCTTCTCGGTGGAACGTTAAGATATTCGCTCACTAGGATAGACCAGCTGATTATGCAATTCCCTTCTGGATCTTCAGAGGCTTCGATATGGCGTGGTGCACCGGATGTAAAGAATAACGGGTGTAGGATAGTCGCGATAAATCTTTATCGCGGGTATTAGACCGTTCCTGATGCAGTCAGGATGGTAGACCTTAGCTTACCGCCCGGTATGAGGCTTTAAGATCTTAGAAACAAGTAAAGCCAAGGGCGAAAGATCCGGTATGTCCATGATGGCCATATTAATTGTAATTATATCGAAGCCATTGGGCTGGGTATTGTCACGTTTCAGGTCATTTGTGTCCTCTCGTGAGCAGTTATCAGCCAACTCACCTTCATCTCACTTTGCTTCTGGACAAATTGGTCTATCTCATCACTAGCAACCGGATTCAATTGCTGATAAGTGATTTTATTCTCGCGCTGCTTCCCATGGGCAGTGGCCCATTCTGAGGTTCGCCTCACCGCATGATCAATCATGGGCATACTACCATCCGTCGCGAGAACGGCAACTGAGCCTTCCTCGACCAGCCATCTTGCGACAAGGCCATTGCCGGTAGCAAGATCAAGAGAGCAGTCTCCATGTTTGAGCTCGGCCATTTCTCGAAGTGCGGGCATCTCAAGAACAGTCCAGTAGTCGTTCCCAGAGTTTCTCATGGTGTCGTCCCAGCATGAAGCATTCGTGTCCCATATTGAAAGGGCTTGCTTTGCGATGGCTTCTGGCGCTAGAATTTCGCTCATATTGTCAAACGTGGAGGCAGTAACAAGTTCAACGTCAGAACTTTGGTTCACAAGCAAACCAATGATGGTATAAAAGTCACCATAGAGATATCGTATTCGGCTTCTGCTCTTGCCAAGAAAGTGAAAGTCTGCCCCGAACTCACCCCCGCTTGGGAACGAGGTGATGCCGCCTTGTGCTCATCCCCGGCCCGAGTAGTGGGAGGGTAGGGGTCCTATTTCAGGATGAAGGGGCAGGCGCCCTTGCTACACATTCGTCTTCGTCCTCATCCTTGGTATGCTATAAGGCCCGTCTGTGAGGGATTGTGCCGCAGACTACAGAGTATAAGTGAAGCCATCGTCGATCTCACCAACGATATGCTTGGTTTACTTCCCTTTAAATCTCCCGGCTCAGCTAATGTACACACCCGAGATTCCATGGGGATGGTACCATGCCCCCAACTTGACTGGCGTGTGTAGAGGAGTTCCCCGTCATTCGTCGAGACATTCAACTTGAATCAAACTCTCTATCTTCTCACAGTGGTAGGCAGTCTCTCACCAGACCGCCCGAAATCCTATCTAATTGGGCACGACTAACGTTACCTCGCAGCGATGGGATGTTGCTGCTATGAGGAAGTAATTCTCCATGTCCATCGACTCATCGGTGGTCGTGTCTGCCAGCACTACATCCGGACAAACCTTGAAAAAGATAAAAGTGCCTAACAGCAACTCTTTCATGATAAGATGAATACCGAGACAGACTTTTGGATGTTAGTTCTCTTCAAACGCAAAATCGTGGCTCATCGACATTGCGCATACCTCGCGAACAGAGGCCAAAGGGGAAAAAAGTATCCTTCATGTGGCATTCTCCCAGCGCTCGGGAAGAAACCTTGAAACATATGGATGGGCATCTTCAACGCCCTCCCTTTGTAGCGTGCTACAATTACCTCCCAGGATCCGAGAATACGAGCCCATCTCGATGCATGGTATATGCTTGAGCACTGACGGTGGTCCCTGCTGGTATGAAATATTCGCCCAACTTCGTTCCTTCCGTGGGGCACTCCCTAGGTAGGCTACCAGGCGCTGCACCAAAAAGCCGCAGTGATTCGTTGATCACGGCGTGAAGATATATTAACCTCTCGATGTCTGACGCGGGTGCGGCGACAGGCAATTCAGCGATCTCGGTCAAAAGCCTTGTTGGACTCTACAATTCTGGCGGCGAAGGACCGACCAGACCGGATATGTTAGAGAGACCGCGGTGGTATCGTTTCTAGCAACAATGAAGTTGGCTGCTTCACCTACTACTTCTGACATAAATAACTCTTGATTCTTCGTCGGATCCAAGAACTTTGAGAACAGCCCTGGCCAGTCGTTGTGTATCATGATGTGTTGCTTGTGGTCTTCGATCGCGGCGCTAGTGTAGGCAGCCATTCGAGTTTTCATGTCGAGGGCGTTCTGGACGGCACGGATCGCCAGGTATTGAGCAATTCCCACGAGAGGCTTCAGCTCTGCACGTATACCATTAAACCCCATCGTCGTTTCCAAGTCTCGCCTAAAAGGCGTTTTCTACCACAATCTTAGCAAAGAATTGGTGCTGTGGACTTCAAGAAACACACGGTCTCCTGCTCCAGCATATTGAACGATGAACCAAAGCTTAGTTCGCCCATGACATCGGTGGCCATAAACGGAAACCACTTCAGAACATCGGCATTGCCCGCCGAGGCGTCTCTCTTGATTTTGGAGATGGCAATTTTGGCTTTGATTCTCATTTGTGACTCAAACCGTGTCATCGAGGTTTTGGAAAGGTCCTGCGCAAAAATTCGGCGTATGATGCTGTGCTCTTTCGCATCGGTCATTGCAAAGATGCTTGGTTTGGCACAACTGTTGAACCTCAGATACCATGGGGATTTGCGAAAAGGGCTGCCGATTTGGTGGACAAGTTTTATGCTCGACAATTCGGCAATCGCCACTTCATCCGGGGAAATGCGAACGAATGGTCCTTCAGCAAAGATTAGCAGCAGCTCATTCGATCTCTCCGCGTCCAAATGTCTCCTACCATAAGTCTCATGAAAACTTTGAATGTACTGCGATCAATTGCCTCTCATGACGCCTTGAGAACCAAGTTGGTCCATGAAGCATACCACGGCCCTGGAACGTGCCGTAGTGACGTCAAACAGGCCTTCTGGATCACCTACAAAGTCTCAGGATCCTTCGTATCATCTCTAGCATAATCAACACTCACCAAGCACAGTTGGAAAAGACCCGCAAGACATAAGGACCCCAGGAGAGCTTCCATCAGCGTGAGATTTGTCAGACTGATCTTGATGGCGGTACCGGTTGGATAGCTAGGCGTGGGGGGAATGCTGTTCTGAGAGGCGTTGTGTTGTCAGTAGACGCTGAAGACTTTATCATCACATGGATCAACATTGAATTCCTCAAGTACTGCAGTCCCTAACTGAGCGTTCAAATTGTCCTACCATGGAGCCGAAGGCGTCTGCATATGGTGGGCGGAAATGCTGGGGCTGACCCTCAGATCCCAGAAGCGGCCGGACTGTACGGGATGACGCTAGGTCCCTTTTCTCGTTGCGGGGATATTGCTCTATGATGACCGAGAATGATTTACTTGTATAAAAGAAATATTGTCTTGTTGATTTCGGCCTCACCGGACTTGCAAAGAGAGAGAAGCTTTCCACAGGTGGGAATTTACTCAAACAGGTTCATGATTCTTGTCCTGACGGCATTGTCATTGTCTTCTGACAAGATCTTCCAAGAGCGTACGATGTACTACCATAATCCTTGACTCATGCTCTGCTCTGGCAAGTAATGACAGCCCGGTCTGAAGCCAGACCTTTGCAGTTTGGAAATTTGAGGCCTCGAGGATAGTGTGACACCAAAGAGTAAGGCTTGCATTACACACCGAATGCGAATAGTGAAGAGGCCTCCAAGAGCGACGAGTGTCCCGACCTGGAATATTGGAGGTTTTCTGAAGTGCAGAAGCGGCATTGATCAGTCGCTCTGCATGCCATGCAGCCCTCTTTCTCTTTGCGGACGAACTGAACAAAGCGGCCGCAAATTTTTCATTGTCGGCTGGTGACGGCCGCTTCCCTAGGTCATCACTTAGGTGGAGAACAACATAGCCTTGCATTGCAGGAACGCAGACAAACATGTTGATATGAATAAGATGGAAAAGAACGACGGTGGCCAGCGCTGGAAATGAGTCGTGTGCACAGAGCCACCGATGAAGGGCAAGTTCGACCAAGTCGGTTGACCACAAACTCATCGTGGCTGAGAAGCAGGGAACGACGTGCCAGCTGAGATTCCCCAAGCGACAGAGTGTCGTCAGGCTCTGATATTCAGTCTCAATCTTGACAGCAAGTTTCCCGGGGTGCACGAAGCTTCGCAGTAGAGCATTTTGAGTCGTATCCGAGTCGCTGTCGGAAACGACTTTCATCAATCCAGGGCGTTGAGCTAGTGTAATTCGATAGCAGTCAAGCATGGATATGGTTTTCCAAATGCTGCGTTTCATCAGTCCAAGGTACAATTTCACCTTTACGCACACATCCTCACCGCTCTCTGGTCTCATCGCTGTCCAGCTCTGGCAACAATACATATACAAGCTATGAAGTCAGCGATGAGAGCACGCAGTTGTGGAGTGTCACACGAACTTCGATCAGCTTGGCGTGATGAACTTCTGTCAACTCGAAAATTCTCTTGTCACCGGCAAGATATCCAAAGACGGAGAGCACAATAGACTTGTCAACTGTCAGGGGACGTTGAAAAATGGTCGAAGGAATGGTTACCGTTTCTAGGGCAATTTTCTTGTCACGCGTGGACGCGAGACTGAAAGAAGACGTGTTGACCTTTGAACAGTCAGTCTGGCGTAACGGAACCATGAAACAACATACAAAAGCTAGGAGCTTATATCTCGAATTGTTGTAGAGCCATCGGGCAATGGTGCCCGCACCTGGAGTATTGCAAAAGAGTCCTCCCAAAGCTGCGATTGCTAAAAACCATTCCGGAGGGGTTTTGGAGGTGATGAAAATCTCGTCGGTTATCGCGTCGAGCCACGGGGCAGCATTGATCTCGAACAATGTGATGAAGACATCAAGAACGGCTCTGTTGTCCACGCCTGTTGACGTCGGATCTTCGGTGGCGGGTGCGGATGCAAAATGGGGCCTCGCAGATGACGAAGCTGGAGACTGAGCCCGAGACGTATCGAGGTCTGAGAAGTGTCGGAACCGTCGAAATGTCTCAGAAGAAGTTTGGCCCTCTGTCACCGATGTGTCTAGTTGAATTGGATCCCCGTTTGAGGGTTGACCTACCCAGTCCAGCTCAAAATTGAAATCCGAGCCGAGGACGGGAAATTCGACGTCGATGTGCTCTAGAGACAGGAAGTCGTCAAACTCGAAGAGACTATCATATGTCTGCATGCCTTGTCAGATAGTTGAACAGGATCTGCGGAATTGATCGTACTGTTCGGGTCCCTTCTTGAATCTCTGTACCGTCGACCGCATTGAAAATAGCAGAAACTTCGAAATCGTTTACCATTGGTGCCGGAGCGGTGAACGCACTTGCACGGTTCAAGGCGTCGTCATCGTCATCGTCCCCGATGCGACTCTGCCCAGTGGCTGCTTCAGCATTGGTAATGATGGTGGTATCGTCAGCCCGAGAAGACAGATCAGTATTCGACTGCTGGAACGGTCGCGAAGTATGGGAGTTTGGGAGATCGCCCAGCGATCCAACAGAGGTTGATAATGACCTCCCGCGCGAGGCGGCGAGTCTGTTCTCTGAGATTCTGCATTCAAGCCGCTTTGAAACGCAAGAGCTGCAAGGGATGCCTTTGACACACTTTACCTTGGCCTTGTTGCAATGGTCACAGGCAATCTTGACGCGCTCCTGCTTGTCAGTGGGCGGGTTGCCACTGAGGCGGGCGTCGTGAAGCGGAAGGTCTGCATGTGAACTCAAGACATGCCGACGAAACTGATCCGATCGGGAGAATCTTTGGGGGCAATAGCCGCACGCGAAGGGTTTCTCCAGGGTGTCTATGAGGAAGTCAGCAAGTACTGGAAGCGGGCCGTGCGGGCTCTTACGAATCCGTCTGTGTCGAATCAGATGTTCATTGCGAACAAAAGCCCGGCCACAGAAGGTACATGAATACTGCCTACCACCATCACCCATGGAACTTCCTTGGATTGAATCCGATGTGGGAGATGGGAGAATGGACAGGAGAGGGTGGTGGAGGACCCGTGGGGTAAGCGAAACAGTATATTTTAGGTAGAGGAAAGGAATGCCTGGGCATGTACCTGGGGTGCCGATGTCGCGGGGGAAGCCGGCTGCGCTCAATTCAGTCCTTTTCCCCACCTCTGCCACGCCGGCTGCACCCCGCCCCGCACGCTAATCCTACCAGAGAATAGAGAGGTTGTGCAATGATGAATTAGTGGACGTTGAGTTGTAAGACTAGAGTTTCGTATGACAGTCATGGCAGAGCTTGTCTGTCACTTGTGTTGACACCAAGAAACCCGTCATTGATCAACCCATGTGACAACGCTTTATCATTTATTCTTAAATCCACTAAGAGTAGTAGGTCTTCTTAATCGGAGTGGTATAAAGATACTTGGATATTGAGCTAATCTCGATCTAACACTGAAGAGCTCATTAGTAGAGAATTTAGTAGACAGTATACATAGCGTAAGGCGCCAACGCTTTTAGTACCTCTGCTAAGCTTATAAAGGGCTTAGTGTGATGCTAGTTTAAAGCAGTCCACACTTGTGTCTATTGATTTATGGCCAAGTGGACGGCAGTTTACGAAAATAATGGGACAACCTGGAACCCCACATAGGTAAGACTCGGCCACTAGTGTCTAGCTAATAGGCTTGGCGCCAAGCCCCAACACCGCCTGGCACGACTACTCCGGACGCGCTCTTAACGGTACGCTGTGCATATCAGCCCTGCTATTCCGTACATGATATTATTATGTATTTGTAGCTTGGGCGGAGTAGAATCATCTCAGCCTGGCATCATCCGCACCACTATCGCGGCAAATTTGCTGCGCTTTGTATGGACGATCACGCTCGTTCCGACTCTGGGCCTCCTGGTCCTACCACAACCCAATCTTTTCCCACTCAAATCCACTTATTGCAAATAAGAAGAAGCTATATGTGGAGATAGAAGTCGCTACCTCTAGCCATGGCGGATGTGTCCCCGTTCCCAAGTATGCCACTTTGCCATGCAAGACTCGGCTCGCTTGGCTTATACAGATGCAGATGAACGAATACCACGGGCATCCGATACTCGTCTGGCCGCCGCTCCGTTGGATCCTGAGTTATTCGAGAAATTCAAACAAAGATTGGGGTCTACCAGTGGAAGGTCACATTTTAGCGCCGAAAGCTTCCTTCAATCGCCCCAAGCTCGTCGTCCGACTGGCCTACACTACCCGATATCCCTCTTCGTCAATTTCCCGGAGCAACCTCCGCCAGAGACTCTCAATCATCTCGTTCTGCGATTTCAGACTGCCGTTCTCCCATCACTTCCATTTCTAAGGCATGTATCATCTTGCCATGAGGATACAAATGGGCGCCCCCGAAAGCCCACCTTTCTGAAGATGGCGTACGCTTCATTGGGCGCCGTGGCGCGATCCGACCCTGTCACATCCTCTTGGGCATCCAAAATATGGCATGCAGCCCTTCTAGTACACTCGACCTCTGTTGAAGTGGACAATTCCGTTGCCAGGACGGTCGACTGGGTTTTGGGGGTAAGTTTGGAGACATTGCTATCACAGACGCCGGATCCCATCTGATTTGCCTCCAGTGGACCCTCTTACAGCTCTACGGCGTTTCTGAGACTAATGCAGAGGTCTGGAGGAAGACCAATGCATGGAATGGGCATGTTGACACCGTAAGGGTCAGGGTAAAATAGTTGGCATCGACGCTAACTCCGAGCAGACTGTTCATCGGATGATGACCACCCAAGCACATCCATTTTGGCTTTCCAATCGGGCTCCTGGCGCACCCGCAAATTCCAACTTCAGAGGGTATGTGCTCCGTATAATTCCAGCGCAGAGGGCAAGTTTTGTCTAACACGGACAACTAGCTGCATGTCATTTTACTTTCTGATTGACCAGCTGCGAGCTTTGACCTTCAACGCTCCGGCCTCTTTCACGCCCATCCAGTTACCCATCAGACTGTCATCGAACCAGTGTTTTATCGATACTCACAAGAGACTTCTCGCACCAGAACCAATGGAGGTCATTGGGCTGTCGGTGGAAGACAAACTTCTCCTCTTGATTGGCATCCTGTCTGAGATCATCTCATTCCAACGAGATCTCGGCATGCTCCTCGACTTCGATGTATATGAATCTATGTCGCTCCGACGCACACCACCGCCAAGACCGAAAGAGCAACACAATCTTGCACACAGCTTGGACGAGTCGGTATATCTTGCGAATCCATACCTGAGGAATTCTGCAGTTGCTCAGTACTTGGATATGGAAGAGATCCTTGCTCAAGCCTTACGAAAGTGGGAGGCACTATCCATAGTCGACGACGTGGACAACGACCCGATGACAAGATGCTTATACCTTGGCATGAAAGAGCTTGCAAAATTCTGCGGAATGCTACTTTCGGGGGGTCCTGATGTATTTAATTTATGTACAAGGGTCGGATTCTCCCCAGCGGCACGATTCAACCCTCCTCCCCATGCTCAGGCTATCAAACGGCCGCGAGTCTCCAACGAGACCTTGAAACTCGCCTGGGAGACCTTGGATGCCACAGAGGCTGTCAACGAGCATGTTGAGTCTGTTCCGTGCGAGATGATGTCGCCCATATGGAGCCCCATTGTGTGTTTCATGGCCGGACTGGCAATCTGGACCAGCACACAACAAGACCCCGTTAGTGAGCAGTCACCGAGATCACAACAGTCTCGGAACCTTATGCGTTTATTTGAGCTTCAACTCAAACAAATGACTTGGCCCAATGCCAGAGACATGCTGAGGATCCTGAAGTCACTGCGGGTCCAGTAATCAAGGGCCTTTCTCTTCGGGCTCCCGTATCTCTTATAGAAACGAACTGAACACATTTTCTCGTTTGCCATTCCGGAGTACAATCGTATGAGGCTCTACGCCGGCGAACATCCATGTATCCTCCACTTTCTGGTAGTAGTGCTTGACATAACTGTGCCCAGTCCACCAGCCTGATCCCCCGTCTGGCAATATCCTGCGATGTGTTGCTTGGATTTGCCAATTGCCGACAACAAGGTCCGATTCCACTTCATCGAAGGCCGCCGCTCCTAACAAGTGCTGTGTTTCCACTAGAACCCCGCGCTTAGTGGTATTCGGAAATCGACGTTTGATCAACAATCCTTACATCCATCGTCTCCCAGTGATGTCTTTGACGAGTATTGAGCCACGTAGTCCTCCTTGGACATGATTTGGTTTGAGCGTCTGGCGTCCAGCTGTTGGTAGAAGACACGCAATGTCGGAGTGCAAATGTCGTTCAACAGTTGCCAATCCTGGGGACCCGTCAATTGCCGATTCTCTCTAACGTCAGGAAGCAACCTTCATACCTTTGTGTCGTACGAGAGAGCCCAATTCCACGACAGTCGACGCCAGTCTCGCTCATCAGTGGGCCGGAAGCTGTCCCCTACAGGACGATGGGGTGTATGTGCCATGGCTTGAGGGGAGAAATGGGTGGGACCAAATCGAACCTCCGTTCGTGGAGTTTTCTTTTCGAACACTCGCTGGACAAGTCGGTGTGTCATTAAATATGTTCCTGAGAACTAAGCGCTGTCCACGTCGACTGAAATTATAAGCTTTGGCTGGCCCAATCGGCCACTACCCCTTCCCTCTGGGTGGGGAGTTCATTGACAGTTATATTTGGCTTCGAAACCGCCTTCCCAGAATTTTTGGAGGTCGGCCGAAAGTCAATCGCAGATATGACAAAAAGTCTCGAACTCTGTAAGTTTTCAGCTAACGTGCAGTACTTTTTAACATTCATCTGACGTCCACCTAATTCTAAGCTATTGAGTATACGTGGAATGACAAAAAGATCCAGGGCTGCAACCAGTTCGCCCACCCGTCCCCACTGTGCCTGCTGTTGAGGGCTCGGCTGCGACCCTTACGAAGTCATTCAAGAATGAGCCGCATGTGGTTGGATGAATAGTGTCGAACTCTCCGGCCACACACCGCCAGTGGCACGGCAAATAGCAAAACTGCCGCAGTTATACCACCCATCGTTCCAAAGGCATTTTTGTAGCCTTGGTTCTGGATCCAGACTGTCCCATCGGTCGACATGCCGTAGGCCAGGATATTTTTCACGCCGTTGATCACGAGGAGTGACTCGGCACTGATCGGATAGTAGCTGTCTACCGCGTAAGTCATGCTGACATTGGCGACCGCAGTCAGGCCAACTCCCACGCAGCCAGCTCCAATGAAGATGATAGGCCATGACATCTGGTCTTGCGCGCCGAAGCCGTACATCAAACAGCCGGCCGGAACGACCAGTCCTGGCAGCCACATAAATACCAATCGTGTCTCAGGCTCAAAGACGCCGCCGGAGCGTCGAGCCCTCCACTGGGTGTATTTGTCGGCAGGCCAACCGGTGAAGAGTGCGCCAAGTAAGTTGCCGACTACAGGAAGATAATCAGCTCAACCTAATTTGATTCAGGGGGAAACATAACATACTCAAAGTTGGTAGGTTGACCAATCCAATAATGGACGGCGAGAAGCTCCATGGTGGGGAGGACAAGAGGAAAGAGATGTTTGAGGCTAGGATCACAATCCATGCCAGGGATGCTGCATCTAAAGAGGACATTAGAATTTCTCTGTGTAGGCCATAGCAACAATAGTAGCTGTCGGTAAGATGAAACTCACAGGCAACAGTAGCAAAAAGATTCGCAGGGTAGAAGATCAAAGGTAGTGGACGCAAAAGAATCCTCAGCAGGTTGCCGTCTGGGTTTATACCGGACCACGGGGTCAAGGTCTCAAAGTATGTCTTCTTGGGCGGGATGCTGTGCCTTGTTGCCTCCTCGTGGACGGCCACGTTGTCGCTCTTCTCTAGACCCGGAGCGTCGGCCGTCTTGTCACTGGTCTCGTTGGCTGTATTGCAGGGTGTGGGAACAATCACCGGTCGGAAGAATCGCGTCTCGGGGCAGAATAGAAGGACGGAAGCAAAGTTCACGCCGGAAAATATGGCGAGAACCCGTTTGAACCAGATCCATCCACAGTCTATCACCCGTCAGTATCTTTCAACCCCCAGCATGCCTATCTAGCCTCTTACTTTCGATGATGAAACCACCACACAATGGTCCCATGGAGCTACCAAGGGACAGGAAAATCAAGTAGATGCCCATTTTAGACCCTCGCTCGTGGAGAAAGAACAGATCCTAGGAACGACCTTGTCAGCTGGGAGTGCGCCCAAGGAACCATAGCTTACGTTGACGATTGCTGCCCCCAGAGCTTCCGTCGATCCACAAGCAAAGGCTGCCACATTCACCGAGCCCAGAAGGCTGCCGAATGTCGTCGACTCCATAGCCCAAATATTAGTGATGAAGAAGATGAGCGTAGCTATGATAAAGATTGGTCGTTTCCCCAGCCATATCGCCATTGGGGTCCAGAAGAAGTTCTGCGGCGGTATCCCGTCAGGTGGAAGCACTCATGCAAGAGGTTCAAGCTAGAAGCACGTACTGAGCATCCAAGCACCAAAATGGTTGTGGTAATGAGCTTTGAAGCTGTTGCCGGCGTGAGATTGAACTCCTCTGCAATCTCGCTGAACCCGGGAGACAAGCCTCCTATGTTTGCATTGCCGAGGAAAGCAAACGTGCAGACGTTGACAAAGACGACGATCTTTTTCCACTGTGCCCACAACAGGGGGTCATTGGGATCCGTCGATGGCTGTGGCACGAGAATGATATCCTTGTTACCCAGGTGCTCAGCGTGCGTGGCATGATGGTCGGCTGGAACATGTGTAAATAGTCGTCCCTCTCTCACGAGTTGTCGTACGAATCCACAGGGAGCATCACTTACTGCTGTCCACCAACTGCACGGTCCCTTCGCTCGAATCGAGCTCGTAGAGGGTTCGGAACTTCATGTTGACTATCGACTGGGGAACTCGAGGGCCCAGGCAGAAATAATTGTGTAGTTACTCTGGATTGAAACGCAGTATTATTCATGGAGCGACACCCAGATACTTATATTTGATCAGCCACTACAACGCTCGTAGGGCCTACATTCAACCATGTGCTCTGAATTGTGGGGGCCCCGATTTGGAGCCGATGATACGGTTTCTGAACCTGTGGGGTACGTCAAAACCCTAGTTGGGGCATTGCCAGCGGGCATTTGCAGACGCCTCACGCCTCACGCCTCACGCTACAGGGACAGTCCAAGCTCGTGTTTACTATGAGTGTACATCGAGGGATGAAGGTGGATAGTGGCTTTACTCAATACGAAAGATTTGGCGGGACCTGCTGGGGCGGATGAGATTCTAAGGTCCACTTACGGCAAGGGACACGACAAGAGAGACATTTTTAGACGCCAACATTAGAGGATTTGCAAGTCAGAAATTTCTGTCTACCTCTGCGGGATAACTGGGAGGACGAGGTAGTTCTCATAACCTGGCCCAAGGTGAACAATGTTCACTCCCTGGAGCTTCCGTTCTGCTCGATCCTCAGGGTGATTATGCTCGAAAATCCCAGACCCTTGAGTGTCGCCACTGGAGAGTTCCAGGAGTAGTTTCCCTCCCGGCGACACCACAACGTTAGTGGGCCAGATTTCCACGTCGAAAGTATATACCTCGCCAACTTGGACAGTCTGGACATCGGTGGAGAGATACGCGCGATACGGGAGGTATTCCTTGTGTTGCGGGTGACTTGAATCAACCTTCCTTAAGGATGTGCGGAGCCAACCTTTGCTGACCGGGACCGGATCGCCTGTTGTTCCTGTATAGAATACTGAAAGGCCCTGTCAGCGCATCCAGACCATGTCAAGTGCTGGGCTCGCACTTACTTTCATTGCCGTCCGGACCAACGTGGCGAAGGGTCGCAAAGATATCCATTTCGGTGGGAGTATATCCATTCTTGGAACCTACTGACATGGACAGCCGGACCATTGGATGGCCTGTGACTTCTGTCTCTTGCGCAAACCGTGACGTCTCAAACGTAACAGTCCCTCTTGGAGAGCATTAGCCTGTTACTTCTTAAGTGTAAGGAGCTTGCCTACTTGGGAGCATCATATGAAATAACGGAACCCGTGCCATTGTTATTTGCTTGCTCCAGTGTTTTGTCGTTGGTCAAATGCCATTTTCGATATACTGTGCGAGCAATTGGCCACTCCATTTCAGAACGACGAGGGAAAGTTTTTAGCTCAGCCGCGGCATCGTTGTAGCCAGGGGAGCCCTGACGCAACACCAAGTCAACAGGAGCGAGTTTCCCAGGGACACCCCAGCCGGCGTCATCTTTGCCTTTGAGGAAGGCGTTCAGGAAGGACAACTGCAAGGCCACCTCCTGTTCATAGTAGAATGGTAGGTCGTGCCTCCCGGTGATGAAGCGCAAGTACTTGTACTTCGAACCGGCGTTCATGTAGCCAAGCACGTTTCCACGTAAGTGTAACAATATACCTCCCTGTACAAGTTAGAGTAGGATCGAGGAATAGGAGAATAAACTCACCCAGTTGCCGACACTGAGGAGTGGTACTTCAATTCTTGCAAGTTCAAAATCCTTGGAAGAGTAATATTGCTCGTCCCTGAATTTATATTTGGCAGTGTCCTCGGTCTGGTCCTGTCGATTACGGGCAAGCTCGTCCTCGGGCAGATCTCCATCGATGGTGTCAGGTCCCCAGTTTCGTTTAGCTCTTCCTGGCAGACCATATTGATTCGAAAGTACTTGACGGGTCCACCAACGCTTGATGAAAGTGTTCGATAGAATACCACCGTGACGGACACGATCCCGATAGTAGTCGGACATTCCTGCTTTTGATAAGCTGCTTCCTGACCTGACAGGGCTTCAAATGACTTACCCTCCCAGGGAATCATGGCCGCCAGGCCTTTTGGTCGCTTCGCCGCGACTCTCCATTGAGAACCAGCATAGTAACTGATGCCCAAGAGGCCAACCTTCCCATTGCTCCAGGATTGCTCACTCGCCCATTCCACTAGGTCGGAGAAACAATCGGCTGTTCCGGCACTCATCGTGTCCAGAAGACCAGGCGACTGGCCACAGCCGCGCTCATCAGCTCGGACAACAACATATCCTTGAGAAGTCCAAAAGCCCGGGTCTGGAGTCTCCCATGCCGAATCCTCGGACTTTTGGGCTTCATTTACTTCTGCAAAAGATTGCGGGTGGAATCTGTAGTGGCGGTTAGAGCTCACTTTCCACCCAAAGTACAGAGCGGCTTACTTTGAGTAAGGAATATCTTTCCCATCTATCTGATGAATCAGTACACAATCTTCTAATCCAGATGATGTGACTTACACGGTCCATACGTGACTATAACTGGGTACTGACCCTCATCTTTTGGTCGGTAGACGTTTGCACGGATTATATCACCCGTGCCGGTAGTCTTAAGGGGGACATCCACATTTTGCTCCAGCACATATCTTTCCCGATGGATTGTTTGCATTATCGATGGACGACTTTTAAGACCCATGTTGTCGGCCTCTAACTCTTTCGATTACTACTGTATCGATGCCAATCCTTGAGCGCGACCCTGCTTGAATTTTCTACATTTGTCACCTTGATGTCGTGCCCCTCAGGGAGTCGAGCTGTGGCTTCGGCTCTCCATGGACCGCCGCGGAGGTGCGACCGACAATCTCCCTCTGGAGATGAAACTTCCCCGCAATATAGAGAGCCCATTCATCGGAGAAGCCGGCAACAGTAAGACACCGGCTGTCTAGATCCACTGCATCTTCGGTCTATGGTCGTCAACGCTATTTTATGTCACCGGCCATTTTTGTGGATGCCATGTCCAGTCAAATACTTGGAGCACCGTTATACAATAGAAAGCGAATTTGCCGCACCAAAGACGGTGGAGCGGACTTATCTGCACGAGATTCATATAGATACGAGTCTGCCTTACTGTGGCATTTTAAATGGTGTTGCTATTGATGATGAACGAAACATTTTTCTTGGTCGGACGTCTGTCTGAATCACACCATCTTAGTGCGTGCCAAAAAACTCTTTGCTGACTCGAGCTTTTGTATCTTCAAGGACATTATACGAATAGAGGAACTGGTGGAATTCCATCTGCGTCGCTGTGACAATGTCAGTATAGAACGCCCAATTTCTGCGAAGTACTTACTGGGAACTTTTCTGAAGCCGTACTTTGCTGCTTCGGCCGCCATCATCGTGGCTTCATCTTGTCCAAAGTTGGAGAAGATTTGCACTGCTGAAGCACGGTTATATCTCACGGATTGGAACATTTGTAAGCGTGCTGGTATGGAGGCCTTCGAATCAATGTTGGAGAACAGCACTCCCAGGGCACCGGCATCCTCGATAGACATGCCTCCACCTTGTCCTTGGTCTTTGAACATGATGGTCAGAAATGTGTGGCCGCTGGGGCGCGTTGTCATACTTACGTGGCAACATGGGGTGAGCGGCATCCCCTATAAGAGTGCATTTGCCTCTTGTCCAGGTTTTTATAGGTGGTCTGTACAATAGCTTCCAGAGCTTAAGGTCCTCAAGGTCTTCAGAATGTCTGATCATGTTAGTGCCCTGCGATGGAACCGGGTTGGGGGGAGGGGGTGACAGTACCTGCACAGTGCCCGAAGCGAGCTATGAAACATAGAATATGCTTTGGCCAATCGATCGGAGTCGGCGGACACGTTCCACTCTATTGACATTGAATGAGCTTCGTCAAGAGGGGCGGGTGGGCGAATGGCGCGTATAAGCCTCTACTTACCTTCCTTGGATTCCTTGGAATTGCCATCTGGATGTATACACACAAAATTCATGAGCTCACCGCTGTTGCAACCAGTTAGTTGAGAGTCAGTCAAGCAGGGTGAGAGTGCACCCACTTCCTGCAAGGGTACGCAACCAGTCGACGGTCATCGATCTTGAAGATATTCATGGTGCTAGGCTTATCCACAACGAGCCACCTCGTTTCGGGATCTTCCAACAGGCTCTGCACAGGCACAAGAAATCGAAATGCCGAATGTCCAGTGTCGTAAGCCGAGACCTCATCTTGCACCACCCATTTGACAAGTGTAGACTGTTGCTAGCTTAGCAAAACCAGAAGATCCGACCCGATGACTTACATGCACACCATCCGCGCCGATGATCAGATCTGCACTCACGACCGAGCCATCCTCAAAGTTCAGAGAGGTATCCGTCGCATTCTGCCACGGTCAACCAAGTAAACATTCTTCCACGACGCCTCTGGCTTACCACTGAGGCTAATCGGCTTTGAAGCTTTAATACCGCTGGAATCCCTTGCCCAACTTCACCAAAAGCAAGGTCTTTGAGCCCATTGTGCAAGTCGACACGATGGAAGAAATACCAAGGGTACATGTACTGGCTCTCGATATGCGCCAGGCTGTTCGACCGGAGAGCTTCACCGGTTTTTCCATCTCCAAGATGGCTCTTCATGAATGACTCAGTCCCAACCCAGGAGAAATGTGCTTTCTTGAAGCTTACCCAAACATTCTTAACGGCATTAGCTTTGATAAAATCAAAGCCCAACCATTCAAGGACCCTGGTAGCATTCGGTGCGCAGTGAATTGCAGCCCCGACTTCGTTGGAGAACCTCGACTTTTCGTAGACCTAGAGCAGAGTCATTCGGCGTGCCCATTGTCAGCGAGGGTCGTGCTCTCATACCGTCACTTGATGTCCTGCCCGACGAAGAGCGATTGCTGTCGCCAAGCCAGCGATGCCTCCGCCGATGATGGCAACATCCAAACTAATAATGTTATTTCTGGTCATGGATGATGGGTCAGCAGGTCGACCCTCAGTCTCGTTTCTGGCTATCATTCTTGGAATCTCACGTGCTTGCAAAGAAAGGATCAGATTATTGGGAAGAACAACTATGCGCTACGAATAACTGGTATTCAAGAAGGACTTTCGACCCTCCTCCCGGATTCCTAACGGTGCCGCCCGCGCGTCACGTGGAGTGTAGAGCCGGTCTGCGATACTCCAAATGGAGAGCCGAGTGTCTTCGGTCCTGTGACAGGGTGTGGAAAATCTAGATCTAATGCTGAACCTAGTCCGCTTAGGCATTGTTATGGCTGTCGGCCGCCACAGCTACACCCGTGCATTCTCCAAATCCCAGAGTACAATCTTCAGGACCGGATCCCCCAACCACCCCTTGAAAGTGACCCCATCGCCATCGTTGAGGAAGTCAATTTTCTCACCCTTCGTCGTGGTGTGCAGATCGAGGCCCATACGGTAAGATTCAAAAAGACAGCCAAGCTGGACCTTTCGTCCACTTGCATCGACGCCCTACTCCAGGGTCAGATTTTAATACAGACACGGGGAAGCAGCGTCACGGATCCCGATATCGTCCCCGTACCGATCAAATCCCCTGTTTGTAAGCCGCAGTTAGCTGATGCACGGTGCGTCAATTGCTGATATGCCGTCCATGACAGGTATTTCAGGTTTCTTTGGCATGTCCTATACCGAGCTTGCTGGCCTGTAGCGTGTCAGCTTGCTTCAACCAGTCGACGACTTGAATGGCTCACGATCGATGTCAACTGACAAGTCTAAGTCAAATGTGGCCTTCTCCGGTTGCTTCCATTTCAAATGATTCGGTGGGTATGTTACGTCAACTCCCTTTTGCGACTCGCACTTGAACTCTTCCAAAGCATCCAGCGTGACGATCCACGAAGAGATGGTCGTGCCGAATCCTTGGAACGGTCAGTTGGTGTGGTGCTATGTCAGCGGCTTTCGATGCCATACCTTTGCCGTGGAATGGTCCCAGGGAGGCTCACTCATACCACTTGATATCTCGACTAGACCAGTTGTTGAGCAATACAAGGCCAAAGATGTGATCAGGGGCAGTTTCGATATCCATAATGTCTCCATATTCAACAGGTTTCGAGACGAATACTCAATCTCGAGTTCATAATCCAACTGCTTCGTGGGGACATAGTCTACTTCTCCTGAAGCTGTCATTGGGATTACTCCCCGAGGTCGCTTGATAGGATAGCCGGAAGGTATGATGCTTGACACACGAGAGTTGTAGCAGGACGGGATGCGATACCAATTCGGTGGGACATTGTTCAAAGAACACTAAGTCCCCGTCTGTAATCATGACAGAGACATGGGTTGACGAGGTGCGTCGTACATTTCTGCTGTGCTCAAGAGAACAATAGAAGTCCGTGAAGCCCCTTATCTTCATTGGCAGGCACAGGCACGTCTCCACCTCTGCATGGGGAATCAGGCATTCTTCTTCGACTGATCGCTCTACAATGCCGAGACAATCTCTTGACGTACTTTGCTTCTCAATTCCTTTGGAAGAGACGCAAATTCGTTCAAAGCGGGCTGAGGTGGACGTCAGTCCAGACAGACGTCCCTACTCACTTAAGCTCTACCTTGGAAAACACTGAAGCCAAGTCGACCTCGGTTCCGGAGATTGCGACCTGCTTCAAGTAGCCGTGTTGAGCGAATCGTTGTAAATCCAGGACGAAATCTCCAACCGTAGTGGCACGACGAGGCTGACCATGCGGGGTTGAGATAACACCAAATTGAATATTATGGATTGAAAACTCACCGCGATCGGGTAGAGGGCCTTGGAAACTCATGTCGACGAGTAAAGATGACGCAAAAAATACCTAGGCCCTAGGTCCTTGTTTTCAGAAGAGCAATATGCGATGTCTTATTAGCATCAAGCTCGACAACAACCCCCATCTACCTGAAATCCAATGCAGTCAGCGGCCACCTCCAGGGTTGTATGGGATGGAGCTGCCGCTAACAATCCCCTCGGTTCAACATGAGCGCCCCAACAAGTGGGCCAAGTAGTGTCGGCTCCAAATCCTCTGCTGAGGACATTTAATTATATCGACGTTCACTCCTACCGATCCAGCCCAACTTATCATAAGACGGCATCACCACTATATCGCCTTGATCATCTCTTACAAGACAATCGTGACCATGACTCAGCCACAAGAAGCTCTCAGAGCACAATATTACCCGGAAAGCTCGGCGACTGATCTTCCTCCCGTGCGACGTTTCATCACGGGACATGGCGCAGACGGCGCCGCTACTGTTCAGCGAGCAGATGGTGGCCAGTGGACCCGCTACGACACCGGCAGCATGGCATTCAATGTGTTATATACGACTTCGAAATTCCCCGTCGAGATGAACAAGGACGAGGATGTGCATGCTCATGATTCGCTGATTGATGGGGGGATGTTGGGACTGGTGAACCCAAAGGGGTCGGTTCTGCGGATCGTGGATTTCGGACCAGGACTGAAGGGGCGGATGCATCGAACTCAGTCTCTTGACTATGGAATCGTCTTGGACGGGGAGGTCGACATGGTCTTGGACAACGATGAAACTCATCGTCTTCGGAGAGGGGATGTTGCTGTTCAGAGAGCGACAATCCATCAATGGTGTAACCCTACTGATAAATGGGCTCGAGTCGCGTTTGTCTTACTAGACTCTGCCCCATTGTCGGTAAAAGGGGAGCGACTGCACGAGGATCTCGGCGGGCCGGCTCGTTACCCCGCAAGTGGAAATGATCAGTAAGGAGGAAATAGGTCTCTGAACACGAGGTCTGAATAGATTTGGCCTCTGATCTCGGCTTTACGGGATTATATATTCCAACTGAAACTTCAGGCTCCATGCGTATAAGGAAAAAGTGGAATATCATTGCTAGATTCCCGAAATATCACATTGGTTCTAGGCCGCAGCCTGCCCCGGGAACTTGCCCCAGATCCACTGGTTGTTACACATGTTCTGAAGTTCCCAGGTTTGTGCCTTCATCTCTCCTTGAGGTGCATCAGCGCCTCTATCTGCCATCAATCCTGCTATCACTAGCAAAGGATAATAATGGTCAGGGGTTGGGTGGGCAAGCGGATATTTCGGATGCTGGACCAAGCGCACCAAAGCCCCCGCCAAAGATGCTCCCTTGACAACTTTAGCTCCAGAACCATACACACAAGTAGGAACGAGAACTCACTTGATTATCTCGGATCACATCAGAGATCGCCCTTTCAAAATCAGTCGCCCATTTCGCTGGCACATTTCCAACCTGGAAGTTGTCACCATGCCATCGAAGAGGGAGCCAATTGTTGCGGTACAAGTTGTGAACCGTGCCTCCTGAGCCAATGACCAAGATACCTTGATTCGAGAGCGAGCGAATGGCTTGGCCAATTCGGACATGGAAGACTGCATCAAAGCGAGCATTCATGCTTATCACAGTTGCTGGAGGGGTACCTTCTGGGAACATCCATTTCAAAGGGGTGATGGTGTCGTCGTGCCAGTCGAAGTCGGGATCTTCATCCACATCCGTAAAACCTTGGTCCTGGAGGAGGTTTATGACCTTCCGCGCGAGTTTTGGGTCGACATTGATCTGATAATTCTCCCAGTGCTTCCTGGGAACTAGTGACATTTGTACCTGACAGTATGAGACCAGTGAATGGCTCAGATAGGTCACCACATACCTTGTTGGGGTTGAATTTCGTCGCTACTCTAATACGGTCGTCCAGTTCTTCCCAGTGGGCTCCGATCAAAACGACACCCTTGACCCCTGCATCACGAGCAAGGCTGCCGGCCTAAAGAGAAGGTTGAGCTAAGGACAGCCGAGAAGATACGACTTGGTGCCCTACCTTTTGCCACCAAGTTGCAGAGTCCGATTCCTTGCAACATAGCAATGGAGAGCCATGGGAGCAGTACATCACCGGCATGGCCGCCATGCTTGCTGGGTTCGAGGGATTGGTGACTAAGTTTGTGAAGAATGGAAGAAAGGATATTGGATGGGAAATGGCTACAATAAATTGACTGTCATCCAGCAGTGATGACAGTGATGGCCTTGCATTATCAGTCCATCTCCTGGATAATAGCTCCAAAACTTCGCCACAATGTAAAACCCAAGCAGCCCCCGTTGTGGAGGCGGCGAAATACCTTATAGTTGTTTGGGAGGTGGGGGGGCGGGAGGAGATTAGGGCGGGCGGGTCTCCAAACCTCAGCCTTGGGGTTGGGGTACCGAGCTTGCCCGGGGGCCGAGATTGACGTGCGGTTCACCCAGGTAGGTGTATGTGAAGGCAACGGGACTTTCGCTGGATGGTTGGAGCGCTCGAACATGCAATCCTAGATATATCTTGAGGACCATGAGAAGCCTTTGTCGCCAGGCGGTAACAGAATTTTGGTCTGTTGAAGAGCATAGTCCAGCACTCTGTTCATCCGCATCCACATTTTTGAAATGCCTTCCACGATGGATGAGACTCTCCGATCGGCGCAGGTTGCTTTCCATTTGCACGTTGGAAATATTCAATGGAGAGCGAAGCAGTTGCACCGCTTATTCAAAGTGGTCGTGGACAATCGCGATGAGCTTTTCGAAACTGTTAGGAAAGGTAATCCGCCCATGAGACAGAACTTCTAGAATTCTCCTGAACAACGTTGAATTAGACATCAACATATCACAATGGCAGTTTGAACTCGATCTGGAAGGGTTCGTCCAAGATGTCAAGGAGCTTCTCAGCTTTCTGGAAACTCTCGGGCGATCCAGCCGCTTGCTCAGAGCCGCCACGTTTGACCATATCCTACAACCGCAAGGTGTGACTGTGATTGCGACAACGTCAAAGGATCCATTCCGCCACGGACTTTGCGCATTCGCCGCGAGTCTAGCCGCGGGCAACTGTGTGGTCCTCGTCTACCTGGCTGGCGAGCTGCAACAATTCGCCCACGTCTTGGGCCGTTCCTTTCGGCTAAACATGGATTTTACAGGTGCGCGACTTCTTCAGAGTTCGGATTTTGACAAGCAGGCACTAGGATTGGACGTTGTTGCACAAACGCTGTTTATCTGTAAGTTAAACCAGTTCTCGTGAATATTCCTATAGCGGTTGCTGATCCATTCCAGCCGACGACTCTGAACTTCCAGCAGGCTTTCCAAATATCGAAAATGTTCGACACTTGCCAGTTTCACAGGGAATCAGTGTAGTTATCGTTGACAAGGACTTCAAGTCCGTTGGAAATGTCGTCGCCATCATCAAAAGCAAACTCGGTCAAAATTGGTATGAATCGGACGAGCCTTGTATTGTTTTGATTGATGAAGGGATCAAAGATCAGTTCCTCTCTCAAATGAACTCGGTACAGACGACAGAAAATCTTAAAAAGATTGAAACAGCAGGAAGTGGCCGTACCATGACGGTGGGCGAAGCCCCATCTGACCTACGACAAGCATTGGGCACGATCGTTTTCGAGGGACCCAGGCGGAACAAGCTCCCGGTCCTGGTCACTACATCTCTAGATCACTCACTCGACTGCACTTCGGCCCTTCAAAGTCAGCATAACTTGTCACAAGTGGCCATGTTTTCGAATTCTAAGGATAATATGGCTTACGTGGCAAGGTTCTCCCGCAGTAACGTCTTTTCCGCTGGGGAAATTGTGTTCAGACCACCTATCAGTAAGTCGGATCATTGATCGCACCATCTACCTGCTGATGAAGAATTCAGTTCGAGATAGTCTTCTCACTGGCGCGACATTCTCCCCAGAATATTTCAGCAAGCATAGATATCAATATCACAGCTCACTTCCTTTGCTGCAACCGGAAGGCGTAGAGCAAATCAGAGCTCGCTACCAGCGTACAATCAAGCCCCTACCCACAGAGCCTCGCGGCGAGCGTATTGATTTCTTTGTCCAGATGGGCTGGTTCGTGCACGGTGTGAAAACTCTCATGGGCATCAGTGGGCTTGCAGCAGCGTATGGTGCCTTCATACTTGCCCGCAAATGCCTCAAGGCACTGTAGACTTTGTACGCGCATTCACATCTGATTGAGGATATTCTGGAGGCTTGATAATTGGAGGCATTTACCACAAGAGGCGGATGGGAGCGGGTGATTCAGTGACATCCATCATGTGGACTAGACCATTTTAAACCACAGAAATTTCCCAGACTAAGTAAACCCTTGGTTCGGAGGGGTTGACCCGTTGACAGATTGATGCAACACATGTGCACCACTCAACCGAAGTGCAGTCAGTGCCAGTCAAATGCGGTTTCCAGACCGAAGCGCATATATGATCTATTGGCATTTTCTCTCTAATGACTCGTTGCCTCGGCGTACTACGAGTATCACTGACAATACCTTAGCGTCAACTATCTATAGCTCCGGGCTGGTTCCGACTCGTGTATATAGTTTGCGCTAGCTTTTGTAGCATTGAGAATAACAATATACATTTTCTTGTACTTATGCAGTGTGATCACATGTACTCGTACTTAAAATTCCAAGCGGAAATAGTAAGTAGATATCAATTCATGATGTCTCATGCGGGCGCAGTCCAACTGCGGCCAATCCCAGTACCAAGACACGCTCAAGAGATAAGCAAAATCAGTATTCTTCTCAGTTAGGGAACAAGTAACGTCTAAAATAAAAGGGCTAGCGCGATCAAATACAAACAGATATGGTGTATTCTCAGCGAAGAAGCATCCAAGACTTTTTGACGGACTTAGGGGGTCAAACAATGTTTTCCTCACGACATCTTATATCTGCGAAATTATAGTTTCTGGCTTGCGTGTGGACAAGCCGCGTGCTGCAGGGTATGTCCCTGACTTTTTATAAGCAGCTTCGAAACCAAGCTGGGAATCCCCTTTCTTGCCGCGATCAGAGAGCTCAAGACAGACCTGTTCCCATAGCCCGATGTTCAGCGCTGACATGCTTCTCAACGAGCATTTCCACCTGTTCCTTTTCACTTTTATAATCATTTTGTCCCACAGAGAATTCTTTGTTTGCTGTTAGCCAGATCTACGACAATGGACGCAAAAGAACAACTTACGGTCGACCTTTGTGTACTTGAATTTTCTTGCCGGAACGTGATTCTCGAACATTAAATCGATCTCGCCAAAGGTGCGATCCTTAGTTTCAGGCAATCGAAACCAGCACCAAATCGTGCAAAGAAGGTTAGTTCCAGCATAGAAGAAGCCGGCCTTTGCACCCCAGTTCCAAGCTGTGGTATTCATTAGCTTACTGTTAATTCTCATGAGGTTAAGCCAGATCCCACTTACCATCAGCCGCAATCATACGAGGTGTCACCGAATTTGAGAAGATGCCGGTGAGATTGTAGGTAAATCTTCCAATCACAATGGTCTTGTACCTCAGTCTTCCAGATGGAGTCTCTGCCACAATGGGATAGCACGCGGGTCCAGTGGTGATCATGTTAATCAGCGTGGATATGACCAACAAGATTCCCACGGCTAGATGGGAATTCTTCGACTCCGAGAAGCCAAGGCCACCGATTGCGACCAGACATAAAAACATCAGGACGCAGCCTCCGATGTAAATGGTGGCTCTGCCTAAATGGGGGAACAAAAGCCAACAAATAATACCTCCAATAATATAGCAGGCGGATAGGGAAATATTGACGTCGAACGCTTGAAGCTCGGAGAATCCAGCGGCTTCTAGGAACACGACGGAATACCCGAGGATAGCATTGCCGCAAAGGATCTGGGTCGCCCAGACAACACAGTTCTATAAGGACACAGATTAGTTGAATAGATCAAAGGGCTTCTGCGGGAGCTCTTCAACCCACAATCTCGGTGCGACGCAAGTTCGTCCCCTTGAAACACTCAATAAAGCTGGCATTTGCTGTTTCGGCTTTCTCGAGTTCTGTCGTGTACTTGATATAAGCCAGGCTGGCGTCCACCTCCCTCTCCTTCTCTGGTGTCTCTTGTCGCAAGCGCATTAAACTTGCTCGAGCTTCCTCGAACCTACCGCGGCGGACTGCATTCCATGGTGACTCGGGAGCGAGGTAAGCGCCAATGGCCAACGGCACAGGCCAAATAAATTGAAGTGCAAAGGGGAGTCTCCAGCCAAGGTTGCCCTCAAGACCAGCTACTGCTCGAACTACTCCAGAGGAGAGAAGAATACCAGCGCCCCAACACATGCATACATACGCGGTCACGTATGGCCGAAGGATTGTTGGCACGACTTCCGAAGCATAGGTCGTTGACAATGTCTAGTGAGGAATTAGCTCCAATAATCTCGATCGCGAACAGGAGTTCTTAGACACCTGAAAGACACCCCATGGAATCCCACACATAGATTCACCAAAAGCCAGCACTGAGAGCGATGGGGCAAATACGGGGATGAAGAGAACCACGGTCATCCATATCATGAACAAAATCATTGTAGGCCGACAGCCAAATCGGTCTTGGGTGTAGGCATTGATCAGCAGTCCTGCCAGCTGACCCACGAGCGCTGAATTGGACAGTCCCGACTGCCACCTTGCAGGAATAGTCTTTTTTCCTGTCTCTGGATCTGCGATGCCAAATCGATTCTGGAACTGTGTTTGGCCGTAGAACGAATTGATCTAAACACAGTTACTATATAATTTCCTCCTTGCTTTGCAGAGTTGACTTACGATAACCAAGTCATAACCTTCCATGACTAGACTGGTGGATAGGAACATGGCCCAGAAAACAGCCTTTTTGTACTTGGACAAAGCCTGACGAACGGTGAGCAACCTATCCGCAGCATCACTCTCTTGCGCGTGGCGGATCAGATCTAGAGTGTCGGATTGAGTAATATCAACGTTGTAGTGAGTCGAAACAATTTTTTCCGACTCCATTCTGGCTGCGGCGGCGTAACTGAAGACAAGTTTGGATTTTATGAGGGAGCTGGGAAGCTGGGATCCAGAGGATCATTTATCGAACATGGGCTGACGATGATCATTATTATATCCCCTCGGCCACCGCTTCCCCAGCTTCTAGGATTGAGAATCATGGGGAGCCAGGTGTGGAGGTGCATAGAGTTCAACCAGGCCCCTGGCAGCGCCCTCCGGAGCCAGTGCCCGCAGACTCTCCTCCCACCGGACGGGGGCGGGGAGTTGCCCTGATTCTGTTGGTCGAGAAGTTAGGACAGATTAAATCGTGATTGGTGATCATTTTTGCGAACCTATCCAATAGTTGTCTGCGATAATGAGCGTTAATATTGAAGACACCCCACGGGCATTAGCGGGTGATGCTCCCAACCTAAATGTACAGCTGCGACTACGAAACATATTAGGTGTCAATGGTGTAGATCCGAAGGGACACCACTTTCTTTGATCAGCTTAATCCATATAATGGCCAGTATAGCGGAATCATTGAACCGTATCTGGTGACCATTGATTGAAAGGCCAAGAGGATTAATTGGGCTCTCCGATGGGGGAGGAGTACATCTCCGGTGGGCATTCAGTAAACGAGCGCTCCCCTTCTCCTTCCAGTGGCTCGTTCATAGACCACCCCCATTCTCCCCGGGCATTATGGATCATGCCATGTGCAGAAGCTCGGATTGCGGAGTAAGCGTGGCGAAAGAATTCTGGCATTCCAGTACTCTTGCTGACCCGACATCTGGGCATGCGTTTGCCGATCTGACCGTCCCACTCAGCAGTATCCACGACGTAGTGGACGTGAAGGGTACCCAACACGCGTGCTTCAGTCTACATCTTTTTACTAGCCACCATTATTGATATTTGACCAGTCGAAGAGAAGGCCCTAAGTTTCAAGAAGACCCTTCTAATCATCCTCTGCTGCCCTGCCTGATTTAGCCATCATGGCTTACCCTCAAGAGACATTTATTCGAATGTCGCTGACACCAGGATCGCTGATATACAAGCGGCGTGAAGCCGTAGCTTCCAAGACCCTCTCATATCAACTCAAAGTGCTGAAAGAGACAGGCAGATATGATGCCTTTAAGTTGAGATGGCTTCCACAATACGACGAACAGCCAATTGTGTGGCCGATACCAAATCACCTGTTCTGGTAATTCTATCTTGCCTTGGGTGCTTTAGAAACGAAGAGGAACGGCTAACATCATGACACAGGGATTCGGACATTGGGAAATGGATTGAAGGGGCATGCTACTTGCTACATGACCATCCAAATGCCGAGATACAATCCGCGGTCGATGAGCTAACTCAAATGATTGCCTCTGCTCAGCAACCAGATGGCTACCTGAATATTCATTATACGGTTGTGGAGCCAGGAAAACGATTTACTCATATCCGCGACTTCCATGAGCTTTACAACGCAGGCCACCTTCTCGAGGGAGCTCTTGCACATAATCACCTCTACAAGAATGGCGACCTTCTTAACCCGTTGATCAATTATGTCGAACTCATATGCCGTACCTTTGGGCTTGATGACGGTCAAATTCCCGGCTACCCAGGCCATCCTGAATTTGAGCTTGCGCTTCTTCGACTGCACGACCGAACGAAGAACCCCAAGTTTCTTGAACTAGCCAAGTACTTTCTAACGGAAAGGGGAAAACGCGGCGCAAACGGCGATACCTTTTTCGAAAAAGAATCGAAGGGTCGTGGTGAAAAGGAATACGAGAAACCATGGTTCGCGGCCGAAAGGGCTCCTTTGTGGTACTATCAAGCTCATAAACCGATTATAGAGCAAGAGACCATCGAAGGACACTCTGTGCGCGCTATGTATCTGCTTACGGCGGCCGCCGATCTGGTCCGGTTAAATGGCAGTCCAGAGAAACCGTTGCAAGATGCGGTTTACAGGTTATGGGACAACATGGTGCAGGCCAAGATGTACCTCACCGGGGGGATTGGCGCAATACAATCATGGGAAGGGTTTGGGCCGGACTACTACCTTCCCCAGGGGACTGACGATGGAGGCGGCTACGCCGAGACATGCGCTGGCATTGGTGTTATGATGCTGGCCGAACGGATTCTACAGTACGATCTTGACCGCCGGTTCAGCGACGTCATGGAGTTAGCTCTGTACAACGCAGTCCTGACAGCAATGTCGCACGATGGAACCAAGTTCACGTACGTCAATCAACTGGCTTCCAGCGACAAACACCCTTCGAGGCGAGAGGAGTGGTTCTGGTGTGCCTGCTGCCCGCCAAACGTTCTGAGACTGCTGGGGCAGATTGGGGGTTACATATACTCGCATTTCGAGGAACAACGGCAGATCAATGTTCACTTGTACGTCCCAAGTGAATATGAATTCAAAGCTGGAGACCAGCGTGGAGTTCTGAGCCAAAAGAGTGATTGGCCATGGAGTGGGCAGGTTGAGTTCGAACTTAAAGGAGAGGCGTCGCAGGTCGCTGTGGCACTGAGAATCCCGGAATGGGCCAAGTCATGGAAGGTAAGTCTGAATACAACCTACTCATCCCGAACATCAGAGGAACATCCAAGGCTCACTCGAACTAGTTGACCCCATCCCCACCGGATACCACTCTAGCGAAGGGCTACCTCATCCTGCCGGCCTCGTGGGTATCCGAAAACAGATCCTTTACACTCACAGTCGATATTTTGTCTCGCTTCATCGCGCCTCATCCATTTACCAACCAAGGCACCGTCGCCCTCGCCCGTGGCCCGATTGTGTACTGTGTCGAGGATATCGACAATACTTGGGTGACCGACCATTTCAGAAGCGTGCAGCTGAACCCTTTAAGCTCGGTGCAGGAGAGAGTTGTAGCCTGCCAGACCACGGGCGACACATACGTGGCCCTGAAGGTGGTCAATGGGGCAAGCTTGCTCCAGCCCGAGAGCATCCGTGCCCAGCCTGGTGTTGAAGTTGATGGAGTGAACAAAGAGCAGGCACCGTCGGATCGTACTGCCGTTCTCGATGAATTAAATTTTGTGCCGTTCTACTTCCGAGCAAATCGCGGCGGAAAGGGGCATGCGAGAGTGGGTTTGAGACGCTGGCATCGGTCGGTCTGAGGTTTATACATGAAACGTAGAGTCGATAGTGAGCTGTTTCTTTCCGATGCATATAAAACCTTCCGTAGAGAGATCAAAGTGAAAAGAATTTTCGAGGATCATCCAGCCGGCCCAGGGTTCACCTCTGCAGTATCTGTATCGACACCTAACATGGCAGTCACCTTTTCTAGCCTATTAAGAACACCGAGCCAATGTTCAGTGATGCCACGCCAGCTCCTCAATGTGGTTAACAGCTTCTGGCCCTCTGCGAGCACTTTCCTCGGGCCCTTTGGGCCGAATAAATCGCCGACACCAGTGATATTTGCGTGCATGTTGTCGCCCTGCCGTACGAATTGCTGAACCAGCTCGTCATCCGTTGGACGGTCTATTAGGATGATGTCGCAGACATCGGGTGGGGGAGAACCCTCAGGTGAAGACGCGCCCTCCCGCCGCAACGCCTGGCCATGGCCACCGTGTTTTCTTGATTGGAAATTCTTGGCGGAGAATGCGCTCAGAGCCCACAGCAATAGAGCAGCGAATGCGACGGCTGTGGGTTCGTAGAATCCGTTGATCGCGTATAATCTGACATGCCAGAACACGGTGCCCGCGTGGATTGCCGCCAATCTGGCCTTGTACTGGTCTTGTAGTGCCCATCGGTGTATTAGTCGGCGATGCTCTTCGGCTTCCGCGGATGATACGGGTTGTAAAAGGCGTACTGAGTCTTTACTTGAGCGGATGAGATAATGAGCGAATAGTACGATGTCGTCCATGGGAGCAAGAAGTATGACGCGTGCAAAATGCAGATGGAGAACAGTAGGATGTTCCATTCCACTCGCTGAGCCGATCGTTGCATTAGCACTCCAGTGTAAAATATCCAGGCAATCACAAGCAGAGTTTCTCCATCTGTTGTATAAGGGCGCCGAAGGCGGCCAGACGGGGAACTTGGATTGTATCTCACTGCTGGCTTGCTTTTGTGTAGACGGTTCAAGACTCGACAAACTTTGAGTGATTGTCTTCCTCACCTCCCACGTTCGGTGAAACAGGCCATGAATCAAGAGTATTCGACTAAATTCCCCTAGGTTTGGGAGGAGTCGCTTGTCAATATAAAGGTTCCGCAGGGCTTCGAGAAAAGTCGCTGTCTCCGTACATCCATTAGTCGCAAGGCGAGTCCATTCAGACGCATCTTTGGCGGACCATATACGCTCAGGGCAAGGCAGACACAAAGCCGTGGCATCGTCAAGGGTCAAGTGCGGATGTCGGTGGAACTGAAACGCCCACATACAGTCCAGCAACCAAATACAGAACCCGAGCCGGGTCGATTCTTCCTTCCTGATCCATGCCACCCATTTCGACGAGACGGAGTCACTACGTGCACCGGAACCGTCGACAAACCTTTGGCGAGACCACCTGTCGCGACAAAAGTTGGTTGCCTCAAACAGCGATCTTGATGCAGAAGCACGTAAGGGCCCCCACAAAGTATATCCAGCGCCGATTGCATGTAACAGATGGATCTGTGCGAGGGTTTGTGGAGCTTCTGGAGGCCAAAACTTCTGTTCCGTCCTGAGAAGAAGGTATCTTCGCACGAATTCGTGCATTGACAGCGTGAAAATCTCTGCCTCATCCTCATCAACAAAGCAGCTGCCTGCGGACATCATGGCTAAGAGCAGAGCGCTATGTGCCGACTCGGCTTGAAATGTTTGAGTGTGGAGAAATGGCATCGTTTGGTCAAGGTTCATGAAATAATTCGAAAGCAAACCCTCCAAGACGGGTTTCGGAGGGAATCCAGGAGACAAGAATGCTTTGAATGACAGCGATTGCAGGCACAATTGGAGGTGTAGAGTACAAAGTTTCCCATAAGTGTCATTGGAAATCATCAATCTAGATTCTGTGCATGATATGATTGGGAGACGATATTCGAGAGAGAAGTCAGGTTCTTCGACATAGTCGTGTCGCCTAGGCCTCGAGACAAGTTTTCGACGCTTAGATCTGGGGAGCCTGCCGGCATTTCCGTCGATATAGTATTCGCCGCTGTCCAAAGTAGACTTTCCCGCAGAGGTTGAGGAGTCGGGGATATTTGCGGAATGGTGATCGCCCAAGTATTCGCGCACTTCACTCGTCTGGGGCTGTTGGCCAAGCATATTTACGATCGCGTTGTTAGCTGGAGTTTCTTGGTCCCCATGATTCGTTGGGCTCAGCAAGCCGATGCTCGGTGAAAATGAGAAATCTCCTGGGAAGAGGGGGAACAAGTTGTTGAGGTCATCGTCGTTGAAGCTTATGGTATCCGATTGAAGCCAATTGATGGTCGACATCACGTTAGCCGTCCAGTCAAGGGCGGGTATCGTCGCATCATCGTCAACGGGACCCTGAAATGCGCCATTCTGATTGTAACTGTATTGTTTCTGAACCAAGTCCTGAGTGTAAACAGGTTGCGATATACTCTGGACGTATGGAGAAGGATTGGCTACAAAATCCCCTTGCGCTGCTTCAGGCTGATAGTCAGAGAAATCATACGATTCCTGTTCCATTTGAGGCCGAACCGGTCGTGGACCCAGGGGGCTATTCGGGGCATATCCGGCTTGATCCTGAAGACTTATCGGATCATCTGTCGTGGACCGACTTCTTGGGGCCGGGTATACACACTGCAGCGTTCTCGAGTTACATCTCGCGCAAGGCAGATTGCCAGTACAACGGGATTTTGCCAAGGCACAGGCTGAGCACGCTCTCTCGCCTCGCCGTAGTAGCGAGCTTTCGTTCGACCTGTGAGTTAGTTCATGCTTACTGAGGGCATCTTTTCGGTGAAAGGCCTTGGAACATTGCCGACAATGAAACTGAGGGTCTTTGTGAGATTGTTCATGGCGCCTCAGATGCTCTTGTCGACCAAAAGTTTTATGGCAGGTCGAACACTGGTAACCATCCATAGCGAACAAGCGATTTCAATTGCATCCTGGGACGGACAGCTGGAGCATTTTTAATCTCAGAAGCTGTAGACTCGACCTTGGGCTGTAAGAAACTAAACCATCGCGGTGGTAAAAAGTAACTACTGCTAGCGTCTGCACTGTCCTATTTTAGGATAAAAATAGATGCCGCTTTACGCCCCGCCAGATCCCTTCCTTCGGGTAACACGGTCGTACTACCGATCATAAAACCGAATTAGTTGCAAAGGTACGAGGCAGACAGCGCGTTGCTTGAGGTCTTCCTTAGTCATCACACTCTGAGTAGAGAAATGATATCCGCTCTATCCGCGTATCAGGAAAACTGCTGGGGTCATTAAGGCAACGGTATTCACAATCAAGTCGAGGGGAGGTTTCAACGGCCTTCATGCTTCGCAAAGTTACCGAACTTATCTTCGAGAACACGAGCAGAAATCAAAGTGCACAGACATACCAAACATGACAGATATCAGCACAGGCAGTGAATTAAAACTAGGGGATGTCTTCTACGTTGGAGGAGAATACGTTCAGGATTCGAGGGGAACGCACATGAGGGGACAAATATGCGTTCGCCGGTATGGGAAGAAAGTGCCCAACCAGCCAGCCATAATTTATATCCACGGGGCAGCGCAGACTGGAACGCACTTTGAATCCACACCCGACGGTCGGGCAGGGCTGGCTGTGCTTCAGGCTCAGAGCGGGTGGGAGTGCTTTGTGCTGGACCAACCGGGCATTGGGCGCTCTCGTTACCATGCGGCTGATGTGGGAGAGTTGACCCAATTCACGGTCGAGGAGGTACAGGGCTGCTATACGGCTCCATCTCCTGATGCATGGCCTCAGGCGAAATTGCACACTCAGTGGCCAGGGTCAGGTAAGAGGGGAGACTCCATATTCGATGCCTTCTATGCAAGCCAAGTTGGCCACATCGGAGACTATCGAAAGGTTGAGCAATTATTTCGGGCCAATGTGAATGCATTACTTGCACTAACAGGACCTGCCTTCGTGGTTACACACTCCCAGGGAGGGTTGTTAGGATGGCACACTGCCGATGAGTGCCCGGGATTAGTGAGAGGGATCATCGCTTTGGAGCCAAATGGCCCTCCGTACATCTTCCCTGGGTACCCTCCGTACTATTCCAGCGTACACTCTGTCGGTAAAGTCGTCCGTCCATTCGGCATCACATATTCTCCTTTGCATTACGAGCCGCCTCTCGCGCCAGATGCGAAATCTTTACCTTTTAGGAAAGAAACTTCGGTGAAACATGTTCAGGGACTGGTGGACAGGGAGCATAGAATATCGCCATCGCGCAAACTGCCGAACCTGGCCTCGACACCTGTCCTCGTGATAACAGGAGAAGCCTCGTACCATGCGCCTTATGACCATCTGACGGTTGAGTTCCTTCGCGAGGCAGGTGTACGGACAGAGCATATTCGCCTCGAAGATTGTGGCATCAACGGCAATGGGCATCTTCTGGGGATCGAAAAGAACAATAAGGAGATACAGGAGCTCATCGAACGCTGGCTGGTGAAGCATGCAAGTGATTCTTCTGGACAAGCGGAACTGCCAGATTCAGGCGAGTAAGCTCGCTACACCCTCGATCCAATCAATGGTCCATGTAGCGATGAAGGCTCACCAACGACGTGCAGAGTGATACCTAGATCGATCCCGTGCAGCCCATGCAGAGCCTGCATGCATGGTGTCAAGAATATCATCCCTGTCGGGCGCCTTCGAAAATCTCTCGTTGCTTGTCCCTTTTGTTCTTTACAGCATTTATATTGACCTTGCCCACCCCCATGAACGTGTACAGCTCCTCAGGGCGAATACATCCCTCTCCCCCGAAGAGACCTAAGTCTATCGCATTCTTCGAAGAGTGCCGCAATCCATAAACAACGCTATTCCGACCTAGTGGGTTCCCGTGGACTCGGTGAATACCAGCATTCAAGCCCCCGCTGGACACCATCTTCAGAGTCTGCCCGACGAGAATGATGGCATGGTTCATTCCCTCTGACGCATCGATCCATTGTAGCTCACTGTCTGTGGATCTCACCCGATCACACATCTGCAGACCACGGCGGTTTCCAATGCACATCGTCAGAAGTCCTAGATCAGTGTGCTCCTCGGCTGTTCCAGTACTCGGCAGGTAGCGGAATACCCGCAACAGAGTGTAGGACATCTCCTTTTCAGACAAGGGCATATCAAGAGTGCCGTCCAAAATTGCATCCCCAGATCTTGGTATCGAGTTCACTGGCCCGTGCGATATCGCACAGGATTCGGTGCAGGATGATGCCTGCTTCGCTCCATAATTTGGCCGTACTCGTTTCCAGATGAGCGGCGGAGAATTTCGTCTCGGAAGTGCCCTCTTGTTGAGTCCGGCAGCGGAACGTGACGTATTCTTTCTCGTGGTTCGCTTCGTGGTACCCAAATTCTGTATTCTGCTTTGGGGGGAAGAGCTGCTTTTTGATGGAAGCAGGTTTTGTGAAGAAACAGTCTGCGAGGCGTAGGACATCAGAACAGGGGCCGTTAATAGAGTCTGGAAGGACGATTTCAAGCCATCCTTGTTGGGCAAGATCCAATAGTTGCTCTTCGGAGAGAAATGGTGGAGGTCCTTGAGGTGGCAAGGCTCTGAAAGCTTCTAATGTCATCATTTGAGATGACTGCAGACATACCAGTGGCGCTTTAGTATAAGAACCTAAGCGCCTCAACTCGTTGTCTTCGCTCTTCCCAACTTTTCAAGATCCGATAATTCCTTTCCTAGAACACCTCTAAATGAAAGGATTATGGGTGCTCGCATGACAAACGAACGGAACTTTGAGTTGTCATCCACTAGATCAGCTCAGGCGAGGATGACGCGTAATATTCTAAGTGCCAATTTTGAACGCATTATCCAAACCCTGAAGGTTCAAATGGAACGACCATGTTCTCATCTGCTGGTTATCCAAGCCTGACACACTGTCGCCTCATGCTCTCTTCTAGAAGTAGCCGGAAATTTTCGTTGACTCTTTGATCGCCTTGCCGGATACAGCTAGCTCTCTCGTAGTAACCATCGCAAGCGATTGCCACCCTGATATATTGCAAACCATAGGACCAGTCTCGCTTGTCTTCAAAACGACCTAAAACCAATCCTAGTAGAGCTTCCCTTTTTCGTCCTTTAACACGCTTCCACAGATCTTCAGCAGTCAACAGGCAAATGAAACTGTCAGTACGACTCCCCAATCCACCGTAACAAAATGGGAAAGCAACCTCCTCAAATACCAGCGCAAAAGGTTCGGGGTATTCATCTCGCTCAAGTGTTGTCATTTCCTCCCAGGGTCGCGATACGAAGGAGAGTGGTATTGTATGAACGTCTAGATGGATAAAATGAGAGAGCGGCTTGAAATCCGTCTGGCAGTGATGGAATTCATATAATCGTTTCAATGGAACGATGGTCTTTCCGTCAACGAGTTCGAGGGAGACACTGGTATCATGGTGAGCATGAAAATGCTCAACTTCGTAGACCGACTGTGGCTTTTCGTCAAGCGTGCAGGACCAGCTAGCCCACGACCAGCTCGGAAGTCCCGGTCTTCGATGTATTCTTTCGCCAGAATATCCATTCAGGTGGTCACCAGCAGCTCTCCAACAAAGTCCAAGGAGAAAACCCTCACAGGAAAAAGGCTCGGATGGCCTTGGTCCCAAATAAGGAAAGGTCTTTCTTCCATGACCGAGTCTGATGGCTTGATCTGGATAGATTGGCACACCCCAGTGGTGGTAAACAGGATTTGGACCCTCTTGGAAGACTTGTAGGAATCCTAGGGCAGCCAACAGAGCGTCTTCTTCTCTTGATAGAGTCCTCGAGGAGTATTCCTCAATTGCCCTGCTGACAAATTCAGGGTTATTCGCGTCCCAAGGATCAAATGATGGTTTCTGGTAGACGAAGAGATTGCTATCAAGGCACGGGAAGGGCGCTTCGACAGTTTCACGATACACCTGATTCGAGACTCGAATTAAAGTTCGCGCTCCGTGAAGATCAAGAGCTTTGAGGATAGATGAGCTTCCTGAAATGTCCAAGCCCTGCTGTTCCAATTGGATTCGCAGATCGAATCCAGGAGAACCTTTGTCGTGGATACAATCATCATGCTTGCGCCATGAAGATGAATGCTTCTTTGCGGCTTCCTAGGCCTAGCCCCGACGCCAGGCAGGCCGAATTCTACATCAAGGCCGGCAGCGGCAGCAATCGTCACCTCGGAGTTCTTGAAAATGATGTCCATGTGATTGATTTGACGCAACCTTCCCGGTCCGTCCTTCTGGTCAATGCAATACTTGTCGACCCAGAGATATCGAAAACCAAGCCGTTTCGTCGCGCGAATGGCATCAGTAACCGTGCCAGGCGTGGGCTCTGGGAGCATACCTTCCGAATCTACGTTATCGTATTCGACCATGGCATTGCCCCATGCATAGCTCAGAGTGACATATTTCTTAGCACCAGCAGGCACAATCCTTTTCGAATACCAATCGATCAGTCTCTCGGGTAGGTCTGATTGTCTGTGGATACGAGATGAGGGTTGACTTATAGGTTGAGATATCCATGTCTTGACAATACCGAAATCGATGCTACCGGGCTTGAACTCCCTTACTACAACATTCCCTTGATTGCAAACAGAACTGCGAGAAGCAAGAGAATGTCCAGGTCCGGTTCGTACGTCCGCGCTGATCCCTCCATATCGAGGAGGCGCCATTATTGTTAATTCTCTTTATGACCTTCTTCAACCCTAAAGGAATTGGAGCTCGTGGATTGTCGTCTTGAACAACATCAAGGTACTCTGGAGAGGTGGAGAACCACGCCGTTGCTTGAGAAGTGTCGTGGGGATTTTGATGATGCTTACGAGGTCGCAGAAGGGACAACCTGGTTGAAGCCAATCTGGATTGTCGTAATTGTCCCGTTCCCAAACATTAATTTCTTCATCAAACGCAGCGCGCTCATGAGTCAAGATGAATGGGCCTAGATTCAAGGCGGAGCATCTCGAGCATGGCTTGGGGTTGGGTGGAGGACGCAAGGCCAAGTCAAGCGGATTTGGATTTACAGAGACATCCAACACCTTCGCGCAATCGTTGATGGTGACAGAGACAGAGAGACTATCCGCCATATTGCCGAAATCTTGTTTTACTCAAGAAATTAGTATGAACAAGAAGTCAATCTTGTGGACGGGGGCTATTTAAAGAAACTAACACTCGGCTGACTACGTTATTACTGTAAGTGAACTCTAAAGCCAGTTGCTGTATCATACAATCAAGAGAATGAGGCGCTAGAAAGCTATGTCGAAATATCGCAATGATCGTTCACGTGCAAATGGGCGAACAATAAAGGGGCAGAGGCCGCAATGCTCAATCTCAGATTTGGGGCGGAGACGGGCCTTCCCCTAGCAAGTGTATTCCAGTATCACGGGGATACGAGGCAGACGTAAGGCAAAATGTATCGGCAGGAAGCACGGAGGACCTCGACGTCGAGCACGACTACGAATATACTTTGTTGTGGTCAACGGTCAGAACAGTAAGAGAAGCGAAAAGGCGCGGTATGAAGTATTCAGTCGACCACACGTCATCGTGTCAATTTCGCGTTTTGTGGGAAGTGCTGGTGACATCACCGTTTGCTTAATGTATCTCCCACGTCCTTATTAACGTCTTCCCTCCAACACCTGCCTTTGTCTCTATGGGAAGAAGCCTAGTGTCACACATCACACCAACCAAGTGTTCTACGACCTCTGAAGTAGCATCGGAAAATGGGGAATCCATGTCGTCGGCGTGGCGGGCCTTACCCCTCCACCAGTCAATTCTGTGCACTTGCACTCATGACCCCATCGACGCCGGAGCGCTCTTGTTCGGATTTCATACAGATTATCCAGATCTCGTCCTTCCTTGGATATGTTGGGCTATGGGATCAGTAGGCATGCGAGACAACGTTACATTGTCTTTCCCCACAGCCCCAACGGCCTCTCTTTGTTCGGCCTTTACTCTGAATAGTTGGGTCTCCACTTCTCCACAGGCAGTACATATGCAAGGTAATTCGAATTAGTGCTCCTACCATTGACTATGCTAGTCCTTCCGATGGGTGCAACGCCTCCTGTTGGTACCAGGACTAGGGTGGACCATTTTTTCAGATAGGACAACTTGCAGTATCACTTTTCCTTAGTACCCTGAAGGGCTGAGGCATTGATTCCCCGGTTCATGAACGTGAACATGGACTTGATACCTCAATCGGCAGCTTCAATAACAGCTTCAAAACTCCAAGAACACATTACACGAATCCAACATGCCGCTGAAAGCTTGAGTCAATCGGTTTTTGACGGTGAGCAGTCAACAAATTCAGCATTGATTTCACAGTGGGAGGAATTGCCCGGCTCTATTTTGGAGAAGAAGGTAGAAATCTCGAGATTGGCTCTCATAGGTACATGTCAAGAACTTCTTGAGCGCCTGACAATGCCAGAAGACTTCCTAAAGTTTAACCTTCCCATCGTAGGCAATGGCAACCTTTGGGAGATTTCGTAAACTAATGGAAAGCAAGTCCATCCAATTCAACTCTGCCATGGCCGTCATTGTCCACTTCAACTTTGCAGACCACGTACCCGAACAGGGTCACATAACCTTCGGGGATCTAGCAACCAGGACCCAGCTTCATGTTGAACGAGTACGGCGCATCCTGCGGTGCGCAGTCGCCCATCGAGTGTTCTGCGAGGAGCCGCTTGGATATATCTCCCACAGTGCTATCTCCAAAAGCCTGTTGAAGCCAGGTCTAAAGGCTTGGCTGGGTCATCAGTTCGAGGAGATGCTACCATCGTCTGCAAAATTAGTCGATGCCTTTGAGATGTACCCAAATGTCGACGACGATAGAGAGACAGCGTTCAGTGTAGCATTTTCGGGACAAGACCGAACAACTTACTGGGAGGTCCTTGAAAAGACACCTTGGAAGGTCAAGAGGTTTTGCGATGCACTTGAATACATATCCACCTCGGGAGGTGCCGGAGACTTCCGTACACTGGTCTCATGCTACGACTGGAAGAAGCTGGGTGCGGGCAAACTTGTGGACGTCGGTGGATCGACAGGGCGAGTCTCGATCGCCATAGCTGAATTGGCAGACCCGGCGATGGACTTTGTCATTCAGGATTTACCAGAAGTGGAGGCAGAAGCTCTCAACACGATACCCGAAAACTTGAGAGAGAGGATGGTGTTCCAACCGCACGACTTTTTCAAACCTCAGCCAACACTTGAGGCTCACGTGTACATGTACAGGCAGATTCTCCATGACTGGCCAGACGGTAAAGTGGTTGAAATTCTAAAGGCCTTGATTCCCGCTCTCAATTCAGGAGACTACCTCTTACTTATCGAGAGCGTGCAACCAGATCCGCAAACCTTGCCGAACTCAATTGATAGGCTTATATATGCCGCAGATCTTCTGATGATGGCGAAGCATAACTCTAAGGAGAGGACACTGGATATGTGGAAAGATTTGTTGAGACGGGCGAGCGCAAACTTCGTACTCGAGAATGTGATTTCACCGGAAGACGCAGGGGCGCAGGGTGCGATCATTGAGGTTAGATGGTGGCTATAGATACATAGCGTAGCACGGTATATTTTGCCCTCACGGCGGTTTAAGCCAGCAATACACGATGTGCCCCAAAATCACAGGGGCTTTACCGGGGGCATCATGGGCGTAATTATAACGTGAATGGTTCGATGAATTTGGAGTGGATCAACAAGTCCATCATCCTCGTCAGCTCTTGCCAGTGGGAGAGGAGGGGCTTACATTCAGGTATTATGGTTTCAAGATATCTTGACGTCGTCGATTTCACACCCATAGTGTACATACATCATGATGATCCAATCCGCCCGCCATCCAATCCGGAAGGTCATCTATGCCTTCTGTTCCTTGTTTCAGAGTGGGAATCCCTCAGGTCCGTTACTGTAGCATTAAAACCTTCAAAGCAACATCTTCTGCCAAGTTTGTTCTTACAATTAGACAATTCCATCATCGTCCTAAGTTCCAGAAACACATCCGATTTGGCGGACATGGAAACGATTAAGTCAGCCATTGCAGAGAACTTCGGAGGCAAAGCCCACGTACTCGCCTCGAAAGCCGAGCAGTTCGATATCAAGAAAGATGTGCCAGATCTATCCGGCAAGGTCGCGCTGATCACAGGCGGCAGCGAAGGGGTCGGCTATGCGACAGCCTTCACACTACTCCAGGCGAACGTGTCCAAAGTCTTCATCGTCTCGCTGTCGGAAGAAGTCAAAGACAGCGCCGTAGAGGAGGTCAAGAACCAGCTGGGCACCGAGTACGCCGACAAGATCGTCTGGTTTCAATGCGACATGTCTGACCTTGCCGCCGTGGCCGAGGCGGCGAAGCAAATACGCAGCCAGACCGATCGCCTGGACATCTACTGTCAAAACGCCGCACGGGGGGTCATGACGTACCAGCTGACCGAGTCCGGTATCGACAGGCACATGGCGGTCAACCACATCGGACACGTTGTCCTGACCTCGCATCTGCTCCCGCTGCTCAAGAAAACCAGCGAAGAAAAGGGCACGGTGCGGATCCAAATTCAGGCGTCCAACGCACACCAGGCGGCGCCGAAAGACGTGGCATTCGCGTCTCTGGACGAGCTCAACACCGACTTGGGCCCAAATGGCCAATACGGCCGGTCAAAGCTCGCGGGGATCCTGTACGCGCGGTACCTGACAGAGCACCTGCACAGGGAACACCCGAAGATTCTGATCAACGCGACGCACCCAGGCTTCGTGGAGACCAAGATGTCAACGCAGGATATCCACGAGCCGTATCCCGTGGCGGGCTATGCGATGGATGTGGGCTTGAAGCCGTTCAAGAAGGATATCTGGATGGGCTGCGTGAGTACCGTGTTCGCGGCCACTAGGGTGACCAAGTCGGGGCTGTATATCTGCCCGCCGGCGATCGGGGAGCCTGGTAGTGAGGCGTCGCAGAATCAGAAGTTGCGAGAGCAGTTGATGAAACTGACCAGGGAGATTGTAAGAGAGAACTTTGGCGAGCTGAGTGTTGACAAGGGATGTCCCTTGAAGGATTATTAGGGTGGGAATAGAATGTGCTCAACAGGGGTGGAGTTGGGTTAAAATTCACCGTTGTATTAAAATCGCATACCATAGATTGAGATGCAGATCTAACGCTTCTGTTCACCAATGACTTCAAGTATTTACTCCATCGAATATTCGTTGACTCATCCTCACACTTTTCCAATCCGATATCCAAGACCCGTCGTCCCTGGCAATAAGCATTGGAAGCCCTCTCCATCCTTGCCCTTTGCGCCGCTACACCGCGAGCTCCCCATGTATTGCTTGACGTATAGCTTACTCCCCGTCCTTTGGGGCTACCGCAGGCACGGTGGCAGCTCGCAAGCAGAATGCCTTGGTATGGTATGATTTCATCCAACCGCATAAGCATCGGTTGGTCATTACTCGACAATCTTCTTGCGGCCCAGGTTAAGACCAACACCGTGGTTGTAGGTAAGGGTGCCACCAATTTTGGCGCTCGTCATCAAGAAGGGGAGAAGCACGAAAGCAATAATGAGGTTGGTCTGGTTCGGGGCGTGGCCGACGTTGGTGTAACCCTCCTTGTCCTTCCTGATGTACCAGGAGTACAGGTTGACAACGAAGACGATGTCGTTGATGACGGCGTGCGTGATGGTGGCCTTGATACGGGGCACCATGGTGTCCTTGGCCTTGCCAGCGGCGTCTTTCTCCCACGGTCCACCGTTCTTCTTGATCATGCCGACCAACTGGATGTTTCCAGACATGATGGCCGGCACGGTTGTGACGAGACCGGCGCACAGCAGGAAGTAGCTGAGGCGGGAGATGTCAAGGAGCGTGGATGCTGATGAGAACCGGCTAGTCAAGAACTCAGGTTGGACCCATGTCGTGGTCAGTGCGTACAGGATGTCCAGGCCCCATGCTAGAGTGTTGAAGGCAATAGGAAAGTGGACGATGGCAGGATGGATTGGGTGGCTGGTACATTGTAAGTTTTGGTTGTGCTGTTGGAAGGCTGCAAAAGAAGCAGAAAAGGGGATTAATAGAGGCTTACTCGGTGTTGAACTCTGGCACAGGCTCTCCAACCTTGTGGGCAAATTTGCCCTGGAGGTGAGTGTTGTATGCCATTTTTGAAGCAGAGAGCAAAAGTAAAAAAGATGGTCGACGTCTAAGTCAAGATTGAATAGAAATAAAAGTGAGAAGCGATAGTGTGTGAGTACGGTGAATGGAGGAGGAGGAGGAGGTGGTTGCGGGAGGTATATTTAGAAAGGAGTTGAGTTGATGCAGGCCCTGAACGAAATGCATGTTGATTGCTTGCTCCCAGAGGAAGGAACGCGGACACGACCAAACCAGCACCAACACTAGAGCAAGAAAAAGGCTAAGCGGAGTCCGATTGATTTGGTGGAGACCCCTGAGAGGGCCGCGTGGGCCAATCAGACGGAAGTGGGATGTAAGCAACACCTGGCAACTTGGGCGCCACAGCACGTGACAGACAGGTAGGAAGACAACACGTGATTTGTCACGTGACTCTATCCTGGCTGACTCAGCCCTCCTTTACAACTTCCCTCGACCCAATGCAGCCACAGCTTCTCTGGCACCTCTTTCCCCTGACCTTACCGCCCCATCCATATACCCCTTCCATTCATACGCTGTCTCAGTCCCGACAAAGTGCACCTTTCCGTGAGGGGTTCTGAGAGCATGGTCGAACTGTGTCATGATCCCTGGTGGTGATGCAGGGCAAGGACAGCCTTGTGCCCACTGATCTTTAAACCATTCATGCTCTGTTATCGCAATTGGCCCCGGCACCTCAACATATGGGCCATAGAGACGCTTAATGTGCGCAATAACTGCATCAAACCGTTCTTTCTGCGGCAGTTTTGAAAGCTTGCGACCGGCCTCTCCATTTGTGAAGCATGTCAGCGAGAATTGTCCCTTCTCATCATTGCTCGAGTCTCGCGTTGTGGTGATGGGTCCTACAAAGGACATGACTGCTCCCGCAAGGCCTGCTTTGCGCCACCAGGGCTCCGAGAACAAAACCATCACTTTCAAGGTGTATCCATGGATATTGCTCTTCCCTAGCTCAGCTTTCGCTCCAGGCAGCGGGGGATCAAAGGTAATCTCCTTGTAAAGCACAGTCGGCACCGAAACTATCACCCGTTGGCATTTGTAATCGCCCCTTCCAGCTGAAACGAAGATGCCGTCTGGGGCCTGGGTGACCAGCCTCACAGGTGAGTTCAAGACGACTGAATCTGGGTGCAAAAGATCGGCCAGCCCCAGGGACATGGACTGTGTTCCTAAATCCTATGGTCAACATATGGCGGGCGCCGGGCTATTAAAGGCTACTCACCTCGAGTAAATCTGAGATACTGCCCGCCATTTTTGAAATCCGATCGCATTTGCAGCAGACCACCCGCACTCTTGCAATAATTCATGAAGAAAAGAGCGCTCACTTCTGAGGGCTCCAAGCCCAACAGTGCTCTAGTCCACAGCTTCACCGTCGCCATGGCCGTTTGAGACTCTGTCTTGGACCTGGCCCACTCTTCCAAGGTGACTTTGTCGAGGTCTCCACCTGTCTTGACAGGATCGTGGATATCCAATGTCTGGCAGACCTTCTCTGCCAGCTCACGGATAAATACCAGGCTCTCGATTCCATTCTTTTCTGCCGCTTGCTTCATGTTCACGAATGGTCAGCTTTCCGTTGCCCTCCTTTTTTGACTTCAACATTCATCACTTACCCCAGGGGTACCACCATAGTCAAACAACCCCAAATCGCCCGTGAGATCTTCCTGAATAACCTTGCCCGTGGTATTCTGCACCACCATCTCCAACCCCAGCGACCTCGCCAACTCATAAATCTTCCCTTGGTTTGTATCATTAATCCACGCAGCGCCCACATCAACAAACCTGCCTTCACCGAGCGGATCAACACTCCAAGTCTTGCCACCCACCCTACCCCTAGCCTCGACCACCACGCACGAAAACCCCGCCTTCTGCACATCAAACGCAGCCTTCAACCCACTCAAGCCCGCTCCAACAACCACAACATCCACCTCCCTCAACGGCTGTACCTTGACCGCGGCGTACGCCTCAATCTCAAACTTCATCTGCGGGTCCGCCAGTGCCGGGACTGGCACGAGCGTCGTGGGCGGTCGATGGCCGTTTAGGAACGCCTTGACGTGCTTCGTGTGCCGCCTGTTGTTTGGGTCGTAGTCCACGATATAGTAGACGAGCTTGAAGATATCCGTGACCGTCGCACCGGCCGCTTCTAAAGCTCGCCCGAGGTTTTCCATCGCCAGGCTGAGCTGATCTTCGATGTCCGATGGGAATACCCGGTCGGCGTCGCAGCCCACTTGGCCCGCCGTCGCGACGATGCGACATGCCCCTGTGGTCGTCGCCGCGTGTGAGTAGATCGGTCGTGAGTCGAACAGCATGTGTGGGTCGATGGTGTGTACGCTCGGCGGCGTTGGCTTGCCGTACGGCGACGACATGATTGGCTAGTTCCTTTGCTTGCTAGCTTTGCTGGTGGTGAGAGATTGCAGTGAGACTCAAAAATTCGTGCGGTTTGGATGCCACTTATTCCACAGAGATATGGTAAATCAAGATTAGATCAGCAGAGGCGTAACCACAGTATGGATCCCAAGCCCCCAAGGTCAGAGTCTCCAGATAAGCATTGGCTTTCTGCGAAGTCTGGCAGACTGACTCACGGGGCGTGGCGTATTTATATATAATTTCCCAATTCCGTCAGCCCTAGGTGAGAACAGAACTTATCCACCAAAAGCAAACAGCACTGGGCTTTGTGCATTAGAAAATGGATGCTGTTCCTTCAAGAGGTGCGGAGATGTCCAAACGTGGAATACGCACCTCGGCCCCGAAAGGGCATAAAGCACCCAATCGAAACGGTGCTATCGCCGTGGCCCTGTCGTGGTTCGGGGGAGCCGACACCATCCGAACAAACCATCACTGGAGAACTCAATAATTGGAGGCCAGAGCTATTGAGATCCTTGAGCTCGGATACTGGGAGTCTGCACACATCTTGAGGTCTTGTTACACTCGGAGTGTTTTGCAAAGGAAGAAGAGAATTCAAGCATGCAAAACGCGATGTATTTACTGTGAAACATCGTACATACGGGTGGGGATACTTCGTAGGCTACATAGTAGCATCAAAGCACCGCAACGTACTCGCTAAATCTGCCTCAATTCAGATGCATGCAGCTGCTTCCTGAGACAGCTTCCCCTTCGCATCTTCTCCATCTTGATCTCAAAAATCCAATATCAGAATTGCGGCTACGAAGTTGGCTAAGAAGAGGCCGAAGTCGGGATCGTAGCAGAAGAATCATGGACGACACTCAAGCTTCCCTTGCGAACATTGTGACCTAGAGGGACACGCGAAAAGATGTTTCTCTCCCACCCATCCAAGTCGCTGATCTCGGTGGTCCGCACAATCTCATACTTGCCGATCCTCGGCAGCAAGACAGCCCAGACCAGTCAGTAGATGCCGCCGGCCGCAAGGACGCCAGGTTCGACGGCGCAACGCAGGTAGTACGGCAGGTCGTTGTAGACGCCCTGGCCATCCTCTGATGGGACGAAGGGTGCTGCGACGAGATAGATGTTGCTGATGAAAAGCAGGAAGGTCACTGGGATCGTGGCGGGGAACGACGGGTTCCCGCATATCCAGAGGAGACCGCCGGCAAAGAAGACGTTGATGACTGACACTGGGTAGGTGATGACCTTGAGGATGAAGTTTTGTGTATATCCTGGAGGTGGGGTGAGCATGATGATCACCAATTCCAGCCAGTGCTCAAGGAGGCCGGCCAGAGGAGCGTTGAATGGGTTGTTGCTCGCCCCAGAAGCGGTAGAATAGGAGGATTCCTTCACGGCCGAGTTCTTGAACCACTGTGGAATATTTGGGCCAGATGTCTTTTTGTGGTCAGAAGAATCATGCCAAAGACCAAATCCATCAATCACGTCTGCCTTGAGGAAAAAACGACTCTGAGGAGAGACATTGAACGGCAGTAATTATTCACCACGTCTTGCATCCTCATGAAAGGCAGGGCTGTGCTATTGAACCAGGTCCCTGGGACATGGACCCAGGTGCAAGAGTCGTGTCATCCCACAGCTAGCAATGACTTAATCAATGTTGTGGGTCGGATGAAGTGTTTGTCAGTGGGACTCTTTCAGTGACTACTCGCGTTGACTTCCGGACTTTTGGAAAATCCAGGGCAGTCAGCAGAGATCTTGCGGAGTGGTTGAGATATCAGGCATGTTCCTCAATTTCCAGATTGGAGGTAACGGCAGCGTATAGGTCCTTCAGACCCTCTTCACCAATATTACTCCTCCACTCATCTCTTTCGCTTGTTCTCCACTAACAGCACCATTGACCAGTTCCTTGAATCGCCTCCAGCCCTGCCGTGCGTAAAATCGTCCAGCGCCCTGGTTTGCGGGGTCCATGCCCAAATGGCATCCCTTTACGCCCAGCTCTTCATCTCATTCTCCCCAGCCTCAAGTAACTTAGGACCGTGGCCTTTGCCTTGGTAGGCTGGGAGAATGTCGATATGAAGGTGGGCAGGATAATTCTGCAATAGCTCTGGGCAGTCAGACTACACTAGAGTCTGACAGATTATTGTACAGCTCCTGTTGGGCCCAAAGTGCCGGATCATCAGCAAATGGGACTTCGTCAGAGCCTGGTTTTGGCGGTGGGACGTCAAGAGTTGCATCCAGGCTGGGTACAAGTCGGTCCTGTATCATTGCTGCGAATCTCCGTGTGTTGGGACAACCAAGCAAGTATCCGACCGCACTCCTAGTGCCATCATCGAGGACAAAGGCCGCGCCCGGTTGGAGGTCTAGATATGGGCGACACCATAAGCATGATGTATAGTGAAGCGTGAGCATCGCAGCCTTTTTAAGGATGGCGAGGCTGTGGCCTTAAACTTTTGAGGGGACAATCACGAGGTTCGGAAAAAGACCTAAAGAGAGTCTGAAAAGACACTTCTCTCTGGGAAGTTGTTAAATCAGCTTTCTATTACTCACGATTTGTATCATGGCATCATAGTCAGGGCCTGTATTTCCTGACGAAAGCCATGTTGATTACTCAAATATCTAGCAGCAGCATGCTGAGAGGAAGATTCACCGCGGACGTCAAATACCTGGGTACATTAATGGTCAAGCATGTGGTCAGGCTGTATGTCACGCAAAACTAACTTGAGAGACTGCCCTACCTTAGGTGTGGGTAGGTTGACAAAACGCGAGCTATGAAGTGAACGGGACCTCGAAGCTCAGGACGGAGAGGGGGGCCTACGGAGGACCAAAGCTCCTCAGTTCGCTGCCATACAGATTCAATGCGCCTCCGTACCTCTTCCGAGGCTCTCCCGACTCCGAGAACTTCTTCCCCTCAACGCCATCTCCACAGAACGCCAGCCAAATTTCATTTTGCGTATCTTGCAATGTATGCGGTAAAGCGAGTCTCTCGTCCTCAGTGACTGGAAAACCGACCCATTTTAGGGGTTTCTCCCTTAGGACTTGAGTTTTTTCGGGTAAGCGATATATCGCCATCCAAAATGGCAACCAAGGCCTCTCCCTCGTTGTCGTCTATCGTCAGCACTTCCATCACATTGTGCGATCGATTCTCGTCATCACTCAGTCCAAATGCTTCCTTGGACCTGCCAGCTTCCAATGCAGGATCTCCCTCATCATTATTACTGCTCCATGCCACCGCAACTACGCTTAGGTCGCAGGCTACAAAAATCTCATTGTTGGCTATTACCGCCCCATTCACGCCGTCCGCAGTCGCAACATGTCTCCTACCGCTAAATGAATCTATCTTGACGTCCTTGGTCACAGCAGCGCTCCTCACAACGCCTCATGAATTCACATCTTCGTTCTCGGCTGAGTGCCATACTCTTTCCGCCGTTGCACTTCGGGACATGCAGGCACTCTTACGTCTCGTGCAACGGCGAAACGAGGTCAAGTACAATAAGATAGAAATATCCGAAGCGGAAAAGAAAGAATTCACGGAAGCGACCGGTCGAGTGTGGGACGACTGTGATAAGCTAATCGAGTTGGCAAAAGAGGGTGTCCCTGGTTATGTCGTGCGCAAGTCCAAGCAATGGCTTGAGCTGATGAAGGACGCAGTGAAAGAGCTGGAAGACTGGGATCCCCAGGAAGATGTGAATGATAATGATCTCTTCGGTGATGAATCCGGTGACGACGAGGCTCCCGGTTCATCTGCCGACAGGACCAGTGACGACGATCGGGCCGCAATCTCTGCAGGGGTCAAAATCCAAGCACTCAAGGTTTTGAGCCGCATCCCCCAAAGCATCCACGTTGTTATAAAGCAACGGCTAGAGAAGCGTGGCAATGAGCTGCAAATAACAGCCAACGAAACCACGCAACTTGACACAATACTCAAACAGACTCGCCAGATATCAGAGTTGATCGACGAATCTGCGGAAGGCATGTACTTGGGGGATCTGGAACGCTGCCTCAAAAAGGCCGGCGAAGCTAGGGCGATCACAATCCAGGTTGTCGAATCGGTCGCCGAGCCTACCTCGGAGGATGAGACGAAAGAAGACAAATACGTCAAACGAGCTCTCGAGTGGATCCAACAGGTTGACCCAGGTGGCGTTTCACAGAAGAAGGTTGTCCTAACAAGTCGTCCTAAGGTGAATGCTTGATTTTTGCATATAAACGACACGCTCTGAGGACGGGCTATTTATGCTGAACTTGTCCGATCAGATACCCATGTCTCTTTTTCAATTCGCAGTGCTCGCTGGACCCAAATGACGGTGATCCAAGTCCAGATTCCGACCCAGACGGTGGGTGCTCCCCATCCTATACCATACGCAATGTCATCAGTGGTAGAATATATAGCCGCGATGAGCGCGGCTCCCACAACGATCGCAGGTATCGCCCAGAACCATAACAGCTGCAAGAGCAATGCCCTGAATCTTGGAGATGCATTGTACCTTTCAAGCGCAGCTTGGCGATATTTCTTGCCTCCCTTCCCGTCAACAGCGCATATATCTTCCATTATGCAAAATGTCAGCGGAGGACAGATTGAATTCTTGACATGAGAGCTGAGTCTGAAGTATATCAGTCTCCAGCCCCGTTGTGCTGCCCAACCATTGATGACAAATATGACGCCAATGTTGATCATGCCGACTGGCATTGGCAAAGCGAGCGCTTTGACTGAGGGATAATGCGGTATGCTGAAGATGATGAGAATGATGGTCATCACGGTAAAGGGCATCATGAGGACGAAATTAGTACTGTCGAATCCCCAGAACCTTGGGCTGCCGAACAGTGGTCGATATTCATCCGTGACTTTCACGAGCCGCCAACCTCGAATGCCAAACTCATATCCGCTCACGAACCCGAACAAACTGGTGATAATGGCGAAATAAATCCCTGGATGGGGAAGTTAGCCGTGGGCCCTCATGATTCCCACAATTTCGGTCGTCCTGATCAATACGTACCTGATCTCACGTTGGTCCCTTGACTGAAACCATAGTAGAAAGCGACCGGGACAAAACAGCACTCCGCCAGTGCGAGGAACGTAAAGATCGACAGCGACAACTTATGGTGGCGCAGGTTGAATGGCAATTCAGGCGGTTCCCGCAAATGGCGTCCATCTCGTCGCGTTGTAGAAGTAAAGCGCTGTAAGGCCGAATCTTGAGCCGCATTTGGCGCAGCATCTGGCTCTTGCTCTGCTGGTTCTCGATCTCGGACGAGCGGCGTGGTCGTCAAAGTCGTTGAGTGAGAAGCCCCGTCGCCGCCGTTAACTGCATGAACGACATTTAAATAATCGATCGTATCCTTGTCTGGTAAATCTCGTTGATCTACCGGAGGCGGCTGAGATGGCTGAACATGTTGGATGTCAGCGAGTTGCTTCTCGCCCGAGATGGCTTCCGGCATCTCTTGGGCCATTTAGCTGGACCCGTACATTTAACTGTCTTTGCCGCTGGTGAATATGTATATATCCTTGGGGAGAACAAATGGGAAGCACAAGTCTAAAAGAAGCGAACTCGAGTCTCGCTGCTCAAGCTACACAAACATCGATGATGTGTAGACTCAATCCCGACTTAAACATTTTCTCAGGTCCTTGATTTTTTTTTGGGAGAATTTCTTGGTACGGAGTATCATGGCGCAGCAAAAGGTTGGCGTTTTGGCGAGATACTCGTGCGCGGTGTCACTGGCACCCAACTGGGCCTGGGTGGTGTGGTGAAGTCATTGAACTACCGGCTCATACGCCCCACGGCGGCGAGTGCCCCGCCCAATGGTAGGAATTGTCCCGAGACGCCATCTGCTGATCCCATCTTACGGTGGTGGCTGAACACAGATGGGCATGCCGCGGGCTACCTTATGCCCGCGCCCATCAAGCTCACTTGATCTTAGACATGGCCCTAGGCTTCGCAGCTCGTTCATGTGCATGCGGCTTTCACGTTCCAGACCCTGCAGTCTCGTCGTGGAACACCTCCCTCGCCACCTCAAGCTTGGCCTCTTGTGATCGCCCGTGAGCATCCGGCGGCAGCCTCGGTAATTAGACTCCCTTTGTGAACCCACCATAACATTACGAGTACTGCACTGCACTGAACAGGCTGCTATTTATTATTGCATGCATGTAGAAGCATCTGTACCTGTGCCCAGCCTATTGGGAAGACCTCCAAGTTCGCAAGGCTTACGCACTTCTGCGAATGTTGCTATCTTGGCCGCACATAAGCACGGAACATCTATCTATCCGTCCTCGAACAAAGCATCATCATGATGCAGGACTAAAACTGAACTTCAGTCCAAGTCGACTTGGTCTCGGAATCCCCACATTTGGTAAGATTTCGTTACGCGTCCTTCTCAGGCTTCAATCCAGCCGTACGTGTCCATCAGTTCGAAATTCCACAGATCGGCATTCTCGAAATCAAACATCGTCGACAACGAGTCCATCTGTGCGAACGAGGTCGCGCTCTGTAATTCCTCCTCCGCCGTCATCGCCGTAGTCTGTGTTCCCCCCTCTAGTGCCTGGGACGGTGCCATCTGCGCCGTCCGATTGTCTGGGGGCGCGCCGCCGCCGCCGCCGCCTCCTCCTCCTCCGAGAATTTCGTCGAGTACTCGGGACACAATCTGACGAATACGGCCACAGATATCGGTCGTTGGGGGCTCGGTGATTTGTATCCAATCCAGGAAGCCGACGAAAAGAGTAAGGTTCTGTATTGTTTGCGAACGCGGTATCACGTATCTCGGCGCGTTGTTGGTTTCCAGACTGCCAGAGCGGTTCGCTTGCCGCGAGTCCCTATGTATCTGCTTGAGGAGTTCGATGCATAATACACCTGCGGTGGGAGCTGCGTAGGTCGTGACCTGTGCGTGACCTTGTCAACTGGACGCTGTTTTCCCCCAAAATTCAAAGTGGAGAGCAGATTGTCTGCAAGAGGATGAACTTACCAACCATTCCAGGTCACTATGCATTCCAGCAAATCGGTTCGAATGCTTCCACCACACCAGCGTCATATCCAGCATTTCGCAAGAGATGTCGATTAGGTCTTGCATATTTCCGCCTCCATGTTTGATCATGAGTCTCTCGAGGAGGAATAAATTCTCCAAGTGTTCAAGGTGAGTTACGGTTCTTGCGTAGAGCGTGGGTCCTCTCAAAGTTTTATCCAACATGATATCGGGATGGTACTGAATGCAGAGTGGGAACTTTGCATATGTTTCGCGCGATCTCGTTTTCAGGCGCCTGTGATATATTGTCAGCCTTGTTGAGTCGCACATTCGTGCCATACGCACCCAGCAAGCTCTGAAATGTCCTCGGCCTCGTTGCAACCAAGCGCAATTTCTAGAATCTCGTCACGGACGAGCGCAAGCAGAGTCCGCGCGCGAAGGACCGTGGCCGAGTAAATCTCGCCGTCGGTGTTGAAGCCATTTTCGTCCAAGGAAGCAATCGCCTTGGCCAACGCCTCTCCTCCAGCAAATAGTGCTTCGTCGCTGACGTCCATTGGCAGTGATTGTCGTGTTGTATATCTTCGACTAAATAAAGGAGGCCGGCCTGTGAATGTTGCCACTCCCTTGTCCATCCTGAAAACCGCGGCGAAGACCCTTTTGCGGGCCTCTGCCGCAATCGAAGGCACTTCATCAGACGGATAAACCTTTGCTCGATGTAGCCCCAGAGACATCGTCAACGCAGCCAGCTCGCCGTGCTGCCGCCATACGATAGGTGCTGGGAGTGGTCAGTCTCACGCTCGTCTCTTCAATGATAGACGGTGGTGTGTTACCAGCATCAGTTTCCAGCACCGCGTCCAGTATATTACGCCTGTACATCAGATAGACCAGAAGCGTATTTCCACTGTCAGCCGAATCGTTACCGTACAATTCAATACACGACGATGCGCAGTTCTTCAATTGAGTGACAACTGCCCGACGCTCTCGTATGGTCCCGTCAGGCTGCATGAAGATGGAGTCTTCCACGGGCGATGCCAAAACCCCAAAGGCCCAGAATGTGAACAGAATTCCCAGTGCCTCCCACTGGAGATTCTTGCCGCTGAAAGACTCCAGCCAGACATTGGTGTCGGTGGCGTCTTCTCGGACAGTCACTCCATGATTTTGGCAGAGATGACGAGAAAGCCCCTCGAGGTTCTCTTCCTGTTTACCCAGAAGCAGGGAGCCATACCTTTTCCAGAGAGACTGGCTGACCATTTTCCCTGCCAGCCTTACCCATCCCTCATTGGGACCAACATGTCTTGCGAAGAGTGAGTCACAGATCTGCTCCGTGTCTGGTACCTGTCTCAAGACCTCAACTCCCAATTGAACCCACCTAGAGCTCGAGAGACCTCTGCGGTGTGCTAATTCGGCCCATATTTGTGCGTTACAAAGCTCTGCTAACTCGGGTGGTCTTGGTAGTTGTCCGAGCAGAACCCTGTTCTCCTGGTAGACGGCGTTGAAACTAGTAGGCCCTATCCACGCTCGAGTCCCTTCGAACAGTGGCCACTGAGGGCCGGGTGGTGTGATGTTCTTGTCATGGCCAGGAGTAATTTCGGTGCTCAGGACCTCGAGATTCCGCTGAATTCGCGGAGGAGAGGGTGGTGATGTTGTGCTTTCCGAGTGCTGGCCCCTCAAAGCCGAGCGTGCCTTGGCCGGTGGTAGATAAACACATTGCTCCGAGATTCTCCTCCTCTGGCATCTGTGACAAGTGGGATAGTCGTGATCGCAAGCCAATTTGCGCTTGCGACAAGGCTCACATGCCTGCTGCTTACCGTTGCGGCGGCGTACCGGCGCCGAGCGCTGTTGAGCCACCATATGTCTCAAAGCCAGTGTTCTTCGCGCCGTTATCTCTGACACCGTGTCAACATCTTCAAAAGAGAAATTTTGGAGGGACTTACCCAGACCTCCAGAAATCAGCAGGATGGCACTACTCCGGGGTTAGGAACGGAGATCGGGTCTGGATCAAGTAAATTGGTAGTCTGGCTGGCCTGATAGGCGGGCCACTACGTCAGTAGCATTTGATCACCGTGATGGAAGCCCGGTGCTCGGAGCTCGGAGTTCGGCTAAGGTTTGCAGTCAAACAATTAATTCAGACTTCAATGAGAGATCTACGAGCCTGAATCTTAGGGAACATTTCATGTTACCACGATAGGATTTTAAGAGAAATTTTATTGTACTCCAAGTCCAATGACCTATCTACAAAAACCCGTGCAGGTAACTAAGGCAGCAAGATTACTTTGTTATAGCATCAAAGAACACCAGATTTCCTATCACGATCTTTGAAAACCTTTGGAAAGAAATCCCCATGAAGCTTAAGCTGAGCAGTAATGAGCGTCAAAGGTGCTCTACGTACTCTACCGTTAATATGAATAGGGAGGAGAGCGACAGTGCCCAAGACTCCATCCCCCCTAGCAATCATGCCAAGGTAGCATCCAGGTATCTACCCGTTGATGTCTCGATCACCTGCTCGACCGACACCCACAGGATTCGGCAACACCAGTATCACAGCTTCATTTCGCTCCGCGGTGGCATAGCTCAGTACGCTGAATGGTCTATCGGTTCAAGCACCAAGTACAGCTCCAAAACGCTGAGCCCACGCAAAGACACAGGCAGCAATAGTACCTACCGAATGTGTGTCAATAGTTTGGCCACTCACTCCCCAATCCATGCCTTTTCATTCGACATACCTGCAGTGACGCCTCCAATTCCGAAGCCCAGTGTGTTTAATAGGACTCTGAGACTCCGCAAAGATCCCATGAAAATGGTGAGGGCAGAGTGGGCAATCGTGATCGCAGTATGAATCGGGTTCTCTTTGGCGTATCGGCCAATTCGTCCCAGGAAACCATGCATGACAGACGCAACCTGACCCATTGTGGCTGACCAATTGTTCGCAGGAGAACAAGGGTGTGGTGGTGCTCGGTGGGAAATGCACACCTGAGTCGGGCTGGGACTAACTGCGTCAGAGGTATTGACAGGTATTATCAATGGATGTTGTTGATGAGCAGAATGACATCAGTGGGCTTGGGTCGTGAGAATGCAGAGTGGCAGAGAAAGAAGACAATGGACTAAGTACTTATCGTGAGATTTGTGTCCCGAGAGAGTGCTGCCTTTGAGTCGTTAACACACTGATCGGCGCTTTCCATGTTCACGCAAGGCAGCAGTGGGCCTGATTTTCGATGTCGTCGATGCTATTTCGTTGTCGAGCCGGTCGTCTAGTCGTCGAAATGATCTACCGCCATAAGGGGTCACATGACAGTTGATGGTCACTGCTACCCAGTTCGAGTGCATTGTTTCAAGGCCCCGTTTACTAGGCAAACACTAGAGGGCAATCGCTGAGTTTCTCTCTACGCCTCTAGGTAGACTATGTTGTGCAGTTGCAGAAACGGCGTGGGCGCAAGGCTGAGGGTGAATGGCCAGCCTCAGCCTCGCGATAAGTCTACTGACGTTCATTCATACTTCGTGGGAAAGGAAATTCAACGAACAGGCCCAAAAGAATCGTAAGCACCACCCAGACTCGAACTCCGGACCAGCCAAAAAATTGATTTGGTGGCGTCTATTTTACCTCACTCATCTATTCGATTACTCCCCGAGTTCATCGCTCAATGGGCTCGCTCGGTATGTGGAGTAAGTTCGAGATAAGGAAACCCGCTGATGACTTACGACTAGCACCTATCCTGAGGAGAGGCCCGCTAACTAACCCACACCGATTAGAGCTAGATGGAGCGGGTCTTGAAGCAGCACAAATGTGGCTTCTAATGGTGGCAGGAATTGCGGAATTCAAAAATATATTATTGTGAAGCGGCTAGTGGTGGTGAGTTAAGGGCAGGCTGAACGTGACGGCCACAGGTAAGTGGTCACACCTCCCGCGAAACCATTCTACGCGAAGACAGTGACTGGTATTAGATGATAGGTCATTCTCTTGCCACACGAGGATTGCCTACCACTGTGACAGACCGGGAGCTCATTCGACTACATTACATCCATCCACAAACTTCCCTAGATCGAATCCCATCATCCATTTATTGATTCCAGCCGAGCAAGATCATCAGGACTAGACAACACGACGTGTCTTCCCACTTTCGACTTCATACACCCACCCGCTGACGCTCACAGTATCAGGAATGAGCTTCGTATCTTTGATATACTTCACATCGGCCTCGACAGCCTTTTCCAAGTCTTTGAACGGCAGAAAATCCAACCCGCGAGATTTCAGCTCGGCAGATGCGTCAGGACTGTGTGCGTTTTGCTCGTCAGCTCAGAGATGAAGCCTGCAGGGGAGTTATGAAGCCAAGCGCTAGCATTATTCCATGAGAGAGATGGAGGCCTGAAGCTATTCTCTTACCCAAGGTTCTTATCGACGAGGCCGTACGCATCTTCATTAGTGAAGGTCAACATGCCGCAGCCAGTGTGCTTGACGAGCACGATCTCCTGGGTTCCAAGCAGCTGCTCTGAGATGACGATGCTACGAAGCGCATCCTGCGCCGATGCTCCTGCCTGTCGGCTCCTGTCAGTCTTCTATTTCATGTCACCCTCTTCCCCCCCTCTCACAGGCCCTTCCGGGCTGAGGGGCGAGCGCGCGATCGGCAATTCACCTACATTGCGAATGACGTGGGCATCGCCCAGTTCAATACCAAACGCCTGAGCCGGATCGATTCTCGCGTCCATGCAGGTCAAGACGAGGTATTTCTTCGCCGGCGGCAGCGCAAGGTGACCCTTGGTGAAGCGCGACGAGTACTTCACCGACGCCGCCTCCACGTTCTTCTGGATTGCGGACATGGTTTTCTCGACGTTTAAGGGGTAGTCTGCAATAGATAGAAATATTGATGTGAATATCGCGGACACGTTGGGCAACTTTATGATCGCGCACCGAGTCGCTGATGTGTAGATAGTTCCTCAAAGGATTTCCAGAACGTCAAATATAGCCAGCCGACCGAGAGGGGTAGCTCCTTGTAGAAGAGACACACGCAGTGCTAGAAGCCCGTCGACTGGTCTCCGGGCGTGTCATATCCCAGGCTGAACGATGGCGTGCTCGACCGACGCCAGTAACGCGATCCAATTGTGGCGCTGGGCGGGCTCGCTGTGATGGGGGATCGATCGACGGCATCGTATTAATTGACGGACGTACCGGTGTCCTAATTCAGAACTTACCTTCGCGTGCGTGGGGACGGGGAAAGTCTTGGTACGTGACTCTTATGGAACCCCATACCTTGGGTGATATCTGCTGATGGTGGGAATACCAGCTTACTAATGAAGGTAATAGCAGCATGGGCGCGGGGAACCAAGTTTCCGGGCTTTACTATTGGTCGTGTTCACACGGGCAAGGCTGTCATTTTGATTCTCTCTGCTTAACTCTACTTGAATATCTAGTTCGTAGTTCTGTACACCTTTACGTGCTTCTTTGCTGGCACCTTGGCCAAGATCATCTTCTCTGGCTTTGCGGCAAGCTCAGAGCCGTCCTCGCGGAATTTGAGGTGAATTGTGCATGAGGGTTGTGGCTCGGACACACAGGCGCGGAGACGTCAAGCAGTGAACCTGATCAAGATCTCCCACCTCTGCGGTGAGGGATTGCCAGCAAAGGTTGGCGACGTTCAGAAGATATAGCTGGTATCTTTGTGATTATATGGGGAGCCTCTGCTCGGTTTAAGCTTCATACAAGGCGAGGGCCCTGGAGCTCGAGGACTCAGTCTTTGTTTCCTCGCTGGCAAACAACTGGGCTGCCACTGTGATGGCATCCGCTCAAAGTAGACTCACCCGAAGCCCGGCGAAGGGTGCCATTCCGAATTATCCAGTGACCCTGTCAAGGGAGAAACCGTTAAAGAGGTGACCCAGGTTGAATAGGGTAGCGAGATATGACGTAGTGACCCGATTCTACCTTCTGACCATGGCTGAGGTTCATGTTCTCAGCAGAAGTTGGCACAGCAGGAGCACTATTGTCCCTCATCCCTTACTTCATTTCAAGTGTGGATAATTAGAGGCTGTGTCGATTCCAGTCCAGCACAATTAGTGATTGCAGGATTTGCCAGGCGTAGTGTTTACTACCGACCTGGGCCACCCTCTTTCTCGGCTTGATCAGGGGCCATGGTTGGTAGCAGGCTCCCCTCCTCTTGTCTCGCCTTGAACCCACCCTCGGTCTTATCCTCTCCTTTCTCCGGCCACAAGATCTGTCGCTTGTAAATGGCCTTGAGCATACACCCGACAACGACAAACCAGACGATGATGAGCAAACAGACCATGACACAGCCAATTATGTTGATGGCTGTGACTTCGAATGCATTGGCGATGGAGAAAGTCGCGGTCGTGAGCGCCGTCTGTGGGAAGATAAAGCTGTACCACGTCATTGCGAACTGGGTGCGGTGTTTCGCTCTGAGGCAATCAGCGTTCGAAAGCAGGCTGACAAAGAAGAACCACCAGGCCAAACCCCATAGCCAGAGTGACATCCAACTGGCAATGAGCCGTAGGATCTGAGCGGCAAGAAGGCCAGGGACTTCCATAAAAGTGGACTCGGGTGTTTTTGCTATTGCATCCTGAAGGCTGGTTGCCATACCAAGCACGCCGCTCACTGTAAAGGCCGACGGCCCAACCGAAACAAACATCCCAGGTCGTAAGGATTCCGCTGGCAACTTCTGCGTCATCAGTCGGTACACGAATGCCGAATAAATGGTCAGCGAGACCAAGAAGCCAATCCCCTGGACGGTGAAACCTCCGATTATTATTTGAATCGCCTGTCTAGGATCCTGCAGCTGGGCGGATATATAGGCAGCGTGGGGCCCTATGATCAACAAAGGATAGGCCGGAAATATCCAAATTGGTGTCATTCGTGAGATGGTGAAGGATTGGGAGGACCACAAGGTCAAGTATATCCCAATGCTCAGCACGAAAGCGATTGCGGCATCGAACCAATATAATATTACAACGGCATGGTTGAGCCAGGGACCCGTGCGATTGAATCCGTACTCCACAATGTTAATCAGGATCGTCCCAAATGAGACGGCAAAGGCGGGGACAAACAGCGATTCGGTCGGATGTGTGAGGCTGGCCCGAAATGTGTAAGGATATAAGTAAAAACGGGTGATCATCATTGCCCAGATGCCAATGTAGAGAACAATATTCAACAAGAAGAAGATGACTCCAATCACACGCAGCCCAGGAAACCGATAGGGTACTGATGGCGGTCAGCTGAACTATCTCAAAGCCGATGATCGAGACAAACCTGAGTATAGGGCATTCGCAATTCCTCCAGTGGCCATGGTGATGGTAAACCACGCCCAGGTGACATGTTTCAACCTCTTCTTCAAAGGAAGAGTCTTGGGTTTTTCATTCTCCGTTAGCGGAGGCAAGGGCACGGGCTGTATCATGTTAGACTGAGGTGCCGCCCCTAACTCTGTGTCTTTGCGCCGACCTGTCGAGCTGCCGGAACTGAGAAGCGTATCGCCCGAATCCTTCTGTCGGTTCACAGGATGATCTGGATCTTCGATTGTCGGAGTTCGCCAACCGTCGGGCCGCGAGGAACGAGACATACCCAACCACTCATCATGATCGCCGGACCGCGATCTTGCTGAGATGCGAGGCCGTGACATGGCTGGGCTCAGGTACCCAGGAGCGAGCAGCCCGGCAGTTTTGTCGGACGTTGGTGCCCTTCACCTGGCGAGAAAACCTTGGTTGAGATTCCCAGAGACGGCCAGAACGTAGGCTCACTGACAGTCATGGTGGAAACTTACGACAGCAGTATTCGCTGTGGAAGAGTCGCTGCGGACTCCAGCAATTTGTAAGGTCCTACAATGACAAAGAGGAGCTCTCTCACCCTATTCTAAGAGACTTGGAGCACCGAGTTCTTCAAGGGACGCGCGTATATGAGTATGTCGGCTTATCTTTGTGATTATTTGTTCACCCGGAACCCAAGCTTAGTGCCCATCGCTACAGGTTGAGCTCTTAGTCTGGGCGTACACTCTGCGGGGTCCCTGTTGCCGAATTTCCGGCGCTGAACGAGTTCGTTTTCTCCCGAGCATTGGCGAGTTAGACCGATGCCTGAAGAGATAGATTTTCACCCAATAATCCCGAAGGATGATGACCTGATCAGGTCCACCGAAAAAATGGTTGTTTACTTCGAACCCCTCTTTATCCTTGACGAAAGGCGGAGAGACTGTACAATAATATTCGAATGTTCTCGTGTCACGGACAGGGATGCCATCCGACGTGAAGGTCACACAACCGGCACTGGACTTTGTCTTGCAAATTATCAATTGTCAGGAACTCTGCCAAAGGTGTATTACTCTTTCTCCAGCTGTATTCCTGATCGCGTCACAGTATGGCTTCTGCAACCCCCGTGTCCACAATGAGCTGGTGGTGGTTGTTTGATGTGAGGAATCGTCCGTAGGGGGCGTCCTTACAAACGTACTCGGAGAACATCCGGCGGAGGTGGGCCCGTATCATCAGAAGCTGTCGAATTATCCTCAAAGGATGAAGACAGCCACGATAGTCAATTACTGGCTATCGGTAGCAGTGTATTCGGTCTGTTGCTGTCATAGTGCGATAACTCTTCGGCGATTGGGGTTCCCACCAACTGTCTGCAATTCAATTGCATACTTCGAGGTCACTCTTAGAGCCACATGATGAAAATCTTGACGGCTATCTCCCAAGCCTGCGGTGTGTACCTACGGCTAGTGAGCGGCGGCCAGTGACGAATGGCGACGCGGACAATTCTACATAATATTACAGTGCATGCGCTCCTTCTGTAACGCGTCAACCCCGCACCCCCAGACGCGTAAAGTGACTTTTCATCTAGCCTGCGCAACACTCACCGAGCAGCATTTCGCCATCTTCACCATAATCGGATCTGCACATCAATATGCCGAGCTTTGCAGACGGGTACGATGACAGCAATCGAGCGTTTCTGCAAGCCTTCCTAGCTCGTAGCACCCTCACGCTAGACACAGCCAAACATGTTATTGCGGCCATTTCAACACAACAAGAAGGCAGAGAGGTTCAAGCACAAGACATTACGGTTGAAGACCTAGACTCGTTCGTTTACCAAGCCAATCGAAAACTCTCCCCCCTTGACCTCGAAATCCGCAGCACGTTCCATCAGCAGACACGTGAACGGGTTTACGCCTTGATCAATACGACCAGCGATCCCCTGACCCAGCTCGCCACATCCTACACAGCCGATGAGATTATCTACGTCAAGAAACTACTGGATGCCATGTTCGATGGACGTAACAATAAAGGCAGGCGGGAAGCAATGTGCTTGAGCGGAATTGAAGCCATCCAAACCGGGAAAGTTCCTGAGAAGAGACGGGAGACCCAGAACGAGAATGCAACGCAGTCGTCAGCAGGTATGCTCAGCCCTAAGGATGCTGAGGCAATGCTCAACAAATTGGTGGAGGAAGGGTGGTTCGAAAGGAGTCCGGCCGGATTTTACAGCCTGAGTCCTCGCGCTCTGATGGAGTTGAAGGCCTGGCTCATCGACACCTACAACGATGACGACGACGACGACGACGGGACCATCGACAAAATCAAATTTTGCCATGCTTGCAAGGAGATCATCACAGTGGTAAGGATACAAATGTTATACGACCAATCTGTATATATACTAACAAAGTTCTTTTCTGGTTTCAAGGGTCAACGTTGCGCTCAACGAGAATGCCCGGGCAGGTTACACGATATCTGTTCTCAAAATTTCTTTCGTGTGCATAGATCGCGAGCCTGCCCTCTTTGTAATACTGAGTGGGATGGCGAACACTACGTCGGTGAGAAGGCTATCACAACATCCGAAAGTTATCGAAGCGGGCGACGGCGGTCAAACAATCGACCTAGATCTCAAGTCGAAGCTGCTAATGAACATGAAGATGAGCCTTGAGTGAGCTTCAGAAAACTTGGGAAGCTATTTCCGAGTTGGTTTAGTACCTGTGGCATGCACAAGAGCGGCATTTCCTGGAACTAAGTTGCGCCATACGGATACGAAGCTGCCTAAGAAAGATCTACATATCTCCCAAGCAGCGACCAGGCCATCACCGATTGCCACGCGATAGAAGGGCGTGAGGCCCGTGACAGGCCAGTGCAGGCTTCCCCGCCTGAGAGAACACACCCAGTGGCAGCTTAAAGGAAACAAGATTGCAAGCTGGCGAAAGCATGACATTTGTGGCGTGGAGTTCCACCGGTCGAACCTTGCTTTTCTTGGCACTTGTAGAGCGCCGCACCAGCCTTGGTGGCTTGTCTCCACATAGCCAAGCGAACAAGTTGGAAGTCAATCTGGTAAATATTGTCTACCAACCCTCCACATCGACCTCCTCTACTCCACAGATGACGTCGCATTCAACGACCTACCATCATCCAGCTTGAGATCTCCAGGTCGGCAGCTCTACCATTGCTTTTCTACTGGTCGAGCGTCCCTAGCGTACCGTTCGACCATGGAGAATGTGACCGTGACAAAGGTGCTGCTGGGCCTGCAACGTAACTTTTGGCACTGCCAGGCTTTCTCGGTATGGCGAAATAGATCACCGCCGTAACCTACGTACTTCAATCAGTTTTTAATTTCAAAGCCAGGCAGCCCTGCCAGATTTACTCAGCTCCTCTGATTTTCCTCGATCACACAAGCTACTGCGACCTCTTGTTTCTCACAAGACTCTCGATCTCGCCTGTAACAGCTTCCATCCTCAAATGGAAGACTGAGGCTGTAACTTCCGCAACCCCTAGCTTCGTCAATACAGAAGGAATAATAGATTAGTCGCACTCGACTGGAAGGGGTTAGAGACACTTCTATCCATGCCGAGGTAAGCAACGAGCTAGCTCGACGGAATTAAATCGAAATTGGGACTGATATGCACTGTGTAGATGAAGCTCACACTCAACTCTTTCGCTGCTGCGGCCCTCAGCGTCGCCGCATTGCTGACTCGCACCAATGCTCAGGCTGGAAATGAGTCCACCGTGTACGACACGCGGTTCGAGAATGTGACTTGGGACGCAACCAATTGGGTTCTCACCACCACCAACCTCGACCAAGGCCACTACCAATCTCGTGCAGTTGTTGCCAACGGATATATTGGAATCAACGTTGCGTCACTTGGACCCTTTTTCGAGTTTGACGTCTCGGTCGATGGCGACAATGTCCAAGGCTGGCCGTTGCAAAACCGGCGCCAAAGCTTCGCAACCGTAGGCGGCTTTTGGGATTCACAGCCAACCACCAATCGGACCAATTTTGAATGGCTCTATCAGTACGGGGGCGATTCTGTCATCAGTGGCATTCCTCACTGGAGTGCAATTGTGGTGGATCTCGGAGGCGATGACTTCCTGGCTGCGTCCACCAACGCATCTACCATCAGCAACTTCGAATCGAGCTATGATTTCAAGCAAGGGTTGTTGAACTGGGCATACACATGGTCTCCAAGTGGACAAGGTTCTTTCAACATTTCCTATCAGCTATTTGCACATAAACTCAATGTCAACCAAGCATTTGTCACGATGAACATCACTGCTGATGAGTCGACAAACCTGACGGTTGCCAATGTCTTGAACGGCGATGCTGCAGTACGTTCCACCCCGGCTGAGAAAGGTGTCGATGCAGGAATCATCTTCACGTCGGTCAAGCCTAATGGCGTCAATAATGTCACGGCATTTGTCTATGCAGGGTTGAACGTCACCGGTGCAACCGTACGCAACACTCAACAAGCAACATGGGATCGACCGTACGTGGGCAACAATGAGTCTTCAGTGGCCACGGGAATCAACGTCACGTTAGCGGCTGGTCGAACGGCCACATTCACCAAATTTGTCGGGATTGCTTCGTCGGATGGATATAGCTCTCCAAGAGCAGTAGCGAGGGAGGCTGCTCTGAACGCCAGACAAGTCGGTTACGGTGCTTCACATCAAACCCATGTCGAAGAGTGGAGGAAACTTTTCCCAGAAACTTCCGTGGACGATTATTCATATCCCGAAAATGGGACGCTTCCAGATGATCCGTTGATCATTGAAGCATCCATCATGGCGGTAGTCAACCCTTACTATCTCCTTCAAAACACTATCTCATCGAACGCGGAAGCTGCTGCCGGCAATGCGACAATCAACAGCCATAGTATCGCGGTTGGTGGATTGGGATCGGATTCGTATGCGGGACTGATCTTCTGGGACGCTGAAACGTTCATGCAGCCAGGCCTCGTCCCGACATTTCCATCAGTAGGGAGATCATTTGCAAACTACCGCGTAGAACGTTATGGACAAGCGCAAGCCAATATCGACACCGCCTATCAGTCGTCCAAGAACGATACCAACTTCACCTCCAACGCCGCGATATTCCCATGGACCAGTGGCCGTTATGGAAATTGTACAGCGTCTGGCCCATGCTGGGACTACCAGTACCATCTGAATGGTGACATCAGTCAATCCTTCAGTAATTACTGGCTGACCTCAGGGGATACGGAGTATTTTGGAGATTCACTTTTCCCAATCTACGACTCGGTTGCCCATCTCTACTCTGAATTGATGGTCAGAGTTGGCGGTAGCTGGACGATCAAGAACATGACGGACCCAGACGAGTATGCCAACCATATCGACAATGGTGGCTTTACGCTGGCGATCGTGTCCAACCAACTCAACTACGCGAACCAATTCCGCTCATACTTCAACTCCACCCCCAACGAAACCTGGACCCAGCAAGCAGAGAACATCCTTTTCTCGACCGATGTTGAAGCAAACATCGTCCTCGAATACCCGGAAATGAACGGCAGTACAAGTGTAAAGCAAGCCGACATCGTCCTCATCACCTTCCCGCTCTCATACACGGGCCAGAATTACACGGTGGAGCGCTCGCTTTCAGACCTCGATTACTACGCCGCAAAGCAGTCTACCGATGGCCCTGCCATGACCTGGGCAATTTTCAGCATCATTGCGAACCAGGTCTCCCCATCAGGCTGCTCGGCCTACACCTACCAGCAGTACTCAGCCTATCCCTACGTGCGTGCGCCTTGGTTCCAGTTCTCCGAGCAAATGATCGATAATTGGAACGACAACGGCGGAACGCATCCGGCATATCCATTCCTGACCGGTCATGGCGGTGCGAATCAGGTTGTTCTGTTTGGATATCTCGGTCTTCGTCTCATCCCTGGATTCACGTTGTACGTCGACCCATCTCTGCCCCCTCAGATCCCACAGCTTCGCTATCGCACCTTCCACTGGCATGGCCACCCAATAACAGCGTTCTCCAATCAAACCCATACAATCCTGAGCCGCAATGCAAGCGTCACGCCCGCCGAGGGCACGTCTCCCAACAGTACATTTGCAAGGTCGCCCATTTCAATTGTCGTGGGCGGCCTCGGTAGCCCGATCTCGGGGAACTACTCTTTGGCACCAAACTCGAGTGTCACGATTCCCAACCGGCTCTACAGCCAACTACGCACGACGGCCGACAACCTCGCACAATGTGTCCCAGCCACGAGCCCAGACGAGTTCCTACCAGGCCAATTCCCGATCGCAGCCGTCGACGGCGCGGCCAGCACCAAGTGGCAGCCCTCACTCGCCAACAAGACGGCCAGCGTGACGGTGAGCCTCGAGCCCGGCCTCCGGGTGCGCGGCCTCGAGTTCGACTGGGGCCAAGCCCCGCCGTACAACTACTCGGTGTACTTCCACAACGAGACGCTCGACCACCCGTCCGCGGCCTCTGTCAACGGCCGCGACGGCGTGCTCCAAGTGGTCAGCGACCGCGCCCGCATCTCCGACCCGTACGACGCAGAAGCCATCTTCCGCATCGAGGCCGTCCAGGCCAACATCACCACCTTCAACATCTCCACCGATGCCGCCCCGTTGCTCACCAGCCGCTTCGCTACCCTCCAGATCTGGGGCAGTCTGGCGAATTCATCCACCAACGCCACGAACATGTTCGGCGACGGCGCCACCGTTGCGGAGTTCAGCGTCATCGTTGACGGCTTGGATCAGGCGCGGAACGGGAAGAAAATGAAGACGAAGAGGGGTCCTGGTGGGCAAATGCTGGAGAGGCAATTGCGGGACGTGGACTTGGAGTTTCTCAGGAAGTTGGGAAGGATCAGGGGGAGAGGGAGAGGTGCTGGGACCTAAGTGGCGTGGACGAACCGCGAGAAGCATTTGTTTTCCCCCAACATGCCTGCTGTGTGATGTGGTATGATACGAATGGGGAAAAGGATATGGATCTTACTGGGCTGCGATTTAATGACGGACAAAACTAATTATCGAAGGAGCGGATGGCCAGGGCTCACAACAATCATAAAAATTTTCAAATTGAATTGTTTTCTTTCCTTGTGAATCTAGAGATCAAAAAGGAATTCCAGGCTCGTGTCGTTTGCTGTCATTAATCTGCATCGATGCAGCTGATTTTGCTTGGGCCGAGCTTGATCGAGCCGTCGGTTCTGGAGGTACGTGAACCGCGGGAAAAGAGCCATCTCAGCTGATGGGGTGAGTGAGGTTGTGCCTCTTTCGAGTCGCAGATGGTTCCATTCTGATCATTTGAATGGCGTGGTGCCAGGGGCTAAGCGGTTTCTGCTCTCGGCAGTGAGTTGAACGAAGCAGATCCGATAATGCTATGCTCTCCAACTTGCTTCGCCCCGAATGAGGCATAGACCTACGTAGTGTGAGAAAGAGGATCGCCTAGTGCGGCTTGCCTTTTGGGAGGTACATGCGAATGAGACAAATAGGTAGGCAATTTTCATGCGCGGGAAACGCGTAGGAGGCGATTTTGACCCTCATGCTGAGGCTTCCTGATTTGAGTGATCCAGCTATTGCCGGTCCGGTGTCTCCGCTTCTTTCGAGGACCATGGCTCCTTCAAGTTCGCCGATCGCACGCATGGCATAAGTTATATATGTTGTAAAGGTGCTCTCCATCGGCAGCAGTTTTGGTCGTGTCTCGGGCGCTTGACACACTTGATGTCAAGCAAAGGTCTGAAGGCGCGTGCATGTCGATATTTATGCCTCCCCTTGACCTTCCATGCGCCCACGGGCTTCACCAAGCAGAGCCTCCTGCATCTTGCGCAGCTCATCCTCACCCATCTTGTCGAAGCCGCCGAAGTTACGCATCTTCTCGCCTCTTCCGACGCGCTTCTTCTGGACCTCCTGCCACTCTCCGACGACGCCCCGACAGCCTTCAATGTAGGTGCCAAAGCCGAGATCCGTCAGTGCTTGTTCGACGTGTTCGACACTAATGGTCTTTTTCGACTCGCGCTCCGAGATGTCGTTCGACTCGGACGACAGCATGCGCAGAAACTCGAGGGAGCAGGAGATCAAGAGGTCGCGCGCCGGCCGGGTGAAGGTCATTTCACCTTTGTCGCCTCCGCCGGACGGGGTGGGGTCGTGCGGCAGCTGTGGCAGGATCTCCGAGATGATCTTCTGCACGGTCGCTTTGGGCAGCGACAGGTCGTCGTTGCCTGCGCGTCACGGTCAGCTTCATGGTGAAATATAGCGACAGGAGATAGGTGGGGGGCGGGGGATGGTACCTCCGAAGTCCTTGTCGGACATGGTGTTGTTTGCCTGGATTGGTTTGTTGTCTGCGGTGTTTGGGAGTCAACGAGGGCCGCAAGTGCTCTTGTTCATGCAACTCATAGTTCCAGCCTCCGAGTCCAAGGAGGAGGGAGGGAGGGAATTATATAGACGTGAACCATGTGCAGTCAGTGCCTGGCGCAGGGATTCGAGATTCCTGCCGATCGCCGTAAAGGGTATGGCGTGTTTCAAAGGCTTGGCGTCGAGCTTCGAATCATAAATCTCAGTTCGTTTTTTGTTTTCCAATCTCTGCTTCACCAACTTCTCTCGACAAGAGAGTCCATCCATTGGCACGCGCACAGTGCTTTTGATACCCGTTTGTGTAAAAGTCAACTGTTGACAGGTGTCACTAATGATGATGGCTTCTTGCGCTCATCGGATTCATTGAGATCTGTATGTGAGTCGATCTTCCATCTTCCATCAACCCCAACCTTTACATGATGAACATTCGTGTCGCCCCTATCATACGACGATTTATCTACATGGTGACTTACCTGTCCAAAGCCAAACGGACTAGCTGAATTAAACCAACATCTCAACTTGCTCATTTAACTTGAGGGAAACACATCGCTAACGTTTGCGAAAGACTAGGTTTATTCTCATCCCGTTCGAGGTGAGGTCGCACCTTTCCGCCTCCTTAGGTAAGATCTCACTCCCACTCTCCCCCCCTCCCATCAACATGATGAGCAATTCTATATACTATCAAATTCGGAATTACATTGACGAATAAACTGGTTCGATTACCTGACATTTTCTTCTTGAATTATTTCTCTTTGCTCTCTATTCTCTGGCAGACTCTAACAGAATGCCGTTCAGTGATATTGTAAGCGCCTCACTCGAGAGATACTTGTAGTTTTCTGGTAAGTCTGTCTACTATTTAACCCAACAACCTTGATGATGAACACTTTACTCTCTATACATGAAGACGCAAGTCTAATGCTTCAACATGTGCAACTATTTTCATCTTTCGCCTGATTCATGTCACACCTCCCACGCAGCTTCGTTCAACAATTCGGGAGAATTCACTAACACGTTCCCAGGTTTCATTCGAGCCGCAGTTCCATCTCATGCTGCCGTAGTTTGCGTCCGGAGAGATTTTCCTTTCGGGTTCCTAGGCGCCTAAAATCTTCCCAGGCATTCTTCTTCCGTAAATACCATTCAGCTCGATTGATACGCTGCTAGTTTGGGATCATCCCAGCTGTTCATAAATGTTAACAATGCCTCTCAACATTTCGATTCGTAAACATACCTTAAGAATTGACCAGAAAGCTCATCTGGTGCGCGCACGGCCAGTTCTGCGATGACATGACCTGGCTTCTCGGCGGGCAACAGCTTCCCATCCCTCTTCGCGCTCCCAAACTTTTCTTGATCTTTCTCATCCATGTTTTGCAGGTACTTGTCGCGGATGTCTCCCTGCATGGCCGTGTCGACCACCCCCGGTCTAACGGACACGGTTGTAACATCCGGTTCTTCATTCTTCAGAGTCATTGCGAGGTGGTTGACTGCTGCTTTGGTTGCTCCGTACGCGCCCCATGACGAATACGCATTGGAAGCCGCCCCGGACGATGTGAATACAATCCTACCTTTGGCGGCCCGCAGGAGTGGCAGTCCAGATTGAACCTGGCGGCGATTAGAGATGTAGCCATGGATTCAAGGAGGTGAACTTACCAGCACAGCTAAACTCGTAACGTTGATTCTGAACGTCTTCTCCCAGTCCTCGGCTTCAACATCGCATATCCTCTGGCACGACCCCAGAGTTCCATGATTGAGGATCAGCCCATCAAGCTTGCCGTCCAGCTGCACGCCCTGGAGCATGGATTTCACGTAGTCTAGATCCGACATGTCGCCGGCCGTGGTGACTACACGGTCTGGGTTCTTGGCCCGGAGCTCATCCAGAACATGCGTGTTTCGCCCGGCAAGAACCAGAAGATGCTGTGCTTCTGACCGCAACAGGTAGTTCGTTATTGCGAGCCCGATCCCTGCGGTGGCGCCGGTGACCACAATGGTCTTCGAAGACAGATTCTGCGACTGGCGTTGTTGTTAGGCATAAAAATTTGAACGAACAACATGGTTTCCATCGGCGACATGTCTGCGGGAACTTACCCTGTGTTTCGAAAGGAAGTCTGCTGAACGCCCGAAGTGCTTTCTCGAGTGTGACATTTCGTCTCCTGAAGTTGATGCTAAATAGGCCAACCGACCGAATTTCGTGCAGAGATGGTGTTGAATCTTGCCGGTTCGAGTGATCTTCTAAGCGGCTGCAAGAGCGCAAGGCCAGCATAAGCAATTTGATCAACAATCCCTAAGCTGGGCGCTCATTGTATGCGTCCTGTTTACTCACCCGGTCCTGGCTTCCTTACGCAGTTCTGTCACGGTGCGCAAGAAGAATGAAACTATTTGATAGCGTCGTTTAGGGCTCTGACGTCAACAGAATTTAGAAAGAACGATCTATCTGGCGACCCCAAGCATTCTTGTAATTACCCAACGATGAAAAGGTCGGAGAAGGCCGACCGTCACAAGGCGCTCACTTATCTCAAGTGAAGTAATGTTGCAATCGATTCTTGATATCTAAACATCATCATCATTTCAATCATTCTGGGTCTAATGGCGCCGAGATTGGACTACTTGCGCGTTGATGAACTCGTTTATTAATAGTCGTGCGACAGCTACGACATACGAAGAATTCTGTGAGGTAAAGCAGTGGCACACTTAAGCATATCATTACCTCTCGTTAAATCTATTCCAATCCCTTCTTCATTTGCGTTCAACGCACCATGTCGACAGTAATCATCGGCGGAGGCATCATAGGCCTGTCGATCGCCTATTATCTCTCTCTGAGCCGGCCGCCATCCTCGGAGGAAGAGATCCATATCATCGACTCCTCGGCGGAACTCTTTGCCTCAGCAAGTGGCTACGCCGGGGGGTTCCTCGCCCGGGACTGGTTCAACCCTGCTGTGGAGAGCCTTGGAGCGCTGTCTTTTCGCCTCCACCGTGAATTGGCCGAGCGGCATGGCGGGGCGCGGAAATGGGGCTATGCGGGCAGTCATGTCTACAGCCTCAGCATGAACGAACACGGCGTCGATGCAGCTGGGAAGAAAGCCAAGTCTGGAGACTGGATCCTCGAGGGCACAAGTAGGGCGAACGAGGTCAGAAGCAATTCCGAGGTTGGCGCGGAGGGCCCTGGTGTCAAGAGACGCGATACTGTCAACGCCGATGGATCCCCGGCTGTCTTCACGCCGCAGAAAGGCGGGACGTTGGAAACAATTGCAGGCCCCGGAGAATGCGCCCAGGTTGAGCCGCGGGAATTATGCCAGTTCCTGCTGGAGGAAGTTCAAAAGAGGGGCGTGCAGCTTCATCTGGCAACGAGGGTCAGGGACCTGGTGACGGATGTTGACGATCTTCATTGCTTGCAAGGTCTGCGACTTGTTTCTTCTCTCGACGACGAGGACAAATATATTGCGTGCCAGAAGATCGTCCTCGCCGCTGGAGCATGGACGCCAAGAATCTTTGAGACTCTATTTGGCACCAAGGCTCGCATTCCGATCGAACCGCTAGCCGGTCATAGCATCGTCGTCAAGTCGCCTAGGTACAAAGCACCATTCATCGACCCTTACGAACGCAACATCGGGGGCGGCAGGGACAACTGGCTATGCTATTCGATCTATGCTGGACCTACCCGTCACTGGGACTTCGCCACCGAAGCATTTGCACGCTTAGCACGCAACGGAGAAGCCGAGATCTGGCTCGGGGGTCTCAACGACAGCAAACTTCCACTACCCGAGGTCGCCACGGATGTGAAAGGGCTGATGGACCCCAAGAGCACGGCGATTGTGCGCAATACAATCGTGCAATTGACCGGTTTGGCGAAAGCGGGAGATGAGCTTCATCAGGATGACTTGGAGACCGTCAGGGAAGGCTTATGTTTCCGGCCGATCAGTGAAAGCGGGAACCCCATTATTGCCCAGCTCGAGGAGGAGGATCTGGGAGGCTTGATGACACGAGGTGGTGGTGTCTGGGTTGCCTCCGGCCACGGGCCTTGGGGAATCTCTTTGAGTTTAGGCACCGGTCTCGTGGTGAGCGAACTGCTGCAGGGAAAGCAGACCAGTGCAGACATGGGTCATCTAGGTCTCAGATGAACCGATTTCATGAGTACATGTCACTTGTTTTTGGGGGGCTACTGGTTGGCATAGCAATGTCCGTCTAATAACTGGGGTGAATTCAATAGGTGATGGTCTTACTTGTACATTCTATCAAGGCAGTAGATTCACGTTACACTGCCTGCAAGAATAAAGATGTTGGGATCAAGTGCGATGGCCCATTAGGAACTTTCATTACAAATCGTAGCTAATTTGCCGACGGGTCGGCTTTTAGCCGATTTCTAATTCCATCGACTTTTCGAGGCGAGCAAGTCTGGCAACGCTCCCAAGCGCAAGGCTCTAACTAGTCTCTACCAATAAGGAGTCGCCTGCAACCATTCTCGACCTTTTCACTTTTTGTGAAGCTTGGTAAGAAAGTCACCGAGAGGATGTCGTTCGGAGGAATTGTCAAGAGGGGCGTGCCATACTGTGGCCTTGTACCCTCTATTCCGCGAGATTCCTGTCGTAAACAAATGAGCGCCGGCCTCTTGGTTAGGGGTATAAAAGGTAAAAGTCGGGTTAATACTGGCACAATTTGGACCATCACATTTTAAAACTCTATGAAGGTCACGGTGTATATTGAATAGGGAAATTCTAGCACCCTGTCGAGGCTTCATTGGTATCGGTATGGTAAGTCTAAGCTCGAAGCAGCCGAGCGCTGCAGGAGGAGGTGGTCGGGTTGAATCGACCACCGCCATGGCGCTCTTGGTGGCTGCTGCCGCAACGGTGGCAGTCCTGGTTTATCCAGACATATTGAAAACTGGTGACGGAGGTGATGGGAGATTAGAGTACGAGCTGGGCCCTCTCCTCTCCCCCGGAGCGTCAATATTTCTACCTGGGACAGCTGAGTTTCGCGACAAGACCACAAGGTGGATCGACAGCTTGAGCCCTGACATTGGCGCTGTCGTAGCTGTGGCTACGGAAGAGGATATACAGCAGACGGTACGAGCAGTCTTCTGGTACGTCCCAAAAATGTCGGCCTTGGCTGACTGGCCCGATATAGGTCCTGTATTCCAACAGGCACAACCAACCTATCCTCGCTTTCGGAGGTGGTCATGGAGCCATTAGCTCCATGGAGAAAGTCCACAATGGCATCGAGATCTGGATGGGCCGGCTGAATCACGTCAACATCAACCCCGATGGAAACTCTGTCACGATAGGAGGAGGAACAAAATCCAAGGCAGTCATTGACCGCTTGTGGGCGGCCGGAAAGCAGACTGGTGAGATGTCGAAAGCCAGCATGCCTTGGGTTCTATGCTGACGGAGACAGTAACGGGTGTCTGTGAGTGCGTCGGAATCACGGGAGCGATGCTTGGAGGTGGCCGTGGAACTCTTCAGGGCCAGTACGGCCTCCTGTCTGATCAGTTGATCAGTTCTAGACTTGTGTTGGCGAACGGGACAGCAGTCACAGCGTCCAAGGAGGAGAACCCAGACCTTTTCTGGGCGCTGCAAGGCGCTGGACATAACTTTGGTATTGTGATCGAGTTCACATCCAAGATATATGACGCAAGGGTCAATAAAACATGGGTTTTGGAAGAGCTTGTGTTCACAGGCGATAAGCTAGAGGAATTGTTCTCGGTTCACAATCGCCTCATGGAGTCGCAGCCTCCAGAGCTGGTCCTTTGGTCCTTCCTAAATCTCATGCCTGAGATTGATCCCGTGAAGGTATGTTGATAGGGTGATTCCAGAGACCTCAAGACTGACCACAACCAGCCGGTTATCCGCTATATCATGCTCTATGATGGTCCAGTCTCGGAACAGCGATCTTACGCGGCACCAATCCACGAACTAGTGCCTATATCATCGACTAGAGAAGAAATATCATATGTCGATATTCCTTCAAAAACTGGCACAGGTGAGAGTGACCTCTCATGTCAGAAAGGGGCGGTGGTGCTGCGGTTTCCCAACGACTTACTAGAGATCAATGTTTCCGCACTGAGGCAGGCATATGAAACATTCAGCGACATGTTGGCGCAGGAACAGGCTTTTATCCACAGTTTCTTCATGATCGAAGCTTTCTCCATGCAGGCCGTGCATGCCGTGGACAGGGAAAGCACGGCGGTGCCTTATCGACATAATAAATTACTTCTGTGAGTGCTCCCACTTCAAGTGTCCTCTGCAGCCGACTAAATGTTGTTATAGCTCACCAGCAATCCACTACTTTCCCAACAAGAGCCTTGACACTACTGCCAAGGAATGGGGCCAGCGAATGCGTGACGTGCTCCTGGCCGGAAGTGGGACTTCGGAGTTGCAAGCATACATCAATTATGCTTATGGAGATGAGAGAATCGAGTCTTGGTATGGGTACGAGCCGTGGAGGCTGGAGAAACTGCGAAGATTGAAGAGGGAGTTCGATCCGCATGGTAAATTCAGTTTCTATGCGCCAATTGATTGAGAGTGGCTAATTTGGTGTGGTTCAACTTTGCTCCCTTCATTGCTGTTTGTTCTTGCTGTTTCTTGCAACCTGTTTCTGTGGGGTTGCCGCGATCGGCCTGGCTTCGATACATGTCTTCGATACATTAGCAGCGGATTTCTTAGTGGTGAATGCTGCGACATCTTCAAGCTGGCTGTGAAGTGATTAGATCGACCACTTGTGAGATATGGAACCCAGGCAGAGTTTCACATCAAGTCTCAATCGTCACGATAGGCTGAGGGAACAGCTCTGTGAGAACACGCTATCAGCAAATCAAAGTTGGCCAGTTGCCTTTTACCTAGAAGTGCCGTATTGAGCTTCACGATCTTGCCCAGTTGTCCCCGATGTGAGCTGAAGTGGCTTTCGGTTGTAAAAATGGCGGTTCTTGACATCTAGTACACGGTACGTGAAACATCCCTGGAAGGCTCAGAGGGTTAAAATGTGTCTGGCCAGCTATGCACTATGTGATTCTTGTAGGTCATCCAGAAGCTTTGCGTTGGTCAATCCAGTCCTGAAATGTGCTGGCGTGGCAAGCCCGTTGGGAAACTGTGTCAGGGCATATCCACTACAGTACCGTCCAGGTGCCCGGCGAAGCTGGATTTCGCCGCTTCCGCTCCGATCAGGCGCGGTCTCCATGTTGAACCATGTATCGTAGCCAGGCAGGTGTGGGCCCCGGTCTGAAGGGACCCATATATTCAACTTAACATGCTGTGTCGTGTTGGATAACAAGTTGACTGTAGCAAAGGGAGGAGGCTGCTGCAGAATCCGGGTAACCCGATAGTCCCATGGCTAAGCATAGGGCGGCGCTCATCCAACGTCTAAAGCGGCATGGCATGCGGCAACAATCTCACCTAGCTTGGCATTGTTAGTCTTGTTCAGGCCCCAGAGCGTATCGGACTTGCGGAAAGCAATACTCGATCGAAATAAAAGAGATCGGCATTGGTGTATACATCTGCATTGAAAGTCTGAACGGATAATGAGAAGCCTCCTTCTTCGGGGATTGACTTAGCATTGATGGCTCCTATGTACCGCTGCTGCATCGACTGATCCTCGCTCACACTTCTAAGCATGGCGGGCAGTGATGCAATGATGCCGTCCTTCCTCGACAGGGTCGTCGAGTTCTCGGATGGTATCTCTTATCAGCTACTACAACCTCTCACAACTTTCAGACATTGCCACGATGGAACTCCTGCCGAAGGTCGTATTGTCTATACGTGCAGTCGAATCGATTCAAGTATCGCATGCTCTGATGAGTATATCATGAAGATCAAAGCTCAGTAAGGGAGATCCTCGCAGTAGAAGCCTTTATGAGAATTCATGCAATACAGGGTTCCGGGTAAAGAAAGCGACCCAGCCGCCGATCCTGAGGCAGTATCAAGCAATACGACAAGAGCCGAGTTGAAAGCATTGGAGATATTTCGTGGTACTGGCAGCGAGCATGTGCCACACCTGGTGCACTACAAGCAAGCCACACAAGGTCCAGATGGACCCCTTCCAGGAGGATATCTAACCTTTACTGTGATGACGAAAATGCCTGGCGACTCGCTACACAATCTTTATTACTGGGGGATGCCTGCCGATGAGCGCGAAGTGATTGTGAAGGAATTCCTAGTCGCACTCCGGTGAGCTCAAGGTACTTCTGTTTGGTTAGCAATCGCACTGACCCAGACCACCCCGTAGCTCGATATATGCCATGGGCATCGAACCCATCGACTGCGCGTTACGGAATGTTTTATGGGAGGCCGGAAAAAGACGGTGGTAGGTCGAACAACCATCTTCCTGGTGGGTGCTAGCCCTCTCACTATCATTACCAGTACCATCATAGACTTTGAGCTTTGGCGAGCGGCTGAGAAGACGTTCACGGACGAGGTGAAGGAGCTTCAGAGATGGGGCCTAGCTCGACAACCCGCGGCTAAGGACCATTGGGCAGCATGGAATGCCCAATTCAGATAATGACATGTAGGATGCGCAATATACTTGAAATTCCAATGACTTATCAAACAGAGATGGCCTCCTTTATGATACAGTCGGATGTCGGAGGAGCAGAGAAGAACGGGTGTTGATAGGCGATCGCGCCAAGAACACTAGCGGCATGAGTGCTCCGCGGCAGGTGCTCCACGGCTGATTTGCTGGCTCCGCTGCGGTTTGGTTCAAGCTGCACCTGCCAATTGCCAATTGCCAACTGCATGTACTCGTAAAGTTGGTTGCACCCGACCCCGATCAATTCAGAGACCTGCCCGTATATCTTAACCACTCCTCTCTGACATTTTATATCGTCCACGAAGTCGACTGGCTCATTTCGTGGGGATTATGTATAGACTGGGCAGCCGCAGCTTGGGCTCAGCCCTGAGAGCCGTCAAAGTCAGTCACCCTCTACTTATCATCGGCAAAAGTGACCGCTGACCTCGAGCTATAGGATACCCCATTACGGAGCTCCCTCGGACAACAACAGCGGAGGAACCTGAGTATACATGAGTACTTATCCGCGAACCTACTGAAAACGGTACGGCCCTGACTCAGACCCTGTGCCTAGCTCGCAGCGCCCTGACAAGTGAATAATAAATAGTACGGGGTCGGAGTTCCCAATGGCGAGGTTGCAAGGACACCAGAAGAAGCTGAGGCAATAGCCAAGAAGATTGGTACAGACCCCGATGTTCGAGCGCAAGGCGGCTGCTGACTTGCACAGGCGGAGATGACATGGTGATCAAGGCACAGGTCCTGGCCGGTGGACGAGGCAAAGGAACCTTCGACAATGGCCTAAAAGGTGGTGTCCGAGTAATCTACTCGTACGTCAGGCGTCTCGTAACCCCACCGAGTTCTATCTTGACACTGACTTTTCCGCAGACCGACGGAAGCAAAGATGTTTGCGGGCCAAATGATCGGCCATAAGCTCGTTACGAAACAGACCGGTGCTCGCGGCCGCATCTGCAACTCGGTCTACATCTGTGAACGCAAATTTGCTCGGCGCGAATTCTACCTGGCCATCCTCATGGACCGATCCACTCAATCCCCGGTCATTGTCGCCTCGTCGCAAGGTGGAATGGACATCGAGACCGTGGCCAAAGAAACTCCCGAAGCGATCATCACCACCAACATCGACATCAACAAAGGTGTGACCGATGACATCGCTAGAAACATCGCCACCGAGCTCGGCTTCAGCGAGCAATGTATTGAAGATGCAAAGAACACGATTCAAAAGCTCTATCAAGTATTCGTCGACAAGGATGCCACCCAGATCGAGATCAACCCTTTGAGCGAGACCAGCGACCACCAGGTGATGGCCATGGACGCCAAACTCGGCTTCGACGACAACGCTGAATTTCGACAGAAGGAGGTGTTCAGTTGGAGGGATACCTCGCAAGAAGATGCTGACGAAGTCAAGGCTGCTGAGTATGACCCATCCCTGTTGGTTCCCCCGACCGTGTCTAACCGTTTTCAAGACACGGCCTGAACTTCATCAAACTCGACGGCGACATCGGTTGTCTTGTCAACGGTGCTGGTCTAGCCATGGCAACCATGGATATCATCAAGCTGAGTGGTGGATCTCCCGCTAACTTCCTGGATGTCGGTGGTGGTGCAACCCCAGAAGCGATCAAATCTGCCTTTACTCTCATCACGAGCGACCCCAAGGTCACCGCCATTTTCGTCAACATCTTTGGTGGCATTGTCAGATGTGATGCTATCGCACAGGGGTTGATCAATGTTGTCGAGCAAATGAACTTGCGGTTGCCTATCGTATGCAGGCTGCAGGGCACAAATATGGAAAAGGCCGCTGAACTGGTAAGCTTTCTCGGGACCCGTGACATTTCGCAGCCCAGCCACTGACTCTCCCTCCAGGTCAACAACTCAGGTCTCAAGATCTTCTCCATCACCGACCTGCAAGAAGCGGCGGAGAAGGCGGTCGATTTTTCGAAGATTGTGAAGATGGCCCGCCAAATAGACGTTGGCGTTGAGTTCTCACTTGGTATTTAAACAGCTCTGGCGGTTCAGGACGTGGTTGATGGTTGTGTCATCCCAGATTCTCGAACTTAGTTAGGCAGAGCAGCTCCGCCCCCTTTTCAACTTGTATTCAATCACTACAGTATTCGGTTTCCTTGCCGGCCTAGCCTCCACTACCCGGAACCCAATCACTTTCACATGATCCTCGATTCTGGGGCTGATGGTAGCTCCAGCACTGACATCTATAAACAGCGGCGGTCGCTCTACCTTGTATTATCACCCACGGGCCATTACTCAGTGGGATCGGCGACATCTCGTCTGGCGGTTTTCGAATTCACACCTTTGGGGGAGCACTTCTCCGTGCTAGATGAAAATACTGGGGTCGATTCTCTATCAACCTGAAGTCCATCTTTCGTAGTCAAAGCTTCGTCCTATGCGTTTTAGTGGTCTCCGCGCGTTGGACACCTCAGCGTTTCTGCATTCTGTGACGTCTACCTGCTTTGTGGCGTTTGTCGTTTATGACATTCGCATCGGTCCCTGTCTTTTCATCTTTTCTTTCCTAATAGGCGGATGAAGCTCGTGAATTCTATGTAGTAGTTTGTTTGCTTTCAAAGGCCCCGAATCCCAATCTCTGGCCCCTCCCAACGCTGCCATCGCAGGCCCGTCCACAGATCCAAAAGGAAGGTAAAACTTGTGGAGGTGGAGGTCAGACATACAGAAGGTTGAAAACGCGAGTATGTCTCTTTTAGTGATTGATTAGGGATATAGAAGAGTTCATCACCGCACAGAAGTTCTTCCCCCTCGGCTTCCCCCCCACCACCAAAAAAGTAGGGTTCCTCCAACACCCGAGACCCGGGACCCGGGACAAAAAAAATTGGACTCAGGGGGAATTGAACCCCCGACCTTTCATAATCACAGACAAAGCGATGCGAAACGAAAATCATACCCCTAGACCATAAGCCCAAACTTTGAATAAATCTGGAGCCCAAACTTACAACGTTTTTAAGGTGTCTATTATATATTATACTTCCCTTGGCTGGGTATAGCACCCGGCCGTTGAGCATCATCCTTGCTTGATTAGCTGCCTGGGATCCTATGTTGTTAAGTCCCTAATATAGAGAGCCACACGCGCGCCAAACTGGTCTACTCTTGCACGATACAAGCCACAACGCCCGATTCTCAGCAGCTACGGAGAGACCAACCAACGCTCAAGACAAAAAGAAACATCGGCAGTAGAGCATCTAGTGCCGTCAGCTTTGCGTGAACACCGACTTGCAGGTTCCCACTGACGCAAGTTGACGAAACTCTGGGACCACCTGACTCACGAGTAGCCAGGTTCGGTCTCGTTGACCATCTTGAGAAACTCATGAGCGGCGGCCTGTTCGACGATAGTATCCCATCCGGTGCTGGCGGCTGGGATAGTATGAAGATATCTGATATCGTCGACCACAGGCAGACCAAGGCCGCCCGTGCTGTATCAGTCTCCAACTTTTGGTAGAGGGCTGGGTCCATCCGGGGACGGTCAAATCCTGGTGGCGCCATTGAGCTTGCAGACTTGATGGCCAACAGACAGATTGTCAATGACACCACGCACGAGTAGCACTCTTTGATTCATGCGAGCTACAAACAGAAATCGTACCTGGCTACACGTGAAAGATGATGATCCAGAACCTCAGGACCTCTTCCCAGCCAAGGCCGCAACTCCTTTCCTGACTGACGCACGTCGCGTGCTTAGGAACCACCAAACAAAGCCAGAGGCTACACACGGGCAGCCCTCTTCGCGCTTGTGTCCACGTCCTCGTGCTCGTTGGGCGCGTTCAGCCGCCTTCTGCGCGGCTTTGGTCGTCCTGGCCACCAACACACGGTACGCCGCCAGCCATTCTGGGTTTTGAACGTCTCCATGCGGATAGAATAGCTCCATCGCGTACAAGACGCTACCTTTGTTTGGCACCTGAAATTAGTTCGAATATGATAATAGTGCCCTATATCCTGTTTGTCATACCTTGAGCAATGCGCTGCTGACCCGGGCAACGAGCAAATCCATGGCTTTTGACTAGCTGTACATTGAAAATACACTGCGTGGCCGATATCGATTTCTACGACTGTGTACCGACCCTGAAGGAAACCTGTATCTCGCTCTGTAAGCAAAAGCACTCAAACGCGATGGAAATGCAAAGAATGAAAACTTGATTTTCAACCACTTGAAGATGCAGAAGAGAGAAGAAGCAGATACTGGTTGACGAGGAGCCGGGACAAATCACGTCTACACCATCCGGCCAACCGCACTCAGACTCCGACTTCTTTGCCCGTCACTCTCCCTCATTCTTGACCTCGACCATTGCCTGCGATGAGCATCCTCCTCTTCCGCCCAACCCAGCGTCGCGCTTGGCAGTAGGATAGCCCTGTCAATCGCTACGGGCAACCCTCGGTGCCGTCCTCTCAGCATAACGGCGCACAACACCAATTTACTCCCCGTATGCCACGCTCCACAAAAGCTGTACGCGTTCCACGGCACACCGACAGAGATTCCCACACAACCGTATGCGGATACGACTTCGAATATGACGTTGAAGATCGAGAAGACGACGGGGTCACGATTGAACTGCCCTGTTTCGATGATCGTGATGAGGAAGATGGCGAGTGCGATCCACCAAAGATCATGGCCTAGTTGTCCGCGCAGCTGGGTCCGGAGGAAGTCTTGGTTAGACCAACCACTCGCGGACTTCGCCGTTTGCGCTGTCCCAGGACCGTGGCTTATAGTCATCGTCCGCTTCAGTCCCTTCAAGAAATCCCTGCCTCTGCTCTGGGAAACCTTCATCTGGGGAGGCCCTTCTTCAGCCTGTTCATCAGCAAATATACCTAGGGAGCGCTCTTCATAGACATTGGTGTTGCGGATGGCCATCGTGACAGGGAAGGCGGAGATGTACATCATCAATACGTAGAGGACAAGAAGGCCGGGGTAGAGGCCGGAGATGGCAACGACGTAGAAGCCACCGTTGCGGACGGCAAAGGCTTGGAAGAGGCCGTCGAGGACACGGAAGTGGGAAGGGATGGATTCGACCACTGGGTTGCCGGAGTTGAGGATCTCGAATGCTGGGATCAAATCGGTCAGTTCGAAGGAGATGCACGTAATGAAAGGTGAAGCCCGGATTACCTAGCCAATCGATTCCGTTGAGGAGGATGAGAGAAAGCACTAGCCACCAGGTGTGTTTCGCTGGAAAGAGATTTGTATACACCCGTCTTGGATGGTTGAGAATGAAAGTCAGGACATTCCGCCATTTCTGCCATCGTGGCGACCACGTCTTGGGTATACAGTTCCTCAAAGTCCACACAATCAGTCTGAGGAACGGTGGAAAGCACGTGTTGCCTGCAAGGATCAGTAGACTCAAAGTCAGCAAACAGTAATAACTGGTCTGTAGAGCGGTGGCGTTTGCATCGAGAAGCGCCATGCCGGAGTTGTTAAAGGCACTGATGGCAAAGAAAGCCCCCGTCCAGAAAGGATTGAGTCCTGATAGATTGTCAGCACTCGTCTGGCTAGGGGTGAGACAGCGGACCGTTGGCGTAAGCAGAGTCTGGACGATTGATTTGTAGCCATGCGCCAACACCAATAGCTCCAAACAGTTGGAAAAGGACGAAGTAAATCGGGACGAGCCACGAAAGGAAGCAGATGGCGTCATACTCGATACCTCCGAGTGCTCGCCTTTCTTTTTCACTGAGATGGTGGAACTGGCTGTTGCGACCGACCAACCCACCGATGGAGTCGAAGTACTTGTTTAGTCTTGCGAGTGAGCCGGACCGTAATTGGTTACACTCGTCTGACTCCTCGTTCCGCCGAACGACAGGCTGAGCATGACGCGGATGATTGGCCATGGAGTGAGCAGCAACGCCGCTATTGCCAGGAAGAATTGTCCTCCGCCGCTGTGGTGGTTGCATCTGGCCAGTGGCTTGCCTCAAGGGATGAGGTTCATCTCCGAACGTGATGTGTCCAGGGACTGCCGGCTCAGGTCCCGGATCTGCGTCGCCGTTCGGTACCTCTGGCTTTTGCTGGTTGTTCATGGATTCCGTGCGCACGCGAGCTGAAAAGGTCGGCCGATATTCAGTTTCGGGATCAGGGTCTTGGATGGGATTGCCTCGAACGACCCCAGAAGCAACTGCTTCTTCCCGCTGATTACTGACGCTGGCTCGCCTTTTTGAGAGGGAGAAGCTGAGGGTCCGAATTCCAAGCCGTCGTCGCTTACGCTCTGCGAGCTCCTCCAATTGTCTCTCGAACGCGCCTTTCCGGACACTCAAAACTGCGATAGAGACAAATATCGAAGAACCCATGATGATTAGCAGAAAGAGAATGATCTGCTGCCATGTATTACTGTCCAAATGAGCCCCGACAATCGAACTTCCCCAGAATAAACTTACAGAGTCGACAGATTGACGGTGTTCAACCCAGCCTCGGTCATGGCCGAAACAGCGAGGAAAAGGCTGTCGATGAAGCGGACGCTCCGGGAGGGAGTCGAAGAGCCCCAGAAGATGATGGCGGCCAGAAGGCACGTGCCGCAAAAGTATATGTAATGCAGAGTAATGAACGAAATCGGTTCTAGATGAGGGCAGATATTGTTGTTTATGAAGTCGGCCACCGCTTTGCAAGCCTTTGGGGTGATCCTTTGGCGAGGAGGCTTGCTCCTCTTGCCGGCTGTTCAGAGTAAGCAGATGTGTCTGGACTTTTGAGGAACGGGGCCGGCCTACAGCCCATCCTAGGATAACGAGGCTCGAGGACAGCTTTAGCAAACATCAGTCCATGTTGGATATGTGAAGATATTCTGCTTTCTTAAGCTCCATCGTGCCATTCGCGGGAACTCTCAAGAAGTATGCGAGTGTGACGGAGACGAAACGCTAGGTACGGAGTACCGATGTGAGATTGGGAAGCCAAAGTGCCAAGCCGACCAGGCTGTGGTCGTACCGCGAATAATCGAGAGAACGGACGGAGTACGTTCTTATATTGAGGCAATGAAATAAATAATTAAGATAACTTAAGAGTATCGTAATGTATACATTCCTTAAGGATACAAGCTAGAACTCATTTTATAAGTTCTTTGTTATAATTCAGGTCACTGCCAATGAAAGGTCGCTCAAGGACAAGGGCACCTGTACCATAAGGGAAGTTAGCCGATGGAGAACGAGGCTACGTCACGTGACAAGGCTGGCTTACACAGTGACCCTGGTGCACTGCTCCAGGGCAACAGAGCAGTAGTGCAGATAGAACCGCCTATATATACACCCTCTCTACTCTAGATAGGACTATTCGTAGTTAACTTCGTCAATAATCATATACCTATATTTAGGATAAGCCGACCGAGAATAGTTCCCTTCGACCTATACCTGGTCGTTCCCGTCTGATACCCACTCATCAAGGAACTACCTTGATCAGTGCTGCTTCGTGGTTCCGAGTATGACATTCTTTACCTAACATAAATATCAGGAAGAGATGGAACCTCTTGCTAACGTCGACCCTTTCCCCTTCAGAAGCCCTCATCTTCAGAGGTTCGATTTTAGTTCGCCAGGGGAGAACCATATGGTCAGCCTGTTGAGGTAGTGACTTGGAAACTCTCGATGTACCTTGAAGTAGGTGCTTCCAGCATAACAACCCCTATGATTGACAAAAGTTTGCTCAATCTTCTTATGAGTACCCATGTTGTAAACGAATGGTTTGCTGCCAAAATTTGCTACGATGCGAACTCCATACTCCTTCATGCCAACAAGAGGAAAAGAAGGCATGGAGGGGTCGAGGCCGTTGAGATTGAAGGTTCCTGGGGGGCGTCGTCAGTGCTGCTTTTTCTCGGACGGCATGAATGTCAACCAGACCTAGGAATATGCCATTCTTTGCATAGTAACCTTGGGAACGATTGCAACAGAGTCCACATCCTACTTTGTCCCCACTTGTGACGGTTGGACCGCGGACGTCTGCCAATGGAGTGCTATCAAACGGGACCCCCGTCGTCGCCATGATAGCCCCAAGAGCCAAGTTCCCAGCCTGGGAGGCCATCAAGGGGAACCGTGACACTGGGGAAACTACCGCAAACAATGCTGTAAAGGATAAACAAAGTTAATGGCTAGATCTTGGATAACCAACAATTGAGGGATGAACAGAAAAGACATACCCCATTAGACCGGCTGCTATACTCTCGACCTCGAAATACGAAAAGGGATGCATGTTTGAGTATGCTGAGAGCGCCTGGCTGGCTTTATCCCTAGCTACTATGTATATAGAGCTCCTAAAGAATAAGTGTTTATTTATTTTAGGATTTTTAATCCTAGATTCGTATGCAGAGATAGCTCGAGGTAATAGTATCGCTTATATAGGGATAAAGTAACAAGGTCCCTACCCTCGTTCTCCAGCAGCTCCATTTCTCCTATAAAACCTAGGTTCGCCGCTATAGATTATCGTCCTAGAGAGGTAGGCGTCGATTTTATTAAAGCTTTAATCAATTAAAGAAAGCCTAGGAACATATCGGACAATCGGCTGTACAAGGGTAATCTGCAATTCCCGGTTGTCCACTTGCAAGGAGACCAGAATAAGTATAGTTTAAAGACGAACCCAAGAAATGACCCAGAGGCAGGCTATCAGGTTCCCATCTATAACCCATAACGCTGTAATTAAGCTAGCGATACTTATAGATTGTCGTAGCAAGTGAAGAGACAGCAGGTGATAAACGCCTTCGTATCACTATTCCTGTCGTGAGACTTCGAACTAACTCTCACTCGTTAGTTATAGCCAGTCTATCGAGCCACGGGACTCTCCTCTTCTTTAAAATGATCTCATCCTTAAATTGGATAGACGATATCAGAATTCGAAGGTCTTCTGAAGCAGAATGCAGAAGGGATGGCCACGGTCGTGGGGTGGCAAGCAATGAGTGGAGCACTTAACTCCAGAATGTCCCTGGGAACCACTCCAGGTCTCTTTCCATCTGCCCATTCTATTTGGGTTCATATCACACTCCAGACTGGTAACCAGCCATGTAGCCCCTTCTCATTCACTTGTCACGGGGACTAGGGAGGTGAGGGGGTGTGGGAATCGCATCTGTCGTGCTCGCAGCCGTCTGATTCGCTCAGCCCCGGTTCGTGTCATTCTTACACACACTTCGCGTTCTCATCCATTCTCTCCAAGCCACACCACACAAAAATTCTCGGAAAGGAGGCTGAAGAGTCTTTCTGGTAGCGTGGATCGCACCACCAACCAATAAGCCCCTCTTTCGTCGCATTCTCGCAGAAGGACAGGCAACATGAAGTTGTATTCGGTAGCCAAACGTAGCTGCTGATATTGAAAGTGAAATTCGTGCCACCCTCGTCGCCAACGACGGCCGTTGCGTTCCCTAGGTAGCCAGTCTCGGAGAAACCCTGGAAGGCGAAGGTGTTGACCTTCGCGGTCTGGTTATTGAGGAATGTCGCTGTCGAGGAGACGGATGTCGTTGTGGAGGCGCTGCTGGTGAATGCCTGGGAGGTTATCGACGTTGGTGGGGTACTGGTGGAGGGGCTTAGTTATTAGTAGGTACAGTGCCGGATTGATGACATTGAGTTGCTCACCTGCTCGACGACTCCGACCTCGTCGTGATAGGAGCGGGGCTGTTTGATTTCGAAGACGCCATACGTCCACCAACTCCACCTCCAACTGCAGCTGCGATAATAACGAGAAATGCCGCCAGGACGATGAAAATCCTCTTGCGCGTCAACCCCCATACTTTGCCCTCCCTCGCCGGTCGCTCCTCCGCGCCCGACGCCTGCTCCCTACCCGGTGCAGATTCCCACAGAACGGACCTCTCGAAATTGATCGCTGTCTGTGGATATTGTTCTTGCACCTCATGCTCAACGGGGACGACCTCCTTAAGTTCATCGTCGTATATAGCATGGTACTTGGGTTCGCGCTCCTCGAGATGGTTCACCTTATAATCAGCCTCGAGATTCGGGATGACCTGTGGTGACGTATCAATTACGACTTCAGGGAAGCACTCGTCGCCGTGTGGAACGCTTCCATTTGTGTGCCCGTTCTCTGGGCTCAGGTTGAACGCTGGGTTGCCTTTCTGCTGGTTGATGTGTTCAGTATGGGTTTTCATGGTGACGAGTGCAACGGCGAGGCCAACAGGCAAACCAGAGGGTGAGAAGCCCCCAAGAAAGAACTACTAACCACTACAATGAGCCATGAGCCATTGTAGTCACCTGTTTAGACCTACCATTCAGGGCAAAGTGCGACATACATATAGGTCGAGTAACCCCCTTAGCCCCTCAGACAAAGGAGCCACGAATCAGCCATTGGGCTGGGCACAGGGAATGGCTAAAGGCTGATCAGCGACTAAATCACTAAGTTGACTGCCTGGGCCATTACTCCGTACTGTCTCACCCATGGCATATATTGCAACACGACAGGCAGATGAAACACGCTAAAACACGCTGGCCTTCGGTAAACTGCGGGTGTTAAAGGCTATTCCTATCGCCAACCCCAGCCCCGAGACCTGTCTCTTAAGCCTGGCGACTTTCCTCGGCAAATGCATATGGTAAGCAACCGAGGAATGAGAAGGTGGAAAATAGAAATTTAACCTTTTGACAAATGCCAAACTTGGTAGGGTATTGAATTCAGAATCGGTTGAGTAAACAACCAGTGATGGCATATATATCTTGGAACGTTGATTCAACGTTCACCCAGTACCCATACTGAGATGCCATTTGTCAAAGCATGCGGCCTGGCCCAAAACTTCGCGATGTATGCCCTGCAATTCAATGACAACGATAAAAAGACGATTTTAGACGTCCTAGCCATAATGTTACTCAAAGTACAACAAATTCACATTCCAAATGACGTTAGGCTTGAGTCGGTCGGCCCAATATGTCCTGCGACTTTACGAGGTAGCAGTCTAGAATTTGGATGGCCATTCTTTTCAGAATCCGACGGTTATGGCCAATCTTACAGCATCATGGACTCATAAGATTCGATTCGCTCATGGAGATTTCAGAATGCATAATATTCTTTGTGGAAAATGGACGATCAACAGGAATAGTTTGACTGACAGTGTTCAGGCTGGCATTCAGAATCTTAATTCTCACGGAATTAGGAGTTTCTATATTGCTCTAGGGACCATTGAGATATAAGGGGAACTATGGTATGCTACGATAATTAGGGAATTTGCTGTGGATCTGGACAAGATTCGAAACCTCCATTCAAAATAAATCTATCCGTAATATGAGCCGTGGTCCAGAACTTATCGGCAATTGTTAGGATCGCGAGCAGATTCTCATGTGGCTTTCCTCGTCAGAACGGATTACAAGTCCCGTGGAAGGCTGCAAGTGTCAAGTCGATTTGTTTACCTGCATCACGTCCCGCCATCACACCGCATGGCTTTTCGAATCATAATCGAATCTTCACCATACTTTATTGGTCAGACACTGCGCACGACTTATCTTCTGGCGTCTTCCCTTCCACCCTCGTACGCCAAACCTGTTTCTCGCCAACGGCACGGATGATCCTTGATCTGATTACGCAGTTTACGACCACGCTCCTCTTTTCGATTGCCTTTGCAAGGAGTGTTTCAATCCCATAGTTGCACCTTACAAAGAGACTAGGGAACAACGGACAAAGAAAGTGTAAAAGGTTACTGGTAGTGCTATCTAAATTGGGTACGCCCCGTAACCAGGTATGAGAGGAAGCTTCCCCGCTAAAACTTTGTCCGCACCCTCCAACCGCCACCAACTCCTCTTGCAATGAGGAACAACCATGTACTTCCTGTATATGCTGCACCACAGAAAAGTATCAGCGCCTGGTAGTTCTCACCCTTTCCCGCACTCAGGATATTCCCCGAGATCGGTATCCCGGCCAATGTCGCCAAGCTAACGACCCCATACGCCGTCCCATAGCGACTCGCATAATCCTCTGTCCGACACAACTGCGCTACACACACCGGTGTCAGACTGTACGCCGAGCCACTAAAGAATCCGTAGAGGATGGCGAATGCGACGATCGCTACAACGCTTGACCCAGCGTTGAGCCAGAGCCCAAAAATCGAAAGCGCACATATAGCCGAGCAGAGGATCATGATGTTGAAACGGCCAAGTCTGTCAGCGACTGGGCCGGGAATGCCGCGACCGAAGATTGAGGCGGCGTTTAGTATGGCAAGAATGTGAGGAGAGATGCTGTTGAAGTTGCGGGAACTGGAGTAAGTCGTGATGTACGCGGGCGGAACGAGGACAGCCCAGTCAAGGATGAAGATTGCGGACATGGTGAGTACGAAACGAACATCTTTGAAACCGCGCCAATCAACGATCAGGCGTGCTTGTCTGTTTCGCGGGAGACGTGTCTTCAGGAGCAACAAGCTGAGGAGAAAGCAGAATGCGCTGAGCAGGGCGAAGCAGCGGATCGACCAGGCGAAGCCAATTTGGGTAGTGAGCTGGTTGAAGAGCAAAGGGTAGATAACGCCGCCGAATCCGCCAGCAGTCGTTGCGAGGCCGGTTGCGAGGCCGCGATTCAATTGGAACCAGTGTCCTAAAGTAGCAATGCTGGAGGTCCATAGGATGGAGGAGGCGGTGCCGCCCAGGATACTGAAAGCGAGGAGAAATTGGTAGTATGTTTTGCAGAAACTTGTGCATATCAGAGAAACAACGAAACCGGCGGCTCCGGTGGGCAACAATATTCGAAGACCATATTTGTCGAAGATGGGTCCGACTTGCAAACCCCCAAAGAAGAAGAGGAACGCAAAAGTACTGAAGATCCAACCGACTTCGCTTTCTATGTAGCCTATCAACTGGTTTTTGACGAGGTACGCCTGGAAGATGCCGGTGGAGTTAAGTAGTCCTGAAGCTGGAAAGAGGGCAAGCCAAGCGCCGAGGATGACGCTGTAGGCTTTCACGCCGCGCTCAGGGTATGCCTCTGCTACGGGCGCCGACGTTTCGGCAGTGTTGATCTCTTCCATCATAGGAGTGTGTGCTGTAGGTAGTGCAGCTAGAGGGGAAGAAGGCTTTGAGGTTAGAGGCTTAGAGCCTTAAAGCAAGGAATCAAGATGCGTAAAGTAAGGAATCAAGGTCGGGAAGCGCTTAGTCATTTCTATACGCGACGGCTCCACTTACTTAATAGACTGAACGGGACTATTAAGTATGGCCCTGCTAACACGCCCAGTCGCCAAGACCTGTATTTTGTCGCCCAACCATCATCATTCTACGTGATGTCACACGCGACCTGGCCTGGCGCTAATGTCCAAAGGCAAAGGCACATCGTGTGCGACTACCTGAAGCTACCATTCCCTTCTCTCCTCATTTCGAGCAAACATGGCACGTCGAGACTGTATAACCGCTCGTAAGGCCAGATGACCGTCCCTGAAGCTGCCAAATCAAGGCCATTGCGCTACTTTCGGTTTAGGCGCCACTGTATCCGGCTGTATCCGGCTGTTGTGATTCTCCGTCGAAGTACCTGACGAGGGTGCTCCAGCACGACACCTAGCACAGAGAATGGACATTCTGAATGGGCAGTATGATAATTACGTCTACGATGGATATGTATTAATACTCCATATGAGCGTTGTGCGACCCGCCTGTCAGTCTTCCACCAGGCTGAGTGAAGTCGTCGAGAGTCTTCATAGGAAGTGCTGACAAACTGTGATGCTGTGCTGCTGCATAGTCAGTCCTATAACAGGAACGTGAGAACCTTGTCTTGGAAGGGTATTATAAGCTACTTACTTGTGTATGGGAACCGTTGAGTACACAACTTCAGGTTGAATAATCTCTTTATGGACAACGGGGACCACTGCGACCTCCTCGATGTCGAAATGAAGCGCCGACAAAGCTCTCATGGTTTTGAAGCGAGATATTGAAGTCAGGGCTAGCCTACTTCGATCGACTTCCAACGTCTCCGCTTCCATTGATTCCATCGGACCGCGTCGGGAGCATCTAAGTCGATCAGGCCGCTCTTAGTCATGGTCCTACCTTTTATACTATATCTAGCCTATTTACTCCTGCTAAGGCTCCTTCCCCCTTTCCACGTAATACTACTTCCCCTGGAGTATATCCTGAGCGCGTCGAGCACCAGTACAGGACGAGTAAATAGAAATCCTAGAGAGGAAGGACTCGAAGGAGGTCGCAGGGTGCGTACCTAAAAGGTCCGAGTAGCGCTAGTAGGGTCCGAGTTGATGCTAAATCAAATATTCAATTAGAAGAAATCTCTAGTATTTAACGAAATGGAAGTTTAATGATGGCTAATATAGTATACAGATAAAGATAAACTTTCTCAAGAAATCGTAGGCCGCGATATTTATGGCGGTTGCTAAGATCTCGCACAAGCCCGGACCCTGCCAATGCTCACGTCGAATTGCTCTATGCTGAGGGTCATCAAAACTATAGATCCAGTAAAAGAGTAGCCGAGCTTGATGGTATTATTGTTATGGTACAGCAGTGTCGCTTACTGCATGTTAGCATACTTAGACAGACTTTGAACGTCTTCTTCGTTGCAAGCCTTGATCGGGCCTTGCTTCCCTTGATCGCTTGTCGTTCTCCAGAATATCGGCATGTAAGAGGTCAGAGTCCTGGCCTTTGTCGACAGCCTCCTGAGGCAGTCTTACATCACAAATTGCTTGAATATCCCCGTGAGGTGAAACCCCCGACACGATCCATAATGCAAGTTTGCCACGTTTGGGTAGACCATCGGCACCGCTGTTTGGTGCTCGCCAAAGCCATTGCCGCTCATAAGCACCAATGATCAGCAGAACGGGGCCGTTCAGCACTCGGATTGTGAACACCTTGACTTGGTGGAACCGCCGTGGAGACAGGAGAAATTTCGTCGGGAGGAGAATAAGCAGAGCCAAAATATTGAAAGGCGGGCGGTAAGCGAAAATAGCATCGCTTTTCACACCTTCAAATGTGAGGACTGCCGGCCGGAATTGGATCTCCGCAGTTTCGTTTGCGACAATCTTTGAAAATGTATTGGTCAGCATCGCGACCAGCACCGTCAGAAAAGATGTTTCCCAGAAAGGCGAATGCGATCATGAGACACGGGTCCAAGGATGAAGTGGAAGCCCACAGACCGCTCAATCCCCGTGCCATCGAGCCCAAACCAGATCCAAAGCATCCACGTTAAGACCGTAGCAGATTGGAGTATTTCGTGACCTCCATTCGCTTTGATAAGATCAGTAAGCCACTTCATGGAAACAAAGAATCCAGCAAAACACCAGACCGCTAGCAATGTCAAGACAGCGAAGTCTTTCATCATAGCGCGGAGCGAAATAAAGAGCATGTTGTCGGACATCAAGTTGAATGCAAGGCGTGGAAGAAGGACAGGGGCGGCTATTGAAAGTATGTTAAGGCCAAGTTGTCCTGCATCGAGGTTATCGCTTGCCAACGCGTACATTCTCATGAAGAAATCTACAGCAAAGATGGCGATGAAGGTAATGTCTAGGAACAACTAGAGATTTTGCGTGTGGACCTGCCACCCGTGCTCGATGATAGGAGCGAACTCCTCCAAGATCCACCCTGTCGTGTAAATGCAGAAGATAAGTTCATAGACGGTCAATTTCGAACTTTGACGATAAGTCATGGCGAGGACGTATAGCGTCAAGAGGACTGCAAACTGGCAGACCTCAGTAATACTGCGAATGCGGGGGACAATCAACCGATACTGATTCAGAAGAGGTGCCTCCCGAGGATCGTAGAGGGAGACCGGGTGATGTTTATAATGATCCGGTAAAATGTCGACGAATGACAAGGGCGTGTATATAACCTGTCCTCGATACACGGCATCGACGACCTTCTGCGATGCGGCAGAGCCGAGGAAAAATTTGCTCTCGGAGACTGTGCCTACCTCCAAGGCTGTCAGCTTTTCTCTCGTAGCCTCCTCGATTCTGCGTAGGCCTGTAAGGAGGCAGGGACTTTTCTCGCAAAGCATCCTCTGGCGCGTTCTGGAAGGGCTCAAAACCTGCAACAAGAATGTTGGCCAATAGCAGAAGGCCTCCACGACCATAGTGATCCTCGTCGAACTGTCGGAGGACTTGGCTTGCTACTAGTTCACAGAGATTGGCGCGGGTGGTGCTGATCGACTGGTCAAGACCTTGATATGACTGCTCGCGGAGAAATTGCATACGGTTGACTAGAAGGCAATAGACTTGTACACACAGTCACTTTCATTGTATGACAAAAAGCCATACAGGCAGCGAAAGAGTCCAAGAGTCCTTTCCTTCATATTGTCACAAGTGGGGACTCTTACTGATAGATACATCACCCGGGTCATAAAGCTTACTTGCAAGGGGTCTCACAATCAATTCGTTTATCCGTGGCTTTTTCAATTGCTCCAGTGTATAAGGATCATCTGCCTAAATTATGAGATTCTACGTCATGCTAGAGGTATTGAAGATAACAACACTTACCTATGTTGGCAATGACAAGTCGTTCGAATTCTGTCGACGATTATTCTGTATTCTCTTGAGGGCATCGTCTGAACTCACCGATGAATCGTCGTGTAGACAGGCAAATCGGCATGGGGGTCAGGAGCAACGGCATCTTGTAGTATGTGCCCAGTCCAGCTCCTTGGAGGGCCGTCCGCATTCTCTTCAGCGTTTCGTAAGAGGGCGTCATGGGCTTCACTCTCACACAGGTTGAGGCACTCCGACGAGGAGTCAATTCGCTCTACCTACATGCGTCTAGCTTCCTAAATCGGTGAATAGGCTGGAGATGTGTCGCAACCTAGATGTAGGTAGACCTGCGGGCTTAAGGACTTACGATGAGCCGGACATGTGTACGCCGAATGTGGCAGTGCAGAGTCCAGACGTATCTCTGTACCATAACACGAACTTTGGAAAAATGTACGTTGACCCGCGAGGCTGGAGAGGCACTTTATGCACTTAACCTGCTACCCATGTAGAGCACGCCATTGAAGCCAAAGCTGAGGGGCAGAGAATCAACGTCAATTGCTTGCTTTCCTCGCCTCCAGCCAAAAAATGCGAAGTGGGCCGGCATGTAATCGGCAGCGCTCCCAAAGAGAAGGTTGCACCAGTTAAGATTGCATATTTGGGCAGAGTGACGAGGGTGCTTCCCGCCATAATAACTGGCGAATGAGAGTGGGGTGTCAACAAACTCCCTCCTGGTGATATTGATTCTCCGTCTTGCCGGAAAACTCTAATGCTTTTTCCAGATCCTATATAGAGGCACCATGGACTGCATGATTAGATAACAGGACGCTGCGCTCTCTTTTGGATTTGGTCACTATAGTCACTTGACCGTCACTGTCACACGCTCTGGTCATGTTCAACATTCTTGAAATTTAGTGTGGGGGTCTGTTCTTTTGCAATGTCCCCGACTCTAGATGCCTTGTATTTAGCCATTAGGCCAATGTTTCTAACATTGAACTGGGATATTCCTTAATAAACCCCCTTCCCCTTCGTCAAAAATCGCTAAATGAAGTCGAACGTTTCAGTTTCAGCATGGTTGACTTTGTATTTTCCAATTTTAACCTCGTGTGTGCCACATTTGGTGGTCTTCTTATGAGCTTTGGGCTACTGTCATATGTATTGAAGCAGCGGTTCCTGTTCTCTGAGGCATGTAGGGTCTCACTCAACTCGTTGTTTCCCACACGGTGTATGCTCACGGGGTGCAGTGATTTCTTTGATCGCAGGTGTAATTTTCTCTCACCTCGTGTCTTTCATTCGTCCAGATGAATACACATGTGGGGAGGACAGAAATCTAGATTCAATTACGCTTGAGTTCTCAAGGCTCGTCCTTGGGGTGCAGCTGGTTCTCGCCGGCATTCAGCTCCCCCCGCGATACCTCTCTACGGCATGGCGCTCTCTTTGCTACCTGCTCGGCCCAGGTTTGACAATGATGTGGCTCAGTGCGGGCCTCGTCATATGGTTTATGCTACCACGTCTGGGTTTCATGCACGCTCTTGCGATTGGCGCTTGCATTGCTCCCACCGATCCTGTCTTATCCAATGCTATTATCAAAGGACGATTTGCGGATACGAATACTCCGAAGCCACTCCAGAGACTCATTTCTGCCGAGGCTGGACTAAACGATGGACTTGGCTATCCGTTTCTCTTCTTCTCATTATGTTGGATTAAATATTCTGAATGCCAAGGGAACCAATTGGGTATGGTTTCTTCTTGGGCTGGTGGAACTTGGGGCTACGTTATCATTTTTAGCTTGTTCTATGGTTTTGGGGTCGGATATGTTGCACGGAAGATGTTTTTCTCTGCTCGAAAGAAGGGTCTTGCTGAGGACGAAGCTTCCTTGATATATGTTATCGCCCTATCCCTATTTGTTCTAGGAACCTGCGGGATACTCGGGACAGACGATATTCTCGCTTGTTTTATTGCCGGGTGTACGTTTGCGTGGAACGATCAGTGAGTAAGGAGCTGAACTTGATAACCCTTGACCATTGACCGACTTCGCAGGTTTGAACGAGACACCCACAACGAATTATTTTGGTCTGCTGTTGACATGATGCTCAATATCTCAATTTTTGTATGGTATGGCGCTGTCGCACCATGGGCATCGTTCGCGACCGGCACTATCATCACTCTCTCTCGATTAATAATCCTGGGGGTTCTGATTCTCCTCTTCCGGCGCTTGCCTGCTATTTTGGTTATTGGGAGCAAAGTTTCCCAGATTGAACATCTCTGGCAGGCTGTATTTGTCGGATTCTTTGGACCCATCGGCGTCTCAGCTATCTTCTATCTGATGGTAAGCACAAAGTTCCTTGGGAAGTTGACTTTGAACGAGAAAGGTGTTGCACGCGAGGATATACAATATCTCCAAGAAACTATGCAGCTGATTGTCTGGTTTCTCGCAATTAGCAGTGTGGTTGTCCACGGTTTGGCGCTCCCGTTGGCGAAAATGTGTTCCCAAATCCCTTACACAAGCTCACTGGTACTTGGCCAACAGAGTCTCGGGACCGGTCACCAATTGGTGGCCTCGGCAGGTATTTCTAGAAGCAGAATTCGAGACTATTTCTCCTGGAACTCTTCCAGTAAAGAATGCCAGGCACGCACCTTGTGTGTCAGGAATGGATATAATACAATGGAAGAGGGGTGAGTAACAAACGTATTATTGTTTGAAAGGGAGCTCGGCTTTGGGCATACTTGTATGACAAATCCGTGCAAAGGGCTTCGGCCATAAATTTGGTCTCTGGGGTGTTTGCCTATATCAGATTGACTGGTGGCGCTTCGGCATCATTGCAATGCCGGATAGACTACGGAAGCAGAGAGTTTAATCCCCACGCAATACAGCCTAGATTTAGTTCTGTAATGTTATCTATATAGCTATAAGGACTGGACTATATTTGGGCAGGATTGCCCGCAAGGAGAAAGATGAGTGCTACAAGAGGTTTCTTGGAGGACCAAGGGAAGAGGATGGATATGCTCTAATTAGGACTTTGCAAGGGGCAAGTTAACGTCCCCTCTCTACCTACTTCATCTTCGGTTACACTAAATCGTGGCCCGATGTTGAAATGCCATATACTCGATCCTCGAGCCAAATCGTAGACGGCGGATTACCGCTTCCCAAGTCCTTAGATCTGAATGGGGACACTGCGATCAAAGTGTGCAAGGCCGGCCAGGCGGATTCCTAAACTATAATTTTCCTTCATATCTTGACGCCGGCTTTTCCATCAGTTGCTTTCCCCAATATGTCGACCGTCATTCCAGCAAGCTAATGTGCCTCACGATAACTACCAATTGACCTGATGTTCTATGTTTTGCAGCTTCCTGGCTGCGCTTTGCTCCAACATAGCCAAGGATACACACCGTTACGGTGAGTATCAATAGTATAGTATGCTCACCAACTTAAACTAGCACGCCGCAAATGCAAGGGGCTCAAGCTTAGATCCCTAACAAGTGGACAGAGGCCGCTTACTCGCTCAACTCCCGTCACTACAACAAGCTTGGAGATGGTCGCTGAGATTGAGTGGGAATTCAAAAATGCATTAACCTGTTCTCAAGCGTGTGAACTGAGCGAACAAAAATCGGAGTCAGCATGGTGGATATAGTGACAATCAACCTTATGTCGCGGCCTCTGAGGGATCCGGCTAATCTTTACCTGTTACTCCGTGTTACCAGTGCACCTAGAGTCTAACCTTACGGAGTGCATCAAAGAGGCCCACAGAGAACTAAGTTAGTTTCAGAAATTGATGCTTCCCACTGTAGCGTAAGTTCTTTTCCTTTCGAGAAAGACATCCTTCTAAAGTGCGGGACCACTGAAAGGATATTACATGCCAAGCATCCAGGATCAGATGGTGAGATTTGCTGATCTGCCGTACGGATGAGGTGCATACTAATGATTAGTTGTATGATATGGGATGACGATTTACTTTCTTGAACTATAAAGCACAAGAACGATTGACTCTCGGGGGGGAGCCAGCCCTGAACAAATGGTGGATATGCACTGCCAACCATAACACGAAGCTCAGCAAGAATCCGGCGTAATTGCCACATCTCGAAACGAGGAGATCGATGCATGTCGGATATTTTAGTTCTCGCCGTTGATCCCTTGCAAACTCGCCACCGGCGCCCTTCAATACTTCTCAAGTCGAACGAGGGGCATTGGAGCTTAGGTGTCGAATATGGTTACTTTGGGCAATACAGAGTCTGAAATTCATCTCATAATCTGGTAATCAGCCTTTAAAAGGCGGCTCTGTCTACTTCTTGCAACTCTTCTAAAGTTGTGGACAACCAGAGGAATCGTAGCTTGAGTGGTTCCAGGCTTTATTTGGAAGTGTTACTGCAGAACCAAGGACCGAACCAGGAAGCACAATATCCTATATTTGGAATGACATTTCATCTTTCATGGATGTTCAAGGGACAGCGCCATACTGAGCATATTTTTTCGATAACTTCCTCCCAGCCCGTTCGTTGCTTCACCGGACACGCCGAATCATAGAGACAGCCCTTGGTGCAGCAGCGTCGTTCGGATCAAAAATGGATCATTACAGCGATACAGTCGCGTCACCACTCCTCTAGTGTGGACAGTGGACAGGCTTCGGTGTGTCTAGGATGACAATTGATGGCTCGACAACATCTTCGAGGCATGACCTGCTGAAATGTGAAAGACCGTGAGATGGGTTTCTCCGGGCTAACAACGGCTGCAAACTGGCAGAACGACGTACCATATTGGGCAAGTACCAGCAACCCTCAACAACCATGGATCAATGCAGTGGTAGTGATAGATGTGCCCACAAGTGAGTATTCGAACTTCATCCGTTCCGAGGAATGTTTCGGAACAGACGGGACAGTCATCTAAGATACCATCAGCGGAAGGTCGCCGATTTTAACAGTCTAGTATGACTTAATGTCGTCCCTCTTATATATCGTTCGTACCACGGGAAGGAGGTCTTATCAGCCTTGGCATTCGCTCGGATATAGAGATATTTGCCTCTGGGTCTGCTCCTCCTTTCACCTTTGCAATGCTCACTACAGCGCTATATTTGGCAATTGGGATAGATTCGACGATGGACTTCGAAATGCCCTGCACTCGCCGCTCCCTGACTTCGCGCGGATAGTGTAGAATCATACGTTCAGAAAAGTCTCGGCGTGTTTTGCGTGCCAACCAAGCCAAAAAGATTAGGATGAGTATCATGCCAACAATAACGCACACTGTGACGACTGTTCTACCTTTGGGTGTATTCCTGGTGCTCGTACCCATTGGAGCTGTCGCCATTCAAGAAAGCGTAGCCAACTACAAACTGCGAGGTTTCAAGAGGAGATCAGGAATCAGGAACTTGCTCGTAGTATATTGCATAAGAGTCCGTAGCCCAACTCCCGCAGACCAACCCAAGGATTGGCCAACAGAGGAACAAGGAAGGACATTTGCCATTTCCTGTTGTTTCGACCACTCCAAGGTGGCTGTCTATGAGGGATTTTCATCCGAAAGATTAGGATAAAGGTTCGCTTCCTAACATCAGGAATGGCGGAGATGAACGTATGGGGTTTAAGCCATCGTGCCCGTCTTGTCCTACCAACAATAAGTCCGTTGATTATAATCCTCGCATGTTGTCACTACGACACGGCGCATCTTAATATGGACTACGAAGACTATCTCGGAATGCATGGGAAATGCTTATGATTGCTTGATTGATGAGTGCCGCACTGACGTCGGTGAGGGATCCAGTAAAAGCGCGCCGGTAGGACGGAGATCAAAAGTTTGTGGAGCCGGCTCAGGGATCCTCTCCTTGACATGCATGGCAGTTCACGTTCTTTCATCGGGGACATCCAGGACTGTTGACTTGTAACAATGGATAGTATTTTACGCCGATTGTTTTGCGTCTAACTTCGCGGCTACTCCTGCATTATTTATGACCAATTTTCGTAGATGGGCGGTCCGCCATGGGTTATTCATATTAAACTGTTCTCCTCATTGACCCGCGTAGAAGCCTGCATTTGTCGCTAGGGTTTCGTGACAAGCGTCTAGCTGTTATCTGCCTCCAATACTAAATCTTCGCGCCATTTTTGTTTGGTACCCGATGGCAACAATTCGCATCGCGGACGAGGTTCACCCCAAAGATGGCCTGGTGCAAATCAAGTCTGAAATGCAAGCCACGCAAAGGTCAAGGAGGAGAAGCGATGGCGATGGGATATACAACATTCGGTCGAGATCCAGGGCACCCTCACAAGATCCAAGACACGACGACGACGACCCTGGGTTGCGAAAGGAAGGCGATTTCAAGCAAAAGCAGGTAGCGCTTGATTCGAGTCATAGGTTTAAAGAATAATCCTCACCTTCTTTAGGTTTTCAAGGGGAAAATGTTGCTCTGGCTTGCCTATCAATCGATCGGTGTCATTTATGGCGACATCGGAACCAGTCCCCTTTACGTCTACTCGTCCACTTTCACTGCTCCGCCATCGTACGAAGATCTCGTCGGAGTCTTATCCCTCGTAATCTGGGCCATCTTCATCATGGTAACCGTGAAGTACATACTCATAATTCTCCGTGCCGACAACGAGGGCGAGGGAGGAACTTTCAGCACCTATTCCCTGTTAAGCCGCTATGTGAAATGGGCTCCCTTTCCTCCTCCTTGAATCTGATGCTGATGATTGACTTTAGATGAACATCACCAATCGCGACCCACGGGAAGCTTCACTCGTCAAGATGAGGAGATATGCGTCTGGAGATCTTGAACAAGCCGGCCGAGTAATGCGCCAGGGCCTCGAATCCAGCAATTTTGCGCGGGGCCTTCTGAAACTAATGGGGGTCCTGGCCGTATCTATGGTCATTGCTGATGGAGTCCTCACACCTGCTCAGTCAGTACTGGGCGCTGTCCAAGGAATTGAAGTTGTGGATCCCAGTCTATCAAAAGGCGCCATAATTGGCATTACCGATGCTATTCTCGTGATACTGTTCTTGATTCAACCCCTCGGTATCACTAAAATCACCTTCGCTTTTGCGCCTATCATCATTATCTGGCTAGGGTTCAACGCAGTCTTCGGCATATATAATCTCGTCAAGTACGATGCTTCTGTCTTTAAGGCTTTTGACCCTGGACATGCTTTCGGCTTCTTAATCCGTCATGGGGAGCGTGGCTGGAGAATGCTTGGTGGAGTTCTATTAGCCTTTACAGGCGTCGAGGCTCTATTTGCTGACCTTGGAGCCTTCAGCAGAAGAGCAGTCCAGCTCAGCTGGCTATGCTATACGTTTCCATGCCTCTTACTGGCGTACATTGGACAAGCCGCCTATATAAGTGTTCATCCGGAGGCATATTCAAACCCCTTCTTCAATGCTGTCCCTCCTGGGACTATCTATCCGGCGCTGATTATTGCCATACTGGCTGCTATTGTAGCTTCCCAAGCTATAATCACAGCCACTTTCCAGGTGAGCCATTTTCGGAAGAAACTTCAGATTCTCTAACCATGGGAGCAGCTTCTCCACCAAGTCATGAAACTTTCGTACTTCCCACAGTTGAAAGTCGTCCACACTTCTAGAATTTTCCATGGTCAGCTTTATATTCCTCTCGCCAATTGGCTCCTCATGATCGGAACGATATTGATAGCATCGATTTATAATAATGTACTTTACCCCCTTTTTCTTTGCTACAGGATCCGGGATCTAATAAATTATAGACTACGTCCCTTGGAAATGCTTACGGCGTGTGTGTCATGTTTGTCACGTTCTTCGACACGTGTATGGTTTCACTGACAGCAATCTTTGTTTGGCGTCTCACCCCGTTCCTGGTATTTTTCCCGTGGCTTATAATCGCTTGCCTGGATGCGACGTTCCTCTCTTCTGCTTTGACCAAAGTGCCTGATGGTGCCTGGTTTACAATCATGCTTGCCCTTATACTTGGCGCTGTGTTCCTGGTGTGGAGGTTTGGTAAAGAACAGCAATGGTTTGCCGAAGTGGAGGATCGATTTCCGACTTCTCATTTCGTTCGACCCGGCGCAGACAACCAACTAAATCTTACAGAAAGATTCCATGGTGATCCTATTAGCTCTATCAAAGGATTTGGGATCTTTTTTGATAAAGCCGGAGAGACGACCCCCACAGTCTTTAGTCAATTTATCACTAAGCTTACTGCAATCCCTGAAGTCATGGTTTTCTTCCACCTGCACCCTCTCGAAGCACCTTCAGTGGCCTTGGGAAATCGCCATTCCGTTTCTCGACTTGGAATTCCTAATTGCTACCGCCTTGTTGTTCGGTACGGATATAATGATGAAGTCATAACCCCAGATCTTGCGTCGGTGGTGTTTGAGCAAATCCAGCTCTACCACATCAACAAGAGCACAGTTACAAGGTTGTATGGAATGGATCAGACTGTAAACGACATCACTTTGCCGGGCCAACAAGCAATAGCGGAAAAAGTTGAAGCAGAGCAACTCGATCTTGAGTTGGCCAGACTTGAGGATGCTTTCTCACACAAGGTCCTATACATCATCGGAAAAGAGCAGATGAGGATCAAGGCCAAGACGAACTATTTCCGGAAGTTCCTGCTTCACATTTTTCTGTGGATCAGAGAGAACACGAGGACGAAAATGGCGAATTTGAATGTCCCTGTGGACAGGGTGATCGAGGTAGGGTTCTTAAAGGAAATCTGATCAGCCGTATGCTCTAAATACAGTCTACAAACTACGGATGGCCGTCAGGAAACATTGGAAGTCATCAGTGATCGAATTCTTCAAGTGTCTTGTAGCTGATGTGTTTTTTTTCCCCAGAGATCACAGAAGGACAAAGTTTGCGAGTCGGTGAATCGCCAGTATCATCCCGCCCAGATCTACAACGTCGTCTTTCGCATGATGTCTATGTTCTGATATACGTCCTACACGTCTTCACCTCTGTGGCTTCTTGCCTTGTAAAAAAGAACTTGAAAAGTCTCCTGCCTCCATACGCACACCAGTTGTTCTATGATTCAATTCGCATAACCGTTCTGGGTGCCCTTCGCCTCTCCACTTCTGTTCGCCTCGAGCACCTCTTCCGTCGTCCGAACGATGATGTCAAATGCCGCCCGTATATACTTCTCCTCCGCATTGGGATTCCCACTGACGACCCGTATGAAAGATTTGCCCCCGGTACTGGAGCAGGTCAAGAAGATCTCACCACGCTCATTGATCAGATCGCCGATCCTGGTGGTGATTTGGTTGGCGTTTCTTTCCTTCTGCTGAACCGCCGCGACCATGGGCTCGAAGTCCTCGCCTGTCTCGCCCGTCCTATGCACGCCTTGCAACGCCGCCACAACTTCCGGTTTGACCCTGAAACAGGTCAATGCAAAACGCGGTGTTGCGACAATCTCGTAGAGATCACTGCGCGACCGCACCAGGTCCACGAAGACCCCGCCGATCCTCACGCTGTTGCGGATATGTGCCTGTAGCCCACTGATACCGTAGCTCCGCATCACGAACCAGATCTTGAGGGCGCGGAATCTCCTGCCCAGTGGGATCTGCCAGTCACGGTAGTCGGTCACGAGGCCGCTGTCGCTGTGCTTGTTGACGTAATAGGCAGCAGAAATCGACAGAGCCCTCGTGAGATGGCTCCGGTTTTGGACGAACAGACACGAGGCGTCGAAGTTGACGAGCAGCCATTTGTGCATGTTCATGTTGAACGAGTCGACATGGATCATGGATGCTGAATATTGGGAGGAGAACTCGGGGCATACAAGCGCCGCTCCTGCGTATGCGGCGTCCACGTGGATCCAGACGTTGGGGTTGGATTTCTTCAGCACCGATGCGAGCCTTTCAAAGTCGTCGACCGCGCACGTCGACGTAGTGCCGAGAGTCAGTGTGATGTAGTAGGGTTCCAGGCCGTCCTCCTGACACTGTTTGAGGGCGGCTTCGAGGTCCGGGGCCTGTAAGGAGAGCTCGTTTTCAAACTTGGTCGGGATCGAGCGATACCGTGTCCCGGCTATCAAAGCGCCTTTCTGGGTCGAGCTATGTGCTTGATCGGAACTCAAAGCCACCAGTCTGCCGCGCAGGGAGGTGATGCGATTCTCCCTCTCCTTAGATTCTGGGGCAAGACCTTCCGCGTCGCATCTTGCGTGTAGATACCTCTCACGTGCAGCGACCATACAAGTCACAATGGCCTCCGACGCAGAGCCCTGGATGGTCCCACCACCGCCGTTGGGACTGGTGCTGAGAAACGCCTTGGGCAGATCAAACGCCTGAGCAAGCCAGTCCATCACGACGGTCTCCAGCTCAGTGCACGCCGGCGAGCAAAGCCAGTTGAAGGCCGGTGCGGTGAATGCTGCAGAGTATATCTCACCCAGCATACTCGGGTACGTCACGCCTGCGGGGAAGAAGGCCATGAAATTAGGGGACTGCCAGTGCGTGAGCCCTGGGACAATCTTGGACGCGATGTCCGGTTGAATCGCCGTCCATGGCTGTGGTTCCTCTGGTGCTGATTTTGGGAGTTGCGGTGCAAGGAAGCCTGGTTTGATGGTCGGAAGAACTGGGTAGTTCTCGATATTCTGATTGTAGGCAATGACTGCGCGACATGTCAGATTAGTCAGGGGTTTCTTTCTTGGAGAACTCTTTTCAATCCCAAAATGATATACTCGAACTGTCGTCGGAAATGACGGAACGAGTGAAAAAGGCACTAAACAAGGACTTTGAACATACTCTCTTCAATCGCGGCGTGCGCTGCTTTTCTGAATTCGTCTGCGTCCATCCTCGAACTGGGTACTGTACGATTGAATCCTTTCCTGTGTATAATCGATAATATCAAAGGCGCACTGGAAAAGCGATGTCCTCTGGGTGTCTTGAATGAAACGACCAAGCAGAGCATTCAACCCAGTTCAATCCAAGGCCGAGCAGCGAGCTGAGTCCTATCCTCGAACTCCGTCTATAATTTGCATAGAAGGTCAAAGAAATCTGAATGTCAAAAGGATTGCCACGCCCTTTCGAGATGCAACAAGGTTTGTCCAGCCACATCGCAGCAGTACGAGTAGTTACGGAACGGCGGTGGAAAGTGCATATGTGCGTAGCCCACAGAACAGGGGTGGTTTCGGGGATGACGGCGAATTACTCGTCAGAGCCGTCAGATATGTGCGCTTTGTTTCCGCGCTGGGGTCCCGTTTAGGCAGTCGAGGTCGCTGAATGATTGCTTATCATATTAAATTACACATTCGTACCCCGGAGTAAAGTCGTCAGCAGAAGTGCATAGTCGAATGCCTTCAGCCTCACTGTCCATGGACCCAAGGGGTCACGCAGGCTGTCAATGAGAACATCGGTTATTCATTTACACACCCTTGGCTTGTGCTGAGCCGGGGTATATGTTACACAACACTACTGTTGCACGAGATATGACAGTGATGGTCGCCACGCTCGGGAAGCTGACCTTATCTATACAAGTTCATGTCGACTGAGGCCCTTTCCCCCCTGAAATTTCGCATTTCAACACTCGTTAGCAGGGGTTACCGGAGCAGAGTGGCGTCGATATCAGGTGGCACCTCGAGGGAGTCTGGTCTTTTGGAAAGCCATTCTCTAGCTAAGGACTTGAGATTCCAGGTCTGGTTGAAGGCGGTGGCTGGCAATTGGAGGGGTTTCCCTTGACGGTGGACCGAAGAGAGTTGACCTTGTCAAGATTCCTCAAACACGAAGACTCCCTTGCCTGCTCTGAAGCCGCCCAGAGTACCTTGAACGGCCTCCTTCAGGGTTCCGGCATCAGTTCCCCAACCCCAAGTGCATTCCTGCACTGGGATGTCCCTGAATTTCCCCTCGCGAGTCAACCTCAGCACATCCTCGACGGTCTGTTTCTTCTGGTCCGGATGCCTGTCGCTCCATTTGCTGACCCAGAAGCCATTGAATGATATCTCCTTGAATATCAGTAGTGATGCGGGCAATGTGACGGGCTGTTTGCTCATTGCTCCGTAAGTCACCATTGTCGCGCCAGGACTGAGGAATTTAGCGAGCGCTGTTGCTGGCTTGCCTCCGACACAGTTCAGACCAACTTTGACTTCTTCACGGCCACCATTGGTCCATTCTTTGATTTGGTCCCTGATCTCGCGGCCCTGGAGTTCATCCTCGGTGATGACTTTTGTGGCGCCGATGTCGAGCAGTTCTTGACGGAGTTTCTGTTCTTCTTGCTTGTCCTCGCGGCCGCGGATGACATTGATACTCTTGAAGCCCCACTCTTTGCCCAATTGTATCGCTGCTCGGCCCACGCCGCTATTGGCGCCGTTTTGGATAAACCATTCATCTCCACGGAACCCCCATTTGGCCGAGTCCAGTAGCATGCGATACGCCGTGCATGGATTGACCGATACGGTCCCAGCTTGTAATGGCGTGAGGCCCTCCTTATTGTCAATTTTTAGTAGTTTGCTCTCGTTGATATCCATATGTGTCCGCCATGTGCCTTGAGACGTGTATTTCATGATGACCCAGTCGCCTTTGCTCAAGCTCTTGACACCAGATCCTGTGCTTATCACCTCTGCCACTCCCTCGTTTCCGGCTACGGCAGTGGGCTCCGGTGTACCGAGTGACGTGCTCATTGCCGGTTTGGAGGGATACACGCCTTGAATCTGGTTGACGTCGGCGGGATTAATGGGCGCCACGAGCATGCGAACAACGACGTTGGTCCCGGAAACAGGAGAAATGGAGTGGCCGTGGAGCGACAAGACGTCCCGCGGCTCGCCATATTTGGAATATACCAGAGCTTTGGCCTGGGTATAGCCGTAACTGCTGATTGCTCTCCGGTTAATCACGAGAGGCTCAGAGGACAATATCGGCCGGGTTCGTGGCCCGAGTGCTCGCGTTGCCGTTCTAAACGACGGCATGATTGAAGTGCTCGCCGACGAAACGTAAAAGATTCTCTAAATCTTACTGCTCCCACATTGGAACGACGCTGGGTGGAAATTGTGGTTTCAACCAAGACAATCCTGCATTGTCTCCGCTCGAACAGAAGTCTCGGAATGGAATCCCGCAGGAGCTATGTCATTTCCCGCTTGACTTGCCATTTTAGGAAACAAGGCTTTCAGGCGTTAAATTCACAAATAAGCTGCAGATTCGTTCTCAAATCCGATTAAATGCTATGTTCGACAAGTTTTACTGGGTGCATGCGGGCTTCCTAGCGCTTCCATCAGACTTGCTAGCTAGCATCAGAATCTATACGGTTTATGGATGACAGTCATAGTTCCACGTTCCGTTCTTCTCGCGAAGGCCACCGTGGCTATACAATCCTAGGTTTGGTCAGATTCTCTTATCCATGCCCTGCCATTCACCAGTGAATGCGTCATCAATCTGTGGCCATTGGAAATCCTGTAACAGTGCCTCTGGCGACCAGTCAAGACCCATCAAGTTCAAGGGATCTTGCGAGAACGATCCTCGATGATCGGCCCTTGCTGTCGGGTCTCTCCGATTGGCAGACTCATCCGGAATCGTGTCATAAGAACCAGGTTGACCCCCAAATTCTTGTCGCCAAAGCCAAAAACAGTCAAAGCATATGCTAAATCCGAGGCGACTTCTGCACCGAAGCCAAAGGCTATCTGGCGTCCCATCGGGCCCCCTGATAACTGACTTGCTGGTAAACAACTGTGGCATGATGATTGTCACTCGGGCCGCGACATCATCAGACCTCACACTGTGACGCTTTGACATGGCTATGGCTGCGAAGTAACCGCGTTTTCCACGATGTTGGTCCACATTTTCGCGCAGGTGCGACTTGCCGATCCGTAAGATCACAAATGCCGCTAATAACACCATGGTGTTGTTGAAGAAAGGCGCGTAGTCCGCGAACTGCTCGGTTGCATCCAGCTCCATAGCAACTTCAATAGTCTCGCAAGCATCATCGTACATGGTGGTCAGGATGCCTGGTGCAATATATCGCGATGGAGCTAGTAGGTTGCAGGTCGATATTGCCAATCGGCTATTGAGCAGATAGAAGCGGTCTTCAAACACTTAGCCATAGATTTGACCACCAGAATGGATGCTGCTCACCAGTTTTAGAGAGACAGTCAATGGCCAATTCATCAAAGCGTGTCAGCCACGTATCAACAGTCGATTGTAAAACGAATGCCCGGTCGTCTATGCTCTTGGAAAGCGCGTCCCTCTGGATGGCGAGATTTGCCTCGCTGTGGAGTTGAGACAAATTCTTCTGAAACCGAACGCTCTGGGGCAAAGTCGAGCAAGGGTCTTCGCTGGATGATTGATGATCATAGGTATCCTGAAATATAATCGGCGGAAAGCCACGCACGTTGTTGGTCCTGTTGCACCACATCAGCCAATCTCCACAGAGCCGTCGTGTAAACCTACCTTTGGCAAACCGAAAGGCATATCGACCACAGTCGAAACCGAAAACACCGCTGTTCACGGTCGTACCGAAGAGGCACCCTTGAAAAATCATGGGCGGATCCAAACACGTGTAACCCCACATTTTGGGCGAGTTGCAGCAAGCCTCCTGCAAGCATCGGAGTCAGATCTTTTTGCAGAGTGTCGATCGGCATTGGCCAGTGACACAGGAGGATGAGCGCCTGGATTGTCGGCAAGACCTTTTCTGTGGCAAAGACCGCGCTCTTGGCCATCTCGGTCACTTCGGGTGACAGAAGGAGTATCAAGGTTGGGTCTTTTACATATTTTCTCGCACCGATGGCGACGATTGTCCAGAACAGAAACGGTGATAGAGTATAACAGTCATTTGGGCGCAACTCCGTATCAAATACAGGGGTGTAACGCAAGTGCTTCTTGAAAAATCTGTCCCCGGTATGAGTATCCAAACCCAATAAAGGCGAGAACGCAACACTGACAGTGAAAAACACTCATCAATGTCTTGAGGATCAACATTGAGGTCTCGAATTGCCTGTCCTTTAGTAGGATTGGATGGGCTTGCTATTGATTCGGCGGAAAACAAGTCTGGAGCAGGTGGATGCGATGGACCAGGCCCGTTGTTCGGAGAACTTGAGTTGAGACCTCCTTGAAACGTGTGAGAGTCTGCTTCGGACACAGCGATGTCGTTACTTTGACTATGGGGGGTGTTTGAAAATCGTGGCTGGGCAGGGGACTGATTGATATCGAGAGGCAATGCAGGTCCCTGAACAGATGAGGCGGCGGTATCAACTCGCTGTCGAAGAAAGTCTAGTTCTGCCTGCAGTTCCGACTTACTAGACAATAGATATCAGCATGCTGCGTCTGGTCTCCCCAAGTCAATACGAACGTTTGTCGCTTGACCCGCCTGAAATTTTGGCTCAGCGTGCACTGTCGTCCGAACCGATTGCACCGGGAGCACGGCTGAGAGTAGTCCGCCCGAGCATCACATCTTAGCTATAACATGAGTCAAACCATCAAACTCTCCAAGTACTGTGGAGTTCCAAACTTTCCTTCAGTTGCCTACAATGGTCGCAGGCCTTGATTTTATTCCCTCTTCCAGTGGGAGATGGTCCATTCATCTTTCAGATATCTTCAAAGTAGGAGAATGTTGAGCACCTATTGCCTTGACCACATAATGGCGGATGAAGATTTATTGAAGGCCAGGAGACGTGGGACACTCAAACATTCGAGATGAGTGGTTGAGAATTCCCCGCTGAATGCGTATTCAAGGTCTATTTGCTCGACGCTGCTTCTATCGGGGACGTTCATCAGAACGATCATGAGAGGAATCAACCGGGTACTTTAGATGCATGGAGAAGTGCTTCTTGACAGCAATATAGCTGAAGAGTCCAACTTGCTCCAAGTCCCTTTGTTGATAGCTTGGATAACTATGGAGGGCCCTCATCACGCAAGACTGATATTTCACGTGGTACCGAGCAGCGGTTGGCAATTTGCCAATAGCGCCAGACGATTGGTCCCGTTTGAATCTCGGAAGTCGGAGCTCTGTATTTCCGGGCTATCACGTGATCTTGAAAACGATTGACCTTCAAACCCGCGGTTTGCCTTGACTGGAATCCAGGATTTCTGGTCAATCCGTTTGAGCGTCCGTGTACGCATTGTTCGACGCTGATGCGTGTCGGCCGTGGTCGTCCTCATGTATTGCTCTATTCAGATGTCTTGGAGCTGCTCTCCCGGTCTCAAGTCGACAAACACTATGGAAACCCGTACATCTCCCTCATCCGGGATCTGGCTGCGGCACCAGAATCTCTCCTTCACCGGGCCATGGTAGACCATGAAATGCACCAGACTGCAGACTCTAATGCCGGTGTTTGTAAGTACGAACTTAATTGGGGTCAGCTAAACAGTACCGGGACTGACGTGCTACCATAGCTCGGGCGAAATCAGTCCTCCATGGCTACACGGTGGTGGTCAAGGACAACATCAACACCCAAAATCTCCCTACCACATGTGCGTCGAATATGCTCCGTGGCTTCCAACCCCCTCGCAAAGCTTCTGTGAGCCTGTTGCTGGAACAGGCGGGTATGGTGCTGCTGGCAAAGACCAATATGGATGAATTTGGCATGGGCTCGCATTCTCGAAATTCTGCCTTTGGCCCCGTGACAAATGGCGGCTCGATCAAAGGGACGAAAGACCCAGATGCTCTTTCGGTCGGTGGCAGCTCCGGCGGAAGCGCTTTAGCTGTCGCGGCTAACCTGGCACACATTGGTATTGGCACAGACACCGGAGGGTCTGTAAGACTGCCGGCGGCATATATGAGCATCTGCGGATTCAAACCCTCATATGGGCGTATATCTCGAAATGGGGTAATACCATATGCCAATTCACTCGATACGGTTGGCATTCTTTCTCGCACGGCAGAAGAAGCTAGGCACGTGTTGGAAATTCTTGACCAACCCGACGACAAAGACCCAACCTGTCTTACCCTGGATTCGCGCACACGTATCAAAGCAGCCAGATCAGAACAGGGGCTGTTGCCCGAGGAGAGCGTCTATTTTGGTGGCGTTTTCAGACCATTCCCAGGAACCGCCCCAAAGGTGGGCCAGGAGACAGCCAGATTCTCTGTCCACCACAAGTCGAGAAGTTGGAAGCAGAGGATTGGAGTTCCGCTGGAATACAATATCGCAGAAATGCATCCCCTAGTTCGCTGGTCCTGGGTCGCCACTTTGAGTTTTCTGCAGTCCCAAGACTGTGAGATACTTCCCATATCTTTACCATCCACAAAGCATGCTCTGTCAGCTTACTATATCCTTGCCCCTGCGGAAGCTTCATCGAATCTGGCAAAGTATGACGGTGTCCGCTATGGGGAGAAGCGATCCGGCGAGACAGATGACGACAGTGATCAGCTCTACGCTAGGCATCGTTACGAAAAATTTGGTCCGGAAGTCAAACGACGCATTCTCCTCGGCACTTATAGCCTGAGTGCGGGAGCTATGGACAACTATTTTGTTCAAGCACAGAAGATTCGGCGAATGGTTCAAAACGACTTTGATTCAGTCTTCAACATGCGAAACCCTCTCCGCAGTGATGCACCCCAAGTCGAAAATGGCGTCGATCTGATTGTTTGCCCTACAGCCCCAACACCCCCACCACATATTGATTTCTTGGAATCGAGCACACCTATCGAGTCATACATGAACGACGTGTTTACCGTACCTGCGAGCCTGGCAGGTCTGCCGGCCATTTCGGTGCGGGGTCCAGAGCACCCTGATCATCCTTGGACACCTGAATTGTCTGTCGGGATGCAGGTAATTGGACAGTATGGCGATGACAAGACGGTCTTGGAATTTGCAGAGAACGTGCTAGAGCGTTTCCACGACAAAGCGAAAAGGAACAATCTCCAGCCGAAGAAACGGATGAAGTCTTAGAAGAGGCAGTTGATGTAACAAATGTACCAATGCAGCTGCAGCGCCATGTACAATAAGTGCCACCGGTGTGGATAGAGTGTATCGCCCTACCTAATAATATGCGACCACAATACGGAGCACAGAAATTCCCATCCCCCTGAAATCTCAACTCCTTTAATCCGCGTAACACGTGATTGTAGATCCTGGCGTTTCAGAACAGCCCCCATTCAATCTCAATTTTGTACTAGTCACTGCTTACCGATTGACAAAGTTCAGCCATCCTTCTGAAGATGGCCATCTATTGTTTGAAAGCCTTGTAAGTCATTTCACTCCTCGACATCTCCGTTTGTTAGCGAAAATGAATCAACAAAAATGGTGCAAAAGGCTGCTCGGTCGTTAGAGCCCCTATTCCATCTGAAGCCTGATCAAGGATCTTCGGCAGGGGTTGGCGCGGCACACGGTGGCCCTGGGAAGATCGCGACTACTCCCTGCATACGGAGTACGGATTCGGCTTCAGATTCTAGCTCTATCGGAGAGCGGGGATTTCTCTGGTAATCTTACGGATATTCGTACCTGGATTGAGAACGGGCTGAATTCAACTGCATGAGCGTCAAGACGGGCAATCACTACGGCAGGCATGAACGACGAGTTTCGCCATGAGCGACTCAAGCTCCCTGGTGGGTTCATGCGACTACTCCAGATCCAGGGTAATACCGGTGGTGGCGGCGGCGGCGGCAGTGGGGTCGGTGTCGTCAACATCAGCAGCATTAGCAACAATACTCCAAAGGACACGATATCTCTCCGTATAACACAATATGCCATTCACCGGCTCCCGCGGTACGTGGCCATCTCATACACATGGGGCTCGGCGCTTATGACGCGGCCCATCCGCGTCAACGGACGACCGTTCTACGTGCGGCTCAACCTGTGGCACCTCCTCTGGCACTTGCGACAGCGAGGTGAGAGCCGGTTCCTCTGGATCGACGCCTTGTGCATTGACCAGAAGAACCTCGAGGAGCGTAATTTCCACGTCCAGCTCATGGGCAACATCTACGATAAAGCCGTGGTCGCAATCGTCTGGCTCGGTCTCCCCAGCGATGACCGCCGCCAGGCTCGCGTACTGGAGTTCATCGCTGAGATGTCGGCATTTGGCCGGGCTAAGCATGGGGGGAAGGGTGTCGTTCTTGACGAGACTGACATGCTGACCATGTTCCGTCACCAGTTCTTGACCGAGACTTCGACGCAGCGCTGGCTCAATGTCCTCGAGCTGTGCAAGGGAACCTATTGGACCCGCACTTGGATCATTCAGGAGTTTCTGCAGGCGAGCCAGGTCCAGGTCCTCTGCGGCACGGCCAGTCTCGAGTGGGCGTGTTTTGAGGATGTTGTGCGCAAGATGAGGAAGATCTTGACGGCCGCGTCGCACGAACAGCACCAACAGCAACCCAAACAGCAAAAGCAGCAAGCAGCACTCCCGAGTTTCGTGACTCAGTTCATGCAGACGCTGCCCGTGCGCCTGACGATACGGAGGATCTTCCACACCTCGTCTACGCTGGAAGAGTTGATCTCCGAGTTCTACGACTCCAGGTGTGCCGAGAGGAGAGACAAGATCTACGGGATCCTCGGGATCGCCGACGACTGCGGTGAAAGAGTTGAACCTCCTGAGAACGCCGTTGTGCGCATTGGTCCCAAGCCCGACTATTCCCAGCACATCATGGACGTGTACTTCGGGGTCTTCGACTACCTACTATCCCCAGCAAGCCCGGGGTCGTCGCCGCTGCAGGCGATCTACCTGACGCAGAAGTCTTTGGGCCTGTCGGAGAATGATCTGGTGTCATATGTCGACAGCCTATCTCGCCAGAATCAACAAAGAGCTAGGGGCCAGGACACCGATGCCGCTCTCTCGGACCTGGAGGTACGCCTGTTCCGGTCCAAACTTCCACTCCGCCCAGACTACATCAACGTCATCTCCGAGGTGCTGCCCGGGTGGACGAGCATGCGGGACCTGCGCCAGCGACTTGAGCAGGTCGACTGGGCGCGCTACGTCGGCCACGAAGTGAAGCGCAAGCCACTCGGGGCGGCGCGGCTGTCTTCTTCCGGCTCAGGCTCAGGCCCAGGCTCGGGGCTAACGCCGACTCCAACGACGACACCTCAACGGAGGAAATCGTCGTCCAACGCTGCTAGCATAGAACTAGGATTCGACACAGCGACAGCAGCGACGGGATCATCGCCATCAGGCACAAGCACGCCCACCGCAACAGGCCGGCCCGTTCGCGCGCCTTTACCGGAAAACATGCTCGACAACGTCGTGTACATGGCGGACCACGCTCACGACACCCTCCATGCTTTGTACAATTACTGCGCCGAACCAGCCAGTGACAGTCGCAGCAGCACCACCCCCATCCCGCTCTCACACATCCAGCTGTCTCCGCACGAGAAACGGGCACACCTCAACCCCACGCTGGCGAAGCCCAGCATCATCATCGAATCGTGTCCCGCGAAGGGCGTCGGCCCTGTACGCATTGGGTTCGCGTGCACGGAGGCGCGCGCGGGCGACCTGGTCTGCCAGTTCAACGGGCTAGAACAGACGCTTGTGGTGCGTCGAGGCGATGCCGCTGGCGGTGGTGGTCCTGGCGTGAGTCTTGTGGGCCTGGCAAGGATGGTTTCGCATCCAGGTCTGCGGGAGAGGGGCGTGCATCCCGCTGCTGTCAGGACGCCGGGGTTGATGGGCTGGTCCGGGTGTGTGCTGCCTCCTTCTCCTCCTTCTCCTCCTCCTATGGATCAGGAGTCGGGGGAAGCTAGTGCCGTGGTGGTCGTAGATTTGCCGGCCGCCGGGCACGATGGCGACGCGTACAACTACACGGTGGACATGGACCCCGTGAGCTGGTGGGAAGTGCTGCGATAAGGACGGCACGAGATCCTCCCTCCACAACACAACCGTTTGTTCCCTTTTCACATCACGCGCGGTTCATCTACGAGTACGTACTTATATAACTACGGGCTACGCCTGGCTTCGCCAAGGCCTGTGACCGATCATGCAGCCTCGAAATTCGAGTCTCGCGGGCTCTCCCTCCCTCCTCCCCAGACGAGAGTGCGGCTATGGATGGCGATGCGAGGGGAGAGAAGAAGAAAATGTGCAGCAACAGCCACAAGGCTGGGTTCACGCATGGGACGATTGGAGTCCGGACAAGGAGACGCCAACATAGAACCTGGGAAGTCTCACTTCTACGCCCCCAGTTTCCTCCCAGCTCGAGCGCTGGGCTGACCCCATGATTGAGACGAATGGGACAGTTTGAACGAACGGCCCAAGAGAACAGAGAGATCGGGAGAAGGCCCTGTCGGGACAAGAGGCTGGAGGGCCGGTCACGGCAGCCTAGTACCTGAGTGAAAGTCGGGAAGAAGGGCTCGATCACGCACCCTTCTTAAGAGGAGGGCTCTGCAGGGAAGTGGGGGTTCAAAAGGCAGGATTCTCCCGAATAACGATGACAAGAAAGTGGAAACCCGGGAGGGACGGTGGACAGGACATTTAGGGGTCAAGGGGATGGAATGGATTTCATAGGTCTCGTCATTCATTTGATGCCAGCGCCTTGCCGCTATCTCCGTTCTGACTATTGGCCTGCGCTGGGGGTGAAAGGGCATTAGAATCCACATCTATAGATATAAGCATATCAGCCCGTGATTTCCATGGTATCATCGCCATCGTCCCTCTTCTCCACGATGGCATCCACAGCCATCGAATCACCCTCCGCCTGCCCCGACCTGTTCCTGCCAGCGAGCAGCTCCCTCCTGACCTCAGGCCCGATTTCCCGATGGCCCCTGGCAAGGAGAAGATCCAACAGTGCCTCCCTCTGATCCTCAGTGATTTCATTGCGGTACGTCTGGGCAAAGATCAATAGACTCTGGTGCCACAGGACCGGCAGCTTGGCTTCCTTGCTGCCCAGGCCGGCTGACTCTTCGCCGTTGACATCTCTGCTTGCACGGAAGCGGAGGAAGTGGAAAACCAGGGCGTCGACGACCTTATACGGCAGGGCATATTTCTTGCCCAGCAGGACCCGGATGAAGATGTTGGCGGAGCCAGCCGCCTCGCTGTTGATGCTGCTGGTCTGCTCGGCACAGATTTCGCACAGCCGTAAAAGAGCGGCGGCGGAGTGGAGCACGGGGATTTTGATCTTTGCGAGAACGCTCGAGATGATGTGCGCTTCTCGGAGTGTGCAGCTGGACTCGACTAGGGGGAACAGGAAGCCCTTGAAGAATGCGCTTGCGCGGTAGAAGGCGGCTTTGAGGGCGTTGTACAAGTGGACGTTGAGTTTCTTGGTTTCCTGGATGTCCTCGCGCACGCGTTCCAACAGCACTTCAGTGCAGAAGAATTGCCCCGTTGCAGACGGTGCGGAGATGAATATCTTCGTGGCACGGTAGACGGCATGGGGAGTCCATTGGTCCGGGCGGGTCATGGCTAGGAGGTCAGGCCACTGTGGCAGAGTAGGGAGGACTTTGAAGGGTTTCGGAAGCGGTCCCGATTTGTAACGAGAGAGAAGCTGCCCGACTCTAGTGAATGTCTCGGCGACTCTGGCAGGAATCTCGACGGCGTCGGGTGGTGGAATGAATGCCGGTTCCTGCCCTGACGCCCTGGCCGCGTCCCGAGCCTCTTTCTCCGCAATCCGTTGGAGGATCAATTCGGTCAGGTTCGTCGTCTGGCCCTCTCCGTCGGCGTCGGCGTCGGCGTCGTCGTCTTGTGAAGGTCCGGGAGCCGAACCATCGAAATCCCTAGGTTCTGTGGAGAGGTTGGCCATGCTCGGGGCAAAGTCGCCCAGGTCCTCTCCTGGATTCAAGAATTTCTTGTAGACGGCGAGATCTTCGGGGTCCATATCATCTTCTTCCACAACGATGTCCTCGTCATCCTCTGGAACCCACTCATCTTCCTCAGTGTATTGTCCAGCATCTTGGTCTTGATCATCTCCCGCAAACCTTGAATCAAATCCAAATGCGGAATGTGGGGAGGTGACTGGATTGACGACAAGGTTCCGGTCGGCAGCGTCCTCGTCTGCGAGGTCCTGTGCAATGGCTAGGATTTTACTCGAAGACCGAGCGTCGATGTATCCGTCTCCAAGAGCATTCTCGTCGGAACGAGATTTCCTCTTGCCAGTGATGGACCTTGTGCGGAGACGGCCACCCGCGGACGAAATGTCATGCTCAAGGGGGTTGTGACGACGTGAGGTTGCCATTTTTGACATTGTGACGGCGAGGACAGAGCGTTCAGGCGCAGATGGTGGCGTATGTGTGTGTGGTCAAGTACGCAATCCCAACTTACTGAAGTCCGACTTTTCCAAAATTATGGGATTCGATGGGTGGACGTGGCCGAGGATTATCCGACGACAGCCGGAGGTGCTGCTTAGTCATTCATGGCTTGGCACGCGAATCCCCCAGATTCACGTTCAATCAGGTTTCACAGCACAGAGGACCGACCTTGAACGGTCAATGACCCTGGTAGAGGCTATGCTTACGAATGTTCAATGGTCAATACTCCTGATTACGCATGTAGAATGGCGGTCAATGATTGTCATCATGAGATTGGGTCAAACGATCAAGTATACGGGGTACTTTGATGGTTGAGATCTCAACTGCACCACATTGAAATCTAGAGATTGGTCGAGAGGGAACAACGGTGGGCCAAAGGAAGTTGGAGGCTGATGAGGAAATGAGGTCCGAACAGAGATCGATAAATAGATGCATTGACAGCTCGAGGAGAGACGGTGGTGAAGGAGGCTACAGTTTGACGTACACCTCTCTACGAGCAAGGCAGTTGGCTGCATGATAAGCGAGATGTCCAGGAGTGAGGGTAGGACATGGTTAGGCAATGAAAGGTTGGGTTGACAACTCGACTACACAGTGAGGGAGACGTGGAAATCAATGATGATGAATGGGCAGATATGGTATGTGAGGACGTCAATGGGTCCCTTTTGCACGACCAGTGTGCAGACTGGCACGAAGAAAACGGATAAGCTTGGGATTGGCGTGCAGCCGGAGCGTGCATGATCATGGGAGACGAGGACCAGTCATTGATCATAACCACAGTCTTGGGACAACCAAGACTTGTGCGATGGGGGCAGGACTCTGGAGACTCGAAACGTCAAAGATGTCGGTCGGGGTGCAGGGCACAAGGGACGGTACGGAGGCATCCTCTGGGTCCCTTGTCCCGCCCAGGCCAGGTCTTGGTCGCAACAGACGGAATCGGCGATGGCACGTACAACAACGGGAGACCATGTGAGATCGTTGGGTACGCGGTACGACATTGAGCAGCTCTCGCGTAGTCAGTTGAACGTAGGACTTGGTGTTCGTAGGGAGTCAAGGACGAAGAGAGTACGGAGGGCCCAAGCAGCAAATTGGGAGGATGCAGATAGATGAGATTATGCAAGATTGAACAGGCTGGACTCCGGATTGCTTGGATGCCGCATTCTTCCCTAACCATTTCAACTCTTAGTCGCATGTGAAAAGGCCAGCTTCAGCTACGGATGCAGACAGAGAGCATCCAGTTCGTAGTACGGAGTATCTAGTGGTGCGCAGAGCTCAAAGGCCGGGGGAGGGGGAATCGGCGAGGGGCGAGGGGCAGGGGGGCTCATTGGCCTTGGCCTTGGTATCGTTGCTCGTACTTGTAGGTCTCAACGAGTAGGTGGGCAGGCGGGGCGATCTTTGGCCGCCTCTGGGCTGCGGGCTGTGGGCTGCACTCCAAATTGGCAAATCTGCATGCCAGATCCAGGGAACGTCCGCTGCAACTCTGCGAGCCGGCTAACTAGTGACACTGACCACCAAGCTAGCTAGTTAAACACGGAGGAAGCCGAGGAAGTTCACCCCTCGCGACTCGCGAATTTAGGCACTAGCCACCTAGTACTCAGTTGAGTTAGGCGTGGTTCTCGGGGGCGTGGGTAGGGTAGGTTCCCGGGTTCCGTTGTTTTGCCATGTTACCTTTCTATCTACCACGTGCCGGGGGAAGAGACACGCACATCGCAAGGGACGGGGGGGTTTATGGTGGCCTGTGCGGGCGCCTGTGTCTGCCTGTAACAATGCTTCTGAACAATGCAGTGGCCAAGGTAGCGACAGCAAAAAGAAAAGAGGAAGGCGGACAGTGCGTTGCAACTCTAGTCCGTACCATGGTCCATCACCCCAAACACCTCCATATACCGAGTGTGTACGGAGCATATACGGAGTACTGCATTTCACAGCCCCGAGCCATTCCATGTGACCGTGGACCTGGTAAAATGTACCCGTCTAATGGTCCAAGGTACGATGGACAAGCAGTTGGTTCTCCGTCACGCTCGATCGATCCCTAATGTGTAGTCGGTAATGATGCTAATTATTAATTAATTAATCAATCAATCAATGCGAAATAGATTAACGTTACTATTACCGTACGCTCTCCATCCGCGACTTGCTTGGATCTGTGGACTCTGATCTCGTATCCTGGTCTCCTGGTCTCCTTCGTTCGACTTTCTCGCCTCGATCTCCTCCTCTTCTTCCCCTTCTTTTCCCTTCCTCCTCCCAATCCGGTTCACCCGTGGTCTCCCGCCTCTCTGGAGTCTCGAGTCTCTTCCCACTCGCTCGTATCCTTGTTCCTCTTCCCTATCTCTCCTCCCTCCTCCATCCTCCCTCCATCTGCCCCATCTCCCTGATCCTCGGAGGAATCGCATCCCCTCCCATCTCCGTCTCTCTCCTCTCTTGACCGAGTACTCGTCTGCTTGTTCAATCAACCCCCAGACCCTCCTCTCCCTCTGTCCTCATCCTGTCTCGTGTCGAGCATTCATTTATCGACCTTCACGTTCATCCCAAGCTCGAAACCGCCCATCCCTGCTCCTCGTACTCTATATACAATTCAACTCTTGTCCGCGGCCTGTCCGAGTTGGGGCGCCCGCCCAAACTCTTTTCAACCTACGTCGTGCATCTCCTTTTTGTTCTGGAACAAGCCGCCCCCAGCCTAATCAGCCAACGATTCGTTAGTTGCTCTTCCGAGTCTCCAGTGCTGAGAGCCGCAAACTCTGGAGTCACTTTACTCCTTCTTTGATCCGCCCTTCAACTCTCGCAGTCTCCTCTTCTTGCTGCTTGCTTGGTACTCGCTACTTGATCCTGCCACCGATCTGTCTCCTCAAAGCCAACCTGCCACTCCGGCAACTCACCACCACCACCACCACCACCACCACCACCACCACCACCATCACCACGACGTCAACGTGGACCTCGCACCTCCAATTCCGCCTGCCTATCCTCTCTGTGTACCATCACATCACGTCTCACACCTCACACCCTCCTCACCCATCCTGATTGTGCGCTCCATTCACATTTGACATCACACATCCCGATCCGATAGGAAACAATTCCCGTCCACAACTCAACACACCCTCCACCCTCCACCCTATCCTTCTCTCTCTTCGTCCCACGCCCATCTTTCCGGTCGCCTCCCTCGAACCCTCCACGGCCTCCGCCTTGCGCCAACAATATCAAGCTGCCATTCCAGCCTCGATCGCAAGTTCCGGCAACACGACCTGTACCCCATCAAGCCTCTCTGCCCTGTTTTCTCCCAAATGTGTGGCTCGCTCCACTCTCCGCGCATTGTATTGATGCTTTGCATGACCTGAACCACACGACCACCCTCCAGACGGCCCCCGATATACCGCAACACCTGAATATACATTATCGATTCCTCTCCACCATGAGTACCATGTTTCAACCTGCACCTAGAAACCTCTTTGGCTCCCCTATCGAACCTTCCCCGAGGGCAAGATCAATGGCGATTCTCCCCCAGAACACGCCCACCAACATCAACACGTCTCCCAAGTCCTCTCAGGACGATCACATGCAAATCACCTCGCCCGCTGCTCCAAACATGGGCCCTCCAGGAGGTCAAGGTGGCACGAGTCCAGACGGTGATCCCGCCAACATGGCCAATGGCAACCGAGATTCAAGCTCAATGGGCATGGGCGTTGGCTCCGCTGGAGCCGTGGGTGCTTCCCAAGGGCCAAAAGTCGTGCAGACAGCATTTATCCACAAATTATACAGCATGTTGGAAGACCGGTCAATTCAGCACCTAATCTCATGGAGCAACACGAATGAGAGCTTCGTCATGTCCCCTTCCAACGAGTTTTCTAAGGTCCTAGCACAATACTTTAAGCATACAAACATTTCCTCCTTCGTGCGGCAGCTGAATATGTACGGATTCCACAAAGTGAGTGATGTCTTCCACACTGGCTCACCCGAGTCCGCTCTGTGGGAATTTAAACACGGGAACGGCAACTTCAAAAAGGGTGACCTGATTGGGTTGCGGGAGATCAAACGTCGCGCTTCGCGGCACACTCTCATACACAGGGATTCCTTCTCCAATGCCAAACCAGGTGTTTCACAACCTGGCACGCCGGCCGAGGTCATGCCAGACACCGATCAGCGGCTGGCGGGATTGGAGCAGGCCTTCTACGACGTCCACGCCCGACTACAAAGGACCGAAGACAGTTACGCGATGATGAGTTCGAAATGTCAAGCCCTGACCGAAGGCTTGGTACGCTGCCACCAATGGCTACACAATTTTACCACCGCATTCCAGAGCGTGTCTTCACCTGAAAATGCCTTGTACAGCGATATCACGAGCATGCAAAAAGAAATCGCTCGACAACTTGAATTCGTTCGCGCGCTTGAGACGCCTACAGATCCTGTGCCAAACGGCAGGCCCTCCTTTTATCCTGGCAGCTCCGCCCTAGAGCCTCCTCTTTCACCACGGGGCTACAATTATCCTGATAGCCGGCGGTCTTCGATTCAAATTGAACCACAGCATGTCGGCTTACGACCTCCGGTGCCACCGATTCCTCCTCAATTCTCTTCATCCCCACGAAGATTTGGTTCCGTCAGTATTCCCCAGGCGTCACCCGGCTTCAGTCGCCCCGCCCTCCCACCTCAACCGCCGCCCAGTGTGCATCCACTTGCTTCGGTGACAACCCCGCCTCCACTAAATCTGGCGCGGAGACACACCTCCGCCGATATCCGCGAACATGGCTGGCCTCCGAACAATAATCCCAACGGATCGCCTTATGCCTCTGGCCATTCATCTGTGCACTGGCAGCCATCATCACCACAGCAGGCTCCACAGACTGGAGACCAGCAAATCCGGGATCAACTTGCGCAGTATGATATCAATGGTCCTCGCCGACAGATGACGGCGAACCAACCCACGCCGCCACTGACCTCCGAAGCTCCTCCCGCCGGCCTTGGGGTGGAAAATGTTTCTTGGGCCGCAGGAGGAACCAAATTTCCTCGGCCTAATTTTGAACTTCATTCGGCCCCTGCGACCCGTCGCGGCAGCATGGCCACACTGCATTCTTTGCTGAATCCCGCAGAAACGGTGGAACAGGAAAATGAAGATGAAGGTCCTCTGGAGGACCGCAAACGCAAACGACTGCAATGAATTTCCTTTCGGAGAACCGCGGTATGTATACTTGTTCTCACCGGTGGAGGTCTTGCTTCCTCTTGTTGCCGAGGGGACGTGGCCAATTTTTTTGGTTGTAGATAATGATGTTGGATTTCATTTGGGACCAGAAGGGTGCAAAAATAACTGCGCGCGCGCATATGCAACGTCGGACTTTATATTTATATCGAGGTCTAGGCCATATCAGCCTCTTCCATGCGTTTGGAAGGCAAGTGCGGTACATCAACCGTGAACGACTAGAATCTGCGGGGGACAGATGTCAATGCTTGAAATATGTGAGGGAACTCCTGTGATGGGCAGGGCGTTTGAGTTGGGGTTGCAAATGATTGGGTGGCCTTTGTCCTGGTTAATTCTGTAGGTTTGCTGGAAAGTGGCCCTGGATATGGGTCTCGAGTGTTTGCATAGTTTGTGGACCACCGTCGTTGATTGTATCAGCCTCTGACTCGATAATGAACTCGGAAGAAAACATTGCAAATATCATCGCTCACTTGATATGGTCGTGATCCGATCGCTTCTCGTCCCTGCGGCCTTCATCCTCCCCTCTTAACTTTATTTCTTCTTTTTCTTCTTCTTCCTAGCACGCTCGGCGAGTACTTGGTCCAGGTAGCTTGTTGGCCCTCGCTTCGCCCTTCCAGCGGTGCTCATGGCCGCCCATGGCTGGTCCGCTGGAGATGGTTTATCATGCGCTTGCTGTTCGATCTCCTCGGCTTGTGTCCCGGTCTGCAGTGTGGTGCTGCTGCTACTGCCGTCGCCGCCGCCGCCGTCGCGCAGCTTCGGTTCTATTTCGACGGCCGTGTCATTCTTCGCAGAGCGGCCCCGTGCAGATTTGCTCGGGGCTCCCCTCGCCTTAGAGCGAGAGTCCTGCTCGTCATCGCTGTCATCGTCGTTGGTGTTCGCTCTTCTCGTCCCTGGTCCCCGTGCTGCGGCGTGGTAGCTTCCTGCGTTCCCCCGCAGACTGCCGCCGCGTGGTCGATTTGTACTCGCAGCAGGATGCACAAGTCGACTCCTGCTGCCCAGCAGGTGCTTGCGGAGGAACGCCGTCGTCGGATCGCTGGTCGTTGCAGTCACCGGGCGCCCGTCCGAGTCTTTCGGTGGAATATAGCCGAGCCCGCCCCTGTATTTAGTGAACACGGGCCCGTCAGCGTGTGTTCACATCTATCTGTATGTTGGTGGAGGGATGGGGGGGTGCATGTCTCCGTACATGTCCGAAGTAGCCTCTTCACCAGCTGCGTGCAGCACCTCTTTCATCCTTGATGATGTTCCACCTGCTCCGCCGTTATCGCCACCCTGCGCGTTCTCGCCTTCAATGTCGTCTCCACCCCCGTAGGCAGGGATGCTCAGCCATGACTTCACGGTCTGCGAGAACTCTGCGTGCGCGAGGATCGCTTCGTTCGCGGCCACGTCGCTCTCTTTTACGACTTGCTTTTTGGTGGGTTTAGAGTGGCTGTTTCGAGCGGTGGTCATTGTGGCATCATGTGGGCATCAAATATGGAGGATGGAAAGGTTGGTCTGCGTACATTGGATGTGTTTTGTAACGTTTTAACATGTCCTCTCAGGCGCCAAATCCAATGTTTTTTTAAAAGTGGTTGGAGAATGCGAAATGCAGCGTTGAGCGTGCGGAGAAGGAGAGTATGACTCGGTTGGGTCTTTAGCGACGGATAAATGACTCGCGGTCTGGATATCCGGACACTACTATTCTCACGTCTCTCCACCAGACCAAGTTTCACTACTGCCAGGTACCAGCAGGCATCCAGTCGCGATGTGCGATCAAATTTTTATAAATTCCACCCTGATCAGAGATGACCATTCGATGCATCGAGGCCCCTATCAATGGTACAGTGACTAATCTAGCCCCAGCGCTTCGCAACATCAGCCATCACTTGAACGCGTGGAGATTGCATCAGAAGCCGAGTTCACTCGTGCAAAACGTCGTCGAGGATAGACAATCGCCTAGAATCCGTATCAGAAGAGCACAAGAAAGTATAACGTTTCAACAAGCTCAGCTTAACATTAATGCACATCGAAGTTTACATTCTTTTTCAAGTCTTTGACTTCTCCTTGTCATTCAGGAGACACAAAACGACTCCCTGATCGACGCCGTCGCCTTGGCGAACCGAGGTCTCGAAAACTCCATCCTTGGATGCTGAGATATTGATCTCCATCTTCATGCTCTCCACGACCATCACAATCTCTCCTATTTTCACAGAGTCGCCATTCTTCTTCAGCACCCTCAGCACCTTGCACGGCATCGGCGCGGTAACGGCACCCCCAGAAGCGTCAGCACCCCCTGCTACAGCGGAGCGCTGGCTCTCAAAGTAGGACAGCAGCGAGTAACACCGATACTCGATGAACGTCCCAAGTGTCGGAATGTGCAGGTAAACCTTTCGCGATCCTGCCGTGTCGATCTCCGAAGCGGCTTCGAATAAATCTTCAGTCGCCACGGTCACATTGATGAGTGTCTGGTCAATGGAAACGGCCATCTTCCCCACCTTCCACGGCTGTTCTTGCTCCGCCGAGATCGTGTCGCTGGCGATCGAGTGGATGTGGACATCAAAGTTTTCGGATCCGCGGACGTGCCCGTCTCGGAGTGATGAGCTCAAAAGGTTGTAGGCGTTTGTGACTGCTGACGTTGCCGATTGCTTGCCGTCTAGGTCCTGTGGGACCGTGTTTTTCGGGACTGTTCCAACTCTGCAGGTGGTCGAGTGGTCATAGTCCCACGTGTATATCCGAGGGTGAGTCTCACTATTTGCAGCTGCGTCGTATTGCGTGGCAATGTCGCTGTGCACATTGACCTTGTCATATGGCTGGTTTCGAAAGCCGGGCCGTATACTCCTGAACACTGATCTCGCGTTATTCTTTCTACTTGTCTTTTGCAGTGTCCTCCCAAAGAGTGGTGCCAGCACTGATAACTTGGTCTGCAATTGGAAATCGAGCGATCTGTTGGTGTAGTCAAGCAGCGCCTCAAGATTTGTTGGGATGAATGCCGTGGTATAGTCGACTCGGTTGAAACTTGGATGCGTAAGGCATGCCTGGAGGAACAGTTGGTTTGTCCGCACTCCCACACAAGGGGTGTTTGCTAAGACCTTCACCATCTTTTGGATTGCGAGCGAGCGTGTTGGCGCCCATACGACAATCTTTGCAATCATGGAGTCAAAGTATATAGAAACTCTGCCTCCGGATTGAATGGCGGTCTCATATCGGAAATCTCTACCTTGGTATTCAGGGGAGGGTTGCCACAGGCGAACAAGCCCATGTTGAGGTGCGAAATTCTGGTCGGGGTCTTCAGCACATAATCGGCATTCAATCGCATGCCCATTCTGCTGAACACGACCAGATATGTTGACATGTTGCAGAAGCCCACCGCTAGCGACGTAGAGCTGCAGAGACACGATGTCGAAGCCCGTGCACTCCTCCGTGATGGGGTGCTCGACTTGAAGTCTAGCATTGACCTCTAAGAAGTAAAATTCTCCAGTCTGTATGTCAACCATGAACTCTACCGTTCCTGCCCCTTCGTATTTCAAGAGCTGTCCGATTCTTACAGCTGCTGCGCATATACGCTCGCGTTGCTCCTGACTCAGCCAAGTGCATGGGCTTTCCTCGATGATCTTTTGATGTCGCCGTTGAACGGAGCAGTCTCGCTCCCATAGCGACATCACTTCTCCACTGCTATCTCCCATGATCTGGACTTCAACGTGCTTGCCCGAGGCGATGTATTTCTCGAGGATGCAATCCGAAGACCCAAATGATCTTTGAGCCTCCGACTGAGCCAATTCCACTTCTTCCTGTAAGCTGGCCTGGTCTCTGACTATTCGCATGCCTCTTCCACCTCCACCAGCCGACGCTTTGATCATCACGGGGAACCCTATCTTAGAAGCTTGTTCTTCCAGTTCTTTTCCTGAGAAAGAGCCGGCATAGCCTGGGATAAGGGGGATGCTGGGTTCATGTTCCAGGAGGTACTCCTTAGCGGATCTCTTGTCACCCAGAGTGAGAATGGCTTGAGAGCTGGGTCCAACGTAAATGATACCAGCGGCTCGCACGGCGTCCGCGAACTGCGCATTCTCACTCAAATATCCATATCCGGGATGAATTGCATCTGCTTTGCACGCCAACGCTGTTTTGACCAGATCTTCGATATTGAGAAATGGATTTCCTGTCGGCCGGTCGATGGATCCAAGGTGTACTGCCTCGTCTGCCTCCACGCAATGCTGAGATGAAGCATCCCTATTGAGGTCAGCCTGGTAAACGATCTCAACAGCAGGTCTCATACTCCGTGGCGTAGATCGCTATTGTGGTTATATTGAGGTTTCGGCATGTTTTGATAATGCGACACGCTATTTCGCCTCGGTTTGCAATCATCAAACGGCGAATGCGGGAGTTTCCATTATCGTCGCATGGTAATTGAGCAATCCAAAGAGGAGGTCGCTCGGGGGATGCTGTAGTCTCCATCTCCGTCGCACTGTTCGACAATGGTTAAGGTCAGGGCGGGTGCTGTTGCATCTGCAAGGTGGATGGCCAACGGTATAATATGATAATATGAATCTAGCTTGTCGACCCGCAGCTTTTGATCACGCGTCCTTGTTCCATGATTTACGGCTTGTCGAGGTATACAAGGCTAGCGACTAAGCTGTCGGGTCCAGGGGCGGCTGAACTGGCCGGTCTCCACGGGAGTCAGCCGGGTCGTATCCGGGGTACGAACTTTCTCCTCAGCGGCCTCAGCCTCAACTCCCGGATATCGACCTTTCACTTTCTCCATGATGCCGCGAGAAGGGGGACAACTGACCGTGTAATGGCCTGAAAATCTCCGTTCGCTTGTCCGCTTGTGGCATAGCAGTTATTGATGATCTCTAACAAAGTATTACGCCTTGCCAGAACGGAAAGCGCTCTCTAGGAGGCGGATGCACCCTCTTGACGACTATGAAACGTGCCACCCTCCGGTCACTCCAAATCCTCCGACCAAGATCTTTCTCAACATCGACAATGGCAAGAGGCCCGTCTGTCAGAATCGTCGAAGTTGGTCCCAGAGATGGACTGCAGAACATCAAAAAGGCCGTCCCTCTTGAGGTCAAGGTCGAACTGATCAATCGACTTAGTGATGCCGGGACTAAATATATGGAACCGACCTCAATCGTGTCACCCAGGGCGATCCCTCAACTCCAAGATAACCAAGCATTACTGTCGGCGCCATCGATCAGAAGGTTGATTCAACGTCCAGACACAAGATATCCTGTCCTGGTCCCGAATCTGAAAGGTCTTGAAATCGCGAAAACGCTCGGAGTCAAGGAAATCTGTGTGTTCATCAGTGCCACAGAAGGGTTCAGCAGAGCGAATATCAATTGCACCGTGGCGGAAGGTCTGCAGAGAGCGAAGGAGGTCACTGAGACCGCAATTCGGTCGGGAATCTCAGTGCGAGGGTAAGTCTATGCAATTCGACAAATCTTGTTATTTCGCGAGGGTTCTAATGAGGGTTTTAGTGCCGTTTCCTGCATCTTCTCGGATCCATATGACGGCCCTACAGATCCGGCAGCAGTTCTGAACACCGTGAGTAGTCTTTTGTCCTATGGCTGTTACGAAGTCCTCCTTGGTGACACCGTCGGCGTTGGATGCCCCGAGGACGTTCGAAGATTGCTCACGTACCTTAAAGAAGGGGGCGTCGACATTGGAAATCTTGCCGGCCATTTTCACGACACGTATGGACAAGCAGTAGCAAATGCGTGGGCAGCCTACGAATTTGGAATCCGGACTTTCGACAGTGCGATATCAGGCTTGGGTGGCTGTCCTTTCGCACCGGGGGCTAAAGGCAATGTTGCAACTGAAGATCTTGTTTATTCGTTCCATAAAGCGGGTATTCAGACTGGACTCGATCTCTCGAAGCTATCGGCAACTGGTGAATGGATTTCCAACGTCTTGCAAGGACCCAACAACAGCCGTGCTGGTCAGGCAATCGCACGTAAGAGCGGCGGAGGCAGTGGTGTCTCCGTAAATATTCCCGCAAAGAAACTTCAATGGCACTTCATCGAACAGTCTCCAAACTTGGACATTCTTCGATCTGGAGTGAATGTGAAGATTGTGTTGCGACGACCTCGGAACGGCAATGCGTTGACCTCCGAGATGCTCACACAACTCCAAAGTTATATCCAGAAGGTGTCTTCCGACCAGTCCATCGCACGTATTATCATTACAGCGGAAGGGAAGTTCTTCTGCACGGGCATGGACCTCAGCGACAAGGTTCAAGCAAAGCCAGCTAGACAGGAGAAGAAGAGTGACCATGCAATGTTCACGGAGCTCTTCGAAACCATTTCCAAGGCGCCCCAGGTTACTATTGCTGCCATCAATGGCCCCTGCTATGCTGGTGGGATCGGACTTGCCTTTGCCTGTGACATTCGCATTGCGGTGGAAACAGCGAGTTTGACTCTCAGTGAAGTTAAATTAGGCCTATGCCCGGCTATTATATCCGAGTACCTCGTACGAGAATGGGGTCCTTCATTTACAAGGGAGGCTATGCTGTCAGCGCGATCTATAAGCATGACCGAGCTGAAATCCATCGGCGCCGTTCACGTTCTTGCAAAGGACGTCGCCGACTTAGACCACCAGCTGGATTCATATTTGGTGAATCTCAGGAAAGCAGCGCCCGGTGCTTCGACCCTGGTCAAGAGTGTCGTGGAGGTCGGTTGGTCGAACCCAGGGGGTCAGAGACAAAGAGACGCGATCAAGGGCATCTTTGAGGGGATGATGAAATTGGGCTCAGAGTCTGAAATTGGGCTGGGGGCATTCCGGTCGAAGAAAGTCGTCGATTGGGATGCTTTGAAGGAGAATGTGGCAAAACCCAAGCTATGAGGGTAACTCAGTGTTAGCAAATAGAAACGTGTTGTAATATCATCCATTCAAAATCGAACATAAATGTGGACCATCGCTTAAATAGGTAAGTCAGTTAAGACGGCACTGGCGTGCAAACTACCCACCACTTGCTTTTTGTCTATCTCCCCCCATTTTGGATTTTTCACAGGAGTTGCATGACGAGCACACCAAGTCGGTGCCAGCGACCGTGGAAGCGGCTTCTACAAGATACCTCCGAGTTCAGGCCGAATAGTCGCTGCCGCCTGTCCGCTATCCGAGGGGCGGTTGGCAGGCCGGATGCCTCCCGTGGCTTGCCCGTTTCCCATCCCCAGATGCTTAGGCGAGCAGTCTTCTCGCCTGAAACTCAAATTGTTCACGTGCATCACAGCCGTGGGGGGGCTAGAAAGCTGAAGTACTTTATCGGTCTTGTCCTGAACGTCAGTAAGCTGCTTTTTGGTCTCCGTCGAAATTTGCGCAAGGAAACATGTCGTTACAAGGCAGCTTCCCATTCTACAAGTCCAAGTTGGACCTGCGACAGGAAGCCTACGCCGACAATCGCAAAGAGTGGCAGAAGGTGCTCAGAACCTTTGAAGAAGCCCTCCAGGCGACAAGCTCCGAGGGGAATTTGACGTCGACTCAGCGACATCAAGACCGCGAACAGCTGTTGGGTGAGATCGCGGCCGTATCCTAGCGTAAGCCCTCAGTTGGCTGACCTTCGCCCGATACATAGCCCGCGACAGAATTGCACTTCTGCTGGATCCAGATTCCCCGTTTCTGGAACTTGCTCAATTTGCTGGGTATGGATTAGATTCCACACCGTGTGCCAGCATCGTCGCCGGAGTTGGCCTGATCAAGTGAGTACCACTCCTTCAAAACTTGGGCACGTCCGGGTTCTAACGACGCATGAACAGTGGGAGACCATGTATGATTATCTGCTCCATCCCATCCATCAAGGGTGGAGCGTGGAATGAGTTTACAGGTAAGGGTTTCTACACGGGGTGTTATTCCTGGCTTCCAACCCTGACGGACTTAGTGCTCAAACACAACCGGATGACAGAGATAGCGAATGAAAATCAACTACCCATAATTGGACTCGTTCAGGCGGTAAGCGTTGAAATCTTGCTTTAGACTATGCTCATTTGCTCATGCTCCCTGAAGGCAGGTGTTTTCCTTCCGCAACAGTTTCGAGTCTTTCACAAAGCCAGCCAGATGTTCAAAGACCTTGCACGGAGAAGCGCAAGTAGGCTGCCATCTTGTAGTGTTGTATTTGGGTCATCGACAGCCGGTGGAGCGTACCTGCCTGGCTTATCGGATTACACGATATTCGTGAAGAACAAAGCTCAAGTGTTCTTGGGTGGCCCACCCTTGGTTAAGATGGCCACTGGTGAAGTGGTAGATGCCGAAACACTCGGCGGAGGCGATATGCATGCCAGTGTGACTGGTCTAGCAGATCAATTGGCTATCGATGAGTGAGTAATCTACTATTGCTAGGAGTTATCCAGCCCTAAATCCTTCAGATTTGATGCAATTCGCAAAGCCCGTGAATGGGTGAAGACATTACCTGAACGGCCGCAACGACTCGAGTCTTTGAAGGAACCACGAGCCCCACGATACCCAGCTGAGGATCTGTTGGCTCTGGTAAACCCAGATATCCGCAAGCCTTTCGACATGGCAGAGGCCGTCTTGCGACTGGTCGACGATTCGCGACTGTCCACCTTCAAGCCCAATTATGGCAAGAACTTGCTGACGTGTTGGGCAGAATTACATGGTCAGTCATAATAATAGTCTGTACAAACAAAAGCTCATAAGAGTTTTAGGTCACACCATAGGAATCATTGGTAATCAGACACCGGTGATCAATCCGGACGAGGCATCAAAAGGAGCACAATTTATTCGTCTCTGTAATCAAAGGTATGCTTCGCATCTGTATATGCTGGCTAAAATGTCATGGTACTGATTACTTGGATAGGGACATACCGATAATCTACCTTCACAACGTTACTGGCTTCATGGTCGGCTCTCACGCCGAGCGAGACGGTGTCATCAAGAAAGGGGCTCAGTTCGTCTCGGCAGTGAGCTGCTCCAAAGTCCCTCAGATTTCCGTCATTCTCGGATCATCGTATGGAGCAGGCAACTACGCTATGTGTGGTCGAGGCTACAACCCTCGTTTCCTGTTCACCTGGCCCATCGGCAGATGCAGCGTCATGGGACCTAGTCAATTAGCTGGTGTAATGGAGACTGTGCTGACCACAGGCGCGTCTGCCAGAAGCAAGGCCAAAGCTGGTCAGTCGGTAGGAGGCCAAAGTGCGAACACGGACGAATTCAGGAACAACGTGGAGCGGGAGAGCGAGTCTTATTATACCAGTGCTCATCTGCTCGATGACGGTGTGATCGATCCAAGAGATACTCGGGACATTCTTGGGATGTGCTTGGAGATAGTAAAGATTCCCAAGGTGGAAGGGGCAGCTGGTCATCGCTCTTTAGCTCGCTTGTAATATACTTTACCCTTTCTGTGGAAATCTATTTCAAACTTCAGGAGTCGGTCAGAAGATGGGAAGGAGAAGCCGGTCGGACCTGGAGAGTTATCATACCTTCAGAGGATAACACTGAGCTCCGGGCCAGGTTCTTAAGGCTGAGGCCCATAAATTGCCTTCCATTTGTGACTGAGGCCTGACATCGTTCGAGAATGTAGAGGGTAAGGCATCCCCAGTCTCATTGGTCTTGGATATGTGCCCACCTTTTCGACCAGCTGATGCGTTCAAGGTCGGGCAGCTACATATGCGTGGTAAGTTAGGTCCGATAAAACACGATTTTCTGTTGATCCTACATTACAGCTTGCTCCTATCTTTCGCCGCAAAGAGCTTTGCCTCCTCTTTGATTGCAAAATCGGCCAAGATCTCCTCGCTCCCTCCACCGACTATCATTACACGGAGATCTCGACTGATCTGCTCGATCCTTGCACCTCTTCCGTTCTTTGAGTACCCCAAACCACCCAATATCTGCTGAGCCTCCCGGTTTGCATGCTCGAGAACTTGACCCGCCAGCACCTTGCATGTCGCCGCGAGACCTCCGATCGCAGGAGGCGGCGGAGCCCGTCTTTGATGCGCAGAGTCGACAATGTAAACATACTGCTCAAGGAGAGCGTGTGCAGACTCAATCTTGCGTCCTGCTGCCGAGAGTTTCGATCTGATCACTTGATTCTCGATCAATTTCTTGCCAAAGGTCTCGCGGGAATTGGCATGTGTGAATGCATCTTCGACGCTGATTCGAGCAAGTCTGAGAGCTGTACATGCCAACCATAGTCGCTCGTGATTGAAATCTAGGCAGAGGTATTAGACTTGCAAGTTTCACCAGAGGGTTCAGCACTTACTGGAAGTGATGATCTCGAAACCCTGTCCCTCCCTACCAAGTAGATTTTCGACTGGGACTTCCACGTCATCCAGCTCGATGAACGTGGAACCTAACGTTTCAATTAATAACGGATTCCATTTGTATGCAGAGTTCCCCTTCTTACCACTAGCATGGACCCCAGAATTGGGTATTTTCTTGAGTGTCACACCTTTTGCCTTCAAAGGAACGACCAGAACAGAAAGGCCTTTTGCGCCGGGGCCGCCCGTCCGGACGGCCATTGTTGAATAGTCCGCCCAGATTCCATTCGTGATCCATTTCTTGGTCCCATTCACCTTGTAGACATTGCCCTCTCGAACCGCGGTTGTCGTGATTCCCGCGACGTCAGAACCAGCGTCAGGTTCGGTGACACCGAGACAAAACCTCGTCTTGCCGTGCAGTACGTCAGGGATAAATCTGCGCTTTTGTTCTGCTGAGCCGTGAATGATAACCGGGGGGAGTCCAATGACATTCCCGCAGCTCAGAGCCCAGATGACCCCCAAGTAGCCACATCGGGCGATTTCGTCGATGCAGATGAGGTCATGGAATCCGTCCCATTGCTTTGGTTCGACACCACCCGGTAGCCTTATGCTCCCTAGATACTCAGACGGCGAAGGGTATATCGACGCAGCCATCAATCCACTGGAGCAGAAGTTTTGTACTGTCTATCGGGAGGTGGTCAGCGGAAGCAATGGCGGCGGGAAAGCTGCTTAGGTTGAATGTTATACCTCGCCTGGAACACTGCCTGCTTGTTCCCATTCTGCTGCGTACGGTATGATTTCCTTCTCCACGTAGTTTCGCAGCTCTCGTCTTAGACGAAGATGGGAGTCATTGTAATAGGCCGAGTAGCCCCTAGAGGACCAGACAGGTTCGGCATATGGTGCAGCACGTGTGACCTGAGGCATCTTGGGATACAGTCTTCTGGTTTCCTAACGAGAGCTAAACAAAATCACCGCATTTGGCTCCTTTTCTCCATGGGCAAATCGTCAACCCGGCCCGCTGGCCCTTCCCAGGCGGATTATCCGGGGAAAGGGCCCCGTCTGCTGAGGGTGGCATGCTTCCACCCCTGCAGGGTGACAGGTTTACCGGGATTGTAAAGTATAAGGGATGGAAAACCAATCAAATCAAGAAGGATTTCCGGTTCTCTTGATGAGATCGGTGAACTGAGCGCCTCGATGATGGCTGCAAGGCTGCGTCCGAGGCAAAACGCGGCCAACACGGCTGCGTGCCGTCCGCCGAGTTTGTCCACGGATCAGGGCGACCTGTCGCTATCCAAGCCCATTTTTGCCATCTCAACACTAACCGAATATCTCGCCCAGTCGATCGAGGCGAGACTACCAATGATGCCCTCAATGCACTGCTGACGCATCTGGGGAACCTGCACCACGGCTCTGACTCTTATGAGGCTTCCAGAAAGTGTATCCCCACTCGGACTTAAGCTCGTTCAATCCTCACTCTTTCTCCAGCTTATCAATGCCGTCGTTCCTAGCTTTGGAAGAGCGTGATTGTTACACCAAAACTAAATACTGTTACGGCTGCGTCGTTCAGACTTTCACAAGGGCGTCGACCACAGTTCTTCATAGTCCATCATCCCAAAGTTGCGTCTGAAAATTATTGACCGTTTCTCAGACCAGTGTGGCAACCGTTCTACGCACAAGCGAAGTTGGCTATCACCCTTTTGAGGCTTTGGTTCTAGGTTGTCGCATAGATTTTTCTTCATCTTGGTACAAAACCTACCATTCAGCTCACTCCAATTCCTGTCGCCCACCAGCATAACAGTAGCAGCAGCAGCAGCTCCCGTCATGTCCGACACCACTGATGAGCGTGATCCCGACGAAAGACCGAAGAAAAGGATCCGACAAGCCTGTCTCAACTGTAGGTAGGTTGGCAAAAAGCATTGCCGCGAGGTGTGATTACAAAGAATGAACATGCTGAATGAGGTCCAGGAGGAAGAAAGTTCGATGCACGGGAGAACGACCAGTCTGCAGCTTCTGCGAGAGGCTTTCGCAAGATTGCAATTACAATGACAACAACATGGATCCGTACGCGAAATCCGAATTTGGGTCTGTTCTCGCGCTCTCAGCCTTGGTTGTAAGTTCAATACTTCGATCTTGTCCCAAATGACTTGCGCAAAAGAACAAGTCCTGAGACCGATAACACGAAACAGTCTGCAACGGACGCGAGAATCTCCTCCCTCGAGTCGCGACTGGCTGCCTTTGAATCTGTGATCGAGAAGTAAAGCCCAGCAAACCCGTTTGCAGTTCCAGATACTAATCACTCAGAGGCTAGAGCCACATCAGCGATGACTGCGGCCTTGATGCAGCCTTCGCAATCTTTAATCCCACGAGAGACTACGATCCTGACCAGCAATGAAGTGACAAAATGCATTCAGCCGACCTCGAACATATCAAGCATTCAAAGTCCCATGCTCGCCGCTTCAAAGCCTGTGCTACCTCCAGCTCACATACTGCTCTTCGCCGCCGACGTTTATTTCAAATACTGCCACAACCACCCGTACTCACTCTTCCACGAAGGTCGGTTCCGCGAGCGATTGGCTGCTGGTGAGGTTCCCGAGTATCTTGTGTGGGCATTTCTGGCCTCTTCTCGGAGGTTTTCCACCATTCCACACCATCACTTTGAAGGAGGAGATAGCGTGGGCTCTCTGGCCAAAAGATCGTGGGAGACGTTCAACGTCCCGTGGGATGGCCCGAAGGATGGTGAGGAAGCCCTGGCGATCATGCAGACCGTCATTCTACTGGTCTGCGTTGAGCACACAGGTAAGTAAACATCATCGCTTCTAGTGTTCAGCGAGGTAATGAGGACTTAGCCGGCCATTGCTCATCTGCTTTTCTGAAACTTGGGTTTGCCACCAGAGCTGCCCAGCTCTTTCGATTTCACATGGAGCCTGATTCCAGTCTCGATCCCATTTCACAGGAAGAGCGAAGGAGGGCATTTTGGGGTGTTCACTTGCAGGATCGATTGATGTCACTTTCCCGAGAACGGCCCCCAATCCTCCGAGACGAAGACTGTTCCGTCCACCTGCCTTGTTCAGACGACGCTTTCCACGCCAACCGCTACGAGGAGGCGCCGAGTCTCGCATTTCTACTGGGCGACGGCGCCGAGGGAGACTGTGTCGAGAAATGCGCCCCGTTGGCTTTGATACCTGTGATGGTGTCGGGGTTGAACCGGGTCTCCCAATACGTTCTTCAGGATCGAAATTACTCCCTCTCTCCTCCGCCATGGCTCTCAAACTCCCCTTTTGCAACAATTGAGTCGTTTCTTTCAAGCATAGAAATGCATTTCGACTTTGCTGAGCCTTTGGAGGAGGTGCTAGAGAGGGTGGCGGTCAAAGACGGTGCCTTGGACCATTTCACCGCAAGCCCGATCCTCTATGCAAGGGCACTTTACTCTCTGTCTCAATGTTTGCTGCATCACCCTTTCCTGCTCAAAGACAGGTTGCAAAGGATGAAACAGAGGATTCCTTCGCGATTCATGGCCCGCGTATGGAAGACATGCCGCTTGCATGCAAAGCTGATTACCGACATCCGCCGTGTCAGGAATGGGAATGTTCTCATCCTCACCTGCTTTTACGGCTATTGTACAATGATGGCCGGGACTATCCACGCCCTGTCCCAACATGATGATGACCCAGCAGTTCGGGAAGAGGCATCCAAGAACTTCGAGGCAGATCTACGTTTTATGCGTGAGCTTTCCTCTTACTGGCAACATGCTGCTTTGATAGTAAGTTTGCCGAAAACACCACATCATCCCCTAGTTCTCTTTTTCTCCCACTCATGAAACCGTAAGCGGACTCTGACACCACCTGCCTGAGCAGACGAGCAGATTAGAGAGATTCAATAAGCATAGCGTCGGGTACTACAACCAGATCATGCGGTCGAAGACATCTGATCCGGCAACGCATTCGGAAGGACCGACCCAAGCGATCTGGCAAGCAGTCGATCATTGGGCGCTTTCGATGCCCACTCGGCCGAACAGTCCCTCTGACGAGCCGTCATCTGTTCCCGAAAGCTTCACGAGCACCAGCATGATTTCTCCCCATGCAATCTTTGATTTTGGAGACCTCGGCATGCTGGAACCCTTCTCGGAACCCGCCAATGATCCGTGCGCGTTTTCCCTGGCGAATTTTACGTTTGGCTCAAGTGACTTTGGATCCCAGAGTTTATACTAGGATGAACTTGTGGAAATCGAGCATCTGTCGAACGGTGATGCCTTTATTCTCGAAGTCAATACTTGAAACCAGGGCTGTAGGCCAACGCAATGATTGAGCAGATAATGGTAGTTATTCGGAGCTCTATGATGCGGGAGACGCACTATTTTGAGTATCAAGCAGATGGAGCACTTGATAAATCTCTCAAATCACCACCGGTACAGTACTATGTACAAATATCCCGTGACTCGGCTGTTTAATTTAGACAATGCTGCAATCGGGTATGCGAGGAACAACATAAAGGGGTGCGTCTTGCCGCCAGCCCTCTTTTTCGCTAGAATAACCTCATCTTGGCTGAAGCATTGGATTCAACAAGCACCGAGATCAATCTGTTGATGACTTCAGACTCCAGCTGCTCTAGAAACATGGTACTGCTGGTGCGTGGGTACTCAGTCCCCTTCGGAGCGTGGTACATGTCAGGACTCTAGATGCGGAACCAGTTCATTGTTTGGTCGAACGAGCTATCGGCATTCTGCAGCAGATACTCTAGTTGGTCCTCTGTCATGGCTTGAGGCTTACCATAGCTCCAAAAACCAGTGACCAACCTGTCCATGGAGGCTGGATCGGATTGCCTGGAGAAGGATGGTGTCTGTGCCCTTCGTCGATGATCAAGGTGTCTGGAGTCGTGACCAAGTACTCATTGCCCATGACAACGTCTCGGCTGCCGTCGACTGTCCATGCCTGGACGGCAAGTTCAGGGTCAGGAGTTGACGGGAGGTTGAACACCCCTGGTGTGTTGGGCGTCCCTGTCCCGGAGCAATAACTGACTCTAGATTGTGTTGGCTGGTCCGGGAGATCCGTGGGGTGTGAGGGCGTTGAACCACCTTCGAGTGCCTGCCTCGCCCGTCGTTCCAGAATCACATGCCTACGGTCGTGTGGTTAGCAGAGTTGACACATGCCATTACTTGTTTCTTCAACTTGTTCACCTATTCTTGATATCTGTCGTCGACCTCCTGGGAAGACGAGCTCTCGGATCATTGACCACTTTCGACCATGTCGGCCCACGGCGTCGATGAGTTGCACGTTGTCTAGATCGATCCAGGCACTGTGGTCCAGAGAGACGGATCGAGATAGTGGTACCATCTCTTCGAGCATTCTATACACAATTAGCGCAAGACTCATCTGACATCGTTTCCCAACAGTCCGGCTGCGCCTTACGATCTGCATGTCGGCTCTGCATCACTGAAGCTACAGCCGCCCACCTGGCAGACGTCAATGTTAAAACATTTTGCCGGCCTATAAATGTGGAAATCCTCACCTCATTCCAAACTTGGTAACTGCCTGTCTGAGACGCTTGTCTTCAGCTGCACTCCAATCCCCCTTGTTGATGTTCTCTGCTATTTTGCCCCACCCCTTTCGACAGTCTTTGTTCGTTCTGCTGGGAAGCTTGGTCGCAATATAATTTCAGTCTTTACACCATTGCGAAACACTACTCCATGATAAGCCATTAGACCGCTGCCGGTGTATGTGGCGCTTACCTGCATTACGCAAGTTATGATCTTCTCGCTCTGTCCAGCCGACCGGTACGCGCAGCTCGCAGGTCATGGTTACTGCGGTTGGATGAATGCTATCTTTCTGGCAAGTTAAAGCTTTATAAGTTCCACCTCTTCGCCACTAGTGCTCAACAATAATTGAGGTCTCGGGGGTTTTGGAAGGGACAGGCACGCACTCCTTTATCAAGCTTTAAATGGCTGCCGAGTCTTGTCCAAGGATGAGCGGAATGAGCGGCAATACCCTGCACTTACCGCGCTTCTAGCCTGCAGGTTGAAGATTCAGAATCTCCGAGACTCGGCTTTGGACTGCAGGGACTGTGGCAGATGAAAAGAAAGAAAGCGTTGGCCATTTCTTTTGCTTAGAAATGCATGATCTTTGCTTGGGAACACAGAGAGGAAAGTAAATCCGCGTGAATTGCTCACCGAGTCAGCGACTGTAATGTTGCTTTGACATGTTGTATCTGACCGGACAGTAGCCTTGCGCAAGGTCTAATCACAATGCAGATAAGAATTGACACCGCTGAAGGGGGCCATTCGAGGCGTGTCCAAGGTGCTTCAGCTAGCGAGGTCAAAGACGGTCGAGCGTGGTGACGGTGCAAGGCTAGAGCCCGGACAGGCGGCAGCAGCGTCTATGACCATGAACATAGTACGAACAGACGGTCAGCAATGGAGTCTCTCCGCGACCGAAAAAGTCGACGATAAAGTGTCAGGCAACGATGTCGGTCAACTTGGTGGTACGTGACGTCAATTTGTACAGAATTCATTGGCAACGATGGGACCCTGAGTCTCGTTTCATCCCCGAGATACGTATTAAAGTATTCTGTAATGTACAGAATGGCACAGATTTCTGCGCCTTCGTGGTGAAATGAGGGGGCCTGTGGAACATGGAGCGGTGCGGCCTAATTCTCATTCCCATGTGATTCTGTTGGTTTGTACTGCCGCATCAGAGCGAAGGCGGGTTAGGGCTGTACTTGGAGCCGTTATGGGTGGCTTAGATGATGAAAGCAAGCTGTGCTTCATCATCGTGCCTGGTGCCCAAGGTCGCTTAATGGTCGAGTCCTTTGCCTCTCCGCCAGTGGTGCAGGGGTCCACTTCGGTTGTGGAATCTGGTCGATACTGGTGATATGTATACTCACAGTTTGGGAATCTGTAGGGAGGCAGGATGTGGTGAGGAGCATATCTTGAGTTCAATCTGGATCGTGGGAACCGAAGAATCTGCTCTGCCAATCCTGTACAGTCGGACCGAGCCAAGCTCAACTCGCACAGCCTATGTAGTCGCACAGCCTATGTTTGGTTGGATCTTTGGAGCACCATAAGCGTGAGCCACAAAGAGTCCCATTCCCAGTAGACTCTGGCATCGAACCCTTTATGAGTAGAACCAAAAGTTGAATGCATGGTAGGGAGGCAAGCTCTCAGCCGACCGACATGTTCTTCTCTGGCACATATGCGGCGATCAATGGGCAGTAATTATGACCCAATCTTATTTTTCCAGGCGAATTTCAAGGATAATGTGCGGAGGAGAAGCTGGTTCACTAATAATGCCAATTGGGCCATATGTCTCAGGCGGCCCTCGCCGTTTGAACAGGGGTTGTGGTGAGCAATTCTGCAAGGTCTTCCCTAGACTTGCAACTTTGCAATCATAGGCCCAGCTTTAGCAATGAAGCAGAAGCGAGCAGATCGGTTGCAAAACCCCTGCATGCTGAAGTCTCAAGCTAGTCAACAGCCAAGTGGTAGAGTGCAGGCAACAACACTTCAGGGTCGCAGAAATATTGTACCAGGGCGTCCGAGGACGTTATCTTTGAGTTGTTGCTAAAGGGCGCGGGAACCACTCAGGGGAGCCGGCAGATAGCGGCAACAACAGAAGTTGTATGCACGGATTAGTTGGTTGGGCGCCTAACATCGAATCTATACTATGATGTGGATAGCTGCGACATTGTTGTAAATAAGACCACGCTCCTTCTCTCTACACACTCCATAATGATGCTTCTCAAAGGCTTCACCCAGACATTCCTTCGTATTAAACCTCTCCCTATTATAGTCATATGATATTCCACTGACTGCCCGCATTACAACAATGGTCTCAACGTCGACCCCCCGCGCTACGGACACTACCGAGTCCATCGATATCACCCTGGTGCCGCCTACCATTGCCACTTCAATAAACGGAGATGCGGCGGAGGCATCTAACCATGCTCCTGAGATCCTGGCTCAACCTGGCCAGCAACGGAGCAAGTTTAAAATGTTTTCGATAATGACGGCTCTCTTTGTAAGTGGGCTTCGTCTTCGTTGATCAGGACTGTTCGTCTCAAATCGACGCCATCTAAGCCATGGTATCAGGGCGAGTATCCGGCAGATGGCTCACTATTTGTTGCTTCATAGTCTGCCACCTTCATCTCTGCTCTTAACACGACTATCGTGGCCACTGCAATACCTACGATTTGCGCGGACCTCGACTCAGCGGTCGGGTACTCTTGGGTCGGAGCTGCATATGTCATTGCAACGACTGCTGTTGGCCCCGTTTGGACCAAATTCTCAGATATATGGGGCCGCAAGCCGATTTTATTGACGGCCGTTGCTCTATATTTTGCAAGCTCCATGATTTGTGCCCTCTCGACCAGCATGGGCATGCTCATTGTCGCCCGTGCCTTGCAAGGCGTATCTGGAGGCGGTGTAGGCTCTCTCATCAACGTTGTCATCTCAGACATGTTTAGTATGAGGTTTGAATTCCCTCATTTCGTTCGTGATTGCTGCTGGTGCATTGCTTCGTTGACACTCCTTGCAGGACACGGCCGCTCTTCCTCGGGCTTCTCCAAGTGACCTGGGCTGTCGCTGGGGGTATTGGCCCCGTTCTCGGGGGTGCCTTTACACAATATTTGTCGTGGAGATGGATATTCTGGATCAATCTTCCCGTTTGTGGAGTAGCTTTCGGTCTCTTACTCCTCTTCTTGGACGTCCATGACCCGAAGACCAGATTCGTCGACGGTATCAAAGCAGTAGATTGGGCTGGAAGCTTTTCTCTCATAGGCTTGATGGTTATGGTGCTGCTGGGTTTGAATTTCGGAGGGGCAACCTTTCCCTGGGATTCCCCAAAGGTCCTATGCCTCATCGCGTTTGGTATTCTGGTGGCTATCTTCTTCCTTTTCAATGAGGCACGACTTGCACAGCATCCGGTGATGCCTCTTGGCGTCTTCCGCCAGAGATCCAATGCTGCATGCTTGATCATCGGTTTTATTCAACATTTCGTACGGACTCTCAAGCCTGCTGCGTGCAAGAGTCTATTTTCACTGACAAGGGCTATCTAGGTACTTAATGCTGCAGAGTATTACCTTCCACTGTACTTCCAGTCCGCGAAAGAGGCGTCTCCTCTCTACTCTGGAGTCCTTCTTCTTCCACTGATAATGATTGAAGCCGCCGCTGCCACAGCCTCCGGAATCTTTATCCATCGATTGGGCCGATACTTAGACCTTATATGGTTGGGAGTGCTTTTCATGACTCTCGGTAATGGATTATATGTGTACCTCGGTGCGACAACATCCATAGGGTCAATTGCCGCGTTCCAGCTGGTGGCCGGTTTTGGCATCGGCCTTCTATTCGACCCTCCTCTGATCGCCCTTCAAGCCCTCGTATCCCAGGACGACACGGCAACAGCCACGGCAACTCTTGGTTCCATGCGTGGTCTTGGTGTGGCTCTTTCAATCATCATCGGCGGCGTTATTTTCCAGAATGGCATCCAACTTCAGAGTTCGAGCCTGAGGGCACATGGCCTGTCGGCAGATCTGGTCGAGGAGCTTGCAGGCCCAAACGCTGCCACCAAGATCAATCTCATCAACACAATCTCCGACCCGGCGCAGAAATTAGCAGTCAAACAAGCCTTCGCATGGAGCTTGAGGAACCTTTGGATTACATGTACTGGAATGGCAGCGATTGCTGTGGTCGCCAGCTCTCTCATCACGAAGAAGGAGCTTGCAAGGGAGCATGTTGAAACCCAGACAGGGATCAGAAAGGAGAAACAGAATGCAGGATCGGATGCTGCAAACAGGGACGATGCCCAGGAAATTCGAGCGTAGTTGGCTAAAATTGAAAGTTCCTGAGATATTCACAATACTTTGTTCCATGCGCCACTCAGGGGTTTCATCACCTGCCATACCTCTTATGCGGAATGTTATGAGTGGGTCGTTGTTGTAGTAGCCATGCTTTGGTGTCAACGTGAAGGCTACGAGACTTACGAGTACTGCACCGAGCTTTTCGAGCATCGAGAAAGGCAAGGTACAGTACATAAGTAATTGCGACCAGATGTCATCATCATCAAAACGTGGGGGAACGGGGGACCTTCCAACGAGGATGGGGGCCCTCTATTCAAAGGTGTGTGGGGGTGGAGCATTTGGACTTTACGTAGTTGCTATTGCCTCTAGGCTGGGCAAACTCATCAGATATCTACATTCGCTTGCGGGACTCAACCTATATCACCGGTTTGTAACGGACTTGGGCAGACCAACCTGTCGTCGAGAAATGAGCCGCCGAGCTAACTATTTCTCATGATGTCGGTGCAGCCTGTCACCTACGTACTGTTGACCGGCGCCACAGGGTTCATTGGTGCCCACGTGCTTGATATCCTTCTCCAGAGAGGTTTGAGAGTGAGAGTAGCAGTGCGCAATCTCGAAAAGGCGAGGGTGCTCGGAGATACGAGGCCCGAATATGCGCACAGGCTTGATTTCGTCCAGGTCGCCGACTACACAGTGGCTACCTCGTTTAAAACGGCTGTCATGGGGGTGGAAGGCATTATCCATGTGGCTAGTGTGAGTCACACCTCCATATACAAGATCGACACTGTTGGGAAGACGGATGCAATCAAGGGGCAATCAAGGGGCAAGCTAACTCGGGAGTGCGTTATAGCCTTTAAGCTATGATATCAAGGATAATGAGAAAGACTTGATTCTACCGGCCATCAATGGGACCACCTCTATTCTTCAAGCAGCTGCGAGTAACCCACTCATCCGGAGAGTGGTCATTACCTCGTCGTTCGCATCGGTCATTGATGTCGACAGAAAGGGCCCGCCGCATTTCACATACACATCGGCAGATTGGAATCCATTGACTTACCGCCAAGCGGCGGATACAACCAGTAGCGCAGTCGTGGCATACAGGGGAAGTAAGAAGTTTGCAGAACTTGCAGCCTGGGAGTTCGTCAAGAAAGAACACCCCAGGTTTGACCTCGTAACATTGTGCCCTCCGATGGTGTTCGGTCCATTTGTCCATCCGGTAGAGAGACTAGAGGACCTGAGCGATTCAATATCGAACCTATGGAGAATCGTTAACGGTAGCCAGCTCCCTGTTGCTAGGGTGCCTTTCTGGGTTGATGTTAGGGACTTGGCTCAAGCGCACGTTGAGGCGTTGTTGAAACCGGAAGTTGGGAACAAACGCTTCACCATAGCCTCGCCAGAGAGATTCTCCTACGAGAAAGCGGCCAAGGTTGTAATGAACAGCTTCGATTGGAGCAAGGCTCGGCTCACTCGGCCAATTCCTCATCAAGAAATTGACCAGCCCTACGATCTCGATGGGCAGACTGTGGGAAAAGAGCTCGGGTTGAAATACCACACTTTCCAGCAATCCGTCATGGATTTTGTTGAACAAGCTGTACGCTTGGAAAACCAGTTGAACTCTGGCAGAACCCTGCCTTGAGCGATTGAAGATGTGGCCCCAGACGAAGACATAGGTGATCAGCTGTGTTTCTCAAGAGCCACTCTTGCCACACCTCTGTGCTAGCATCTTTGGATCGTGACGCAATCTCTAGAGTCTAAGGAGGAACCCACACGGGAACATGGTCTGAAGGCTGGTCTGGAGGCTAATGGGAAAGTTCCAGCCAGCGAGTTATGTATTTTGTAGTCATAAGATGACAGAAGGGTAATTCCTCACCATAGCCCAATTCTGCTGAATCGGCGGGCTTCTGATCTGCGCGCTCAAACACCAAATACGAGGCCTGAGAATCCATCGGTGCACTCTTAACATTTTGCTGACAAGTCGGTACAGCTTGCATCTCTGACCTGAACAATGGCTGGACAAAGCGCCGAGCAATCCTGACATGGATTTGCGGAGTCAGTCGATCCGCGGTGCCGATTGAGGTGGGATGGAAAAGACACCCAGGCTTCGACCCAGGGGGGTGCGAGTCAGCTGTTTCTGACTCGGGCAGGTACCCGGCACGCACCTGCTCCATCGGGTCACCAGTGCGATGCTGCCCGTGAGGCAGGCGCCAGGCAAAACCCCGCTTCACATGAGTCGTAGCTGCCGTCCCCCTCCTGCCCCCAATTCACCCGTTTCAGGCGGGGAGGGCGCCAAGCCTCTCCATCCTCCCACATTCTAACCCCAAGTCTCCCCGAAGTCTGTTGGGTGGTTCCACGGCCAAAAGGATGGATGATGGATCAAAGCCACATTACCAACCGATCGGCTGGTGCAAGGATCCTGACTGGCCGGGCTTTGTCTTCGGGCCTCGATCGGCTGCAAGGGCACCGACGCTAGGTCTCGAAAACCAGGCTCGAAAATTTGACGGCGCGCTAGTTCAATCTCGAGAACGCTCTACAATCCGGAGGAACGCGGGGAACAAGAATGCTACTCTGAATTGACTGACGAGAGCTCGTGGTTGCTCGCTTGAGCTTCGCCTTGACTGGTCCCTTGTCTCTGGAGCTGCAGTGGGCAAAATTTAAACTTAGGAAGCACGCAAGAACAGTCGATTCGACCTGCACGAGCATTATTACCGACATTGGCATCCCGAGTCCTGCGTAGTCGTCCTCGCCCCACCCAGACTTGCCTGGCCCACATGGCATATATCGAGGAACAAGGCTAAGCAGGAAGGATAACTCGGCACGGACGAGCTGGACCCTGCCTACTCCCTGCTTAACTTGCCTTCAAAGGCTGTAATTTCCCCCTGCTAGGCTTCCTGTCTGGGTCACGAAGGTTTTGCTACGGAGCAGTGGGGAATCTCGAGAATCGTCCACGTGTGTTCAGATTGTGTGATCGCAAACACTCCGGAAGTTGCCACTACCGGATTGGACCAGAGTGGGTGGCAGGCTCATGATAGCGCCATCAGCCGAAATCTTTGTGCTCTGCCGTGTCACTTGGCTTATGGAGAGCCTTGGTTGAAAGTGCGATGGCGCATCTTTTTCATCCCCACAGACTGGAACGCCTTCTGCCAAACATCGATTCCTTGGCCAATCGCTCATCACTATACCACCGAGTCGACATCGACTGGGGATAGTCCGGGGTACGTGCAGAACCTTTTCTCATGAATCAGAAGGGCCTTGCGTTGTTTTCGACGTCCATCGAACGGCCCTGACTAGTCAGAACAGTCTGGACATAGCTCTCCCCTTATATTTCTCCTCCAGGACCCTCTACACTAGTTTTGATTTCGCCGCCCCTCGATTTTCCTCTTCCTCCAGCCCGTCCCCAGATCTGTCTTCTTCCATGCTTTTCTCCAAATCGATGTGTTCGAGCTCGTAGCAAGTATCTTTTGGCACTATTGTGAAAACTCATGGCAACGGCAATTGAACCAGCTATGCCGCCGCAAGCTAAGAGAAAGGTGTCGATTGCCGGCTTGCCAACCAGTGGTAGGACTGTCAAACGACGAGCTTCTAAGGCATGTTCCTGTTGTCGGTCACGAAAGGTCCGCTGCGATGTCGTTGAAAGTGGTATCCCATGTACGAACTGCAGACTCGATGAGGTGGAATGCGTAGTGACAGAGGGCAAACGCCGCCGAAAATCATACGCAGATGGCGAGCCTTTTCACCACTCACCCTGTGCATCCATCGAGGAAGAGAAAGAGATGGTCCATTTCCCCATTTTTGACGACATTGATGGTCTCAGTGACCTTGCTTCTTGCTTGCAGCCCGTTCAGTCCAACCAGAATGTACATGCCTTGGAATACGAGCTAGCGCATCACAAGCCTCACATGCTATGTAACGCTCCCTGTCGCATCCTGCTGCCTCTCATGCTAACGCGGTTACTGCAGATCAGACACAAGGCCACCGACTGAGCCAGGAGGAGTGTACTCGGCGGATGTCAGTGATCTCCGCCCACCCTCTTCCCTCTCCGGCACAAACAGGCTTAGGAAAGCAGTATTTCCCATCACCTGCCAGCAGACCTGAAATCGTCCTCCCTCAGTATATACAACCAATACCGCCAAAAATCATGAGAGAGGACCTGGAGTATTTGCAGAAGAAGGGAGCCTTCCTGATTCCTGATAATGGCTTTCGAAATGAACTGCTACGGTGCTACGTGCAATATGTTCACCCCTATCTGCCCATTGTCGATCTAAAAGATCTACTCACGACTATTGAGAGAAATCAATCTAGCGACAACATTAGCCTCCTGCTATTTCAAGCTGTCATGTTTGCGGGAACAGCTTATATTGACATGCGATATTTGGTAGCTCAAGGGTACGTGACAAGAAAGGCAGCCCGGAAAGCATTCTTTCAGAAAGTCAAACTCTTATACGACTTCGATTATGAGATCGACCGTGTCACGGTCGTTCAAAGCGTCTTGCTGATGACCTACTGGTACGAGAATCCAGATGACCCCAAGGACGTCTGGCATTGGCTTGGTGTAGCCATCTCTGTTGCACGTACCATCGGCCTCAACTGCGATACATCCGACGCACCGTTGATGGACCACAAGCAGCGCTGTCTATGGAAACGAATCTGGTGGTCTTGCTTTATGCGAGATCGTTTGATAGCGATCGGCATGCGCCGACCAATGCGGATTAATGACGGAGATTTTGATGTCTCATTGCTCGAGGTTTCAGATTTTGAGACCGACCCTCTGCCGCACGAGATCACTCGAATGTTGGGCGGTTGCCCGTCAGTACGAGACACATCGAAACGAGTGACCTTGGCGAAAATGTGCATCAGCCTCACGAAATTGTGCATTTGCATCAGCCAAGTCCTGGCTGTTCAATATTCCACACTAGGACACAAAATTGGAGCAACGCAGGAAACAACCATGAGATTGGTCCCTAGGAAATGCGCTGCGGAACCAAGTGATGTGATCCGATGTGATGCACAGCTCGGTCAGTGGTACGAAGAGCTCCCTTCCAATCTCCATTACTTCGGACCCGGTTTTCAAGTACAGAACCCGAGCAACGACGGCGAAGTGATCAACCTCCATCGAGCATTACTCACCGGGATCTATCTCACGGCGATCAGTGCCTTGCACCGCCCTCAGATTCTCCCATCGACTCCAAACGTTGTGATCGCACCAGAACTCCGAGAAATGTCCAGAAGAAAAGTCCGCGAAGCAGCCAACAACATCACCGAGATGTACAAGGAGCTGTATGCACACGACCTGTTACGATACTTGCCAAATACCGGTGTCACGTGCTTGCTTCCGGCCATCATTATCCACCTCCTGGATATCAAATCGACTGATTCTGACACTCGCCAATCAAGTATTCGAAAGTTCCAGTTCTGTATGCAGGCTTTGCAACGCCTGAGGGAGATGTACGCGTCGGCGGACTTCGCCTTTTCGTTCTTGGATGCTGCGGTCCGCAAGACCAATTCACAGGCATCAACAGCCGTGGCTGCTGTACCCATGATAAGACCGCAGTTGACCGCCAGTCACGGGACGACGGATCAGAAGACAGGCTCGCGAAAGCCCCTTCTGCTTACGCCTCCTCCAGAAGCTATGCAGACGGCCAATTTATTGCTGTTCAACTCGACCTTGGCACCGGGAGAGAAAAACCTGATTTCAGCATATACACCACCAGGCTCTAACGCAAGCCTCAACTCGTATACGACAGCCGGTGCAGCAGCTGCACTTCTTGACGTTGGTGAAGCATTGGGAGAGGGTGAGCCGGACAATATCGATGAGATATGCCAGGCCAATTTTGAAGCGCTCATCAATGTCGAAGGTGGCCCAGAATTGTTCTCGACTGGGGACGAGGCATTTGACATGAATATTCAATGGCTAGAGGGTTTCGATGCAAATGGTTTTGATACGGACAATAAAGAGTTCTCATTAGAAGGACCAGGAATTGATGATGATCTGCCGATGGCATCAGGCTATGTTGAGCAGGCAGTGAGTGTGACGGGGGAGCTTAATCTCGATGTATAGGTTCATGATGAATCGTAGATAGTTGATTGTGGTCTAGCCTGCATAGTTTGGTCAATACAAGAAAAGTGCTCGAGTGCAATAGACAAGATAGCGGCCTGCGAGTATTTCGTGCCCGTCCCACCACCTTTTCGTACACCCCTTGTCTATCGTATCGGCACCGACCTTGCCGGAATGCGCATTGTGGCGTTGCGGCAAGCCCTCATTCAGCAGGCTGTGGCTGGCAGAATCAATGGAGAAACAAGGTACTTATTTCCATCCTCAACAGCTCTTGTTCCCATACATGTCTCTTACGGTCGACGCATCATTGACCTTTTGATCGTCTTTTTCGCGGTGTAGAGGAAGCTTCTTACTGCATAGACTGTTTCTTATCTCTCTCGATCGCTTACCGAGGTATGTTGACAATGACGCCTTTGGTGCGTCGCCCAGGCCACCGCCCCGCCTACAGGTGACAGATCACTAACTAGACATGGCTATCCACAAAGGCCCTCGCTCGACATGGCTAGTACTTCATATTTCAATGTCACCCTGTGTTTCCCATCGGTGGCAAAGAGATAACAAACATTCCTCTTATGTAGATGTTCCGCCCGGAAGCATAATGGTTCCAACCTACAAGTCTAGTCCTCTTTATACCTGAGGCAGGGCACCAGTACGGAGTACATCTTCCAAGGTTGCAGTCATGGTACAAGGTTCGTGCGCTTATCCATGGTTCCTCCACATCAACCGAGTAGGAATGGAGCTTACTCCTCCAGAAGCAATGCCACCAAGTGCTTGTGTCCTCGGAGGGCGCCTAAGGGACGCCACCCATGGGTCATTCATCGCTAGGCATTCAGTCCTCGGTCCTCTATACGTAGGCGTCACAATGTCCAAATGAATACCTGAAACCCTACAATGGACGTCCAGTCATCGATGGCTCTAGTCGACAGACCCTCTGACTACAGTAGACCACTTCTAGAAACATGGAAGTCTACGCAGCCGGCAGAGCCGGTGGATAGAGACTTTTTGTACTCCGTCAGCACCAAGCTTGACCTTTCCAACGCTCACTCAGGCTAGATAGCTAGCTATTGCATGTTGTACCTCGCAGGGTGGGTGGGTGCTTGTTGCTCCTTCAGTTACAGGGATAGAATCCTGGACCGACGCGACCCTTCCAGAGGCCAACCACCTTATCGAGGTCGCGTATGGCCTTCTGAAGCGCAGTTATCCGTCGTTATGAAGCCCTACCTGCCAAATAGGGACTAACTCATATCCAGCAAACGGCCGCTGCTAGGCTGTGACAGGTAAGTTCATAGCTGGAGCTTCTGCAGCTCTTCTCCAGACGAAGTATCTGGACATTTCTGTCTTTTGCATCTCCACCCACTACTGCTCAAATACTACCTTCTACCATGATACATCGTCATTGATGAACATGGGGCCGCCGTGCAAACACCTTTCTTGACAAATGACAAGCCTTGCTAAGCTACAGGGCCTGACGACGCTTGCTCCGTCACCACTGGGAAGCTTCAACATACTTCTCGAGCTTCTCACTAGTGCGTGGCGGGGTGAGCTCGATTGCCAGTTCACATGCGCAGAATGGACGGTGTAATGCAATTGTGCCTGCCCGTCCAGAAGTTGGAAAAACTTGCGGTAATACAAAACCCCTCCGTCTGCTCAACTCGACCCTGTCCCATTCTTCTACCAGCAGGCACTCGCGGCAGGAATCTATCTCGGTTTTCCGGCTCAGAAGCAGGCCATACACGGCTGTTTCCAGCCATCTGTAAGCATTCAAACTAGCTCAGAGTACCAGCCGCTTCGCTGCGACGGATTACACCCAAGATGCAACTTCTCAGCATCCTCGCCGCGGTGAGCGTCTTCGCCGCTGGAACTGCTGCCGTGAAAGGGCCATTCGCCCAAAGCAAGCGAGGCGGTAACAAGATTCAGGTCTTGCCTCGCCAGCTACCAGCAGAGCCCACGGGTGTCCAAACCATCATCAGCCCCATTGGCGCCAACATCACCTACAAGGAGCCAGGCAAAGCGGGGGTGTGTGAAACCACTCCAGGTGTCAACTCGTACGCTGGTTTCATCAACCTCGGCGAGGACGTCCACACCTTCTTCTGGTTCTTCGAGTCAAGAAACGACCCGGCCAGCGACCCGATCACACTTTGGCTCAATGGAGGCCCTGGGAGTGATTCATTGATCGGCCTCTTTGAGGGTGAGTTTGACGGTTTCTCTATCGCGGCTCTGGGTTCGCTCTTAACTGACAGCATCCAGAACTTGGTCCCTGCAATGTCACGGAAGACCTCGTCACTCAATTGAACCCCTACTCGTGGAATGAAGCCTCAAATATGCTCTTCCTGAGTCAACCGGTCGGTGTTGGCTTCAGCTACGGCTCAAAGGTAAGAGAACAGGCTCACGGTCCGGGCTACAGACTAATCAGGGAACAAGCAACCTGGAAGTCTGGATGAGTTTTTTGGCTGGTATGTAAATGCAACTTCAGCCAACGTAACGGGACGCTATCCGGTGATTAACGCGACCGCTATTGGTATGTGGTCTTGGTAAAATTGTCGAGTCGAAAACAGTGAAATCGTCGACCCGAGGAGACCTGGTAGCTAACCTTGATCTAGATACCACCGATCTCGCCGCAGTTGCCGCATGGGAAGTGCTTCAGGGATTCTACTCTGCCCTTCCACAACTTGACTCGAGGGTGCAATCTACCCAGTTCAACCTGTGGACCGAGAGGTAAGACCCACCACAGCCTGCAAGGGTTGCTCTACTAAGCCCGGTACAGTTACGGTGGTCATTATGGCCCAGCCTTCTTCAACTATTTCTCCCAGCAAAATGCGCTTATTCAAAATGGTACCACGACCGGCAAGGCGTTCGAGTTCGTGAACTTGGGAATAATCAATGGCATCATCGACGAATACATCCAAGCTCCATACTACCCACAATTTGCGGCCAACAACACCTACGGCATCAAAGGAGTTAATGACACGGTATACAATTACATGAACTTCGCCGTCAATATGCCCAACGGCTGCCTCGATCAGGTCACCTACTGCTATTATGCCGACCAAACCACACTTGGCGGACAAGCCGTCTGCGCGGAAGCCGCAAATATGTGCCGTGACAACGTGGAAAGCCCCTACTACTATGCTGCCGGCGAACGTGGTGTCTATGACATTCGTCATCCTTTCGATGATCCTACTCCCCCGTCATACTTTGTCGACTATCTCAATATGGACGCTACGCGGGACGCGCTGGGCGTGGACACAAACTACAGCCAGTCCAACAACGACATCTACTATGCATTCCAGCAAACCGGCGATTTCGTTTACATGAATTTCATTGAAGACCTCGAACAACTTCTCAATTCATCGTCCGTACGGGTGACTCTTGTGTACGGAGATGCGGACTACATCTGCAATTGGTTCGGAGGCCAAGCAGTCTCCCTAGGTGCTCAGTGGACTCACTCAGAAGAGTTCAACGCGGCAGGCTACACTCCATTCGTCGTGGACGGTGTCGAGTACGGTGAGACGCGAGAGTACGGAAACTTCTCGTTCACCCGTATCTACGAGGCCGGCCATGAAGTGCCTTACTATCAACCCATCGCCTCCCTAGCATTTTTCAAGCGTGCCTTGACAGGTATGGATATTGCCACCGGCAATATCTCCATCAACGCCACCTATGGCACCGACGGCGAGGCCACAGCTACACACACCGAGCCTTTCGTTCCACTTCCTGCCACAAGTTCTTCGGCTTCTGCCACTAGCACGGGCACTGGCGCAGTCCATGCACCAATGCGGTTTATGGAACGCAGATCGTTCTAGGGTCCGAGCAGGAAAGGGGGGGGCGGAAGGGGATGTTACATGTACGAAGCAGTAGTAATACTATTATTAAATAAAGTATTTCCACCAGTAGTGAATGGAAAGCAAAAATTAATTAACAATTTTCCAAAATGGAACAACTGCACCACCTTGTTACTACAACGTCTGGTTCCTCCAGAGGTTGGGAATTGACATCGTTACAATTTCGTGCACCCAAGTTTTGTCTTGATCACTAGGCAGGACTTAGGCAAGGCGCTCACCACTGCAAGTCCCGGTTGTTAGCCCCGTTACATGCCAGAAGAACCTCGCAAGCGCTAGCACCGTTCGTCTCGCCATTAGCATTGCTTGCAACGCCTTTTTTTGCCTCCGCATTGGCCCCAAATGCTTGGTTCCCCGGTCTCGCCGGCCATATCTCACGGCCCGCAACGTCCTCGCTGCGGACATGGTCCCTCAATACCCGCAGCAGCATGGTCTGGAAGGCGAAGACGCCCTCCTCGTGGAACGGGTGCAGCGGGCCCCTTTCAAAGATGCCCCGAGCAAGGTTCTTCTGGACGTTCTCGCAGAGCGCGAAATCCTCGTCGACGACTTTCCGGTAGAAGGACGTCATGCGCGCGTGGGCTTCGGGCGTCGCGTGCGGCGTGTTGAGGCGGTACACGTCGTACTCCTGTCGTGTGCTCGTGGCGGACAAGGGGATGCTGCGCATCAGGTGCATGAACCCCGTGCCGGGGTTCGGGCTGAAGTGGCCTGCCGGGAAGACGTGTGTCGCCGAGCGGCCTGCGAAGCGGGTCTTGTCGAAAGCCGAAGATATGAGGACGGATGCTTTGGGTTCGCTGAAGTGGCTGATGTACGCATGCGAGTTGGGTGCTGGGCTGACATAGTATGTGTCGAGCGCGGTGGTTCGAGCGACGTCTGGGTGTGCCGTAAGGCAGTGATAGCACTATGGAATTTGGAACAGCCAAACGGGGTTAACCTCGTTTCCAAGACGAGGACGAGGACGAGATCAGAAATGGGGTTCATCAATTACCTCGTTGTAGTTGTCTTGCATGATCTTCCAGTTGAAGGCGCCTTCCTTGCTCCAGGTGAAATCATACTCGACGCCGTCCCAGTCGACCCCTGAAGTTTTCAACACCTCCTGCCGGTCCAGGCTGCCATACTGCTGTTCCCAAGAGATCTCGGGGACGCGGCTCGCGTCCAGATTGACGTAAACAAAGCCGTTGACGTCCACGTGGACATGGATGGGGAATAACCGTATGCCGGACGGGTTGAACGAGGGCACCGACTCAGGGGTGAAGCGAGGTGCCTTGGTCAGGGCCCCGTTGAGGTCGTACGACCAGCCGTGATACTTGCAGGAGAAAATCCTCGCTGTGCCGCTCGTCTCCTGCACGATTGGAAAGGCGCGGTGTCTGTCTTTTTTCCTCAGAATCCACACTCACGCTTTCGCTTCTTGTCTAGCCCCTGCGGAGAATGGGAAAGGGGGCCAAACACATAAAAGACGGCAAGCCAGACACTTCGCTGGACGGGGAGAATTGTGATCTCGTAACCTACCTGCAGATGTTGTGGAAGCTGACGATGGTTTCAGCTTTATTTTTCACCACCACGAAATTGAAGCCGCCCATTTCGTACTGGACGTAGTCTCCTGCGTTTCGATAGCGAGCCTTGTGTGAGACTAGGAACCATCGCTTCGAGAAAATCGCTCGTCGCTCGAGCTGATAAACTGCCGACGAGCAGTAAAACTCGTGCGGTAGCGACGATTCCAAGTCGGTCGACAATATCTTTTTGGAAAGGCCTTCGAGGTGTTTCTCGTGCACTCCATTGGTGGGTGATGTTGCATTGGACGCTGAGAGTGGCATGGTTGTTGGGACCGATTGTCGTCTTGGGTTCAGCGGGAATTGCCAACGATGCCCTATTTGCCTCAAGGTAATGAACGCATTCAAGAGTGTTCCTTCAGCTCTCCTAGGTTTGGGTGTGACGAGAATTGGGCGGGAGAGCTTCCCATGGGTGCCATCCGCCTATCACCTTCATATATCCTGCGTGGACGATCCGACTGTCTGGGTTTCTTCCTGCTGAACGCCTGGGACTTCCGGATTAGGAATAGTTATCCACATGTTAATTATTGGATCTTCAGCCGAGAGCGACGCCAGGGGAGGGGTTTATCTGCTGTCAGCGCTCCATTCGGTCTCCCTTGTTTTTTCGTGGCAATCATCAATGCAAGGCTGTAAGGTCGCCGACGTGATGTATCCTAACCGGCCCAAGCCTGATGCGCCCGCAAATCAGCCACTCTCCATTTACAAAGAAGTACGGAATCTGTTCTGCAACGGACCTTGAAAATCTAGAACACAAATAAACTTCTGTCAAGCACGGACATTGACATATTTAGCCGCCCAGGTCAAACTCTCTGAAGCTCAACCAGGCAACTCGGCCATCCCCTGTTTCTTCCAGCTTAAATCCTAACGCTCCCGAGATATTGCTGATCATTTCAGTCGCAAACCTGCTGCGGGTTTCTGTCTCAATGCCAGAATGAGTCTTCGACTATCATCCCTGGATCCAAATGAGCCCCGGGCGGGGAAGGGTATGTTATCTTCGCCGGGATTACCTTCCCCACTCAAGAGGCTACATATGCTGATAACATAACAGATTGCCGCAGCTGCAATCGCCGTAGAATCAAGTGCGATAGGAGTCTCCCTACGTGCAAGAAGTGCGCTCTGAAGGACTTGCAGTGTCCAGGCTACGGCCTAAGGATTCAATGGGGCCAGGGCGTGGCCAGCCGGGGAAAACTGACTGGCAAAACCTTGCCGGTACTTGACGCGAACTCCACTGGCTCTGTCGATTATAACGACAGCCCGAAGAGTTCTACCCCTCCCGAATCGCTAGGCTCGCGCGATGAGAATCTCGAGTCCTCGCCGGTGCCGGTGCCTCCTGGTCTCCGGCGCGCCTTCGAGGCGGCCGCGAATGGTCAATCACTACTCGGGGGGAGTGCCAACCTCGACGGCGATCTAACTCCAGATCAAATCCCGCTTTATGTGCAAGATCCTATTGTGCAGCAGCTCCTCCATCACTACGACAAAGAAGTCGCCGCCGTCATGCCGTGGGTCGACGGACCGCGGAATACTTGGCGGACGGTCATCATCCCACTGGGGATGGAATCGCCTTCTCTCCTGCTCGCCATCCTGGCACTGGCTGCCGAACACTATACCTCCAAGATGGGATCGACGTGGTCGAAGCAGCACGGCGTCAGCTCGAGTCACTACCGAGACAAGAGCCTGAAGCTCCTCGCGCAGAACCTGAGATGTGAGATGAGCGAGGGCGCATCGACTCCACACCAGGAGCCCCCTAGCGCGATGCTGGCGACCATCCTGATCCTGTGCAACCTGGAAATGATTCGCTCAGACTCCTCGGTGTGGAGTGTACATTGGAAAGCTGCCCGGACGATTACTCGCCGATGGACGAGTCCACACCACCACCACTCCGCTTCGTCAACACTAGACTCCATATGCCAACTCCTGATCAAGGAGGCGTTCAGCTACGACGTCTTCGCCTCGTCGACCACGTTCGACAACGACGACCAGATCCCCAGCTCCGTCCTCTGTGAAGACGACGAAGCTGCGTTCACCGAGTGGATGCGGATCATCCAGGAAGTCACAACGTCTGAAAGATACCGCTATAAGCTCAGGAGTAAAGGAGGGGCCAACGACCGCCCTCCCACACCGCCAATGGACATTGCCACGCTCCAGCGGGGCTTCGAATACGCCAGGCAACGCTCACTCCACTTCGAAAAAGCCATGGACTTTGGCTCGTCCGAGCTGCACCGCGACTTCGGGATCCTGATCTCCATCTTCCACTTTGCCGGCCTCCTCTACAGCTTCCGCGCACTCCTCGACACCACCGGCGTTCGCATGCACACGACGATGCAGCAGTTGGTCCAAAGCACCATCCATCACATCAACCAAATCGAAGTGCGCTCCGCGTTCCAGCACGACTTCGTCTGGCCGTTGTTCATCGTCGGCACGGAGAGCAGAGACAGCATCGAGCTGCAGGATTTCGTGGAGTCGCGGCTCCTCGAGGCCATGAGCTCCACGGGTTTTTCCAATTGCTACCCGGCGTTGCAATTTTTACAGCGGTTCTGGGGCACCCAGCCTGAGACGACTCCAGACTGGTTGCAGTTTGCCCGGCAGGAATCTGCGCGCGGGTTCACTTTTCTGGTGATATGATATGATATGAGACTTCAGAGTTCGTGGAGATGTTACAATACAAAACTTGGACCGGTATAACGGCCAGACGACTTTTCGCCCCCTAGTTGTTATTGACACAGGCACCGACCCTCACTCACATATCAACCGTTTCCTCGTCCTCTACGCCAAATAAATACCTCATTGGATCTTGGTATTCCACGAAACCCAGAGCTGGCAGACTAATGCCGTATCCCAGAAGCCTCTGCGCCTGCGGCGATAGTCTCTTCGCTTTCTCCGGCGGCACCATGATGAATTGGTTTTCTGCTGGCCGGTAGTAAGGCTTACACAGAAATATGCCGACCGTCTCACGGGCTTGGTCTCTGCAGGAAGAAAAAATGGATTAGTAAAAGAAGCGAAACAGCTTTGAAATGGAACCACGAGGGGGAGTGATTGAATGAATGGAATGCGCACGTTGTAATGTTCCCGCCGCCCGCGTGGTAGAGGTTGCCGACGAAAATCAACGCCGACCCGGGTTCCAGCTCGGCCGGGACGGCTTCGTGGTCGTAGGGGCACCGATCGGGGCCCCAGAGATGTGAGCCGGGGATACAGATCGTGGCGCCGTTCTCTTTGGTGGTTTTTGTGATGGCCGTCACGCAACCCAGCATCATGGGCATGTCGCAATTCCGCGTGTGATAGTCACTAGAATCACAGGTTAGTACTAGTAGCCAGCAGCAGCAAAAAGATTTGATTTTATAGACATGGGGATGTGGGGTTGAGATTCGATTCATACCCGTCATCGCGATGTAAAGCTTGCTGTCTGCCCCCCGGGTTCACGCGGAAACCCACCGTTGAGGAGATAATCGGCTTACTCGTCACGGTCTCTTGTACCTGGCCGTTCCAGTATGTGTAGGTCGAGGAGAGCATGGTATTCGCCACGTCAATATACGTTTTGTTCAGTGCAAGCTCAACACACGCGTCTGAACGGGCAAAGAGCCCCGTCGCTCGCTGCGTCGTGTGTGGGAAGAAGCCTGACGGGTCGACTTTGTCTGTGTCAAAGTAGGGTTTCAGCTCTGTCCTGATGCGGCCGGCAAGTTCCTGGCTAATGATGTTCTCGACGATGACGCCGCCGTCGCGTTCAATGATTGACACGAGAAGCTGGGTCGTCGTGGCTGGGTCGTTGGCATCATATCTTGCTATTGTAGGCTTCTTGGCCGCAGTGGCTCCGTTGCTGATTGGCTGAACCGCTGCTGCTGTTGCGGCTTTCATGTTTGCAGCAGCGACGGGAGCCTCAACGGCCTGTTCTACAGCAATCGGCGCCATTTTGAATTTCCGCAGAGGCCTGAGCGTTCTCAATGTTCTAGAGTGATAACGAGCTACAAAGCTCGTCTTGTTTGGATTTGGTGATATGACTTGCAGTATACCAGGCTTGCAAAAGAAGTGTCGCATGTATATTGGACGATGGAATGTCGCTAAAGCGACCTGATCGTGATGTTTATATGATTCTCAGTCTCCTCGCCGCCGAGTCTTCACATTTGAAACACGAGAGCGTCTAAAAATATCTATGCCTCGTCCGGGGGGACTGGGCTCGGAGGCGAACAAATGACTGATGTTGGAGAGACTCTTGCTTTCCTGCTTCTGGCTCTCTCTCACTGTGTGTCCCCAGTAGTCTGGGTAGTAAGGCAGATATCTCCGAAGCCAGCAGGTGGATGGAGAAGTGATGATTATCTCGGGTCGACGTCCAAGGTCCAGGGTACACGAGAGGTACCAATCAAGGAGCGTGTGTGGAAGAAAATACCACAAACGGTTGCAGTTCTGAGAAGTTTTCTCTGAGAGACAGGGTCGGCGCGTATAACTAAGAGTGTTCAGTCCTCGGATATCTCGAATCAAAACAAGTTCTATCCGGGAGATCATCGATCGTCGCCGGTCAAAGGAGGGTTTTGAATATGTTCAGAGCGGGGCTTGCCGTTGCGGAGATGGTCGTCCTAACTACCAGCCTCGAGGTACTCTGAACATAGGCCACTTAAGTCTTTACCCGCGAAGATAGGTACCTGATACTGAGGAGAAGCGACTCTTCTCCATCCACCATCCTTATCGGGTTTGGTATACGATCCCCTGCTGAGTTTGTAGTTGTCACTAAGATCTAGGCGAGGACCCTATGCTAGAGGCAGCATTCTTTGCCATGTGCAAGCTAATTAGTCTAAGGGCCGGCGCTTGTCAAGCCGCAACCTTTTCCAAACATCTCGTCAAGCTGATAACGAAGGAACGTTGCTGACCAGTTGACGCGTGTCTTGAAATCGCTTCTTGCCAGGACTTGCTTCCCCCCCCCCGACCTAGATTCAACGAGGGGGAGATAAGCGATTTCCATGCGGTTGACGAAAAGAGATAACCAATCCCCTCGACCGTGACAATCTGCCTCCTCATGATACGTAGCCCGTCTTTCAGCCTTGCGCGCAGAGAGGATGCGCAACGCCGTTGCTAGATAATCCTACTGCCGAGGAAGGGGAGGGGGTGGGAAACGGGCATGTTTAAACTCAAGCTCGAGCCACCAAAAACGTCAAAACCCTCTCTCTCGTGATTTTCTTCAACCTCCTTCAAGGCGCGTGCAACTGTCGCCAAAAAAGTGTTTGATAAGTCAAGTCAAGTTGCCTCCTTTTCTTCAATCCCTGAGATCAACGCGACAATGGGGGTTGAAGACGTCCAATTTTTCGCAGGCGCACTCAACAAGACTTCTTCGCTGGATGAGGCTGTCTCCGTGAACAGCGACGATGCTCTCCTCATGTCCATGGGCAAGAAGCCCGAGTTGAGACGAGTGTACAATTTCTGGACGCGTATGTGACTTTCTTGAAAGAATTCTCAGACGTTCCCCATATGCAACAAAGTCTTGGCCTGGACGCTCATCACTCGCTTTCACAGTATGCGCGTACCAGATTATGATCTCGTGCAGCTGGTCTTGTCTGGTTGTGTTGTATTCTACCATCTTCGACGTCGGCGGTCCCTTCGCCCTGGTATGGGGAACGTAGGTCTCCCTTGACTTGATGGCTCGAAGTCTGAGAGCGCTTCTCGAGTAATGTGTTGACCACATGCTCCTCAATAGGCTTTTTGTCGCTGTGGGCCAAACGCTGCTGATGATGTCGCTTGCTGAATACTGCTCCATCTGGCCTACCGCTGGCGGCCAGCAGTATTACACTCAAGCGGTCGCGGTCGGCAAACTTCGACCGATTTTGTCGTATCTCGTTGGTTGGGCTGTCATTGTGGGTGAGATTTCCACGGGGTCGAGTTGCGCCGTCAATAGCGCTGCGATCATCGCGTCCTTCGTGGAAGTTACTCATCCTGAGGTCGAATGGAAGGTGAGATTGTCAGAGTGTTTCCGTTGGACAATTGTGCCCCTGCTGACGCTGCGACGCAGCCATATATGACCTGGCTCATCTACAGTGGTTTCCTGATCGCTCCTATTCTCATCAATCTCAAGCAAACGTAAGTCTGAATCCCCTCTCAACGCAGGAATTTCCAACAGAAAACCCGCTTTCTCACCACTTTGAATAGATGGCTTCCCGCAATGAACATCTTCGGCGCCTTCTGGACCATCGCGGGTGGCGTGGCGTGGGCGATTGTGTTTGGTGTCATGGCACCGAAGCACGATGCCAATTTCATCTTCACACTATTCATCAACAACTCCGGCTATGCTAGCAAAGGCTGGGTGTTCATCATGTCCTTCTACTCTCCTATGTACGGCCTGTACGGGACTGACGGCATGATGCACTTGGTTGAGGAGATGAAGGACGCGTCCAAGGAGGCCCCTCGCGTCATGGTTTGGTCCATGATCTTCTGCAGCGTTACGAGCTGGCTAGCTGCACTGTTGTTGCTCTGGACGGCCGGCAATTGGGAGGATTACATGACTGGTAAGTGCAGATGCATACATTTCCCTTCCTGTTTTCGAGCCGGTTGATTTCCAATTTTCTGACGTTGCTTCCCGTCTTTCTTTTTCCTTTTAGCTTCGCAGCCATACATGAACTGGTGGATGGATGTGACGGGCTCGGTGATTGGTGGTGGTGTCTTCTGTGCTCTCGTCATGATCGGCTTGAACTTCTTCATCATCGTCGGGACAAACAATGCCGGCTCGCGGCTTGCCTGGAGTATGGCCAGAGACAAAGCATTCCCGTATTCCGAGTACTTCGCGCACGTCAGCACGAGATTCCATATTCCCCTGAGATGCATGGTCGCCATCTTGGTCATTGACTTGGTCATCGGTAAGTCCTGCCCCTAAATTTTCAGCAAATCCCCATCCGCCATTCCAAGTGGAAAGCGCGACTCTAACATCGAACTCTTCCGATGCAGGCCTCATAGTGCTTGGTAATGACCTGGCATTCGAGTCCATCATCTCCGCCGGGGGGGTGACGCTTCAAATCGGCTATGCTGTGCCTGTCCTTGTGGTCTTGATCCGTGGACGCGGAATCCTCCCCGCGCGACCACATTTCGACCTCGGCCGCTGGGGATATTTTGTCAACGTCGTCTCCGTCTGCTGGTCGCTCATAATCATCATCATGTACCTCTGTCCGCTCTATGTGCCAGTCACGGTCGCGACCATCGACTACATGAACTGGAGCTGTCTGATCGTCGGCGCGACGGTCCTGTTCCCCGGTATCTATTGGGTATGGAGGGCTAGGCATCGCTACATCAAGGAGACCAATTCCGTCCTCGAAGATAATGTCGTCATCATCAACGGTGTCACTGTCAGTGGAAGTGAGGCGTTAAGGAAAGCCGCTCTGGCCGCAGAGAAGTAGCAATTCGCAGGACGCTGAACGAGAGAGACTAGAGCCTGCGCCAGTTCTTGCGCATAATTGATTGTAGAATAACGAGTGTTTGGTAGCGAATTGTGGAATGGGAATGATGTTGGATCTTTTGATGATTGAAAGGATGTTTGCTTGTACCGAGTAGCATAAACTATGTTTGTGTCATAGCCACGTCTCGAGGAGCAAACGTGAAACCCAGCAAGGACAAATAGACGGGCCTGAATAGTGATGCTGCATTGCTATTGTATCGCACGAGAAAAGCTTCGTAGCGTCTCATGCAGTTTCCCCCCTTACTCGACGAGCTGCATAAGCGTTGGCATCTTTCTTCCTCCATCTGTAAAAGACGATGGTTCGCACCACGAGGTCCCGGTAGGTAACCTGAATGGACTGTCTATTAATCGCTTCAGAATCCCCTTTCTCGAAAGAAAGTTCCGCCCTTTCCAAATCTATAGCCATGCAACGATACCAAACGCACACGCCACTGACCCAAGAACATTGAGAGGAAGTTCACGCGTAGCAGCACTACCAGCACTACCGCCAGTGTCAGTGCCAGTTGCGCTCGCTGTATCGGCGGCTGTGGATGAAGTTGAAGTGGCGGCACCTGATCCCGATGTTGTGCTCCCGGTAGGGGTTGTCTGTGGAGCCGAAGCAGCCGAGACAGTGTTTTCTGCCGTGGCGGATGAAGCGTTGTCTCCAGACAGATCCAGATTAGGGAACAAAAGTGAATTGCAGAGATCTGGTAGATCGTTGGCAAAGATCAATTGCTGGTCTTGTGGACACGCCTGAATGCATGCGATTTGCGGATCTCCATTGAGCGAGTAGCTGGCGCACCGGCATTGGTCCAGCGCGTCTCCTTGCTCGTCACCGTCGCAGAAGGAAGATTTGGGGTTGCTGGTGAAGCAGCTCTGTACACATGGCCCGTTGTCGGTTTGAGCTTGAATAAGGCTGCAGAGGAGGGAGGTGCTGAGGAGGAGGGGGAAGAGCACAGTCCGAGTCGACAGCATTCTGGAAGCGGCTAAGTCGGTGCACAAAATCTGAGTGTAGTGTATCGTGTTCTAGGCAAAATAGAATGATGGGTTTGGACTTGGCGATGGAATACAACAATGAAGCTGACCTAATAGGGGGCCGGGGAGGCCAGATATAGATGTTTGGTTGCAAGGCTCCTAGCCAAGGCCTTGGTACTGCGCCTTGATTGAAAGGTATCTGTGAACCGCGCGAACAAGAACTGTAGAAATGAATGGCTGAAATGCGACCAGAATGCTCAGGAACGGGACTAGATTTTAAAGCTTGGAGGTCAGGGTTGGTCCTCAGGAGACTTGCAGCACAGGAAAACAAGCATGGCCCATGTCAACAGTTTGCTGGCAACTAGGCTGACTTGTCGAGCAACGGGAGGGCCAAGACGAGCTTGCAACACTTCTCTTGTCCAGCAGATGGCGAATACGAGAGTTTGCAAGGTATCTTGGAGATCCTTGGAGGTGTTCGACACGTTGATAGGAGTGGTATTGTTTAGATGTGTCCAGATTTCAGTAGCTCTTCGACCGGCTGGCCTTGTTTTGCGGTTTCAGACTTTCCCGTTTGCAGGGATGAGGTCAGATTGCGAGCGGGTACCTCAACCGCCCCATCCTATGAGTATATCGCAGTCTTACCTAATCACAATCCCTTCGTCGTCACGTCGGTTGGCTGCGACTGAGGCTATCCTTGTGCCACTCGAAACCGCGTATCAAATACCGGGGAACCCACTGGGTAACTCGAACGATGTTTCCCATTTCAAATAGTAGTGCGAACAAAAGAGGTGTTGTATCTAGCTAAAGTCATTCTATCCTGTCCAGACCATGACTCATACTTAAGGATTATGTATATATTTACGCCAACTCACCCGAATCAAAGTCGGGCGAGCTATGTTTCCATGTTCTCGAAATCATTGCGCCGTTTGGTATCACTTGGGTCTCCCTGATGCGCTCTGCTGTGTAGACAGATGACATGTTATCTTGTGCTTCCACTTTTTTGGGGAAATCAACCAGAAACAAAGTGGCCGATGAGATCCAGCATAGACCTTTGTTGGCTCGTGAATTTTGGTTGATGTGCTAGCCGAGAAGGCTCTGACTCCTACACCAACAGCAAGGCAGAGCATTTTGTAAATCGGGGACAAACAGCACGCAAGCCCATGAGTCGTCATTGAAAGAACAGAGAGTTTCGGTTGGTCTCTGCTTTCGTCTATTAGCTTCAACACTGTTTGCCAAACGCTATCGCGATGCAGACAGCAAGGCTGATGTTTTTATCGCAGCAAAACGTTCTTTCTGCTGAATCATTGGCGGAAATAGTGTTGCACGGCGCATGTCCCAATGACGGACAGGAAGTATGTGAAAAGATTCCGGAAAATTGGTTTGAAACTCGAAGTAGAGGAGATTTAGCGAGTCTCTAGACTTTCTTTCTCACATCCCAAGCTCATATAGATGAAGGAAGACAAGAATGCCACTAGCTTGCTTTTCTCCTTGGCGCCTGAATCATGAAACGTTGGTGTAACAACACCAAAATGAGATCCGACAAGTAAACTCTACCAAGTCGATGCTTCTTGTATCATGAAGAAATACGTAATGGTGTGAAGTTTATTTGCCGGGTTTGCTTCGGCTTTGGGCACGAAGACTTGAGTTTTTGTGTAGGTAGGTCGTAGTTTGCGGCCATGACCAGATTTCGGTTGGTGTCACACATGTAGCGGGTTTCCCAACGGTGGCGGGAAATTTGACTCTGACATCACTCGGTCCCAAATTAGGTGATTTGTATGTGTTGCGTGAATAAAAGGAGTAGGATGTTGCATTCCGAGCATGAAAGGGGACACAAGGGATTCTCATCAGCAGCCAAGGCTGGCTCTAGGCTTTACTCAGCCACTGGTATTATCCGTATTCAAGTCGTCAATCGCCTGTTGTTCCAGATGCACCTCGCTAGGAGAAGGTGTAGGGGCTCTGACACTCCTGGGCGCATCATATATTGATGAGGTATATCTCGCTCGAAGCGCTTCCTCGGCCAACAATTCTTGATCGTATCTCGGAATCATATTGCACATAGCATCCAACCAATCGCCCATAGTTTTGGGGGTGTTATGGCACATCTGCGTGTACTCCCAGTATTCGGGGTACCACCCAGCCGACTCCCAGCCGGTTAACGCGCATATTCTGCCTGCTTCGTCGACGATGATGTTTCTAGGAGACAGATTGGCATGGGTGAATTTCAACTGATAGGGCTTCTTGGGGGCGTGAACGACTTGGATTTCCTTTTCCGGGAAATGCTGGGGAGAATGGCCTCGTCTTTCAAATTCTTGAAACGCGTCAATGGAGAAGAAGGGACCAATTCTCCCGTGGCCGAACCTGGGGTCAAGGGCGGCACCCAGTGTTGCGTCTCCGACCACGCACTGTTTTGGAGGTTGCATTTTCCTCAACTGGTCGACGAAGCGAGCGAGATCTGCAACAATTTTGTTCCTTTGGTGGGCCGACATTCCAGGCCAGACTGTATGCAATGGTTTTCCTGGAAAGGCTTCGTATTCCACCAGCTTCCCCTCGGGTCTGTTGTAGACGGCTAGAACCTTCCAACAAGGAACAGAGGTGTGTCTATCTACCAGCATCAACGCTTGATACTCGGTGTTGAAGCAGTGGGTTTTGACGATCTTGTTCCCCCCAAGACGCAGTATTGACTCGCCTGTCTCTGGATCGGTCTCTTGTTTGCCGAAATGCATGCGCCATCGAAGGCCGAAGGGCAGATGGTCATATTCATCTAGTGGCTCGTTGTCTTTGGAACCGAAGCAGAGCGGCATGGCTGTTGGCTGTTGGCCAGCTACGGGCGGCAGGAAGGATGTCGCAGCAGTAAAGTGCTTGAGGACTCCGGTGACGGTGACTGTGGCTGTGGCATTGATGTCGAGTATGTTCTGGCCAGCGGACGATGGATCATAGCAGTGCTGAGGCTGGATCGCTGAGAGAGGCTTCGAACCTTTGCCGGGGATCGGGCGAGTAGCAGGAAATGACAGTATGGGCGCCGCAAGACCAAGTAGAGGACGCGTTGCAAGTCATGTCTGGAGGCTCTTCATTTGGAGGTGAGGATGAGTGGTGAAGCGGTCGAGTGGACAGAGAGAGCAGAGAGAGGGCGTGTTTGTCGGTAGGTAAATGAAGTGAGTAGTAGGTAACTAGTCGCAGATGGTGGGGTTACGGAGCATTCGAGGTTGAGATTGAGTAAGTCTGTAAAGCCAGTACTACGAGTACTCGGAGTAGCTGCTCCTACAAGTACTTAGGTACACTACAGCACCACCAGCGGAGCACGAATACCGTATCGATACCAGCGGCACCACGAAATTAGGCCTCAAAGAGTGTTGCCAAAGTGATACGAGGGAAACTTACCAGGTACCTAGGTACCTAATACCCAGTGGCCACCTAGCCGGACTCTGGACGGATAAGGGACATTTCGGAGGGTGGTTTTCTTGGATTTGGGAGTAGAAGAAAGCGTAGAGCGCCTAAAGCGCCTAGAGGCGTCACCTAAGGACTGCCGGAAGACCGAATCCAAGGCGCCAAGGTCTGCCCCCAAGCCTAAATGGAACCCTGCTGCACCTAAAATTGGCGGCTAATTGGAGCCTCGCCTTACCTATTCCAGCCTGGCTCCATGGGGTCTCCTCCCGAGGTGCCTCCCAAGGTGCCTCCCAAGGTGCCATCGAGATCTGAGTTCGTGACTTGTCCTCTTTATCATCCACTCCTTCGTTCCATCCACCGCCTCCACCGCCTCCAGACGGAGCTCTTGGACCTGTGCATCCTTACGTATACGGGGGAGGGACACCAAATCCACCGTGACCCAAGCAGGGCCAATACTCACTCTTCCCACTATATCCAATATATGGACGCCTCGCCTGCCAAGTCCCGGTGGTCAACGAGCTAAGATGCTTGGAAGGATCAAGACTCGTGATATTGGTTCCCCCATCCTGCTCCGGGCCATTGATCTACATACCAGAGACATTGCACACCTCAAATAAAAGGGACACTTACGAAGCCCGTCTACGTGTGCACTTCCTCTCCCTCACGGCCAAGGCTTAATTCAGCTGGTTTTGAGATTAGCCTGTACGCCTGCATTCGCGCCAGACAAGAGTGACGAAGCTAACTAGATCTCTACTCGTTCCTGATGGAAGATCGGCTTGTAGAAGAAAATAGGCAGACGTGAATATCATGCCCTTGTTTGGAATATCAGTCCTGGAAAATTGATGCTTCACGGAGAGTCCACGAATCCGCCTGATACGCTCACCAGACAACTTCGATGTGCACCTCTAGAGCGCTTCCGGCATAAAATCATATTGGAGGCCAATTATGGACCATAATCAGAATGCTCAGAATGTGTAGGTACTTCGATCGCTATCGCGGTTTCTTCATTTGCATTCATCGAAGTCAAGGTGGTCCTTGACCAGAAGACAAACCCAAATCCACGCAATTATAAGATATGTAGCCATACTAGACAAAGCAGCCAGCAAATCCAAGAGAAAGCCATACTGTTCACTCATCCTTGAGCGTCGTCGTCATATTTTTGGCAGCTGGTGAAGATTCCACATCCGTGCTCTGTCGTATCTCTTCGCTCTTCCTCAACCCCTTCATTTGGCTTGGGCGACGGATTCGTTCCCACTCCGCTTCGTCATCCTTCTCATCCACAGTGTTTGCGGTAATGTCCATAGCTTCGTCATCCAATTCTTCTGGTAGAATCAGATTGAAGAACAACGAGAGGAATGCCGTTACCGCAAAGCCAGTCTCCATCACCAGTTCCACAGCGTTCATCAGTCCTCGGAGTGAACCGTTGCCACCTTCGTAAGTGAAGACGTAGGCAAACCAGTCGGGGACGAGCGTTGCCCCGAAACCGACGCTCATAGCAGCAGTCAAGATGAATCTGTTGCGCCGAGTGAAAGGTACCGTCGAGATAATGCGGATCCCTGAGATAGCGACGGCCGAGAAGAGGAAGGTGGTCATGCCACCCAGAACCGCGGACGGAATGGCAACCAGGGCCGCTGCGAACTTGGAGAACACTCCCATGATCACGAGAAAGAAGCAGCAGCAATACCCCGCCTTTCTATTGGCACATCGAGTAAGGGCAATAACACCATTGTTCTGCGCGAATGTTGAGACTGGCGTGATCGTACACAGACAAGCAAACATGCCGTTCAAACCGTCTGCCAATACGCCTCCTTGGATCCGAGATTCAAAGATAGGGCCTTCAACCTCTATACGTGAGACGTCACAACTCGCAGTGATGTCGCCAATAGCCTCCATCATTAGGACCAAGAACACTGCTAGGAATGGCAGAACCATCGGCCTGCGAAGCCACCTGTTAGGCCAAAACTTTACCACGAACGCGGCATACTTACCCGTAAAGTGATAACGGAAAGGTTTTCACCCAGATAAATGAAACAGCGGGTGCCCTGGTGATACCACTATCATCGAAGTAATTAGTGGCAGCCGCTACGATGCAACCTACAAGCAATCCAACCACAACAGCACAGGATTTCCTGTGAACCCATGGATCAGTATCACTTTCAAATACAGCGGGCACCAATTCCGAGGAAAAGTACTTACATGATAGGACTGCCAAACCTCTCGCAGAGGATTATAGTGGCAAAGACGCTGAATCCAAGGCCAATGAACTGTGCTGACCCCCATGGTAGAGGGTGAGGAGCGTTGATAGTAGGGCACAGCTGGAAAAGACCCTCTTCGGGCCTTGATCTGCATGTGCCAGAACCACCAGCCCAATTTTCAAAGCCTGTGCCAATCTAGACATGCCAGCAGGTCAGTATCGTGGGCTTGTAAGTGAAGAGAAATGATTCGAGTCTTTGACTTCGCCTCAAACGTCCTGGATACCTGGGTACCAGGATATCTCTCCTCCCGCAAGAGGAAGCGCCCCTAGAAGAAAAGAGCGATGAGTCGTTCACTCACAAGGTTGACACCAATCAACACGACCGTCGGCCCCGTCACAAGGGGTGGAAATACGCGCTTAAGCACCTTTGCTGGTGCAAATGAGAGGCATATTTCCAAAAGCGCACAGATACAAGCAGTCCCAATAATTGCTCCATAGCCTTGAGGGCACGGTTGCCTGGTAAGCACACCGTCTACCTCCTCGCTCGGACAAAACCTGTATTTGGTTACTGAGTATGTACAGCTATTTAGAGAGATATCAGGGGACCAGCACCTACCCGCTTTCATACATCTGCGACAAACCTCCTAATGCAACAGGGATCGTCGCAAAAGAAGTACCAACCACAGATATCAACCCGGTACCAATGAAGTAATTGGTTTTGTAGATGTGAAATCTTGTAATCTGAACTGCCGACAAGATTCCACAAACTATCAATGACGTCGAAACGAGATATTGGGAGGTGTCGGTGTCCAATGCAGCACCGCCACTGCCAGAGAGAATGATGGGTGGAGTGATGAGACCAGCCAGCATTGCTAAAGCGTGCTGAAAGCCCAGGATCAACGCCAGGAAAATCGGCATCTTGTCATTAAGTCCAAAGAATGGAGCCATCTGGCGAGATTTTTTCATGAACGGTAGATTTGGAGTGAACAAGAACGCATAATCATAGTCTCCGATGAGTCCATCTTTCGTTGTCAAGCCCCGTGCGATGCTGCGCGGCACCTCGGCGATCCTATCTTTCAAGGGTCGTCGAGGTGTTGTGTCGGGTCCAATTCTGTCAGGCTCCATGTTGAGGTGATTCCAGGCAGTAAATAATGGTGACGCAGAGTATTTCTTTGAGAAAGTGGGAAGCTTGGTTAAGTGCGAACCTGCCAGCTCTTATTATATACTCCAGCCACGATAATGCCCGACGTCAAGCGATAATCATTCGCTTATCGAAAGACGAAAGCTGACTGAGAAGGGAAAGGATCATCACCTCAACAGGACCATTGCACATGATATAATATGGCAGGGCTTTGTCACTTACAGCTTGATTGTGGAAGAGACTTCGGATAAAGAACTTTGGTACCTCTGATTTGGTGACTCTAGGCATACGTTTGATGGTAACTGCATCTGACTCGCCGATTTGGAAACTCCTCAGCTATGCTCAAGTCAAGTGTGGTAGCAACACGGCATTACTGCGCAATGACATCGATCGATAGGATCTAATTCGAAATGCAATCGTCTCCAGCGGCTGATATCAAAGTGTTGGCGCTCGATTTCGTTTAGTTGCGAACCGCGATGCAGCCTACAGCCTCATCAGATCGCCCGTGTTGAAGCTGATTGGCCCCGTCGGTTCTTATTACGCAAAATTTAAAGTGGCTGAGCGACAAAACAGCTCCTTTTGTCGGGACCAAAATGTCAGATAAGCAATCGCTCTCGTATTGGCACGGAACAAAGCCTCCCAAGACTCTAGAGCCCCGTCTTGGACCCTTGACTGACTGCATAGAGGAGGGAATAAAGCTATTCCGTTCCTAGACGCTCACGCGACCACTCTCTTCCCTGATCGCAATATGCAAATTGAAGTGCTGAATAAAGTAGATCGCATCAATGGATTTTGTGATTCGCCCTGTCCAAGCCAAGTTTAATTTGTCTGATTGGAATATAAACACCATGTACCAGGAACCAGACAGCTCGGCACTTGATATCAAGCCTAAACGCATAGCATATCGTCCCTGTGGGCGCGGTTCCGTATCCAAGGGTTGGCCATGACGCCCTTAACGTCGTCGGAGATGATCATTCTACAGGTTAAAGAATTCCTTATCTCGTTGATAAGGTGGGGAATGACCTCAGCATGTACGTACGCCTCTTGCTGCTTGGCTCTGATAATCTGATGGACGTAGCGACCCGTCTCTTCATAGTGAGAAGGTGTTCACTGAACCACTAATCATACCGCAGTAAGTCATGGCGCGAGCTCTGCAAACAAAAGTCTGAAGGGCATCCTGTGGGTTCGCGGATGAAATTGCCTTAGTTCGCGAAGGCCCAAATTGATATGACTCGACTCACTTACCACAACGATAGAATACATGGACCAATGAGGCTGCTATGAAGGTGAGGGCATTTTCTTGGCTCTTCACTGCTTGATGTAATGATGTTCGCCTCTCTCCAGAATTTCGATTTCATCTCCGATCTGGATTGAAAAGGTATCAGATTCGGCAGGCACCAATTGAAGGCCAAGGCATGCATTGAGAGGATCCCCATCGTCGATACACCGGAAAGACTTCAAAGTCTTATCAGGTTCCACGGGATGTCTCTCGGCAGTATCGGGATCGACGTTAGGCAGCTTGCATCGAACTGTGTGACATGCGCAGAAAAAAACATGACTGCCAACTCGGATTTTCTTCCAATCATCCTCATTATATGCATTAGGTCCAGCAACAAGGATATTAGGCCGAAATCTCCTCGCCGAGAAGCGAGGAATGGAGCTCTTGATTTTGTCTCCGATATCATGGACCGATGAAATGTTCAAAAGGTTGACTGGATACGCATCTGCAAATCCTACAACGGATTGATAGCCTAACTGCTCGCGTCTAGGTGCACATCGATATACCTCCCTATAACTCTTGGGTTCAACCCTGAACAAGGTCATCGGGTTGCTAACTCCCAGATAAACGCTCAGGCTTGATGGGACATGAAGACCATAGTTCAGCCAGTTTGGGCTATCTCGCCATATCGTTACCTGTTCAATAGGATACCGATGATTCTGAGGTGGTGTCAATGGCACGCGGAACGATGTCTCTGCCGGAAGCAAGCCAAGAGAGATCAGTAGTCGTGTCAGAGGAGCGAAACCTCCTGAAGGAGTGTAGGGGTATCTGATGATTAGAAAGCCGGTGCCTTCAAGACTGCCACCTGGATGCCTTTGGGTTTCAACTGGAAGCCAGATCTCCGGTTTGACATGGACTAATTTCTCGTAGCCTGGTGTGCGTAGGGTTCGGAAGGTCCATCTAGGTTCCTTCTCTGCTTCAGACGCATCGAGGCGCGTCTGAGGTTTCAAAAGTTCTGCAAAAGCAAATTTTCGATCCCACGTAAAGCCTGCTCCATCAATATCCGCCGAAGATAGTTCGACTGGTGCGCAAGACTTGATAGGATGGATGAAGAGCGCCTTAACTCTCCACTTATCTGTCTCTGGGGTGTGGGGCGCTGTCACCGACTTAAAATACTTTTGATCATATTCATCGAGTAGATTTGACAGTCCCCTTGTCGCCAACTTCTTGTGGCCTTTCAAGCATGACTCAGATTGTAGTCTCCGGCTGAACACGCGGTAGAACAGTCCTGCGGCAATTGCAGGGAGAAGGTAAACAATGAAGCTATCCATCTCGACCATTGCGCTTTACTATTAATCAAACTTGAGAGGGAGCGGAAGTGCTTCAGATGTTAAATGATGCCAAAACGGAATGCTACCGGAAGGGCGTGCGCGAGAAACGCTAGATTTTGGAAAGTTTTCACCTCTGAACGGCTCACTGAGTCGAAAAGGAAAATCCAAGTCCACACATTCAAATACTGAGCTTGGGACACGATTTATGCTTAGAAATGTGCTCCCCGAATGCTGAAGATGGGCGATGACTACCTCGTAAGGCAACCTGCAAACTAAATATTGCAGCCTTCAAGCAAACTTCCACTGGCTAATTATTGACTAGCCACGAGGGCCCTCGCAGCCTATCGGTTAGTGCGCGTCACTCTTGGGCATGTGATCCACCGTCCGAAATCACTCCACGACGCGCATTTTCCACGCGTCACTACGGTGAATCATTTGATCCGGCGTAGGCAGTGAAGGGGAGGAGTCGCCTAGCTGGTAGTTCTTACATGGTGACGTTTATCGGCTCATACCACTGGAATTTGAAAAAGAATCTGACCTTGTGACGCGATCAAAGGCTTGAGGGTTCTCGAGGGGCTTGGATGACGCGTTCTTGCTATGACCGAGCTTGGAAAGACGTAAGCGAAGCAGAAAGTCACAAATCTACCTAGCCTGCTCAACATGACGAGGGACGGGCTTGCTCGTATAAACAATGAATGAACGAGAACCTGATATCCATAACTTCTCGACTTCTTCTGAGCACCGTCTGCCAACCATATCGGGTGCCGAAGCTCTGCAGACTGCGTCAATCAGGGCTAGGGCCATTCAGACTAGCCTTTCGACCCTAGATTCGACATTACTGCCCAACAACATCCCTCTAGCAACCCCTGGTGTTCAAATAGGGCATGTCACAGAAGTCTATGGTCCTCCTGGAGCTGGGAAGACCACATTTGGACTGCAATTGGCTGTTAATGCGATTCGCTCGAGACACGATGAGTCTCGCGTGCTGTGGGTGAATACAGGGTCGCCAATGATTGAGGAGAGACTGCATGAAATCAACGCTGCTTACACGTTTCCCCCAGAACATGATCCTCCCTCTTCTGAACCTCAGGATTTGACAACTGGAGCGACGTTGGACGAAAGGTTTGATTATCTAGAGGCAACGTCGCTTCCTCGACTTCTCACCCTGTTTCTGCACCCAACTGAAGATCTCCCTCCAAAAGAAACACGGCTGATCGTTATTGACGATCTTTCAAACCTTGTCCTTGGATCATTATCAAACGACCCCAAAACCATCAAATCTACCACCCCTGCGGCAGTGCAAGAGAAACTCGCCAAGAGGGCCGCTGGCAAGCGATTCCAGATTATCGAGAATCTGGCAACTGCAATGTCAAAGCTTGCAGCTCTGAGGAATATCGCCGTTGTCGCTTTGATCGGCACAGCCACAAGCTTGAGAAGTGGAGAACAGAAACGCGGCTTGACCCCAGCTCTTGCCAGTCAGGCTTGGGAGTCTGTAATCCACACTAGGATCATGCTGTACCGTGACTTTCCGCCAGATGATTTGGAACTGGAAATCCTGAATCAACTTGAATTTGGATTGAGGTATGCCGACGTTCAGAAGCTCGCTCGAAAGCACGTCTACACCCGCCCTGTACCGTTTGTTATTTCAGCGGGAGGACTCGAGGAGCTTAATCTACCAGACAACCCTGATGACGATAGTCCAATCAACGAAAATAATGGGATCTTAGGACGACCCTCAGACCCAGAACTCCCCGCTCTACCCCTCGAAATCGCGCTTCCGGAACGGAGCATGAAGCGGAAACTCAACGAGATCGCCGACAGTGAGGAGGAGGATGAGGATGATGATGGCAACGACAACGGTGAACACGACAACGGTTTCGACTACAGCGAACGCGAAGCGAATAGCGAAGAAATGGAGCCACCGCTCTTCAGCCAAAATTATATGCACAGGGGAGAAGAGCCAGATCTGCCGAAACTACGCCTGCCCGAACGACACGGACTTTCGTTTGACGAGGACGAGGACGAAGACGAGGAAGTGAACAGCGAGGGTGGTGAAGGTGAAGATGAAGAAATGATTCTCGATGCCCACGAGACTTCTCTCCTGCGAGGCTACAGGCATGCTATAATCAGAGGCTCCGAGGACATGGAACCGCTTTATTCATCCGATCGTGAAGTGAGTGATAGCGATGATCCTGATGATGAGGACAGGGACAGCGCCAGCGACAGTGACGAAAAGGATGTAATTGAATACAAAGCACCTTGAGATAGCCTTACCAGCTTTTGAATCACCCTGTTCTATGGTACGGCTTCCACTACTGCAGCAGATGCAATGCACTGCAATGCTTCTGTTGCGAGATACGTCCCTTTACCGCGCGAATTGGAGGCCCTGCCCTTCCTTTCGGACTATGCTTTATCTGGCATGATCAAGTGTTCGGTATCTCTACCATCCCATCAAACTGCTCATAGGCCTGTTTCCTCTCAGTCACTCCTTTCAATCCTAGCCAATGCCTCCTCCAGCAACATTGGGGCTAAATCGGTTCGCCGCTTGGAGTAAGCGATGGCGGCTATGCTGGTAGAACCCGCCCAAACAGCAAGTGAAGGTGGCAGATAAGAAGTAGATAAAATGGGAGGTGTAAGTTCTTCATTCGTCTGATTATAGATCCAACCAATATTATATCTTGAAGAGTCTGTTCAATGTTGTCACGGCTCACCTTCTCAAGACTGACAGGTTTCTGCTGAGAAATCAGCGCTTGGATTTTGAGAACTTAAATACTGGAACTAGCATTCGCTCATGGCTTCTCCTCGTGGACTTCAATGCGGTCCATCTCGCTATTGACATCCGGAGTCCAGTGACGGAATTTCCTTGTTGGAAGTTTCTGCTCAAACATCAAATCAAGCTGATAAGGGGTGCGACCGTAGGTTTCCGGAACGAGGAACCACAAAGCCAAAAAGCTCAGCCCAGAGATACCTAACCAGACGAAGCCAATTTTGGATCGAAGATTTCCAGAGTCGGCATTATAGATGAAGGGTGTGATAGTACTGAAGACAAAGTTGCCTATGCCTCCAACTGCCCAGCCGAGACCTTGACTCTTCGCACGGAGGCGCAGAGATGAAATCTCGCCTCCAACGACATAAGACCCTGGCCAAACCCCTAGACCTGCGATGAAGCAGATGATGTTCAGGATAACTCCAACAATCCTGCAAGTGTCAGTGGGAATCCATAGAGGCTGGGACGCAAATTGACTCACCATGGAACGACTTTGGAGTCGAAACATCCTGCGACACCCATTGCAAGCCAGAGGACAACCACAGGAGCCAGAGTGAGAATCATAAGCCTGCGTCTCCCTATCCTAGTAAAAAGCGACATGCTAATCAAGGTTGCAAGCAAGCCGCCGACCGAACCAGCAATCAGGAAGATAAGACTATTGCTAGCTTCCATGCCAGCGATCTGCAAAAAGTATGGACCATCGCCGAGAATAGGAAGGCCGAAAAGCTGCGGTAGAACAGCGGAGAACAGGACAATAACGGTTCGACGGCGATCTGTCCCTCGGAAACAATCGGCATACCTAGAGCGATCCGATTTGGCCGCTTCCTGCTCGTGCAAGATCAAAGCCTGGATACGTTCGATTTTAGCCCTCGAGTCAACATTGGCCTTATCGAGACGCTTTTGTTGCTTGTGAGCTTCCTCCAGACGTCCCTTTCGAACCAGATATATTGGACTCTCCGGGATCAACAGTGATAAGAGGATTGGCAGTGCTGAGAACGGGAATTCGGAGATGATGCAGATGCGATAAGAGTCTGGCCCCTCTATGTCCTCTGCTGAGAACGTAATGCCAGCGCCGACCAATTGGCCCACAAGTTGAAAGACCGGAAAGAACGCAACGAGAGGCGCTCGAATCGCTGGCGGGAGAACCTCTGACATGTAGGTTTGGGCTGTACAAACGGCGATCCCGATAGTGACGCCCTGACAGATCTTGCCCAGCAAGAACACTCCGTGTCGGCTGCCATTTGCATACTGTGAGCACCAGACAACGGCCACCCCAAGAACAGAAGTGACACTTCCAATACCTAGAGAGGCGCGGCGGCCCCAACGGTCTTGAATCGCACCGCCAGCAAGTGAACCAAGCATGATGCCGATCGGGCTACCTGCGTTCCAAGCACCCATCCATCGAGACTCAATGATCCATTCGTCATCCCTCCAGACCCCATAAACCTTTCTGTGGGACAATGTTGTTAGTAACGCATCCACGCATGTCTCCTGAGCCAATGCACATACTGGAACTCTGGGAGTGATGCCAAATTGCCAGTCATTCCCATGTCATAGCCCCAAAGCAAGATCACAGTGGTCAAGGCGAAACAGTATGCTGCCACCTTCGGGTGCTTCTTTAGGTTCAGCCACAATCCCATCTCGGCTGGATCAACTGAGGTTTCCTGCGATGGCACATTTTCAAGATGTGTGACAGGGGTTTTGGCTGTGTTGCCTTCTTCCATGTTGAAAGAACGTTGACGGAAGTGGATGTTTTCGAAAGGCAAAAGACCATCGATTAGGCTGGGGGATTTCTGGAGCACGCAGTCCTGGCTAGCAGCGCATGTGTCCCTTGGAATAGCACGTCCGCCTTGGGGCCAAAGAAGCTTTGGCAGATAGTAGGGTACACTGTGGGGTTGATGAAATTGAGATCCATCTTGATTTAATGTTTAGAGCTGCCGAAGAACTGGAATCGGAATGATGCTGTTCTGAAGCGCTTTCGCTCGAGGAAGCGCTTTCGCAACTTCGCTGTGACCTTAGTGGTCGCAAAGCCGGTAAGTGTCTCTTGGCCTCCACTCGCTCCGCATCCGCCTCCGCGTCTGCAGCACCAAGCTCAAGTCCGAGTAAGCTCGGGGTCCTGACTCCTTGAAATGCGGCTTGGAGGCAGATCACTCGGAATCAAAGTCATATATCACTGGGTGCTTGGCTAGTCTCTAGGCCGAAACACTGGTAAGGACTAATTCACGGAACCACCTTGTTAAATCTCTGAACCGTGGCTCAGGTTTACTTATTCATAGTCATCAATAAGAGCAGTTCTCTCCTTGCTTACATCTACCTCTAGGTAGGTTTAAGCAATTTATAGTTCCATTACCTCCGTATAATGGTCTCTAGTAAGTTTAGTATTCTTTGAACCAACCAGTTTCTATTATATGCGATGTCAGTATTGAGGATCGACTATATAGTTTGCGTGGACGAGCGATAAGTTCTTCATTGGCACGTAATTTTCGGGACTGAGTATTTAATGCGCTGGAATTTCCAACCCTTACATCCCCACGTGGATGTGCAATAGTATCATATCTATTTCTTCCATCACCGTATAGACACAGTAGTGGGCAGCAAGAATAGAGTAGCTAGAGTTGAATAAACAGTAGCCTTGCTCAGTATCCTCGGCTACAAACTCTTCGTTTTGTCAACAATGAAAGAAGGAACTGTGGCTATCCAGAGGCTGCTAACATCTTGCGAGTTTTCACCTGTATCGGGCTACAATAGAGTGCGCCGAAGCTGCTATGGGCCAACATCAACCACCCCGCTCCCAGCTCTCCTTCCGGTGATATCGACTGACGAGGACTGTTGTTTTCAGTTACTTAGTACTGGAAAATGCGGTTCTTGAGGGATTCCTTTTACCGGGCATGGAGAATTGGGGGCCTTCGTGTGGCCCAGGAATTATCGGTCTACTACCCTTCCCCTTACTGCTAGTGGATGTAACGTCTCCAGGCGCAAGATCGGACAAAATTTCATACCCCTTCTTAGACCTTGAAGCCAGCAGTCTTCGGATCTTCGAGGCAGCTAGTAGGGGGTCAACGACATTAGGTTGTAAGCCTGCTGTCTGGATCGACTTAATGGTCTGAATCCACGCACCGTGCAGCCCTCTTGTCACAGCCTAATGCCCGGTGCCTCACGAAACTGAGGGTGTATCTAGTAGTGACCTTAAGTGTATAGCCAATTGTGGAATGCATCGTTCCAGATAAAACAGCAATGGAACGTGGCTAATCATTGATTTGGTGGACTGGGGTTGACTTGACATGAATGGGGAAGGTTCACCCGGAGGAGATATGCAAGTCAATGAAATAGGCTCAACTAGCGGCCGCGGGCATTGGCTGTTCAGTCAGGAAGTAACTATAGTAGTGCTAGATCAGAAGCTTAAAGCGAAAATAAGCCTTGCGTACGAAGCTGAGAGTGATTTTGAAGAGCTGGCTTCCTTGAGACAGTTGCCTTTCCAGACCGTTGATCTGGTATACGCTGGTCCGCTCTTCAATCATTGTACGTTTCTTCGACTCGAGACGTCCATGTCCAGATTCACCATCATTAGTCTTGCTCATGCCGTTGACCTGCGCCAATTTTGGAGTAATCTTTACCTAGGGAAGGTGGTTTGTTAGAATCGTTACTCTTACAAACGCCTTTTTGCTTCACAACCGCTATGCTACAAAATTCATTACGAGCAATTTCCCTTGATATCGCCGCGATTTTGCCGACTGCCGCCACTGCCCTTGTTAATGTCGCCTAATGACAGGGCCAAAGTTCACCAAATCTAGGCAATTAACCCGGGAATAGAACAGCATCAGCGTCGCATGAAGCCCAATCTATACCATTTTCCGGCACATACGGCGTGCTTCACACTTCTGAATGACGTCTCCTGCATACATAGTAGCACTGGAGATGATCGATAGTTGAGGATGTCAAGCCGAGGTCTCAGATCACAGCCACGCTTCGCAACGAGAGTGTGTGAGAGAATCTGTTACCCATAGCAGCCACACGAGGTAGAAGCAGAGCATGACTGGAGCACAGATTTTGTTGTGACATATCCCTGTCACTGGCATTGCTTAAGTGCTTCGAGTTCTCTGCCCACCTCCTTTCTCCGGCTAGCCTGAGTGTGGCTGGCCCCAGGGAATCACCTTCTCACCACACCTGTGCGTGGATTTCACAAGCCGCGACCTGATTCGCCCACTTCTTGGAGAATTCGCCCATTAGGCTATCTTTCATCCATTGTCACTATATCGGAACACTCAGCCTTGCTGGTGGTTCCGGTGTTGTATTACCAGTGGTACGTCACACAGAAACATCGCCTTTCACAGCATGCAAAGACTGTAGTCTACCACATCTGCCACGGTTGTCAACATTGTTCCATATCCACCTCCAACTCACAGAATCAATACTCATCTCTACAACAACAGCTTCCACAACAATACGTCGACACTAGCAACATTCGCAGATAATCCCCGAATACTCGCTTTTCAGCCTTAGCGAACCATTCTTTCTACAACAACACCGAAAATGAAGGCCACCATCTTTTCTTCTACGGCGTTTGCAGCTCTGGCAGCCGCAGCTCCAATGGCTGTTAACAACGCAGTTAATTCCACTGTCAAAACCCTGCCATCGGTCTATTACGTCGATGGAGAGAGAGTTGACGCTAATGGCGGCCCGACTGCAGTCAAATCGCTCTGCGCCGTGGACGACGACGTTTACACCTGTGCCCAGAAGACCGCCGCAGGCTAGACTGTGCCCCCAAACTGCAACTCCGCAGACTTCATAGCTGTTACCATGCTGGCTGTCATACATTGGAATCACCCCAATGTTCCTTGCGACCAACAGGATACGGTTGCCCAGATTTCCTTTCGCTATCAGAGAGGCTTGAGCAATTGCCACCTGTCGAACCCGCAAATTGTGGATCATCAGGAGTTGTTCGATTGCAATGACAACGGAGGTTGCAAGCAGACGTTCACATTTTCTTCAACTACCACCTCCATGACCTCTGAAGGTTGGCACATTGGTGCGACACTCCAAGCAGGTTCCAATGTCGGTTTCGCCTCTGCGTCAGTCAGCGTTACTGCTGATACGCAACTCGACCACGTATACGAACACAGTGTCGAGAGAGTATGATCTGGCCGCCGGAGATGTCTGCGCACCAACAACAATCCAATTCAATGCACAATGCCAGCAGCAAATGGCTATTGCCGGCGGCCCTGGAAATGTGATGATCGATACCACAGATCCTATGGGTAATAAACAAGATACCTATCTTCCGATCTGCACCCCAGATGGTGATGTCACCCACGTACAGACAGGCTGTCCTTTGACCATCAGTCTGAAGGTCGATGTCTCCAACTTTGATACATTTTGGCAAGTTTTGTCATTAAACAGCACTAGTACATATTGTTCGCCTAGTCAAGTCCATGGCGATACGCAAAGCTCGAGTTCGATGACCACATATTTTATCAGGTATGCTTTGAGGGTGCGGAAACCCAGCTGTAATTCACACAAGAACAATAGTCACCTTGGCTTAGTGGAGATATTCCATTCTGGCTATCATAAAGGCACAGGATTTTCAACTTCATAATCCCATGAAAATGGCCTAACTATGATAAGACTGTCACAGATCCCAGCATTATATATACCTCTTGGCACAGTGCCAAGGGTTCAGGGATTTAGCCAGGTAGTTCAGAGAATTAATTAGCAATTAAGCAGCTTATCCGGTACATTTGTACTTCGATACTGATAGTGGGGAAATGTTGGGGTAAGACGGAGTGCGGAGTGTTCGTCCCGAGGGATGATTCGTTTTCTTATTGGCGTGGCCCAAGTCCCATTCCTGGGACGGGAAAGCGCACAAGTCCCGCCTGTTCGAGGCTCGTCGAGACATTTTCCTTTACTCAACGCCGATTGTAAATTCGATCAACTGTATACTCGAGAGAGAGATTGGTTGCGCGGTCGAATCCTACCTAAATTTTCGACCATGCCAATGTCATTATATTGATGTGCGCAAAATGACGCTCCGTTGTACTCATTTAGAGATATGTAGTTCAAGCTGCAACGACGAGGTTGGTGGGGTTTCGATGCCGCATCCATCCCCCCTCGTGCTTCCTTTCGACGCCTTGTGATCAAGCATCGCCTTAGTGAATCCTTCATCAGGATCACTCCTTCATCAACCCTGCACCGTCGTCCAGACTTCTTCAGTGTCCGAGTTATTGAGTATACTGGCAATCTGACTTTCTATCCCGGACTTTAGAAAGCAAAAATGAAGTATGTGCGAATGGCCACCGAGATCGAGTTACCCGAGGAGTATGGTTACGATAAGATCAAAAACAACCTATCAGAAAGCTCTGTCACTGGCCAAACGCTCCAATCACTCGGGTTGACGATTCCAACCGATCTAATTCTCGTGTATAATGAGCATCGCGGGGGTGGGAGGCTTCGTGAACTGATCGTAGCTGGTTCTGGCCTTTCCAAGGACGACGTCCTCATTACTCTCGGGGTAGCTGGTGCGCTGTTCATTATATCCACGTCGCAACTGACCAAGAAAGATCATCTTGTTGTCGTGCGTCCGAACTATGCAACCAATATCGAGACGCCGAAAGCGATTGGTTGCAATGATACTTACGTAGATCTCTCATTCGAACTTGGCTTTGCGATAGATCTATCTTCGATTGCAAGTGCAATTAAGCCTAGTACAAGGATTGTCTCTGTAACTTGTCCGCACAACCCAACTGGTGTTGTGATTCCTCGAGAAACCCTGAACAGCCTGGATGAACTTACGAAAGCCAAAGGCTGCTTGCTTCTGGTTGATGAAACTTATAGAGATATTCAGTGTGGGGAGAAGTTGCCATTGGCAGCCTCGCTAGGTGACCATATTATCAGCGTCTCGTCTCTCTCCAAGTCATATGGAATTCCCGGAATCCGTTGTGGCTGGCTGATTACCCAAAACGAAGCCTTACAGGAAGAATTTCTGGCCGCAAAAGAGCAGATCAACATCAGTGGAAGTGTTATTGACGAGTGGATTGCTGAGCAGGTTCTTGAGAGACATGAATCCATCCTTTTCCAGACGACTCAGCAGATGGAGACTCGACTCGACTTGGTGGAGGCTTGGATTGAGAAAGAAGACTTGCTTGAATGGGTTCGTCCTTCTGGGGGAGTTGTTTGTTTTCCGAGAATGAAAGTTGAGCCCCCTGGTGGGACGACTCAATTCTATGAGAGATTACTCCTCAAGCATGCGACTTATGTTGGGCCCGGCCATTGGTTTGAGATGCCAGATACGTTCTTTCGATTAGGCTTGCCGACTCTCGACCAGCTTCAAGCTGGAATGGATGCTATCTCTCAAGCTTTGCGAACTTGATCTGGTTCTTCTCCAATGTGTGAGCGCTTGGAAGGAAGGGTCATGTCAAGAATTGAACCACTGTACAGCAGACTCGACATGAGTTGCCACTGCTCCTCGACAATAGAGGGCCTGGTTATCTTAACTTCATAGACATGACGTCAATCAGTCCAGAATTCAGGTACATGATGCAAATCCGCACAGTAGGAGATGACAAGGCCGAAGAAGGCAGCAACTTTGCAGAGTAGAGGATGTACACGCAAGCCTGCAATACGTTAAAATTTAACACTAAAACCTATTTCTGGAATAGGCTCCAGTGAGCAGGCCTTTAGCAGATGATCCATCTCTTTTGGCAATGAAGACCCTGTCTAAATAGTTTGTAATTTAGGTGGTCAACAAGGAGCAAGTATTGTTGGCCTGAAGGGCGGCTGGCGTAAGGATTGGGCGGCTGCCTGGCGGCCAACCTCGGGCTGTCTGTCAGGGTAACCTCCGGGGTGTCGCCAGAAGCTAAACACCTAACTAGTTTAGGCGGTCCTTTAGTTACGTTCCTACCAAAAGCACAGTTGATGGCATTGGCCTTATAACACAACCTCGGCTTGCACTGGAGCATCCCAAGCCTCTTAACTGTGGGACATCCTTTCGGTTTGGAACACGCGGCCCTGATCCTTGACTGCTTGAGGCCTTTCCATGTATTTTCCAACAAGGCTGTTGTTGAGCTACCAGACAGGCGAGGTCTGACTGAATTGTAAGGAGCGGTACGGACCTCAAACACCAGACTCTATTATATATTTACGCCCCTGATGCATTCAATGCCACTCGAGTTGGGACAGGCACACGGATGCACTAACCACGCTGTTGTCTTTACCAAACCCCAAAATAGACACGGAATCCCATGGGCGATAACAGAGAAGGCCTAGGGCGACCTAGGGGCCGAGTCAAATCATGTACAGCCTGTCGTCAAGTTAAGGTACATTCATTCATCGCATACTCAAGCACCTGTAATTGCCTGCTCACTGGCCATACAGCTTCGATGTGATGCCCTTGCCAACTTTCCCGCGGCATGTTCCCGATGCCAGCATCAGAAGTTGGATTGTAAGATTGATTCCAACTTCAAGCGTGTCAGCGTCAGGGGGTAATGACAATGTCTGCACCTAGGCCAAAAATTCAGTGGCTAATTAGAGATCCCCCGTTAGGCGGCTCGAAGAGATGTCAAAACGGGTGAACAGCCTTGAGAATAATGTGCCCGCCTTTACCGAAGATGCCCTGTCTGCCGGCCTTTTCCCCAACGGTCCGAGTACAGAGAGTTATGAGGGTTCGACTAGATCCTACAGTGGTACCGACTGGCTCCTTCTCACAGATATGGAGTACAATCTGACTGGGACATGGACGTTGGGGGAGGTTTCGATCAACTATCAACAGGCTTCAGAAATACTGGGATTGTAAGTGCAGAATGGCCATTTGTGACGTGAGGCTACAGACTAATTCCCCATAGCTATGCACGGCATTATTACGAGCATCTGCCCATTCTTGATCGAGTCACGTCGATATCAGAATTCCATGACTCAAGTGAATTTCTTTTTTGGACTACAATGCGCATATCGCTCTACAATAATCCTGGTTATGGGGATCTTTTCGCACTACTCTCGCAGCCTTATCGAAATTTACTAACAACAAGGGTGCTTGCTCCCATTCAAGATTTCAGGACGTTACAAGCGATTATCCTTATCTGTCACTGGCCAACCTCTGGCATACGGCAGAGTGACGATCCAAGCTGGCAGTATTGTGGAATCGCACTCAATACGGCAATGCAGATGGGAATTGATCAACCCGGTCCGGGGCGACGTCTTGCTCCATTTGGCGGACGATCTAATGCACATCAAATGAGCGTCTATACTCGACAGATGACCTGGTTAGCTTGCTTCTCTATCAGCACTATGTGAGTAAACGGTTTGAAAGATATCTGACTATAATATACTGATTCACGGTGACTGCAGCCTCAGCGTCTGGCTTGGTGTCACTCCTCATGTGTCCTCACCTACCCAACTAAGTACAATTGCTTTAATGGCACAAGATCCAGACGGCCCTCGCCCATTTATGATACATATTGAGATTCAAAGACAGACTGTGCGGTATTCAAACGCCCTCGCCGGTGATGTTGACTCTGCAAATGCTTCTAGCCTGATGAACCTGTTCCACAATGAGTTGGACACACTCTATACGTTATATAAAGGGCTCTGGTCTATGAGACTTGAAATTCAGCTTCTACGTGCTAAGCTGTACCTCTACTCACATTGCCTTAACATTGCATCAAAAGATGGAAGCAATGCTAGACGCTTTGATGGACAGTCCAATCTTGACTCGGCTAAGATTCTCGTCCATCAAGGGCTTCTTTCCGCCGTCTCGTTGATCCACAACAGTCAGAAATTGAACAACCAACTTGTAGATGGTGAAGAGACTTCAAGAAGTGGTACTCTGATCCACTACCCAAAATACTATATGCAAACAATCGTGTTTGCGGTCATTTTTCTGCTGAAGTTTCTCAGCGCAAATCCGAGGGCCACGCAACAGGACAAAGAGTTAGCATACTCCCATATCACTATCGCACACCAGATCTTTTCGGGCTTCTCAGATTCGCCGGAATGCATGCGGGTTGTGGAAGTTATTGAATACCTTGTGGAAAACCTAAAGGAAATTGATGAAGACGCAGCTTTGCCAACGAGAAGCAAACTCGGGGCATCACTAATGTATAACACTTTAACAATGATGGGAACTGGGCTAGAGCGGAAGCTCGTTTATACTACTTCAGGGACCAGGGAAAACGACGGTCAGGTCCCAGAAGCAATCCTCGTAGCCGACTCGGATGGCCTGGTGCAATCTGCTGCTACGATGTGGGACTCGAGTGGTTTGACAAATCCGTTTGCCGCTGCTCACTCTGCAACGCAAGACGGACTGGCTACTTTCCAGTGGCATACAGATGAGATGTTTTTTGATCTGCCAGATAGTTTCTAACTACCAGCGAGGCAAGTATCATTGTGCAATCGGGTCAGAAAGCGAGGGAGGCACTCTACCCCGGCGTTGCTAGGTATGGGGCATCTACATCATTATCTCTAGCATAAGAACAAATATATATGATTACTGATTAAACGACAGACGTACAATGGTTGAGTATGGTTGCAATTCCGAACTCACGCTACCAGGGCGTTTTCGGCCAACGATAGTACGTGCGAAATAGGGAGTGTTCCCAGCTCTGGGGAGCTTGAATAGAGTTAGAGCGACATTCCCTTAGAGTGCAAACACAAGGCATCAATCAATTGGAGCGGCTGGGCGAGACATATGTCGTATATTGACGGATGATCGCAGCGTTTCTCGCAGATTCTCCGCAGCTCGCGAGTGGGATGAAGCATTGCGTACCGGTTGCCGCTTCGCCACCCAAAGAACAAACTGCGAAATCGCTCGGAGTTGCGAATTTCCTCCGAAAGTGACCAGCGAGATCGCCAGCACCAACCGGTCCAGGGCTGCTGTTGTGAACAAATGCTAAAGCCGCCATGGCTGTGCCTTCGATCCCGACAGCATCTAAGTTCTGCTGGGCTGGCGGAATCCTAAATCGGCTTGAACACAAATGCATGCCGTGAGGTACAGCTTTCTACAGGAGGAATATCAATACATATATCACGGCGCTAGTTCAATGGTGCTTGAAGAACACCAAGGTCCTTTCTGATCATCGTGTCTGACCTCTCGTACGACTGCCTCATCACATCGAAGTGGAAAGTACCCGACAGCCAAAACCCATAGGAAGGCACTATGGCTCCATTCTTGAACGACAGTGAAGTGACTACCACTGGCCCTGGGAATGAAGGGAATGAGCGTCTCTGCCAAATCGTCACTCCTGTAGGAAACTTCGGCAATGGATTTGTTGACTCTCAAGTGGAGGCGGCTTTGGAAAGCACAACAGAGCTATCCACACCGACAGCAATCATCCTTGATTCCGGTTCCACAGATTCCGGGCCTTCGAGATTGGCTCTTGGTTACTTGGCCTGCCCGAGATCATGTTATGAGCGGGACATGAACAGACTCGTTAACTTCGGCGTCAAGTACAAGGTTCCTCTGCTGATATCCTCGGTTGGGGGTGACGGAAGTGATGAGCACGTAGATGAGTTCCTGGCCATTATCAGAGAGCTGGCCCAGCTTCCAGAGAACAGGTGAGTTGCTGCTTTTCCAATCGGTGATATAGACAACTCAGATAACTCTCATGCTGACGTCGAGTCAGCTCATGGAACCTCAAGGTGATTGCTATCTATGCCGGGGTGACCCCAACCAGAGTGACGGAAAGGCTACAGTCCGGCAAGATCATTGGCTGTGGCAAGACTGTCCCTGAGCTTACCCAGAAGGAGATCGATCAAGTGCCTAGAATCGTGGCACAAATGGGCCCTGAGCCATTCTTACAGGCAATGCTTGATAATCCAGATTTTAACATCATCATTGGTGGCAGAAGCTATGACCCGTCTCCATATATTGCATATGCCGCTTACAATGCTCTTCAAAAGAAGCCGGGTGATATGTACAGCCTCGGAAAGGATGTCATGGGTTCCTTTACTCATATGGGCAAAATCATGGAATGTGGGGGGCACTGCGCGACTCCCAAGAGCAACGGCGCAATTGCACACGTATACAAAAATGCCACCTTTGATCTCACACCTATGGATCCTCTTGCAAAATGCATTCCACGCAGCGTTGCAGCTCATTCGCTGTATGAGAAGCCTCGCCCTGATATTCTCCATGGTCCTGGTGGTTATATGAATCTCTCCAACTGTACATTTGAGCAGCTTGAGGACGGACGAACAGTGCGTGTAAGTGGGGCAGTATTTGAAGCATCCCGTGCCAATGGCGAAAAGTACACCGTCAAGCTCGAAGCCGCGCGGGTAATGGGCTTTCGGACGCTTTTTATGGGCTCATTCTCTGATCCAATCTTGATCAGCCAGCTCGATAACATGCTCGACCGGATCAGAGCGTATGTAAAGATGCAGCACAAGGACGTGACAGAGACCTGGGACCTGGGATTCCATATTTACGGCTTGAACGGAGAAGCAGTCAAGGCTTCACCAACGTTTGTCGATCGCCCATACGCTGTGACCCAGCGTGTGTTCGTTGTCGGTGAAGCCATAGCAGAGACCCAGAAGCTTGCCACCAGCATTGCAAATGTTGCGAGAGTCGGCTGCGTTCATGCTCCTTACAAAGGACAGAAGGCTACATCTGGAAACTTCGGCTTTGGTATTGGGGGCAAGCTTGAGCTTGAAGTCGCAGAATGTGCCGAGTTCTGTATCTACCATCTCATGTCTCTGGAAGATGGCGAAGAAGATGGAGTGTCAGCCTCATGTCACGCTGATGGCATCGCCAACACTGTTGATGGCAAAGGCCTCTTCCACTGGACTGTCGCCAACATTGGTCAGGCTGAACCCCTGAAAGTAGCAGAAGCCATCGGATCCACTGGCACCTCTCACACAAACGGTGACGCCACAACAACGAAGACCAAAGCGACTTCAATCCTTCCTCCAACTCAGGCCTTCAAAATCCCAGAGAATCCACGATTCCTAGCGGACATCGCGTCAGTGCTGCGGTCGAAGAACGCCGGACCCTACGAAATCACTGTCGACATTCTGTTCGACTTGGCCGAAGTCTACGAGCTAGTTAAGTCCTCAGGCGTGCTGACCGCCGAAAAGATCGCCGAGCAGTACAAGCTGGTCCCGGGTGAAATGGTCTGGTCCGGCTTCTTCGACTTGGCGCAGGCCTTCAAGGCCACTTTCCCACGCAAGCGGGACGGCAAGCTGCGTGTCTCGGGCGGATACCTGGAGAACGATGTCCATGGCTCCCAGCAGTACTTGCAGCTTATGGAGTTGAAGCTCAGTGATGATTTGCGCGAGAAACTTGTGGCTATTCAGCGCCGCGAGGCCGATAAATTGGCCTCGCTACAGCAACAGCTATCAACGCCACCAGCTGTGGAAGTAACTGTGTCAGCGTGATGCTGCTTCTTGGCAATAGATAGGGTGCTCGCTTAATTACTTTCTTAAAGTATTGGAGGCCTTAGCCTACTACCTAGATAGAAATCACCGATATTTCCAGGATTTTACAGTATATACATATATTCATATGTACCAGTCAAAAATTCCAACATGAAACTCCCCTTGCCAATACTTCCCTTCCGTCTATCTCCATCCATGAAATAAAGAAACTATCTTGTCCGTAAAGACTATCAAACAACACTTAGCTTCCAACTCGTCATGTATTGAGCGCCTCAAAGTCCAGACACTCATCCGATCCATGCCGATACTCACATTTGAGTATCTAATATTTAATGCCTTGCGACGGGAACCATAGCAATATTGTCGTCGTCATAGATCATCTCCTTATATGCTAGACTCTTGCCTCTTTTACGGGCGTTTCTAAAGCTGGTGTTCTTCCACGTGTTAGCGCCGCATACGAGGCCGGGATGCCAGATTGTCAACACTGCGACAGCAACGATGATCATTGGCCCCTCGAGAATCATAAACAGGACCTCGTCGTTTGCCAAATGTCCGCTGAAGCCCTCTTGCAGTTCAGCGAGCCGGAAAGTTGAGCGGATCATGATCGTAAGTGTTGCGATTCCTATGGCTGCACAGCCGTGAGATGAGGATGTTAGCTTTCGTGTTTCTCATGAACAATTGTGATTGGGGTAGAGGCGAGCCCCTGAGGTTTAACTTCCGACTTACCGAGTAGGAAGCATTTAAACTTGATGGTCTGCCTGAGGGCTACGGTGTCAGGGTTGACCTTGCTTGGATTCATGAGGACGTTGAAGGCGAAATGCGAGCAGAGGATGATGAAGATACTCAACGAGATGACCTGCGACCAGAGACCGGCCATCATGATATCGATGCCTCGCTGGCTGCCCTCCTGGTCATCACTGATAGATGTGATCGCGCCCCCAACCGATTGCAGCAACAGCGACAATAAGTCACAACACACGAAGATCCAGGTGATGATCTTTGGCCGGAGCAGACTCAACCTGTCGCCGAAGAGGGTGATAATGCGGCCTAGGCAGAGGTATAGCGAGGCGGAAAGGAACGCTGGAGCAATGGTGAGCCCGACAAGGTAGATGATGAAATAGTTCTTTTCGAACACATTGTCGTGTAGCAGGACCCGGCCGGCATAGCCCACGATCTCGAGGAGTAGTCCACATGTCATGCCCGCCATAAATCCCCATGTCTTGTACTTGACCCCGAAAAAAACCTGTAGCATTAGGATAAAGAGGAAGATCCCGCCATATCCAATGTTGCCTTCCAAAGTCGGGATATATTCGATTTGTCCGTCTTCTTTCACGGAACATGTAGCGTAAGTGCATTCGATTTCGGATTCGGACATGGCTTTGTCTTAGGCCGCCTGAGGAAGCGCAGAAAGGGGAATCCGTTAATTGGTGAGCCTAGAGGAAGTGTCATTTTGTCGATCTTTGGCCAGACGCAATACCTTTTGTATCTCGCAGACTCACGCGTCGAAATCTCCTATTCAGGCGAGGTTGCGGATCGATAACAAAAGGGGAGGATACATAAACCATGGTCTTCTCAATGTCATTGCTGCGCCTGCGAAAATTGAACGTATTCTGTTTCATCGGAGAGTAGGCAGCAGTGTTCTCCCCGGCGAGGCTCGCTCTCTTTACTCAAAAGGGATTGTGGGTGATCTGCGCACTGCGGTGACTATGTGTCTCACTATTTCGGACTTGAGCAGCCGCTCTTCGCAGCGAAGGTCACTTTAAGGCTGGCCGCTGACAGCGAGAAATTGGATCAAGCGGGCACTGGGCTCATGCTTCGCTCCGCTCCGGAGTTCCCATGCTGAGCTTGACAAGTTCACCGTTGCCAAAGTCGTATAATTCGGTATGGACCAGCTGATGAGGAACCACTTGTCGAGTAACTGTGCAATCGCTTTGGAAAAGTTCCGAAGAGTCCAGGCTTCTTTTACGATAAGAGGAGCTTTGGTTTCAGGATTAAATGAAGTGTGAGGTATTATCGCAAATTGGACTGGGCAAGGCAGACTCGCAAATGCTCTCACATCGTCCAAAGGCCAGGTGGACAGGACAAGGCTGACTCTGAGCGGCTATTCCGTAACCAGTATTTCGTATCTGCGAGGAGGAAGAATAGAAGCTCCACTCCAGGCTTTCGTCAAGCATCGTTAAAGTAATTTTCAAACCCGATCAAGGTATTAATTGACTAAGCCATACACACAAACCGCCTCAATAACGCACTTTGGACGTCGATAAAGAGTAACGTCCTCCAGACACCCTTGTGCTTGGGCACAACTTTCCACGCCGATCCATTTCCTGCCAGCACTCTAAGAGTCTCTATTTATTTGATGGATGGAATCGCTTTTCCGCTTTATTTGCTTTTCTAGCCCGGCCCAAATCAAACAAGCCAGCTGTAATTCAACTCCAAGCCTCGATGTGAACGTTTCGAGAACATAGATGGGACAGTGATAGGTCTATCACATCATTCTTTGCCCTGCGAAGTCGCTCCAGCTCCTGACCTCTCCCGGAATTCCTTCTTGACGTGGAAGTTTCAAGTTCATGCATTGAGCAAAGAGTAGTGCAGTCTAACAATCATAGTCAGCGTTAGGTCACATTTAAAAGGCATAAAGAAAACTAACCTTTGGTTCCATAAACAATGGGACACCAAAGTCCACTGCATTCCTTCTCATCACATAGTCCTTGTCCACCAGCGTCTTCCCTCTGCTCTTGGAGATGTTGAAGACGCCTCTGATGTCGTATTTCTGGAACACTCCTCGAAGTGCATTCTTGTCTGTCGTGGGAAACTCAATCACTTCGATCGTGGCCCCAGATTTCTCCAAATGCCCTTTCACATCCTCACTCGCGGCGTAGAACTTATAACCCAAAGGTTGAAGATATTCGACGATCTGAGGAAGTTCGGGAAGCTCAGTTGATCCGCCAAGGAGGATACCCTCACCTGGTTCCGGCATACGGAAATTCATTGTTGATTGCAACGACGCCCAGTATGCTTCTATCAGGTCTTTGCCAAAACAAGCGATTTCACCCGTGCTGCTCATCTCAACCCCCAAGAAAGGGTCTGCTCCTGCAAGGCGAGTCCAAGAGAACTGAGGCACTTTAGTTGCCAAGTAGTCACGTTTTTGAGCCATCAAATCCTGGGGAGCCGGAACATCTTTACCTGCCAAGGCCCGGGTCGCCGTGTCGATAAAATTGGTTCCAAGGACTTTGCTGACAAATGGGAAAGATCGTGATGCTCGGAGGTTGCATTCAATAACTTTGAGGACAGACTCCTCGCCAGGGGCGTCAGCCTTGATGATTTGCATGTTGAAGGGGCCGGTAATATTCCAGGCTTTAGCAACCTTTTCGGCTATCTCCTTTACTCGGGCCATCACCTTCTCGTCGAGATTGACGGGGGGTAGAACAAGGGTTGCATCCCCAGAGTGTACCCCAGCGGCTTCTACATGCTCCGAGACAGCGTGAAGGATCAATTGTCCTTTTGAAGCAACTGCATCGACGTCAATCTCCTCAGCACCTTCAATGAACTTGGTGATGACCACGGGATGATCAGGCGAAACGGCAGAGGCAGACTCTAATTTGTCCTTGAGATCGGCTTGTGTTTGAATGACAGACATGGCGGCTCCGGAAAGAACGTATGATGGGCGAACCAAGACGGGGTATCCGACACTTTCCGCGAAAGACTCAGCATCGGCTACCGAAGTCAACTCCTTCCAAGCAGGCTGATCCACACCAATGGAGTCAAGAATCTGGGAAAATTTGTGCCGATCTTCAGCCTTGTCGATATCTTTCGGGTCTGTACCTAAAACCTTGGCACCGCCTTCTTCTTGGAGGCGGAGAGCAATGTTCTGAGGAAGCTGACCGCCAACACTGACCACAACACCGCTCGCCGACTCTAATTCGTAGATGTCCATAACTCGCTCCCAGCTCAATTCGTCGAAATACATTCTGTTCGGAATGTCGTGATCGGTGCTCACGGTCTCTGGATTGTTCTTGTTTGAGAATTAGCATGGGCAGGTCAAGAGGTAAAGACTCAAAGAAAAAAAGTAAAGAGGAAAAAGTTCAAAAGAAAAATCAAAGAAAGGGGGAAAAACGTTGGGCCCGGTCCGAGATCACCGTAGCTGATTGGCTCAAGAGGACGTAAAAAGGTATTGGTGTTGGTCCAGGTCCGAGATCACGGTAGGTGATTGGCAAAAGAAGAGATGAAAAGGAAAAGGTGTTGGTCCAGGTCCGAAATCAGGGCAGGTGGTTCTGTCGAGCTCTAAGCTCGACAGAACGAGAGCCACGTTCCATTTGTGGCGCTCATTCTTGTTGTGGCGTTTTAGATTGCTCGGGTTGTGAAAACCAACGTTGCAGGGGCGGCACACGAACGGATTAAGCGACTCGGTCGCTTTCCTCTTGTGTTTGGTTGGTTTCAAACGGTCCTGAAAGCTCTGCTTGGTGCCAAAGGAGAGATCGCAGCGTTGACAGTGGTAGGTGTTTTCCCTCAGAGCTTCTTCAACACGGCGTGCTTGATGAGCTGCATCTCGTCCCGGGTTATTGGCTCTGGAACGAGCTACTCGCTCACCAGCTCGACCAATATATTCATCGTAGTTCTCTTCCATCTAGCGATAATCGTCATCTTGTTTCTGTTGGACGCGCCGCTCTTGCCTCTCAAGAGCTCGAGCCTTGAGCTATTCAGGGGTGAGGTCAAAGCCGCCCAAGATGCCTTCGAGCAAGGCTGGATGACTACACAGCCCGTCGTATGTGTGTGTTCCAAGCTCCCACAAAGAGATATGAGCCATGTTCCGTTTTCCCTTTCCTTTGGTCTTCGTCATTGTCCAGAAGACGTAGGCAAATACAGTTTCCAGAGCAATATATAGGACCCGAAGGAGAGGAACAAGATCAGCAGTTGGGATTGAACCCCAACATAGCAGCCCTTTGTGAGCAATTGACCAGCCGTCATTTAGAGTGCTTTCGACCCTTTTACCAAGACTATAGCCATTGTCATAGTTGAAGAATCGATGTTTGACACCTCCAATTGCGTTGGTACCCGAGCCAATGTAGATTGCTGAGCGAGATCCAGGTTTCTCAAGGACGAAAGCGTAGATACCCCACCGTGACTCCACATCTGTAGGCAACTTCTTGAAGTCGACAGATGGGGGAGTAGCAGCTTGAAAAATCTCAAGCAGATCGGGGCAGACGACAAGAGAGGAAGCAGAGGCTGTGGCTTGAAGAACTTCAAAACTCGGGATGAATTGAGCAAAGTAAGCGTTTTTCTGCTGAGAAGAAGTATCCTCGAGAAACTTCTAGGTGGTCGATAGCATAAATTGGAGGGTAGGGTCTGCTGTTGAGGGTATCGCAACCAGGTTCGACATGGATAGAATCACTGATGGCGATTTTGATGGTATTGGCTCGATGGTATCGTCCTGCAGAGAAATGAAGAGTGTGGGGCACGCGTGCTGAGAGCGTCTGCAATCCGTTCAGAGGGAAGGTGCGGTCCATCTTGAGACGCGTCCAGAGCGATGAGAACAACCGTTCAGAGGGATACAATCCATCCAGAAAGCAGTGCATACAATAGAACAGAACTAAACTAAAATCAAATACTTACGTTGATCATCACGGTCTGCATGCCCATCTTCCGTAGAGACAAGGTGGCATTGACTGCACACCAATCAAATTCCACCGAGGACCCGATTCTATAAACACCAGATCCGAGAATGATGGTGCCATTGTCTTCGAAGGCCACGTCGTGCGAAGAAGCATTGTAGGTGGTGTAAAGATAGTTCGTATCGGCAGGAAACTCGGCGGCCAGAGTATCGATCTTTTTTACCCACGGTCGAATGCCGAAATTCTGGCGACGCGCACGAACTTCTTTCTCAGTTGAGCTGACGTACGAGGCAATTTGTTTGTCAGAGAAACCTTGCTTCTTTGCCTTGAGCATGAGTTCAGATTTAATGCCTGTCAGGGAACCTATTCCCTGAATTTCGGTCATTGTGTCTTTCAAATTCTGAAGCTTGTGGAGAAACCACTTGTCGATCTTAGTCAGGTCATGAATTTTATCGACTGAATAGTTCTCATGGATCATAGCTTGGCCGACAGCAAGCCATCGTCGGTCGGTCGGGTTTCGAAGAGTCTCGTCAAGATCATCAAATTTGTCCCCTTGAAAGCCAACGAACCTGGGATCAACTTGACGAATGGCCTTCTGGAAGGATTCCTCGAATGTGCGGCCAATGGCCATGACCTCGCCGACAGATTTCATGGCACTCCCGATGTCGCGCTTGACGTGCTGGAATTTGGACAAGTCCCATCGTGGTATCTTTACCACGATATAATCAAGACTGGGCTCAAAGTTGGCAGTGGTAGTCTTGGTGACGGCGTTGGGGAGTTCCGGCAGGGTATGGCCGAGACCAATCTTAGCAGCTGTGTATGCAAGCGGGTATCCTGTAGCCTTGGACGCGAGTGCAGAGGATCGTGATAGACGAGCATTGACCTCAATCACGCGGTAGTCCAGCCCATCGGCTTGGAGGGCGTACTGCACATTGCATTCGCCCACGACACCGAGATGTCGAACAATCTTGATAGCAGCAGTCCGAAGCATATGGTACTCCTCATCACTGAGCGTTTGACTGGGAGCTACGACAATGCTGTCTCCGGTATGGATACCAAGAGGGTCGAAGTTTTCCATATTGCAGACGGTAATGCAGTTATCCTCGGCATCACGGACGACTTCATATTCAACTTCTTTCCAGCCTTTGAGGGATTTCTCCACCAAAATCTGAGGCGAAAGAGATAAGGATTGAGAGGACAGGTTGCTCAGTTCTTCCCTGTTGGAAGCAAAGCCAGAGCCAAGACCACCCAGGGCATAGGCGGAGCGCACGATGATAGGATAGCCAACTTCTTCAGCAGCAGCAAGAGCTTCGTCGACTGAGCTGACAGCAATTGACTGGGCAATGGGGATGTTGATCTCGTTGAGTGCCTTTGCAAACAAGTCTCGGTCCTCGCTGGTTTCAAGTGTTTTGATTGGAGTTCCGAGGACTTTGACGCCGTATCGCTCGAAAAGACCCATTCTGTTCATCTGGACACCCAAATTGAGACCAGTTTGACCTCCAAAGGTGAGTAAGATGCCGTCCGGCTTCTCTCGCTCAATTACGTATGAGACATACTCGGGCGTAACTGGGAGATAGTAGACTTCGTCTGCGAGTTTGTGATCGGTCTGAATAGTTGCGATATTAGGATTGATCAGTACAGATTGTACGCCGGCCTCCTTGAGAGCTTTCAAAGCTTGGGAACCTAGCATGGAGCATTAGACATAGCTTAGGGACAATGCTTATGATCTGCCCCGGGTGGCATGGCTTACCAGAGTAGTCAAACTCTCCAGCCTGTCCAATACTCAAGCCACCACTTCCAATGACCAGGACCTTCTTGACATCCACCAAATTCTTGCCTTGCTCAACAACACCGCTCTCAAGATAGGACTCGGCGCGGGGAGGCTCTTGCACAGCAGCGTATCGCGCCGTCGAACGGCTGAACTTTCTGGTCTGCTGCCATGTCGGCGTTTTGGAGGTCAGCAGGTGCTGTCTGGTGAAAAGAGGTGTGCGGCAGGTAGAGAAGAACCTCAGAGACGGCCGTGATCTGGGGGTGCAGTCCTTCAGCAGGACACCGCTTGCGTTGCGCAGAGCCCGTGTTGACAACGCCATTGAAGCAGCAATAAGAGGTGGATTGCTGGTGACTGTTAACAAGGGGACCCTGACCGAGTCGAGCTCAGCATATGAGCAAGCAGAAAAGTGAGGATTGATCGAGGGGAGAGGAAAGCTAGACCAGCATGCAAATCAAGAGGAAGAAAGTCGGAGTCACCAAAATTGATGGCCGGGTGCTTCGAAAAATATTATCGGGGGCTTGTTTGCGGGAGCCAATCGATAAGCAGTGCGGCAGCTCGCCAGAGGAGGTGCGCTCCCCGCTGATCACGATATCAATACTCCATACAATATTAGTTAATCAGTTGATCTACTAGCAGGTAGCTGTGACTCGATAACATCTACCTGGAATTATCCCATATGCATTGTCTGGTTGAGGTGTGGCAGTGTCAAACCGCCCATGGTGAGTGCCTTGCCATAAGCATCACTCGAGAACACGTTTTACAATGATGCTAAGTGTTTGTCCATCATAGCTGGTGCTGCTTGGGCAACCTCAGGTTCCTGTAATAACGAGGCCCGCGTGTGCAATGTGTCTACGAGAAGAAAAAAAACTCTGTAGGCTTTCGCTTTTCGCTTTTCCTTTTTCCTTTTTCCTTTTCACGTCCTATCCAGAGGAACACCAGTCAAGAATCTGTGACCGCCTTGCAATAGGAGGAAAAGCATTGAGAGGTAAAAGGGAGCTAAAGAGAGGGTAACCAATAGTTGGACGGGCTTCTGCCTTCCTCTAACCGCTTTTAGGATAACTACCCTGATCTGCCGGTATTTTGCACTTTTCACCTCTCCTGGCTAACCCGGTCTGTCCAGTGCTTCACTCTGCCGCCTCAGGTAAGGACAATTGGACCAAAAAAAAATCTATTCCATGCATGCTAGATCAACAAGTTTTTGAGGTGCTGCGTCATATACCGCATGTGAGCGCGGCAGCGTTCATGGCAACTCTACTTCTTGATAACGTTCACCAGACGATGAACGGGAATTATGTTTTCCCATGCGCCATGGCACTTTCATCTCCCGTTCGAGGTCTGCGGAACTAAGCGTTGAGTCGAGTATAGTTCGATGGGAACAAGCCAGCCTTGCCTTGATACTCGCCGTGCCACCAGTCTTCATCGGGGAATGTCTAGACGTGTTAGCAGTCGCTTCAGGTGCTGTCGTTGGGGATGTACTTACAACATTCGTGATAGTAGCATTCTCAGGGAATGATAATTCATTATCCTCCCCAGCCTCGTAATCATAGAGTGCTGTCGCAGTCGCACCCTTTGGAGCTGCCTGCGTACTTGCCTGGGGAGGTGCTGGCTCTGCAGCAGTACCTGCATTATCATCTTCAATGATGGTAAGATAGTTGCTTGGCACTAGTCCGGTCTTTGAACTTGTCAGCCTAGATCCCACGTGGCTCATCAGAACGCGCAAACCTACCTGTCCAGCTTCATTTTTGACCAACCACCAGTCGGGATCGATCCGTTGAATGTCAGTCACCAGTTCACCTGGAGAAGGTCAGCAATGTGTTCCGAAAGTTGGGAGCACTCCTGTTTACCTTCACGTAGTGAAACCTCGTTGTCCTCGGCTGCTTCGTAGTCGTACTCAGCTCGTGCTTGCTCACCCCCTGTACTGGCCGGCTCGGGTGATGGCGCAGATGCCGCCGACTGATGCCCTATGCTCGAGGCGGCTGTCGCCTGAGCTGCCGCCCTGCCAAAATCATGCCCCCTCGATGGCTCGTCATCATGCGCGGCCGGTGTGGGGACTGCTCGTGCAATAGATTGGGCTGGGAGTGCAGGCGGTGGTGAAGATTGCTCCGCGTGTGCATCCACGACCGGCGCTGAAGCACTGACCGGTTGGGCTAGACGGATTGGCGAAGATGGCTCTGGTGTTGGAGGCGTGGGGCTACGAGGCTGAGCTGGGGGTGTAGGTAGACGAGGCGCGGGGGTGTGTTCTTCCTCTTCGTCAGCCTCTGGACGTGCTAGCCCTGGTATGGGAATGCCACGGTTAGGCTTATTGCTTGTGTCTGGTTCTGGAGCTGGAGGAGGGGCCCGGTCAAAGGCAGTTGCAGGTGCTGGCGCACCCATTGGCGCAGCGCCGCTAAACCGGTCGCGGATCGATCCAATTCCACCCACTGGTGACGACGGAGTCTCGTCCACTTCTGCCTGGCTAGGAGGACCCTCGCCTGTAAGTTGCTGCCCGATGCTGGATCTGCCTGTATGTGTGGTCTGCACAGCCGCCCAGCTCTTGCCTGTGTAGCCGCTTTTCCATTCGGTTCCTCCACTCTTTTGAGTCGAGATGGGGGATTGCCCTGTATAGCCAGTCGGGGACAAAGGTGGATCACCAGACGCACTTAAGCCTCTCTCTCGCGCCTTCTTCTCTGCCCAAAGCTGTGCGGGTGTTTTGCCTGATGACTCGGCAAATGATCGGCCAGCTGCGCCGACTTGAGGCGTGCCACTCGCACTCGACTGGGCGTCAAACCCGCCTGGTACCGGAGCCTTCGTCCCTCCGAAGCTTGAGCCACCGCCAAACTTATTCGCAACCTTCGGTTTTGGAAGTGAAGTGAGGCGTTCGGGTGGCTGAGAGAATGCGGCGGATCTATCGGCTAGAGATCGTGGTGGAGCGTCCAGCTCATCTGAAGGACCGCTTGCAGAGCTCCGAGCAGGAGCAGGGCGCGAGAAGCTTGAGGAATCATCGGGTTTCTGGGCCTTTGCACGGATAGCGGCAATGTCCACCTTTCCGACGGGCACATAAGCCCCCTTGACAGTTTCCGGACGCTCGTCCTTTGTGTTCCCCGATTCCTGAGCTTGTCGTCGAATAGCAGCGATGTCAACTTTTCCGACGGGTTGATAGGCGCCTCGGACCACTTCAGGCCTGTCATCAGACTGGCTGCTGCTAAACGCGGATGGTGCTGGTTTTTGTGATGTCAACTCTCGCATGTCGACTTTGGTGGGTTGATAAGCTGGTTGAACCTTCTCCAGCTGTGTACGGGTGATCTGTGGGGCATCTGCACCCCAACCATCTTCATCCGTACTGGTGTCTTTTTTGATGCCGACATTGCGGGCAGCTGGATTGTAAGAGCCAGATATTCCACTCCTTTGGGTGGGGTTGAATACTGGCTTGGAGGCGACAATTGGCTTTGTGGCGGCTACCGGGGGAGGAGCGGCACTACTGCTGGAGTATTTCGAGCCCGAGGCATCAGCAACCTTTTGGATGATGCCTTCCGGGGTCAGGTCTCGGTCGGACCTTGCGGTTATCTGTACGTGGTAGCCATGGAGTAGCTTAGCGACCGAAGTCAAGTGGCTTCCAAAGTAGCCCTTTGTCCGTTCAGGAACACCTTCACCGCACCAAGCGATGAGAGCACTCTTAGGAAGCCCAGAGTTCGAATCTTTCACTTTTACAAAGGCAAACTGGATGCGTCCATCTGAGAACTCATCTACCAAGTCAACCAGTTCGCCTTCTCCGGTGCTTTGGACCTTTAAAACGCTTTCTTTATTTCCCGAGTCTTGTTGAAAGGCGTTGGCAAGCGGGGCTGAGACGGAGAATACAGCCCATTGACCATAGGTTGCAGAAGAAGCGGCTGGGCCGGAGGGTGGAGGTGCATTGACAACTGTCTGGTAGCTTTTAGAGATAGAAGGGCCATTGGTAGAGAGATTGAGGGACGCCATGGCCGTCTTGGATGAGGAAAAGACACTCTGAATACTGGGCGCCTGCTTTCAACACTGGATGAGGTGGCTTGGTGTAGAGTTGGGAGCGAAGGTTGCCAACGCACAAGGGTAGAGAGGGGAGGAAGAAGGTTGGCAGGGGAGCTGTAATGTCGAAAGAGTGCCCAGGTCAAAGGAATGAAGCAAGAGAAAAAGAAGTGATGGCCTGTGGCAGCGGCTTACTGTTGTGCTTCTTGCGAGTGATTGAGATGAGTGCCTGGTGAGTGCTAGTCAGTGCTCCGCAGTTAGGACTTTACAATGTGGTTACCTGGTCAGTTGGGCGACCACGCGGAGTCGGCGTTGAACTTGGTGCTGATGACATCGTCCCACGTGATCTCGGGAGGGTGGGCATTGCCAGCGGCTTGGAGATTCTTGGCATTGCCTTGGCATCCATACAGTGACACATATTCTAACAAGGCGCAGGCGCAGGCGCAGGCGGCCGTCAACAGGCAGGCTCCGGTAGTGTGGTGGCTGGCCCACTTGTTTTGCCTCTCCTCAACCACCACCTGCGCCCTCCACACAGCTCCAACGTCGCTCTTCTATCAACAACGGCCCTAACCCATCATTTGGTCGCTCTGCGTGCGTTCTGATCCGTTTACATCTACTCCGACTCCTACCCAGGCTCGGGAACCACCTATGAAAGGATACTCACCCTAGGAAATCTCTTACTGAGCACCTGGACATCCACTGCTCTTCGAACAATCACACTCACAGGGATCTGCCAATCCTGGAGTATCTAGTCCTTGGGCTTGCGATTGAAGGCCTATGTGGCATGCTTATACATCCGTCTGCAGCAATCTGACCGTTAAGGCTTTTTGGTCTGCGTCTTGCGCATCATTTCAAAAGTGCGGGCCTGGAGCGAGTTCAACCTGCCCCATTACCTACCTCTCTTTGTTGTGTCTCATCCCACCAGCCTCAGGAGCACGTTTGCTCGCAATGTTTTCGGTCTTTGTTCCCTCGGATCCAGATTGGGTAGCGCACCGAAATATGAGCTCTCAGTGCTGATATCTAGGTGCTCTACAGCGTTCTGACTCCAACTCCGACTCTTTTCTCTTTGGTTCTGATTTTCTATTACACAACCCCGATGGTCTCCTCTGGACCTCCGCCGCCAAGTGCGACAAGCCTTGGGAAACGAAAGTGGCAGCCATCTTTATCGAGTGATGCGGTAATTGCTCGAGGAGAATCATCCTTCCCATGGGAAGATTCTCCTTCTAGAACTCGCCGCTTGGACAATGACGCTACGAGTAAGAAGCCCAAGCTTCTGGGTGTGGCTCGCGAGGACCCTGGCTCCTCGCTGTCGGGGGACATTGTCATGCATGATCATCTCTCTCTCCCAGATCTGCCTCATGAGATTTTGCAACACGTCTTTTCTTTTGTTGATCCTATTTCACTCGGGCGATTGATGTGTGTCAACCGCCCTTTTCGTATACTTCTTGATCCCGCCATGCCTTTGCCTCAGCCTTCAGGACAGGTGAAAAGCTTGAGTATGCGCCGTCAGGACCAAGTCTGGGCCACATCTCGCAAAAACTTTCTTCCTGGCTTTCCCAAACCTATGGAAGGGGCAACTGAGCTGGACATGTGGAAACTCATTCGTGGCCATGCGTGCCAATTCTGCGGGATGAGGCCACTCATCGCTCCGCCTACACCAGGATCATCGCCATGGAACGCTGGCCCGGCCTCTAATGGTGTTCGCCCCATCTGGCCCTTCCGCATTCGCTCGTGCGGTAGCTGTCTAGAACAGAAAATTATCAAGGTGAGAGTTCAATCCACAGTCGCCGAAATCAAACTACTCACAATCACCAGGAATCGGAGCTCCTGCTCTCGAGCTCGAATGCATCCATATTACGTCCCGGGTTACCTTTTGCAATTTTTTCTTCATCAATGGACTACATCCCATCCACTGTCCTGCAACAAATGGACCCGCCTCCACAACTGAAAGTAACAAAGTACTATTATATACCTCAACTAGATGAAATGCAACTGAGAATGAAAGAAGTCCAAGGATTTGGACCCGCCGCGACAGAAGGATGGTACAAAGGGCTCGAGGAGATGGGACAGCTACTTAACGCTGACGCGGCTCGATTAGACCAGTGGGAGCTGCAAGGTGGTTTCGCAAAACTCTCCCACTTGAAAGCTATCGGGCCCAGTAATGCCAGCTCTTCTCATCGAGTGTTTGTAGCTACTCAGCCAAACCCTATAACCCCGCCCGACATAGCAGACCATCTGAAGCAGCTTTCCGCTACTGCTGGACCATCGGTATTGCATTCTTTTACCGTTGAACCTCGAGGTAAGCTGGTCGCTATTGAAGTCGTTTCGGGTGCATTCAATCTTCTATAATTCCACACTGACCAATATCATAGGTATAATGCATTCCTCAGATCCACCAGCAGATACAACCCTTCCTGCTTTGCCATTTTTTTCAGATCGGAATTCAGGAGGAGCGCGGGCCGCGTCACAGCGTGATCTGCCTGGCGTGGTGAAAGCGCCTCGTCCTCTGAATCGCAATAAGTCAGGCCGCACTCCGGAAGAGGTTGAACGAACCAAACTTGAAAGGCGGAAAGAGATTGAGCGACGATGTCAACAACTGCTCCCTCCAATCATGCCAGCAACCCTAGAATTTATGGATGCATTCCAGGCTGCACTGCAAATTTCTCTCCCAATGGATGATAATCAATGGGAAGTTCTCAAGCCTCGCCTTCTGGCACAAAGAATGGAAGCATTGCGGAAGCAGGATACCCAGGAACGCCTTTCCCGAGATCCAGCCGCGCAGCTTGAGGAACGCCAACTAATTGAGCAGGAATCACGAGTTGCACAAGACAATGTGGACCACATGTGGTCTGTGCTAAAAATCCCATGCCGAGACAAGATTAGCCAATACGCCCGTAAATTCATCCAGATCACATGGTCAGATGGAAATGGTGTCACCAAAGGGACCAGCAGCAAATTTGCTGCAGAAGTGCTGTGCCATGTCAGACAACAATTTGAGGATGGTATTGACCAGGAAGATAGAATGCTCGAACTCAAGGGTACAGCTTTTCCGCAGGACTCGGATTCATTGGCGCTGCGAAAGCTAAGACTGGAGGATATGAAGTGGACTTTTGAAGAGTTTGTGAAGCCTCATACCGAAAAGTTTGGCAAGGACCTTTTCCTATGCAGCGTATGTGACAACAACCAAAAGCTATTTTCTTTTGAGGCTGTCATCCAACATTATGCTGCAAAGCACACGCATGCTTTCAGTCGTGGAAATGCCGTGGTCTCCTGGAAAGCAGAATGGCCACTTGAGCCTCCATTTGATCCATCACCAAATATACCATGGGTGCGAGATGGAAGTCAACCTATTGCACACATGAGAATGCAAGCACCCTACAATTCACGGGCCTGGACAGCTCCCACTGAGCCTGTACCGGCCTCGACCAGCAGCCATCAAAGTTATGTGAATGAGATTGTTGGCCTAGTAAGAGAGTTATGGCATGTGACTGACGCCATTCATAATCTGTCACAAGCATTACGCGTGTGGGTGGTCATCCAGCTTACTTGCACGACGTTTTCGCAAAGATTCAACGATGATCTTAGCCTTCATCTTTTTCTGAGTTGCATACAAAACAGATCAGAGCTTCAATTTCTTTCAGGCCTAGGTGGTCTACAGTGCAACGCATGCTCTACCCGCCCAGAGCCGTCACCGCGGACCTTCGACGGATGGTTTCCGTCCGATCGTTCTCTTGCGGAATTGCTGACGCACTTTCAAAGGATGCACATTGACTTCGATGCGTCCAGTCACACAGAATATGGGATACTTTCATCAGGCTCCAGAACAAGCACGAGTTCGACTCGGTTGGACTGGAAGAGAGATATGATATTGCTGCCAAGTTGGGCGGAAATTCAAGCTTTCCTTCATGCACCAACGACCGATAGCCACAAGGTGCAACTAATTGCGGATGCATTAAATGCGCCTGCATTTACGTTGCCAAAGCGGGCGGGACCATCGTCACAGATGTCTGTGTCCGATAATGTTCTGTCCCCATACATGCAACAAGATGTTCACCCTCGTCCTACTTCGCGTCACAGTAGTGTCCGAGACTCTCGGCCTGGCTATCGTGTTGCTCGGTCAGAAGTATCTATGCCGGCATCAGAAGAGGAGTATGACCCTCACCGACCAGCGCCTGCATCTTCCATGCCTCGAGCTACATTTGGACAGTCCCAGAGGCTACCTTCCACGAGTCACGGGTCTCGTGTCGTTGGATCCATCTATCAGCCACTGCAACTATCCGAACACCGCGAGTATCCTTTTAGGGTGCATAGTGACGAAAACAGATGGAGCCTTGCCGAGCACCGGCGTCTGGTCTCAGCGGAATCCTCTGATCCCCAATTGTATGATCGAGGCTGGAGTCCCAACAGGGGTGGCTTGATGAATCGATCGAATCTTGCTGTAGAGCGACCTCGATCCATTGGAAGTCGACCTGAGAGCAAGGCGACAAGCCACCATTCGCTACAACCACCAGGCGGAGCAGAGGTTCCAGCTACGATTCCCACGAATTCCACCCAACCCGTCGAGGTGGGACGGCCTCGAGAAGATTCAGCGGCCATGGACTTTCTTAATAATTTTGATCCTACAGCATTAAACAACGATGGGAATCCCGAATTTGCAGCGAGTGAATCTCGAAGAGGTATAAGGGGGCCGACAGCACGCGAAACTCTGGACGCGAGAGAGGCTACTGCTCAAGATGCTGGGTTTCCGTACATTCGTCGAAATGGCAGCGTTCGACAAGGCTTTGATGACCAAATTGTGAAACAACACCCCCCCTCGGTGCCGATGCGAGAAGACGGAAGATTTGAGATCGGTGAGATCGATTACGAAAGTCGAATGTACCATCAATCTTTGTTGAGTCCAGCAGAGGAACCTAGGCCACCCCGAGGCATAGGGATGGGTAGTGGGTATGTGGACGACATTTCGAGGGTTTCGTACCGATCTCGAGAGGGTATGTACATGACACGAGTTCAGGATCAAGGCCGAAATTACCAAGAGTTTGGGTATGAATCGAGGGGTTATTATGAGGAAAAATTTGCGCGGCCAGGACCTAGGTATGAGGCCGTGGCCCAGCCGCCAATGGAGCTGTATCATCACCAGTCAGATCGACCTGATGGCGAATTTGTTGAGATGCATCGGGCACGGCAGCAAATAGCGACGGAAGAGGATGGATATGACAGGCACCGAGAAGGCCGTACAAGGTATGTGCCAGCGCGTCCAATATATTACGATGAGGCGGAAGACATCGAATACGCACCTGTACGGGAAAGGACGGTTACTTATGCCAACTACCACGATGCACAGTACAATCGCGAGGATACGTTGGAAGCGGGCCAAGTGGTTCATGCAGGGCAACGAGACAGTCGACTTGATGAGTTTCGACCGGGTGACGAGAACAGACGTTATATGACACGGTAAGAGCCTGAGGCCAGGGGCTACAGGTTGTGTGACGGAACACATGTTCTACGAGGGTGCATGCACCAGGCAACAGAGCAATGCGTGACTGACGACAGGGAGACTTTTTGTTGGCCAATTTCTTTTCCTGTTTTCGCGAGCAGATGATACCCCCAGCATTGATTGCTATTTGAGCGAAGGCAGATTGGTTTGATGTTAACGAAGAATTAATTTCACCAGCTGTTACTATGATGACGTATTTCTTCTATCTTTTGGGATATGGATAACGATGGGAGATGTATTCGAGCCTCGACTCCGAATTTGTAAACGGAGGAGATCGTATGTATCCTACGGAGTAGAATTGACCCAACACCAGAATGACAGGCCACACCGACGTAACCCTTCTCGCTCAAAAGTTATCAATGTCGCACACGTGCAAATAATTACAGGCGGAAGAGATAGAACCGCAAAGGTAAGAGAGAGAGAGAGAGAGAGAGAGAGAGAGAGAAAGGAGAAAACGATGAAATACTTGGTAAGTCTGAGTTGGGCGACTAGTCCAACTCCTGGCGAGGTAGCCTGAAGATGCGCTGTTGATTGTAGTCAAGGTGGTCAAAGTCGTTTTAGTAGATGCGTAGCTGCCCAACATGTGAGGCGGGGAGACCGGCAGCCACACCACACCCTCTTTTGGGGGTTCTAAGGTGTGGGTATGAGTGGGCGTGGGCGTGGGCGGCCTCCATCTATCCTTGTTCAGGGAAGGCTGATTGTTGTTGTTTGTCGTTGTTCTTGTTTGTTGCCGGGGTGGGCGAGAAGGGCGGATTGTGGTGAGGATAACCATGGTCGGAGTGGTTGAGTATACATACCCGTCATGAATGCATGTTTGTGTCACGGGACAGACAGACAACGTGATGGGCAGGGCAGGTAGAGTAGGGCGAGTCGGAGAAAACTGCCCAGGTGGCAGGATTAGGGTATGCATGTCGTAGGGCAGTGATTACTGCTGTTAGTACTGTTGCTAGGACCAGGCCACTGGGTACTCAATACGGAGTTCTCGGTACTCGATAGGATGTTGGTGCAAGGCCGTGGGTGGGAGTTCTTTGGCGCTTATGCATCCACGCATCCGGTGGCAGCAACGCATTCACGGCAGACAACGCAACGCAACAGAAGGAAAGAAGGAAAGTCCAATGCGGTGGGACACTCGGTTGATTCGACAGGGAAGGCGCGACTGTGGGAGATGCATATGCGTCATGGTTCCTTCAGGCGACAAGGGCAACATGATATGGTACCTACGTCCTTTGTGCTGGTTGGTGCTTGTGTCACCACACCGGAAATGAGAAAATCACCACCCTTCCTGATGTCCGTATTTTGACCCCGAGAGCAACATCTTTCTACGGCTGTCTCGTCCTTGAGTCAATGAGACATCCAAGGGACTACTTCATCGACTAGGCAGGTCGTCATGATCAACACGACGGGCAAAAGAAGCGGTGTGCTGTCGCCTTTTCACCGCGACTTCACGCCAAACAACACTTGGCCGGATGTCCTCGGTACCAAGCTAACATACCTACATCATCCTGGTGTTTATGATGGATACTTTTCTTTTTCGAGTACGGATACGGGTGCGGCGTGCCTAGCAGTGCGCTACCCACCAGGTTTTCGTGGTTCTCGGTAGCTACATGCCTGGGAAGGGTCAAGGGAAAGTGCACGCTTTGAGATAGGCCTCGGGTTTCTCAAAGAGCGGTGGAGAGGGTCAAGGAGGAGGTCAAGGAAATAAAGAGATCGGCACTTGGGAGTGAAATGAAATGACCAGCCAGCAGGAGCAGGGGGTCTGGATAGATTGGATTGAAGGTGAGGCTGCGCACTAGGATCGCCATAGGAGATCAGTGTTTACGAGGTATTGATTGATGTTTTTGGGTAGAGCGCAGGGACGTGGTGTGTGAGAGTTGAAAGAAGCTGTATGTAGCACCAAGGATATGAGATGGGATGAGATGAGATGGGATGAGGTTGACGGCGATGAATGAACGACTGAGTCTACCACGGATGGGCGAAGCGAGGCGCCCACGAGGATATCGTACAGTAAGTCGTTAGTGGGAGCATATGGCAGTAATGCCACTAATGCCACTAACATACTAGCAAATACCTAATCGGTCATGAGCCCTCGCCACTAGCCGCGCACTAAGCAGGTCACAAGCACTTGGGCCGCTAACTGCCAACTGCGGCGGTTGCCATCTCCCCTCCAACTCGTCTTCTCCGCCCCAGCCTCCCATCTCATGCCAGGCTGCCACTCACTTCCACCCTCTCACAGAGTCATACTCTCAATCCCACTTCCAATCCCACCCTGTCTCTCTCGTCGGCCCATCAAATCGGCTTATTGCTGGTCGACTGCTCCATCCCCACCTGCTCGTTGCACTTGGGTCTTTTACTCCTGCTTGCATCTTGACTTGCATACAACCCATTCCATCCCTCAAAACAAAACACCACCGTCTTGGTACCTACCCGTCCTGCTTCCCGTCTTATTCGTTGTCTGTCGACTTTTTTAGTCTCCAAACTTACAGCTGCAAGTCTTTCCATAGCCTGAATCATCTACCACTTGCTTGGTTCACTTGCTTGCTTTGTGTATTGCATCCTCTACTTCCTACCCAATCCATGCCCGCCCTATCGCCAATCCCCGTGGGCTTCATCTGCTGAGTTCAGTGTAAGTTTGTGGCCCTGGTCTCTACTATTCTTGTCCGATCCGCAAGCAACTCCACTACCGTACCCAGTACCCCGTCAGGAGTACCTCGCTTGCAATCCACTCGGTAGGCCACCCCGTAGCTAACCTGGCATCCCGCAAGTCCAGCTTCGACGACCACATCATCTGCAGCTGTCCGTCCCGGCCCTCACCCACGTCGCGCGTCGTTCCAAACTCACCGAATCGTTGTTGCCGACGCTTGCGCACCCCCAAATTCGTCATCCAACACTCTTCGCGTCCATCCTCGTGGTAGACCGCCTCACCTATCCTCCTTGCCGATTCGGTCCTCGCGCCTCCGGGAGTCTTTTTGGGCACAAACATTGTGCTTGCCAGACCAAAACCCGACCCATCGTCTGACCAAGACCAGCACCAAACCACACCAGCGCGACCAACGCGACCTCCGGTAGTGACGCAGCCCCAGCATTGGACATTAGGCAGGTAGCCTTCGCCCTGCCGCCCCTGCGTGTGACGTGGTCACTGCCAAACAAGTACCGTGCGCCTTGCGCTGCCGCTATCCTCGAACTACATCATGTCGACCTCCCCACCCAAAGAGCCCGATGTCGAACAAAGTGCACAGTCCGCAGAAGAGCAGGACCATATGGACCGCGAACCAGAAGGAGCACAAGGCACCTTGGGTGAATTCGAAGTCAAAGAGCAAGATCGATGGCTACCTATAGCAAATGGTTGGTTCTATTTCCTTCAATTCCCCTTCAACCCCTCCATCATGCCCCCTTGAGACCGCTTGCCCTGAGCATCTCCCTCACCCTGTCCCACCATACACATTCTACCGCTTCGACTTGTGGAATTTGATTTGTTCGACCCTTGCGTTACAATCATGCCTCTTCGCGGTACGCCAGGAACGCCGCTTGCCATCTGTGCGAATCCGAGTGTACGACGCTGCACCTGTTCTAAAGAGGCCACCCTCTCATTCGTCGTTGCTGCTCTTCTACTCAAGCCATGATTTGCATCGCATCTCGCCAATTCTACGACTGGCGCCATCTCTGGTCCACTTGGCACCCATTCACCTAGCATCCAGTCCTCCATTCTCAACATCATGTCATCAGATGGCCATTCCAAGTCGGCATCGTCAAGGCAGCATGGACATCAATCATCAGTGTCGTCGTCATCCCCTTCTACCATCTCGGATGCTAACATACGTAATTTTGCACCAGTGGCCCGGATCATGAAGACCGCTTTGCCCGAAAACGCCAAAATCGCCAAAGAAGCCAAAGAATGCATGCAGGAGTGTGTGAGCGAGTTTATCTCATTCATCACCAGCGAAGGTATGTGGTTGCGGCGCCGTGGTTCGGGGTGCGAGGGTCGACGACTGTTGACTAACGTTGCACAGCATCCGAAAAATGTCAACAGGAGAAACGCAAGACGGTCAATGGGGAAGATATTCTCTTTGCCATGACCTCCCTTGGTTTCGAGAATTATGCCGAAGCACTCAAGATTTATCTGTCCAAGTATCGCGAAGTGAGTTTTGACTTTCTCCCCTTTGTTTCCTTTGTCGACTTGACGAGGAGCATCAATCTGAACAATTGAACTGATTGGGATGAGACCCAATCCACAAGGGGCGAGAACCAGAACAGACCTACCAGCAGCGGCTATGGCGGTCCAGTCGGGGGCGGAGGCGGTGTCCAGGGCAATCCCTCGGCCGGGGGTGCCTCAGGCTACGGCAGCGGGCAATCCGAGACTGCCAACGACCTACTGAGCCAGGGCCATGGGTTGAATCCCAACGACCACGATGCGACCAACGCGTACGCCTATCCCAGCGCCGTGCCCACCGGCCACAACGGCATCTCCAGCGACAATTTCTGAACAGGTGGAGGTTGTGTGAGAAGGCCAAGGCAAGTTTGGCACAGCAGGTAACCAGAGTCTCGTTACTGCCAATTCCTCGAGCACGGCCAGTTCAGTTGTGAAGACCAGGTGGAACAAAAGACGGGGGAAAGCCAGGTTTGGGCAGAGAATGAAACAAGGTCTCTCTTTCCAGAGGTAACAATCACTACTGTACATGAGATCATGTGAGACGGATACAGAGGGATATTGATGGAAGGCTGTCTGAAAATTACGGAAGGGATAGGCTATGCATGGAGGACTATGGAAAAACCTAGGCGAGCAGGGGAGTGAAACGTCAGGTGCCCGTGCCAGTAATGAACGGAGCTAGAGAATGAACCCAATCGTTATCGATGCTTGTCCAGTATAGATACCGAGGGAGTATTGCGTGGTGAAGTTCTTGAGTTCTGTCCTATGCACCTGTGTTATGCCAGGCCGCACACGTGAGCTTGATTCGGCCGACTATTGACCAAGAAGAGCGAATGCCTAATGAAGTAAGTATTGAGAGGGTCGTCAGACGGGCTTGTTCCGAGATATCGGGACTAACTCTGACCGTTCAAAGTACTCCATAATGAGCAGGAGAGAGCTGGTTTCGCGTTATCTAACATGAGATGATCTGACATGGTGTGCATAGGAGGTGCTGTTACCGCGATGCATTAGGGCGGGAAGCATGGATTTTTCGAGATGTGCGCCCTTCATGACATTATCGAACGGTGGCCAACCGTGCGAACCGTGCTAGGGTCGTACCTGCCTCATCTATGTCTGTCGTAACTGCCCCAGATTTAACGGCCTAGACTAGCGCACGTGATTGGCTGGGATGCACTAGTTTGTACTAGTCTACACTAATGTCCAAGTAGAATGCCGGCGATAAGCTTATCCGACGGCAAGCGATGGAATTTGTTGACCACCGAGCCACTCACAATGAGAGGCAACACCTGTGAACCAACAGAATTCTTATCCTTACCTCTGCTTTCAAACAATGATGGCATCCACTCCCTTTCATGTTACATAATATCTCCCTGGTTTTAAGGCCACAAGACCACAAGACCATCCTGATCAGTATAAAGTATTTTCTTCATCCCTTCGCCCCTCGGACCCTCTACAAACCAAATCATTATCAACCCTCAGTATTGCCTCCCACCCGTTAATCCTTCCGGGAATACTGTTTCATAGCACCTCTTCGTACCATGGCACCTCACGCCGAAGTGGAGCCGGTCACGGACACGTCTTCTGTCGTTGTACCAGACCCAATCATCAGCAAGGGGGAAACAAATGCGAGGTTCACAATCGATGATGTGCTCCCCCACCGTCAACAGTCGGATCCCATCTCGACCATTGTTGCAGCATTCTCTTCTGCCCATTTATTCAAGAGCAAGAGATCCGCCACCAAACCCAAGTCCAGGAGATGGGATCACCGCTTCTCGACCGAGAGTAAGAGCAGACAGCCCTCGTCCTTGAAAGGCGCTATGAAGTACTTCAAAAAGGACACCATCAGTCTTTGTGGTGGTCTTCCCTCAGCGTGAGAATCGCTTTCTTCTATTTACCAACACCATGCTCATTCCTATACAGTGATTATTTTCCCTTTCATGAGGTCAGCGCCAAACTACCACCCGCGCCCCATTTCTCTCAGGATGAAATGGCCGAGTCTGCCCAGTCTTTCTCTGCGGGCAAGTATGACACCGTCACCGGCGACGCCGTTTACGACCTCCACATTGCTCTAAACTACGGCCAATCAATGGGACCCGGAGCTCTCTTACGCTTTGTCACAGAGCATACGGAAGCGGTCCACGATCCCCCCTATTCTGACTGGGATATCTGTATGAGTGCTGGGAGTACTTCTGCGCTGGATATTTCACTTCGCATGTTCTTGGAGAGGGGCCACTATGTTATAACCGAGGAGTATACTTTCAGCACAGCAATCGAGACTGTGTCTCCTATGGGCGCCAAAATGATCGGTATCAAGATGGATGCACATGGAATGCTCCCCGATGAGCTGGATCGTGTTCTTTCAACGTGGGATGAAGAAGCTCGACAAGCACCCAAGCCTTTTCTTGTTTATACTGTGCCAACCGGTCAAAACCCTACAGCTAGCACACAACCCCTGCAAAGAAGGAAAGAGATCTACGCGATAGCTGAGAAGCACGACCTATTCATTCTGGAAGACGAACCATATTTCTTCCTTCAGATGGAGCCTTTCATTTCAGGCCAAACCCATTCGGTCCCCAAACCCTTCAAACCGACCCCGGTCAAGGATTTCCTCGCCAACCTGATCCCATCATATCTGTCTCTTGATACATCCGGTCGAGTCCTACGTCTTGATTCATTTTCCAAGATCATTGCACCAGGCTCTCGATGTGGATGGGTCACAGGCTCTTCACAGGTTGTTGAAAGATTCCTCCGCCATAGCGAAGTCAGCGCCCAGACACCGTCGGGTTTCTCCCTAGTCACCCTCTACAAGCTACTTGAGGAGAACTGGGGTCACAAGGGTTTCCTTGAATGGCTGATGTACATCCGCGCCGAATATACAAGGAGAAGAGACATCATCGTGAACGCATGCGAGAGGTATCTACCCGCGGAAGTCGCCAGTTGGGATCCGCCGATGGCCGGGATGTTCCACTGGATCAAGTTGGACATCACGAAACACCCACTCTATGTTCCTGGCGAGGCGAGCCTGCAGAAAATCCTCGATATTGAACACTCCGCATTCGCAGCTCTTGCCGATATGAGTGTACTATGTGCTAAAGGATCCTGGTTCCGAGCTGAGAGGGGTTCGGATACTGAACTCTTCATCCGTTTGACATTTGCCGCTGCAGCTCCAGACAAAATGGTCCATGCGGTGGAGAAAATGGGTGTCGCATTGAGAAGAGAATTCGGTTTAGAGGAGGTCACACTCGAGCGTACTCAGAATGGCCATGCAAATGGGCATGCGAAGTGAGTCTGAACTCCAGAGCATTCTCCTAGATCGGATTTCCGCCGAAATCGCAGCCAACGAAGACGGACGGACTCCATCCTATCAGCCGATTCGCCGTGCGCTTATGCTATCTTTGATCTTTCCAGATCGGCTCTCCTGGTTTTCTGGTAAACACAGTTTTTCACCAGTCCAATACTTCGCCTGGCCTTAAGTTAGGGGCTTAACGGCCTCTGAGTGATCAATCAAATGAGCTCCCCTACACGGTAGTCAAACGCCCATTCAACTCTCTGCAAAGGGTTCTGATTACCAATGCATGCTTGGGGTCATGGCGCAATGGCGTGGAAGGGATTCACCCACGGATGATCGGACCTTCGTATACTATTGAAGTCCCAATATTCTGGAATATAACGATGATAGGCAAAAATCATAATAATGATTGCATGGGACGGCTATTAGTCACGACTCTGGATTCACAAGAAAAGAGTGGCGGCGTTTTGGGTATTGATAGCTAATTAGCGCATGTAGATAGCATCCTGTCTTCATCAACACCAAATTTTACACATCATCTACTAATGGACACTCAGAAACCCTGTCCTACCCTTTTTTTTTGGTTGACTAAGTGCACATCTTCTGTATGTATGTAACTGACATAGCCTGCCTTGTTATGATGGATGAGCGACTTGGGATTCTCGTCATCTACTACTGCCCCCCCGGGGCGCCTATTCTTCAGATTCATAGAAACTGGGCATATGAATGGCAACTCTTCAAAGTGTTGTAGTCATATCTTCTCACCCACCAAGTCACTCATTCACCCATACCTAGGCTGGACAGTATAATCAATTAGACAGTCTCTCTCCCACAGTCCTACCTCCATCCCCTTTCCTACGCCATAACGACATCAAAGCCTTTCCACCCCTGCAACGCATCGGTGGTCACCCTTGCATACGCATCCACACCCAACAGGTAGATCAACTGCTCGCGCGGCTTCCCGGGGATATTCGCACCCATGTACCAGGAATCCGCCTCGCCGAAGAGCATCATGGCGTTGATCTTCTGAATGTCCTCGCGCCACTCAACGGCAGCCTCGGACCGGGCGTCGATGTACTTGACGCCCTCGGCGCGCATTTTGGCGATCGCGGATCCGATCCAGTCGATCTGCAGCTCGATGATGGGCGGCCCGTTGGACAAGGAGGTCGGCGCTTGCGGCGAGTAGACAAGGAAGAGGTTCGGCATCTGTGGGATCGTCAGGCCCAGGTACGTGTAGGTTCCGGACTTCCATTTGCTGCGGAGTGGGGTGTCGGAGGTGTCGAAGAGGTTCGTGTCCAGGAGGCTGCCGGTCAGGGAGTCGTAGCCGGTCGCGAGGATGACGATGTCGAAGTCGTGTCGGCTTGGCTGGCCGGTCCGGGCGTCGCTCGTGACGACGCCCGTCGCGGTGAACTCGTCGATGTTGTTCTTCTTGAGATCCAGGATCGTGACGTGCGGCTGGTCGATCATCTCGTAGTAGTCCTGCTCAAGACTGGGCCGCTTGGTGCCGAGCCAGTTGGGCTGCGTCAGCGGCGCCATGATGTCGCGCTTGACCGGGTCGCTGATGCGCGCCCGCACCTTTTCCGCCCAGAATGCGTACACCTCGCGGTTCACGTCCTTGTCCATCAGGTATTCGCTGTAGTTGCTGATCAAGAAGCTGAATCCGCCCCGGCCCCACAGCTCCTCCCACAGCTCGAGGCGCTCCGCCCGCGTGCTCTCGGCGTATGGCTTGGGCGCTGGCTCGTAGGGAAACCCGCTGCGGCATTGCTTCGCGGACTGCAGGTAGGATCGGTAGAAGGATTTCGCCGCGGTTTGCTCCTCGAGGCTGAGCTTTCTTTGCCGCATGGGTAGCGCCTGGTTGGGCGTGCGGACACACGCCGTCAGCTGGCAGGATTTCTCGCGCGCGAGGGTCTGTACGATCTGCACGCCTGTCGCCCCGGAGCCGACGACGAGGACTTTCTTCCCGGACACGTCGAGTCCGGATTCCGGGTAGAGTGCGCTGTGGATCAGCTTGCCCTTGAACTTGTCTAAGTTCTTGAACGCCGGGAAGTGCTTCTTGTAGGAACTCCCCGTCGCGAGCACGAGGTATTTGCATGTTGCGACGCGGTTGGGGTCGTCGGTCTTCAGATGCCACTCGCCGGCGGCGGTGTCGTACCGTGCCTCCGTGACAATGGTGTTGAAGTACGCGTCCTTGCTGAGGTCGAGAGTCTTGTCCACGTGTTGGAAATACCGTCGCAGCTCTTCGTGACCGGGGAACCGCTCGGTGAAATTCCATTTCCGGTACACTTCGGGGATCGACAGCGAGTAGTATGGCGTCTCACTGTCAACCCGCGCCCCTGGATAGCGGTTCCAGTGCCAGGTGCCACCCCATGATGAGCCCGCTTCTAGCAATTTGACGGAAAAGCCGAGTTTGCGGTATTGGTGCATGCCATACATGCCACCAAAACCTCCTCCGACGATGAGAATGTCGGCAGTTATGTTCTCGACCTCTGGATGCGAAGTCTCGCCGTTGGTCTGCTGGGTGCCACCACTCCCGCCAATATCGCCATTGACGGTAGCGTGGTCAGCGGCGTCGAAGTCCTTGGGACGGTTTGGCAGAGCTGCCATAATTACGTGTGCACGGGGCTGATGCTGTTAACAGAATGGACTTATCAAGAGAAAGGTCGGTGGGAGCAATTGCCTTCAATGGGACATAGGCTGTAGATGCAGGCTGAAGGTAATGCTCGCAATTCGAGCACTGGTCGAGTGTAGCGTGGTCAGCCTCCTTCAACTGATTAAGAGTGGTATAGAAGACTGATGTTTCTTTCGTATTACGCCTTACCTTAGAGACGCCTAATCAGCAGCCGCGAAGACATCGCAAACGTGATCACCAACGAGACCTGAAATCCTAAATGTTCACATAACCTCGGCGGACAAGCTGTCTGACTCTCATTGTGATGACGATCTGCTTTCCCCTCATTAAGACGCGCTCTCGGCCTTTACCCCAGACTTACGGTTATCCGGGGACCATGCCACTCTTAGCTAGGTGTATGAGAAGGCTCCTTGCTCACACAGCGTTCTCATTGCCTCCCGAGTTCGAATATGTGTCCACGGCCGATTGCCGAAGAGGGGTAAAGCAGGGACACTTTCTCAAATGACCGGCCACAGAGCTGAGGGTTCCAATGTCTTGATCCGGGATACATGATTCATGCCACCATATGTGCCAGCAGGAATGTATTCAAGGTACGCACCTCACCCCCTGTGGTGATAAAGTCAGGGGTCGAATGCTAGTTGTTTTGCAGATGGATGACGATATTGTTGTTGCATCACAGGCAATGACAGGGAGCACGTTGAAATTACCTAGTTAGGTACTATTCCTGATCCGGTGCTGTAGTGGAATCATAATTAGCAGCTCAAGGGCTTAATAATAAGAGGTCAATAATACAAGTGCATAGCAGCTGTTTCAAATAATCGGGACCTAATTATTCAATGTCGTTAATTGATTATACCTGCGACGAGACTAGTAGTCACTCTACTGATGTTCGGTAGAACGAGCGGCCTCGGTCTCCGTGTTTCGGTGGAGATTAGGGACTTGAAGTTTTGTGAAAGCCATGGCTCATAGTTCGTCTCAGCAGCGCCAAACGTTTGACTGGTCGTTTGACTGGTCAGATGCATCGGGAATAAACGAGTCGCGTGGTCTGTCTCGAATCTCGATCTGCATAAATGCCCCTCCTTCGATGCCAGAAGACAAATGCCTGTCGCGGCATCTTTCCTTGAGGTGCATACAAAGGGACAAGCTTACGTCTTTTGCGATGCTGATTTGTCTCGACAAGACCCTTGACAAAGCTAGTCGGGAAATCCCCTGCTTCAGGCACTTCTGGCCGCGGGTGATCCACCTACAGCGAATATTGCAACCCTGATCCCGCAGAAAATGGCGGCAAGCGGATACTTTGTGTCCAGTTGATGACCCAAGTGAATTATTCATGAATGGTCTGTTCTCGCTCGCTAACTAGCCAGCTACAGATCAGAAGGCAGGACCAACGATTGACTGCGAATAAAAAGGATGTACGTTCAAAGTTCTTACCGATAAGGGACCACGCCTCTCTCCGCACCGGCTGCGAGATGATCGTGTGGCCCTTTGCGTTAGGCGGATTCCAGGAAAAGGAACTACAACAGCCTCAGCCCTGGAGATGGGCCCAAGCGCGTGTGGTTCGCCGGGCTCCGATGGCCAAAATGTGAGGCAGAAGAAAGCTGACCATTAACCATGTCCATTCCTATCAGTGGATTGAGGGGCAAAAAGCCTCGCCAAGGCCAGCAGAGTCCCACTACCTCGATTTTGGGTCAAGCGGAGCCCGCCTCTTGTCTTGGCATCTCTCCCCACCCGCCAATCCAGGTGTAGAGCAACCTCACCTCAACTCCACCACACCAAGAGCCTTATCATGCCCTGTAGAAACGTCTGCTCTCCGCCCATTCACAACCACGATCCGGCTCCAAGGAAGAGACCGAGAAGCTCTAGATGTGTAGCTGATATCACACGTTAATCATATAAACATCTGCTCTCCTCGCCTATCTCGAAGATCTCTTGTCCTCCTCCCATCGACTCCATTTTCACCCTACCGAGTATTGCCACCCAGATCTCGAGGCCTCCACGACACAATGGGCATAAACGAGATGATTCACAACGCCAATATGGCGGTCGCTGGCTCATTCGTGGGCAGGCGATTCCGCTTGGAAGGCTCCGGCCACCCCAAGGAGCGAAAGGGGTCCTACTTCTTCACTGAGATCCGTGCTGGACTGGCGACCTTCTTTGCGATGGCTTACATCATTTCCGTCAACGCTACCATCGTGTCACAATCTGGCGGCACCTGCGTCTGTTCGCCGGATAGTCCGGATCTTTGCGACAGCGATCCTGATTACATGCTTTGCGTTGCAGAGGTGCAGCGCGATTTGGTCACAGCAACGGCAGCTATCGCAGCTTTGACTACCTTCTGCATGGGTCTGTTCGCAAATATGCCCATCGCTCTAGCACCTGGAATGGGTCTCAACGCTTACTTTGCCTATACCGTCGTTGGATATCACGGATCAGGTCTCGTTCCATACTCTGTGGCTGTCACTGCCGTCTTTGTCGAAGGCTGGGTTTTCGTCGGCTTGACGATCCTTGGACTACGACAATGGCTGGCTCGAGCAATCCCTGCATCGATCAAACTCGCCACGGGCGTTGGTATCGGTCTCTATCTAACATTGATTGGCCTAACTTACAGTGCTGGTATTGGCGCTGTCACTGGTGGCACGGCTGTTCCACTTGAGCTCGGAGGCTGCAAACCAGAGTTTCGCGATGAATTTGGCATCTGTCCGCCTGGCGCCAGAATGCGCAATCCGACTATGTGGATTGGTATCTTCTGTGGAGGCTTCCTCACCGTTATTATGATGATGTTCCGGGTCAAAGGCGCCATCATCTTCGGCATCCTGCTTGTCAGCATCATTTCATGGCCCCGCGGCACTGAAGTCTCATATTTCCCCTACACGCCCCTGGGAGACAGTATGTTTGATTTCTTCAAGAACGTTGTTACATTCCACCCCATCAAACGGATCTTAGTCGCCCAGGAATGGGATATCTCGGGATATGGTGGACAGTTCGGGCTCGCTTTCATCACATTCCTCTACGTGGACATCCTTGATTGCACGGGTACTTTGTATTCGATGGCCCGCTTCTGTGGAGCTATTGATGAGAAGACACAGGACTTCGAAGGTTCCGCGGTGGCTTATCTCGTTGATGCCATTGGTATCTCGATCGGAGCCCTATTCGGCACACCCCCAGTTACGGCATATATTGAATCCGGTGCCGGTATTTCGGAAGGCGGCGCAACTGGACTGACAGCCATCGTCACGGGACTTTGCTTCTTCATTTCTATCTTCTTCGCGCCGATTTTCGCCTCGATCCCACCCTATGCAACCGGTACGGTCCTTATCATTGTAGGGTCGCTGATGTAAGTCCACACAGTTCCAATCGACCTTCTAGACCATGCTAACAATATATGCGACAGGGCCAAATCAGCCGCTGACATCAATTGGCGCTATATTGGAGATGCAATCCCAGCATTCCTCACTATTGCTATCATGCCATTCACATACTCGATCGCGTACGGTTTGATTGCCGGTATCATCTCCTACATCGTCATCAACACGATTGTGTGGATTATCGAGAAGGCATCTGGTGGTCGCATCAAGCCTGCCGACAAAGAATACAAGGACTTCTGGACCTACAAGATCGAAGGTGGCATCTTGCCTCCCTGGTTAACCCGGGCCGCCAAAGGAAAGAAAGACTTTTGGCGACCATACGAGGACGTTGAACACAACAACAACGCCGGGCCAACTGGTACTCACCTTGACGGCCGGGAGGCCTCAGTGCATGGAGAGAAGCACACTCCAGGTCCCGAGGTCGGCGAATTCAGAGACGGTAGCACTTCATCCGATGGAGAGAAAGTCAAGGTGTAAAATTTGAAAATGAACCTCAAGTCTCACGTGTTGTAAATCCCGTTCGAATGCAACTCAAAGGGCCAGTCAACAGTTGCAGCGAAATGCTGCACCTGTGACTAGTCACACTCTCATGTCTTGTACATAATTGCCGATACCCATGCTTTTCATATCAGACTAACCATAGCACGCCAAATACAATAGATAATCATCATCTTTGGGCCCCCAGGTCTTAAAAGAGGCCCCTAGGCGATCAACTGTGTGACAAAACACCGTAATTGACCAGTTTTGCCGTTAGCTATGGAGAGAAGACTCCTATTCTGATATATGCGGTCATGCTGTCACTTGTGCCCTATTTATATCTCGCCAGCAAGTTTCTGGTGAAATATACCTGCAACATACCTAGATAACGCCGTCACACTTCGAAGCTTTTGTATGAAGAATTGTCAAATCACGTGACAAGGCTGGCATCCCCGTCTACCGCCCTCTCGTCACATTAGTTCAGGCATAGAGAGTCCTAAGGCTTCATTCACTCTTCGACTGTCGCGATTGACAACACAATACAGCATGCTATGCAATAACATTCGTTAATTTGTCCAACTACCACTCAGCTGGACAATAAAAGATTCCATATTTTATCCACGCCGACGTCCATCTTACAGTAGGTCTAGTTCTTTCATTTAAAGCGATGGTTCGCAGACAGGATCTGTAAATTCTGATAACAGAAGGGTGTTAAACTGGTTGAAGACTCTCCCCGATCGAATTTTTGTTGGTTAGCTTTGTCTGGCTCGATGCCCCCGACCACTTCGCCTCTGTTCAACAAATTTCTTATTCTTTGACTTGCGTCTTTGGGATTAACTGTGTGCGACTTAAATGAATCTCGAGATTTCTGAGATAGAATCCATGCAGGACATAACAGAATGAGCCATTACTACGATGGAAAGCTTGCCTAATGAGAAGTGCATTGACCCCATAGAGAATCAAGCTTCTCCCAGCCACCGATCCATGAAGAGACACAGTAGACATCTTGCCTGAAAATCTGGATGATGATACGCCAATCTGGGCTAGAAGTCGATTAAAACTTGCTTTGAGGGACTTTTCGCGATCATTGAGGCTGTGGGCATGTCAATGGTCATCTTCAAGCTCGTACACACGGTACAACTTGCTGCATACTGGTTCTTTGCAACTCTCGATGGCGCGGCAACACGATTGGCCCATCTACGTGGAGCTAGCGGATTTGAGACAGTTTCTTCATGAATTTGTGCCTTCGGATGCTTGAAGTAACTCGGCTTACCTGTATAGATACCTCGGTATTGCCCATGAGTAGGAGGAGACGGCATTGCTCATGATGGGACACTCACAACTTAATTAGTACGACCGCAATTAATAGCATTTCGGTTCCGAAGGATCAAACCACCTGTAGTACTATCAAAGTGTCGAACGACCCAAGGACCGAATGGTCAACTTCTCGAAAGCTTCACAGATTATATTCCTGTGGGTCGGTCGTCTCATCTCCACACCTCCATGGGCATATGACCCCGTAAGATCGGGAATTGTCTATTCTCTGGTCGGCAAAGGCGTTTACTGGCTCGTTGGCGAATCTAGATCTCGAACGAGGTAGTGAAAACAGGGTTAGAGCGAGCGAGGTACATACTAGCTGTCCAGTTTGAGGAGCAACAATTGACGGAACTTGATTGCGATGCTGAATTTGACCATGAATCTCTGACAGCAGCAATAAATTGGTGCCTTGATGTCAGGTCCGCGGAATGTCTTCGGCCCTAGCATGATCGAGCCCGCGCAGCTGACCGGATGGAATCCCTTGATTTGCCGAGCTCGTGCTCAGGTCCTCAGCCCTCAGGGCCCTAGGAATACGACATCTGGGGCCCGTTGAGGGGTGAATTTTGGGGCGCCTTGGCTCTGGCTTTGCCCGCCGAAAGCTTGAACCGGTTAACCAGGAACGCAAGGACAATTGTCGGACAGCCCCGATGATAAATAACATATAGAAATGTGACCACTACCATGACAATAAGGAAGCAACAAAGTAAAAGGCAAAAAAACAGTACCCAAACATGGGTTCACTAGATGAGAGTGTCTTCGATTTCATTGTTGTCGGTGCCGGTCAGCAGACCCTAGGCATTTTGCCCGAGGCTCTAATTGCATTGTCTGATGCTAATGAATTCCTAGGCAACGCTGGTGCAGTGGTAGCTGGAAACCTCGCGAAATCAAAGTCTCGGCCTCGGGTTTTGCTAATAGAAAAGGGCGGCGACAACAAGCGCGAAGAGCTTCTTGTCGCTTCGGAGCGCTTTACCAATGTTTATGTAAACCCCGAAGTAGGAACTCGTTACGAAACAACTCCCCAGAAACATCTGAATGGGAGAGTTCTCGAGTACCTCCGTGGCAATGGACTCGGCGGCTCCAGTATAGCCAATTTTGAAGGTTACATTAGAGGCTCTTCATCAGATTATAATTCGTGGGCGCAAATAGTGGACGATGAGGCCTGGAACTGGGAGCATGTGCTTGAAGCGTACAAAGAAATCGAAAACCTTCATTTCGACGATGATGGAGACGAGGATGAAGACGGCTTCGTTTCTCTGAAGGATGGCGCTCATGGATTCTCTGGTCCCCTGGACATCACACTACCTTCCAGGAGGAATTGGCCAAAAGGCTTAGATCTGCTCATGAAGGCAGCGCAAAAGTTCGGTTGGCCTCTCAATCCAGACCAAAATTCCGGCGACCTAGTTGGTGTTGGAGCCGCAACCACAACAAGCCATAACGGCTGGCGAGTGACGAGCGCCACAGCCTATTTAAACGATCTCCCTGATAATATCACCGTCTGGACCAACACCTTCGTTGACAAGTTGCTTTTCGACGAAAAGACACAGTCATCATCACTAACCGCCGTGGGTGTGCTCCTGGCCGATGGCCGGGAGGTTAGGGCCCGTCACGAGGTTATCCTATCCCTTGGAACAATCGACACCCCTAAATTGCTGTTACTCAGCGGTATCGGGCCTCGTGACGAGCTAGAAAAACTCAGCATCCCTTGCGTACTAGACCAACCTAAAATAGGAAAGGACATGCTCGACCACTGCTACCTTGTATTAGGCTGGGGTGTATCTACAGAGCTGGGAACTTCGACGCCATACGAGAAAGACCCACAGCAACAAAAGGCCGCCCGGGCACAATGGATGAAAGACAAAACTGGGCCGGATGCCACGCGAAACCTGAGAAATTTGATCGGGTTCCTCAAGTTCGATCCTGCAAGGTCAACTACTTTTGAGTTAGAACGACTCGAGCCGGAAAAAAGAGCCTTCATTCAACAGCCAAATGTCCCGCAGATCGAAATCTTTCTCCAAGGTGCGGTGCTCAAGGAGTTGCTGACGGACGACGACCTTGAAACCTTGCTGATAGCAGTCATGCTGATGAACCCTCAATCTCGCGGTACGGTGACCCTGGCCTCTAGCAACCCAGCGGCTGCCCCTGTCATTGAGACCAATTACTTCTCACATCCCTATGATTCGGAGACCTTCGTCAATGGCGTGGGAGAAGCACTCGCATTCGTCGATTCCGAGGACATCAAAAAGCACGTGGTCACCAAAAGATTGACTCCGGAATCTGACAGCCGAGAAGACATTCTCGCGTTCTCCAAGCAGAACCTGATGTCTGTGCTGCATCCGGTAGGAACTGTGAGAATGGGCCGTAAAGAAGACTCCACAGCGTGCGCTGATAGTGATTTCCGTCTCCGGGGAGTTGCAAATGTTCGGGTGATAGACCTCAGTGTATGCCCAGTCATCACCTGGTAAGTTCTCACAATAGAGGGCGTTCCTCTGTCGAACGCGAGAAAATGACTGACGCTTAACAGTAATCATACCATGGCAACGGCATATCTTGTAGGACATATGGGATGGAAGCGACTCGCAGCTGAATATAAGTTAGATGAGTGACTGCTTGGGAAATAGCCAGGAGACCGAGCATGGTAGCGACGTTGTTTGCAGTATTTGATAGCGTCAGCGACGGGCCAAGCGGGGGCCTTGAAATGGAGATTATTGACTGACAACATGAACGCTCTAAAGCGAAGATCAACTGAAATCGAACGGGTTCAATTTGACTCACATTCCATGTTTAAAAATCTGTTAAACTTCCATGTCAGGTTGTGCTAGCTTCAAGTACTCCATCAAATATGAGCCGCCGCAACCTAGAGAACAGTTCATGGACCCGGTATTTCGCTATTGTAATTATTAGACATATCCTACAACAGCTCTAGGTACAGCTGCCTCGGTCTTCAAATTGTCTCATATTTATGATGTATAGTAGGCAGACCTTCACAGGGATCAATTTAGAGCACATAGATATGACGCTCCCACCACCTGAGAGGGATGGAGTCAATAAATTTATTCAACTTGTTTGCTACCATGTGCGTGCCATGACGACTTTCTGACCTTATTGCTCTTAGTCAAGTCCAGGTTCGTACAGAGCGTTATCGCTTTTTGCGGCGCTGAGTATGAGCACAACGGTCAAGTAATGCTAGACTTAGATCTATCAACTTGTGTGTGAACGCTCCTCTCACAAATCTGCTACTTATACCGCATCTGCCAGTCTCAACTTTGGCCTAGACTTCCATTTGAAGACGAGGCCTTTCTGCTTGTAGAACCACGCGGAGAAAATCTCCCACTCTGCAGAGTCTGCTGCCCATTCTATCTCGAAAGTACGCAAGATCTGTGGGACGAACTTCGTGATCTCTAAAAGTGCGATGTTTCTGCCAATACACGCCCTGGACCCAGCGCCAAACTATTTTGGAAAAAGGGGCGATGTCAGTATGTTTTCTTTCTGCAGCTTCAAGGGTGCTACCCCCGTGCGTGGAGTAACGGTCCACGGATAGAACGACCATGAAAAAGGCATACCTACCGTAAAATACGTTCTGTCCATAATTCTGAGCTTTTCGGTATCAGCTTCCAACCATCTTTCAGGATTAAATTCCTTTGCATCAGCGCCAAAGATATCGGTGTTGGTATTAATCAGTGGAGCCGTAGTAGATACGATAGTGCCTTTTGGCAAATCGATATTGCACACCGTCGCTCCCTCGTCCGGAACAACACGTTCAAGGGGCCAACAGTTAGATGGATGCACCCGCATCGCTTCCTTGATTACCGCTTGTCTGTGGTGATCAGTATTAGTTTTCCGTTCAGCATCTTGATGTCTGCTCAGAGCGGATGACTCACAAGTAGGGCATGGCAAGAACCTGTTCATAGGTGACCATTGACGATAGCTTCCCAGCCCTATCATTTTCATCGATCTCGTCCATCAGTTTCTTATAAACTCGAGGGTTCTTCACCAGAAAATAGAAGATGGCCCGAAGCGCTACAGCTGTAGTATCACTGCCTGCAAGTCTATACCCCGAGTTATTAGATTCAAAGCGCACGCTAGATGCAAAGGAAGGAGGGAGCTTACACGTTGTTTGACAGATGATTCATCATATCTCTCTTATAGTAGGGTCTTGAAGGATCATCTTTCGCCCTCAACTGTGCCAGGAAATCCTTACGGTCTTCTGACTTCTCCTCACGGTCGTACAGTTGCATTTCGTTGTCAATTCGCTGGAGAAATCACAAAAGTAAGCATGGTCGAAAAGAAAGCCTAGGGTGGGTATTTACCTCGAATAGATCTCCCAACGGGTCAGGAAAGGATGGATTAGCCCATTTCAGAAACCGGATTAACGTTCGATTTCCAAACATGTAAGGGTGCAAAAATGGCAGTTGTCCGATAAACGCAAAGTACAGGCCAAGGAGCTGAAGATCATCTTTCGTCAGCGAGTGCTTTTGCAATCAGTGATCAGAATGGTGTGAATCAGGCGTCTTTCATGAGAGTGAGCTCGTTGGTTGATATTGGCAGGCGACAATTGAAGGAGTATATGTCGTCAAAAAGCAGAAACTTGAACAGTAGCATGCACTTACATCAGAAAACTCTATCATTCCGAAGACATCTTTTCGAGTTTCCATAAAACCCAATCGTCGCTGAAAGGTAACGCTTGCAATGACATCGAACGCATACCATTGAAAGTGCTCGGTGAGATCCACTTTCTGGCCTTCCTTTTCTTTCATCAGGTTGATGAAGATCTCCGTACATTCGTTGGCATGCTTCTCGTAGTGTCGAAGATTTGTCATCGAATAGACCTGCGCCGTGGGACTTCTTAAAGCTTTGTGAAGCGCTGGGCTGACTGCCGTAAACATGTTGTCGAGTGGCTGGCCCTCATAGAATGGAACAGACGCGCTGTAAAAGGAAGACTGTGTCTCTCTTAGTGTGTGATTTTAGTCTATCCTGGTAGGAGCACCCTACCTTTCTGAATTTACTCGCAATACCATAAATCAAGGGGATCATATCTGGGTCCGATATGGATACATGATGGGGCCCTGTTCTGACAATCTTGCCATACTTCCTGTGGAGCTCACGATAGCTTTTCACAGATTGTCCCTTGTATGTCATATAGATCCGATAAAGCGAGGTAAATCTTGCCAGAAATGGTCCAGGAACATCTCTCAAGCCTCGTTTGAAAGCGATCCGTACATAGTCCACAGCAAGAAGCACGAAGCATGCAAGAAAGACTGCAGTATATGGTGAGATATCCATCCTTGAAGCACCAGGGCAGCATAATTTTACGGACGGTAATCTCAGGGCATCGAATTTAAGTGCGTGAGGCTATCTAGAAGACTCTCAGTCGGCCATGCGTGCCGAGCTAGCAGATGCCGCTAGCGTTGTATACGAGGGGAAGCTCCACGGCGTCTCAACTGAGGGCGGCTGTTCTTGGCCCGCAAAGATTCAAGTTTGGCTGCACAGCGCTCACCTGACCGGCGCACTAACCGAACTGGCTATAAAACCCTGGGTTGGCCAATATCAAAGCTTGAAACTTATATTCCGATCTTCAATTTTCACCCAGCCTAGTAGAAGACCTTTCTAGGATCGCGGATGATCATAATTCAAGAGAGACGACGAGGGGAACACATCTCGGTTGTAGCTTAGGTATTCGAAGTTATTCGCAAGCCCGTACTAAGCGGGAGAATCGGAAGGACTCTGTGTCAAGCAACACAACCCCGAATTGTGCTAATTTACACACTTCAGCCGGAAGGATATATTGCCACTCCAAAAACCACCATGCTCCGACTGCCAGCTTAGCGTCATGCGCTAAGACGATAACCCTAACGGACTCCCAAATTGCTCGGAATACATTGAAAGGCAGAGGATTCCTTTCATCCTTGACATATGAAAACCGTGCCTTACTGATCACAAGAGTTTGAAGAATCAGGGCTAAGATGATAACTGAACATGGAGCCCTCTGAAGTTGTTGGGTGAGTGAATGATGACGATGAATCAAAATCTCTGAAATCAGATGAAACATGCTCTTGAATGATCGCTTCGAGACTCGAGGAGTCAAAGGTCTCTCCAGTTTCCATTTCGTGCAAGAAATAATGGGCAATATTTCCGTCCCAAACTGGATTTTTTCCCGAGGTTATCCAAGGGGTTGAAGCCCTTGAAGTACTTGAACCACTCTGAAGTTTGAACTGACAAGTTCGCTCAATGTGCTCGAAGGATAACAATGCGTAGCCCGCAGTTTTCGAAATCTGTGAAAGTGTCCTTAAAGCACTAGACAGGACCGCTAGCATTACCCGTGCTGATTGCTCAGAGAGTTCACAGTTATTGACTAATGAGTAAATTGCCTTGCCGGCTTCTGACAAAACTTCAACCATGAGCTCAGGGAGTGGGTCGTGAAGTAATCTGCTTCCGTAGGCCAGGTCTTCTGAGGAATACTGATCGTAGTTCGCAACCAGGCTCAAAGTATGTACCACTGCGCTACAAGCCTGCAAACGGATCGAGCCTGGACTTTGCAGCGGTAATTTGAGGTCAACAACCGCGTCAAGCAAATCAGCGAGGATCAACGACCCCAAAGATTGATGGGTTACCAGAAGAACTGGCAGTTTTAGTCAGCCCTTGATGACAGGTTACCCAAAGCATTCTAGCTTACCGTAGTTCATTTGGCATTCCAGTGTCATCGTGAGGAAGTCACGAGCACATTTTGTCAAGAGTTGGTCAAAAGCGCCATGGAATCTCTTGCGCTCATCGGAGACTTTCTTAGCGAGCACTGATATGAGGTCAAGGTTGTGCTGCGACAACGAATCACGAAACTGGTTGATACAACCAAAATACATTGTTTTGCAAGCAGAAGCATGCTGCAGCAATACAACAACGACGTCCTCTGGAAGTGGTGTCAGAGAGTTGTTAAGCACACCAAAGGAACGTTCGAAAATATCAGTGCGTTGACGAATGAAATCCCAAGCTTTTTCATCGCCAGAGTTCCCAGGCAGAAGGACTGACGGGCACTTCTGAATTGCAGATTGACTCATGTCACAGAGAATACCAAGCCATAGCATAGAGTCTTGCATATGACGATATCTCTGGTTAACTCCTTCATCGAGTTGCTTGAGAGTGAACTGCGTTGTGCCGTATGTAAGAGGCGACACTCTTGTGCTCTGGGCCAGCGGTGCATCGCATATGTGCTGTGTCAGCGGCCGTAGCCGATGAAATTGTGACAACAAAGTCTGAGCACAGAGCGCGTTGATCCCAGGGTCATCATTTTCAATCGGCATTTCTGTTACTGAAAATATCAACATTGCCAGTATTGCTCGATAGCTAGGGTTTGAGATCGCAGTGAGTACATGAGTTCTCGCCTTGTGCCATAGTTGATCTTGGAGTTCTTGTCCTATATGTCGAGACGTTTTGGCATGATGATTGCTAGACGATGTTGCGAAAGACGCTCGTAGGGGAACCCAGCGAGATGCGTATGCATATACACAATATCTCAATGCGTCATTCAAAGCAATATCGATTCTGTATTTTCTTGCTTTGAAATCTTCAAGTTTGCCAGACAAACCGAGCATACGTGAAACCGGGACGGAGACATGCTCATCCTCAAACTTGTCCAGATACAAAGCCGTCCTAGAGACGGAGGCTCTAGTTCCCTACCGATCATTTTAGCAAAAAGGCTGAATCGAATCTAAGGAAGAGATTATTCTTACTAAAGTGGTCTCTAGGTATGGCAAACAGTTGGGCCCTAGCCACAACGTGAATCGATTTTCGAAAGTTGAAATGAAGATCTCCCATAGCATAGCATGCAAGGCTATCGTTTGTGATCGACGGGAGATGTCATCTTCCAAACGCGGCAATTCCACCCTTAGCGAATTTGGTACTGCCTTTCTGGCCAAATCTGATTCGCATCCACTATTTTGGTGCTCATTCGGATTCGGAATTTCATGCGCGGCTTCTAGTACAGGACATGGACGCGGACCCTGTGTCACATCCGCTGTGGACTATAAAATTCGGAATGGTGAGTAAAGGGGACTCGATCCATCATCTCAAGGGACCTACTTCATTTCTTGTGCAAATCTTTCCGCGGCGGACACAGTTGGTACACGGATTCTCCTTTCTCAGGACCGCGTCGCACCCGATTCTTGCCTTGCGACATGGTTTGCAACTGCTGCCCGGACGTCGTCCGCTCATCGCGGCTGTCCAGACCTCACTTTACTGGAGATGTAAGAGGACTAGTAAGTTGGGTGCTAGTCTTCAGTATGTATTCCATGTTGCGCAATTAATGAGCGTCCGGCCGTTGCTTCAAGGTTCTGCATGCAGAGAGCGCTAGGGGCGCCGCTCCGATCACATGACATGGCAACACGAGGCCAAGGCAGGTCGTCGAGACGACAAGCCTCATCCCTTGAACACTTTTACATTCTCAGCTTACCTGTGGAAGACCCACGCAATTCTCCGTCGACCCCGGAAAATCCAGACTCTCTCCATGACTCCTAAGGCTAGGTGCATTAGTGCCAGCCTACTCCGCGACTCGGCTACTCGAGATGTCCGGGGTGACTGTCAAGTGGCCTTCCCAGTTTTATCTCCCCTTAGCACCAAGGCATCGATTGATATATAATGGCACTGCTTCTACTCCGTACCAAGTACCAGGTACGGGTACGATATGAGAGAAAGGGGCCCTGAAACCATTTCATAGCCTTAGCATCTTACCTCGGTAGCAGCGAACTATTAGTCTTCTACAGCATGAGGATCCGAGCAAGAGACCAATGGAATTGGCGCAACTTCCTCATGTGCTTTGGCGTCAGCACTGGTATGATTGCCTTTTCTTTCCCTGCGTCAGTTATCGGAACAACGCTGGCGCAGCCATCATTTCTTACTTATATGAATCTCTTGGATGACCAAGGGGTATGGTCTTCCCAGGCAACGCCCTTGATAGGGGCGATGTCAGGGATTTTCCAGGCTGGAGGCGTCTTTGGCATCATCGGTGTTAGCTACATCATGGAGAAATGGGGCTGCAAAATGGCTGTATACGCCTGCTCCATCATCGGCCTGATAGGCGGTGCTCTGGTCTGCGCATCACAAAACGTTGGCATGTTCGTTGCGTTTAAATTCCTGGCTGGCATGAGTTCATGGGCGTTTATCGCCATCAGTATGTAAATCTTGACATGACAGCCCTCTCAGAGACTAACAGTGGTCACCATCAGCTCCAGTCTATACCTCCGAGATTGCTCCTCCGGCCCTTAGAGGATTGTCTGTGGGTATGAATGGGGTAGGCATTGCCATTGGGTATGCTCTAGCCACGTACATGGGCCTCGCGTTCTACCATTCAACGAATATGTCTACTCAATGGCGTGGGCCGTACGGTGTATCGCTCATATTCACCGCTCTCCCTATGATGATTGTCCCATTTATTCCTGAATCTCCCCGATGGCTACTCATGCGCAACCGTGTCGATGACGCCAAGCAAGTGGTCAGGAGTCTTCACAACCTCTCAAATAACGATGAACATCATTTCGCTATTGTCGAATTCTACCAAATGCAGAAGCAGATAGAGTACGATCGTACTCTTAGCCCTTCGTACTGGCAGCTATTCAAGCGAGCATCCTATCGAAAACGACTTATTATGAGTACTGGCTACGCAGCTCTTGGTCAAAGCACTGCCATCTTGGGTATGGTCAACGAGATTTGACTTTTGAAGAGCGAAGCTAACTATATCTAAAGTCATCAACAACTACGGTCCTTTACTCTACAGCGTCCTCGGCTACGATACTGAGCAGCAGCTAGAACTCCAATGCGGGTGGATCACTTGTGGGATTGTTGGAAACCTAACAGGTAAGTACCAAATCCTAGAAGCAAATATGAGGCTTACCACATGTGATAGGTGCTCTAATCATGGACAAGGTTGGCCGAAAGCCGTTGATGATCTTTGGAATCGGCGGCTGTTTGGCTTGCTTGATTGTAGAGGCTGCTCTGGTTGCCACTTATGCAAACCCGGTGCCGGCTGAACCGAATAAAGCCGCGTTGCGTGCAGCAGTTGCAGCGTTGTACGTGTCACCGCTTACACTCCATTCGACGGCTTCGTCAATGACTAATGTTTGGCTAGTTACATCTTTGTTTTCATATATGGATGTGGTGTCGATGTCGCAGGAATCGTCTTCTACGCGGAAATTTACCCCAACCATCTTCGACCCAAAGGACTGGCTTTGACAGTCGCGTCTACATGTCTCGCATCCCTGGTGTACCTCCAAGTGGCTGCCACCGCTTTTGCTAACATTGGCTGGAAATTCTACCTAGTAAGTAGGCTTCTACAAAGGAGGTTACGTGAATTGTTTGGCTTATATTTTGCCTCAGGTCTTTATCTCCATCTGTGCGGTTGGTCTGCTCTGGATCAGTATTGTCTTGCCAGAGACTAAGGGTATCCCGTTGGAAGAAGTTGCTGCATTGTTTGGTGACCAAGAGGAAGTTATGGTCTTCACCGAAGATCTCCAGCTTGGCGATGGCGAAGACGAGATCGTGGTTAAAGACCACCATCGTGAGCGCCATAGCCAGGAGCAAATTGGCAAAGAGACAGAAGAGACCGTCCACCAAGAGGTTGTCAAGATCTCAATGTAGCAATGGCCTGACTGATCAGCTACGCCTGTCAGAGAGCGACTGAGTCCAGTTCCTTTTCTACTTGACACGTGGAGCTCTTTCGCATTGAAACCAGAAAAGCCAATATTGCAGCTGCCGTATCACAGGGCTTTTCTCAAGAGCCCAGGATCTTCCTCTGGGCACCAGCCCAGGTCAAAATGACTGATCCAACATGACAACTTACTCTGGTACTGACAATATGGAACCCTCCCTCAAGACAATCCCTAGTAATTTAGCCTCCTCAATGATTGCCTTGCAGTATCACAAATTGGCAACTCCGTCGTTTGCGCAAAGATATAGGTTAGCCCCGACTTTTGTGGCGGGATAGGGTAGCATACCCCAGCAATATTCCACCTGTAGCCGACCATAGGAGTCAGCCTAGGCCATTAAGACAAAGAGCCATCGATTTCGGAAGCAAAACCCGGCATTGGCGCTCTGGGGGAAGCTAGACCCGCGCGCCCGATTGCAGAATCCCTACGGCTTCAAGTTGCCAGCTCCTGGTCACTTGGCTGTCTCGACCGTTCACGTGTTTTCCAAGGCTTTGAGAGATTCGTTTCCTTGTATGTTGCTCAATGCGATCAATGTCTTTTGATTCCGGAGTGATGTATCTTCAGTGAATCCTTTTGATAAAGCTCAAGTTAAAGAGAGATCCAATATTTGCTTGGGGTGGATGTTTACTACTGGCTGAGCTGTGCGCATCTCTCAGCCAACCCTGCCCCCGATGGCTATGGTGAAGCATAAAGCTGAAGGCGAACGGAGCGACCTGATCCATCGATGCCCTGGGCGTAATTAGTGACAAACATGTTTACAGGGCTTTCTCACCTAAAGAACCCCCCCGCGCCCCCTCTAACCATTTAGCATTCAGAGAAGGTGTTATAGATTCGTGATTCATCGATGGAATGATAGATGAAAACACGAATCCGAAATATATCGTGCTCCTGAATTCGCGGTCTGGGGGTTGCAAATCAGCCACCGTCTTCTCGCTCACGACCATGGAAAGCCCTCCAGGCTCCCATCTCTCAGTATATTTACTACCATTACTTGGGGTTTCCCCGTCAGAGATCGGTCCTGTTCTTGCTGAGTCTCCTAGCAACGTCAAGGTAATCCTCTCACGCCAACTTGCAGGCAGCTCAAATCGCGCTCAAGGATGGGTGAACTCACAAGATCATCCAGTATGTCATATCCAAGGAGAAAGTGAATTCTTACAGGTTGTCAAGACGCAAGGTCTAATGAAGACCTTGTTCACATTAGCACGCATCTATGATGCCGGTCACGTAGCTATATGCAGGCATTTAGCATCCGCAAAGCGCAAGGAGTCCCACAACGCTGACTTGCTGAAGCAGCCATGCTTAGATATTGATGGGTTGACCCTAGGCATCATTGATGGTGCCCACACAATTGATGATAATATCAATGTCTCACCTAGTGATACTCGCCCAGGCGTTCTGCGTGCTACGTGGGCAGCTGTTCCTGCGATGACTTTCAGCCAGCTACCGCTTCTTGGGTCATTGTCTGATCTCCTCCCGGGAGAGCAATCAGATGCCAAAGAATATGCTGGTATCGGTGGGGGAGGTGGCTCTGATGTCATCAGTGCAAGTGTCCTCGGTCATTTACTGCGGAAGAGTGGTAAGGAGATGAATCTCCTAATTTCTACACGAACGTGGAGAACAGGATCTCAGGGGCGTGCAGGTACCAAGATGGGTGTCAGGCGGGAGATCTTTAATCACGGTGGACCAGCCTTTCTATATGGCAAGCCAGTCCCTGGAACCTATCGAGTCACCAAGCAAACATTTAGCGAAGGCCGCGATCTGGAGACTGTGCCCATTTCGCACCATGAGGATGTCTTTATTGTTCTCGATCAAGGAGAAGAGAGCAATGATATCCCAGAGGATGAAAAGGCGGACCTTTCTCTTCAATACGAGGCAGTTTTGGCTGAACGCAGCAGGATTGACACAGTTGTCATTGTGGACACTGGGGGCGACGTTTTTGGTGGTGATTTTGCCGGATTCACCACCCCAGACCAAGACGTACGGGCGCAGCGCGCAGCTATCAGTCTTTCCCATGACTATCGCAACCTAGTGACGGCAGTGCTCGCTCCAGGGGTGGATGCACCGATTGACGCCGAAGAAAAGGCCGAGAGGGCGGGAGGGAGAAGGTATCATCCCACGCCTGAAGAACAAGCTCTACTGCTCAATCTCCTGGCTCACGAATATCAAATGGATGGATCAAACCCTGGTCGCTTTGGGAAAACCACGTTGTGTCTCCAGGCGGCATTGAGAGGCGAGCGTGGATGGGCCTCTTTAAACCTGCCCAGTCATGTTGTCAATACTTGGGAGAACCCTTGGAGCAGTTTTGCGTTCATCAGAGAATGTATGACCGACATCATTCTCATGCCGTTGACAAGTCTGCTACCGCTGATTGACCACCCTCAAAGTTGATGCACCAAGGGAGTCTCTAACATGAGATGCGATCCGGAACGTGATATGACGATATTTTAGCAATTTTGAGTGAGGCTGTATGGCCTCTTTCCGCCTGTCAGACCTAGGTAGCTTACAGTCATCAAGATTAGGAGAAACAGAGTTTCACATCAGTTGCCTCTAATTGAACTGTACGAGATCATTTATTCATTGTGGCCGAATGGTGTTGAGTATTTTAGTTCGGCGCAAATAGCTGCAGCCACTCTCGGTTTCTCATAGCTGTTTGTATTCACCGATTGAGACCTGAGGGCTGCTTGAGTGACTACTGTATCGACCAGCATGAGAAATGTTTGCCGCTGCCGCTTCAAGATACTGATAGATAGACCAAAAAGTTTGAGAATAAAAGCGCCGCTTTAGTTTGCTACAAGACCTTTTATTGTATTGTATCAAGAAGGACTCGAATGAGACTATCCTGGTGCTATAACCAATGCAAGTTGAATTTCCATTTCGCAACATCAGGGAGACTCGTCCCGTGCGTGCCAAGCCCTGGCCTCGACGCGTCGTCTGGCTTTCCCCGCGTCACACCGAAATGCAAGTCTCAACAACTTGAAGGCAACAGAGGGACTTTCGGACAATACTGCGGCTGCTGAAGGACTCGCCCAAGAATGATGCCACTTGACAGGCATGACGTCTCTCCATTACAGAAGCGCATCGGCCACCGACCGTCGCAGCACGCATCTTCCTAATGGCTCTTCCCGAGGCAACTCGACCAGAGCCAGAGACTACGAACGACCCTCAGTCCGAGATAGCGGGTCTCCCAGTGTAGTTGATGGCTATGCTGAACAGCCAGAAAGCACGCATAGACACTCCAAAAGTGAGAATAGATTTAGCGGCGTGGAGCGTCGGAAAGAGAAGACCACGATTACCACCACAGACACGGTCTACACAAGGCGAAGTCCAAAGAAAGAAGGCGGCAATGCTGAGAGCAGGCAAAGGAGAGTTGCTAGTCCAGGCCTTAAGCGCCCTGCGAAAGAGGCAGAACCTGGTAAGCATCACTGTTTCCAAGCCAAGTCCTACGATATACTGACATTGGGACTCAAGTCCCATGGATTCCATCTGTCTCGTTGATTCCTCACTCGTCCGCTCCTCTTGCAATTCGAATAAATGCGCCTCCTTTGTCACGAAACGCCCCTGCCGACCTTGAACCGATACTTTTGGATAACATGACCATGCAAGAACAAGAACGAGCCATATTGGATGATCTCCTGTACGTCTTCATGGGCTACGAGGGACAGTACGTCCGATTCCATGAAAAGTATAACCCTGCTGAAGAAATGGATCGACTTAATGGACCGCCGTTCCACCCACTCCCAGGCCTGGACCCAAGCTTAAAAGATTTGACCAATTCTATGCTCTCAATGGCAACTCATTACTGTGCAATCGAGGCATTCATTGAGGTTCAGAGTCGAGAAGAATTCGGCTCGGTCAACCATGCTCTCTGTGCTGCTATTCGAAAACTTTTGAAAGACTACCTCATTCTAGTTGCGCAGTTAGAGACGAAGATACTGAGTGACGCCGAATTTACGTTACATCAGATGCATATAGCCATCCTCCCGACAACACACAGTCTGGCACACCTTTATTCACTGGCACAAGAATTATTGAAGAAGAACTCCCTGCTCGAGGTGGAGCTGGACGATTCCATCGACGATTTTGATCCGGATAATATAATCGAACGTCTCAAGGAGGGAGGCGATCTTCTCCCCGGTAGCCTAAGCAAACAACGATGCATAGGAGGTAACGTTCTAGGGTTATTAACGGCCCGCCTCTCCGCATATTCTGGCGATCCTGCAGCAAGAGAGATTCTTGAAATGCTTTTACGAGAATCTAGTCGTCCGTACATGGTTATGCTAAATGAATGGCTACATCATGGAGGTATCAAAGATCCACATTCAGAATTTTTGATTGGCGAGAGATCCAGCATTAAGCGTGAGCGTCTCGACGAAGACTATACCGATGAATATTGGGACAAGCGATACTACATTCGAGAGAAGGAAGTTCCACCTCAACTTGAAGCAGTCAGAGAGAAGGTGCTCTTGGCTGGGAAATATCTCAATGTTGTCCGTGAGTGCGGAGGCGTTGATGTTGCCAGCAAGATCGTTGACACTCCGGCGACATTTGACGATCCGCGGTTCCTGGACAATGTCAACAATGCCTACTCCTTTGCGAACAAAGATTTGCTTCACCTACTACTCACGAAAAACTCGTTAAAGAGTAGACTTCGTTCGATGAAGCATTACTTCTTTCTGGACAAGGCAGAATTCTTTCTGTATTTCCTGGAATTGAGTGATTCGGAGCTTCGCAAGAAGTACCGCGATGTCAACGTGGGGAAATTGCAATCTCTGTTTGACCTAGTCTTGCATCAACCCGGAAGCATTGCGGTGGGTGACCCTTTCAAAGAGGATGTCAAGGTTAAGATGAACTCTGTGGGACTCACGCAGTGGCTGGTCAAGGTTGTCAATGTCCAAGGTATTGATGAGAACAATCCAGAGTCGATGATGGACCAATATAAAACTCCGGCTCCGGCCCCGGCTCCGGCCCAGGACAAACCGAAAAAGGAAAAGAAGGAAGACGAAGAAAAAGAGATCATTGGGCACGAAGCATTGGAACTTGATTATACTGTCCCATTTCCCTTATCGCTCATCATCAGCAGGAAGACAGTGGTACGATATCAAATCATATTCAGATACACGTTGGCACTCCGCCACCTCGAGACGCTTCTGGTGGGTTGCTGGTCGACACACAGCAAAGACCGGGCCTGGATACACAAATCGCAGGACCGAAGATTCGAGCTCTGGAAGCGGCGAGTATGGACATTGCGGTCACGGATGTTGGTCTTCGTGCAACAGATGCTTTTTTTCGCCACGGCCGAGGTTCTCGAACCCAACTGGCAGAAACTCATGGTCAAAGTCGACGACGCAGAGCGTGATGACGCCGAAGCTACAAAGCCCGGACTCAACCCCAAGACCAAACCGACCGTGGATGAACTGATGCAGGACCATGTCGACATGCTCGACACGTGTATGAAGGACATGGGGCTCACCCAAGCGAAGCTACTACGCCTTCACGCCAAATTGATGACAGGATGCGGGATGTTCGCTGCGTACGTCGAGCACATCACCAAGACTCTCTACGAAGCAGACCCCAGCATCCAGCTAGCTGCCAGCAACAAGGGTAGACCCGCCGTTCACGTTCCCGCCGCGACAGACCCAGCCCGAATGAAACGGCTAGAGGAATCAATCCGGAAATACGAAGAGCACTTCAACCGGCATCTGAAGATTCTCATCGACGCGCTCAATTGGTTCGCCACGACGGAAACCGTGTCTTTGCTCAGTCTTTGCGGACGGCTGACGAATGCAGAGGTCCAGAAGCGTGATGACTTGTTCATGTAATTACACCGTCTACCGTGGACACAATAGTACGGACGCTGATTGTTGGTTGATTGTTGGTTGTGTCTGCTGCTACTGCTGCTTACTACTTTGTTTGATTGCTCTCCAACGTCTACTGGTGGGTGACGGTTTGGAATAGACGGGAGAGGTGGTAAGACTGCGTTGTCATTATCATTGCCATTGCCATTGTCTACGTGATGGGATTGACGACATGGATATGATATACTCGTGATGTGTACGACCAGAAGGGGAGCGGAGCACAGAGTGGAGCCAAGTGAATGAATAAACGATACCCCGTAATGAAACCATGGTTATGAAGTAAAAATAATGTAATGTGAAGCTTCGTGAAGCAACGACGTGAAGAACAGCCGCCTGTCCAAAGCCACAGGAAGTCGGCCCACGTCCAGGCCTATTAATTTATCGCGCTCATCGCGTTTCCGGTCGACGTTGTTGTCTGATGCCATCTTTGCCATCTCATCTCCGTCTGTTTCTTCTTTCTCTCGGTGGGGTACCAATTCTCCCCCTTTCCTCCCGCTCGATCGTCCGCTGACATCTATCGGTGGGGAAGCCCACGATGGCATTACAGCCCGCCGCCGCCGCACCTCCGCCCGATGGCGCTCCGCAGGCCTCGGGCCCGAACGCTACCGCCGCCGCCAACACTTCCACCCCCAATCCCACAATCCGGGCATTCGACTCCCCTCTGCGAAGTCCCGCCCTCTTTCTCCTTCTCGGGCTTCTTCTCGCCCCCTGCAGCGTCCTCGTCCCGCTCCTGCTCCAGGCTCTGTGGCGTCATCACCAACGGGCCCGCGAACAAGCCACTAGACGCCGTGGAGCTAGTGAAGCTCATCCTGAATGAAGAGTGCCGTCGCCTGGGCCGCGGCACATTCTACAGCCTGCCGCTACGCCAGCAGGCCGATACGGGCACTCCGTGTGACCTGGTCTTCATCGACGAGCTGTGGGGAAAGAAGAGCCGCGATGCATGGGATCAGGGGAATTGGAGAGACCGCCTTGAGTTGTGTGATTCTGGTATGTTCGTCTCTGGTCTCTGTCGAGTGGGGCGAACAGGAGCGTTTTCGAGACGAGGACTCGAAGCGGATCGATGATCGAACGAGTAAACTAGCTCACTAGCTGACTGCTTTCCCTTTATCCGCCGGATTTTTAGATGGCAAGATCGTTGCGAATGAGGACGTCATTCCTGTCTGTTGCCGGATCTTCAAGTTCGACGCCGACGCCGACGATTCGCCTCAAGCACCAGTGGCTTCCAGTGAGTTTTTTTCATTCTTGGTTTTTTCCGACCTCTCCAAAGAAGTCACCGATTTTTGGTTCGAATAATCGGCATTCATTCCTCCGCAGCATCTCCCATTCCATCCCATCGTCAGTAACAGCTAACAGCCCTCGACCAGTAGCAACAGCAAGCGCAGCTGCAACGGCACCGTCGGCAACACCATCGGCGTACATGCACAGATACGCGTCCCATAGCGACCCTGCCATCGCGGCCTTCAGCAGCAGCAAAATCGTCGCCTTCTCCCGCCCGCTCGACAGCCGGGCACGCGTGCTCATCACGTACCGCCACCAGCACTCGGCGCCAGAGCTCTACGAAGTCGACGCGATCGAACACACCGACGTGTCCATCAACTTCGCCACGCCCGGCGATCTATCCGAGACGTTCATCCCGCACTTTCAGGACAACTCGGTGGTGGTCTTCGGGAGGACGTCGAAGCACCCGAGCCAAGCAGAGCAGGCGGCGAGGCGCGCGAATACGCCGTTTCCAGTACGGAGCTACGTGCGCAGTAATCGGGAGGTGGTGCTGACGTTGATCAAGACGTGGAACGGCGGTGTGCATGTGGAAGGGTTGGACATGCCGGAGCATATCCGCATGCTTGACTATAGTGGCGTCAAGAGGATGTGGCAGGAGATCGACGCCAGGATATCCCTGTTGCCCGAGCAGATCCAGATCCGTAGGAACCTGGTCGTGGCTTTGGATAGGCGTCAGCCGCCGGAGGCTTGGGACTGATTGCCGGTGTTTTGTTTGATGGGGTTCTTTTAGGGCTTTTGGGTATGAGGCAAATGTCTCGTGTGAGATGACATGGTGTGTTGACAGTCAGATGACAGTAGGAAACGACCAGATGACTTGGAAGGCAAGGCAAGTAGAGACAGTGCAAGAGTTTTTGGCGATGGAATGAAATGGTTTGATGTGACGTGATTTGCAGTGGAGGAGAAGAGAGGTGCGTCGCCTTGTGTGGGTATTCGAACAACAAAAAGTTACATGTTTTTACTGGGAGATGATGGGATGGGGCAAAAATGTACAACTCAAATCAGCAAGAAAGTGAAACAAGCAGCGACACACAGAATCACACCGAGACATAGACAGAACCGAACGGTTGCCAGTCAGAATACTCAGCTTTGGTGCAATAATAAGGGGACAGCACTGAGGCTTAGCCCTACCGTTTTGGCTTGCTTGATTGCTACCTACCTGCATGGCCACTATCATTCGGACCGTGTACTCTCTTCCTCATCTTGTTTTGTATACACAAGGTTTCAGGACCTTAGCCTCCTCCATGGGGGAGACTTCGTCCTCGTCAGCGCCTCGTCTGGACTGCCCGCCCACAAACCTCGACTTGCCCTCATGCGACTGTGGCTGGCGCTGATACTCGTGACCGTTCCATTTCAGGCCCTTGTGTTTTCCCGCGGTAGGGATGCCAGACTTGACGAAGACCATCATGACAAACATCTTGTTGGTCTTGTCTACGGAGTCTTCTCGTAGCTGGAAGCCGCGGCGAGCGAAGACTTTTACAAAGGCTGAAATATCGGTGTCGTCTTGAGATCCAGAGCCAGCAGTTGTGTCTTCAGCCAAGAGGGGCTCTGTGGGGAGGCCGTCATCGTCAGGGTCGTTCCGTGAGGATTTGTTGGCATTTTGGATTTTTCTTCTCTTGCCAACACTGTTTTCCACGACAGAAGGTCCTCCTCCAGCGGCGCGAGAAACTCGACCAAAGCGCGATTTGACCTCGGCGACCCAGACTTCGCCCTTGCCGTCTCCCCGTAGTATGCGCCAAGCCTCCTCCACGAAGGACACCCAGTTAGTGCCCATCAAACTCAGGCAAAAGACCGCAATATCAGCTTCGCCGTCCCTCAAGGGTAAATTGGAGATATCAGCTTTGGTGACGTGTGAATTCGGTGTGTGCAGGTCATAATTGTGGAACTTGAGCTTCAAGGACTTGATGACAGATTGACAGCCACGAGCAAGTGGGGCATCGCCGCAGCCAAGGTCGGCGATGGTACAGGATCCAGTCTTGCGGCGAGGGAGTGGGTTGGTCTTGTTGGCAGACGGGTTTGTTAGAGTCCCGCGGGTTTTGACGTTTTTGATGTACTGATCAACCGGATTCTGAGGCCAAGAGTCCTTGACTTGTTGGGAAAAGCCGGCGTGGTACTCAGCAAAGAGGTCGGGGGAAGCAGCAAAGAGGTCCATGGCTGAGGAGGAGGTCGTGGTGTACAAGGTCTCGTTGAGATGGCGGAAGCGGGCAGAGGTCAGCTTGCTGCGCATTTTAGCTTGCAAAGGCGTCAGCTTGGTGATTGACGAGGGAACCGGTGGAAGTTTCTCCAGTATTCTAGATGGGGATGCCACAGCCTCGGAGGCTTTCGTCGAATGGGTCTCATTTCTACCGGCGTTCTCTTTTCTGTTCTCCCTGCGCTCTTGCCCTTGCGCGATGTTCGCATCTGAAGGGCGGTGTTTCTTGTCCCTGGTTTTAGCCTTAGGCCCCTTTTCGGAAGAGTTGTCACTACTCAAGACATCGTGGGAGCGCAAGGGCTTTTTATCTCTTGTGTCATGATTTGTCTTCTTCGCAGGTTGCTCTTCCTTACTGGCGTGTTTTGGCCGACTCTGATTGTCAGCCTTGTGAGCCTGTTTCAATCCGTTCTGTTGATTCCATAATCGGTCAAGTTCGCTGCCGGAGACCTTGGAGACGCGGCCGGTATGGGCACGTGCACTCTTTCTCTTGTTTGAGGCAGAAGTTGCGCTTCCGAGGGAGGAAGAATCTGTTTTGGTGGATGATGAGCTCTGCTCCTGGACGAGAGAGCTGGCAGGGACAGCCCAACCGGGGACAGCAAACATGGCCAACCCAGAAACGGGCAAAGGAATAAAATGAAAGGTTCACTCAGGAAGGCAGCAGATGAAATTTTAGTCAATCATTCTGCAGGTCTCAGGCGGAGTAACGGACCAGGGACCATGACCCCATCGATCAGCAATAAAGATCATATGCTGGAAGGGCCGCAGGATCTGAACCGAGGAAGATTTGTGCCTCTCGCGTTGATTCTTTTTTGGCTGGAAAGTCTTGGCGGGGATCAGAATTTGATGACAAGCCGGAAGCCGGAAGCCACAAGCCTAGACATCCTAAGTTGACACCCCTCGCGCCAGACCACTTAACCAATTGGAGAGCCTGTGGGACCGTCAGGGAGCCTAGGGGAGCCTAAGGGGGCCATCAGGAGCCTCGCGAGACACCAATTCCAGGCGCTAAGCCTGGAATGGCCCCAGGGGCATGGTTGGCATGCTCAGCATGCCAACCATGCCAGGCGTACAGAGTAGTGGTTGGTGTGTTCAAGCTTGTGAATTGTGACTTACCTATCTGAGGAGGAACTCTCGACCCGGTTAATTAGCTTGGAGGATGGATCTGGTCTATGGTAAGGAGCCACTCCACCGTCCAGACCAACTGTGCATACTCCGTGCAGTTTAACTGCCCAGATTTTGGAGGCTCGATGACGGAGTTCTGCCAGTGTACCTACAGGACATAGGGAGGTACCTAGGGAGGTAGCCAAAAGGTTGGTGTACCCTACTAGGTCAGGTTCCTGTGGTGTACTCTTGTATGGACCAGCAAGTACGGAGTACCGACAGTACGAGGACTTGTGGCATAGCCTGTGCTACCAGTACCTACACCAGTGCCTAATACCAGCGGCAGGACCCCCTCAGGGTTGTCGCTGCTGCGTACTCGATAGTCTCTGCATCAGTTGCCCCTCGGGCTCGTGCTTGTGCCCAACCAACCCAGGGCTCTTCTCACATTTGCCTTAATGCCCCGTGTGCCGCTCGTGCAGAACCCACAGCCGGCTCAAGCTTTGAGTTTGCTAGGCTGCATTCTGCAATGTACATGCATTGTACTACTGTAAATACTAATATTTGATCTACACAATGGTAATACTCGTTGATATCAGATCCATATCATGGTTTCTTTGGGTGTTCCTTTAATTTCTGCCTACCCCTCCCAAACTGTGATATAGGAAGTCAATCTGACCAGTCGGATCGTGCAGCAAGCGTCTAACTTGTTCAAGTATATAGCACGACGGTTGAGCAAATGAAGCGAACTCTTGTCCGGGCCCCGGACTAACACGAGGGTCTAGGGGATAGCAGGGGCGCTTGATTGGCAGGGTAGCTCCAGCCCGGGGGACGCAAATCATCGAATTCAGCTGAGGGCTACCGTTGAAAATGCGCCCATGACCAAATTTGACTGATCTAAATGGTTTGGTGGGCCTGTATCCCGGTTTTGTGTACGGAAGACTCCGCACTCCGTGAGTATAGGGAGTTTCGAGGGCTTGAACACTTAGTAGTGACTGGAAGGGCGACGATTGGAGGAGCCAGGACACATACTCGTAGGTCTTAGAGGCTTGGTCGGCTTAGTCTCATGTCCCCGTCATTCACCACGTTTGGGTCTGGAGACTGGACTTTCTCAACTGCGGTAGGGGGCACGCAACAGGGTTGGAAGGACGAGATGAACAAGAGGCATGCCCTACAATGACACTCAGCAAATGTTCGTGGGTGGGTCTCCAGGGAGAAAACCACGTTGTGGGCAGCCCAAGCTCTGCCTCTGCCTCTCTCTAGGCACCCTTAGGCCCAGTGCCGAGATAAACGATGATTGGCGACTAGGATTTGTCTGTCATAGGCGCCAAGAAGCCTGTCATTTATTCCAAAATGACAGCGTTTTGTCACTTATAGGGCCCGTTTAGTGTGGTCATGTGATGTACTAAGATGTCTATATTAAAGTACTTTACTAGCAAATTTTGCCATTAAAATGACCTACGTAGCGCTAAGCCCAGTATGTAGCGCTATGCCAAGCCTGTAAAAGCAGCCAGTGTCATGACGTCCGTCAAATATCCTCTATCCGTCATTTACTGCAGCCATTTGACTGTCATTCTACTATAGCGCCGGACACACTTGAATCCTCTTGACGACCGAGGGACCCCTCGCGAGCTGTGGACTCGTGGGTGGCGGCGGCCCAGTGGTCGCCCACCTCCCCGCTGATGTTCCCGGCATCCGGTGTCCATCGTGTCTATCAATGCGAATACTTAGTATCTGGATATCGATGCTCCCCTGGGCGCCTGAAGATCTTGCGCGATCCCTGGAGGGGTGTAACATCTTATGTTAGATACGGGGCAATGCAGGTATCAACAATAACCTGTACTCCGTAACATACTCCGTACACCCCAGTCAATATTCAATCCCAACGACATGGTGCAACCCCATCCAATCCCAGTCATGACGAGTTCTTGACTCCTCAGTCGACTCCCCGTAGGCTGGAGGCAGGCATTGATGCCCATCCTTGCTCCTGCAAAGTCAAACCCCCTACTCTGCGGCTCCCCTATGGAGGCTCTGAGTCTCTGGCCCGGTGGCAGATCAGACCACCCTGACGGAGGGCTGTACTCGTACGCAGGACTGTTAGTCTGTTACTAGGATCCGCACAAGCCACGCTTTACCCACCTCGTGCTCGGTATCATACTCGTCGGAAAGCGTGGCTGCCAGCTCCTGTCCTCCTCGCACAGAGCAGCTTCCCCATTTCATCTGCTCTGGTTTTAGCACCAGCTCTAATCTGTCACTATCTGCCCCTATCTTGCACTATCTCGCACTATCTCGCACTATCTTTGCCAGTCTGGTACGAGTAGTCTGAGTAGAATCCTAGATGCACGCACATGCGGATGGGAACATGCCCCCTGGGCCCTCTGCCTCTGGTGTTGTGGCCCTCGACCCCACGACGAACACACAAACTCCACCCTCCACCCGCCATACCATGTTTTTCAAGCAGCTTGCTTTACAAAACTAAAAGCCATCAAAACCGGTGCCGGGTTCAGTGTTTTCTTTTGGCGCCCGCCACTGAATACATACTCGTACTCGTACCCTTGCATCTTTCTGCACCTCGCTGCGTGATGTGAGGTACAAACCACTTTTCTGCCTAGCTCAACCCAACTCACTGGCCAAGTGCGAGTACGGAGTATCTACGGATAGGACATACGAGAGGTACCTCGTTGTTTCGTTCCGCCATTACAATCTATGTACCACAATTGCTGCACTTCCCAACTGCCACTGCCACTGCCACTCCTGCGCCATCACTGTGTGAGAACACGACAGGGGTTCTCGTGCCTTGGGCACTGTTGAGGATTTGCACCTCGAAAGGGCCTTCTGTTTTCAATAACGAACTGCCCAATCACCACCGCGCCGCAATCACCTCGCATGAGCGCCGCCAACATCCGTTGGATTAACACTACAAGCTCCCCCAGCCCGTTTCCGGGGTGCTTAGCTACGGCCTTCGGCAGGTTCCAACTCCCTGGATTTTGGACCTCGCCATTCTTCGTATTCTAACGCTTTTCATAGTCGTCAGATACCTTAGCGTAGGACATCCTGGCGCTTCCCGACTGACCCTGATCGGCGCTATGATCGTTTTGGGAGATACCTGGAACGAGGTCAAGAGATCCACTTCTAAATCGCACTCGAATGATAATATCGGCCCAGAACATGTCATCTGCTGCCTGAAGAATCTCTCTTCTTATGCCTTTATTTACCTGCTATAACCATCGGCCCGGCAGAGTCCCCAATACCTGGCCAAACGCCCCCAGCTAGGAGATCAGACTACATGACCACCTGTAGTCATGGCAGTGGGAGTCCCTGAGAACACTCTTGGCACGGAGCCTCTGTCTCCCGAAAATGAAGCCAAGGACTCGCCGAAATCAGAAGCTGCTTCCAACAGAAGCGACGACAATGCCGCTGAAGCTGCACAGAAGCAGGCCGCGAAGAGGCGCACCAAGACAGGATGCTTGAGTAAGTCGTTAGCAAACCCTCTAGCCAGTGTTCGCTTTTAATCTGTTTGATCCATTCCAGCCTGTCGAAAGAGGCGAATTAAATGTGGAGAGGAAAAGCCGGTCAGTCGATCCCGTCCACAGGAGACATGTGAATTCATCCTTACCATATCCAAGATATGCAAGAATTGCATCAAATCAAAACGTGATTGTGCCGGCTACATTCAGCCTCTTGTCTACAAACAACAGAATCACGGCCCACAACCGGATCTTCGTGATCCCTCCGGAACATCTTATTCAGCACATGCTGATCCTTTCAACGCTTCTTACTTCAACAATCCGCATCAAGTTGGTCAACCATTCCTAGGGCCCTGCTCGTCGATCGACCCTACTGGTACTCTCCCTTACCAGCATGTGCACTCCTCCCACTATGCACAGAACACGCAAATGCCACCTCCAGGTGCAATACATCAATCCAATTCGGCTGCCGGACAATACTATGCCTGGCAACCCAATCCAATGCAATCTACACCACTATACCACGGCATAGATACCACCGGGAGCGTTGCTCCCATGTTCCAAGTGCCATATCAGGACCAGGCCTCCTCTGGTCAATTCTCCCGCGGCCCTGCATTCGCCGATCCCTCAATCTATTCAGCGTCTCAGCCATTCTCACACAACCCAGCCCCTTTGTCAGCCATAAGCCCCATGCCTCACGAGTTTCCTGATCAGCCACATTTCTTTGATCCCAGTCAGCAACGACCCGCATTCTTGTCACAACCTTATGGAGTTCTTCAAGGAGATATAGTGGGTATGTAGTCAAATATAATGTTTTTTGGCTCTTCCACGTTTCCTGCACTAAATTCTATCAATAGAAAATGATTCCAGAAAATACAATGTGCAAGGTTTCGTCCAACCTCCAGCTCTTTCATCCGTCCAGAGTGGCGCCCTTGCTACTGCACCTGTGATGGAGTACCAGGGGCCTAGTGACGACTACGAAGATCCAGAAGACCCATACGATGTCGAAATGGAGGATCGAGACATCTCCTTCCAGGATGCCGCTCAAAACCTGACCGAAATTCTTGATCGTTCAGGACGAGGGAGTTGGCAACAATCAAAACGCCCAGTCTCCAAACGACAACCGCAGCAGACCCTGGTAACGTTCAAGCCAAGATTAACACTATCTCCGCTGCAGGACGAGAGGAATGAGCGGATCTTCTGCCACTTTGTCGAGGTTTCCAGTCATTGCATGTCCATCTACGAACGACATCATTTCTCTCCGATCTCCGCCCCAGCCCGCACATTATGGAACTTCACCATCCCAGCCTTGGCTCTGTCGCATGCTGCACTCGCGCATGCCATTCTAGCACTCGGAGCACTCCATCTCGCCAAGTTGCAAGGCACCTCGGAAGATCTGGCAGTCAAACACTTTACATATTCGGTCCGCAGAGTGGGAAAACTCCTCGGTCTTCCCAATCGACGCCATGAGATCGCAACACTCGCCACGGTGTTAGTCCTAGGATTCTACGAAGTGCTTACTGGTGACCATTCGCGATGGAATCTGCATCTTCGAGGAGCTACAAAGTTGGTCCTAGAACACGACTACGCAGCCATGACCAAGATTGCCAGGCGGATGAGGAGCGGGGCAAAGGCGAGAGTCAATCAGTGGACAGCACAATTCGCCTTGACCGAAGAGAATTATGGTCGAGTAGCTGGAATCCCACTGGCACTACTCGATGATGTTGATTGGGAAGTCGATACTGGTCTCGTCTCTCGGCTCACAGGTATCCCGATCGACTATGACTCACAGTTTCAGCCTCAATTTCCTCCCCAGGAACTTAAGATGAATCTAAGCGACAAGGACGTTGAAGATTTCAAAGCTAAAATGGACCTTAGATGGTGGTATTGCAAACAGGACATCTTTCAGAGCATGATCAGTGGCGACCAACTACTGATGCCATACGATCAGTGGATTTATTGTCCACCGAGGGGTCAATTCGGACGAGCAGACAACCCTTACGCTACGTTAGATCATTTTATGTTGGCCATGGCTCGACTGGCAGATTTTGGAGGTAAAGACCGACATCGTAAACAACGGGCAGTAAAGGCTCAAGGGGGGCAGTGGAAACCCCCTGGCTGGCTCTTTGGACCTCAGGGACCCCCTGGCCCTCCTCGTCACGGACCTCCTGTGCCTCGTGGGCCTCCCCAAGGCGAACCCAGAAGGGGATCTGGAACGTCGTCCCAATCAGCAACCTCCCGCAAAAACAGCTCATCCACCAAATCCGATGGTGCCAGCGTGGTAAGACCCTCGCCAGCGCCAAGTGCGAATGAAGGCAGAGTCAGGCAAAGTAGACCGGGTCCGCCAGGCCCGTCAGGTGGTTCAATGCCCAGCGCCGGCAACACTCCTCCAATGTATGGAATGATGCCACCAAGCGCAGATATTCATGTGCACTCTGCATTCAAGAACATGGACGCCTCAATCAATGATCCCGCATTCCAACCATTACGTGAAGAAAGGCATCCCACGCCCACAACATCGCTCGAAGAAGACACCGCCAGGGCATTTGCCGAACATGCAGAGATCACCAAAGCCTTTGACTGTTTCAAGTCCTCCCTCGGTGCTGATTTTGAACCACTGAAACAATCGGCAACACAGCCATTGACGACTCCTTTTGGCCCAGCCCTGATCTTTCGAAATGCTGGCGTTGCAGGAATCTGGTTGTTTTACCACGTGGGCCGCATTCTCTTGTGGCGATTCCATCCGGAAATGCCTCCAGCCGCCATGGTCTCAGCAGGAGTGACGGCTCACATGAGTAAAGAACATGCGCAGACGGTCGGGAAGATCTGTGCTGGGCTCTACTCCGCACAGCATTATGGGCAGAGTGCAGATGGGGCACTCGATCCCCAATTTGCAGGTGCATTGATGGAAAGTACCTTTCAGCTACTTTTTGCAGCTGTTCAATACCAAGATGCCGCCCAAAGAGGATGGACTATCACCAAGCTACAAGATGTCGCCCGAAGATGTGGCTGGCAAACATCGGGTGCGGTTGCCGCAGCCTGTGAAATCGCGTGGGAAAAAATGGGGCAAGCAGGAAGAGGTCCCCCATACGAAAGAACGCTTGACCACAAGAACAGAGATGCAAGAGTCAGTGGTGCTTATTCAAGGTCTGATCGGCCAGTCCGAGAGTCTAGTCAAGGATCCAACCCTGTTTCTGAGTACGAGTCCGAGTTTGTCAATCATGATCGAAGCTTGATTGATAGATCTAGCTCTACAAGGACGCACTGGGCATTAGGGTTGTTGTCTGTCGAGGAGGACATTAAGAAAATGAGTCTCGGAGAGGAATGACCAATCAGTCGTAAGCGATTGATTCTTCACTACGTATTTCAAACGCACAGTACGAAAAGAAGGCGGGAATGTGGTGATTTCGCAACGACAACGGACCTCCCCAAGGACCACCACCTTCTGTAAACGTTGGGTGTTTCGCTCTTGCTACAAAAGATATGAAGATCAAGGTTTGCGAGTTTTGCGGTCATCGTCTTCACAACAGCACAGCCACTCCATTCCTCTCACACTTAATGATCACCTAGGACTCATATTTCAGGACCTTAAACCGCATCACAACACCACATCAGCTATAGATTACCATTTTCAATACTGACCAATACGATGCCAGAATCATCTCCCTCAACCGGCTCTTGCTACTTCGACCTTCCACAGGCAGAATGCCGTGCCAGTAGTGGAGGCACACCAACATCACCGTGCACACAATCTCCAAAGGACACTGGGGTTGATGCCTCTTTCCGGAGCAACGCCAATCGACGAACGAGGTCAGACTACAGCAGTGTACTCAAACGTGTGCATGTGCAAGCCATTGTGGAAGACCTAGCAGACAGCCTACTGATAGTACACTCAGATCCTTCACACAGCCCTCAGACTACGCCGACTAATGTAGGTAGTAAAAGCATCACTGAAGACACCAAACGGGAACTGAATGAAAAGAATGGTTATTTAAAGCAGCCTCTTCTTTTTACACGAAGCCATAAGAAGAACAGTTCACTACCGACATCTAAGGATAGCCATGAATACCCTCCCAGGCGGCCTAGGCTTGGCCACATCTGGGAAAGAACACAATCGGGTGGTGTCTGGTTCGAACATCAGGAGGTCAACCCTGAAAAGAAAAGGCGGTCATCTGCGAGTACCTCAAAGATGCACACAAGTCGATCAGATCAGCTCCCCGTTCGGACTGAACAAACTCCGTTAAAGCCTCCAGCACCAACACATGCCTCAATTCCCAAGATATATGGTTTCAGTAACATCAAAGTGGAAACCTCCTTTACGGATTCCAACCACAAACAAGAAGAAGCAGAGACAGAAAATAATGGGAGTCGGACTGAGGTCGTCGGAGAATCTCACAAGTCTCGCCGACGTTCGATCAAGCTCAAGGATCTTTTGTGCACGCCGCTCAACCTCATCAATCGAATTAGCTTGTCAAAAGTAGCTCCGAAGATTACCTTTTCCAGGGTGTCAGAGCAAAGCCCTGAGCAGAGACAGGATTCACGAATGGCTGATCACTCCTCACTCTTGAAGCGCAACTATACCTCTGAGGCACTTCAGTGGGTTACGGCAATACTTCAGGATGGAAAGCACAATAATTCGGGCTCCACACGGTTACCAGTTATCAAACCACTCAAGGCGAGGGTAGAGACCGGAAGATCAACCGCTCGTCGATATGTTAGTCCACATACAGTAGAAGGAATCACATCCCAATGTACCATGGTGCAAAGGAAGAGCCAAGAAGCACTTTCTGATGCTCCGTCATATACATCCAGTCAAATCAATATGAGGATGGGACCACAACCAGCCAATACTCCAGATGAGCAGGCTACTTACAAAATCAAGAGAAGTCCAAGTGCTGAAACGGAAGACTTCCTCAAAGTTGATATCAGCATCCGGGGTGGAACAAGCTACTTACCAAGCGAGGCGAGAAGAATTCAGACACCACCTCTGCCTGAGGAGACTCAAGATGGCAGGCTGAAAGGGTTTTTCTTCGACTATAATGCCCCGAGGAGTGAAGGTAGTGCGTGTGCCGTGCGCGAGGGTATTAGCCCAGCGACTTATGGAGAAGCCGCGCGAAGTCAGTCTGCAACTGCGACTCAGAAACTGGGAAAGACGAGAAGCGGAAAACGCAAACGACTTCGCCGAGGGGACTGGTATGATGTCAAGCTTGCTGAACTGGATGTTACCGACGAAGGAGATCCGGATGCAAAGCGTCACGACAGCACCGCCGACTGCGGCGCGTCTTCTCTACCAGCATTCTTGCAGTGCCAGAAGAGGGAAGAAGAGGAAAGATTTGATTACACGATCCCGGAGCATCTTCCAAGTAGTCCGTTATGTCCGAGGCATCCTCGATACTGGCGCGTCGTAAAGGGCAAGGGTAGCCAATTCCGTGGATGTTGGATGCATGGCATTGGCGAGCACGATAATACGGTTCCTGGTAGTGTCTGGGTCGGATGAACTGCAAAGCGCCCCTGCACCTTGGAAGTTGTAGTGGTGCGGCACTAGGATGGGATAGGATGGGATAGGACAGAATGTCTTTTAATCAGAAGTGGATGTATAAGATGCACGCGCAAAGGGGGTCATCAGATAATGATATCGAATATTTCACCCGCTTGCTGCTTGCTTCAATTTTTTTTACTCTTACTTCTCATGCGAACCAACTGTAATCAGTCGTGCGCTCTCACAACTCGAAAATGTGCAATGGTGCTTGCTCGGTGCTAGGTGCCAGGTGCCAGGTGCCAGGTGCTAGGTGTCCTCCTCCGCGAAAGATGGTGCCTCAGACCTGACCGTATCCTCAAATGTAGGATCTTGCGGATAGCGTGTGTTCCGAGAGCCGCGGCCTCTTGAGCAGATGACAGCAATGTGCGTTCGGTCTCTGGCTCCAGAGTAGTGCGGAGCTTCAGGTGTTGATCTTGTTTCTCGATGAGATGGCGCGTATCTCTTTTTTTCGTCTTTTTACTTTTGGAATTCCTGGTTTCTGAACACAGTATTCATCCACAACTCTTCGTGGGCGCTCTGCGCTCGTCGCTCCGAAGCCTCCTCGTTCCCCCGTCAATCACAACTCGCCAAAGCGCTCCTCGTACTCGCCAATGACGCCGACCTTCTCGGCGGAGGCGCTCTTCTCGTCGAAGCGCAACTCGACCCACTCGTCGACGAGTTTCTTGGCGAGCTCCAGCCCGATCACGCGCTGCCCGAAACACAGCACCTGCGCGTTGTTGCTGAGCACGCTGCGCTCGACGCTGTACGGGTCGTGCGCGGTCACGGCGCGGATGCCGCTCACTTTGTTCGCCGAGATGGCGACGCCCAGCCCCGTCCCGCAGATCAGGAGCGCGCGGTCGGCCTGTAAGCGTAAGCGTGAGTAGAGGGGTTTAGTAGGGGAGTGGGCGTTGGGGGTCTGGGGAGGGTGAAGAAGGGAGGGGAGGCGGGCTGTGAGGTAGAGAGGAGGTGGTCGAGGTGACGGAGGAGAGAGGAAAAAAGGAAGAGAGGAGGAGAGGAGGCAGCATAGCCTTCTACATCGTGATGTCGTGTCGTGTCGTGTCGTGTCCGCTGGAACAGAAGTTGTTTCGCGGATCTTGCTCACTCGAGGAGACAAACAGATCTCTTGGCCATCCACGTTCGAAGCAGGTCGTACCGTACAGGCGTTCGTAGTGCACGTCGCAGGCTGGCTGCCACGGATCGCCCACTCTTTCACCTCTCCCAATCTGTCCCCATCATCTCCTCTCCTCCGCCACAGTCCTCACCCATCCAGACAGATGAAAAAGGCAGCGCTATACTGTCAACATGAGTACGTACCTCACCACTCTTGATCAGCTTCGCCGCATCGACCGCGAGATGCGGGTACGCGGTGCCGTCGTCGGCGTCGACGACGCCCACGTCCAGCACGTGCGTCACGCCCGAATGCTTCTTCAGCACCTCCTTCAGCGCCGTCTTGTATGCGTGCCCCGCGTTGTCGCTGCCCACGACGACGCGGAGGGCTGTCTTTTCTTGGGTGGTCATATTTTTAAAGGAAGGGGGGTGGAGTGGGGTGTGGGGTACGGTAGGTATGTAGGTCGACGGGGGGAAAGACTCGGGCGCGGGGATTTGGCTTGGAATGAGAAGAGATGAAACGAGAATATTAAGACGGTATGTACGTATATATGAGGGGAGAGCAAGGGAGAAAACCAGCAATCTCTAGAGAAGCGGGATTTTCCCAAATAAACACAGGCCCAGACGCAATGAGTCGCCCCGTCGCCATCCATCTTGCCTGAGCTCAATATGATGCAACCCCCGTCCACTCTTCCGGCACGGGATGCGGTCGCCGTCATACACCGACGAGAGGAATCTACTATTATTCCACAAGTAATGCTCCATCCAAATCAGGGTGCGGGTTACCTGAATAGGCGATCCCGGCCGGGTAAATTTGAATTTTCAACGGCCGGCCAGCGGCTGGAAGCTAGAAAATCCCCCAAGCGAATAATAAATGTGAACAGTTGCACGGCCAAGGCAGAATGGCTGGATGGATGGGATGCAATGCAATGGAGACTGGTGCGCAAAAGGGACGGAAGGGCGTAATCGCCATTGGCGTCTACTCTAGTCTCGAAGTAAAAGTGTCAATTATGAGTTGAGATGAACTCCATGTCTTTGAGCGAGGCTTCCTTGGCCATGCATGGATATGTGTATCGCGACTATTGTTCATTACATAGCCAACTACCGAGTTAACGTTAATTCACTAATGCGGCGAGGCCATTGCGCTTTTCTCTCCTCCATCGGGGATCTCTCATATAGTATTCCACTCGCCCACACTCCACGAACCTCCTGGTACTGAGACCCTCCTACCGACTTTGATATCCGCCAGAGATAAAACCAGGCGACTTCTCGCGTCCGGGTCTTAGCTAGTAGCGTGCGTGGGTTTCACACCTCCCTGCAACATTGCACCCTTGTTTGACCCCTCGAAGGAATCCAGAAGGGTCAGGTGCAAAAGGGAAATCTCGATGTGGAGGAGAGCCCGGCCGTGTTTCTCAGCTCGAAGATCCAGCATTGCGAACGTTGGCAACCACTAAGTACCCAAAAGAATATACCAGCCCGACCAAGATGTCGCTGTCTCCGCCCGCGATATCAGGGAAGAAATACCCTTCCCTCCCTTCGAAAATCATCTTGACCTCGACGAAGGCCTATTTCTCGCCGGCCCGCACCATTCAATACCTGGAATCCATCCTCGCGCCCGCGACAGACATTCTACCTCTGCTGGAATCGCACCGCGCAGAGATGCTCTTCGTGCTCATCCCGGACTTCCTGACAATCTACCCGTGCGCGAGGATTCTCTCGGAGCGGTACGCTGCTGTCCAGCAGGAAGAGGGCGCCACGTCGTCCTCGTCGTCGTCCTCGTCATCGTCCTCGGCATGGCCCCTCCTCCTGGGCGCCCAGAACGCATTCTGGAGCGCATCGTACGGCGCATACACGGGCGAAATCGTGCCCTCGGCGCTGTCCAGCCTGGGCTGCAGCATCGTGGAGCTGAACCACGCCGAGCGGCGGCGGCTGCTGGCCGAGACGGACGAGACGGCGGCCTTGAAAGCCGCGGCGGTCACGGACGCGGGCATGGTGCCGCTGGTGTGTGTCGGGGAGATAGAGAAGCCGGACCTCGCGCGCGGAACCCCGCTCAGCATGGCGGTCGGCCAGGCGATGCGCCAGCTCGCGCCGCAGATCGAGAGCGTGCTGCGCGCCGTGCCGCCGGACGCGCCCGTCATCCTCGCGTACGAGCCCGTCTGGGCCATCGGCGCCGCGGAGCCCGCGGGCGTCGAGTACGTCGGCCCTGTGGTGCAGGCGATCCGCCAGGTTGCGGCGGGCGTGGTGCGAGCGAGGACCGCGCCAGTCAAGGTTGTCTACGGCGGGAGTGCTGGGCCCGGGCTGTGGAGCGGCACCGCGAATGGTGGCAACGGGCTGGGCCAGTATGTTGATGGGCTGTTTCTGGGGAGGTTTGCGCATCAGGTTGACGGTGTCAAGGCCGTGTTGGGGGAGGTGGTCCAGAGTTTGGCGAAGAGCTAGACTCCGGGTCTGACGACCGGGCTTGCGCATGATCGCCGGGGGGGATGGAGAGCGGAATACCGTAAGAGGAGGACAGGGCCAATGGGGATACAGCAGTCAATGGGGATACAGCAGTCAACGGGAAATAGCAGCAAGCTGAGCACTGATCTGCATATAATAATGCTAGCGCTGCAACCAAGATGACGGTACCGTTCTGTTGCAATGATTAATAATGATAACGCCATTGGCATTCGATGCTATCCTTTTATGTAGATATGGATGATTGTTTGTTTCCCTATTTAGGCACTTTCGACGCCTTCCGTTCCTTGTACCTCGTCTAATCGAGCAAGGCGATTCATGCCTCCCAAATGCAAGAACGCTTCACATTATGGCTTGACCACTCGCTGGAGAACCCACCTCTGGAACTGGATGACCCATATCAGACAGCCACTGACCCTGACTAAGCTGGGGAAAGCGACAGCTTTAGATGATGCAGGGCAAAGCCCACCATATCAAAAACTCCTTCAAAGTGAAGGATTTCAATCTTTGAGGTGTGCGTCGTAAATCAAAGCATACGCTGTGATACCCTCGCCACCCTCAGACGGCCAACCCGCCGCATCAACCTGACCGTTGCCAATCGTGATGGTCTCTACCAGTCGGAATCCGTAAAAAGCATAGATATCCGCGGCCTGCTTGGTGGTTGCTTCCACCCACGCAGGGGCATTTTCATCTCTCGCGCGTTGGAGATAGGGCTCGATTACGGCAGCGATGGATCCCGGGACCTTGGGAACTGCGGTATTGCGTGCGAGAAATGAAAAGTGGTAGAAAGGCCGAATCTCATTGGGATCGGATGGAGATGCTAGGTACCTTTTCTTGGCTTCCATGACTTTGGTCCTCCATTCACTCAACAGTGGGCCGGGTTTTGCTTTGGAGTCGATGAATGGCTTGCCTTTGTAATCGGGCGCCTCCCAGAGAGCAACGGCGGACCAATCGCCAGCTTGGACTATCTCTGCGCCTGATGCGGCACTGTCGATGATTCCTTGTGCGAAATGCTTGTGACGGCGGGCCGAGTCGATCAACGGAGATGGATATGGTGGCGGTGTTGAGTCATGGTTGACGATGAATCCCGTTGTGAGTGGTGTCGTACTGAATGCATGGACGATGATGTCGATGAATCGTCCCAATTCGTTGCTCGATCCAAGGTCGATCGGAACTGCGGTCAATGTGTCACGGAGTGCTGATGGAGACATGTTGGACCGTTGGACCTCGTGTCACGCACGTGTTTTCCGAATCCTGACTACCTAAGAGGTGGAAGTTGTCGGCAGTGCTAGCTCATGCAGAGGAATAGACACTTTGTCGCAATGGAGATATTCAAGGGCTGGGTGAGTGCAACGAGGTCGTCCTCCTTGAAATGAACGAAGCTGCTGGAAAAGTCAACATCAAGGCAAGCACCACCCACATGAGTTGTTCTCACGATCGAGATCGAAATTGAAATCGAAATCCCGGGCAGGTGAGAGATTCTAACTTGCGTTCGGAAACCCAAAAAGAAAATCACAACGGTCTGGCCAGTTGGTGCGACGAAATGGATGTGGAAATCCGGGGTAAGGAAAAAACCAGAAAAGGAGGGTATGCAGGAAACACGTCGACTGGTTCGGTTAGGAACGGGTTGACGGTTGAGAGTCAATGAAGTAACAGATACCTTTAGGAGGATAGTATGGATCGGTGATGCACCGATGGATGGATGGATGGATGGATCGGTGGGAGGATGGGAGGCAGTCAGAGTTCAAAGGGGCGGAGCGGAATTAAAGGCGGCCAGGACCATTCAATCATGTGAATCGGCGACGGCGGTGCTGTTTGGCCACCGAACAATGACATCTGGTCCCGTCGGGTCCCATCTGGTCGCATCTGGTCACAAGGCGCACCAGCCGGCGAATCCTGGAATTCCTTGACTCATCCTGGTGGTACGAACACGCCGGACACGCACGATGGAGAAAGGGACGTCATAGCTTTGTTCCTTTTCGTTCTTTGCCGGCCGACTGTAACCGTCAGCTTAGGGTTAGGCCCCGCGGGCCGGTCAATGCGGACAAAGATGGTCATAAGGAATGTGGAAGGACAACAGCATGGATGAAAGAAAGGAAGTGCATAGAAGACGGAGGCGGGGAGATGCCAGAGACAGTGTTCCGTACTCTCGTCCTGTCGAAGTGGAAAAGATAAGCGGCACGACGATCTTGATTTGATAAGAGATGTTGGGTATTTACTGATTATTCAGAATCCCAACTGCAACCCAAACAGGGAGAATCAGCGAGAAAGGCAAAAGCCGGAATGATACACCAACAACTTGAGCTGCATGCAACCTGAAAGGATTTTTTTTATATTTATGCACATCCACCCTGTAACGCCCGATGACCCGAAACTATTTCAGCATCCTAGTGTTATTGCACAGTCGAACTGGGAACTGAGGGGTACTCATGGACTGAACAGAGAATAACGAGGCCCCCTTTGAATTACCTGGTTGACTTACCTCGTTGTTTCACCAGCGTGGATTATAAGTCTCATAACGAGGACTGTCTCCGTTATGACCACTAGTTCCGGGATAGTAAATCTCATACAGGGTACTTCCTCCGCTATAACCACCAGTCGAAGGCAGATAATAGACACCTTCATCCTGTTGGCTTAGGTAGTACTGGCTCTCATTGGCATCGGACTCAATGCTTGAATAGCCGCGGGTTGAAGGTTGTCCATATGATGTAGTAGCTCGTCGTAATCGTCCCCCACCGCAGGTGTTGCTGAGATCTCGAACGGTTGATGAGGCTCGAGGCTCGTCGTGAGATTTTCTACCATGCGAGATGTCTTGACCACGGCGAGATGGGGATCCCCTACCAACGGTCGCTGAGCGATTCAATCCTGCCTTCCGAGCAGCCGATTGAGGTTGACTCAAACCGAAGAAACGTCTCCAGAAAGACGGCTTCTTGGCTTCCGACTTACCTTTCCCTTCAGTCTTGTTGGCATTTCCTGTACCTCGTCCACCAAAGGAGGCTTTCTGGGGCTTCGGGGGCCTAGAGGGTTTCGGCTTTAGGTCAGTTTCTTTATGCGAACGGACTGGCACCATAGTCACACGAGCCTCCGTCTGAGGCACTGCTGCTGTCGATGGCTTTCCGTGAGTTGTCAAAGCATGTGACTCGGATCTCGAGCTCCCTCTGGCCTTGTGGGTGACTGTGCTCGGTCCTCTGGTCCGCTCCAGTTCTTTATGGCCTCGAACAGGCATCATCGTTCTACGAGCTTGAGTTTCCTCCGGTCGAGGAACTAAAGGACGAGTCTTGGTCTTACCGTGGTCCATGCTAGCGCCTCGAGGCCGGCTATGGATCGGCGTACGATGAGTCTTTTGACCGGCCTCTGCATGATGACGAACAGGCATCATTGTCATTCGGGCTTCCGTTTGAATTCCACCTCTGTCCTGATCTAAGCTCGTGCCTCGAGGTCCACTAGACTCGGGAGCTCGATAAGTCGTTTGACCCGGCTCATTGTGATCGCGAACAGGCATCATGGTCATGCAAACTTCTGTCTGATGCATGGGGCGTTTCCTACCGTCTCCTGCACCAATAGTGTGAGAGCGTCCACGCTTTGATGGCCCCATGTCGAGTGTGTATTTATTGAAGAGGTAGTTGTGGGATGTCTTTGCTTAGTGCAATCAAAATCACCCAGCTAGAGTGCTGTCACGTGTAATAGTAACTGGTCTACTAGACAGGTGATTTTGATTTCACTGGCAATGCTGGGAGACAGAAGCCTTCAACATGAAGCACCGGCATGCTGCACCATATTTAAATCTGTCTTAGCAGCGCAGATACTCGACTGTTGAGACCCTGGAACAAAGCGTATCTGCAACAAACGAGCTTGAGCATTGATACGCAGATTTGGACATCTTTGTCCAGAGACAGTTCTTTCATCAAAGAACAAGAAGTACAACAATGTCCCAAGAAGGGTAAAGAAGGACCAAACAAGGTCTCTATCGATGGGAGTCAGGTAGTTCTGCGATCCATACCCCCGTATCCTGTGATAAGAGGAGGTTGTCGACTACGGGGCATGGAGAACGGAGTCCAGCACTGCATCGTTCGTCACCATTATTCGTTTACTGTTAAGCCGAGTGTGAAGGGAAAGACGAGAATGATCGACAGGGAAGTCGGCCACTAATCTCGGGGAAGGCCAATGGATTTCGAGATGGAAGCTTACTCGTCGTGCCTTGACGAACGCGTCATGTCACGTCAGCTCCGAATTACTGTAGAGATGTTGGTGTTGGATTTTGTGTGTGCGTGTCCAAGGTCTTGGGAACTTAACTTGACAAGCACGTGCAGTTGTCTCACATACACAGCCTTCAGCCTTTTTCATATTTGTGCCACAAACATTTTAGTCAGAGCAATTGCTGTAAAGTTCAGCCAAAATGTATTTTTGGTGGTGTGCAGTACTCGGTAACGTTTTTGACTGAGGAGTAAGGACTGTGCACGGCGTTGGTATTGCGGCAAAAGGGGGCTCGTGCTTTTTCCTCTCCTCTCCCTCACTCACAAGTTTCCACATTGACGGGAAAATGGATCGTGGGTTTCAGCCATGTATCAGCTCCAAGCCATCACAGCAAGTGGCCGGTGCCAGAACGGTCTAAGTGGGCAGTTGGAAGCTTAGCGGCGGCGATGAGGGACTTTCAGTGGCTCGGTAGTAATAAAAATTGAAATGGTGCAGGTCCAGTGGTGGAAGTGCTGGGTGGCTGCAGGGGAGACGTGCCCTGGAACCCGGCGATTGGATCCCTAATGCGAGTGCTCGAGGGCTGAGTTGGCCCCTCAGTGCCCTCAGCGGGGCCCTGATGTACCCCTGGGCGATCCGCACCTCGGCCACCGCCGTCATCGCCAGTTGCCCAACTGCTCCCATCGATGCCCCTGCCACGCCTCGCTTTAGGCCCTGGACCGCCCCCAACCTGTGGAAAAACTCAGCAGATTGGGGCATCTGCATGCGTGTCTCGGGGTGTCATCCCCACTATGGACTCGGTACTGCTCTCACTGGCTGGCTCTCTGAGCTGCATTTGCTGGTCTGAGGTGACTTGCATTGCACCTCCAACATTCTCGAGATCGATCAGATCATGAACCACAATAAATGTAACATCCTGCTTTTTCTTCGTCCTCCATCGCGTTCTTGTTGATTTCCTCTTCTCATCCCCTCCCATTTCCTATTTCCCATGTCCTGTCTTTCTCGCTTGTCTAAAATACTCCCTACTTCACTTTCATCTTCTCTATTTCGTCCACCTTCCACCCACGTTCGCTAATTCGAGTTTTGCAACAACCCCAATTTTCCCACCTGTCCACCCTCGACCATCTTGAAACCGCCTCAATCTCACTTCTGTATTACCAAGTCCTCGCTGGTAGAGGCACTCTGTCAAGAGCCCTCGGTGGCCTGCATTTCACACAATCTATTTGGGCCTTCCCACACCCGCATTCCTTACCATCCCTATCACTCGGACCTTTAGTGACGTCGCCTGGTCATGTCGCAGAAGGGTCACTACAAACGCTTCTCAAAGGATGGTTTTCAACCTTTGACCCATCAAACTTCCGGAGAAATGGCACATCCTAATGATATTACGATTGATATTCCTATGACAAAGGTTACCACCAATGGCAGTGCTACCGGTGCTCGACGTGCAGACATCATCTCCCCTGCCCGTTCTCAACCTTCCACTGACTTCCCCGATCAACTCGACGAGAAACATCCACATCGACATTTCCACAGAGGCCCTGAAGGCCCTGGAGGTCGTCGAAGAAGAGCAGAGGACACGGAGAAGAGGACAAAGAACAAAGAGGAGGGCACCCTCAACGCTGTAGGCAGATTCTACAAAAAGGTCTACAACTTCTCCGTCATCACTCGCTATTTCACCTACGTTGCTCCCGTCGCCCTGTGTATCGCTATTCCCATCATTGTTGGAGCCACCGCTGCTCCTCGTGCCCGCATCGGCGATGTTCGACTCGTCTGGTTCTTCGCCTGGGTTGAGGTGGTTTGGGTTTCGCTATGGATTTCCAAGATCATCGCCCATTTTCTACCACGTCTCTTTCAGTTCCTCATTGGTGTGGTCAGCTCTGGCACCCGAAAGTACTCTTTGGTCCTCAGTGCCCTCGAGATCCCTCTGTCTATCGTCGGCTGGGCTGTCACTTCGTTGGCAACCTTTGTCCCCTTCATGACCCTCACCCCCGATTCGCTGGCCAGGAACCCGTCAAAACAGCTCCAGAACTGGCAATCAATTGTCAAGAACATTCTCTTTGCCTGTGTATTCTCCTCTCTGGTCCTGCTGATCGAGAAGCTTTTCATACAGCTGCTCTCCATTAGTTACCACCGCAAACAATTCGACGATCGAATCAAAGAATCAAAGCGGAACATCTACCTAATCAGCCTGCTCTACGATGCATCCCGACGAATGTTTCCCGCCTACTGTCGAGAATTCGCCGAAGAAGATTATCAGATCAGCGATGTGCTCGACATTGCCGGTGTGACTTCCAGCAGGAATAGTATGATGCCTGGTCACAAGCGATCAGGATCAGCCACCCCCATGCGTTTGATCCAAAATGTTGCTCGAGTAGGAGATAAAGTCACTGCAGCCTTTGGTAACGTCGCACACGAGATCACGGGCAAAAAGGTCTTCAATCCAACTGCCTCTCATTCCATCGTCGTCCAAGCTTTGGAGAAGAAGCGTTCAGCAGAGGCCCTCGCACGGCGCTTGTGGATGTCATTTGTACTCGAAGGCAAGGATGCACTCAGTGTTGACGATCTCGTTGATGTTCTTGGGTCTGATCGTGAGGCAGAGGCCCACGAGGCCTTCGAAATCTTGGATGTGGACTCCAATGGGGATATCTCGCTCGAAGAGATGGCTCTTCGGGTGACCGAATTCGGTCGAGAACGTCAATCCATTGCCAACAGTATGCACGACGTGGATCAGGCCATCAACGTACTCGACAACCTGCTCTGCACCGTCGTCTTCATCGTGGTCATCTTCATCTTTGTCGCTTGGCTTAACAGTAATTTCACCACGACTTTGGCAACTGCCGGTACTGCTTTACTCTCCATGTCATTTGTGTTCGCCGGCACAGCTCAGGAAGTACTCGGCTCTTGCATTTTCTTGTTCGTCAAACATCCATTTGATGTTGGAGACCGCGTTGACGTTTCCGATGTTCAATATATTGTCGAACGCATGTCACTTCTGTACACCGTCTTCCGCCGCGTCAAGGATCAGAAGAAATCTCAAGTCCCAAACATTGTCCTTAACTCCAACTGGATCGACAATGTTTCTCGCAGCAAAGCCATGCGGGAGCAGGTCCAACTTTACGTCAGTTTCGATACTTCGTTTGAAGACTTGGACCTCCTGAAGACCGAGATGATCAAATTTGTCCGAGACAAGGAAAATGCACGTGACTTTCAGCCTGACATCGACATTGAGGTCACTGGTGTGGCAGAAATGAACAAGATGGAACTAAGACTTGAGATTCGGCATAAATCCAACTGGTCAAATGATGCTGTTCGTGCTGCTAGACGAAGCAAGTTTATGTGCGCATTGGTTACTGCTATGCGAAAGGTGCCCTTGTACGGGCCTGGAGGAGGTGGTCCCGCAGCCGGGGACAAGGCAAACCCTACATACTCGGTCGCCATCTCGAACGAAGACGCCCTGAGAAACAAAGATGAATTCGATATTAATAAAGACAAAAATAGGCTCGTGCCCTTGCTCAATCAGGGGCAAATCAGCACACCTACACAGACTCATCCCGCCCCTACTGACTACTTGGGTTCCAGCACCGGAGCAGAGGTCCGGGAAGCTGCGGCCATTGACCACTTGGTGAAGCGGAATATAACAGTGGACCCAGAGGAATCCTTCAACGCCGAACGTGACGACGACACCACCAGACGACGTGCGGAAGAGGTCGATGAAGTTCGCAACATTCTCCGCCGAGAGTCGACAACCGGCCGCCGCCGAGCCGCACGACAAAGTGGTCTTTATGCGACCGACCACCTTGGCTCTCGAACAATCCCAACCATTGCGGAGCCCTCGCCTCCGGAGCCTGTAAGTGTGCCAGCAGGATCGAGGACCCGGGTTAGCTATTTCGAGGATACCAACATTCCTCCTGCTGCATCTAGATCGGCTGCATCACACGGTTGGAACAATGCTGGACCACTTCAGTATAACCTTCCATCCGCGTCTTTCAACCGCCCTTCGTCGCCAGCGTCATCGCAAGCAACCACCGTTTCGAGCGCCAACCGATATGTGCCTGGCAATGCCTTTTCACAAGCAGTCCATTCTGATCAACAAGCACCTCGACTCCCTGTCCCTGGTATGCCTGAAATGAAGAAAAACTTACAACAACCCCCCACACCACCGAAATGAAATTATGACACCCCTATCGTATAGGGAATGAAAGTCTGCTAGATTAGATGGATGTTGCTAGATGCGCTGGGCTAGATTAATGCGACAAAGTTTGCTGAGCTTGGGGTCATGCATCCAAACGGGTCATCACGAGGTCCAGCAATGTATCAGGAACTCACGCCACCATGCAAGTGTGCTTTTTATTGTGTGACTAATATTGTATCACATAAGAGACTAGAAGATGAGAATAATCCCAAAACAAAGTGTTAAACTTGAACAAGACCGTCGACCATGATGCTCCGTAGTTTGCCTGGTCCGCCATAGTTCTCGTTCAGGGGGGTTGGTTGTCGTCATTATGATATAGCTGTACAAATACAGGATTTAGAATGTTGAGCAGTAGTAGCAGTAGCAGTAGCAGTAGTGATCCAAGAGGTGAGTGGTCGGAGCCTGTCGTTTGTCGTTGACGGTAATCGTCCTCGTTCCAGCCCGGCAGGACATGTAATACTTAAGATGAGTGTCAATGTCAATATCTCACAAAGACCCCAGACACAAGCCTCGAGCGGTTGCCGCCGCTGCTCTTCCTGTCGCCTCTTCGTTCGCTCCCTGCCTCTTCTGGGCCGTGCCTGGGTGACTGAGAATTGCTGCTACTGGTCGTGCCTCCTCGAGTACTGTTGCTGTCGCTTCGCCTGTCGTTCAGGGAAGACATGGTCGCTCTTTCCCTTTCAAACTGCGCTCCTCCCATCCTTGTTGTCGAGCTGCTCGACCCGCTCATTTGTCTTTCTTTTCCTTTTCCTTTCCCTTGACTTCTGGGAGAATTTCCCGTGTTGCTCTTCGGGCTCCCGCTGCCTGATCTCTGCTGTCCCCAGGAATATGCGTCCTCGTTGTTGTGATCGTCGTCGTCTTCCTCTTCTTCTGCGTCAGAGCCGTAGCTGACGGTCTCCGACTCAGTCGCAAGAGGACTCCTGCGACGGTAGCTGTGTTGTTGTCCAACGTCTAAGCGACGTCTTTGATCGTTGGAAGTGCCCGATGATGATGATGATGATGATGATATGCGCCGATAGTCGTCGTATGAGTACCGGACATATGAAGAAGAATTGTTGGTACGTCTATCATCCATGCTCTGCTCATGCAATTGATCAATGCTTCTATGATGGCTGGTTCTCAAGGAGAAGTCAAGGCTGTTTACTCGAATGTTGGATCCGAATCAGTCTGCCGTTATATATGGCCAGCGAGATTCATACTCTCTCCCAGCAGTCCAGCTCCCAGGCAGCTTGGTGACAATGTGCCGAATCAAGCCAACAAGCGAGCACGATGTGTCCTTTCGCTTCTAGGGGGCACAGCCTGGTTTTGATGCATGCAAAAGTCCCCCAGATCGTATTTTCAGCGTATCAAAGCTCAAGAAAGGCCGTCACTTAGGCTGTGGTTCTCTCCTTCCCTTTTGAAGTATTCGCTTCAATACTGGATGGAGACAAGACGACTTTCCATAATGATATTGGACGATCTGCATTGTCCTGTTCAACCCACTCTGCACGAGCCTATCCTTGGCGGTACTTCTCGGGATGTTCAGAAAAGATGTCACTTAACCTAGTCTTTCCATGGAGGAGTCACAATATCTTGTCGACCCGATTCAAAGACTAAAGTTTGAGGCTTACAAGGTTCGGATTCGACCCTCCTTCCCAATTTGCGTTACATCGCTATCGTCCGGTCGAGTTGAGAACCTGATCCCCTCGGACGGATCCAGGGACTTCCAGCATTTCCAGGTCGACTTATGGACAAAGTTACGATCGTGTCATCTACCGACCCCCGACGCCAAACCCTGGTTCCTATCCCATAGCCGTAGATTGGTCAAGCCGAAAGTTAGGTGCGCTAGGCGAAAGGCTGGCTTTCTTTAGCCCCTTCAACCCATGACAGCCCATCCGGGCTTGGTCATTCAGCAGCCGCTCGAGACGATTCCACCCGCTCCGATTGTTTTCGACTTGCCGATCAACCACTGCCAGAGCACGAGTGAATTTATTTAGCTGCCTACCTTTGGTGCCTTGGTGCCTGGATCAGATGACCATAAGGACAAGGCTCTTACTTCACCTCCCCTGTTGTTACAGCCACAATGAAACGAACATAACGACATTAGGAAATCAGAGACATAGACCCTGTCAAGTTTCTAGGCCGATCTATGCGCGATAATTATTCATCCGACCGCCCTTTTAAGAGTCACCCCAAGAGTCATCATGTCGGTGCCATTACGAGACCCTTGCTTGCAAATGCCTCGGCTGCCACTAGAGTACGAAGTCGAGCTGCTTGATTTTCAATGCTCCAGACATGCGCATCAAGCTGTCTGCCTGGTGCGCCTCAAAAGTCAACAGGGGTTGCCTGCGTCGCATGGCACCTCTTCGGGGTAAATCCAAGCAAGCGTCTGCAAGCACTCCTCCATCCTTTTCCCACGGCTCTGCAATTCCGGGTTGTCTGCTGCATGAAACTATCCTCACACCCCACGTGCTCTTGACCATCTCGGCGACACCGTTGCTGTTGGAGTCTGCCTTGCTGGAAAAAATGCCTCGAAGTCAAACGGGTCCAACCGCAAAGTTGGATCCAAAGTATTTGAGCGATGCCGGCCGGGTATAAACATTGGCTCTCAATGACGCGGTGGACACAGCGCTTTCGCGAAATTGCCCATTCTAAGACTACTTCTCTCCAGCGAATTTCTTCGCCTCGCCAATCCACATTTCGTGGGGCATCAATTGCCGACCATGTGGCTACAGGAAGGGAAAACCCAACAATCTGAGCTTGAGCATTCCTGATTGTCCCATTCGTTCTGAATGCTCATATTGGCCCCCTCAACTCACCCAATCATTTAACTTCCCAACGGGCTATACTACAGAAGACCTGAAAATAGTGGAGTATCAACCCCATTCCTTGAAAACCTTGGGTAGACAATCTCTGACTAAAAATAGCAGCTGCCCTAGGACATTCTCCGAGCGACATCAACTTCAGCTCCAGGGCCGAAGCAATTCTATGTAGGGACTCCTCGCAGCCTGTATTTTGTCCTTTCGCGGTTGCTATGCCTACTCAGTGTTTATGAAAGATCCGTGAACCCTCTTGATTGAGACCGAACACTCGGCGTCGTGACGGCTATCATCTCATTCACAACAGTCTAATCCTCGACGAAAGTGCAGTCCTCCGGCGACACCTTTCCTCCTCATACCATTCCCTCCGATGTCACTCACATTGTGTGGCAAATCTGCCAATCGAGACCATCTTGGAGACGGCCTATTTTTGGACCTGTGGTATCAAAAGCCACGTGCCTTGCTCTGCTCAATGTCATACTAACTACCGCCAGCTCTCGCCACAACGGTGTGGGCAACGTTTTACGGACTCTGCATATCAGGCTTCCCCCATCTTTCACGAGCTTTACCTGAATCGTCTATAACTCTTGTAGTTATGCATCTTCTGGCGCTTGTGAAAGAGTTGCTATTTTCGATACGAGGTGAACAATTGCCGGGGCAGATTTGAGTGGGAATGGATTTCTATTATGAACGAAGTCACGACAGCCATACCCAAAGCCAGTCTGATCCCCAGGAAAGAGCCCTTGTGCCTCGAGAAGCTAATTGGGAATGGGCTAAGCCCTTCCGTGATTCAAGCGCCAGGACCGTATCTCTCCGCTACCTTTAGCGGAAATGGACCGGGTCTTCTGTTTGGCTGTTGAGGGAGTGGAGGGAACCGTTGAATGTCGCTGGCGTCTCCTCGTGCAGCAACGTATAACGTTACTGGGACGATACACGATACATCGAGGTTCCCATTGGAAATGGATATTCTCCATTCTTTGGGTTCAGGTCAGCATTACCTGCGGCAAGACGGGTCCACCCTCAAACCTTTCCAGGATTATCGCCTTGCTCACGTGGGATGATATCTTCTCGTCGACAGCATTGGCCGATCTTCAGTCAATATCTGGGCCAGAGTCAGACTCCCAGGTCAGACCCAGTGTCTCTCTCCCCGCCCTCCCACACCTGCGTGCTCTTTGACCATCCATTCCTCTACAGATGCATTATTGTTGGGAAAATTCTATCACAGCCACTTCTCCCTCAGTACTTCACCGTCCTGACTTGCACTTCATACAGGGCAAGTCCGATTGCCCTAATACTAACTTCCCGATACTTGCCATGTCGCGTTACACAGTGCAATCTAGTACAATGATATAGTGGAAGTGTGTTCCCGTTCTCGTCCTTACTCACTCTCTGGCCCGGACACGCAAAGAAGAGAACGTCCCCGTATGGTCCGGAATTACGAGGCGTTGATTTCATCAGCGAGCAGCCGAGACCATGAATAGGAGAGACTGAGCCCGTGAGTGCGGATGCGAAGCAAGCTCGGCCTTGTCCAGCTCATGTCAACTCGTTCTCACTAGTCTAGACACGAGTCCCCGACTCAGGTCTTGCTTTCAACCGTCACTACCATCATCCTTTCTCATCCGCTCAAGCAGAGTTCGACATGTGACACAAGTCCAAGCACATCTAAAAGCCATGTGACTTCCTATCCTCATCTTCATGGTCCCCTGCCTCTGATTCCCAAGGAATAACACAGAAGGGGAAGCTAGGATCGTATCCTCTGGTCCTTTGCTTGCCTACAGACCTGAGGCACCTTGCTAGTCAATCGAGTAGCGTAGAGGGCGCATAGCTAGCACAAGGCTGCAATGCAAATGCAAGACAAGACAAGACAAGACAAGACAAGGCAGGACAAGGCTCAGCTCAGCTCACAGAGAGAGCTCGTTCGCTCATGCCTGCCCTGATCTGCCCGACCCGCACCCGCGCCGAAAGTATCTGGGGCGGAATCACTAGTAGTAGGTAATTAGTTGGTTAGTTGTGTAGCTGATACACTTCGTGTGTTCAACTGATTGGAGTGCACTCACTATATTGCTTCATTCAATTCATCACATCCGTCAGAGGGAGGACTCATGGGCGTTATTGATCACATCTCGAACGGGGTCGGGGTGGTATTGCTCCTCCTGTACTACATCCACAGAACTGCTGCCCAGGACAAAGGATAGATTCACGGTGCTTCGCGTGGGTTGGAACATTGTGTCCATTTCATTCTTCCATTCACTGCCGGTCCAGCCGCTACTTTGTGGCAGTCGGCTCCCTTTACAATCTATCAACCATTCGCCATGAGAATCCAGAAGGCCGCTGCGCTTGGTCGTTGCCCCTAGCATGAGAATTACCTCCACAAGGAAAACAATACAGATTAAGAACGCCAAATTGTTAGGCCAAGACCATTATCCCAAACACCAACCGTCTGCGCCAACCGTGAAATGCATACCGTACAGCACTGTCATGAACAAATCCCTTTAGCCTCAGGGTAATGCAATCCCAGTTCCAATCTACCAAAGACCTTCCCGGCAGGTTCAGCAAAATCGAAGACCATCAAAATTTCTCCATGAGACGCTTCCTGACAGTCCACATGCGTAGCCTTTTCCCATAAATATACATCGGAATTGTCGTCAACATGCACACGATCTGGAGAATGCCGATGACGACAAACGTGTCTTTTGGACCCCGACTTTCCAGCCATTGCGCAAAGAACAAACTGAAGACCAAGCCGTGGAATATGTTCTTGCTGAAATTCAACGTCACCAGCGCTTCTCCAGCGAACTGTCGGTAGCTGTCGACGCAGAACGTAATGGACGTGGTAGACCCTAGAGAGCAGCCGAAGGAAATCACTCCGAAGAAGACAGTGGGCACGATCCAATTGTCCCGCTCTTCAGCTGACCAGCCATAACCGATAAGTCCAATGGCAGTGCTGGCAGCTATGGGAGCACCCATGACGAGGCGGAATTCTGGTTCGTAGACACCACCGTTTCTGCGAGCCATCGCGCGCACAATAATGTCACTAACTTTGCCCGCGACGGCCGTTCCCAGAATCCCACCGATGAAAGGCGAGATATAAACAAGACCAGACTGCAATGCAGTGAAGCTGTAACTATCTCGGTCCCGATAGATATCCGAAATCGATTCCGACAAGACGATGAGCCAACCAACGGAAAGCGAGTATACAAGCGCAGCCCACAAAACAGCCGGGTACGCGAAGAGAATGAATGGCCGGAGTGCCACGAGACCCCACTTCGACGGCGATAGTCTCCCGTTCCAAGGCTTCAAGGTCTGGAGATATCCTTGAGGGGGAGACTGGCGAAGATTGGTGGTGTATCTGGTAGGCTTTTTGGGTGTGAATTTTGCTGCATCCTTAGCCTCTTCCGATTTGCCCACATCAGACAGGTCAGTCTGCCCGTTTCCGCCGGTACTAGTAGTTTCATTCCTTGTCAAGGAATTTCGGTCGGCCCGGTCCTGAACATTGGAGGTCGTAGGAACAGAGTGGTGATCTAGATAGCCGTTGCGCTTCTCAACGTCAAGATAATATGGAGAGTTCAGATTGTGGAGGTGTGGGGTATTGGCGCCTGAAGCCCCATCCCATGGAGCTGAATATGTCTGAAGCTCGGGTGACAGGGGTCCCAGTCTCAATGGTGTGGGTTTCCTGACGGTGCCAGACGATGGCTGAGAATCAGTTGCGAGGGTTTCAGCAGTCTCTCCAAGATTCGAGCTAGGAGGCCGTGACGAAGTCTGTTGTACATTCCCTTCAGGGACCGAACCTGATTTCTCATCAACAGCCCCATCTGTAAGGCTCGGTCGAATTTCATCTTGCTGTAAATTTTGCGGTTGCGGAATGACAGTATTTCCCGCCTTTTCATGCTCCAAACCAACAGACGAAGGACTCGGGATTCGACGTGACGTCGACATTCTTCGTAATGAATGGCGAGCAATACTGGAAAGGCTTCGGCGGGCAGTTAGATTTCTCGCTTTTGGCCTTGGAGTTCTGTCCCAGAAAGTCTCTGGAACGAAAAAGAATAGTAGAGCCATTCCAAAGGCTGCAACCATTGTCACCACCCAGAAGACCCATCTCCAGCCTTTTGCTTCGATGATGACCGCGCTTACCAAAGGGACTAGATTCTTGCCTCCGAGTAAGAGGAGAGTGTAGATTCCAACACGGAAAGCGCGTTCGTGAAGGAAGAAGATCTCTGCAATAGTGGCAGAAGGGAGGCATTCGACTGGACTGACGGATATTCCTTGGAAGACTCTTGCAGTTGCAAGCTGGGCATAACTGGGGGCCAAGGCACACCAAACGGAGGTGAGGATGAAAAGAATGGCTGAAAATAGGTAGACAGGTCTCTTCCCATAGAGAATGGCGGTTGGGGAGAACAAGACGCTGCCGACACCCAAGCCCATCATGTAAAGGCCAGTGGTCAAGGTGACCTGGGCATATGTGACATGATAGGTGTCGGCAACATCATGGAAGCCAGCAGCCAGGATGGGCGTGATACCGCCTCCAAGCATGCAATAGAAACCGAGGGAAAGAAGAGAGGAATCTCTCCTCAACGTGGACCAATTCAAGGGATCATTCTTGGAATCGTCTGGTTGAGGCTCCAATATGATGCTACCACATTTGGTTGTCTTCTTGTCGAATCTAGACGGCCGCCTTGGAGATAGCAGCTGGGCGGGCATGGAGGAATTCTTCCTTTGGTCATGTTGAGGCTCGAGACCCAATGGCTCATTGCGAGCGGAGGAGAGCAGGAGAACGGTGCCAGGGACTTCGTCAGTTGTTTTGTCATTCAATATCCCTAGGCTCCATTTCGGCACACTGGATGCTGGGGCCGCAGTGCCCGGAGAAGAAGAGGAGCCATCGGACCCCAGTCCTACTCCGCTGGCAAAGTGAAGGCGTTGTCGCTGTCGTCCTCGTGAAGGTGGCCGATCTGGCTGAGCTGAGGTAGCAGTGGGGCCACCTTCCTGAGAATCCCGTGACATAGATAAAGTCCGACGGTGTAGGGGGGGTTTCCGTGTCTGTGATGCGGTTTCAGCGTCCGCAGATGTTCGTTGACATGGGCAGTTGGACTGTGCGAGAGCAGTGTTGTTGCTGGTCTGACGGAACCTTAGGGACCCCCGGGATCAATGCAAATATAGGAATAAGGAAAGAAGATGAGAAGCCTTTGTCTAGGATGCAGTAGGATGGATAGGAAAGGATAGTGATGTTATGTTAAGAATGGCGGTCGGTCATGAAGCAGAGGCCAATGCCAATAGTGGATGAGGCCGGAAGGGGTGAGGTGCAAGGAGGGATGGGAGTTGGCATTCACGGGATGGATGTCAGCTCGCCTTCGTTCCCCTGGGAAGTGGCGACCGCTTGAATGTGGAAAAGACTGTGCACAGCAAGAGCAAGAATCACGATAACCACCATATAGCACTCTCCGCCGTGATTCTCGTCGTCTCCCAAGTCCAAATCCAAGTCCAAGGACGGCCAAAGGACAGGTTTCATGCACGGCCAATGCATGCGGAAAGTCACAAGACGACGCGGGCGCCTCGTGCCCAGCTCAGTCCCAGCTCTGCCAGGCTACCGTCACGAGGGCGGAGCCAGACGCCCACACGCGCCCACCACGCGCCAACGCGCCAAGCCATTTCGGCCATTTGGCATCAGCCTTTAACTCTTCAACCAGGTGGCCTAGTTGGGCATATGACTTTTTGCAGCGTGGGGAACAACCTCGTAGGATCTACAAGACTACTGTACAACGTGTTGAGTTGGATCTGTGTGACAGAGAGGACGTGACAAGTCTGTCATTTGTTCGGACGTCAAGAGGCCTGTCAATTATGCTAAAATAACAGCGTTGTGTCATAGTTATATACTCCTAGGTCCTGCTCAAGTGTATTCGTAGTCATGTGATGTACGTACTAAAGGAGTTTACTAGTGAACTCTAGTATAAAATGACGCACCCAGCGCCAAGCTTCTAAGTGCACCTAGTGCCACGCCGTCCGTATCCTCTGTCAGCCATTCATTGCCATTAGACGGTCATTTTACTAAAGTGACTGACAAACTCGAATCCTAGTATTGAGTCGGTGTGTTCACAAAAAATGCAGTCCAGCAATGGGGCATGTGTATGTCATGGAGCAGGAAATGGTGAGCCAGTGGCTCGACTGGGCCCGACGCTGTTACTCACCTGCGGGTGCATGTCACACTGACGTGGACTCTGATTCTGAATCTGATTCTACGAGTACGCCCGTCATCTAGCGAGGGATGAGCGGTGACCATCTCATCACATGCTCCTCCCCCAATGCGTGTACTGTTACTCGTATCATTATGATGTACCCACTGTGTGGGCATCACATGCTGCATAAGTGTGGATGATCCAACCACGTCATGGTGACTCTATGCTTCCACTGGGACCTCACATACTGGATGTATGTATGTGTGCGTGTAATGTGAGATACCTCATACCAACACTCCCTCCCTCCGTCCCTCTTGCTCCACCTCTGCAGCCCAAATAGTACATCCCAACGCTCAAGGAGGCATGTCCCTGTTCTTCTGTCTGGTATAATCATAACATGCACCCACTCACGAAGACATAGTTTATAGAAATATCAACACAACAAATCGTATCGTAACCTCGTAAAAGTACCTGTACTCGACTCGAAGAAATAGTGGGTCTTGAAGCATCGAGAGTCCACACTCTGACTCTCATCGGCTCTTTTTCTTTCCTCCATGCACACACCCATTCATTGTCTCTCATGCCCGTCCAGTCCAAGACCGATATGAGAAATCTATGAACATTTTCTCCATCTCCAACTCCAATTCCAATCCGATGCAACCCATGCTACCAAATATGATCTAGCCCTTCTATTCCCTATCCAAGTCGGGCACCAAACAACCCCAACCCAAGGCTTGTCTCGCTCTCCTTGCCACTGCCATGGTCGATGACCTCCCAAACCCTCGGCTTCCAATCACCCAGGACTCCCTTGCCCTCTTTACTGATCAAAAGCCCATGGCCAGCGTCATGAGTCTGCACTGAGCCCATGCCATTGACACTGCCAAAGAGGTGTACAAGCCGATTTTCTCGGTGGAGCTTATCCTTCAACATCTTGCCGCTCAGCAATTTGACTTCATCGCTGGCTTCATCCACAATGGTTGCGATCACGTCGAGGATGAATTCTCGGATCCCGCGCGCCGTCTGCTGTTCATCCTTACCGCTGAAGCTTATGGTCGGTGATGTAAATATAGGCTGTGACGCGATCAACGCCAATCGGACGAGAAGTTGCACCTGTTCTTGCTGCGCTTGTTTCCCATTCAATGATCGTCCGGCCAAGATCAGTCCTGTTCGCTGTAGACATATCATCTGCAACATGCACCGAAGATATTCGAGGATCCACGACGGCACCGCCACAGGGACATTTTCAGATGGCGTAGGCATCGGACTCGATGTGATATTCAGCCCGGGCGCTGGACTCATGCTGGCAGTACAACCTGAAAGTCCTGGAATAACCGGCGCACCAGATGGAGACACCTGGGTTCCGACCGATTTTATATGATGCGACAGCTTATCAATCACTTGTGACATGAATCCAGGCATTGCCGTCGTTGCCGGTGTGCAAACTTGAAATGCTCGCTCGACAATCGACGCCAAGTGGTGCACATCGCTCGGGAAGGTAGCCGTTAGCGGACTGGCCACCTTGTTCCAGGGAGTTTTGGGCAAGGCCTCGAGGAATTCAGCTTCAATCTTGTGTCGCAATTGATTGGCCGCATCCGTTCCTACTGTCTGAAGGAGTTGCGAGAATCGTGAAACGTCGCCTGTAACACCGGCATCTCCACCCACTTGCTGCTCCAGCGCCTCAAATAGTCCATTGGCAAGTTCTTCACCGTCAGGTCCAGTGGCTTTGCCGGACGTCAATGGGGTATTGAGTGAAAATCTGAGCTGAACAAACCGATGCGAAAAGCTATCAATCGACCCAAACAAGGCCCGAAGATCTGATCCCCTTTTGGTGCCGTTCGAACCGAGGAGCAATTTGTCGAGCGCCTTGACAGCCCACTCGCTAGCCTGCGCAGACATCAGAGGTGAATGAGTCGAATCGTGGCTCACGAGAGACGCCAGCAACATCCTTTCAGAGGCTTGTAGTTCGTTCTTGACTCCCACATCACACAGAACTTCCAAAGCGGCTCGTGGTTCTCGTCCAACATATTCCCACCATTTCGTTCGAACATGATAGATGACTGGATCCTCACGCGAGTTTGGGGATAAACCCAAAGCCTCAATCAAGATATTTCTGACAGGCTTGCTCTTCCTCGAATCCATTTTACTCAGGCTCAAAGCCTCAAACAGACTGACGAAGCCTAGACATCCAGTGGCAACCAGGTCCCTGACAAGCGCCGTCCCAAAAGCCCCTTCAAGCGCTGTAACCAATCGAGAAAACCATTTCTTAACAAGAGCATCGCCTTGGACTTTCCGACACAGTTTCAAGCGGCTCAGAAGCTGACAGAACGAAAATAAGGTCGAGCCATCTTCTGGGACATGTTGCTGCTTCTCGATCCGATCCGTCAGCACGGTAAACATTCCATTCATCGTCTGCTCGTTCATGTTAGGTTCCGATTGCAGAATCGCCTCGAAATCTTCGATGAATGTGGCTCCTGCCTGCTGAAGGGATTCCGCGATGCCATCGGAGTACGGGGAGCATGCTGCAACGGCACGTCCACGATCTCCTCGCACGAGATCTTGCTGTAGTAATTTGACTGAGGGAACCTTGATTGGAAAGCTAGTGCAGAGATCGAGAAGTGCCGTGGCCAAATGTGGCATGGTCGGTCGAGTTGCCCTCCAACTCATGTAGATCTGGCAGATCTGGCGTTGTAGCGGCTCCAGGGCGCCCAGAGCAGAGAATGCATCACCATGATATTGCAGTGTGGCCACGAGAGAAGAAAGTAATTCTTCATCGCGTGTGCAGCTCAAAATACCAATCACATCTGCAAGGATGGCTTCGTCTTCCAATGCTTCGAGAACATGCCGAATATAGTAGAACTGTTCGCAGTTGATCATCATGTGACTGGTAAGTATTGCGTGAGCGTCTGCGCTGGGTGCACTAGCCGCAACCGCCTCAGCAACCTGTGAACGAAGCCAGATTGATACTGCTGATCGCACAGTCCAGGGCAGTCGTGAAAATGCCGGCTCTGGATGATCTTGGCCATCAGACTTTGCCTGGAGTCTTGGACCTCGGCGTCTCAGTTCTTGTAAAATGGCCCTTCGACAACCCTGAACAAGACGATCCTCTCCTTCAATATCAAACCCGGCCCGACTCAGCACGGAGCTTCGGAGATTGACTGTGTGATCTTCGACATGTTGTAATGATATGTCAAGTAGAAGCTGGGCAGGATCAAAATCGACCGAACCATTGCTTGTCGCAATGCTATCTGGCTTTATGCCAATACCCAAGTTCTGAGATGTAATCGAACCCTTCTCGGGCAAGCCTCGGACCATGAGCCATTGAATATATTTTCCGACCGGGAACAAACCCGACCGCGAGAGCTGAGCCGTCAACTGCTTCAAGGCGGCGCCATCAACCGAGACCTTCCCAGAGCGACACGCCGAGATATAGTTGAGAATGATGGAGTCAACATCGTGACCGGCTTTCTGCCAACGTTTCACGAGACGGGCGAACAAGAAGATCCTAGAAGTGGCATGCCGAAAACGTGTCATTGCCCAACCAAGACATGTAGAGATGAGGAGTGTCGTATTGCCGCAGGCAGATGCTAGAGTTTGACCAAGGACAGGAACGTCGTAGGGTGCAACTGCAGAGTCCAATATCTCGATCACAGCCTGTTCGGGTGACCGTTGAGAAGAAAGTTCCCGCCTATTGTAGCCCATGGCCCTCTTATTGATCCTGTTCAGTTGGGACAGAATATGGCGTTCTGGAGGGGAGTCCAAATCGAGGCATGATTCCACCACGGCGACATACTCGGGCCATTTGCCCGGCATGAGAAAGCTGTTAGGCCGGGAAAAGAGCAGTCCCCGTAACATCTGATGGAGTTTCTGTTGTAGGGGGGTCTCTGCAGGAATAGCGGATTTTTTGATGGCGTCGTATCTCACCAGGAATGCCTCGGCCAGCTTCCTCCCCCGCTTTCGGAAATGCGTCAGGTCGTCTTTATATATCTGAATCACCATAAGCCAAAAGGGGACCGCCTCTACTTTCGCGGAACCAAAAGACTTGACAATCCAATCCAAGTAGTGATCCCTATCCAGTAGATTCTCCAAATAGAGACGAGTCACCAACCGAAGCGCATATTGAATATAAGAACGCCAATCTGGAACACGACTCTGGTCCAGCTGTGCCTCAATGAATTGCTCCACATTGATGGTCCATTCTCGAAGCCATTTATACTCTGCCCCAATAGCCACAGCAGGCGTAGTTCCTTTTCGTTTCAAGGTGCGAATCTCGTTGGCACAAACGCACTTGGCGAACCAGATAGCGCGGCTGAGTGGGACAGAATGTTGTAAACACTGGTCTAGCAAGATTTGACCTCGAATACCTTGGGGAATGGTCCGGCTCAGTCTTCGTAAAGGAACATCTGCATTGGCCAAGTCTGAGATCCATGATTTCCGTTTGGCCTCGGTAAGAGTGACTCGCGGAGGAGGTTTGAAGTTGGACACGGAACTGATGAGGCCATGTTGATTCCTTTGATCCAGAACCAGCGAGAAGAGAATGGAGAGGTTGTCTACCCCGGACTTGTGCTTGAAAGCATTGTATAGTGGAACACGCGCAGTGTTTAATTCTTTCTCGGTTGGGTTGGGTGGCTTGTCGAAATAGCCTTGTTTGACTGTCATATCGCTTAGAAGATCTTCGGGGTGTTTTCCCGTCCACGGGAAGAAGCCAGCTGGTCGTTGCATGACGAAATGAGGCACACAGGACGGCTCTTTCATGGAGTCCGGGGTGGTTGGGACAGGGATATGGACGCGCGATCGATGGCTCGGCTTAGGCTCGTCAGGGACATTCGAATGCTGTGAGGTGTTCCAGGGCCGAGGTGGTAGTTCCGGGGCTTCTGTGTCACTTGCTTTCTCTTGCTCGTTGTTTCCCCCCTGGGTTATGATCTCAGGGCTGACATTCGACATCTGGACCAAGTGGAAGTGTGGCACCTGGTTCTCCACCAAGTAATGGGTCGGGATGGAAGTCGAATTGGCATTGTTGGTGGTGACGGCAGCCTGGTTAGTGGCGGAAGTCAGCTCAACCTTTCGCCTCTTCGCTGGCCGGTCCTCCACATTGTTATCCACGACTTGTGTTTGAATCTGAGGTGCCCGTGCAGCCGATAGAAAAGGATTGCTGGGGTGTCTCTCATGAGGTGGTCGGAGTTGATCGGGAGGACGTTTTAACGATGGAGGCCGCGGTTCGGCCGGCGGGTTCGATGTCATGACCTGTACATTTTGACGGGCACCAGCACAAACACAATATGGGAAAAGAGGATGGTCGTAGTGAGCGGAGGGGAGGAGATATTGGTACCCGGTTTATAGGATAGGGATCTGTCAATGGGTGGACTGCGCTGGTTGAGGGCTCAGGACCGGCGATAGGTGGTGGAATGATTATCAATGGGGTCAGGTAGCTCGCCCAAGATGCGAGAGACAGTCCGAGCAGAATCGAATGGGTTTGGGGGGTGCTCGTGGCTAGAATCTCGGAGGGAAGACAATGGCATTGAATGGCATCGAATACCAAAGGTGGATTGAAGGTGTGGTGTTGGCGCAGGTGTGTCGATTGTGCTGCTGTTAGAGTTGGAGTTGGTATTTGGCGTCGGATTTGAGATGCTGAGATAGGGTGAAGGTTCGTCGCACGTATCGATGCCCTCGTCAGTCAAGGGTTTCTCCGAAGAGACCGCGACCGGCCGGGGCTGATGCGCTGCTAGGCTTGCGGGCTGCGGAATACTGCAATGTTAGTGCTTGGGCGGGTGGTGCTCTGGTTGGGACGAGGATGCAATGGCGGCATCTGGATGGCAGATAGGGTTGGTGCGCAGTGGGTGCTAGCGACGTTTAGGGTTGGGATAGGCATGGGCCCTGGACATGTGGGCACTGGCTCTGGGCCGAGGGGCCTTGGACATCCCCTGGGCCTGGGCATATCTCGCTCGTATCAGGAATCAGCCGTGGTGGCCACTGGACTAACCCCAAACCCCAATACCAATCTGAGCCCGGGATGAGAGTGAGAGGGAGCCAGCCGTACCAAAGGTCCAAGGTGCGTGGCGTGGCGTCCCCCCCATCGGATATGGGCCTGCATAATTCGCCCGCTAAGCTAGGGTGATGCCGGAGCAACTGGCAATTGGGGTTGTAGATTGGTGCTGGCAGTGGGGAATGCTAGTCACAATTACGAGGTACTCCCGAGGACTGCTGCTTCTCCCAGCTAACCGTTCCGTGCTGTGCACACCTACCCGTACCTAAACTGCCTGCGAGTATCTTCCACGCAGGTAAGCAGTTCCATACCTGTCGGAACCCACGAAAACAGCCCATCTCTCTCTTGGAAATGGGCCACCCAGTATTTATGCACCGAGATTCGATGTGGGAAATAGCACACATCTCTATGAGCACTGCTACCACGAGATAAATCCCCCGATTAATCATCGGCGACTTTCATTGCCATTCACAACCACCATTCCGTCCGCAACCGTGCCTCTCGGAGGTTGCATTATCTGGGGGCGCCCTTGGCCTCACTACTGTAAACCCATGGCTGTCCACTGAAGGTTGTACCCGGACTGGCGCCGAGGGGGATCCGAGAATGTCCTCCCAAGTTCCCAGGCGGCAAAAGGAGAACGCCACGGCCGAGCCTGGAGAAGCCTGGAATATCAATAGATCATAAATATACTGTTCTAACTCTGTGCCCGGCTCTCGGCTAACTACGCGAACGGGAATAACCAAATGTGAGGGGACTGAAGTTGACATGCTCCTAGTCATGCACAGAGTCTTCAACCAAGTGGGTGCCAGCCTGCCAGGATGGTCATTGTCGCTATCACCCTATTTCCCCGGATTGTATGCCTTTAGTCGGATAATTATGTCGTGATCCCGTCCGATCGAAGATGAGTTTTCCCATACATACTACGAGCACGCTGTTGAGCCCATGTCAAGGACTTTTATTTCATTCCCACCTATCAACCTCATCGTCCAGGTTCTGTTGTCCTACCGGTGACATGGCATACCTAGGTGCCAGCACCCGATCTCCCTGCCCAGATGATTAGGTACAACGCAAGAGATACTAGCGGATCAGCATCTAGGGATTTGATTCCTCCGAACAATTACGTACTAAGCTGGGAAACTAAACCTGAGTCAATCGATCAGATGGCCCCAGGAATCTTCAAGCCCACGCCGTCACCTTTTCTCATCAAGCTTAGCTGTCCAATCTCATGACTCCAGCTTGCCACTTAGTACTTAGTAGTAGAAGACTACCGAGTGCCACTCTCACTGACACCTCCTGTACGGAGTATGGCTGCATTCGTTGTCACGAGTTGCACTGCATCCGCCCTGTTTTTCGTTCATTTGCTTAGTTGACGATTAGTCGGTAGAATCAGATGCACAAAACATCGCTTAGGTAGGTATAATTTTTCAGAATGCTGACCACCACCACCACCACCACCACCAATCCCTGATCTCGGGCCATGATGGCCACGAGAACCATCCTCACAGTCTGGTTATCGCTGATTAGAGGGGCCAGCGGCAGTGCAAGGTCGAGATGCTTGACCTCTTCTTTCACTGTCTTTGACCTTAAACCTGTCACGAGGCCTGGACGTTCTATTCTTCTGCGTCTCGAGTTTCGCGTGAGTACGGGCATCAATGGATGCTGTGCTACAATGTTTTCTTATCGCAGGTCGTTCGGTATCTGCCCTCACATTCGGATCTTCCTTGTATGATACGGTGGGGCCGAGGGGGCTATCGGGGGAGCTGCGATTCTTTCCCGTATCTGCACGGCCTCTAACTGGAGGGAAGAAATCGACTTGGTTGCCATTATTATCACCAGACTGAGACAGCTGCCTTTCTCGAACGCCATCTTCATGGCCCTGACTGACACAAGATTTCCACTGCTCAGCCCTTGATGCTTTAGTCCCAGGGAGATCCTGAAGAAGTTTCCCACCTATGAACCTGGAAACTTGAGAATTCGCAAGCCTTTTCAATAGGGCTTGAGATTGATTCTCATCATCATGCGCTTCACGCCGGCTTCCTGCCACGGCGACCTGTACGGAGTTTCGTCTCGTCGACGCCCGAGAGAGCTGAGATTGCAACTCATCTACTGCTGACGAAATTCGACGTTCGTCAGAAGAGCACTGGTCGATTTTAGGAATGGTAAGCCCTTCGGAACTAGTCGATGACGCGTCTTCTTCCCAGAGAATCTCATACACATTGTCATCCGACACAAAACGTGTCGAGCATCGGCGCTGGGGATCACACTTCAGTATCCCACTCGAATTGGAACCTTGTACGCCCATCATGATCAACTCGGTGCAGACCACCGGTGCTGTTGTACTGACGCACGGTTGGGCCTCGGTGTTCCTTATCAATGCCGACCGCAGGCGGTGAGATTCTGTCGACACCCTCGAGAAAGACGGCTGCTGGTTCGAATCCCCTGGCTCCTTGGGCATGATAGAGTTGAGAAATGATGACAGGAAACCATTACTATACCGGCCAAACTGAGGAGGTGGAAAAGATGTCAACGACATCCTTCTTGGACCTGTACTCGTCGTAGCCCGCCGTAGAGTGATCATCGCTGGACTTTGGCGTAGACTTTCTTCTGACAAACGTCGAGTCTGCTCACCTGGATCGGCGGGAAGAATAGACGCAAGTCCTCTGGTCGAGGGAGCTTTGCTGGAGACTGTCCATCTTCTGGGCCGTCGTTTCGAACCCGCATGGGACAGCAATTCAATCGTACCATGTGTCAATCGAGGTTGCAGCAAAGGCAGAGATACTGATCTTTGCATTGATGATCGCCGAACACTCCTCTTCTGTTTCTTCCGTCTTCTCTGAGATTTGTCGCGAACATCTTGCTCGCTTCCATTGAAAGCCTGCTGCCATAGTTGACGCGAAGCATCATGGCTAGACCTCCTCTTCCTTCTCATATTCAGACTAACTCGATTGCCTTCCTCCGCTTTGAACGGCACATCTTTGGAAGAATGATGTGAGGAGGGCGGGCTTAAGAGTGGCTCGCGTGGCAGAAGGCATTCCGTACTTGAGGTCTGACTCGCAGAATGAAAGGATATCGTCATTCTTGGGAAGCTGAGTTGGGTGGATATGAATACTAAGAATAAGTAGCGTCTTTGTCTTGAGTATAGCTGTTGCCAAGAGGTTCACTTAGGTGAGATGGATGCTGTGGACGGTTGACATAGCCCACGAAATGAATGAAGTGGCATCTGAACGCAATTAAATCTGATGAGCAAGCGATGATGTCCTTCCTGCCGCAACCAGACAGATTTCTGAGTGTATCTTGAAGCGCCAGGGATATCTTGGGAAGGAGTGTTCGCCTGATCATGCACAGTGGGCAGGTCCTCTCTACCGCAGATCCGGACTACAGTTTTTGACCTTGCTAAAGGTCGCACTTGCAATCCTCAAAAACACGGTCAAAGTCACAAGAGCCTCAGCCAAGCCTTCGATTTTCGAACGCGGGAGTACTTTGAAACTTCAATCCCACTTGTTTTTTAGGCCAGTCCATGATGGCGTCCCAAGTCGGATCTAGGACATTGACTAGATCCGCTACCAGAATGTATGGCCATCCCGTCGCCCACCAGTGATGATCCATACATCTCAGTGCGGCTGCCCAGTGTGCAAAGAGGGCCAGGGCCATCGGCTGGCCCTGTTTCAAGCAATCCACAAATGCCGGTGGTGCCATTATCACCCAGGAGAATATGTGTCCATCCCACTCCACGACGGATCGGCACCTTGCAATGTCGCGCAATGATTGCAGCTGTTGCAGGTACAATTCCCGTAAAGTCTTGTTCTCGTCACCGCTAGGCATCAATTGAGGGTCGTCTACGGCTCTCTGAAGTAGGTCAAGTGCCTCGACAATGTCTGGAGAATTCGGTGGAAGCTCGTCATTGCGAGGGTAGCGTAGCAACTCTTCAATGTCACCCTGAAGCCATCTATCAGTTTCTCGGATGACGGCATAGACGCCTCTCACAATCATGATGATTTCGATGAACTGAGCAGTTGGAGTATGGGCGTCGCAGAAGATGCCCGGAGACGAATCGCCGTGGGACAGTTCTAGCTTGACATTATTGAAGCCTTCTGGCAATCTTCGAGATGCAAAAGCCCAGATAGTCAGGAACAGCGACAGGGTGAAAAGTGCAATACCATTGTCTTCGTTGGGCCTACTAACTGCGGGAATGAAGCTGGCAAGGGCAAGGTTCTGATAAGCAAGAGCGACTTTGGAATATTCGGCGTAAGCGTCGGATGACTTCGGTAAGAGGGTAGCCTTGTGGAGGGCGGACGTAGCTATTATGCTGTGCAGAACAAAGTCATGCCGCAAACCTTCGGCAAAGATGGTATCTCGCCAAACAAGATGGCTAGCAAGACGAGACGACATGGTCATATAAGTGCGAGTCGACCAGTGTTGGATCAATTCCAGATCCAGTAAATTAAAGCGTTGGTTGCCATTTAGCGTAGGTGCCTCGCTTGTGAGAACAGTCGGCACCTTGAACTTTGAAGTGATTGCCAGACGCTGAGGATCAGCAGAGGAAGGAGTGGATTGACAGTCGAGACTCTTTGGCGTCGAGCTGTCCAAAGAACGACCTGGGGGAGTTGACAGGGCATCGGACGCGTCCTCGATGAACGAGCAGGTGATATGTCTTTTCACACACCGTTGACACTGTGGGCTACCTTCATCACACTAGACAAGAAAGCAATCGTAAGTAATTGAGGGACATGAGAGAGCATGGTAGATAGACTGAGTGATAGCTGGTCGCGACTATTTGCTAGTACAATAGGTGAAGAAACCGACCTTGACTCTCCTAGCCTTGCACTGCCTGCATCCGTGATGCGACTTGGTATGGGATCGGCGTGACGGCATGACGGCGTTGCGCAGTCGTTAGGCTGGCTACAGCGCTACAGCGATCGCGCGGTGGGAATTGGCATTGCTGAAGAAATAAAGCCAAGGGCGAAGACAAGAGTAATGGTTGAATTCGAATCTGATCCGGAATCCTTGTTTCAAGGAATCAATAATGGCATTTACATAAACGATGATGATGGTGATGATGATGGGCTTTGGTTCCCGTGTCCGTGTCCGTCTCTCGTTTTCGCTGTCCAACGGGACCTGCCACAAACAACTGGACAAATAATGGCAAAAGGCGCCTGCGAATGGCTTGGCGAGCTGAGCTGAGAGAATGGATGGAGGAACAAAGAAGCTCTGGGGGGCGTACCGAGTCCTCGTAGCAGTGTTTCGTAAGAAGGCCTCGTAAGGTGTTCTCGTAAGGGCGTCGAGGCCCGCTCGTATTCGGCTGCCTGCGGGTTGATCAGCCTCGTCCTGTCAGCCCCAGTGCTCAATCGAAAGGTATCATAATACTTACGACTTGTGGAGTACCGAGTACCAAGAACAATGAACGCGACACTCAAGGGTCAGTCTTACAAAATGCCATCGGCCCATCTGCAAATGCGCTACCTAAATAATTGGGCGTGTTTCACAATCATAGTAATCTGACAATCACGTGCGCTGATTTCTTGGACGGTGCCTCAGGTAGGTTGTCTTGGTCATGTCTATCTATATAATATGTCTAAACTGAAAAACATAGATCGGCAGGCATCCTCGAATTCTTGAAAGCCAAATGCTCTGGCGCCCGTAACATATTCAGCCATGTCCCTTTCCTGTCGGGTAGAGAGTGTGAAAAATGCTCATACCTTGCCCGGAGTTCACGCAGCGCTCATCCTATAAACATCAGGAACTTCAACAGTCGCATCATTTTTCAGACTCGGTATGCCGCTCTAGAGTAGGCGCCGAATTATCCTCTTCCGATTGGGAACCCACGTCTTTGGAGTTTTTGAAATTCACATCGAAGAAGCCTGGCTTGCAGAAATATCCAGGATGGACCACGGTCATGGCGACGCATGAAATCGCCACCATCCTACATTGTCGTCGTGTTAGTTATATTGGGGGCTGTGGAATTAAAGCCGAGAAGTCAACTCAATGGCAAACTTACATTCCATCAAGAAGCAGGAACTCTGTCTCGTTCCGCATCAAAGGATTACCCCAGCCGCCAGCCATTTCAGGTATTCTGGTTGAATTTTTGTTAGTTTCAATAGCAGCGAAGGTTGCTCAAGGGGATGGACAAAGACACTTACCGGTATATGCATCGAATGAGGATGGTTGTATAGGCGAGAGCGATGGCATAGCAAAAGAGGCGAAAGTTGCGTGCCTTTTTGGGTGCATGTTGATCTTTCTCGTAATCGCTTTCCACATGCGACGTGGGCGCGTTCTTCTTGGCCTTCTTGAAGCGAATGAAGTAATCCAGCATCAAGATGCCGCAGACGGCCATTGTAGCCACCTGGAAAGCAATTCCCGCCACAATCATGCCGTTGCCAACGTCGAGGAGCTTGGGGTTCCGGAGGTTGTCGCCAGCACCTGCAGCAATGCCACCACCAATGGCTTGTAGGATGATCGACCCAAAATCACATCCGATGAAGATCCAAGGATAGAGCCTGGGCTTCAGTCTCGAGTGCTCGGCCCCGCAATACCGCACAATATGCTTCAGTGTAACGTAAATGCCGGCGGCAAGGAAGCTGGGGGCCAGCACCAAGCAACAAATTTGTGTCTTAAACCCGGCGTCGCTCCACGGGTTGTCATGCATCAAGATCCGCCCGACATAGCCAACGGCTTCTCCGAAAGTGCCGATCGTGAGTACAGCCATGTAGGTCCATGTTCGTTTCCGAATTCCAAGAAACAGCGTTGCAATCAAGCAGACACCAAAAAGCGCGACGAAGAATGCATTGGCGCCCAGATTAGGATAGTAGCCGTATGTCGTCAGCTCGACTGGACAAGATGGGGAGATTTCGTCGCACAGACGACGCTGGGGTCGGGTGGAATTCGACATAATGGCGGTTGTCTAACACAAACAGCGGCCGTCAGAGGGGCGCAAGAGTGTGCATGCGAAGGGGAGGGGAAGGAGAAGGAGAAGGGGAGTTATAAGACGGTTGGTCTTCACTGCCAGAGAAAATCAGACGAGATAATGGCTTCGGGAGTGACCAGAGAAGCTCCCACGAGTACATATAATGGATCCATACCCACCCAAAAAGCTGGGCTCCAGTGATTACATCAAGACTAACCGCCGCTCCAGGCAAGGTAAGAAGACGTTCAAGTCCCGTTTTGCATGTTTGGCGGCCAGTCTGGGACTCTGCGATGGCCAACAGTCGAAATTGCTTGGGAAGACGGGGGCCTCTGGGGGCCTGGGTGGGTGTAAACGGGCATGGGTCACCTCGGTTGGCCTAGTCGAAAGGCATCTCCATCAAGAGATGCCATCGAGGTCCAAGCGGTAGAATCATGTGGCGAAGCAGACTCACGCTGTCCATGTGGAGCTCGCGTAGAAGGACAAGCACCGAGTGTCGTTGATATGACAGTCTTTCGTCGAAGCGAAGTGCTGCAATCCGCGTATCCGCAAGTCTGCCGTGTGCGTGGGTCAACTGATTTTTACGATCGCTTGGTGGCGTTTGGCTTCGCTAAGGTGGTTTTGGGATAAGTTTACGAAGCCGGATCTCCCACCATCCGAGTCCGCTGGATACTGCCTGTCCTCGTTGCAGTACATACGGAGTACATATGTAGTACTCATGCTAGTAGTCCGTAGTCGATAGATGAACTGATGACTCTGCGGCCTGAGGGACACCACCTGTGCCGATGCATCGACTTGGGGCGTTTTCCAGATGAACCTTAGTTGTCGATCGATCACCCCGTCACTTTCGCCTAGAATGGAGACACGTGCTTCTATATCTCAAAAGGGACAAATAGCACTCCTGGTGCAGATGTGTATACACGGTATATGTATGTGAGGCTGTTGAACGTCAACGCATTGGATCGCTGGAATCGAAACACGACTTGTCAGCTAAGTACTACGCGCCGTTCCCACGCACGCCAGGCCACTCTCCTTTAGAGTCAGTGGGTATCTGTACTCCGTATGAATATCGATTGCACTCGTACCCGTATCTGTCTGATGACGATGGGTAGGCAGCCGCCTTTTACACGCTCTTTACAGCTTGGTGGTGAAAGTATAGCCATTCCCTTTCTCCAGGCTCCTTTTCCAACCGGGGCGCTCGTTGACTCTGGAGTACCATTTGTCTAGATTAGGGTATGCTTTCACATCGATGAATTTGTTTTGGATGCACAGATCCATTGGCCACTTCGTGATAAAATCGGCTCGACCAGGATTAGTACCGAGGAAGTAATCCTGGTCCCCAAGTTGATCGTTCAAATACTGGAAGAATAGTGCCAAGTCGGGGCCAATGTACGCTTTGTGCAATTGGTTGTGGGCGAGGGAAAGCAGTGGTCTGATGAAGAATGGGACTGCGTTGTCGAGGATGGTCATGATCAGTTCCAGATTCATGAGAGGCCCGATGGATGCTGCTGCAATATTACACAACTGGTCATCTCGAAGAACATCGTTGCGCTCGCTGTCGCCCTTGAATTTCCCTTCGGTGTCGTAGGTATCGATCAAGTATCTTGCAATGACGAGGGTTTCCACAAGGACCCTTCCATCTCCTGTCTCAAGCTGCGGTGCCTTACCGAGCGGGTGTGTTTGCTTCAACTCGTCTGGCGCCCGACCTTTGAGAGGGCCGGACTCAGGTCTTTTGTGGAGTTCAAGATTGTAGGGGATTTCCAACTCTTCTAGCAACCACAGGATTCGCTGAGATTGAGAGTTCTGGTTTCAAGAGCAGGGTCAGCACCAGCGAAAGATTCCGTACCAGCAGGGGACCTACATTCAGATGATGAAGTGTTGGTTTAAGGATTGCCATGGTAAGTTCCTAGGTTGGGTACGAGGTGGCCGTCGAGGATATTTAGAGACCTACAATGAGATCTTACACGGTAAGAGGGAGCGAAGGCGGGTCTAAGTACCTAGGTATTGCTGGGAAGGGATGGTCAAGCAGGAGTCGTTCTAGTCTCACCGGCAACGCGACCTTCGACCAGATCTTCGATAGATAGATTTTATAGTACGGATACATACCCGAACCGGAATTGCTGGGGGTCATCATAATGATTAGGGTGACCCTCGGTACCCAGAACAGTACCGACTGCTCGCTTCCTTGAAGATCCCAGGAACGAGGTGTGTGTGACGCAGGAGAAAGGACAAGTGCATCTGCCAATCTGTCTGACAAATGCGCTCCACCACCCCTCATAGTGCCTGGCGTGTCAGACAGAATGAATTTTAATTTCCACGTTGTCCTTGTGTTCTCGCGGTGGGCAGGGCAAAAGGCAAGAAGGGAAAGGTAAAGCCACGACTCTAGAAGGCAATTACAAGGAAAAGTACTTGACGAACTCCTCGAACCCCCGACACGACGCGATACCAGATGATTTCATGACATGGACTTTGGTCCCTATCCTCTCATTTGTCCAGTTCATTCCTCACTCCTCCCTTGATCTGGGTGCATGCGCACACTCTGTCCAATATCTCCAATCTAACCCGCCAGCACCCACAACATGCGTCTAGACGTCAAGAGACAGCTCTTTGCCCGTGAGTAGTAATCCCCAATCCTCCAATATCTGGGCTAACATATTCCAGGCTCCGAGCGGGTCAAGGGCATTGATTTCCACAGGTATGTATCCAGAACCCCCGAACTGCTCAATTCAACGGGCTAACAACTCCTAGCACCGAACCATGGGTATTGCCAGCCTTGAACTGCTACTGAGACGTTCATTACTGACCCTTGAAGATCCTAACAACGCTATACAATGGTCACGCTCACATATGGTCCTACGAAACCCAAGCAATCATCAAAACCTTCGAGCTTACCGATGTCCCTGTCCGAGCCGGTCGCTTCATCGAGAGAAAGAACTGGATAGTCTGCGGCAGCGATGACTTCCAACTGAGAGTTGTGAACTGGAACACAAGCGAAAAAGTCAAATCCTTTGAAGCGTGAGTCGTCGCAAGGTGCAACGGATCGCTGGCCGTAGGTTGACTTTGCCAATTAGACATCCAGATTATATCCGGGCAATTGTGGTCCACCCCACTCTCAGTGTTGTCCTAACCGCCTCGGATGACATGACCATTCGCATGTTCGACTGGGAAAAGGACTGGAAATGTGTGCGAGAATTCGTCGGGCATCAGCATTATGTCATGGGCCTTTCCATCAACCCCAAGGACACCAATGTTTTCGCATCTGCCTGTCTCGATCGAACCATCAAAATCTGGAGTATCGACAATGCTACAGCGAAACAGACAATTGAGGCCCACGAAAAGGGTGTCAATCATATCGACTATTACCCCCATAGCGACAAGCCCTATTTACTCAGCACATCCGACGACAAAACAGTCAAGATCTGGGACTATACCACCAAGGCTTTAATTGCAACCTTGGAAGGACACACGAGCAATGTCAGCTTCGCATGCTACCACCCCGAACTCCCTGTCATCATATCTGGCTCGGAGGATGGAACCATCAAGATATGGCACGCCAACACTTACCGACTCGAGCAATCCCTCAGCTACGGTCTAGAAAGAGCGTGGTGTGTCTCCTACCAACGAGGCAAACAAGGTGTTGCTATGGGGTTTGACGATGGTGCTGTCGTGGTCAAAATGGGTCGGGAAGAGCCAGCCGTTTCTATGGATGGCACCGGCAAGCTAGTCTGGGCTCGCCATAATGAAGTTGTTTCTGCCATCGTCAAGGGTGGAGATGCCTCTATCAAAGATGGCGCAGCCATATCCCTTCCCAGCAAAGACATGGGAACTACTGAGATGTATGTTTCTGGCTTCCATTCTCAACCACAAACTGACCTGTCAACAGCTACCCCACAACATTATCACACTCTCCCAATGGCAGATTTGTCAGTGTTTGTGGAGACGGCGAATTCATCATCGTAAGACCTATTCTGATCTCCCTACTGTGGGACGCCTCTGACATTCACTAGTATACTGCTCTTGCATGGAGAAATCAAGCTTTTGGCTCAGCCCTTGATTTTGCATGGTATGACGCTCACCCTTTCCGTTTAGTCTTCTGAGCTGACCAATTCAAAGGGGATCTCATCAAAATCCTACCGACTATGCCATTCGAGAGTCGAGCACAAGCGTCAAGTTATTCAAGAAGCTGAAAGAAAGCGGGAGTCTCGATGTCGGCTTTCAAGCAGAAGGTCTTTCAGGCGGTGCACTACTTGGTGTAAAAGGTCAAGGAGGCGTTGGCTTTTTTGATTGGGAGACCGGAACTCTCGTTCGGAGGATCGAAGTTGAGCCTAGAGAAGTAAGCCGTGTTGACATTCGAGTTAATGACGTGCTAACAATCGATTAGGTCTACTGGAGCGAGTCCGGCGAACTGGTCGCGTTGGCTTGTGCAGATGCGACATACGTTCTTCGATTTGACCGAGAGGCGTACCTTGACGGCCTGAATTCCGGACAAGCTGATGAAGATGGTGTCGAAGCTGCATTCTCTGTTGTTACAGATCTGCAAGAAACTGTCAAGAGTGGAGAATGGGTGGGCGATGCTTTCCTTTTCACAACTAATGCCCGTCTCAGCTATCTTCTTGGCGAGCAAGTCGTACATATCGCCCAATTCGACCAGCCAATGTATGTGCTACGCTATCTACAGCGGGATGAGCGAGTATATCTTGCAGATAAAGATGTTGGTGTGGTCAGCTACAGCCTTTCGACAGCCTTGCTCTCGTATCAAACACTAGTGTTGAGAAATGACTTGGATGCCGCCCAAGAGTTGCTTGACGACATACCCCCAGATCAGCTAAACAAAATTGCGCGATTCTTGGAGGCTCAGGGCCACAAGGAACTGGCTCTTGATGTGGCCACCGATCCAGAGCACCGCTTTGAACTTGCCCTTGGCCTGAACAACTTGACGGTGGCTCTGGAGATTGCGCGCGAATCAGATATCCAAGCTAAGTGGTCAGCAGTGGCAGATAAAGCACTCGAAGCGTGGGACCTGAAGCTAGCAGAAGAATGCTTTCTCAATGCCAAGGACCTGGGCAGTCTTTTGCTTCTGTACACAAGCTCGGGAAACAGTCAAGGCTTGCTCGAGTTGGCAAAACAAGCTGAAGAGTCAGGCAGCAACAACATTGCATTTGCCAGTCTATGGTCCACGGGTGACATACCGGCCGCGCTCGAACTTCTCAGACGGACTGGCAGGCTCAGTGAAGCGGTGCTGTTCAGCCAGACGTACAAACCATCGAAAACGAAAGGACTGGTTCTCGACTGGAAAGAGAACCTTGATAAACAGGGCAAGAGCAAAGTTAGCCGCTTGCTGGGAGTTCCAGGCCAAGATGAAGACTTGTTTCCAGAATGGGACGAGTATATCAAGCTTGAAGAGGAAGGCGGTGCAAGGAATGGCGATCTGGTCGATGTTAATGGCGCAGATGAAGAACCGGCAACAAACGGCACAGCAGCCGATGATGATGACGACGATGATGCCGTGGAAGAGGGTGCAAAAGACGCAAATGAGACTGCTGCTTGAAACCCTGGATTGCTTAGCTTATACATCGATATGGGGGATACATGAGAGGCACTGACACAGAAAACTGAGTCTCGTATGCATGTATTTACACCAGGGGCTACGGCTACCTAAGCTAAAAATACCTACCTATCCAGAATTCTTCAGCGTGGCACTTTCGGAGTTACCAGAAATTCCATCGTCGTCAATGAAACGACTTTTGATCAACTTGGCATAGATACACAATTCCTTCGTCCTTCCACCCTTCCGCATTGATTTACGTTTTGTGGTGGTCGTCAACATCTACATATGGTCCTGCTTCGTACAGTGTTTCCTCTCCCTCTCCCTCTTCTTCCTCCCTTCCAGAACCGAGGACCACGCTATGTTACAGTACGTATCTCCAAATTGCAGGATAAGTATCGTCGGTGGGTTGATCCATTGTGCTTGTGCGATCGATGAAGGCAATGTTGCAAACTTGCCTGGCCTCCCCCGCCCTCTCTCCTGCCTCGCACTTTTCTGCCCGGTTCCTTTCTGTACCTTCTCCCTCACATTTCGTTCTGGCATCTGATCTGACACGACAGCTCACACACGCTACGGGCGTTGCGTCTTTCTTCACAGTCAGAGGGGCTGGCTCCAGCTGCAACCCCTGGGGATGGTTCTGCTCCTGGGCTCGGCTCTACCCACCCAGCCCGGCTCACCCAGAGCGGCTTCATCTTCACATACATCATGTCTTGCGCGGTGCCCGTCATCAACTCATGCTTTAAAGGAACTCGTCCGCGAGCTCGAGTTTAGGAGCTCTGAGAGAGGTATTCATCAGCATCCCATCACGATTTGGCTCTCACGCTGGCTGGTGTATGGAGCAAGCGTTGACCGCTTTATTCGCTTATTGCCCGCACCTCATCCCAGCGCTGCGCTATCTTCATGAACCCACCTCACAGCACAGCATAATGTGAAATGCCAGGCAAAAGGATTCCCACAGACTCTCAATCCTTGAACGTCGTCGTCGCCGTTGTCGCCGCCGTCATCGCGGTCCGCACATTTCCCTTGACACCCGAAACATGCGTCACCTGGTGCCAATGCTCGACCCTGCCCTCGAGCGAGTTCGGCACGATGAAATACAGCTTCTGCAGCTCGGTGAGGCCCTTGAACTCATGGGCGCCCAGAAGACGCAGCCGAAACGGTTGGTGCGTCAGGTTCTTCTGCTCGCGCCCGGAGCGCAGGAGGCGGAGGTCGAGTTCTTCTGGCAGGTGCTGGCGAGCGTTTTCTCCCGCTGACGAGTTGGACTCATTGTGGTCGTCGCCTCTGTCATCTCTCTCCTCCTCCAGCTCCGCCTGCAAGCGGAACAGAAAATCCTCCGACACGACCACCTGCCCGCCCTCGGTGACCTCAATAAATCTCGCGGCGCGGTTGACCATCGGGCCCAGATAATCCATGCGCTGAATGACCTCATTCCAGACGCACACGGGCTCGCCCCAATGCGCGCTCATGCGCAGCTTCAAGCCGCGGAAGAGGACATGCCCCTCATTGTCGGTCGTCTCCTCCCCGGGCGTCGACTTTAGTATGGCGGACGGCCAAGCTTTGTCGAGCAGCTGTTCCTGCACGTCGAGACAGAACTGCACCGCGGAGGAGGCGCTGCCGAATGCGATCATGAAGCCGTCGCCGTTTTGCTTGACTTCGTAGCCGCCGTTGGTCGTGATGAGACTACGGACGGTGTCGTCGTGTGTCTGCATTGCTGAGGCCATGGCGGCTGCGTGCGCTTCCCAGATTGCCGTTGATTTCACGATGTCGGTGAAGACGATGCTGAGTGGGCCTTGTGGCGGCGGCGGAGGGGGAGGGACGTGTTCGGTGTCAGAAGTTGCTTCTGTAGCTGAAGCTGCCTTCATCACCGCCGATTCCTTCTCGAGGTATCTCGTCCTAGACCCCTGCTGCTCGCTGGGATTGTCACTGGAATTAACCCTCCTCGCGGGCTGACTCGTCATCGTGTCCCGTTGCCGCTGCTGCTGTAACAACACCATGCACGATAGCTCCCGAACAGGCGCGACGATGGCGGTGCGGCGTGAATGAGCCATATGCCGAGATCCTGCCGCCGATTTGGTTCTGGCTGGTATGCGCGGCAACGCGGGCGAGGACAGATGCCTCAAGCCCCCTGCACATGACGATGCGAGGGATAGTCGTCTGGATCTTCGGGTAGCAGCGGTTGTTATCGTTGCCGCCGTGGCTGTTGCATCGACCCTCGTTGACGCGCAGCACACTCCATTAATGCGACGAAGTAGCCGAGGCCATGGTCCAGGCATGAGGGCCCGAGGGCCTTCCCGGAACCTATGTACCGCGTAATATCGCGTTATACTCGAGCCTCGAACCTGGAACTCAATCCAAATCCAAATCGATTGGTCAAGTGGCTGTTTGGTTTAGCAATACCGACCCCAACTAGAACTCGGTAGCTCGGTGCTCGGAACAGCCTCACCACGAAAGAGGTCCAGATTGGGGGAAGGGGGAAGGGGGAAGCTGCAAGCTTATCGGATTCTCCAGGTCTGATCTTTACAGGACGGGCACGAGAAGGTCCTGTTGAGAGTGTGATGCAGTCGGCGGCTTGCCAGAAAGTCAAAGCAACATGGCATTGAGTTCAAGTTCGAGGTACTCCGTACAGCATGTAGCTAAGCTTATGTAACTAGTTAGCTCTCGCTAGGGGGGGGGGGGGG